CATACAAAATGCATTACACTAGAGGGAATTGCTTTTTTCAAATATGTGTGGGAGAGGAGTCGTTCGCTCTAAAACGCTGGTGAATTTTTGTGAGGATCTTTGAAAAGAAAAGAAAAGCGGTCTGAAAATGTTGCAAACTCTGAATTTAAGGCCATGTACACATTTCTAAATTCAGTTTTGCCTAATATACACATTTCTGCAAAGCATTTTTTTCTAATACAATACATTTTTGTATATTACTTTCATTACCATAATGCATTTTTATGCACATTTAGCCCTTAAGTATGCATTATTGAATACAATTGAATTTGCAAAATCTTGAAGGATAGCTCATGTTTTCAGTCCACTTATTGCAGGGGTGCCCAAACTTTTTTTAAAGAGAGCCAGATTTGATGAAGTGAACATGCATGAGTTGAGTTGTTGAGCTTTTTTCAGGATTGAGGTTGTTGAGTTTTGACCCCTATTAATTTGTTGTTGTTGTTGTTTAGTCATTTAGTCATGTCCGACTCTTTGTGACCCCATGGACCAGAGCACGCCAGGCACTCTCCTGTCTTCCACTGCCTCCCGCAGTTTGGTCAAACTCATATTAGTAGCTTCGAGAACACTGTCCAACCATCTCGTCCTCTGTCATCCCCTTCTCCTTGTGCCCTCCATCTTTCCCAACATCAGGGTCTTTTCCAGGGAGTCTTCTCTTCTCATGAGGTGGCCAAAGTATTGGAGCCTCAGCTTCACGATCTGTCCTTCCAGTGAGCCCTCAGGGTTGATTTCCTTCAGAATGGAGAGGTTTGATCTTCTTGCAGTCCATGGGACTCTCAAGAGTCTCCTCCAGCACCAGAATTCAAAAGCATCCATTCTTCGGCGATCATAAAACCAGACATTGGACATGCCTGACTTACATTTAAATGCAAACTGAACAACTTTCCTCCCCCATTACCAGCAGTGTCTGACTGAAAGTTGCCTTTGTTATAGGCAGTGGTTCAGGAATCCAAATTAGTTCAGTCCCCGGACAAATTCAGGGAGCTCTGTACCAGAACAGAACTCAGCACTAAGCAGGATTGCTCCCACCCATCGCCAGCTGAGAGAAAGAGTGACCCTTCAGAGTTTGGGTGTGCAAATTCCCCCTGCAGGGAGTTCTCTCGCACATTCGAACTCGCCACTAAGCAATAATTTGACATGTGGGCGGGACGTGTCATGGCACCACGTGACTGACAGGTGGTTGCCCCACCCACCAACCCACCTGCCAGTCTTGGTCTGCAAGGCTGGTCCTGATAAGGATCTGTCCTTCTGTAGCCAAAAAAGATTTCCAAACTATACCATGTTGGGGATGAACTTGAGTGCTCTTGCTTTTGTGAGGCAAGGAGTAAGGACCATCTCTGGAAAATGTACAGGCCACTTAGAAAATGCTTGATGGCTAATTAGGGAGAGATGTAGCAGTGCCGGATTTACATATAAGCTAAACAATCTATAGCATAGGGCCCCACTCTCTTGGGGGCCCCAAAAAAATTTAAAGGAAAAAATACAACTGGATGTACATTTCCAAAATATAAGATAAAAAAGAAATAAAATAAAACCTACACACAGCAATAGTGTTTTGTGTTGTGTAGGCTCCTATGATGTAACAGTGTTTTGTGTTGTGTAGGCTCCTATGATGTAAGTCATGGGCCCCACCCATTAGTGAACTACTAAGGTGATATTGATATTATATTTAAAAATGCATTGTAACAACTACAATTGCATTGTACAGGTTATAATTATAATAAAGCTGTTTATAATTATTAGTACTGTAGTTTGCATCATATATTTACACCTATTATTATTTCATGTTATAGCAAGTTTCTAGAGACTAGATTACAATTCTAAAGGAACTTTTGTTATTGCCAAATGCCAATGTGCTTGCATTATTAAGTTTGTTATGAATAAAAAAAAAATTTAAGTTAGAGCTTAATAATTATTTCACTATTAATATACTTCTTAACTGAATTTCAGTTCAACAATTACTTTGATATAATCCCTATTTTGTTATGTGCAAATGGCCTTAGATACTTATTAGGTTCACAAATTACCATATAGCTTATATTCAACACACACACACACAAAACCAGTGACAATTTGTTGTTGACAAAGTACAGCTGGACATATAAAGGGCCTCATTACCTTCAGTAGCTTAGGGCCTCATCAAACCTGAATCCAGCCCTGGATGTAATGGAGCCATTTGGCAGAGGGTATGGCTGGCAGGCATCCCAAACAGGAGCACTTCACGCTGCAACAATTTGTTACAGGTCCCATTTATGGTGGGGAGTATGGGGCTGTCCAAGTTATGTCCCTGCTTTTCGTCACTAAAGTAATGGGGGTATCTATAAGAAAAATCAAAGTCATGGAAACATTCGAAAAGTTTCCCGTTTACTCCTGTTTCAAACAAAACAAACACACAGCAAATACAGACGTAGGAACGGAAACATTTGACTCAGAGAGCAGCCTGTTAGTTCAGAAGCAGATATCTGTGAGGTATTTGGGGCTTGTTGAACCCACAGAGACAGGCTGTCACCGTCTAACTCTAGACTTCAAAGAACACCTATGATATCTGACTTCCTGCACCCTTTCTTAATTTGAAAAACGGCGTTTCTTTCTGCTTTGTATATATTCCTCTAATCATTTTCTTTACAAATATCACTCAGTTTCTGCTAATATGGAATTATTAGGAAGAAAGGATATTATACAATACAAATCTGTGTTAAAAAAGAATGTTTACAATATTACAGTATAATGAGAAGGATGGGAAGGATTGTGTTGATGAACACTTTTATTGTGTAAATAATATTGTCTTGTCTTTTCCTCTTCTGATTTTTTATTTTGTATCTTTGTTATTCCCCCCTTCTTTCTTTTCCTCTTTTTTATTCCTTTATAAATTTTCTATTTTCTACCTAATTTTCTTTTTCCTCACATGTAAAGAGATAGCACATGTTGTTTGTATAGATATGTACATTTTTAATCGATAAAGAATAATATTAGTAAAAAGGGCAGGTTGCGAATAAATGTCAAGCTGTGTTTCTCTAGATGAGCCCCTTTAAATGATGTGATTACAGCTTTTCAAGCTCCAGCTCACCCCCCCCCCCAAAAATGCTCTCTGTGTCTTCATGATGAGGACAAAGATGGAAGATAATCTAAACAGAGCACCTAAAATATTCTCGGCCCTGAACGAAGCTTTAAAGCATGGGTACCGTATTTTTCGTTCTATAAGACACACTTTTTCCCTTCTAAAAAGTAAGGGGAAATGTGTATGCGTCTTATGGAGCGAATGCAGGCTGCACAGCTATCCCAGAAGCCAGAACAGCAAGAGGGATCGCTGCTTTCGCTGCGCAGCGATCCCTCTTGCTGTTCTGGCTTCTGGGATTCAAATTTTTTTTCTCTTGTTTTCCTCCTCCAAAAACTATGGTCTGGTGCGTCTTATAGAGGGAAAAATACGGCAGGCAAACTAAGGCCCGGGGGCCGGATCGACCCAATCGCCTTCTAAACCCGGCTCACAGACAGTCTGGGAATCAGCGTGTTTTTACATGAGTAGAATGTGTCCTTTTACTTAAAATGCATCTCTGGGTTATTTGTGGGGCATAGGAATTCATTCATTCCCCACCCACCCCAAATATAGTCTGGCCCCACAAAGTCTGAGGGATAGTGGACCAGCCCCCTGATGAAAAGGTTTGCTGACCCCTGATGTATAGACACGCACACAGAATTTCATATATAAAAACCATTTCAAATCTAATACAGTGGTGCCTCTGGTTACATACTTAATTCGTTCCGGAGGTCCGTTCTTAACCTGAAACTGTTCTTAACCTGAAGCACCACTTTAGCTAATGGGGCCTCCCATTGCTGCTGCGCCGCCACCATGCAATTTCTGTTCTCATCCTGAAGCAAAGTTCTTAACCCAAGGTAATATTTCTAGGTTAGCGGAATCTGTAACCTGAAGCGTATGTAACCCGAGGTACCACTGTACATAGATACCGACTGGGATGGGGGGGCGGAATCTAGTGGCTCACAGTTAGTGAGTCAAATTTTCCAGTTACAGAATGACCAGGTATACTTGGCCACTGAGGAAACGATACTTTATTTCTCCTCCATCTCACTCTGTTACTCAGAAAGGCATAAATATCACAACCAAACATCTTTCTTGGTGTGGTTTTCCTCTGTTGTGCAAGGGAGCCACAAGTGCAGCAAAGCTGGCTGAGGCTGGACACCACAAACGCCTCCCGTCAGACCTGCCTAAATATTTCTGAGCTGAAGGCAAGGCCCGAAAGTTGCCCAAGAGCAAACTTGGTTATGTCGCTTTCCTGTCTGTGACAACAATATTTTCCATTGTTAACTGCTCCTGCCACCCTATGTTCATCAGAAGTCGCTACAAAAGAGGTGAGGAGTTAATGGTGTTACGGCCATTTGCATTTCTGCCTCCTCTCACTATGGCTGCCTCTGAACTGGTACAGATTCCCCTCAAATAATCCCGAGAACTGAAATTTGCTAAGGGAGCTGAGAGTTGTGAGGAGACCCCTGTTCCCCCTCATAGAGCTACAATTCCCAGCGTTCCTTGGTAAGGCAGGTGATAATGATAATAATAATAATAATAATAATAATAATAATAATAATAAATTATTTATACCCCGCCCATCTGGCTGGGTTTCCCCAACCACTCTGGGTGGCTTCCAGCAAAATATTGAAATACAGTAATTAATCAAATATTAAAATCTTCCCTAAACAGGGCTGCCTTCAGATGTCTCTTCTAAAAGTCAGAGAGTTGAACCCAGAAATCACTGGGTTAAAGCTGACCGAAAGTCCAGAGGTAGCATTGTTATCAAGAAGGTTCGCAGGCCATGAAGGACTTGCTCACAAATTGATTGACAGCTGCACGAGTTATTATCGCTAGGAAGTAGGAAGGGCAAGGTGAGTAGAAAATGGAAGATGGTATAAAGAGGTTTGGGATATACCTATTAATGTTAAATGAACATGTGGTATTAAGGTAAGATGGGGAATATGCAGGAGAAATTATTTTGAGGAGATTTGGAAGGTATTTGTAGAATTTGTACTGTTAAAACAGAAAGGGGTCAAACCATCACGAGAGGTGTTGAAATTTTGGGAGGTTGGATAGTTACAAAGGAATGGTTTCGGTGGTGGGGTGCACATTTTTATTTATTTATTATTATTACTTTGTTAAAATAATAAGAAGAAAAGAAAATAAATCAACTGCCAGAGTTAGGACAAAGACGAGGGTTGGAAGGAGACAAGTTTTGAGCATTGCAGTTGGCTGTGGCGTGTTCTGGGAGTGAAAGCTTTCAGTCTGTAAAAAGCAGCAAGCTGGGCAGAGAGGGACAGAGGGCCGGGGCTGATTTCTGCTGGCATCCAAAACTGTGTCCATGGGAGAAGCAAGGCCTTCTTGGGGTGCTATTGCTGTAAACTCATCCACCGTGGGCTCAGGTTGTACGTATATATGTGTCAATAAACCATATAGCATAAAGACAACACAGTCTCCGCTGTGCCTCGTTTCCAAAGGAAACACGACCCCTGGGCAAGCAGAATCTCGCAGCCCTCAGAGATTGGGGCGCCGTGTAACAATTCATTTCCACAACAGCTGTGAGAAGGAGGTCACTGTTTCTTCCAGCTTGAAGTATGGGGAACAGAGACCTTTTGCTGATGTCGCTTGCTGGCTCTAGAAGCTGAGCTGGTGTTTCTTGTTAGTTTCTGTTTGTCACCGAGCAGCTGCTTAGAGTCACAGGACTCTGTTTACATTCCAGAGACCTTCCAGGCTGCTGGAAGTCTCACGGGAGACAGGATGTGACGTTAGTGGTTTCCTGTTCCTTTGTTCTTTCGGTTGCTCTCTGCTTTCACAGAGAGAGGATGTCTTTTCTGTCTGCGTAGCGAGAAATAAAACCCTTTGCAATGTAGCCATAAATCTCATCACTTCCGCATGCTGCTGGAAACGCTGCTGTATGTGGGAACGTGCCTTGGAGCCTCGTCAAAGGCTCAGGTTGTTAATTATTCGTCGGGAGGGTGATTCTGGAAGATGAGCTTTATCAGCTTGGCTGAGCAGAGATCCCGACATTTCTATCCTTCCAGCCTCGCAGATCAGAATCCAAAAAGCTGCCGCAGCAGGTTAAAGTCTTTTGATCCCAGACCCCAGCCACTTCTGATACTCGCTGCCTCGTTCTTTTCTTAGGTCCTTGAAGCAAGATTTAGCTGGGCATAGCAAGTGCCTTCCTGTTTCGTAAAGAGTGGAGAAACTGTTATTTGGAGCACAGTTGGCCAACTTCAGGCCCTTCAAGTCTCTCTGTACGGCCCTCAGAAATCTCCTCAGGCCACGCCGCCTCCCCTCTGGTCACACCCCCTTTCCCAAGGCCAATCCCCTCACTGACACTGTCTCACATCTGTTTGGGCCATTTCCCCAAATATACCAGCCTCTGCTGCTTTGGGGCAACATTTTGAGGGTCACATGCTTGTAGTGGGCGGGCCAGGGCCAAAATGGGTGGAGCAACAAATGCAAATTTTATTTTTGTTTATTTTCTACACACACATGCCCCTCTCTATTCTCTATTCAGACATTGGACTCAGCTAGATTGGTAAAGAAAAATAGTTTTATATGGGGCGTATATGCATTATAACAGTGTGACACCAGATGGCGCTATGGAGTTCCGTTTTTTGCCAACGTGATTTCTCATATGAAGTTTAAAACACGTTCTCAATGCTACCTTGATGTGTCTATATCCAGCCATTGTCTGGGTTCAATGACACATTTCAGCCAGGCAAAAATGCTCAAGGAGGATTCAAAGCAGGACTAGGGAGGGGTAAGACTCTGAGAAGAGTCCTGGGGGCCAGGTGCAGAGGTCTGGGGGGCCGCATCTGGACCTCAGGTATGAGGCTCCTGATCTCTGGAACATCATCACCTTTCTTCACAAGCAAGTTAAGCTAGGCTGAAATGTCAAAATTTTGTAAATTCTCCTTTGCTTTCCCTGTACTGCCTCCTCCTCAGCCCAGTTGCACTCGCTTCAGTTCATGTCCAGGTGCAATTCAAAGCACCGCCTATTGGGGGCGCTATAGCAGTGGGCTTACTGCACTGACGGGCTGGCCTGGATGACCTTGTGAGGTCCCTACAATGTATATCACATATGAAAGCACCCTTGAAATCTGGAGAAGTCCCCCCTTCGCCATCTCCAAAGAAAGAGTCATACCTTTATTCCCTCTGAAGATGGAGGTTCAGAGTCCTGGTATCGGGATCCTTGGGGAATAAAAGAAAAGGAGACTATTAGGAATAAATAAAAGAGCTAGAGGGGCCATTCTTCTTCAGCTGCTGCTGTGCGGGCCAATATTTTTTGCCAACTGCAAAAGGGATAGGGAAGACACTCCGTTCGGTTCAAACCTACCTAATTTGGATTTCCCAAAACAGTGGGCATGCCCCCACCATGTGACTGGACCTCCCAGGAGGAACTCAGGAAAAGTCCAGAATAACAGCTGAGAATGCATCATGGGAGACCTGTCTAGGGCAGCTTCCTGTTCTTACAGTGACCTAACAGATCCCACTGAGAATCCCACCAACAGAAAATGTGGTCAGTCCATTTGTGGTTCCTTGCTGCTTTTCCCTGGAACATAAAGGTAAATGGACCCCTGACCATTAGGTCCAGTTGTAACCGACTCTGGGGTTGCGGCGCTCTGGGGTTGCGGCGCTTTATTGGCCGAGGGAGCCGGCGTACAGCTTCCGGGTCATGTGGCCAGCATGACTAAGCCGCTTCTGGCGAACCAGAGCAGCGCACGGAAACGCCGTTTACCTTCCCGCCAGAGCGGTACCTATTTATCTACTTGCACTTTGACGTGCTTTCGAACTGCTAGGTTGGCAGGAGCAGGGACCCAGCAATGGGAGCTCACCCCGTCGCAGGGATTCGAACCATCGACTTTCTGATCGGCAAGTCCTAGGCTCTGTGGTTTAACCCACAGCGCCACCTACGTGGCTCCACCCTGGAACATAATTCCTGCCTAAAAATCCACTGCTAAAACACTCGAGTCCAGGGGGCCTCGGGTACGGGGAGGAAATGGCCTCTCTGCCTGGTTTTTGGGCTCTCCTCCTAGCCACGCCCTCTCTCTCTAGGCCACACCCCTTACCAACTTGCTTCGCAACCTCATTGAGTATGCTTGCTATCTGGAATGTGTAATTTGAACTCTGATCATGCCTGGGTGGATGGTGGTGGGGTGTGAGTTTGTGTAGAAACTCATCTACTATGCAAAGGGCGGGGGGGAATTACCGTACTTTTCCGTGTATAAGACTATGGGTTTTTTTACTCGAAAATAATGTTCAAAATCGGGGCTCACTGGGGGGAAGTTGTTCGAGGCGGCACCGGAGGGCTTGGTCATGGGACGGAGCATCGGCGGCAGCTATGGTGGTGACGGCGGTGCTGACTCAGGGGCTGGGGCGCGTCCCCGACCAGACCAGCTACCTGGTCATCTGCGATGGCGCGGTGCTGGCATCTTCGGCCAACCTGGAGAATGCCGAGCGGACAGCCGGGGTGATCTCAGAGCTGGTGAACACAGCCTGCACTTTCCACCTGCCCCGCGGTGCCCTTCAGGTGTATCTCTGTGGTGTTTGGGGAGCACTCCTTCCTCGTGACCCTCTCTGGTCAGAAGCTGTTTGTGGTGAAGAGGCAGAACAGCATCCGGGAGCCTGTGAACGTCTGAACTTGACCTGCCCGCTTCTGCCATTACTGTGACTTTGGGAGTGGGGGATTCAAGGAGAGTGCAGGAACAAAGCACCTTCTTTTTTGTATGCGTGTGGGGCTCATCGCTGTGTTGCTACTGGGTCACAAGAGGGCTGGCGGCTCCTTGAATGCATTGTAAAGGTAAAGGCGGCTCCTTGGATGCATTGTAAAGGTAAAGGGACCCTTGACCATTAGGTCCAGTCGTGGCCGACTCTGGGGTTGCGGCGCTCATCTCGCTTTATTGGCTGAGGGAGCCGATGTACAGCTTCCGGGTCATGTGGCCAGCATGACTAAGCTGCTGCTGGCGAACCAGAGCAGCGCACGGAAACACCGTTTACCTTCCCGCCATAGTGGTACCTATTTATCTACTTGCACTTTGACGTGCTTTTGAACTGCTAGGTTGGCAGGAGCAGGGACCGAGCATCGGGAGCTCACCCCGTTGCGGGGATTCAAACCGCCAACCTTCTGATTGGCAAGTCCTAGGCTCTGTGGTTTAACCCACAGCGCCACCCGCGTCCCTCTGGATGCATTGTACATTCTGCTTAAAGGCTTTGTGCCACTTGCTCCATACAGCTGTGGGCATGATGGCGGTATCATGTGAAATAAAGTTCTTTGAAAGGGGGGGGGAATCGGGGCTCGCCCTCAACACGAATAGTGCAGAGGGGAATTTTTCTCAAATTGGAATCCCCCCAAATAGGGGGCATCTTATATACGGAAAAAAACGGTACATTCGTTGCTCAGCCACTTTTGCCACTGGCCCTCCCACTGCTTGCAAGTGGCCCCCGGAATATTGCCCAGCAAGAAAAATGTAGCACTCAGGCTGAAAAAGCCCCACTGATTAGAGTGTTGGTCTATGACCTGGGAGAGCAGGGTTCGTATTCCCATTCAGCCGTGAAGCTCACTGATTGTGACCTTGGGCCAGTCACCGTCTCTTAGCCGAACCTACTTTACAGGGTTGTTGTGAGGATGCAGGAAGAGGAAGAGAGTCATGAGCACTGCCTTCAGCTCATTGGAAGAGGTGGTCTATCAATGTAATACCGTATTTTTAGCCCTATAGGACGCACTTTTTCCTCTCCAAAAATGAAGGGGAAATGTGTGTGCGTCCTATGGGGCGAATGCAGGCTTTCGCTGAAGCCTGGAGAGCGAGAGGGGTCGGTGTGCACCAACCCCTCTTGCTCTCCAAGCTTCAAGAAGCTATCCGCAAGCCTTGGGAGTCGGTGGGAGTTCCTGCCGGTCTCCCAAGGCTTCCGGAGAGCTGCCTGCATCCCGAAGCCCGGGGCGCGCTGAGTAGCATGCCCCGGGCTTCGGGCAGATATCCGCAAGCCTGGGGAGACCGGCGCGACTTCCCGCCAGTCTCCCACAGCTTGCTGATAGCAGCCTGTTCTGGGGGCTGGGGTCGGGGGAAGCTCGGGCTTCCCCCGTCCCAGCCCCGCACCTGGGGGGGGGAAATAATTTTTTTTCTTTATTCCCCCCCCCAAAAAAAACTAGGTGCGCCCTATGGGCCGGTGCGCCCTTTGGGGCGAAAAATACGGTAAATTAAATAAACAACAAAATAAAAATAAACGTGGCCCTTGAACTTAAAAATAAAAGGTTCCTAAGTAATGCCTGACTTTAAGAGAGCCTGAAATAAAATTTAAACACTTGTTGTTGATTTCTTAGGACATGGCTGCTGATATTACCTAGCCTGAAGCGGCTGCGTCGAATCCAAAGGAAGCTTAAGAGAAGCATCAGCAGTGTCAGAACAGCCAGGACAGACAAGGACACTGAGAAGCTGAGACATTGGTTGTCTAGGACTGCAGAGGGAGCTGTAAAAAGGAAAGGGAGAGGGAGGGAGGGAACAGGCAGACATTACTTAGCAACTGCTGTCACTGACACAGACCAGAAGAACCCCATCACTTATATTTTGCTTCACTGTGTTACTGGAGGAGGGGTGGGGTTTGCATTCCCTGAACTGAAGAAGCAAAGCTATTCTGCAAAATCCATACTTTCCTGAATTTTGCAATGCGATTCCCCAGCCGAAAAAATAGGCACGTTGGGAGAAAAGTGTGCATTCAAAGCATATATTTGTGGAAACAATGTCTAAGAAGGAAATATATGTGGGGAAATGGCTTGCCCAAAATGTGCACACAGTGGTACCTCAGGTTACATACGCTTCAGGTTACATACGCTTCAGGTTACAGACTCCGTTAACCCAGAAATAGTGCTTCAGGTTAAGAACTTTGCTTCAGGATGAGAACAGAAATCGTGCTCCGGAGGTGCGGCGGCAGCAGGAGGCCCCATTAGCTAAAGTGGTGCTTCAGGTTAAGAACAGTTTCAGGTTAAGTACGGACCTCCGGAACAAATTAAGTACTTAACCCGAGGTACCACTGTACATACTAGAGAAAAGCATGCACAAGAAGCATATGTTCGTGGAAATATCTCAAGGAAATGCAACACATTTTTTGAGGGAATTGCTTCCCCAAAAATGTGCATCTTAGGAAAAATGCACACTAAAACGCTGGCAAATTTCAATGAGGAATTTCTTTTAAAAATGCAAACTAATAAATGTGTGAGAGGAGCTGGACTTATGACTGGAATAACGAGAAGCTGTCAGAAACCAATATTGAAACATTTGTCCGTGTCTAGTTTTATGGGGAAAGAAGGAAGAAACCACTATTTGCATCCTCTGCGTAGTGCACGGGTCTATAAATTTGATGCATCGCGCAGAATAATGCAAACAAAGGCCATTTATTTTTTCTCCACCCTCTTTCGGAAATCTAGAACACAATCAAAACGAGAGTTAGTAGATTATTTCACATACAGGAAACCCCAGTTCAATTCCTGGCATCTCCAGGTAGGACTGGGAAAAGATTCTTGTATGGCCTACACGACCCTTGAGGTCTCTTCCAGAGCTACAAAGCCACTTCCGCCCTTGAAGGTGGTGGAGTTGCGGGCTTCACGAGCCCAGCCCCGCGAGATTGGGGGGATTCCCGGCCGCATCATCCCCTGGCCAGCCAATCGGCTGGCTCTGGGGGCGTGGCCTGCCCTACTTAAGGCAGGACGCGGCCGGGGATCTTCCTCTTTCCCCGCCTGTCAGCTGTTCCTGCTTTTCCCACCCTCCCACCCTTTATGGTTTTCGTTCTTGACCTTGCTATGGACCTCGGTTGGTCGCCATTAAGGGGCCTGGTAGGAATTTTTCCACTTGGCAAATTGGCACCAGCCACTTGGTTGTCGCCTGCCTCGTAGCAAATCGTCACAACTTTCTGGGTATTGGCGGTTAGGCATTGGTATTGTTCTGTAGTTGGAAGAGGGGAGGAAGCGCCATCACCTGCCCCGCATATTGTAGTCCGATAAAGGATCCCGGGGGGCGTGGTCCTGTCTGAAGCCTAGGGAGGTGAGGGCCTAAGGCACGTCCCCAAGCAGTGACCCTGGGGGAGTTCCTAGTTGATGTGAATCAGCAGGACTCCCCCTACTGGTGGTTAACCCTTCCCGGACTTCAAGCGGACGGGCTGAAGTTGGATATACAGTGGTACCTCAGGTTAAATACGCTTAAGGTTACATACGCTTCAGGTTACAGACTCCGCTAACCCAGAAATAGTACCTCAGGTTAACAACTTTGCTTCAGGATGAGAACAGAAATCGTGCTCCGGCGGCTCGGGAGCAGCAGGAGGCCCCATTAGCTAAAGTGGTGCTTCAGATTAAGAACAGTTTCAGGTTAAGAACAGACCTCCAGAACGAATTAAGTACTTAACCCGAGGAACCACTGTAGTCGGTTAGGACCAATGCCTAAGCCAATACTGCTCATCACCTGTAACCAATAAAGTTGTGGCCTTAAAGTAAAGGTAAAGGGACCCCTGACCATTAGGTCCCGTCATGACCGACTCTGGGGTTGCGGCACTCATCTCGCTTTATTGGCCAAGGGGGCCGGCGTACAGCTGGTCATGTGGCCAGCATGACAGCCACTTCAGGTGAACCAGAACAGTGAACGGAAACGCCATTTACCTTCCGGCCAGAGCGGTACCTATTTATCTACTTGCACTTTGACGTGCTTTCGAACTGCTAGGTTGGCAGGAGCAGGGACCGAGCAACAGGAGCTCACCCTCTTGTGGGGATTCGAACCGCTGACCTTCTGATTGGCAAGTCCTAGGCTCTGTGGTTTAACCCACAGCACTATCCTTAATAATTGTGTCATGTGTCTTTATTTCCACTGGGGAAAACTCACCACGCAATTCTATGATTCTTTGATTCTATGGCTTAGCATAATGCAGCTTCCTCTATTCCTAAGAACCAACACATGAAGATGACCAGCCAATTTTGTCGACGAGGGCAAAGGGTTACGTGCCACACCACCACTCACCCGCAGGGAATTCGGCGTTCATCCTGACAGCGGCGCCCGAGGAGTTGAACCTGACCTCACACGTGAAATTCGCAGCACTCGTGTTCAAATCCAGGGGGATGTGAAGGACACTGACGAACGTCCAAGAACTGCGGTTGCTTCTCATCAGCAGCGTCTCTGGCCAGAGATGTCCAGGAACGTCCCAGGACACTTGGACGAAGCTGGAAGCGCCGTGGACCACGCAAGCCATTTTGTTGCTCTGCAAGATTCGAGATGCTTCACGAGGAGCGGACTGCAAAAGCTTCACCCAGGTACTCTGGGTGTAGCTATCTGTGTGTGTTGTAGGGAACGAAGCCGAGAGTTCAGGAAACAGCAACAACAACAACAATAACAATAAATTTTATTTATACCCCGCTGTCCCCAGCCAAGACTGGGCTCAGGGCAGCTAAGACCAAATATAAAAACAATTGATTGAAATACAGCTTAAAAAACAAGATTAAAATACATCTTAAAAAACAAGATTAAAATACAACACAAAAACATTAAAATGCAGCCTCATTTCAGTGGAAACTCAAATTGGGGGATGAAAACGTTAAGTCTTCACCAAGGCCAACTATCCAGACTGGTCCTACATGGGCCAGAAAAAAGCCAGGGAAGTCCCCAAATAGGAGTTTCAACACAGAAAGAGAAAAGAAAAAAGAAAGAAAGAGGGGGAGGGAATCAAACTGATTCCAAGCCAAAGGCCAGGTGGAACAACTCTGTCTTACAGGCCCTGCGGAAAGAAATCAGATCCCGCAGGGCCCTGGTCTCATGAGGCAGAGCGTTCCACCAGGCCGGAGCCAGTGTTGAAAAGGCCCTGGCTCTGGTTGAGGCTAATCTGACTTTGTTAGAGCCCGGGACCTCTAGGGTGTTGCTATTTATGGACCTTGAGGCTCTCTGTGGGGCATACTGGGAGAGGCGGTCCCGTAGGTACGAGGGTCCTAGGCCGTGAAGGGCTTTAAAGGTCAAAACCAGCACCTTAAATCTGACCCTGTACTCCACCGGGAGCCAGTGCAGCTGGAAAAGCACTGGATGAATATGCTCCCATGGCAGAGACCCCATGAGGATCTACATTTTGTAGAGGATTTCTACAACCAAAAAAGTGTGGACTGTACAAAAAGAGAGTGCGTAGGGCTGCTCCTCTTGCTTGCTGTGCTCTTCAACCTGGTGCCATGCGCCAGGAGGCAGCTTCGCCTGCTGAACAGCAGCCTGAAGGGGGAGAAGGCGGAGTGACTCCACCCTGCAGCTGATCAACCTTCAAGGACACAGAGAAGGCACCGATGAACACCAGCTGGCTTCAGTCTTCTTAAGCAGAGCTTCCAGCAGCAGTCAGATGCTGGAAACAATGCCTGCAGTTCCTGGCCCAATCTTGCTGCTTCCTGTTCATCTTGATCCTTGACCCCATGGTAATCGGATTCCCTGACCCCTGGACTATCTGGGCATGCCGTTTGCCTGACCCTAAGGCTGGACCTGACCTGACTTCGGATGCTGAGTCTGCCTCCAGGCAAACACACCTCAGAGACTCTTCTGGTTGTCTGGCCTTCCTCTCCACTGAGCTCTGCACGTGGTTGCTCAGCAATGAGACTAAGACACCTGCTCATTTTCCAACTGCCCTTCTCCCACACCTGACAACTCCCTCTTTTTTTACACCTTACCTACCGCCTCACAGCTTGCCCTAAGCCCCTCGTCACACAGATTTCTCAACCCCTCTTAAAGGAAATAGGAAGCGTTTGACAGAGCAGCTTGCTAAGGCGCTGTGTGAGCCACCTTTCCCCTCCATTAAACAGTTCGCCCGGGTTGCCTGCCACCCTGCACTGCTTCTTCACTCACTTGCTGTACATCTCACTGCTGTTGGTGTGGCCACCTATTGGTGGCCATGCCAACTGCAGCATGATGCTAACCTTATATTTTTTATGTATACGGTGGTATCTCTGGATGCGAACGGGATCCGTTCCAGAGCCCCATTCACATCCTGAAGTGAACGCAACCCGCGTCTGTGTGTCTGCCTGTGCGTGGGTTGCGATTCGCCATTTCCATGCATGCGCGTGACGTCATTTTGAGCATCTGCGCATGCCCGAGCGGCAAAACCCAGAGGTAACGCGCTCTGTGCACAAAAATGTATAAATATGAGGCAATAATGTACAAAAACTAACTTCCTTAGGGGAAGTTAGATGCAAAAATATGTGTGTTAGGAGAAAAAGACACTAAAATGCTGATGAATCCTCATTGGGACTTGCAGTCGAACCTTGGAAGTTGAATGGAATCCGTTCTGGAAGTCTGTCCAACTTCCAAAACGTTTGGAAACCAAAGAGCGGCGGCTTCTGATTGGCTGCAGGAAGCTCCCGCAGCCAATCGGAAGCTCCATTGGTCGTTTGGCTTCCAAAAATAGTTCGCAAACCGGAACTGTCACTTCCGGGTTTGCGGTGTTCGGAAGCCAAAACGTTCAACTTGCAAGGCGTTCGGGATCCAAGGTACGACCGTATTTCCAATAAAAACAAATTACAAACAAGGCGGCTGAACTTAAAACAGATTGATAGGTTTCGCCCACTGTTAGTAAGGAGACAGTATAGGCTTTGAACTGAGAAGGAGGACTGTGGTGGTAGAAGAGACTCAATACCCCTCACACTCCAAAGCTCAGTCTTTTTGCTTTCTTACCTCCAACAACCAGCGAGGAGCCATTGCTGAAAGTCAAGGTGGGATTTCTCTTGGCACACATATATAGGCCAGTATCTTCCTTTTGGGCCTTGGTGATAGCCAAGACCAGATTTTGTCCTTTTGCCTCGCAAGCAAACCTGCCTCCATCTTCCTTCTCTGAGCATTTCTTAATGAAAAGGGGTGTGCCATCCTCTCTCCTTTTATACCAGCTGAAGGACAAGCCTTTGTCTTCCACGCTTTCTGTAGAAAAGCACTCAAGTTGGGCTGGGCTCCCGGTATCTACAAAATGGAACGGCTCCGTCTGATACAATAAGAGTAACTGGACTGGTAATACTGCTGAGATAGGGGAGAAATGATGAAAGAAGGAACGTTGCAGTTGGGTCTTGTTTCCTTTCACACAAAGGGAGATTCCCTAATGAACAAAAGCAATCCTAAGTATAGAAAGCTGGTAGGCTTTTTGGGGGGTGGGGAGAGAGAGGTCATTGTCTTCTTCTGCTGTATAAGTGATAAAGGGGAGTCACACCAGTAGTTTAAGTTTATCGGTTATCTTTTCTAGTAGGGTGGTTTCTCATAATAAATAATAATAATAATAATAATAATAATAATAATGTATTATTTATAGCCCACCCATCTGGCTGGGTTTCCCCAGCCACTCTGGGCGGCTTCCAACAGAATATTAAAATACAATAGTCTATTAAACATGTTATGTACTGAGTTGAATAGGATCCAAAATGCAGCAGTCTGATTGGTCCTAGAACAATAGGATCCAAAATGCAGCAGTCTGATTGGTCCTAGAACAATAGGATTCAGAATGCAGCAGTCTGATTGGTCCTAGAACAATGCAGCAGTATGATTGGTCCACAGGAGCCACCCAATCCAGCTTCAGGTGGAAGTGAATCCACAACCTGATTGGCCTTCAGGAGAATCCCAGAATTAGCCAATCACATGTAGCCCATTGTGTAAATAATGTATATAAACCAGATATTGTGGGGAACAGAAGCAGTGATCTGTGGGCCTGACAAGATGTCTCGGGAAGTGTGCTGTCTCCCCGGGGCTAAGATCCAAGATGTAACTGAACGACTGCAAGGAATCATAAAACCCACTGACAAATACCCCTTCCTCTTGGTTCATGTGGGAACCAATGACACTGCAAGCAATAGCCTCCAGAAGATCAAAAGAGACTACGAGGCTCTGGGCAGGAAATTGAAGCAATTAAATGCACAAATTGTGATCTCATCTGTCCTCCCAGTTGAACGACGTGGCCCAGGGAGAGAGGGAACAATAGTGGAAGTGAACAGCTGGCTTCGCAAATGGTGTAAACAGGAACGGTTTGGATTCTTAGATCACGGACTGCAGTTTCTTGAAGATGGACTTCTGGCAAGCGATGGGCTGCACCTCACAACGGTTGGGAGAAATGTTTTGCCAAAAATCTCAGAAACCTCATCAGGAGGGCTTTAAACTGACTAATGTGGGGGAGAGAGACAGTGCTCCTGAAGGTAGGAGTCTATCAATTGATGAAGATGATCTTCCAAATGTCATAGACCAAATGGAGCAAACAGCACACAGACCTAGTGGTGGGAGGAAAAAATCCTTAAATAAGAGTCACGGGGGAATGATTAATGGACTTCAATGTCTGTACACTAATGCGCAAAGCATGGGAAATAAACAAGATGAGCTTGAGCTCTTGGTACAGCAAACTAAATATGACATAATAGGCATCACTGAAACCTGGTGGGATAAGTCCCACGATTGGAATGTAATAATGGGGGATACAATCTATTTCAGAGAAACAGACCAGACAAGAAAGGAGGAGGAGTGGCGTTATATGTCAGGGATGTGTATACCTGTGAAGAAATCCAAGATTTAGAACCTCAAAGCCAAAGTGAGAGCATTTGGGTCAAAATTAAGGGAGAGAAGAATAACAGTGACCTCATTGTGGGAGTTTACTATAGATCCCCAAGCCAAACGGAGGACATAGATGATGCCTTCCTGGAACAGATGGCCAAGCATGCAAAAGGAAGGGAGATAGTAGTAATGGGGGACTTCAATTACCCGGATATTCGTTGGATGTCAAACTCAGCCAAGAGCATAAGGTCAAACAGATTCCTCACTGGCCTTGCAGACAACTTCATTGTCCAGAAAGTGGGAGAAGCAACAAGAGGAACAGCCATTTTAGATCTGGTCCTAACCAATGTTGATGACCTGGTTAGTGGGGTAGACGTGGAAGGATCATTAGGCGCGAGTGATCATGCTCTTCTGAAGTTTACTATACAGCGGAAAGGAGCAGCCAAGCATACTAGGACTCAATTTCTTGACTTTAAGAAAGCTGACTTCATAAAACTTAGGGAAGTGCTGGGTGAGATCCCATGGACAGTAATACTAAAAGGAAAGGGAGTTCATGATGGCTGGGAGTTTGTTAAGAGGGAGATACTAAAAGCACAACGTCAGGCAATACCAATGAGACAGAAACATGGAAGGTGCCTAAAGAAGCCAGGGTGGCTATCTAAAGAACTTTTAACTGAGTTAAGATTAAAAAGGATGTGTACAAAAATGGAAAAGGGGGGAAACCACCAAAGAGGAATTCAAACAAATAGCCAGCACGTGTAGACACAAAGTCAGAAAAGCTAAAGCACAGAATGAACTCAGGCTTGCTAGAGAGGTTAAAAGCAACAAAAAAGCCTTGTATGGGTATGTCCGTAGCAAAAGGAAGAACAAAGAAACAGTGGGGTCACTCAGAGGAGAAGATGGTGAAATGCAAACAGGGGACACAGAAAGGGCTGAACTCCTCAATGCCTTCTTTGCCTCAGTCTTCTCCGATAAAGAAAACAATGCCCGACCTGAAGAATTTGGAGCAAATGATTCAGCAAAGGAAACACAGCCCAGAATATCTAAGGAGATAGTACAAGAATACTTGGCTAGTTTAGATGTATTCAAGTCTCCAGGGCCAGATGAACTGCATCCAAGAGTATTAAAAGAACTGGCAGATGTGATCTCAGAACCACTGGCAGTCATCTTTGAGAATTCCTGGAGAACAGGCAAAGTCCCGGCAGACTGGAGGAGGGCAAATGTTGTCCCTATTTTCAAAAGGGGAAAAGAGAGGACCCAAATAATTACCGCCCAGTCAGTCTGACATCAATACCAGGGAAGATTCTGGAGCAGATCATTAAGCAAACAGTCTGTGAGCACCTAGAAAGGAATGCTGTGATCACCAATAGTCAGCATGGATTTCTGAAAAATAAGTCATGTCAGACTAACCTGATCTCATTTTTGACAGAATTACAAGCCTGGTAGATGAAGGGAACGCAGTGGATGTAGCCTACCTTGATTTCAGCAAGGCATTTGACAAGGTGCCTCATGATATTCTTGTAAAGAAGCTGGTAAAATGTGGTCTTGACTATGCTACCACTCAGTGGATTTGTAACTGGCTGACTGACCGAACCCAAAGGGTGCTCATCAATGGTTCCTCTCCATCCTGGAGAAGAGTGACTAGTGGGGTGCCACAGGGTTCTGTCTTGGGCCCGGTCTTATTCAACATCTTTATCAACGACTTGGATGATGGACTCAAGGGCATCCTGATCAAATTTGCAGATGACACCAAATTGGGAGGGGTGGCTAACACCCCAGAGGACAGGATCACACTTCAAAACGACCTTGACAGATTAGAGAACTGGGCCAAAACAAACAAGATGAATTTTAACAGGGAGAAATGTAAAGTATTGCACTTGGGCAAAAAAATGAGAGGCACAAATACAAGATGGGGGACACCTGGCTTGAGAGCAGTACATGTGAAAAGGATCTAGGAGTCTTGGTTGACCACAAACTTGACATGAGCCAACAGTGTGACGCGGCAGCTAAAAAAGCCAATGCAATTCTGGGCTGCATCAATAGGAGTATAGCATCTAGATCAAGGGAAGTAATAGTGCCACTGTATTCTGCTCTGGTCAGACCTCACCTGGAGTACTGTGTCCAGTTCTGGGCACCACAGTTCAAGAAGGACATTGACAAACTGGAACGTGTCCAGAGGAGGGCAACCAAAATGGTCAAAGGCCTGGAAACGATGCCTTATGAGGAACGGCTAAGAGAGCTGGGCATGTTTAGCCTGGAGAAGAGGAGGTTAAGGGCTGATATGATAGCCATGTTCAAATATATAAAAGGATGTCACATAGAGGAGGGAGAAAGGTTGTTTTCTGCTGCTCCAGAGAAGCGGACACGGAGCAATGGATCCAAACTACAAGAAAGAAGATTCCACCTAAACATTAGGAAGAACTTCCTGACAGTAAGAGCTGTTCGACAGTGGAATTTGCTGCCAAGGAGTGTGGTGGAGTCTCCTTCTTTGGAGGTCTTTAAGCAGAGGCTTGACAACCATATGTCAGGAGTGCTCAGATGGTGTTTCCTGCTTGGCAGGGGGTTGGACTCGATGGCCCTTGTGGTCTCTTCCAACTCTATGATTCTATGATTCTAACTTCCATTCCTCCTCATCACTTTGAGCTGAATAAAGAGCATGAAATCCACTCTCGACTCCGAGTATTTTTCAAAACATTAAAAGCTTCCCTAAGCAGGGCTGCCTTTAGATGTCTTCTAAAAGTCTGGTAGTTGTTTTTCTCTTTGACATCTGGTGGGAGGGCATTCCACAGGGCGGGTGCCACTACCGAGAAGGCCCTCTGCCTGGTTCCCTGTAACTTGGCTTCTCATAGTGAGGGAACCGCCAGAAGGCCCTCGGCGCTGGGCCTCAGTGTCCGGGCAGAACGATGGGGGTGGAGACGCTCCTTCAGGTATACTGGGCCGAGGCCGTTTAGGGCTTTAAAGGTCAGCACCAACACTTTGAATTGTGCTCGGAAACGTACTGGGAGCCCGTGTAGGTCTTTCGGTACCAGTGGTCTATGTCCATCCTATCGGTCTTCCCAGTGTCTAGTTACGATATTTAGCTGCACACTCTTTCCCCCGCAATGTCTATGACAATAGTGACTCATTCGATCTGTGAAAAAGGCTCTATGAACCGAAAGTGGAGACGCTATATGTACTTCCCCTGTTTATTTGTTTAGTAGCACATAAAGAATTTTTTTTAAAAAATAAAGACTATTTTTAAAAAGTATAGAAAGCTGGTTACCCCTATTCCAAATTCCATTCAGGAGGAATTTGACTTATACTACCTTTTTTTGCTGGTGAAGTTCTGCCAGATTGTGGGGTGTGTCCTGAACAGCCACATCACTGGAAAACACCTTTTTGGGAGTCTTAAGCCAGAGTAAATTTAAGAATGTCGGCTGAACTGGAGTGAGGGCAATAGTCTGTCTCTGATTTAGCTAGTGCTTTTTTCTTTTAAAAATGTTTAGGGGTACTCTCATTTTGACTCAAGAAAATCACCATTTTATAGTTCAAATCAGGAAACATAAATACAGTAAATGGACAAAAGTACAAAGATTCACAAAATGTTTAGGAGTATGTGTACCCCTGTGTACCCCCAGAAAAAACAACAACACTGGAATCTGCTGAGGTGAAAAACTTACACCAGCTTAGTCAGGAAAGCCCAAGCTCCACCAAACCGAAATTCTCTAATCCCAGTCGATCTTGGGTTTGGATTGTACTGTTAGGCAGAATCCGTCAACCTTGGCTCCCCAGAGAACATTGAACTACAGATCTCATCATCCCCAGCCAGTTCAGCCAATGGTCAAGGATGATGGGAGTTATAGTCCAATGATACCTGGGGGTGAAAGGTTGAATAGGGCTGATCTAAATCCATTAGTTGTATTTATTTCGGAAATTTGTACCCCACCTGCTGTTGTTAATGTTTTCAGAATGCCCTTAAAAACAACCTAAAACCATTGAAAACCAGTCTTGTACATTTATGTGTGTGTGTTTTAAAAAAAACACTTGCTGGTTTTATCAATATTTTGATAATTTTATTATGCCTACTGTTTCAAAAGTCTATTTTCATTGCTTAATTTATAATTTTACGTAAACTATATTGCTTTTAATTAAGCAGTACAGAATCTTGATAAATATTTTTTCAAGTACCTTAAGGTCCAAAGTTTTAAAGAAGTTTTGTTTCGTTTTTAAGCAGTTCTTCTGCATAGGCTATGACCGTAAGAAATGTATATGTCTTATGGTTTCTCAAGACTAACAGGGTTTCTTTGGCAAAAGGGTTTGTGGACTACAGTTCATCAAGTGTTATACTCGGAGAGGGGGAGATGAGAACAGAGAAATCTGAAGAGTGGGGTGAAAAGGTAATGAAATGGAAGAGTTAGTCTATTGCTTTTTGATGCAAAGCTCAAATAAATACAAGATAAACCGAATGACCTTTCACAACAGCAGCAATAGGAGATAACATTATTCTGCTAGCTGTGTTCCAATAATTCTTTGTAAACCACTTTGAGGGCTTTTTAAAAACCATCAAGTGGTATATAAATCTTATGAAATCAAATAAATAAATGCTTTAACAGCTACAAGGGGAGAGAGAACCCTTGTCTCAACCGAGTCCTAAACTAATAGGATCAAATTTGCCGATTGGATGGAGAACACTAACTTTCAGGCTTGCAGCAGGGTATCCTGGGAGAACATTCAACACACACACCCTGATCCCACCCCCCAGATTAATAACAATTAAATGATTCAGATGAAACGCATAAGTCATTACCTGTGCAGATCAAAATGAGGCACTGCGGGAACTGCATCCCCCAAAGTCGTCAGCTGCGCCCAGGAGCCCCGAGCCAGCGTTTGAAATGGCAACCTCTCGAGAAAAAGGGTCTGAGATCATCCTGACCCCGTTTCCTTTGTGAAGAAACCCAGCCTCTGCGTGGGTGGTACAGTTTGAGACCAGGTGGCTGAACGGAATAACAGTGTGGCTTCACAAGTACAGTGGTACCTCGGGTTACATACGCTTCAGGTTACACACTCCGCTAATAAAGAAATAGTGCTTCAGGTTAAGAACTTTGATTCAGGATGAGAACAGAAATAGGGCTCTGGCGGCGCGGCAGCAGCGGGAGGCCCCGTTAGCTAAAGTGGTGCTTCAGGTTAACAACAGTTTCAGGTTAAAAACGGACCTCCGGAACGAATTAAGAACTTAACCCGAGGTACCACTGTAGTAATTTGCTGAATGTGTATTGGTTCCAGGGCTTGGTACTGGTAATTCCAGTACTGGATTTACGTATAAGCTAAACAAGCTATAGCTTAGGACCCCATTCTCTTGGGGGCCCCCAAAAAAATTAAAGGGGGGAAAAACTGGATGCACATTTCCAAAATATAAGATAAAAAACAAATAAAATAAAACCTACATGCAACAACCGTGTTTTGTGTTGTGTAGGCTCCTGTGAGGTAAGTCATGGCCCCTGCCTGCTAGCCTGCTCCCTAAAATATCACTGGTTTGTTCATTTCTATATATAGGGTGCCTACATTCTGCATGGACTTGTTGCAGGACATGTGCAAATGGCTTTAGATACCTATTTGGTTCATAAATTACCATATAGCATATATTCAACACAAAAAAAAGTGACAATTTGATGTTGGCAAAGGACAGCTGGACATATAAAGGGCCCCATTACCTTCAGTAGCTCAGGGCCTCATCAAACCTGTATCTGGCCCTGGACACAGTGAAGGCTTTGGGTCTTGCAATTTGCTGGGCCGCATCACGGAACAGATGCCAACACTAGTTGGGGTGGGGTGGGATTCTGTCTCCCCAGTAGGGATGCGGGCGGAATGCAATTCAATTCACATCTGAAGGCAAATCTATCAAATTCACAATATCTGGAACCAGGTGAGACCTAAAACACAGCCGTCTTCCAAGATTTGCCCTTGTCGTGAATTTCGCACTGTAGTTGCGCAATGTAGTTTTTTAAAAACTAACAAATTAATGGAAATTATGGATTATTTTTTATTATTGGGTGGAATTCAAGGCTGCGCTCTTCCTATAGTTCTGCTTGCCAGATGGAACAATTCTTCCCTCTCTTATCTGTCCTGGGGTGGGGGGTTCCCTAACCCCCTTGAGGTAATTTTTTTGGGGGGGCACAGAGGGGAGGGCTTCTACTTATGGGCCTCATTAGGTGAATCCCACCCATTTCTATAAAATAGTGGGGATGATTTTTTCTTATTAGTCATTTTTTTATGAGAAGCAACATACCAAAAGCCAGCACCTACAGAATAAATGCTAAAACACATTCATATTGATATGAAAAGGGAGGCCTAAAACATCCTCCTCACTGAAGGAGGCCACAGATAATTTAACAGCGTGGTGGAAAAGAAGTGTAGTTTTTTGTGTTTGGTTTTGTTTTGCCTGGCATCTAAAATAGATAGTTGGAATTTATCTTCATGTAAACTGCTTTTGATAGGGTGTTGTGTTTGCAATCAAGCAGTGTATAAATTTTATTAGATATGAAGTAGCTTTGAGGCTTTTGTTGTTTGTGGTGGCTAACAAATAATTTACGGCAGATCCACACCATACAGTTAAAACACTTGATGTCTCCTTGCAGAGCTAAAATTCCCAGCACCTAAAAAACAACAACTGCCGTTCCCAGGATTCTTTGGAGGGAGTCATGCACTTGAAATGTGCATTTGGCGTGCCTGGCATTACCACCCATCTTTCTTTTCTCTCTCCGCTTTCTTTTCCTTTTGCAGGGAAGTATAGTCCTGGGTTAAACCACAGAGCCTAGGACTTGCTGATCAGAAGGTCAGCAGTTCAAGTCCCCGTGACGGAGTGAGCTCCCGTTGCTCGGTCCCTGCTCCTGCCACCCTAGCAGTTCAAAAGCACGTCAAAGTGCAAGTAGATAAATAGGTACCGCTCCGGCAGGAAGGTAAACGGCGTTTCCGTGCACTGCTCTGGTTCGCCAGAAGCGGCTTAGTCATGCTGGCCACATGACCCGGAAGCTGTACGCCGGCTCCCTTGGCCAGTAAAGCGAGATGAGCGCCGCAACCCCAGAGTCGGCCACGACTGGACCTAATGGTCAGGGGTCCCTTTACCTTTACCTATAGTCCTGGGCTACATTTTGGAGTCCCTTGTTTTGCCATCCTCCTCTTGACTATTCCAGACTTGATCTCGCTCTCCAGAAAGCACTGTGCCAAAGGTGATGGCATTTGTAAGAACTTTCCTTTACAGCCAGCTATTACGCAAGGCAACATAGATTAACTTTGCCCTTTGTTTCGCTTTCTTCCTTGCAGGGGATGCAAAGCAAAAAGCAAGGCGTATACTTAGGAGGAAGATCCCTCAGGGAACTGACATCCTCGTCTTCTTTTTAAAGTTATACTGCTTCTTGTTTGGGTGGATGGCTTAAAATGATCAGCCCAAAGCCTTTGGGCAGTCTGCGTTTGGAAAACATGAAATGATATTTGCACAGTATTATTACTATTAATGAGGTTGCAGTGTTTAATTTATTAAGGGGTTATATTAAATTAATTTTAAAATAATTTATAGATAAATAAGGCGTACCTGATTAATTAGGCTATCATTAGGCCAGGGTTGGGCAACTAGTGGCCGTAGGGGTGACAGAAAGAGAGGGAGGGAAAAAGGCTGGGAGAGAAGTGGCTGAAGGAGAGAAAAAGAGAGAGGAATGGCAGAAAGAGTGCTTTTCATTTAAGAAACAGACACAGTAAAATTGTCCTGGTAAAAGTTTGCCTTTTTTGCGGAAGAAGGGAAGAGGCAAAGAAAGAAAACACACCTCAGAATTTAGTATTTTTTACGTGCTAAGTTTTAGACGGTATTAAACACAACCTTTTTCATTACAGTACTCGGTAGGGCTTCTTGCAACTCTGTGTCTCTCAAGGGGTGAGAAACATTTTTGTGGGGGTTGTGGGTTGCATTCTGTTCAGTCTTTTTTTGGGTGGAGGCCATATGTTGGGTAGGTGTGCACATTCTACTGCAATGAAATGAAAGGGTCTCTCCATGAATCTATGGAGGGTGAAAAAACTGCTTGTTATACCGTGAGTCTTCCCTCCCCCCAGGTTGATATTCCTTTTGTGAACCAAATCTACACTGCTATCTCCAACAGGCAACAAATCTAAACCAGACCAGCTTCGCTTCAGAAGCAACAAGATAAAAAACCGAAGTCTTAACGGCACAATATTTCCCTGACGAAGAACCCTGTGAGGTCAGAAGGCTTGCGAAACTTTTAAAAGCAAATACTCCTTCCCGGCAGCGCTCCCTCCCATTATTCCCTCCCACCATGGGCTGGTTTGTTTCCCACCTTCTCTTCCCACCCCTTTTGTTCCCCCGCCAGCCAATCCACAGCTCCCGTGGTGTTCAAGCGTCTCTGCTCACTCCTCCTGATTGGCTCCCCGCCCCATGGCCCGTCCTCATACGATGGAGAAAGCCAATCCAGGTGGTGGCGCTGCTATGGTCTATTTTTACCAAGGGAACCGCCAACCTCTTTCGCGGTGCACTCTGGGCGTTGTAGTCCGCCAGCCGGCAAACCTTCGCTGGGTTCCTCGGGGCTCTGACAGCGCGAGTACTACAAAGCCCTGAATGCACCGCGGCGCAATAGGAATCGCTATAAGTAATGCTGCCTGCAACTCTGGCTCAGTGGCGCAGAGAAGCCTGGAGAAACAGGATCAGGTGAGAGAGCCGGCGGGGAGGGGTAGAAATCTTCCTTTCCTTCATATTCCCTTATAATGTTATATTATAAAATCAACAGGGAGCCTAAAAAAAATACAAGTTCTTTAAGGCGCACAAGACTCCTTTGTTGATTTACCTGCAATAGACTTAGCACTGGAAACTGCATTTATTACCCACCCGAGGGCTGCGTGTGTATTACCCAGCCTAGACGCGGGGGAAAAAGGCAAAAGGGTTCCTTAAACAGGAATGGGCGGGGTGGACTCCCGGTTTCCCTGCAAACGTGAGTGTGGTTAGGACATTGTTGACAATGCAAGTCACTAGTCCTCAAGGGGTTTTGCTATCTTACCTTCCAACACATACCTGAAATAGCGTAGTAGCAAATTCACAAGTCTTTTCGTGATCGTTAAAACCATGGCCCCTTCTAAGACAATGCAATAATAATAATAATAATAATTAATAATAATAGATGCATTTCAATGATCAATGCAAATCTCCAGGTTTTGCCTTTCATAGGAATTTACAGTTTTTCTGTGCACATACTTGGGAAATGATTTGGAGTGCTCCAGTATATTCCTTCAGCGTGATTTAAGTTGTGCTTTTCTTGAAGTTCCATTGTACGTAACAGAACGTGTACGCCCTTCTCTTGAAACAGAAGGATCTCATGTTCTCCGTGTTCCTAAATGCTTAACTTTCACCCCCAAGCACCCTCTCCTGCTTCGTGGAGCCCTTTTGGCTCCCTGGTATGGTCCAGAGCTTAGGGCGAGGAAACAAGATGAAAGGTGACTCAAGCATAATGTGGAGGAAAACTCCGGCAATCAAACACTCATTCCGGTGGAATGCAATCAAACACTCATTGCTGAGCCTACCTAGTGGCAGTGAAGGTGGCAAAAAAGTCATACTTTGCTGCCTCCGTTGCATCCTCATTGTGCCATTCAACAGAGCTTTTTCCAGGTGTGGGGGCTTTTACAACCTGGCCTGAAGGAAGTGGCAAAACTGATCACAGCTCGCTGTGGCTTCTTTGCAAAGAATTTTGACGATAAAATTGCTTGCATCCACTGGGATTTTGACTCTGCTGTTACAGCAGATGAATCTCGAGGGGTGTCCAGAGCACTGTCTTGTCCTGTTGTGTTAGATGAGTTTCAGTTAGTAAAACTCAAGGATGTCGGCGATGTGCTTGGATCGGTCAGCTGAGGTGATTAATGCCTCCTTATGAGATGGGTGGTCCCTGCCTGCTTAAGTACATGGCGATGAAGCCACTCCTTTCAGGAAACCCTCTCTGGATAAAGAAAATCTAAGTAACTACAAGCAAGTTGCAAATCTCCCCTTATTGAGCAAGGTTTTGAGTGGGTTGTCGTGGACCAGATCCAGGGGCTCTTCAAGGAAACAAATTTTCTAGATCCATTTCAGTCGGGGTTCAGGCCAGGGCTTTAGAGGTGTCACGGTCCAGTTCATGGGCGATCAAAGTCCTAGCAAGGGAACGTCAGGACCGGGGGCAAGATGGTGGGGTGGGAGCAGGAATGGGGGTCCAGAAGCCAGGAGTCAGGAAGCCAAGGGTCCGAGGGTCAGGAAGCAAGGAGTCACAAAGTCAGGGGTCCGAGGATCAAGAAGCAAGGAGTCCAGAAGTCAAGGGTCCGAGGGTCAAGAAGCAGGGAGTCAAGAAAGCCAGTATGGTGTAGTGGTTAAGAGTGGTAGACTCGTAATCTGGTGAACCGGGTTCGTGTCTCCACTCCTCCACATGCAGCTGCTGGGTGACCATGGGCTAGTCACACTTCTTTCAAGTCTCTCAGCCCCACTCACCTCACAGTGTTTGTTGTTGGGGAGGAAGGGAAAGGAGATTGTGAGCCGCTTTGAGACTCCTTCGGATAGTGATAAAGCGGGATATCAAATCCAAACTCTTCTTCAAGAAGCCAAGGTTCAAGGATCAGGAAGCAAGAAGCCAAACGCAGCGAGGCAGGAAGCGTGTTGCTGTGGCAAAGAGCCGAAGGGAAATGCTGACCTTATATCCCTTCCCGGCTCTTGCCACCAGATGCTGTGAGTTACCAATCGGACTCACCTGTGGGGCCGCGCCTTGCCTCTCCAGAACAAACTTAGGAAGGCCCCAGTCCTGCAAAGTCCTATTGGTCACAGGGCCTGGCTCCTGCACGCACTCCTGACAAGAGGAGGGTGGCACCACTTTGTGGTGGTTCCTGTCCTACTTGGATGGTCGTTTCCAGAGGGTGATTTTGGGGGGTGCTCTTCAGTCCTGTGGAGCCATCAACGTGCGGTTCCTTAGGGTTCAGTTTTATCCCCTTATGCTGTTTAACATCTACATGAAAACGCTGAGCGGAGTTATCCAGAGTTTTGGACTATGTTGTTGGCAATATGCTAATGGCTCTGCTTCTCGTATGCATCTGCGGTTGTTGCAGTGGGTGTACTAGACCGTTGTCATACCTTGGTAATGGGATGGATGAGATTCTCTCTGAAGAAGCGAGCGCGTAGCTTGGGCGTACTTCTGGATCCTTTGCTGTCACTTGAGGCTCAGGTGGTCTCAGGGGCACACAGTGGCTATCCTCAGCTTTGGCTGGTGGCCCATCTGTGCCCCTATCTGGACAGGGGTAGCCTAACGTCTGCCATCTGTGATCTGGATATCCTCTAGGTTAGATTACTGTGATGTATTACATATAGGGGTGCCTCTGAAGAGAGTTCAGCTGGTGCAGAATTCGGCAGCCAGGTTGCTAATTGAAGCAAGACAGTTTGAGCATATTACTTTCATTCTGGCCCAACTGCCTTGGCTGCTAATTAGTTTCTGGGCTGAATTCAAAGCGCTTGTTTTGATCAATAAAGCCTTAAGCTGTTCAGAATCACTATACCTCGAGGACTGCCTTTCCCCATGCAAACCAACCTGGACTCTGCGGTAATCATGAGAGACCCTTCATCGAGTGCCTCCTCCATGAGAGGTACGGAGGGTGGCAACATGAGAACAGGGCCTTTTCTGCAGTGGCTCCCCTTTTGTGGACTGCTCTCCCCAGGGAGTCTTGCCTGGCTCCTTCATTACATATCTTTAGGTGCCAGACGAAAACATTCCTCTGTAACTAGGCCTTTGGCTGATTAATATTCTATGCCCTTTTAAATATGTTTGGGGGGGGGTTATTGGTTTGTTTTGGTTTTATTACATGTATTTTGTGTTCTCATTTTGTATTTTTATGTTGTGAACCGACCTGTGCTCTTCGTATGAAGGGTAGTATACAAATTTAATAAATAATAGCATCAATAACTTAGGAGCATGCAGGGGCTAAAAAGTTCCCTGATCAAGCTGGTTGGATGGATGCTGGAAATTGAGATTCTGATGCAGAAATAGTATTGGGTCTTTGACGCACCCCCGTGACCTGAACCACCACAGTGCTGTGTATCTGTAAAATTAAAATTCATTGTTCCGTCCATGTTTTGGCTCAACCCAGTACTTCGCAGCCTTCCCAGAAGGTTTCCCATCAGGGAGGGTAGCCTGAGACCAAAAGTGACTCCCTACCCCTGTATTAGAGCAAATGAATGGAATGGGGGAAGAAGACTCTCTTAGGAGGGAGCAGAATGGAGCCAGGACCTCCTGGGTCGGGTTCTTGCTTAGAACTCCCCAAAAAAGTTCACCCCACGTTGTGCAATTGCCTTGGGTGTAGGCTGCCTTCTGTTGCTCTAGAGATTTATGCCAGCTTCCTTGTGTGTAGACATATCACAATGTGTGTGGGTGCCTTGCCTTGTGTAATTCCATGGCCGTGCGCTTCTCTTTTCCAGATAGAAGAATGAGCCAGAATGGAGTGGAGGCGGCGGCGGCGGCCACAGACAAGGACCAGTTTGTGGGGTTCTTCCCCCAAGTTGTGAAGGATCTGACGGAAGATGACCTCCACAACGCGGAGGTGTCTGATGCTGTCGCCAGGCTGAAGCAGGTGACGGCGTGAGCTTGATTGGAAAGGCTTTTAATGGAAACTTGAAGCTGGTGGTTGCCAACATGGTGCTCGTGGGCACAGCGGCCTTCTTCAGGTCTTCCTCTGCTTGTCCACAAAGCCTCTGAGCCCCCAACTCTCTGCCCCCTTGGTCATGAGATATAGAGGGTCATCACCTTTCTTCCTTGAGAAAAACAGATGAAGAAGGAAGTTGGGAGAGTGATGTTCTTTCCCACTTGCTCTTTGGGCTCTATGGGCTTTTTGTTCAACTTCATCCAACTTCGTCATCCATTAGAAAAAGTAGTGTGTGTGTGTGTGTGTGTGTGTGTGTGTGTGTGTTGTGTATGTTCTTTCTGGGAGAGGGACCAGAAGGGGGTTATCTAGGGCAGACACCCAAAAACCCAAATATATCTTTATGTGATCCCTGACTGGTTGGGACATGATGATCTAAGACAGGCATTCAGGCCTATAAAGGTTAGTGACCCTTGCCTTAAGCTGTGGTTCTGTATATTTGGGGCAGTTTCATCTCCCTAAGGCATGCGCCTTAACTAAAGGGAAAATCGTGCTGTTCTTCTGTCTCATTTATTACATTCATTTTCTTCCCTGTTCCATTTGTTTACATTTGGCTCCCAGGCACATCCAGGCTTCAGCAAGGTGGTGACTTCATGGCGCTTGGGGCCTATTCTGTCTTTCTGCCTCAGAGTGGTTTCACTTTTCCCAGGGAACTCTGGGAGTTGTAACTCTGTTAGGGGATTAAGGGTCTGCTCTCGGCACCCTTAACAGACTACATCTCCCAGAGTTCTTTGGGGGAAGCCGTGGCTGTTTAAAGTGGTATCATTGTGCTTTAAATGTGTGGGGGAAAGCAAGTAAGGGAGGATGTGCCGGCTGCGGATAAAATGGTGCAAAGTGTGAAAAAAGTGGACATAGAAAATATTTTCTCATCATAGAAGTCAGGAGCCATTCAGTGAAGCCAAATGTTGGAAGATTCAGGACAGACAAAAAGGAGGACTTCTTCACAAGGCTTTTGATTAAGCTATGGAATCCGCTTCTATGATACGTTAGCGATGGCTGTTAAATGGGATTAGGCAAATAAGCCTGTCAGTGATTGTGAGCCATTACGTCTATATATTATTTCCAGCATTGGAAGTGGTGTGCCTCTGAATGTCTGTTGAAATCATAAGTAGGGAGTTGTTGCTGTTAGCAATTGTGTGTGCAATGTATGTGTGCAATGGATATTGTTTCACAACTGTCAGGGAACTGACATCGGAGCTAGAGGTGGAGGGAAGGCTCTCTAATGATGCTGGAGAAGGGCCCAGCAGGGAGAGAGGCAGCTCAGCAGATGGGGAAGCAATTCAGTGCAACACCAGGAATAAGGAGGGGCAGATGGGGAAATCGGCGAGAGGGCTCCCAGACTCTTCACCGGACACCAGCGGGGAGAGCACTGGTCCTCCGCTACCCACGCCCTCCCTGCGCAGGAGACTTCCGCTCAGAGAAAGTAGGAGGAGACTGGGTGTCAAACAACTTTTATGTTGGAAAAGGTTTAAGAAACGCCCACTGATGGATTCTGCTAGCGACTGAGGCAGCCACGAATTGAAGGGCTGTCCAGACAGAAAGGTTTAACAAGGCAACATAGCCAGGAGAGGCGGCAACTTACGCACGAGCAACCCCATACCATTATAACAACCTAATAGCAAATCCTCGTACAGCAGTATTTCCCAAACGTGGGTCTCCAGCTGCTTTCGGACTACAGTTCCTATCATCCCTGACCACTGGTCTTGCTAGCTAGGGATGATGGGCAGTCCAAAAACAGCTGCAGACCCAAGTTTGGCAAACACTGCTTTACAGGGTGGGAGGACTACAACTTCTGGTCATTGGCCGTTCTGGCTGGGACTGATGGGAGCTCGAGTCAACATCTGGAGGGCCACAGGTATTCCCCATCCCTGCTTTTAGGTAAAGGTAAAGGGACCCCTGACAGTTAGGTCCAGTCGTGCACAACTCTGGGGTTGCAGCACTCATCTCGCTTTATTGGCCGAGGGAGCCAGCGTACAGCTTCCAGGTCATGTGGCCAGCATGACTAAGCCGCTTCTGGAGAACCAGAGCAGCGCACGGAAACGCCGTTTACCTTCCTGCTGGAGTGGTACCTATTTATCTACTTTCACTTTGACGTACTTTCGAACTGCTAGGTTGGCAGGAGCAGGGACCGAGCAACAGGAGCTTACCCCGTCGCGGGGATTCGAACCGCAGACCACCTGATCGGCAAGTCCTAGGCTCTGTGCTTTAACCCACAGCGCCACCCGCTTTACACCTCACTTAATATGTGATCCCTGACTGGTTGGGACATGACTGGTCTAAGATGGAGGCAAGAACCGGTGTCCCTCCAGATGTTACTGAACTACCACGTCTGCCATCTCTGACCATTGGCCATGCCTGCTAATGGGGCTGATGGGAGTTGCAGGGCCACAGGTTCCTCCATCTCTGTTCCGGAGCCTCCTTTCAGTAGCAAAAAGCTTCCTCTATCCTGGAGTCTGTAACTATGGGGGTGAGTGTCCCCGCAACTGTCATCCCTCCCTGTTCCCTTGCAGGTCGTGGAATACAATGCCGTCGGGGGAAAATATAACCGGGGCCTGACGGTGGTGGCTGCTTTCCGGGAGCTGGCTGCACCAGAACAACAGGATCCGAAAAGTTTCCAACGTGCTCTAGCTGTCGGATGGTGCATTGAACTGGTGGGTGTTTTGTACACATTATCCCTGTTATCTGGTGATGTGGAAATAAAAGGGTGTTTCCCCAGGCTTGCCATATCTGGCCGGGTTTATGTCTAATCTCATTTTGTGTGGATGTGACACCTATGCTTGAGAAATACAATTTGTGCTTGTTCTGAGATGAGTAGACCTACTAGTCACAGTGGCAGTACTCTACTTCCTGATCTTGGAGGAAGCATGCTTTTGAAATGGCTGGGAATTGCAGGTTGGGATAATTCCCCTTGCACTCTGGTTCTGCCTTTGGGCTTCCCATAGGCATGTGATTGGCTGCGGTGAGAACAGGCGGCTGGACTACATTGCCGGCTGTAGCAGGGCTCTTGTTACCTTCTTTTGTGTCAAATTTTCATTAGACTTTAAAATCTTTACATAGAAATTCCAGATTTCAAATTTGTTACACATTTCTCTCTAAACATTGAGTTCCTGCCTTTCCCTCCATGCTATTCTTAGTCCTGTCCCATTTCCAGACTGCATTCTAATAAACATTTTGCCTAAGGCATAGCCTTCTATATCATAGACTATCATTTTTCTACCGCTGCTCATATTTCAAATCCTGCTCGCGATTCCATCTGATTATGGTATATTTTCAGATATTCCAAAAAGGGCTTCCATTCTGTCATGAAGGCTTCTTATTTTTGCTGTTAGTGCCGCCAGTTCTGCATAGTCCAGTAGCTTTAAAATCCATTCTTTCCTTGGTGTTTTCTCTTCTTTTCAGTTCTGTGCATACAAGATTCAAGCTGCTGTTGTTGCATACATAAATAAGTTAATCCTCTTTTTGGGGGTCTCTGACCCTATTATCCCTAAAAGAAAGGCCTCAGGTTTTGGGGAATTACCAGTTTAGACTTTTTTAAAAAAAAATTCATTTCATTGTGTATCATTTCCCCCAAACCTTTGGCTTTTTACACATCCACTACATTTGAAAAAAACATTCCCTCATTGTTATCTGGCCTTTATCTTCCCATATATAGGAAGGCCTGCCATTTCTCAAACTGCAAGACCGTGGCAACCACCTTACCACAATCTTGCAGCTTGAGAAATGGCGGACTGACCGGCCCAAGTGAGCTGTTTAAAAAGCATGAGGGGAGGCTCTGAGGTGCCTCCCTCCTCTTTTAAACCTGCCTTTCACACAGCAATTTAGCAGTCTGTGTGAAGTGTCTTCCTTTGTTGAACATGCCTTTAAAGGGGGTGGGGCTCCAGGTGAGCTATGGGGGAGGAATGGGGCGATAGGTGAGGAATAAAGGGAGGGGGTTGGGCAGGTATGGAAGATGGGCAAAGGGGTATCTAGTGCTGGCTAGGGGAGCGAGCCGGTGTGACAAACCCTAGTATTACAGTATGCAATAATAATATGGGGGTGGTATCCGGTTTGATTTCAGCTGCAGGCCTTTTTCCTGGTGGCAGACGACATCATGGACTATTCGGAGACCCGCCGGGGCCATCCCTGTTGGTACAAAAAGGTAGGGACGATGGTTTCTAGGGATTGCCTGACCTCTGTGGCACATGGGGCGGCCATTACAATGAAGGGAACAGCGACCTGTGGCCCTCTGGATGCTGTCAAGACTCCAACTCCCATCAGCCCCAGCGAGTGTGGTCATCAAGGATGATGGGATTTGCTGTTCATCAACATCTGGAGGGTTGTAGGCTCCCTATCCTAGGGAGGATGTCCAGTTTCCAGGATCCAGCCTGAAAACTCTCATTGGCCAGGCAACTTATGAGTTGGGTGGTTTATCTGGGTCCTGGTCTTCTGGTTCTGTTGAGTCTGTGTACAAGATGGTAGGTTCCTTGCCAACCTGGTCCACCAGATGTTATTGGATCCCAGCTCCTATTAGCTCCAGCCAGTGTGTGCCCACGAGCACCATGTTGGCAAGGGATGACAGTTGTAATCCAACAATGTCTGGAGGGCACTAGGTTGTGCGAGAGCAGCTCTGGGTGACAATGATTGAATGTCCTGAGCGTTGGGGAATGGGGTCCACATTGCCTGCTTTCATTTATAGGTGCAGGGGCTTAAGCCCCTGGACGCGACACCTTCTCATCTAGGAGTCTTCTGGTTGCAGCCAATGTTGGTCCTACTCTCAGAGTAAGGTAAAGGTAAAGGGACCCCTGACCAGTGGCGTAGCGTGGGGGGTGCAGGGGGGGCCGGCCGCACCCAGCGCAACATCTGGGGGTTAGGGTTAGGGGGCGCAAATCCACAGGTTAGGGGGCGCAAATTACTTGCCTTGCCCCGGGTGCTGACAACCCACGCTACGCCACTGCCCCTGACCATTAGGTCCAGTCATAACCGACTCTGGGGTTGCGGCGCTCATCTCGCTTTATTGGCCAAGGGAGCCGGCGTACAGCTTCCGGGTCATGTGGCCAGCATGACTAAGCCGCTTCTGGCGAACCAGAGCAGCGCATGGAAACGGCGTTTACCTTCCCGCCGGAGCGGTAACTATTTATCTACTTGCACTTTGACGTGCTTTCGAACTGCTAGGTTGGCAGGAGCAGGGACCGAGCAATGGGAGCTCACCCCGTCACGGGGATTCGAACCGCCGACCTTCTGATCGGCAAGTCCTAGGCTCTGTGGTTTAACCCACAGCGCCACCTGCGTCCCTCTCAGAACACACCCATTTAAATTAATAAGCATGACTCTTCACTTCTTCAGTGTGTCTGCTCCACGTAGAACTTAGTTGGATCCCAACCCTTTCCCTTCATCTCATATTTGCCAGGATTTTGAAGATAGAAAACGAGTAACACTTTTGTTTATTGCATCAAGCCCCACGTCTTCGCTGTTGCCTATTGTTGTCTGTCTGCTGTGCTCATTCACTCTGTGCTGTTGATTATGATCAGCATTTTAAATGCAAATATCAATGATGCAAGGAAATAACAGAGACACAACACAAAAGGGAAACGGGACTATGAGGGAAGGTGAGAAAAGCAAGCTTAATTACTTGGCTACAGAGGAATGTAGGACTCAGTGCTAGTCCTACTCTGAATAGACCCATTGAAATGAATGGTCATGGCCAGCTTACGTCCATTCATTTCAATGGGACTATACTGAATAAAAGTTAGCTGGGTGCAGCCCAGAGATCTTGTAGTGAATGGGGAGGAGGGAATCTAGAGGAGTTAAAAGTTGCTAGCCTTTCGGCAAAACTGATGGAGAGGCCTTACGGCTCCCTCTCTTATAACCTGATAGAATATCCTCCACTCATTATTTTTTTAGATGCCATTTTGGTGGAGAGATAACTAGCTACCACCAGCCGTTCAAAAACATATATTATTAGATCCAGTACAGTATGTGTGAATCGCCAGGCTGACCATCGCGTGCCACTTTAGTGCACATAAATGCGCAATCAGGTGGGTGTGTACTGGCGTGTTGTTAAACTGTGGAACTCCCTGCCACAGGAAGGCCACCAACTTGGACACCTGTAAAAGAGGATTGGGCAAATTCACAGCGGATAATGGCTGCCAGCGGTGATGGCTGCGCTCTGCCTCAGATGCAGTAATGCTTCTGAATATCAGCAGCCGGAAACCGCGGGAGGAAAGAGCGCTGTTGTGGCTGGATCCTGCATGAGAACATGATGCTAGGCTAGATGGCCATTGGCCTGATCCTGCAGGCTCTTCTTACATTTTTAAAGGTAAAGGGACCCCTGACCATTAGGTCCAGTCGTGACCGACTCTGGGGTTGCGGCGCTCATCTCGCTTTACTGGCCGAGGGAGCCGGCGTACAGCTTCAGGGTCATGTGGCCAGCATGACTAAGCCGCTTCTGGCGAACCAGAGTAGCACACGGAAACGCCGTTTACCTTCCTGCCAGAGCAGTACCTATTTATCTACTTGCACTTCGTGCTTTCGAACTGCTAGGTTGGCAGGAGCAGGGACCAAGCAACGGGAGCTCACCCCGTCGTGGTTGATTCGAACCGCCGACCTTCTGATCGCCAAGTCCTAGGCTCTGTGGTTTAACCCACAGCACCACCCGCGTCCCACGCTTACATTTTTAGATGGGTTATAATCCATTCCCCTCTCAGGGTCAAAACCTCTACAGACTCCTAAGTAATTAACGCCACAATCCTATGCCAGTCCCCTCAGAAGTAAATTCCACTGAGTCCAATGGAGCTTACTCCCAGGTAAGCATCCTAGGACTGCAGCCTCAACGGTGAGCTGGAGTGTGTGCCTAGTCACTAATGTATTGAACTGTTTTTCCTTTCTTTCTCCCAGGAAGGAATCGGCCTGGATGCCGTGAACGACGCTTTCTTGCTGGAGTCCACCATCTACCGCCTGCTGAAGCGATACTGCCGGGGTCAGCCGTACTACCTGAACTTGCTGGAACTGTTTCTGCAGGTGGGTTTAGGCCCTGCCGTGACAGGCTATTGTCGTTTAAACACTGTCGTTTTTCAACACTGTCTATATGCTGGGGACGGGGCTGAAGCCTTTGCCCCTGATGGAAGGTCCTTCTGTTGCCACGGAAACTGATTCCGCTTCATGGAGGGGAGGAGGGAATTTGCGGGCTTGAGTGTGGCGGAGGCCATTTTGACCTGCAGAGAATATACTCCCTGACCAAAAGGAAGACTGCACACACCCCCATTGCTTTTTCACGGCACTCCCTGTTCCCACACCCACAGAAAGGTCTGAGGGAGCGCTTGTTGCAGATTTAATCAGCAGGAAAATATTTTCTCGCTCTTTTATTTTAAACCCATCTTTGGGGATAGCATAAGCTTTTTTAAAAAAAAAATTCTACCCCACCACCCTTCCATTTTATCCCCACAACATAACCTTGTTATGTTGCTTAGGCTTGACAGGCCGAAGGTCACCCTATGAACTGCATGGCTGGTTGGGGAATTGAGCCCTGGTCCTAACCTCCCCCTTTGACCATTATAGCAGCCATAATAATAATAATAATAATAATTATTATTATTATTATTATTATTTGTTATTTGTACTCCGCCCATCTGGCTGGGTTTCCCCAGCCACTCTGGGCGGCTTCCACAGAGACCAAAAATACACTAAAATGTCACACATTAAAAACTTCCCTGAATGGGGCTGCCTTAATATGTCTTCTGAATGTCAGGTAGTTGTTTATCTCTTTGACATCTGCAGGGAGGGTTTTCCATAGGGTGGGCACCACTACCGAGAAGGCCCTCTGTCTGGTTCCCTGTAACCTCACTTCTCGCAGTGAGGGAACCGCCAGAAGGTCCTCGGTGCTGGATCTCAGTGTCCGGGCTGAACGATGGGGGTGGAGATGCTCCTTCAGGTATATGGCTAATGGAGAAAGCACCCTTGTGAGAGAAGTACACTGGAGGGCCTGGCCCTGGGGCCCAGAACTCCTCAAAGAAGCCCTGAGCCCCCTCTTCTGCTATTTACTTTTGCAAACCTTGCGCTGCTTTCAAAAAAGCAGTCCTTTCCCCCCCAGACATGGCGGCACATTCTCTCTCACTCTGCTTTCAAAGGTTAATCTTGAGGACTATAATCTTTCCCCTTCACCAAGTTGATTGGGAAATCTCGATCACATCCTCTACTACTGCCATTAGTTGAGAAGCCGTGTCCTTTGGGTAGGAAAATAACATCAGTGCCTTCTCTTTATTCCTTTAATTAACATATATCTAAGTTGCGCTTTGGTGAGGGAGGTCTGTGAAGATGTAGCAGACGACCCTGATCGGGCCTGTTTTTAAAAATGAGACACTTTGCAACATTTCTTCATAGGAATAGCAGGGAGCTGGTGGTTTATCAATCTTAATATTCTGCTCTTATCCTGTTCCTGCTCTCCCCACCCCCCAGACATCATACCAGACTGAACTGGGGCAAGCCCTGGATCTTATCACTGCTCCCCCATCTAAGGTGGATCTGAACCGCTTCACAGAACAGAGGTGAGAAGCTATTGAGAAGACAAGGAAATAGTATTGGACTCGGCCCAGAAAAAAAGTGGCGCAATGATGGTTATTGATAATTAAATCTACAAAAAGAACATCCATTGTTGGTCCTATTCAGAGTTGGCTCATTGCTATTAATGGACATGACCTAGCTTGGATATATTAATTTCTGTGGCTCTGTTCTGAGTGTATAACTTACTTGAACACAACCTGACCCTTTTTTATAATAAAGGGAAGCTGTGAGGTTTTGTTGTTGCTGAGGGTTGGCAAAGGGGGTGCTGGGTAGACAGAATTGGTGTGCATACCTGTCAACTTTTCCCTTTTCTTGTGAGGAATCCTATTCGGAATAAGGGAATTTCCCTTAAAAAAAAGGGGAACGTTGACAGCTATGCTGGTGAGCGATGCAAGCAGGAGTTGCAGCCCCTAGTGTGTTGCATATTTATGATTCAAAGCTGGAAACCTTTCAAGTCATGACCGGCTCTAACCTTGAACTGCGGGTGCCCTTCTCTGGCAGGTACAAAACGATTGTCAAATACAAGACGGCCTTCTACTCATTCTACCTCCCAGTGGCGGCTGCAATGTACATGGTGAGTGAATGGACTTTTGCAATATCAATGTTGCTTGGCAGGGAGGGAGGGAGGGTGTGGCAAAAACAAGTTTTCCTGGGGCTGGAGAGCTGAAGGGCAAGCATGTTCAGGCTTCTGCCCTTAGCTAGGAGTCCTAGGGTCTCTGGCTCCCAGGAATAGCAAGGTCAGGGGGCCACCAACCTAGCCCCATCCATCAGTCAGAGAAAGACTTTCCTCCTCCCTGCTAGCAAGAACGCTCAGCTCATAGCTATCAACTTACAGATTTGAAAATAAGGGACCAGCAGCCTCGAAAATAAGGGCTCAGCAGCTAAAATAAGGGATTTTCAGAGCACAGGTATGTTCGACTTCTGAGCCCCTCCGAGCCAAAGGCAGAAAGCCCTGTCAGCAGCCAAACGAAGCCTCAAGCGGTGGTTCCCACAGCGCAGCAACCCGGCAAAGGGGATGCAGCAAGGAAAACCACCGTCGCCTCTCTGCTGGGAAGCGCTGAGCAAAGGCGAGTCCCTAGGCAACGCGGCCGATTTGATTGGCACAAGGCATGCAAGCTCCACCCCCCCAGTCATTCTTAGACTCCTTATTGGGTGAGCAACGCAGCCAAGCAACACAGATGGAGCCTCCCTCCTCCCTGGCCGGCAGGGAGGGAGGGAGAGGAGCTGCTTCCTTTGAAACCCGGGAAATTTAAGGGACATCAATAAGGGACAGCAGCGGGACACGGCGCTGGGATAAGGGACTTTCCCGCCAAATAAGGGACGGTTGACAGCTATGGCTCAGCTCCAACTGCTAGTTTCCCCGGAAGCAACAGAAGCGGACACTCGGATCCCAGCCCATGAGCCAGAGGGCAAAGGGCCCTTTGAGGTTGCATTCCCTCCCTCCCAGGAAGAGCAGCAAGGGGGAAGAACAGCCTGGCCCTAGAGCTATCAACCACTACTCAAACAAAAACACCTGCAAGGAAAGGTCAGCCTGCCCTGAACTGGATATAACTGCCCTCATATAGCTATAATGATAATAATAATAATAATAATTTATTATTTATACACCACCCACCTGACTGGGTCTCGCCAGCCACTCTGGGCGGCTTCCAACCAAATATCAAAAACAATACAGTGTCAGGACATTAAAAACTTTCATAAACAGAGCCGCCTTCAGGTGTCTTTTAAAAGTAAAATAGCTGTTTATTGCCTTGACATCTGGTGGGAGGGCGTTCCACAGGGCAGGCGCCACTACCGAGAAGGCCCTCTGTCTGGTTCCATGAAACCTCACTTATCGCAGCGAGGGAACCACCAGAAGGCCCTCGGTGCTGGATCTCAGTATCCGGGCTGGATGATGGGAGTGGAGACGCTCCTTTGTTCTGTTCTTGGAATAACTCCTTCCTCTACCTTTCCCCTCGACTTCCCTTTTTCCCTTGTGCGCTGTGTGCTTTAGTTTGTAACACTGAGAGCTGGGCCCCACTCCCGCAGTCTCTCTCCCTCATTTTCATTTTTAACTGGTGTGAGCCGCTCAGGCAATTGTCTGCAAAAATGCAGTGAGAATAAATAAAAAAAAGAAGGGTTTGCGGGGACCCAAGTTGTCGTTTGGTTCCCACTCCTAAAGGGGAGAATGTATGCATTTGGAATCTTTTATTTGAATCTTTGAGCAGGTCATTCTCTTGGGTAACTCTGTTTAACAATAGTGTGTATTCATTGAGCCACACAGCTGCACACAAAACAACATTATATATATATATTTTTTAAAACAAATATGGTAATCAAATAACAAAGCAAATTTTTTAAAAAATCTAAGAAGCCTCCGGCCATCAAATAGGTTATTTATTCATAGTTTGTTGGATCCCAAATGCTTGCGGAAGCAAAGCTGTCTTTGCCAAAGTACTAAAAAGGATGGAGAAAGGGCAGCCTTAATAGAAGAACAAATCTTGTAAGCTCACTGCAGACAATGGGAAGGCCCCTGTCCTGCACTGACCCCTCCAATAGAAGAAATGAGGTGTAAGGCCTTCAAAAGTAGCCTTGATGTGCCTGGATGTTTTTTACAGAAGGAAATACTAATGACTCTTGCCTCCCTGCCCCCAGAGAATTGTGGTAAATGTAGTTTTTGTGAGAGCTCAGGTAATGGCTTCCCAGGAGAAATGGCTCCCAACGTAACTTTTTAATGTTTTGTCTGTCTTCTCTTCTCCAGGCTGGCATAGACAGTGAAGAGGAACATGCTCATGCGAGGACCATCCTATTACAGATGGGGGAGTTCTTCCAGATCCAGGTGTGTTTTTCTTCTCTTACTTATGGAGATCTCTGTCCACATCTACAACGTCCTGTATACCTGAAGGAGCGTCTCCACCCCCATCATTCAGCCCAGACACTGAGGTCCAGCGCCAAGGGCCTTCTGGTGGTTCCCTCACCACGAGAAGTGAAGTTACAGGGAACCAGGCAGAGGGCCTTCTCGGTAGTGGCACCTGCCCTGTGGAACGCCCTCCCATCAGATGTCAAGGAAATAAACAACTATCTTACTTTTAAAGACAGTTTAAAGGCAGACCCGTTTAGGGAAGTTTTTAATGTTTAATGCTGTATTGTGTTTTTAATACAGTGGTATCTCTGGATGTGAATGGGATCCATTCCGGAGCCCCGTTCACATCCTGAAGCGAACGTAAGATGTGACTGCGCATCTGCAGGTCGCGTTTCACTGCTTCCGCGCATGCGTGTTCGTCATTTTGAGCGTCTGCACATGCGCGAGCGGCAAAACCCGGAAGTAACGCACTCCGTTACTTCCGGGTCGCCGTGGAGCGCAACCCGAAAATATTTAAGCTGAAGCGTATTCATCCCGAGGTATGACTGTATTCGGTTGGGAGCCGCCCAGAGCAGCCAGATGGGTGGGGTATAAATAATGATTTTTTATTATTATTATTATTATTATTAATTTATTTAAAGCAGTGTTGTACCACGAACAGTCATGGCTTTCCCCAAAGAACTCTGGAAACTGTAGTTTAAGAGTACTGCAAGTTGTTAAGAGACCCCTCAATTCCCTGTACAGAGCTACAATTCTCAGAGTGGTTTAGCGGTCAATGCTTCTTCCACAGAACTCTGGGAACTGTAGTTCTCTGATCAGCTCCCAGTACAGTGGTACCTCGGGTTAAGTACTTAATTTGTTCCGGAGGTCTGTTCTTAACCTGAAACTGTTCTTAACCTGAAGCACCACTTTAGCTAATGGGGCCTCCCGCTGCCACAGTGCCACCGCCGCGCGATTTCTGTTCTCATCCTGAAGCAAAGTACTTAACCCGAGGTACTATTTCTGGGTTAGCGGAGTCTGTAACCTGAAGCGTATGTAACCTGAAGCGTATGTAACCCGAGGTACCACTGTAGTCATGTGGATATGGCCTTAATTTGCCAAATACTCAGCACATGTATTATTTTGCTTCAACAAGGAGATCAGGGTTCAGAGGCAAAGCTGCAGTGGACCCTTTCCCTGTGCATACTTTTGTTCTTCTTCTCTTTCTCTCCCTCTCCATTCTTTCGATGGGTAGCTCCATGAGGACCAGCACCTTTCCTGTTATTTTAAATCAGGCAGGGAGCCTGGTTGTTGCTGGTTATCTGTTATGATTCAAGGCTGCATTTCTAACTAAACCCCAGGACATACTTTTGTGTAGACAAAGTTAGCAGTAGACAAGGTTACATCTCGCAGCTGGACTTGACTTCTGAGTTGACGTTTGTCAAGTAACTACCCTGAAGGAACATGGAACAGGTTTGAACCAGGAAACCCAAAATTGCATTACTTGTTAGATCAGGCTAGCTGATATTTTGCCTAAAACCCTTTTTCCCCCCTTCCTTCCTCTTATTAAAAGTTGCATAAGTGGGGAAAGAATAGGAAGAAGGAAATTACTATGGTTTTTTCCCCAGAAGAATGCAGTTTTAAAACTTCAGTCCTTAGGGTAACTGAAATGGTGTACGCTGCTTTTGCAAGCCAGGGTCAGGGAGAGTTACTTACCGTATTTTTCCGTGTATAAGACCTAATTTAACAAAAAAAATTAGGTTTAAAATTGGGGCTCGTCTTATACACGGGTAGTGCTGAGGGGTGTTTTCTTAATTTGGAGTCCCCAAAAATAGAGGGTGTCTTATACATGGGGCGTCTTATACACAGAAAAATGCGGTGATAGCTTATCAAAGTAACTCAAAGTCATATCTTATCCTTGTATTTGGTTCCAACTGATTGGACCCCATTCATTCATTTGCAGTAAAATATGCTGCTTTTCGGGCAGACATCATAAAGCAGTTTACATAGGATTATTACAACAGTAAGCATCACTTAAGCAAGTTGTCTTGTGAATTTTTTTATTTATTTAGAAAAAGCTGTTAATGTTGGGATACTGCCAGGGAGACAAAGTCCATCATGGCCCCAAGCCATCTGCCGGACGATCCATCGATCTCCCGTAGGCACGCAGTATCAGCAATTAGCGACATGAGTTTCTAGAAAATATCTTGCCACATTCCAGAGCTCATGCACACTCTTTATCAGCAGATAATGCACAGCAAAAGTCGCACCCAGGAGAGCATTATTTACAAGTTTTATTCTGCGTTGATAAGAACAATGAAAGACATGACTGCCTGCGTCAGTGTCTCCAGACACACACAGAGAGAAAACGAAAGCAACAGAAAACATAAACATCCTGTGAACAGGAAATACACAGACTCTGTGACTCACAGCCTGCTCCCTTTTAAGGTGGAACGGAAATATCCTAACAGTTAATGGTTCTTCTTCCCTCGGTGCAGGATGGTCCTTTGGTTACAGATTAGAAACCAATCATTAATGTGTTTGGGATGATCTAGACATCCAACATAGTTTCAAGCAGGCTTGGACCTGTGAGGGTACTTAGGAACTGCACGTAAGCCTGCGCTGTATGTGTTTTTTTAGAGAAAGAGTCAAGCTTATAGACATGTCCAGACATTAGGAGACCCCCTGTTCCCCTTACAAAGCTGTAATTCCCGGGGTTCCCTGGGGAGAGGGATCAGTGGTTAAGCCACTCTGAGAAACTGCAGCTCTGCGAAGGGAACAGAGGCCTCCTCCTAACAACTCACAGCAACTTGAACAAAAGACAGTTTCCCAGGATCCTTTGGGGGAAGCCATGAGTGTTTAAGGGACGCGGGTGGTGCTGTGGGTTAATCCACAGAGCCTAGGACTTGCTGATCAGAAGGTCGGCAATTTGAATCCCCGCGACGGGGTGAGCTCCCGTTACTCGGTCCCTGCTCCTGCCCATCTAGCAGTTTGAAAGCATGTCAAAGTGCAAGTAAATGAATAGGTACCGCTCCGGCGGGAAGGTAAACGGCGTTTCCGTGTGCTGCTCTGGTTCGCCAGAAGCGGCTTAGTCATGCTGGCTACATGACCTGGAAGCTGTACGCTGGCTCCCTCGGCCAGTAAAGCGAGATGAGCGCCGCAACCCCAGTTGGTCACGACTGGACCGAATGGTCAGGGGTCCCTTTATCTTACTATGATTGTTTAAAGTGGTATGATACTGCTTTAAACGTATCAAGTGGATGGGGCTTTCGTTTCATGACCTTGTTTCCATTTAAGTTACGGTCTCTGCTCAAATGTGGGGAACATCAGGCTTGAGGGGACATATTTTAATCCTCCAGGCTTCCCTCTTTGGCCCTCAGGTCTCTTCCTCAGGCCGCACACCAGCTCAGCCTTCCACCTTCCTCAAATATTTTTGCCTGGCAGAACCTCATTCCTCTTGCTTGCCTGGTGTGTGTGTAGAAAGTAGCCTACCGCACAAAGCCAAAGCTTACATGCCCACTTTTGCCCCTGGCCCCAGCTACCACTGACATGTGGCCCTCAGTCTGCGCAAGGTTTCCCATCCTTGCTCCACGCGATCAATCTAGGAGCCTCTGCCTCTCCTCAGTCTCTCTGCTGCCAATTTTCTTTTCAAGGGTGGCTGGCTTTGGTCGTCATGGCAACCAGGAACCCATGTTATGGCAGCTTCCTGCTGGAACCTTGTTGAATGCCCATAATTGAGAGTGTCTGATATCTTTGCATTTTTTTTTTTGTCCTTCCACTGAGTAACCTGTTGCTGGAGATCAATGGCAGGGGAAGAGTATAAACATTCTATATCCAAGGCAGTATATGTTTGTGTGTGTGTGTGTGTGTGTGTGTGTGTGTGTGTGTAAATATATGTATATATTTATAACTTTTTTTGTTGATATGGGAAGTAACAGAGTAGATTACAGCAAGGAAGCTAAATCACTCTTGTAGGTAACTGATAACTTCTTTGTAAAGACTATACAGTGTCCAGAACCTTACTTTCATAAACATATAACTGTGAAGAATATATTTACAATTTCATGCACAGGTTTCCTCCTATTAATGTTTAGGGATCTTCCTCTGTCTGTTTCACTTCAGACAGATCACACTGACACAACACTGTCCCCAGCAGAGCAGCCGTTCTCCTCACAGACAGAGAAGCACGAAGCAGTTAAAAACAACAGTTGCTGGAATAACAGTCACAACGGAACGGAATGCCTCTCTTATGTGAATCAGCCAATCATACGAGGGCTACTGCCAAAGCGGGGGGGAAACCCCATGTTAAAAATACACAGTAACCCAACCTAAGTAAACATTCCCATTTCAGGAAATTAAACCATTATCCTTAACAGAGTGCCCCTGAATACGAGAAGGAGAAGAGCCGTAGCTCAGTGGTAGAGCAGTTGCTTTGCATGTAGAAGGTCCCAGGTTCAATCCCAGGCACCTTCAGATAGCTGCTACCAGCCAGTATAGGCAAAATGGAGCCAGATGGGCCAATGGCAGTTTCCTGTGTTCCCAAACCACAGACAGTGAGGAGCTGGCTCTGCCACATGCTGCCCCTCTCACCAGCTAGGCTGTATCCCGCCTCCCTGCTCACAGGGGCCCTCAGTTCTAAGGGCCCCGTGCAAGAGAGCAGCAGGGGCGATGGAGCGAGCTCTGTTATGCGCAACAGAATGCCGTGGGAAATCATTACAAAAGAAGGTATTGGAGCACTTCAAATCATTTGCCCATGTGCATGCAGAAAGATTAGCAGATCTCAGCTGAAAGACAGCATCTGGAGATCTGCACTGAGCGTTGCAAAGCCTCCTTAATTATTTTTATATGTTTTTAGGAGTACAATGGTACCCTCGGGTAACAGACGCTTCAGGTTACAGACTCCGCTAACCCAGAAATAGTACCTCGGGTTAAGAACTTTGCTTCAGGATGAGAACAGAAATCGTGTGGCGGCAGCGGGAGGCCCCATTAGCTAAAGTGGAACCTCAGGTTAAGAACAGTTTCAGGTTAAGAACAGACCTCCAGAACGAATTAAGTTCTTAACCTGAGGTACCACTGTATTACATAATCTTATAAAGGGTGGCGTGGTGGTGAGGGGGCATGGCAGTGAGGGCCATGAAGGGACCCTGCACTTCAGAATCTGCCATAATAATAATAATAATAATTAATAATAATTTATTATTTGTACCCTGCCCATCTGGCTGGGTTTCCCCAGCCGCTCTGGGCGGCTTCCACAGAGACCAAAAATACACTAAAATGTCACTAAAAACTTCCCTGAACAGGGCTGCTTTAAGATGTCTTCTGAATGTCAGGTAGTTGTTTATCGCTTTGACATCTGATGGGAGGGCGTTCCACAGGGTGGGCGCCACTACCGAGAAGGCCCTCTGCCTGGTTCCCTGTAATCTCACTTCTCGCAATGAGGGAACCGCCAGAAGGCCCTTGGTGCTGGACCTCAGTGTCCGGGCAGAACGATGGGGGAGGAGACGCTCCTTCAGGTATACTGGACCGAGGCCGTTTAGGGCTTTAAAGGTCAGCACCAACACTTTGAATTGTGCTCGGAAACATACTGGGAGCCAATGTAGGTCTTTCAAGACCGGTGTTATGTGCCACTATGCTATTGGCGCCTTGGTCTTCTCTAGCAATTTCTCTGGGCCCAGCGGTGCAGGTAATGTCAAGCCACAGCATTAACACTCTCTCTGCCTGCAGGATGATTTCCTTGACTGCTTTGGTGACCCTGAAATGACCGGGAAGATTGGAACGGACATCCAGGATAACAAATGCAGCTGGTTGGTGGTGCAGTGCTTGAAACGAGCCTCTGCAGAACAGAGACAACTTCTAGAGGTAAAGAGGCTTCACAATTCCATGCCCTGCTAGCGTGGGAGGGAGGGGAGCCATAATCCCTCTTTGTCCCTGTGATGGGATGATGAGCTGCTTGTGCGTAAAATCGTATCCCCTCAGAGTTTGTTCAAGTCCACAAACCTCTGTCTGTGACAGAGCCCCTCAGACATGGCTACTCTAGTCACTAGCAGATTCCGACAGTGGTTGCTTTCGTAGTCGCTTCCAACATAAAAGCTCCTTAACGGAAGCACGTCTTCTGGAATCTCTGCGTGACAGTTTCCGGCGAGGAGTGGGTGTTCTTACAGGAGGTCCTGAAACCTCTCCACTGTTTTCGCTGGAAGTGTCTCTGAGCCATCCCTCCAGCTCAGCTCCTCTCCCCCTGCTGGTTCCCTCATCAGCTGCTGCGTCTCTCCCAACCTGTGTGAGCCCTTTCACCTCCCTGTTGGTTTCCTCTTCAGCTGCTGCGTCTCTCCCAACCTGTGTGAGCCCTTTCACCTCCCTTCCGTCCGATGGCAGTTCCCTGACATCCACCTCCCCTCCAGGGCCCCCTTCACCCCCTCTCGCCCCCTCCTCTACGGGCGGTGAGGAGGCAAAACCCCGGAATGACCGTCCTTCATCTTCCGATGTCTCGAACACTTCTCTCAACCTGTTGCGGGTCCTGGTCTCGAAGTACACCTCCTCCTCAGAGTCCATCTCCCCGGCCCCTTCCGAGTCCGGGAATCCTTCCAACTCCTCCCCTTCATCAGTGGTCCCAAAGTATTCCCTCCGGAACCTCTCTACAGGCTGAGGTTTCCTTGGGAACCTTTGATGGAACGTTTCTATCAATACCTCGTCATTGATATCTTCAGCCATTACCCAAGTGTTTTCTGACTCCGGTTCTCCTTCCCACGCTACCAAATACTCCACCTGATCCCCCTTCCACCTGGCGTCGAGGATTTCTGCCACATGGCTGCTGCATTCTCTTTCTTCTACGACCGGTCCCAGTGGCCAGCCCTTCTCGTCCCCCTTCGTACGGTGACAGTAACGACCTGTGAAATACTGGGTGCAGTTTCATGTGGTTGGGTAACCGGAGCCTGAAAGCCACTGGGTTGACCTGTTGAATGACCTCAAAGGGACCCAACCTCCTGGGTCTTAATTTCTTACAACCTCCTTTGAGCAGCAGCCCTTGGGTTGGCAGCCACACCCTATCTCCCACCCTTATGGTTTCACCTTCCCTTCGGTTCTTGTCTGCCTGCCTCTTGTATTCTTCCTTCGCCCTTTCTAAGTTGAGTTGGAGCTGACGATGGATTGCTTCCATTTCTTCCACAAAATGCTCGGCTGCCGGGACGCTCCATCTCTCCCCCTCTCCCCTGGGAAAGCCCTGGGATGACACCCATAATTAGCCAAGAAGGGGCCATCCCTGTGGACACATTCTCGGCATTGTTGTAGGCAAATTCCGCCAGCGCCAACTTTTCTACCCAGTCATTCTCTCTGTCATTGACATAACACCTCAGGTATTGCTGGAGGACACCGTTTGCTCTTTCCGCCTGCCCGTTGGTTTCAGGGTGCCGGGCAGTCGAAAAATTGACCTCCACCTGCAGTAAGCTCATGAGCTTCCTCCAGAACCTGGAAGTAAATTGTTTTCCTCGGTCTGAGACCACCCTCAATGGCACCCCGTGCAACCTAAAAATGTTTTCTACAAATAACTTCGCTGTCTCTTCCGCCGTGACTGCATGCGAGCAAGCTACAAAGTGGCACATCTTTGTTAGTAGGTCTACCACCACCATGATGGCTGTTTTCCCTTTGGACTTCGGCAGATCAGTCATAAAATCTATCGACACTGCCTCCCAAGGTCGTTCTGGGGTTGGTAAGGGTTCTAATAGCCCCGCCGGCGCCCGCCTTTCCCCTTTGGCTCGCTGGCATTGCTCGCACCCTCTTACATACTCACGTACATCTTCCCTCACCTTAGGCCACCAAAATTCCCTGGTGACCAACCACATGGGTTTGTGTGGTCCAAAATGCCACGCCGACGGGCTGTCGTGCAACTGATTGAGTACCCTCCCCCTAAACACACCTCCAGGGATATACAGTGCCCCTTTGTAATACAAAGCTCCATTTCTTTCATCCAAACCCCTGGTTCCTCTCCATCACCCCTAAGACCTCTGAGCTTATTCGTCCCACTAGGACCAGAAGCTGGTTGGTACCTGTGGATTTCTCCATCTCTCTTTGAAATCCAAGCAGCGATTCGAAAAAGAGCTTAGCTGCTTTTCATCAGGTGCCAAAATGGGTTTTTAAAAAATCCAGTTTACACCCTGATGCAAGTTACGGCAAAACACCAGCAAGTGTGCAGAAGTCAATTGAAATTGGTAAAGACAAATAACCACTTTTTAGACAATTTCTTTTTTCATTCTTCTAAGCTACCTTTTGGGGGAAACACCCAAAGGCACAAGAACACTAAAAGAGAGTTGAAAGAAGTATTTTAACATGATAAAACAATGAGAAGAGTTAATTTTGTGTTTGCTGGTGAAAGATGAATCATAATAAATTAGTTTAGATCTATTTATTTGTATCTAGTCATCCAGCCATTGCAAAAGCCTGACAGTATCAAAGTAACTTGAACTGAAGTTTGTGTTAACTCGGACTCAAATAAACTGCAACATAAAGCAGATTTAAAATGCCAGATTTCCCTGGCAGGTGACAATATGCCAGGGGAAAAAAGACCTGTTCCTCTTTTAACAAATATTAAAATGAAATAAGTGAATAACAAAGGAACCTGATACAGTGTCTCAAAATGTCCCTGGTGAATCAGATTCCTCGCCAAGTTATGACACCTGAACATCCACGCCATTAACTGAAGAACAAACAAACGGATGGAAAAATCTGTTCGTTAAGGTGCTATAAAACTCGGTACCTGATTAGCGAGGCTGCACCTCCTGACATTTCTAAAGTGTGTTTCACTCGAGCATTTTAAAGGGGAAGGTGGAATAATTACTAATAATCATATGGTATTGAGCTAGCGAACCCAGAAACTGCTCTGTCAAAGCTTTGCTGGTCCAGGAACGGCGATAGCTATTGTACCGGCTGCAGCTGGTAGAAGGCATTTCTAGCCAACTAGCCTACCTGGTCCTCCAGTGACAAAGCTGGATTGCAGAAGCAGCCGCAGATGGTGAACCTGCTCCTTCAAAGGGAACAGAACCCCATCCATGTAGAAAACTAGCCAATTTTGCCCACTCGCCCACAGTGCTTCCACCCTGCCAGGATTCAGGCTCAGCTTGTTTTCTCCATCCATCTCACCAACTGCGCCCAAGGCACTGCTCTATTATTTATACCCCGCCCATCTGGCTGAGCGTCCCCAGCCACTCTGGACAGCTTTCAACAAAATATTAAAATACAGTAATGCATCAAACATTAAAAGCTTCCCTAAACAGGACTGCCTTCAGATGTCTTCTAAAAGTCTGGTAGTTGTTGTTCTCTTTGACATCTGGTGGGAGGGTGTTCCACAAGGCGGGTGCCACTACCGAGAAGGCCCTCTGCCTGGTTCCCTGTAACTTGATTCAGATGCGATGGAGAAATAGAGCTGAGTGTCATCGGCATACTGAAGGCACCTTGCCCCAGAAGTCCTAATGGCCACTCCCAACAGTTTCATACAGATATTAGATAGCGCCGGGGATAACGTAAACTCCAGGGGGCCAAAAAGCACTCTCCCGATGCTACTTTCTGAATTTGGTCCAGGAGGTAGGACTGGAACCCAGTTCCCATTCCCCAGAGCTGGTCCAGGAAGATGCCATGGTCGATGGTATCAAAAGCCAAAGAGGAGGTCAAGAAGCAGGAGCAAGGCCACACTCCCCCTTGTCCCACTTTCTGCAAAGGTCATCCATCTGGACCGCCAAGGATGACTCAGTCCCATGGCCAGGCTTTAACCTGGATTAGAAGGGATGTAAATGATTGGTGTCACCCAGGAATGCTGGTAGCTGCCCCACCAGAATCCTCTCCACCCAAAACATCATTCCACCCAAAACATTTGCCCCCAAAAGTTAGTCATTATTGCTAAATGTGCATCTATGCATCTAAAAGGTAAAGGGACCCCTGACCATTAGGTCCAGTTGTGGCTGACTCTGGGGTTGCGGCGCTCATCTCGCTTTATTGGCCAAGGGAGCCGGCGTACAGCTTCCAGGTCACGTGGCCAGCATGACTAAGCCGCTTCTGGCGAACCAGAGCAGCGCACAGAAACGCCGGTTAACTTCCTGCCAAAGCGGGAAGTATTTATCTACTTGCACTTTTTGGGGGCGTGCTTTCGAACTGCTAGGTTGGCAGGAGCTGGGACCGAGCAACGGGAGCTCACCCCGTCGCGGGGATTCGAACCGCTGACCTTCTGATCCGCAAGCCCTAGGCTCTGTGGTTTAACCCACAGCGCCACCTGTGTCCCTATCATCTATGCATCTACACGTATGCAATTATGTGTCCTCCCTCCCACCTTTTTTGGTGATGCATTTTCTTCTACTTTTGTCACTGGAGTAGAATGTGGGCCTCTTGTTTAAAGATCCCTGGGAACCACAGTTTGTGAAGGGTGCTGGGAACTGTAGCTCTGTGAGAGGAGTGAACTACACTTCCCAGCATCCTTTCAGGGGGAAGCAGTGGTGTGTTTTCGCAGCCTCAATCTGACCTCGCAGCACTCCCTTTTTTTAAATCAATAAATCTCTGCCCCTCTAGGAGAACTATGGACAAAAGGATCTGGACAAAGTTGCACATGTGAAACAGCTCTATGAGGAGCTGGGCCTGAAGAAAATCTACCAGGACTATGAGGAGAGCAGCTACCAGTGCTTATCGGGCCTTATTTCCCAGCATGCTGTACGTCTGCCCAGCCAGATCTTCTTTGGCCTGGCCCAGAAGATCTACAAGAGGCAGAAATGACAGACTCGGCTATCAAGAAGGAAACTAGCGTATAAATACTTGTCACATGTGTGTTTGTGTGGGAGGGTGGGTTTTCCCCATCTTTCCTGGCATTGATTAGTGGAACTGCTTTAAAACCTATTTTTGAAACCTAGTTCAGTCGTCTCTTAACTCCCTGACACTGGGAGTGGTGGTTTGAAGGGGCCGGAAGGCTGAGGCACACTCTATCCAAAGTATTCTCACTGCTCTTTAAACTTCTGACTATTCCCAGGATTCCCTGGGCTAAAACCAAGTAGTGTCCAGCTTAACCCAAGAAACATGCCCATGTAGTTCCCATGTTTTTCCTTTTTTGGTTCTGCTGGCATCAGCAGTGTCCTGCGGTGCTCTGGCCACTTCACCTAACCTTGTTGGTGAGTCTTTATCCCCCCTCCCCCCCCCCGCAACTCTCAGAAACAGCTGATGGCTGCCTATTTAAAATAAAATTTAAAAATCCTCCCATGAAGCGCATGGGGGTTTAATTTGGGGTTGTTGGGTTTTTTTGCATCTTAAGTGCAAACTGTTTTACCTCAGGGTGAGCTGTCCTGTGGTGATGAGGAGAGCATTTTTGGCTAAGGATTTTTCTTCCTTCAGTCTTTTTCTCCCATTCCCAGCCTCTTAAGCAAGGGGATGAGGCTGCTACAATTTTGTTTGTTTGTGGAAGAAGACAAGATCCATAGCTGAATGTAATCATCTCTGCCAATACGCACCATGCATTTAAAGCACCCCTCCGAAAAACAACCTGAGAATTGTGGTTTAAGGGCCCTGAAAATTGTTGCTCTGTGAAAGGGTAAACTACAGTTATTGGGGGGGGGGGGAGCGGAGTGATGTGCTTTTAATCTCTCTCTCTCTCTCTCTCTCTCTCTCTCTCACACACACACACACACACACACACACACACACACTCACAGAGCGAGTGTATCTATAGTAAATGTTGCTGACTGTATGTCCTGACATAGCTTCTCAGGAGGGAGAACGATTCACCTGGATCAAAACAAACCTGTTCCCATTTTGGGGAGGGGGGGCATGAAGAAGACCCCCTCCTGCCGCCACCCCCCACAGTGCTCTGAAGCAGCACCCAGGGGTGAAAATGATGTTGGGCGGGGGGTCGTATCAAGCATCATAATGGAATGCACAGGCTGGAGAAAAATGAGTTTGTAGCAATAAATTATTTTGAAACCAGGCTCTTGTTTATATTCATTTTAGCGACTTTTGTATACTCCTTTGTTGTATGTTTACGCTTTTACTTGCATACAGTTTTTTGGCCCAAAGCCCCCAACCCACCCTGTGAAATTGTGTTCTAAGCCGTCTACATGAAATACTCATTCAGTCTATCAATAAAATTCAGAGTTGGAAAGAAACTAACATAAAAGAAGTCCAACTTGTAAATTAAAATCCCTTTTCTGCAAGGAGCTTAAGATGGCATATACAGTGGTACCTCGGGTTAAGTACTTAATTAGTTCCGGAGGTCCGTTCTTAACCTGAAACTGTTCTTAACCTGAAGCACTTCTTTAGCTAATGGAGCCTCCTGCTGCCGCCGGAGCACGATTTCTGTTCTTAACCTGAAGCACTATTTCTGGATTAGCGGAGTCTGTAACCTGAAGCGTATGTAACTTGAAGCGTATGTAACCTGAGGTACCACTGTATGGTTTTCCTCCTCACTTAATCCTCCTATGAGGTACGTTAGGCTGAGAAACAGTAAATGGCCCCAAATCACCCACTAAACTTCACGGCCAAGTGGGAATTTGAACCCTAGGCTCTCAGGTCTTAATTATTAAATTTATATACCAACCATACATCTCTAAATCTCAGGGCAGTTCACAAAATGAGAACGCAAAATGCATAACAACATAAAAACCAAACCAATGACCCCAATCCCACAAACACATTTAAAAGGCTATAGTATAGAACATTAGAGAAAAGTGCCCACCTGGTGCCTAAAGATATGTAATGAAGGTGCCAGGTGAGCCTCCCTGGGTAGGGCAATTCCACAAACGGAGCCCCTGCAAAAAAGGCCCATTTTTGTGTGGGCACCTTCTCATGGAGGAGGCACACAAAGAAGGGCCTCAAATGATGATCACAGGGTCCGGGTCAGTTTATATGGGGAAAGGCGGTCCTTGAGGTTATTGTGGTCCTGATCCATTTAAGACTTTATAGGTCAAAACAAGCACTTTGAATTGGGCCCGGAAACTAATTGGCAGCCAGTGCAGTCGGGCCAGGATCCGTGTAAGATGCTCACATCGCCTTGCCCGGATGAGCAACCTGGCTGCTGAATTCTGCGTCGGCTGAAGTTTCCGAACCGTCTTCAGAGGCAGCCCTAGGTATAACAAGTTGCAGTTGTTGAACCTAGAGGTTACCACGGCATAGACATCTGTCATTGGGCTATCCCTGTCCAGATAAGGGCACAGCTGGGATACCTGAGCCTCAAGGGACAGCACAGGACCCAGAAGTACCCCCAAGCAGACCCAGACGGGGGGGGGCATATGGGCCACTTGGCCCGGGCCTCCAAATCCAAAAGGGGTCTTGGTCAGCATACATTCCCTATGTATTTTTAAAAAGCACCACAGTGGTACCTCGGGTTACATACGCTTCAGGTTACAGACTCCGCTAACCCAGAAATAGTGCTTCAGGTTAAGAACTTTGCTTCAGGATGAGAACAGAAAATCGCGTGGCGGCAGCGGGAGGCCCCATTAGCTAAAGTGGTGCTTCAGGTTAAGAACAGTTTCAGGTTAAGTACGGACCTCCAGAACGAATTAAGTACTTAACCCGAGGTACCACTGTATTATATATCTATATTTTCCATTTTGTCATTGTATGCAGATATGGTTCAAGCCTTAAAATTATTTGTCAGCATAATTTTTGTGAAAATTATTTATATACTTACTTATTTATAAGACTTCAGTTATCCCCAGGGTAAAAATAAAAGGTTGGGGGCACATTATCTACCTGGCCCGGCCCTCTGCCTGGCTCTGTAAGGCCCTGTCCCCAAGATCCATACTTTGCCAGACGCCTCTACTGAGCATGGTGGGTTGGGCCAGATGACCTCTGGAGACTCCTCCCAAGGATTGCAACCCCGCCACCCTCCAGCCCAAGCCCATTGGCACGACAAGAGTTAAGGCGGAGAGGCGAGGCATGGATGGACGCTGGCTCCTCCTACCCGGACTGGGGTGAGCTCAGCCAGGGAGGCTGCCCGGAGCCGCAGCGTTATAGCACTGGAGGCTGGACCAAGTCTTGCAGCAGAGTCTAAAGAGAGGCAGAGAGGCGGCAGGTGAGTGCATTTAGCGCTGCAGATGCAGCTGTGATGGGCACCGCTTGGGGTGGGGGCGGTCAGCATAAATGTGTTGATGGATGTCTCTGGGAGGGAGGGAGGAGGTTTTGGGGCGAATCCCATGACCAGGGAGAGCTGTCTATTATATCCTTCCAGCCCCCTCCCTCTCCAGAAACCTGCAATGCCCAATAATAGGATGCGATCGCACTTGGGGGTGCAAATCTCTGCCCCACCCGTCCACCTTATCCGGGCTGTTTTGGAGACCTGTGCCCACCTGAACTGCAGGAGACCCACCCTTCTGAATTCCCATTAAATCCAGGAAATGTCTTGAATCCAGGCAACAGGGAGGGTGTCCCTTTTTTGAAAGAAAAAAAAATCCCTGCCCAAAAGCTTTCCTCGCAATTATCACTAAATGCTTTCCTGCAAGACACTCTCTGATCGATGTGCAGAACAATGGAAACAAACCCGAAACAATTGCATATATTGAAATAGGTACTGTTGCTCAAAAGGTACTCTTGATTTTACCCCTTGTTCCTGGGAGGTGGCGGGGTGGGGGGACGGTCGGCGGAAATCCCACCCCCACCCCAACAAGGGGTGACCACTGAGCCTGGCGTCTGTGCCGTATCCCTCCATCATCCCCCCCCCCATTTTCTTCCTGACTTGTTTACCACCACAGTAGGCATGGAGGTGACCCCCCCCCCATAAAATGCACACACACTTTGGCTCCCTCCCTTTGCATTGCTAACAGGATGGTTGGCATCGAGGGTGCACCTTTCGTTTGCCCACCCACCCAATGAGCCCCACGCAGCCTCTGCAGTGATTTGGCTTTCTTCCTGCAGGAAGGGTTGGGCCGGTGGCGGCTGTGATGGCTGGAGGATGGGATGGGCAGCGTCTAGGTTTGTACAGAGACGCACAGATCCTCACGTCTCTCTTTCTCTCTAGCCACGGGATACTCCATCTCGCTCCCGTCTGTGGGGTGCTCTTTGCTTCCCTAAAGAATCATGTCGCTGGAGAGCCTCTGCCAATCCGTGCAGACAATACTGGGTGGATGGTGCAAAGCTCTGACTGGGTACAGGGGTTCTGCATGCATTCCTAGGGCTGTCTGCCGTTCGCCAGAGGAAAGGCACTCTGCACTGTCTCAGAGACCACACGCTCTGTCTTGTCCTGGTCTAAACCTGGATTGAAAACAGATGCCAGGAGCCAATTGTTGGGTGCAAATTCCATCTTAGCACTGCCGTTCTGAATCCATTTATCCCTCCCAGTTATGGCCCAGTCCTCTGGGGAGAGGCGTACGTGAGACTTCGCCTCATTTTTACCCTTACAACATTTCTGCATGGTAGGTTAGGGCTAAGAGACCATGAATATGTTGCCCAAGGCCACCCCACGAGTGGTAAATCCGGGGTAGGGTGGGGAGCATGGAAAGCTGCCTTCTTCTGAGTATCTAACTCAATACTGCCTACACTGGTTGGCATCAACTCTGCCCACGCCTCCCCCACAAATGTACGTCAGACCTCTGGGTTGATTCAGGACAGGCTGGTGGCCATTTTTAACGTTTTTGTTTTCTTTATTTATTTTTTTTAAACCTCACCTGCTTTTGCTGTTTTTATTTATTTACTCGTGTTGTGACCCATCTTGAGCCCCTCAGGAAAGAGTGAACTATGGGCAGATCCATAGCCTATATTTAAATCACCATGATTCCCCCCCCCCCCCAATTTCTAGAAATTATCATTGCCACCCAAAGAGCTACAATTTCCAATATCCTTACATACCCTGCAGCATTTCTCCGGTGAAAACAGGAAAATTCTATTCCCTAATCATAATCATAATAATTTTATTATTTATACCTCGCCCATCTGACTGGGTTGCCCCAGCCACTCTGGGCAGCTTCCAACATATATAAAAACAGAATTAAACATTAAAAAGTGAGAAACTTCCCTTCACAGGGATGCCTTCAGGTGTCTTCTAAAGGTTGTATAGTTAGTTATCTCCTTGGCTTAGGGGTCGCATAACTTCATACCCCACAACATTTCTCCGATGAAAATAGGGACGTCCTAAGAGAAAGTGGAGGGACACGGGTGGCGCTGTGGGTTAAACCACAGAGCCTAGGACTTGCCAATCAGAAGGTCGGCGGTTTGAATCCCTGCGACGGGGTGAGCTCCCGTTGCTCGGTCCCTGCTCCTGCCAACCTAGCAGTTCAAAAGCATGCAGTGCAAGTAGATAAATAGGTACCGCTCAGGCGGGAAAGTAAACGGCGTTTCCGTGCACTGCTCTGGTTCGCCAGCAGCGGCTTAGTCATGCTGGCCACATGACCTGGAAGCTGTACGCCGGCTCCCTCGGACCATAAAGCGAGATGAGCACCGCAACCCCAGAGTCGGCCACGACTGGCCCTAATGGTCAGGGGTCCCTTTACCTTTAAGAGAAAGTGGGACTTTCTGGGATCAAATCAGAAACCGGGACTATCCCTGAAAAACAGGGTCATTTGGCGGATCTGTCCTTAACAAACTACAGTTCCCAGAGTTCCTTGTGGGGAGCCATGTGCTTTAAAGGTGTGTTGGAAATAAATAAAACTTTTCCTCGGCATCCCCTCCCCAATCCCTGCCTATCTTAGATAAGAAAGGAGGATCCTGTGGTCCTCTAGTTGTTGCTGGTAGCTTACAGATCCCATCACCCATCACCGTTAGCCATGTTGGCTGGGGACTGATGGGAGCTGGGTGGCAAACGGCATCTAAAGGATCATCCATATCCATGGCCTTCAAGATGCTACCTGTGAAATAACTAGGCAAGATATTCCCATCATGCCCTGCTTCAGAATTGCAAGGCATTTGCTGACCCCTGTTTAGATAGAAGTATGGACCCAGAATTTGCCAAGCTTGTGATAAAGGTTGCCTTGAAAATGGTATAAAAACTGTCTGGAGGTTTCTGTCCTTACCCAAATCTCAAATTATGTGTAATTTTCTCCATTATTGCTATATTCCAGAGTGAGTGATACTAAGCATCTAGTGTAAGATTTGGGGCTATTTTCCATTGAGTCACAATTACTATTCAAGCTGCCAAGATTATATATAAAGACCACTTGCATACACATGTTTCCCCCCCAAGTTGAGACTGGACAACCACCTATCAGGGATAGGGTTAAAGGAGATTGTCTTTTGGCTTCCTTGAAAATCTATGATTTAGCCACCCCAATGTGATTCACTGTAATATCATCCTCCGTTCTTTCTCCCTCGTCCTCTCTCACAGAAACACACACACATTCCTCTGGTATGGTTCAGTTACACCCAGAATAAGCTTAGGGAAACTCTATGAGAAAACCACATTAGTATAGTTTATTGCATTCAGATCCCACGCTTTTCTCCAAGGACATACAGAGTTTTAATCCCCAAAGAACCCTATAGGGTAGAGTAGGGTGAGAGGCAGTGACTGGCCCAAGGTCACATCCAGTTAGGTTCATGGTCAAGCTCTAACCACTAGGCCATGCAGTCCAGATAAGTGAGATTTACTTAAGTCGGTTGCTCTCCTGGTGTCAGTGATGTCACCTAACCCTGAATCTTGTCACTAGAACCCAATGGGTCCGTCCAATGAAACTGAACGTTGAAAGACTCAGAGGAGACAAAAGGATGTGATTCTTCACGCTGTACATGAACTGTGGAACTCCCTGCCACCAGATGTTTTGATGGCCGCTGACATGGGTGGCTTTAAAGGGGGATTAGACAAATTCATGGAGGATACCAGCGGCTACCGGACATGGCAGCTGTATGTTATTTCCAGTCTCAGAAGCACCATGCTTATAAAAACCAATTACTTGGAATCATGTGAGGAAAGTTGCTATTGGACTCAGGTCTCCCTTCCAGGGTTCCCAGAGGCATCTGTGAAAACAGGAAACTGGACCAGATGGGCCCTTTGTTCTGATCCAACAGGGCTCTCCTCTTGTTGGGGAGAGAGTCAAAATCCTGATTTTGGGGGCAGCTGGTCCCTTGAGCTGAATCTGGACTAATTTGCAATGATTCTCCAGGGGTTCAGGCTTCCTGGAGACGCCAAAGATTGAACCCGGCACCTTCTGCATGTAAAGCAGATGCTCTGTCACTGAGGTACATCTCTTCCCTTGGCCCCGGGTTCAAACCCCAGTAGCTCCAGGCTGGGTAGCTGAAAAGACCCCCTTCTGAAACCCTGGAGGGCCTCTGCCAATCAGAGTAGACAATGCTGAGCTCTATGGACCAGTGGTCTGGCTCGGTATAAGGCAGCTTCCTATATCCCAATAAGAAGGGGTTGTATTGGATAGTAACCACTTAGGGGGAAAAGATAAATGGGCTTCTATTCAATATGTCCCTTTCATAGCTCAGTGAGGCTGGACTTAAGCGAGGTTGGATGCTGTAGTCCAGGGGTCAGCAAACTTTTTCAGCAGGGGGCTGGTCCACTGTCCCTCATATTTTGAAGGTGGGAAAATGAACGAATTCCTATGCCCCACAAATAACCCAGAGATGCATTTTAAATAAAAGGGCACATTCTACTCATGTAAAAACATGCTGATTCCCGGACCATCCGTGGGCCAGATTGAGAAGGCGATTGGGCCAGATCCGGCCCCCGGGCCTTAGTTTGCCTACCCATACTCTAGTCTCCTCACCTAACACCCCTCCCTTGGCTGAGTGCCAATATTTTCCTAAAATTGGGGAACCGACTGCTGTCTCCCCCATTCCCAGAAATAGGTCAGATCCAGAATTGACTGGCATTTGACCCCAGCACCTGTTTTTGTTTTAACCTCCTTGGTAAAGAGTGCCTCTGAACTTACACAGAGTTCCTTCAGGCTCCTCATGCGGCACTGGAATGAGAGGGAAAGAGGTTTTGGACAAGCAGAAACAATTACACCTCTCTTTTTGGAACTGGCAATGACTCGGAGGTGAGAAATCTCCCTGCGCCAACCTTGAGCTATCTTCCTTCTTTGTCCCCTCGCCTCTTGAGCAGGAGAACCGATGCCGTTGGCGAGCCAAACCTCTCCAGGACTGCATCCAGTTTGGATGTGAAATACTGTATACATGTTTTGATCTTCTTCTTACCGCTTCTGCAGAGAAAGTCCTGCATTGTCCTTGAGCGTCTGGTGTTTTGTTTTTGAAAAAATATTCTCCCTTTTCCTTTCTGCAGAAGGGTATTAAGATATAAAAGGCAGGGATGGTGGCAGGTGGGGAAGGGGAATAGAGAGGAGGGGGAACACCCCGCCATGTGACAGCCCCCGTTGTCATGAGAACTTAATTTCTCTTTCTGAATTATTGATGGTTAACGTACGATGAGAAGGAGAGAGCGGATGCAAATCCTCCATCCTTTCTACCGTCTGCCTTGCAGCAAGGGACCTGGACTCAGTTTGTGATCGTTTACCCCCCATCCCAATGCAGTTTCCTGGAGTGCTGGCTTTGAAAGCACATGGACTTTATTTCTTCCTTTAAAAAAATCATATTGACATCTCTTAGCCACAACAGGGGAACGGAATATTCATATTTAGAGAGCAGAGTGGGCTGTTTCCATCACGCTCTGCCAGGGAGCCTTTTAGAGGCATCTGATTGGCCACGATTAGAGACACGGTGCTGGGCCAGACAGCCCATTGGTCCAACCCAACAGAGCATTAACAGGGCTTGGTCCATCAAGCATTGTTAAGGGTCAGTCAAGGGACATATCTCTCCTTTGCATGCATAAAGTCTCAGGTTCAGTCCCCAGGTAGGGCTGCTGGGAGAGAGACCCCTCGAGAGCTGCTGCCAGTCAGTGTAGACAATATTGAGCATAATGAGGCCGCTTCCTACGCCTCGCTCTGAATACCAGTTGCAAGGGAAGGCTGTCGTCTTCAGGCCCAGTTTGTGGGCTTCCCAGGGGCAGTTTTTGGAAACTGAAAGATAGCCTCGATCAGATCCAGGAGAGCAGTCCGGCTTCATCCCAGTGCCTTCATGCTCACTGGCCAGAAATTTGGAAGTTGGGATAAAGTTTTAATCCTTGTGGACCAAAAATCATAGAATCGTAGAGTTGGAAGGGACCCCAACGCGGGTGGCGTTGTGGGTTAAACCACAGAGCCTAGGACTTGCCGATCAGAAGGTCGGTGGTTCGAATCCCCGTGACAGGGTGAGCTTCCGTTGCTCGGTCCCTGCTCCTGCCAACCTAGCAGTTTGAAAGCACGTCAAAGTGCAAGTAGATAAATAGGTACCGCTCCGGTGGGAAGGTAAACGGCATTTCCGTGCGCTGCTCTGGTTCACCAGAAGCGGCTTAGTCATGCTGGCCAATAAAGCAAGATGAGCGCTGCAACCCCAGAGTCGGTCATGACTGGACCTTATGGTCAGGGGTCCCTTAACCTTTACCTTTAAGGGACCCCAAGGGTCATCTAGTCCAACCCCCCTGCAATGCGGGAACATACAGCTGCCCCTTACAGGGATCGAACCTGCAACCTTGGCGTTATCAGCACCACGCTCTAACCAACTGAGCTATCGAGGCTGAATTTTTGTTTTGAAATTTGAACTGCATCTACGCACATAGAGCAGCATATGCACATTTTATGCCCATGCGGTTTCCTCTTTCCATCCATGGGGAAGTGAGGTGGGTTTTCCCCCCTGTTTGGGCAATTGTGTGTAAGTGCCCCTCCTCAGTCCCAGGGAAGCACTGAGAATGCTCTGTTAAGAGATTTGCCTCTTGAAAAACTGCATTTCCCAGAACTCTCTGAGATGAAAGGGAGGAGCTCTTGAAAACCATTTGTGCTCTACAGGGAGACGGTGTTCTGGTTCCTGTGCACTTATATTCTAACAGACCCGTCTCTGTTTCATTACAACAAAACAGAAATGGGGGAAGCTGAGGCCGTCCAGATGTTGTTGTTGGACTCTAACCATCGGTCAGGAATGATGGGAGCTGTGACTCCCACAACATCTGGAGGGCCACAGGTTCATCGTCGCTGCAAAAAAAGGATACAAGAAAAGCTCTTCTGGATCAGGCCACATGCTCATCCAGTTCAGTATCCTGGTCTCACTGTGGGCAACCACATGCCTTCAGGAAGCACACAAACCCTGCCTTTGTTTCCCCTATCATCTGGACATTCCATTTATCTGCCATGCCTCATACCCACTGATAGACCCATCTTCTCACACAGCCTAGATAGCTCAGTTGGTTAAGAGCGTGCTGCTGATAATTCCAAGGTTGCAGGTTTGATCCCCGTATGGGACAGCTTTTTATTCCTGCACTGCAGGCGGTTGGACTTAAATGATCCTCAGGGTCCCTTCCAATTCTATGAAATGTAAAGGCGTATCACGTTTGTGGCTGTTCTGTCACCTTAGCTTATTTTTAAAACCCTATTTATTTTTAAAACCTTATTAAAAAAAACCCCACCTTTTAGCGCCATCACATCTTGTGGCAGAGGGTTCCATAAGCTGACTGTGGCAATGTGTCGCTCGATAATCCCAGTGGTCTCTTCAGTCCTGTATGAGTTTGGCATCATCTGCACTACATATTTAAACCAGCACCATGCCACTTTAAACAGCCATGGCTCCCCCCAACCAGCCATGGAATTTCCTCCCCACCAGCCACCTTCATGTTGCAGTTTCCATTGTATGCTGAAGATCTACCTCATTACCCTTCAATAAAAGCATCATAATAGCCTGCTAGAACAGGCCAAAGGCCCATCTAATCCGTCACATTGTTCTCAACAGTGGTCAGGCAGATGCATGTGAGAAACCAGTACCCTTGTCAGGTGAGAGATATACATATTAGAACCCACCTAACCTGCCCTGGAGCCTTATGGTGAAGGGTAAGCAGTAAATTGAAATAACAACAAAAACAATAATTAGATAGACAATTCTGTATGGCCCCATCTGCACTGTACATTTAAAACAGTATAGTACCACTTTAAACAATCATGGCTTCCCTCAAAGAATTCTGGGAAGTGTAGTTTGTTAAGGGTGCAGAGAGTTGTCAGGAGACACCCCTCTGCCCCCCGTTCACCTCACAGAGCTACAAGTTACAGAGTAGTTCAACGGTCAACCTTTCTTCCCAGGGGACTTGGAACTATAGCTCTGTGAAGGGAATAAGGGTCTGCTAACATTGCTCTGCACCCTTAACAATCTACAGTCCCCAGGATCCCCTGGGAGAAGCCATGACAGCTTAAAGTACAGTGGTACCTTAGGTTACGAACTTAATCCGTTCCGGAAGTCCGTTCTCAAACCAAAGCTTTCCGAATCCAAGGCGTGCTTTCCCATAGCAGCAGGGGACTAAATTTACAAATGGAACACACTCAATAGGAAGCGGAACATATTCTGCTTCCAAGGCAAAGTTCACAAACCAAAACACCTACTTCCGGGTTTGCAGCATTCTTAATCCAAGTTGTTCATAAACTAAGCTGTTCTTAAACCAAGGGACCGCTGTAGTATAATACTCTTTTCAAATGCACCATGCAGATGTGGCCTAAGATAAAGCTAAACCCTGTTATGATTATGTGCTCTCCTTATTTTCCTGTTTCCTCAATTTTGCCTACACTCAGAAGCTGGCTTTGCCTTTCACAGGGAACTTCCCAGGGCACCCTGGCGGGTGACATCCAGGCAGAGCCGACGGACTTGAGCGCCACCCGTTTCCCCCTCTTGCGTTCCGGGACCATGCAGTCTCCCAAAAAGGGCCTGATCTGTAACCTGAACCACGTCCACCTGCAGCATGTTTCCTTGGGTCTCCACCTGTCGCGCCATCCGGAACTCCAAGAGGATGCCAACACGTTGGCGCCCCCGAGAGACCGGGTGGGTTGCCAGGATTGCCGCGGTCACAGCGGCAACACCCGCGAGCTGGTAGACGCCAACTCCAACAACCCGTCCCTGCCTTGCCGCTGCTGCGACGGCCACACGCTGCATTCGGATCTCAAGCGAGGCCTCCAGGGTCAGCCTCTCTCGCCCAACTGCCTGGCTCTGAAACGTGAGGAAGAAGAGGAGGATGAAGAAGAAGAGGAAGAAGAGGAGGAGGAGGCAGGTTCCCCATCGGAGCTGGGCTCCTCATCAGTTAGCAGCTCCTCAGATATCAGCCTGGACGAGAGCCCAGTATCTGTGTACTGCAGAGAATTTCCTGCTGAGGAGCCCAGGAGTCCTGAGAACCAGCCCAACATTGTCCCCTTGGAAGATGCGCGTGGCATCCTTCCCCTGGCTGACCGCAAAGACGAAAGCTTGAACCTCAACACCCATATCGGCGAGCCTCGCCCGTCCCGTGTCTGGGACAGCCCCGACAGCTTGTGCAGCGGTAGCTCGCTGGGGTCCACGCCTGACATGTCTTCTCCGTGTGGGGAAAGCCCGGTCAAGTCGCCCCTCGCTGATTCCTGCAGGGCTCCCCTGCCTGTACCGCCCCCGACCCGTCCCTTCAGGGCTCCCCCAGCCGTGCCAGCCCCCAAAATCAGCCCGGAGCTGGATTCAAACTGCAATGCTCTCCCGAGCTGGGAAGCAGAGCCCGGAAAGCTCTTAGTGGACGTCAACTCGAACCAGGCTGCTCCGCCGAGGCCTCGTGTTTTGAGTGGCCCTCCGCCGGTGCCCCCCAGAACGAAGAGGGGGCTTCAGGGGTTGAGGCGAGGCGAAGCAGGGAAGCCTGCGGTGACCCCGGCAGACCTGCCGCCCTGCCATGGCGACCCGCAGGCCGCGGGCAGCCGGAAGAACATCACTTCCTTCCACGAGTTGGCGCAGAAAAGGAAGAAGGCCGCAGCGTCGGTGGGGCCCCCAGCTCAGACGAGGAAGGACCAGAGCGACTGGCTGATCGTCTTCTCCCCTGACACCGAGCTGCCGCCGTCGAATGAGCTGACGTGTGGCGTGGCCCCTTGCCGGGAGACACCCGGGCCCCCGACTCCACCCTCAGAGCCACCAGCCAACCCCGCCGGCCAAAGAGGGGTGACCACGTTCAAGGAATTGCGCTGCCGGAAGCAGAAGGCCCAGGCGCCCGTGAAGATGGGCACCCAAACCCCATGGCAAGTAGATCCCGGGAAGGGGGTTCCCGACGGGAGCGCTCCGCTGGAGGTTGTCGTGGAGCCACCACCAAGCGGGCCCTTCAGGCCCCCAAAGGAAATCCCGCCCCGGAGGAGGAAATCCCGCCCTGGGCTGCAGCCCATTGTGGAGGGAGGCTTTGAAGAAGGAGAGGACGCAAGGATGGAGGTGAAGGCGTCTGATCGAAGCTCCGAGGGCCCATCCAATGGGAGGAGGGACCCCTGGATGCCGGGGAAGGAGGACAGAGGAGAGAGGAGTTTTGTGGAGGGTAAGGCTCAGATGATCTCCCCAGATGTGGAGACTCGGATTTTGGAGAGTGGGTGGACCTGGTGCCTGAAAACAGAGCCACATCTGTACCTTACATTTGAAGCACTTTTGTACCACTTTACACAATCGCTGCGTCCCCCAAAGCAATATTGGAGGACGCCGCTTGTTTGGGGTGCTGAGGGTGGTTGGAGGGCCCTCCCAGAGCTGCTGTTCTCAGAATTCCCTGCTTGATAAATCACCCTGTGAACTGTGGCTCTGGGAGCGGAACAAGGGCCTCCGAAAGACTCTTAGCACCTCAAACTACATTTCCCAGGGTATTCTTTGCGGGAAGCCATGACTGTTTAAAGTGAATCATAGGACTGCGGAGTTGTAAAGGACCCTGAGGATTGTATAGTCCAACCCCCTGCAATGCAGGAATCTCAAAATGCAGCCCCCCCATCTAGTTTGAAATCACACCAGACCCTGCATCGCTTTGGAAATATCCTAGCCGTTTTATTATTATTTTACTTATTAAATTTGTATACCACCCTATACCCTTTCAGGGCTGTTCACACAGCGGTTATTGCAAGTATTGTGTAGATGTGGCCCACGGAGGCAACTAATGGGGGCAGGAAGGCACTGGTTAAAGCACATTAGTGGTTCCTAGTTCCTTATTTCCACAAAAGTTTGAAAGAGAGCTCAGTCAGGAAATGGAAGTTGACGTGCCTTTTAACCGCTTCCCTCCCCAAAACACCAACCAACAAGCCTTAGCCTACCAAATACCATATAACCCTATGACTCCCTGTGTGTGTGGTATGGGGATTGTAAAAGATGTGGTTGACTAAGAGGGGGAATATATCTTCGGGGTGGGGGTGGGGTGCTTATTCTCCTCAAACTTCATATCTACATGTGTTTTACTTTGGGAATTGTAGCTCTGGCAGGGGACTCGAGGTCTCCTAACAACTCTCAGCACCTTTAACAGACTACAATTCCCAGGATTCTTTGGGGGAAGCCATGACTGTTAAAGTGGTATATTAGTACTTTAAATGTATGGTGTGGGTTCAAATCCTCCACTCTTCCTGTGAGGCACAGCGGGTGACCTTGGGCCAATCACTCTTTGTGTGTGTCTCTCACGCTCTCCCTGCCTAAATTACCTCACAGGATTCTTGTGGGGGTAAAATGGGGTGTTTCCCCACAACCACTATGTATGTTCTCCTAAATGGAAAGCTAGGATTAAGAATGGAAGCAGAGTGTGGCGTCTCCATCGAAACACAGTTCTCACAGCATTAACACTCCATTAGATCTTCCCACTCCATTAAATTCCCAGGGAGATCTCCAAGCCACAACTATGGGCCCAACACAGAGCAAGATAAGCACCTTCCAGTATCAGCCAACCGCACTCCCAGCCTACTTTGGGCTATTGTTCCCCATGTGGGGAATTGGGGAAAAGGCCATCCATTTGTCTCCATGGCAACAGGGCAACCTCTTTGGACATGTAAATAGCAGCACTTAACAGGCCATTAGAAAGTATTCTTAAGATAATGATCTTACAAAGAAACTTGTCTGACCAGATCAGCAGCTGTCTTCTTATAAATTATAATCCCAGAGGTATTATCTAGACTGAACCCCACCCCCCAAACCTATAACAATGTGTTATTTGTTTTTCCTGGAGTGCTGAAAGTAGTTTCAAAGCAGGAATGTGGTCTGTGACTGGGGCGCTCCCTTATTGCGTTCAAAAGAGTGCGCCACCTATGCGCTCAAGTAGTCGAGGTATACAAATGAACAAGTGTATACTTTGGCTGTGTACATTCGATTCACCCAAAGCACAGTTAAAGCAGAGGACTTCACCCCCAAAGAATCTTGCAGTTTCCTAGCACCCTTAACAAACAACAGCTCCCAGGTTTCCTTCAAACTGCACAGCGCAGATGCAGTCCTTTTTTTGCACAAACATTAGCACATTTCCAGGGACATCTTGTGCTTTTGTTCAGGGTGGCGTCTGACAGTCACGCACGCTCCACTTACATCTCTGCTCTGCTATTGTGAGTTTTTAGTTGGTTTCTTGTTTTGCTTTAATAGAAAGAAGAAATCAATGCACCTCTCGCTCTCTCGCCAGCCTCTAAGGCACACCTTGAATCTGGTTACCTGGCCTAAAATTAATAAATAACCAAAAGGAGTTGCTCTGATTGGTTAAAGTGGTTGTCAGTCGGAGCTAGGGTAACTTCTCCCTCCCCCTGCTGCCTGCCTTCCTCAACAACACACACTCATGCACTTCTGTTCGCAGGAGGAAGCAGGAAGCAGATAACCACTTTGCATTTGTCTTCCTGGGCTGACAACCTTTGCAGTACTTTCCCTTTCTTTCTCTTTCCCCGGAAGCAAACTGAATCCTTGCCCCTTCCACTCCACCCACCCCTAAAACGGGGCAAGATGTGGGGGCAACTGTGGAGCTATAATCGGCTGCCTTTTCCTGGTTCGGAGAGAATCATTTGTTTGTTTTTTTAAGGTAATGTAACTTCAACGGCCCACGTCACCGTGGCAGCGGTTCACTTAGGAAATTTTAGACTCTGGACTTCAGAGTCTTTTGTGGATTGAGGTCTGTGTGCTCTCTTCCGATAGTACAGTGGTACCTCGGGTTAAGTACTTAATTCGTTCTGGAGGTCCGTTCTTAATCTGAAGCTGTTCTTAACCTGAAGCACCACTTTAGCTAATGGGGCCTCCTGCTGCCGCTGCGCCGCCAGAGCACAATTTCTGTTCTCATCCTGAAGCAAAGTTCTTAACCCGAGGTACTAATTCTGGGTTAGCGGAGTCTGTAACCTGAAGCGTATGTAACCAGAGGAACCACTGTAATGTGGATTACTTTGTGAGACTTAAAGCCAAACTTGCTAAATTTCAGGGTGGGGAAGTTTCTGTTCCAGATTGGGGGCTTTGGAACATAGAAAGCTGCCTTCTGCTGAGTTAGACCACTGGTCCATCTCCCTCAGTGCTGTCTACACTGACTGGCAGCAGCAGCAGCCACTCTCCAGGCTTTCCAACCCTACCTGAGATGCTGGAAATTGAGCCAGAGACCTTCGATTTGCAAAGCTCTGCCGTTGAGCTATGGCCCTCCCCAGAGTTTGAGACAGTGTCTACTGCCAGTCCTACCTGGAGAACACGGAGAGCTACCTTATAGATCAGACCACTTCTCCATCTACCTCAGTAATGTCTACACTGGCTGGCAGCAGCACACACCAGGTCTTTAGGCAAGGGGGTATTTTCCCAATCCTACCTGAAGATGCTGGGAGTTGAGAACATGGGACCTTCTCGTAAACCACTGAGAGGCTTTACTACAAACAAGTAGTCTATAAATTTTGTTAAATAAATTAAGATTAGAAAGCATTAGCAGTCTCATACCTGGAATCGCCCGGGGATTGTAACAAACAAACACAAATCAGCACAGTTTTGACATCTGTGGTTAAAATCAGTGCAGTTTTGAAAGATTCAGTTCTGCCATCTTAATTCAAAATGGTGTGTGATTGTATCCAAACATAGCAGGGGCAGATTGTCTCTTTTGGATGCCTGAGGGCTTTTCCTACACCAGACAGGGCAAGCTTGTGACCCTCAAGACATTGTTGGCCTCTCAACCCTCCTCAGCCCAAGTCAGTCAGGGAAAATGGGAGCTGGAAGTCAAGCAACAAACAGAAGGCTTCTCAGGCCATATTCACACCATGCATTTAAAGCACTATAAAGAGTCATGGCTCCCCCCAGATAATTCTGGGAGCTGTCACTTGTTAAGGGTGATGAGAGTTCTTAGGGTGACCCCTCATTCCCCTCCCAGAGCTACAGTTCCCAGAGTCCCCCACGAAAAGGGCTTGGCTGTTAAAACCACTTTGGGAATGGTAGCTCTGGGTGGGGAACAGGGGCCTCCTGACAACTCCCAGCACCCTTAATGAACTTTTATCTCCCAGAATCCTTTGGGGGGATGCCATGAATGTTTCAAATGGTATCTCATGTATGGAGCGAGTGGGGCAGAGTCCCCCAACTCTGGATTAGGGTCCTGCATTTCCCAGCTGAAGACACGCAGCTTCTCCAAACGAGATTGGGTGTTTTTGGGGACGGGATTGTTTTGTGTTGCGTGTCTCATGACCATTATGTTTGTTCGTTGTCTGCTGTGTGACATCTGGAAATAACTTTGTTTTGTTTTGTTTTGTTTCATATTCTCTCCTCTTCCTCTCCTTCCTTGCTCTTGACCCCCACCCAAAACCTCTTTCTGGCTTCCCCTCCCACACCCCTGTCCCGCTTCCCATGTCAATCAATCAATCAATCACGCTGGTCTGGCTCGTCTGGCTTCCATGCATTTCTCACTGGTTTGTTGACCTCACATACTTTCCCCCATCCATCCTTCCCTCGCTCTGCACTGGCTTCTCTCCTTGGTCCTGCTGCCGCGACCTTCTGGCCCCCTTGCCCTCGCTCTGGCCTGCAGCTGACGCCCTCCTTGCCCGCTCCTCCAGGCCTCAGAACCTGCCCTACCCACCTCTCCTGGTCCATTTCTCTGTGGTGGACGGCCCGGCACCCCTGCACCCCTCACTCTGCACTGGCTTAGAGAGTGTGGAGCTGAGCTCCCCTGCCCCTCCTGCCCCGGCCTTCTGCCCTAGGCTCAAGACCTTGTCCTGTGAGGAGGTCTGTCTCCTGGCCGGGCGGCAGGGGCAGGTCTTGGGCACCCTCTCGCCCGAGGAGCTGCTCCCCATCCGCCTCTCCCCCATTGGGGCCTACTCCCCCCCTGCCAGGAGCGTTTTGCCTTTCCTGGAGAGCCCTGACCTGGCCGTGCTGTTCTCACCCCTCTTCCCCCGCAGCCGCACCTTCCCCGCCTTAGCTTTCCCACCCCGCCAGGTGCCCGAGCGGCCGTTTGGAGCCCGCCGCGCCCCCCTTGACAGCCAGGCTGGAGCAGGGCTCGGGAGAGTGCCCTGGGGCAGTATGGAAGCCAGAGAGCCGGGAGCTCCCAAGCAACGTAAGCCACCTATCCCCTCATTCTCCCTCCTTCTCCTTCCCACCTTCCCTGCCTCCGTCACCTGTCCCCCAAACTGTGCACCTCCTTGAGGGGTTTGGTTGAAGGCTGTGAGGCCAAAGCAGCTGTCCGCACAGAGACAGAGGCTGCCCGTTGCAACTCTGTGCGAGTTGCCGTTCTGGCTTCATCCAATCAGGTTCTTGTGGGTACGGCTATTCCTGCCCTTTGGCATCAGGTGTGTGCAACTGGACGGGGGACTTGAGGTCCTCTAGACCAGTGGTTCTCAAACTTTTTTGTGCTACCGCCCCCCTCGGTTCTATAAACTCAGCTCCAGTGGTCCCCCCCCATCTCTAAAAAGCATTACGCAGAACTGCGGTTTGCATGGCCCGCTAAGGGGGTAATAACACAGTGAAATTCAAAACAGTAACAATCAATTGCACATTCATTCAGAATGTTGTTTAGTCGTTTAGTGGTGTCCGACTCTTTGTGACCCCATGGACCAGAGCACGCCAGGCACTCCTGTCTTCCACTGCCTCCCGCAGTTTGGTCAGACTCATGTTTGTAGCTTCGAGAACACTATCCAACCATCTCGTCTATTCAGAATAGAATGAAAACTATTTGCAGGCAGCGACTGTTTTAGGGGATATGTGTGCTATTGCGCACATGCGCATTGCGCTGAACCCAGAAGTGCCCTGAAAACATCGTAAAAAGGGATGGAACAGGACGGGGGGGCAGAACAGGGCGGGGTGGCCCCGGTGACCTGCATGGGGGGTCCAGAACATAGCAAATTGGTCTCTGTCTTTAGATTAATTAAAGCAACTAAATAGATGAACTTCATCTAGTGATACCAGCTTTTCGAAATCTGATCATCATTTACATCTCCCTCTTGCCTCTTAGCATCCACCCCACAAGTAATGGCACTGCCCCCCAGGAGGTGGTACCATCCACATTGGGAACCAATGCTCTCTAGACTCTCTTATTATTGATCACTGCAACCCGCTCTGGGAGGTGTTTTTGGGCTGAAGAGCTGGGTAAAAAATGCTTTTGACAAATAACTTGGTTGGACTCCAGCTCCCATCAGCCCCAGCCAGTGTAAACAATGGCCAGGGATGATGGGAGTTGTAGTCCAGCAACAACTGGAGGTTTCCCCTACCTGTGCTAGAAAAAGAATTAACCACCCTGAGAGGAGGCTAATAGTCGCGTGTTTCTGATCATCTCCAGTCCAGACTGGTTGCCTAAGTCAGGATATATACCTTGCCAGGAAAATACAGGGGGAGAGCTCTTTCAAGGAGGGTGCAATTCAAAGAGCTATAGAGGGACCACTAAAGTTCATCCTCCTGCTGATGGGAAACCATACCTGCATGCCTCCTGCCCACAGCTTCATTGGCGCATATACAGCGTGTCTGTGTACATATACATATACATATACATATACATATACATACATCTATACATATACTATATACCGTATTTTTTGCTCTATAAGACTCACTTTTTCCCTCCAAAAAAGTAAGGGGAAATGTGTGTGCGTCTTATAGAGCGAATGCAGGCTGCGCAGCTATCCCAGAAGCCAGAACAGCAAGAGGGATTGCTGCTTTCACTGCACAGCAATCCCTTCTGCTGTTCTGGCTTCTGAGATTCAGAATATTTTTTTTATTGTTTTCCTTCTCCAAAAACTAGGTGTGTCTTGTGGTCTGGTGCGTCTTATAGAGCGAAAAATGTGGTGTGTGTGTGTGTGTGTGTATATATGTATATATTGTTGGGGAAACTAAATGAAACCATTCACATTCTGCTTTGTGTGTTTTCTTCATCTTTGAAAGTACAGTGTGTTCTATATCGTAGCACCGCAGCTTGCCACATTCTGAATGTTGATTTTTCCCTCTCTCTTTTCGATGTGGATAACTTGAATGGACTCAAACTGAGAACTGAACTAGTTTGTTTTGTAAAAGGATGAACCTGAACAGGGATGTAGTTCCTTTTTGTGTGTGTGTGTGGACATCTTCAACTAGAACAAGTTCATTTAATAATAATCATAAAACCTTTCTAAGCTCTGGTTTTAAGTGGCATTCCACAAGGGCCTGGTGGCGAAATGATCTAGGTATCTTGCTTTTGGGGGGAGCAGGGAGCTGGGAGATGTGTTGGAAAGGAAGAGGGACGAGAGGGGGACACACATCTGCCTGAGTAAGGTGGATCCCTCCTTGTTGTCATGCCAAAGCACGATCTCTCAAATCATCTGTAGAAGCAACCCTCTTGCTCCCCAACATCTGAGTGCCAGGTCTGGTCTGCAAGCACCAACCTGGATTCGATGGGTGCGCTGAGGCTGTTCCATCACTGAAAGGTTCCCTTGGTCCATATATTCATAGAATTATAGAGTTGGAAGGGACCACAAGGGATATGCATTCCCATCCCCTGCAATGCAGGAATCTTTTGCCCAGCATGGGGCTTCAACTCATGTCCTTGAGATGGAGAGTCTCATGTTGCACCAGTTGAACTGTCCCAGGTGTATATCATCTCTGACCATCCTGGCTGGGGCTGATGGAAGCTGGATCCCAGCAATACCTGGAGGGGCACAGGATCTTCATCTCAGCTGAGATCCAGGACCTGCAGTTCTCCCTTTCCTAAAGGGAAGTTTTTAATGTTTGATGTCTTGTCATGTGTTTAATATTCTATTGGGAGCCGCCCAGAATGGCTGGGGAAACCTTGCCAGATGGGCAGGGTACAAATAAATTATTATTATTATTATGGTTATTATTAGGGTTTAGGTGATCTAATTCAAGCCATGACTGTCTGAATCTGCCCAATACTTCATACTCTCTCTCTGTGTGTGTGTTTTAAAAAAAGATTTCTTTTTCTTCGTTTCACTTTGTGAGGGCTTGGCTAATAACTGGAATAAATAAATGAAAATCCTGGCATCCACAGAGAAGCTAGATAGCTTCTCCTCCTCCATATGTTGACTTCCCTTCTTTCTGTCCCATCTTCTTCCAGTCAGACATTCCCAGTCCTTTGGCGGGGTCCCGAATACTAGCCATCTGTGGGGGGCCGATGCTGATCGAGTCTTTGCCCAACTTCGAGAACAAAAGAAAGGTACAATCTTAAAACACATTATCTATCTATCTATCTGTCACTATTGATCATCAATAATTGTTGATCAGGATTGGTTATTAATTCTTATTTTTCATTGTTGACAATACTGAGCTTACTACCTGCGAAGTGCTAGGAAATGTCTAGCCTCATGGTGTTAACAAATTAGACAAAAGTGTTCAACTTTAGAGGTTGGGGTGGGGGACATCTTAGGAGAGGAAGGAGGGAAACACGGGCGAGGGGGGAGAGATGCAAAGAGCCACCCAAACACCTTCAATATCTGGGAACTCTTCCCAACTCCTATTCGGGCCTTGTTCGTTCCCATGGCAACCCATGTCTCTCCTGGCACCTTTAATTCTTGAAAACCTGAAGGGAGGCCAAAGAGATGAGGATTTCCATGGAAACATGTTTTATTCACAGGGAACCCCAGGAAGATTTGAAAAGAAAGAGAGACAGGGAGGGTCTGCCACCTCCTTTTCCATCTGCACCCCTATGGGCATCCAACGGAGAGGGGGGCAAACATAAGTTTCCAGATCCCCATCTTTCATTTAAAAGAGAAAGAAAGTGAGGCCCCATTCTCACTATACATTCAAAGCACAGCAATACACTTTAAATAGTCATGGCTTCCCCCCCCCAAAAAAAATCTGGGAGATACTGTTTGCTAAAGGTGCTGAGAGGGGTTAGGAGACCCCTTCCTTCTCCTCACAGAGCTACCAGTTGTTTAACAACCAATTCCTTTCCCTAGGAAACTCTGGGAATTGTCGCTCTAGGAGGGGAAAGGGGGCCTCCTCGCAACTTTCAGCACCCATAACAAACTACAGTTCCCAGGATTCCTTGGGGGAAGCCGCGGCTGCTTAGAGTGGTATAATAGCGCTTTGAATGTTTTTGTTGCTGGCATCTGTCTGTCTCGAGAGACAAAGGAGTGTGCCTCTGGGGGTGGCGTCAAACCGCTGGAGAATCGCAGCTCCTGCTGTGGCCGCAGAGTCTGGGAAATCATAACTGCTGCCTCCCATGTTGTTTTTGCCCCGTTAGTGGCACCAAAGTGACCTTTCTGGGGTGCAAGGCTGGGACCTGGGGCCCCTTTTCAGCCTCGCTGATATGATCCAAAGGAAAGCAGAGCAATACGTTTGTCACCAGCTTGGCTGCAGGAGTTGCTGGAGGTGTACAAGGCACCATCCAACCTCCTTAAGGACTCCCACTCCTGATTTGTGTAGTGCTTTGAATGTATAGCTCAGATGATGGTGATAATGATGAATTAAATGCAGTGCTTCTTTCCTGGGGGGACGCAGGAGTATACATACCCCTAAACATTTTGTGAATCTAGGTTTGGCCTCATTGAGGGCAAGTATTTCAATATGAGAAGGAAAATGAGAGTACCCCTAAACATTTGTTTTAGAAAAAAAGCACTGATTAAATGTGTATATCACATCCAAAGACCACAGGGCAGTTCACAACATAAAAATACAAAATGAGAACACAAAATACATAATAAAAGCAAACTGACAATTTTATCAGCCAGAGGCCTGGCTATAGAGGAACATTTTTGCCTGGCACCTAAATATATCATATATAATGATGGCGTCAGGCAAGCCTCCCTGATGGTGCTAGTATTTCAGCAGGAAGCTATGACATGTGTACTGTATACTGTAGTGGTATCTTGGTTTTTTAATGTAATCCGTTCCGGAAGACCATTCAGGTTCCGAAAGGCTCGAAAACTGAAAACTCAGTACGGAAGCCTCAATACGGAAAACTCAATATGGAAGCTGTGTTTTTGGTTCGACTTCTGAGGTGCGTTTGAAAACAGAAGTATTTTCTTCCGGGTTTACGGCGTTCGAAAACTGAAATGTTCATCAACGGAGACATTTGAAAACCGAGGTACCACTGTAATTGGAAAAGAAGCGGGCAGTCTGCCCTGATATTGTTTGCAGGTGCAAGCAGCATGATCGCTCGCAACTGCCCCGATACCACCATAAGCCTAAATCATAACCAGAAAGGACTTAATAATAATAACAATAATAAAATTTTATTTATATCCCGCCCTCCCCAGCCGAAGCCGGGCTCAGAGCGGCTAACAACAATAAAAGTAAAACAGTTTACATAAAATCACAATCCATTAATTGACATGCATTCTAAAATCAATTCATTCTAAAATCAATTCAAAATCAAAACTTCTGGATGGCAGCCCCCGAAGCGCAAGCAAACAATGCCCCCCCCCCGGGGTAATCCTCTCTCTTCTCTTGGCTTTCCTCCAGCTTTGCTCGTGGCAGTCAGTGCCTCCGTGGACAAGATCGTCGCTCATTTCAGCACAGCCCGGAACCTCGTTCAGAAGGTTTGTTTTGACGTTACATTTTATGCAGCCGGCAGCTGGTGCCCCATTGTGGGTGGTGGGGCGGAAGGCAGGGAGCCCAGGCGGCATCAGAGCCAATGATGGGCAGTCCCCACTTCTTGTTGGTCCTCCCCATCTTTCTCCACACCCCCAGCTGATTTCTGTAAGGGCAACACTGAGACTGAAGAGGAGGAAGCTGAGAGCAGGGGCGACCCCTTGGTCTGGCTGTAAGAAAAGAGGGCAGGAAGGTGGGGGCTGGCTGAACGCAGACCGAGCGTTGGTCGGCCGCTGCCCCATTTGCCCTAACAAACTAGCTTCCACTAATTTTATATCCTCCCCCCTTTCCTCCAATAAGCTAAAGGCAGCATAGATAGGGCTCTTGCTCCTCTGCCACTACCCTTGCAGCTGGTTGCGGGTTCAGATTCTGCAGTGGAAGAGAGACACACCCTGCATTTATTACCCCCCCCTTTTCTCCGAAGAGTTCAAAGGGGCATAGTGGTTCTTCCCCCCCTTCAATTCACCCCCACAACAACCCTGTGAGGTAGGCTAAGAGGCAGCGACTGCCCCAAGGTGAGCTGGCAGCAGACTGGGGATTTGAACCCCGGTGTCAGGAGCGAGCCAGCAGTAAATCGCACTGAGCTAGTTGGAGTTAAATGTGTCTTAGCAAAAACACAATCTACATAGGGGTGTCAGGCCTAATGTGGACAGCAACATCTCCAGCAGGCCTTGCCCCCATGGAGCAGTTGCAGAGACTGAAGGTGCTTGTCTTCCTGCTGCTGTCTAAGTACCTTCCTCTCCAAGGTTTGCCCCAAGCAATCTGAGACTGTACCTGCATGATGCTAATTTCTCCTTGCCCCTCTTCCTGGTGTCTTGCCTAGTTTTGGGAGACTGGGGGTGGGGGTGGAGGGGAGCTTATCGCAGCAGGAGGGAGAGACACCCGTGACTCTTCGCCAACCAGATCCTCTCTGCTCCTTGGTCTCCCTCCACCCTTCTTCAGCTTCTGCATCTGATTCTGGGCTTCTTTCTGCCACAGACTCTCCCCGCTCACTAAGCCCTGTTGCCTTCAGTTTCCAACACCTCCTGTTCTCCTTCTGACCGCTCATCGTTGTCCCACCACCACTCCCCGGGCTCTGAGCCTTCTTCCCCTGGGGGTTCCCCAGCTGGTTCCTCCCACCATTCCTCTGCGCCCCAACCAGTCCATGACACCTGGTTTCTCCTGGTCCCTGGCGCTCTCACCGCTATGCCACACTGACACAGAGATACAAAAGTGGTTTTGACAATGCAGAATTAGATAAGGTGACAGGAAGGATCCGAACCCTGCGGGACCAGAGATTCTTAGAGGACTGGAGTAAATATCTGAACAATTTGAAAAGCAATTGTAATAAACAGATTACGCTAGTAGGACTGCAAGAAGATTGGTAAGAAGGGCTGTGCGAAATATTGCAATGAAGACTATGAAGAGAGTTATAAGGATGATTAAAAGTAATAGAGAAATTAAGAAATGTAGACAAAGTGATAAAGATTGAAAAATCTTCAGATGTGGCCGATGGAAGTCCAAAATATTGTATGAAATAATATGTTAAATGATTGTTGGAAATGGTATGTTAAAAAACTAATAAAAATATATATTAAAAAAGAGAGAGATAAAAAGTGGGTGTTTGGGGGGCATATGAAAGGCTTCCTGGCAAGGAGCTGCAATAGGAGCAGCCCTCTGCGCTTACGAGGGTCTAATTAGAAAGTGCTAATTACCAATTTGCAAGGGGAGGGGGGCGGCTTTGGTTGTTTTCTGTCCCCAGCCTGCCAGCAGCTGACACCCAGCCGTTTCCCTCCTGCACAGACCCAGCTGGGAGACAGCCGCCTCAGCCCAGACATCGGCTACGTGGTCCTGACCACTCTGTGCCCTGCCCTGCGAGCCCTGGTGGGCGACGGCCTGAAGCCCTTTCAGAAAGATGTCATCACGGGCCAGAGACCGAGTTCCCCGTGGAGCGTTGTGGAAGCCTCAGCCAAGCCAGGTAGGAAGGAGGCCTCAGATAGGCAGGAGGTGGGTTTGTTTGGTGGTCGTTTTCCTTTCCAAAAATCTTGATTCTGCAGCCCTAAAGGCCACATTTTGCAGAGCTTCCTGGTTAAAGCCGGTAGGATAAATCTGCTTATTTTGCGTAATTGGTTGGTTGTTAGTTCTCTCAAGTCGCTAATATTGTTTTGTGGCTTGTGAGTGCTATGGTAGTGATTTGTGAATCTTTTGCTGTGGTTGTGCTGTTTAGCTAATAATAATAATAATAATAATAATAATAATATATGTATATGTATATCCCGCCCTCCCCAGCCGAAGCCAGGCTCAGAGCGGCTAACAACAATATAAGTAACACAACATTCTAAAATCAATTCATTTTAAAATCAATTCAAAATCAAATTCATGGCAACCATTGGGCTAGAGTTCTGTGAGGATTACCAAAGGACTGTGCCTTGGCCAAAGGCCTGGTGGAACAGCTCTGTCTTGCAGGCCCTGCGGAAAGATGTCAAGTCCTGCAGGACCCTAGTCTCTTGTGACAGAGCGTTCCACCAGATTGGAGTCACAGCCGAAAAAGCCCTGGCTCTGGTCCAGGCCAGCCTAACCTCCCTGTGGCCTGGGACCTCCAAGATGTTTTTGTTTGAAGACCGTAAGGTCCTCCGTGGGACATACCAGGAGAGGAGGTCCCGTAGGTACGAGGGTCCTAGGCCGTATAGGGCTTTAAAGGTTAAAACCAGCACCTTAAACCTGATCCTGTACTCCACTGGGAGCCAGTGCAGCTGGTATAGCACTGGGTGAATGTGATCCTGCAGCGAGGACCCCGTAAGGAGTCTCGCCGCGGCATTCTGCACCCGCTGGAGTTTCTTGGTCAGTCTCGAGGGTAGCCCCACGTAGAGCGAGTTACAATAATCAAGTCTGGAGGTGACCGTCGCGTGGATCTTTTCAGTTCTTTCATTTAGCAATTTATAGAGAGTGGTTGTTTTATTGCTGATATGTTGAGTTGGAAGGGACCCTGTGGATCATCTAGTCCAACTCCCTGCAATGCAGGAATATGCAGCTGCCCCTTATGGGGATTGAACCTGCCACCTTGCCATTACCAGCACCACGCTCTAACCAACTGAGCTATCGTTTTACAGATGATTCATTAATTGTTCTAGACGATTTGTGTTGCAATTGTGATGTTCTATTATGCTATTGTTATATCTTGTTTGTGATCCGGTTTGTGACTCGTGGGAGTGAAAAGCAGCATAGAAATGAATGAATGAATGAATGAATGAATGAATGTGTTATAAAAATTTTAAGGAATGAATGAATGAATGATTGGGTTCTTCTGGCCCAGGGGACGGGATGAAAAGTGATGTTGCACGCTTAAGTTCAACCACCCCACCTAAGCAGCCTTAAGGACCATATAGCTTACTCTTCATACACATTTGAATCTTCTGAAATATATGTTTTATTTCCTTATTCATTCCAGCTGCTTTCCTGGTTTCTTCCGGTGGCATTCTTGTTTCCACGCTGTGCTGTGTGTTTGTTTCAAGCTGCACACCGCTCAGATGTTTTTCGAGACGTCAAGCGGTGGAGAAATGCTTTTAAATAAATAGAACAAAGCACGCTGCAATTAAAACAGTGAAAGCAGGAGGTTCATGTCAGGAGATCGGAGTGTGTGTGTGTGCGCGCTTGTCTAAACAGGTTGAGTCTTCGAGAACCAGCGAAATAATAGAAATGGGAGATTGAGGCAGGCTCTTTCTGGCTAGGTGCACTCCTGGTCCATAAGGATTTCGTGAGCTCTCATATTTGGGGCAGTCGTGGCTTGCTCATTCATTCCTGTGGGTCTTTTGGGGCAGGGGCGGGGAGCTGGGATGTGGCACTAAGTGAAGGCATCTGCTGGTGTTTCTCCATGTGCTTCTCGCCCAGGCCCCCACGCTCGGTCGCTGAACGCCTTGTACTGGCGGGTATCGCGCTTGGCTCCCCTTCGCAGCAACCAGCAGCGCTTCCACGCTTTCATCCTGGGCCTCCTGAAGTGAGTAGAAGACATTGGTGGGGGGGTTGTTGTAAATCATTTGCCTTACATGCAGGAGGTTCCCGCATGTTCAGTCCCCAATGGCATCTCCAGGTCGGGCTGGGAATGTCCCCTGCCTGAAACCCTGGAGAGCTGCTGCCAGTCAGTGTGGACAATATTGACCAAGCATATCACACGGTGCAAGGCAACTTAAATCTTCTTCTTCTTTTTTTAAGAATAATATTTATTATGTTTTCCATTTTAACAAGCCAATAAAAGCCACTTTGGAAACATTCCAAATTATAATGCAATCAAACAGTCCAAATTTTATGCCAAATTATAACGCGGGTGGTGCTGTGGGTTAAACCACAGAGCCTAGGACTTGCCGATCAGAAGGTCTGCAGTTCGAATCCCCGCGACGGGGTGAGCTCCCGTTGCTCGGTCCCTGCTCCTGCCAACCTAGCAGTTCAAAAGCACGTCAAAGTGCAAGTAGATAAATAGGTACCGCTCTGGCGGGAAGGTAAACGGCGTTTCCGTGCGCTGCTCTGGTTCGCCAGAAGCGGCTTAGTCATGCTGGCCACATGACCCGGAAACTGTACGCCGGCTCCCTCCGCCAATAAAGTGAGATGAGCGCCGCAACCCCAGAGTTGTCCGCGATTGGACCTAATGATCAGGGGTCCCTTTACCTTTACTTTTTTATAAATCTTTGGTTGACTCCCCATGCTCTGAAGTTCGGGGAATGATGATCTCACATTGTGCTGCATTCCTTAATTCATCCAGGTAATTCCAACGAAACATTCCAGTGTCGATCCTTCATTTATATTTAACAGCCTCTGAATTTGTCCAGCAGGCGGATTCGTCCTGCAAGGCAACTTAAATCAGCCCTTTACTCAAATCCATGAGGACTAGGGTCTTGCTTTCTTTTTAGGGCCAAGGCCCATAGCGCAGTGATGGAGCATTTCCTTTGCATGCCCAAAGGTCTCAGCTGCAACCTTTGCAACCTCCCTGAGGGGGGAAGGATCCCTACCCGAAACCCTGGAGAGCTGTTGCCGGTCAGTATTGAGCCAGGTAGACTCAAAGGTCTGATTCTACAAGGCAGCTTTCAGGCATTGCTACGTTTGATGCTAAAACCCTTTGTCTTGGCCTGTTCGTCCGTAGCATGATGTCCCAAACGCATCATTGAGACTGGAGGCAAGTCTCCCTTCAGTAGAAGTACAGACTTGGCAAAGAACTCTTAACTTCTGGCTCCGCCAAAACTCAAATCCCCCCCGGTTTACTATCCCTAGTACTTCAAGACTCCCATAAAAGTGCCTGGCTTAAAACTGTCTATCAAAAACTTCACTCTTGTGGCCTATCCCCCCAACACCTACTCACTATGGGCCCTACTAAAGCAAACAGTCTAATTGGTCAACGTCTAAAAGATATCGAGCATCAGAACAACCTGGCCACTATAAGGAAATTCTGCCCTTGGTATGTTCATTTTCCACCTCTCCATTTTGATTCTCTGGCCCCATATCTGCACAAACTTATTATCCCAAAATACAGACGTGCTTTTACACTTGCAAGACTGGATGTTTTGTCATCTGCGGTACTTGAGGGTCGATTCCAAAAGATCCCGCCTGAGGAACGCCTTTGCCCCTGTGGAGATGGTAGCACTGAAACAGCGGCACACGTCCTCCTGTCCTGTACTCTCTACAAAGACCTGAGGAACCAGATCATCACCCCACTCGTACTAACCATCCCAGGGCGCTCAACCACTGCCACAATGTCCTTTCTTCTATCAGATCAAAATGAGCAGATAACAGCAAAGGTTGCTAGGTTCATAGCAGGGGCAATCAGAATAAGGGCCACTAACTGACGGCTGATTCAGGACTTTAAATGGTGCTCTTATATCACATTTCCTTTTCTGCGTATACTGTAATGTTTTACTGTTGCTATGGCCATTGGCTAATGCGAATAAAGTTTTATCTCATCTATCTTATCTCCGTAGCATGAAGCAGTTGGAGCAGTGGTTTGCCAACCTGCAGCGGAACTCAGGTAAATTTGGGGCACTCCACGTTTTTTATTAGCACCTCCACGACGTACTGATATTAGGCAAGTGCCTGTGCATTACTCTTTTTGGTGCCTGCTAAAACCCTTTTTTGTTTAAGCACGCCTACCATAGAATCATAGAGTTGGAAGGGACCCTGAGGGTCATCTAGTCCAACCCCCCCTGCAATGCAGGAATCTTAACCCAGGCACGTATTTTAATATAAGCTTTTATATTTGGAACTGCAGGGGGCACGGAGAGGGAATTCTGGTTTTTATTTATATCTTTAAATTTTTTAGGTTCACTTGTGGGGGGTTTTAAATACACAAGAATTAGAAACTTGGTGGTGGTGGTTCTTTTAAAAAGTGAAAATGGAAGATTAATTCTGCTCCCTGGTGTCACACCCTCTACCTTCTCCCCCACCCAGTGCTCCTGGAAAATCACAGAATTGTACATTTGGAAGGGACCCCAAGAATCACCTAGTCCAACTCCCTGCATAGCCAGCCCTTCTCAAACTGGGGTCCCCAACTGCTGTTGGACTACAACTCCCATCATCCCTGACCACTGGTCCTGGTAGCCGGGGATACTGGGAGTTGCGTGGCGAGTTCCCACCTCCCATCAGTAGGAAATAACGACACGTGACACAAGTATTTAGGTTAATGGGCTAAATAGGCCACAGCTTTATTGGTTATAGGTAAAGAGCGGTATTGGCTTAGGCATTGGTCCTAACCGACTTTCCGGCTTCAGCCTGTTTGCTTGAAGACCGGGAAGGGTTAACACCAGCAGGGGGAGCCCTGCTGATGCACATCAACTAGGGACTCCCCTGGGGTCACCGCTCGGGGGGTGCGCTTTAGGCCCTGACCTCCATAGGCTTCGGAGGAGGCCACGCCCCCCGGAATCCTTTACCAGACTACCCTTCAATATTTGGGGGAGGTGATGGCGCTCCTCCCCCCCCAACACATCTGCATAACAATACCCCTACCAATGCCTAACCGCCAAAACCAAGGAAGTTGTGATGATTTGCTACGAGGTAGGCGGAAAACCAAATGGCCAGTGCCAATTTGCCAAGTGGAAAAAATTCCTACCAGGCCCCTTAAGGGCGACCAACCGAGGTCCAGAGCAAGGTCAGAAAGGAAACCTTGAAGGGCAGGCGGGCGGGAAACCTAAAAAGCTGAGCGGCCAAAGAGGGAGATCCCGGACTGCGCTGCGCGGGTGTTGGGGGCATCAGCCCGCAACACCACCTCCTCCTGAGGTCAGAAGTGGCTTTGTAATCCAACAGCAAAGTTGAGACAGACTTAGAAGGATGCGTTTCTGACCTGTTCATGCCGTCTCCCAACCCCACAGAGCTGATTTCGGCGCTGTACTTGCCCACCGCCTTCCTGGTACTCAGCCAAGGCTTCTGCCGCCGCTGGGCCGACGAGCTCCTCCTGCTGCTCCAACCGCTCTCCATGCTGACCTTCCAGCTAGACCTCCTCTTCGAGCACCAGCACCTGCCGCTCGATGTCCGGCCGCCACCCCGGCGTCCCACCCCACCGACTGAGCTGCTGGCCGGTTCCCAGAAGGCTCGGGGAGGGAGCCGAGTCACTTTGCCCAAACGCCCGCCTCCTCTCGCCGGCCTGGCGGAAGGGCCCGTGGCCCAATCCAGCCCGCTCCATGAGCCCCAGGCCGGGCCGCCTTTGCACCAGAGACTCCTGCGGTGGGGCGACCGGCTGAGCCACACCTTCCGAGGCGGCGAGGGAGCCCCCGAGGCGGAGGCGGGCGCTGAAGGGAGCTGCCAGGAGAGCGAGGAGAATAAGCAGAGTTGGTGGGAGCAGCTGAGCCGGGCCTCGGGGGTCTACGGCGAGCCCCCGAAGCAGGAGGGCTTCCCTCACACCCACTGGACCAAGCTGAGGGCGGCTCTGGGAGAAGCTGTGGAGGCGGCCCGCAGCGGGGCTGGAGAAGCCAGCGTGAGCCCCGACGTGCTGCCCCAAGCGCCCAGCCCCAGAGGAAGCAGCTCAGTGGAGAACCCAAGGCAGGCACCCGCTGTCTGCGAAGAAGGCAACTCACCCGTAGGGGAAGCTGCAGGGAAGCCAGAGGCGACCTGCTTGCCTGATGCCCAGGAGGCAGCCAAAAAGCTTGAGGGCACTGGAACTGCAAAGGGAAACTGGCTAGGGTGGCTCTTCGGAGCAGCCGCTCCAGGATGCGCCAACGAGGCCGATTCTCACCTGTCGAAATCCAGGTAAGTGGATGGCCAGCGGGGGAACCTGAAGCCCATAGCTGTCAACCTTCCCTTTTTTTGCGGGAAATTCCCTTATTCCAGAGCCGCTTCCCGCTGCTATCCCGGATTGTTAGATATCCCGTAGACTGTCCCCAGGACAGGTGAGGCGGCTGATCCCTTAAATTTCGAGGCTCCCCGGGACAGGTGAGGCTGCTGATCCCTTATTTTCGAGGCTGCTGATCCCTTATTTTCAAATCTGAAAGTTGACAGCTATGCCTGAAGCCAGCAGGCCAAATGCGGCCCTATGAGCCTTTCTATGTGGCCCTTGGAACTATCCCTCAGCCCACACCCCTTCTTCCAGGGCACACCCCTCACCAGCCCTGCTTCCCACCCTCCTAGAGCATTTTCGCTTGTCTGAAATTGGGATCCCTTGAGAACTAATCTCCCGTACAAAGGAAATATTTACATCAGTTTCTCCACCCGCTTTGGCCTCTGGCGCCACCCACTACTTTCATGCGGCCCCTGGAAGGTTGCCCTCAGAAGGGAATGTGGCCCTCAAGCTGGAAAAAGCTTCTCTGCCCCTGAGTTTAAAGCGATCTGGTCAGAAGTAGCAGCTCCCTAGGAAATATATAAGGCAAGTTATTCCCGCCATCTCCCGCTTGCGAACTTGGTCCTTGCCAGCAGTCAGAATTAGCCAAGTAAGACAGACTTGTGCCCTGAAGGCAGCGTGGTTCTCCCTAATTTTTCCCAGCGAACTCCTCCGGTTTGCAGGAAGGGACAAAGACACCGCTCTGCCTGAAAAACTGGGATTCGAACCCAAACCTTCTAGACTCAAAAGTTAGGACTGTCCCCTGCCTAATACTCCAACCAAGTGCCCAACTTTCAGGCAGTATGTCTGATGTCTCTAATTAAAATTGTACCCCCAACAGCAAAAAAGTGGGTTTTTCTCATGAGTCAGGTATATTCTCTTTCCTATCCAAGCAGACGCCCGTCAAGCTGGTTGCCGCCCACCATGAATATCCTGGCTCTGGTGATGAAGGGGGCACCGGCCGAGAAGAGCTGGCCAGAGGAATCGTGGGAAGACGTCCCACCAAGCCCACAACAGCCATACAGGTGAGCCATCCTCTCTCCGTGCCCAGGGCTGCAACAAAGTGCTTCTGCTGGGGGTTTCAGGCACTCCACTCTATTACCCCTCCCACTCTGGGTTTTCCACCAGTCCGCCCCTCAGTCTGTAGTCTGTGCCCACTGAGCATGCTCAGTACTCCTTGGGCTAGGAAGAGGGAGATGTGTCCTCCTTCGGATTTTCCTTTCCTTTCCTAAACATTTCTTGGTACTTCTGCAAAGACTTTGGTGTGGTAGAGCATGAGACTCTTGATCTCGGGGTCGTGGGTTCGAGCCCGACGTTGGGCAAAAGTTTCCTGCATTGCAGGGGGTTGGACTGGATGACCCTTGGGATCCCTTCCAACTCTAGATTCCCTGAATCTGCCAATTCTCCTGAGAGGCCATATTGGGTACTTAAAGCAACAGTACTCACAGGAAGCTTGATGCATATCTAGTCAGACCATGGCCTCATCCAGTATACCTGAAGGAGCATCTCCACCTCCATCGTTCTGCCTGGACACTGAGGTCCAGCTCCAAGGGCCTTCTGGCGATTCCCTCATTGCGAGAAGCCAAGTTACAGGGAACCAGGCAGAGGGCCTTCTCGGTAGTGGCATCCGCCCTGTGGAATGCCCTCCCACCAGATGTCAAAGAGAACAACAACTATCTGACTTTTAGAAGACATCTGAAGGCAGCCCTGTTTAGGGAAGCTTTTAATGTTTAATAGGTTATTGTATTTTAGTGTTTTGTTGGAAGCCACCCAGAGTGGCTTGGGAAACCCAGCCAGATGGGCGGGGTATAAATAAATTATTATTATTATTATTATTATTATTATTATTATTATTGGCTACACGGGCTGGCAGTGACATTTCAGGGTTTCAGGCAGGCCTATCCGGAGGTGCCATTGGGGACTGAACCTTCTGCATGCAATGGTGGTGTTTCCTGTCCCTTCCCCTAGCAGCCTTTCTCAACCTGTGGGTCCCCAGATGTTGTTGAACATCTGCAACTCCCATCACCCCTAGTTAGCAAGGCCAGAGCTCAGGGATGATGGGAGTTGTAGTTCAACAACATCTGGGGGCCCACAGGTTGAGAACCGCTGCCTAAGGGATGTGCACTTTGAAAGGAGACCCGTCTGTGTTTTCGTCGTGTGTCACCCCCCGCTCAGTCTGTGTCGTCCCTCTGACTCCATCCAGGGCCGTTCGCGCTCTCTGCGACCACGCCGGCAGCCGGGACGACCACCTCAGCTTCCGCAAAGGCGACGTCTTGCGGGTCCTGGACACGGTGGACGAAGACTGGATCCAGTGTTGCCACGGAGACCGCCGAGGCCTAGTCCCCGTCGGCTACACCTCTCTCATCCTGTGAACTGCGCAGGGAGATGGCAAGGCTGCGGCTGTTGTGGGGGGAAGTGGGGCACACCAGAGGATCACCCCACTCCTGCCTACACACAAACACACTTTATAAATGCACCGCTGAAGGAATTTCAACAAAATGACATGGACACTAAGAAGCTGAGGGTGCCTAACCCCCCCCCCGATTGCACCCCCGTTATCCTCATGAGCCCCAAACCGATGTCTCTGTTCTTCCCCCCTCCCCTCCGGCTGTGGGTGCAAATTCTGCCGCAGGGGGTTGGCAGGGCTCCCACCGTCTCACAATTTCCTTCTTTCGAACTCTTCTCCTGCCTCTTGCCTGACTTGGCCAACTGCCCTTCTGCTCTTCCCACGCCCCGAATCACACGTTTAACCGCTTGTGCTTGCTGCTTTCCACGATTGTGTAACACACACACTGTCCGCCAAACTATGGTTCTCATTTGTATATTGCATATATCTGTGTAGATATACATATATATATATAATATTATATATTTCACCTTTCCTGCTGCTTTCGTCTTGCCGGCGATCCTCACGTCTCTCTCCCCTCCCCACCCTGAAGCGATGTCGATTGCAGAACTGGAGACTTGGAAGGGACCCCTGAGGGGCATCTAGTCCAACCCCCTGCGGTATAGGTCACCAGCCAAGTGGATCGGGACCTGTCTGGAATGGCTGTCCCTACAGGGCCCCCTCTTGAACATCCACCCAGCCCCAAAACCATGGCAGAAACGGCTCCTGTCTGAAGACGGGCACCATCCAGGCTCTCTTAAGAGATTGTGCAGAAGGGAGGGAAATAAAGGTTGTGAGAAAAGACAAGCAAAGAGGCGTCACCGTGTGAGATTGAATTGCTGCAGGCTGCACGTCTCCAAAGGGTGCAGCGTGAGGAAGATTGGTTAGCAAGCGGGGGGCCCCAATGAAATGTTGCAGCCCTCTCGCAGGATACTCCATTCTACCCCCCACCCCCTTGCCATTGCTCCCAAGCCTGCACCAAGACATCTGGCATTCAGCGAGGCCAAAGGATTCATGGGCGGTTAGTGTGGGTGAGGGTTGCAATTTTAATTTGCTGGGTGGGAGGCAAGGAATAGTGCGTCTAGCTGTCATCTGGAGGTCGGGCAACACTGATCGGCTTTAGAATCATAGAGTTGGAAGAGACCACAAGGGCCATTGAGTCCAACCCCCTGCCAAGCAGGAAACACCATCAGAGCACTCCTGACATATGGTTGTCAAGCCTCTGCTTAAAGACCTCCAAAGAAGGAGACTCCACCACATTCCTTGGCAGCAAATTCCACTGTCGAACAGCTGTTACTGTCAGGAAGTTCTTCCTAATGTTTAGGTGGAATCTTCTTTCTTGTAGTTTGGATCCAATTTGTAGCTTTGCCTGACCCCTTCCCCAAAGTGCTGTGTGGCAAGTGGCTTTTGAAACGAGTTTCAAGCAGGTTGCAATATGGTGTGGGCAGAAATCCACACTGGCTTTGCCCAACCTTTCTGAACTGTAGTTCTGAGTTCCCCAGCTGCTACTCAAAGGATGCTGGTCCTTTAAGAGTTAATGGCTCACTGTCCCAGCAGCCTCGATCTGCCCTCAATCAGCTCCCATTTGCCTGCCTGCAAAATGATCCCTGCTGGATCCAACCAAAGGCCAGACTCTAGTCCCTTATAGAAATGGAAAAGTTTGAGAGCATCATTTCTCTGAACACCAGTTGCTGGGGAGCAAGAGCAGGAGAGAAACGATGCTCTCATGCTCTGGTTTTCCATTTCTATATGGGGCGAGAGTCTGGCCTTTGGTTGGATCCAGCAGGGATCATTTTGCGCCTAGATAGGATAGAAATAGACTCCGGATCTAGGAAGAAGCTGCCTTATACTGTGCAGACTTCAGACTCTTAGTCCAGTGTTCCCAAATTAGGCTTTCCAGCTGCTTTGGGATTACAATTCCCATCATCCTTGCTAGCTAGAGATTATGGGAGTTGTAGTCCAAAAACAACTGATACCCGTTTGGGAAACACTGCTTAGTCCAGGTAGCTCTGTATTGCCTATGCTGACTGGCAGAAGCTCTCCGGGGATCCAGAGGGGTGTGTGTGTGTCTTTCCTAGCCTTACCTGGATGTCGAGACCTTCTATTTGCTAAACAAATGCTCTCCCATTGATCATCCCCAAAGTTTCAGACAGGGGACACTACCTAGAGATGGAGGAAGCTGAATCTAGGATCTTCTACATTCAGATCAGATGCTCTACTACTGAGCTACAGCCCATCCCACTTTCCCTCTCCCCTCCCAATAAGCCAATGGTGAATCAAGGCCTGCTAGGCTCCCAGCCACATATGGCTATTCTTTCTACGCTACGAGATTTCCTTTCTGTGACCTGCATCTTGCCAGGTATATAATTGGAGCTGTTGGGCACCCCTTTTAATAAAGATCAACCCAATTCCCCCTGCTCTAGCAGACCTAAACACAAACATCTTGTAGTCACAGCCACTTCCAAAGCTGAGCTAGGAAGACTAAGGGGAATGGTCACTAGTTAGGGGCAGGATTCAATTACACACTGGCCAATCCAAGTTGTGCAATTCTAGTATGCAGGGAGGGTCTTGCACAACAAACCAGCTTCCCCAAAAGTTTGGAATTGTTGCAGGAAAGAAAGTTCAGGCAGGAACACACTGGAGAGCATGGAACGACACGCTTGTTTTGATGTTGCAGCATCCACCCTTTGGGGCAAACCAGAATGAATGTGCATTGAATAGTCAACGTCGTCTTGCAAACAAATCCAGATGGAAAGCTCAATGAACATACTGGATGCACTTTTAAGTACAGTATTGACATGTGTCAAAAGACCAGAACCTCCCCCTTGTGGTCATATGTTGAAACAAACTTCAAAAAATGTGGAGTTCTATTGTACATACTTTTATGACTCTCCTTTTGGGAAAATAAAATCCATAAAAGGTGCCACCTGTTTCCCTAATGAGAAAATATTAAAGAGGCTTGTTTGATTTCTTAATACATCAAGAAAGATAAAATAAAATCCAGGGAGTGAAGACATGACAAAGGCTTAGATGATATCTGAGCTTCGGAGATGTGACTCTCTGTGCCAATTAGATATGTGTACTTAATGAAACTAATTAAGCAAATAAAAAAGGAAGCATTTCTCCACACAAGGCCAGGGATGTAACATGATGAGTCATGTGCCACCTACTGGCAGCCGTGTGAACTGCAACGTGACAACAACCTTACATTTTTATGTGTATAGGAAGATATGTTTGTGTACAAAAGTGCAGAACAAGTGAAAAAGAAAAACACCAAAGCCATTGAATAGGAAACATTTTTTTCCATTTAATACTAGAATCTCTCAGTATTTGAGATGCAGGCCTTTTATGCAATTACATCCAATGTTAAAATTGGTAATACATAATTTACAAAGATTAACATCAAAACAATGGTCTATTTAGATATGCTCTTGTAAAAAGGAAATATCTTAGCAGCATTTCTCCTCAGCAACCACACGGCCTATCCCCATGCAGACTAAAAAGAGTTCGTATCTATATTTGCAACAAACGTAGTGCTTTCCCCTCCCCTCCCCTATTTTCCTGGGCTTCCATCAGCGATCAGGTGAAACGCTGCCAGTCTCCTCAGTTAATACAAAATAAGCCACCCACCCACCCAGAATTTTTTTTAAAAAGTCAGTAATTTTCTACACCAGTAAGAAAACAAAACCAAAAACTTAAAAAAAAACCCCAAACCAACAAATTCTTCGCACTTACCTAGAATTTGATTGTCTAAAAAACATTGTTTTTAGTCTTTCAACGAAAGAAAGATAAAATGGCAGAGCTAGTGTCTCGCATCAGGGCAAGCTTTTCATTATTCTTCTTTAAAAGGACTTCTCATGTTTTTTTTTCTTTCTTTTTTTAGTGTTTAACACCATTTTGAGATGACGATTTCCCCCCCGTTTTGAACTAAATGGAGCGACTCAAAAGATTTTTCAGACATGCGATTTTTTTAAAACTTTTTTTTCCCCTACGACACACATGAGTATTTAATACTCAGGGTTCTCCTGTACAATGCTTCTCTACAGTAAGAAAATATTCCAAACTATTTTCTTATTTGTCTTCTCTTTTTTTTAATAAAATATGCTTTCCCCCCTCCTCCTCCTCTTTCCCACCCCTCTCTTGACCCCCGCCCCCACCCCAAACTTTTTTTTTTTTTTAAATCGCCAGGTTAAAATTTGAATGGAATGGACCCTTTTGTTGTTGTTATTGTTCCAAACGAAGAGTAAAATAAGGATTATATAGTCAACGAGAATGTACAATCAGGACAAAGGTTGGTCCGTCGGGAAGGAACACGGAGAGAGATTGTGAGAGAGAGCTACCATATTGCTTTACAACCACACAGCAAAGGAAGGGGGAGGAAGAGAGAGGAAGATTTAAGATATATACAACTTGGCACATTTAAAAACGGGATTCTTTCGTAAGGACATCTAAAACAGGACCATAATATGCATATGAACGCCAAAGAGAGACTGAGAGCAAAGCCACGTTTAAAGGGCCAGTGTATGCCTGCCAGCTCCCTTTGCCCGTGCATCTGCCCGTGAGTCGCTGGTGTCCGGAGGGAAGGGGACATGTGGTACGTCATCACGGAGTGATGCCCCTCCCTTGGGCCTGGCACCGGACGACAGCAACTAGGGCCGCTGAACACCCTACTGCGTCAAAAGCAAGGAAACGGTTCCTTCGCTGCAGCCGACGAGAGTTAACACTTGTGTCTTTTTAATCCACCCCCCTCCTTGGATTAAGGGCAGAGAGAGAGGCGGGAAGAGTAAAATACACTGTCTCTTTAAGAGACGGGACGCTTTTAAGCTGTACAGGTTTTATATTTTTTTTTCTTCTTTTTCTTAAAAAAAAAAAAGAAACACAAAGAGTAGTGTTAATCAGTGGATAATAGTCTACAGTTTCACAACAAATACGCGCTCAGAAAATACTGCTTGACGGTTCGTGTAGTGAAAGGTTGGTTTTTGTTTGTTTGCCTTTTGACAGTTTTCCTTTCTTTGTTTTGTTTTTTTTTTTTTGTCTTTGAAAGTTTTCACAATGCACTGGACACACAAGAACCACAGCTTATTTAATTTTTTTCTTTTTTCTTATATATATATATATTTATATATAAAACCCAACCGAAAACACTAAAACGAAAAATAAGTAAAACAGGGTGGACTTGGCTTTATAAAAAATCTTCTGCAGCAAAATAAAAGGGGGGGGGAGGGATAGAGAGAGAAATTAAAACCACCGTTGTTCTCCTTGACCGCCCACCCCCACCCCCACCCCGAGGTGCAGAACGCAGAACCAAGTGCTTTCATTTCAAGTCCGTGGCCTCCGTGGCGATGGGGCGCTTTCCACGCAGAACGTCCGACAGCCCCCTCACGCTCAGAGCGCCACACTTCCTCTGTTGCATCTTGCGCAAAATCGAAGATCTCGCCCCCCCCCCGTATCTTCAGCCCCTCAGGGCCCGGACACTTCCTCACGCCGTCACCTCCGCCCTCCCAAACAACTTCCGAAATCAGACGCTTGCGCCAGCTGAAGGAGAAATGATGTGGGTTCCTTCGGAAAGAGCGTGGTTCCGAACCGGTTCACCAACCCGCCCACCTTGTACACCCCACTTTCCCCTCCCTCTGGCGCAGGGACACTGGGGTGGGGAGGGTGGAGGGGAATAAGTTAAACTAAAATTTGACCATCTTGGACAAAGAACCACAAGGTGTGTTTTTTTCCTTAGTACCTCAACATTGACAACAAGGCACGCCCAACACCACACACATCGTAAGACCACTGCCAGGCAGGCCGCGGGTGAAGGGGCAGGGTGGCGCGCCTGCCCAACCGTTTCTTCTAAGTGCTACAGAACCGGGGGGGGGGGGGGTTGTGTGTGTGTCAGTTTCCTCTTGCCCATCTGACGCCCTCAACGCACACTGCAGAGGCACAGGAAGGCGGCAAAGCCTCGCCCGTCCAAGTCCGTCTCACGCACAATCCGACGGCGGAAAACTCCAGGCCACAGCCTCTGTCCCCAGGGCACAGCGTCACTTCCGAAAGCTGCTCTCGGGAAGAACCAGAGTGCGCCGCCGCAGCTTCCTCCCCGAACCTTCCTCTAGCAGGTACGTGACGTCAATGGCTGGAAGAGACCAAAGAAAAATAACAGTGTGGACTTGGAGAGCTAACGCTCTTGGAACCAAAGAAAGATGCTTTGCTACTTGGTAAAGAACCTCAGACCCAGAGGGCAGACGCCTCTCTCCCTCAGGCCATGCCCCCCACCAGTCTTGCTCTGTACCACAAAGGACCTTAAGGTCCGTAAATAGCAACACCCTAAGGAAGTCAGATTAGCCTCAACCAGAGCCACAGCCTTCTCAACACTGGCTCTGGCCTGGTGGAACGCTCTGTCTCATGAGACCAGGACCTTGCGGGATCTGATTTCTTTCTGCAGGGCCTGTAAGACAGAATTGTTCTGCCTGGCCTTTGGGCTTAGAATCAATTTGATTCCCTCCCCCCCTCTTTCTTTTTTCCTTTCTCCTCCTGTGAAGAGGCTGCATCTTAATGTTTTAATGTTGTATTTTAATCTTGTTTTTAAAGTTGTATTTTAATCAAATTATTTTTCTTATTGGTTGTTAGCCGCCCTGAGCGCGGTCTTGGCTGGGGAGGGCGGGGTATAAATAAATTATTATTATTATTATTATTATTATTATTATTATTATTATTACCAGCTGGGCTAGCTTTTGGTGTGATGATTATCTGGACTGCTTTACTCAAGCTCCCCCGCTCCCAAAAAAGTTGGGAGCTACACATTACTAACAATCCTCTAACTTTAAAAGAGGTTTCTGGAGAGGGGAATGGGGGGGGGGAGAAGAAGGGGGGCTGCTCTCTCGCCTCTTACCATTTTTCCCTGGGATTTTCTCTAGGAGGGTGAGGAGGATGAGGTTGAGCCTCTCTCGCTGCATGTGCCTGCGTTCCTCCGGGGTGCAGGGCCGCCTGGGGACGGGGCTGCTCTCCTCCACCTTTTTCTCTACCTCGCCACTCTCCTGGGGAGGTGCCTCTTTCTCTGGCTCCTCCAGGCTGGGCGCCGGCTCGCTGGGAGCCTGGTCCTGACTCACGATCACGTCTTCCATCAGCGGCAGGGGGTCCTCCTCTTGGCTCAGGTCTTTGTTCTGGGGCTTGGAACGGTCAGACTTCCAAGATGACCTGAGAAAGGAGATGTCAAGCCACATGTCAGGGGGAGAACTTTCCAACATGGTCCTCCCTCTCTCTCACACACACACACGGGAGGGATGCACACTGCTGCTGCAGCTTGCACTCCTTCTGTGCTGAGGGCTCCCTGTCCTTCCTCTCTAGATCTCTGAAAGGGTCATGTTTGGGAGGCAATCCCCCCGCCACATACCCCCAGTCTTCCTACATAAGAGGTCACAGAATCCAATCAAGAATGTACCTTTTCAAGGCACTGCACAGAAATGAAGCGGCAAAATTCTGGGCTGCACTACTTCAGGCTGTGAGCAGTGTGTGTGTCTCAGTAGTGTTTTAAATTTGTTGTTAGCCGCCCTAAGCCCAGTTTTCTGAACCAGGAAGGTAAAGGTAAAGGGACCCCTGACCATTAGGTCCAGTCGTGGCCGACTCTGGGGTTGCGGCGCTCATCTCGCTTTATTGGCCGAGGGAGCCGGCGTACAGCTTCTGGGTCATGTGGCCAGCATGATTAAACCGCTTCTGGAGAACCAGAGCAGCGCATGGAAACACCGTTTACCTTGCCGCTGGAGCAGTACCTATTTATCTTCTTGCACTTTGACGTGCTTTCGAACTGCTAGGTTGGCAGGAGCAGGGATCGAGCAACGGGAGCTCACCCAATCGCAGGGATTCGAACCGCCGACCTTCTGATCAGCAAGTCCTAGGCTCTGTGGTTTAACCCACAGTGCCACCCATGTCCCTGACCAGGAAGGGTGGGGTATAAATAAAACTTATTATTATTATTTATTATTAGTACAGCACTCTGGGCTTTTGCATTGAAAACACTCCAAACCCCAATGGCATCTCCAGGTGGGGCTGGGAGAGACCCCTGCATGAAACCTGGCAGAGCCACTGCCAGTCCTTGTGGACAATGCCAGGCTACAGGAGTCAATGGTCTCACTCTGTATAAGGCGGCAGCTGATCCTCAGAGGAACAGCACACTGAGGAGTGGGGCTTGGAGGAACGAACACACACACACACACACACACACACACACACGTGTCACTTCTGCTCCATTTGGAGCAGTGATTTTTTTCCAGACCTCTGAGAGTGGCTGCCTCACTACTGCTCTCGGAGTTTTTTTTTTTAAATTTGCTCAAGAGCAGAGCAAACATCCTTTAAACAAGTATAGTGAAAACACCTTCTTTTGCTTGCTGTCAACTTGCTGCCAAGTTCCACTGGTGACCCTGAGTTCTGGGAGTTGTGGGAATCCTAGGTTATGGCATGCCCCACTTTATTACCACCATCCTATCAGCTTTGCAGGGGGTGGGGATTGAGGGACAAAGCCCCTCTTTCTATGATCCTGTCCCTGAACTGCCCAGAGACATCTCTACTGAGGGAGCACCACACTCCATTTGCATGCTGTCTCAGCCTTCTGCTAGCGGCCTTGCAGGATGCCTTCTCTGTACTGCTTAAGTGTCGCAGGCAAGCTAAGCTGCTCTTGCTCCCATCCTGTCTAACTCAAAGGAAGGCAAGGGAAGTGCCATTTGTGCTGCAGTTAAGCAACTGAGAGCAGGAGCTCCAAAAAGGTCTCTGCAGAAGCACCCACCACACTGAAGGCCCTAAAAAAGAGAATAAGGGGAAAAAAGGAGCCAAAAGAAGCTAAAGCGACTCACCTGCCTCCATTCCTCTTGTAGTTGTCTGGTACATAATGAGGCTGCAATGGAGGAGTAAAAGAGAACCAAGTGAAAGTTCAGAGGAGGCTTAATGCTGTAAGCGCAGAGAAATAGCACCTGCTTTCCTTGCAGAAGGTCCCAGGTTCAAATCCCCGGGTAGGGCTAGGAAAGGCTCCCTGGAGACCTGCTGTCAATCAGTGTCAACACAGCTGAACCAATCACAACTGAACCAATCATCTGACATGGTAGAGGGCAGATTCCCATGCTCCTCTTTAATTCCACCCTATATATTCAGCAGCATGAGAGCTGGCATCTTAGGTTATTTTGCTTGACGCTCAGTGGGAAAGTACGTGGAATTGAGGGGGGAGGAATGTGATTATGCTATAACGCAGGTGCTTATCAATGTACAGCTTGGAAGAGCCTCCCACTCTGCCACTGCTGCAAAGGAAATCAGATCTGAAGTCAAAGGAAATCAGGTCTGAATTCATCCAGGAGATGGCAGCTTCCTGCAAAGGGTGGCAACTTAAGAGAGATGCTCTGATTGGAGTTGCCTGTGGCTTAACCTTATTATTCCACCCTTGTGTCCGTAGGAACAACCAGTTTGTGGTTACTGATGTTCGCTTGTAACAAACTAAATGAAAGCAGAGTTTTAGCATGTGGGTTAGGATTCCCCTCACTGCCAGAGAGAGAAGTCGTGGAGCCGCTCACCGAGAAGTCTCTTTTCGGCGTCATCCTTTTGGGGAAGTGGTCGAAGGCGTAGGACTTGGTGCAGACTGGGTAGCGGTTCCGGTGGATCTTGTAGAAAAGGTGGGCTGACTTGTCGAGGCGGTAGTCGCAGATGTAGACGTCCTGCTCCTTCACCCCCTTTGGCCTTCCTGTAGGGAGGTTTGGCACAGCAAGAATATCAGGTGAGGCAGCGTGCCAAGAATCAAAATAAGCACGACTACGGAGCTTAGCTGTTCCAAATTCCTCCTGGCAGGGCTGGAGAGGGTTTTTAAAAACTAAAGGAACTTGCCACCCTCACAAAACTGCAGGATATTGTCCTTTTAATCCTTATTACTGTAACTTTCCCTGGACGGAAGCAAATGTTTGTCCCCGCATTTAAAAAGAAAAACAACTCCTTCTTTATTCTTACCTCCAAATGAAGGTTTAGCATGTGGAAGTGGTGAAGAATTTGGGGGCAACCTTCTGGTTTTCAGCACAATTCGCTTTCAGGTTAGCCACATCCGAGGGCAGGTAATTCTGCTCTGTGTGTCTGCCTGGCGAGTAGCTAAAACTGGCTCACTTAACCCTCAGCACACAGACGCAGCAAGGACTGCCTTCCTCCTGCAGGTGCTGGCGCCTAGGCTAAAGCAGTGAACCTTGCACAGGTACACGTATGGAAGGGCCACAGCTCAGTCGCAGAGCATCTGCTTTGCATGCAGAAGGTCCCAGGTGCAATCCCTGGCATCTCCAGGTAGGGCTGAGAGAGACTTTTGCCTGAATCCCTGGAGAGCTGCTGATGCTGCCAGTCAACGGGTTGACAACGCTGAGTAAGATGCAAAAAGGAATGACTCGGCATGAGGCAGCTTTCTGTGGTCTGTGTTCTACAGGGAACGGGAGTTAAGCGTGTGCTGTTGGAGAAGACCAAAAGGGTCCGCATGGCCCAGCAGCCAGTTTTCTACAGAGGCCCAAGTTGACGCTCCTGGGAAGACCAGAGGCAGAGCTTGAAGGCAAAAGGCTGTGTCAGGGGTTGGCAAGGCTTACTGGGCATGGGCCAGACCACTCCCGCGGAGATCCTTCGTGAGCCGGACTGGCGCAGTGCAACGCCGGAAATCGCGTCTGCGCATGTCTGCGGCGCCGGAAATTGCTTCTGTGCATGCCCAGATACTGGAAATCGCATCTGCACATGCCCACGGTGCTAGAAATTGCTTCTGCACATGCCCAGACACCGGAAATCGCGCCTGTGCAGAAGCGATTTCCAGCGTCTGGGCATGCGCAGAAGCAATTTCTGGAGCTGTGGAAGGAAGTCCCCATGCCACGCTGTGCCGGTTTAGCACAGCGCGTGGGGACTCACCAAGCAGTTTGGGGGTGGCTCATGGACCAGTTAAGCGACCCTCATGGGCTGCTTCTGGCCCATGGGCTTTAGGTTGCCAACCTCTGGGCTGTGTCCTCCACCCCCTCTTCTCAGCAACTGGCGTTCAGCGATTCCATTCAATCATCACAGCTATAAGCAGCTGTTGACAGAAGCTTCACAGAGGTCTACCAGCCATCTTATTTTAATGTCACCTGAGAGCCACCATCCATCACCAGATACGGTGGCAGAACCACTGAAATTAATGGGCATGAACAGCTTTTGCTCCACTAATTTCAACGATCCTCCTGTGAATTTTAGGCGGATACCGCCTGTCTGGTCCAGAATCCTCCTTCGTTGGCCTTTACCGTCAAGACTGATTTAAATGTGTGACCCTCTGCAGCTCGAAGCAGCAGGGCAAGAAAAACACTTCTCTATATTCATTTTCACCACACTGCATAATTTTATAAACCTCTGATGGCGCCTCCTCTCTGACCGTTAAAAAAAAACGCTTTGGATTTCCTTGTGAGGAAGATGATCATCCTCATCTTTGCCCCAATCATTTCTTTGTTGTTCCCTAATCTCAGGGTTGCAGGTTCAAGCCCCATATTGGGCAAAAATATTCCTGCGCTGCAGAGGGTTGGACTAGATGACTCTTAATGGTTCTATTGTTCTATGGTTTGCACTTTTCCCAGCTCTAGCATCTCCTTTTTAGACAGGACACAACCAGAACTGTGAAGAGTGTGTACAGGCTGCCGAAGGGGTATTTCAGGGCTCCAACAGGAGCTTTTACCTATTTACACCTGGCACTGTGTGCTGGGGAGCACAACAGCCTGGGATCATAGGTCCCCCTGGAGAGAAAAACCAAGTGGCTCCAGGCCGCCGGGAGTGTTGACTTGCCTTTGCAATAGGTGTAGAGATCCAGGACGCAGCAGGTGCCCACCACGGCCTCCAAGGGGATGATCTCGTACAGCGGTACCCGGAACAGCTCGTTGTGGTAGAACTTCCGGGAGGGGGAGTGGTGCGTTTCATGCGGACGGAAATAGTGGTGGCCGAAGGCAAACCGTTCCTCCCTGATATAAGGAGGAAAAAAGGAAGGAGGTGTTTCCATTGGAGTAGAGATGACAGACCCAACGCACCCACACACTTCTTCTTCTTCCTCCCCGTCCTCTACAGAATTTGCTCCCTTTTGCTAGGCTGACAGTCACAAGCCCTGGGATTCTGACACAATAGGTGAGCTGAGAGGAGAAGTGGTTTGGATGCTGACGATGGAGCACTGACTCATGAGAGTCCCAGCCAGACCCAAGGTGACCTCAGTAAGGGAGCTTGGCTTTTATTCCTCTCCCTCCTGGTTGCCTGTAAATGAATCTGTGTTTACGGAGGAGCTTAATACGATCGCTGTTAAATATAATTAAGTTTTAAGTGTGTACTCGTTGCCAGGCCTCAACTAGAAGCTGGGAATTGATCATTGCCATGCGGAAAAATGCAATTTTACAGCAGAGATTTGGCAGGCACCCTACTTTTCAGCTTTTAGGCATCTCTCAAAGATGTTTTTATGCTGAATGATTTAGACAGCTGTCTAAACTTTCTTGATTAGCCATTCATTTTAATGATTTGGCTTTTATGGCATTTTATGCTTTTCCGAACTTGTATAGATTGTTGTACATGCACCATAATATTTCGTGTAACTTGATGGCACACACGTGTGTGTGTGTGTGTGTGTGTGTGTGTGTGTGTGGTGGCATAAGTATATAAATATATATTATAATAGCAAATATATTTATGGGTGATGAGTGCTGAAGTTCAGACCAGCCAAGCCTAAGACTGAAGATAAAGATCTGAACTGCAGCCATTTCTCAATGCAGTAAGAGCACACTAGTGGAGGAGCATGACGACATCCTGTGAACCTCTCATTGGTCTCTGGAGACAGGGCTTAGCTGAACCTCCTGTCTGCATTGGACACATCCGCCAAAGGAGGAGAATGATGTCACCCAATGAATGATGTCCTCCAACCCTCCAGGTCTTGCTGGCTTACAACTGCAGCTGGCTATTCTTGCTGGGGATCATGGGAGTCCAGCAACATTTGATGTGTGTGTGTGTGTGTGTTAGTTATAGGTTACCCACCTCTTTAGTTTGCTCACGACAGGAAAAGAGGTGGGAAAATCTTACAGCTTCATGAACTGCCACCACCTGCTACTTTCATGCATGGGAGGGACGGGGATGGGAAAATTCTCTGATGACACGTTTTTGACGGAGTCCAATGTGGCTGGTCTCCCACCAAAGGTCAGTGAGATGGAGCTCCGCTTTTATAAAGCAAGGTGGGGCTGGGACTTACTTCTCGTTCTTCCAGAGCTTTTCGATACGGAAGATGTCAAGTCTCTCTCTGTTGATGTGGGAGAGCAGGCGATACGACTGCCGGACAGGGTGGCCGTCCGGGGTCCTTCGGCTGTCTCTCATCAGGTACACGCAGTCACCTGTTGATGGGGTGAGGAAGGGCGTATCAGAGCGGCTTTCTCATATCCCAGCAGGGTGGATTTACAGAAGCCTAACAAACTGAGTGGCGGTAGCAGAGGTGGCTCAGCAGTTGCAAGCATGGGCTGCGTGCAAGAAGAACTGCCAGGTTCACTGAAATGGCGTCTCCAGCTAGGAAGCCGGCTAGATCAGACCAAGCTTCTGTCCAGTCTAGCATCCCGTTTCCTTTAGTGGCTAACTAGAAGCCCACAAAGCAGGGGCTTAAGGGCAATGGGTCTCCCCTGTTTGGTTTTGAACAATTAAGCATTCAGAGACATCCTGCCAATGAACAGGGGTGGCCCATTTAGTCTTTGTGGCTAAGAGCTGTTGAGTGGAGCAGTCTCCCTCGGGAGGTGGTGGACTCTCCTTCCTTGGAGGTTTCTAAGCAGAGGTCGGATGGCCATCTGTCATGGATGCTTTAGTTGAGATTCCTGCATTGCAAGGGGGCTGGACAAGATGGGGTCCCTTCTGACGCTACGATTCTGAGATTCCATAAAAGCTGCCTAATTCCCTTTCTCCTACCCAACTACCACCACAGAGCCCCGATTTCAGAGGCTGAGGAAACAACCTGGAGAGCTGCTGCCAGTCGGACCAGGTGGCCCCAGTGCTTAGGTGACCCAAGATTTCTAACTCGCTTAATGTCTCACCTTTAATTTTGATACCCTGAATCAGTGAGCGAGGCAGGCTCAAGCACCTTGACAAACAGCAGTCACGAGAGAGGGGATGGATGTCCCAAAGGACTCTCTCGGCTGCCTCTTAATTAATCCAAATCCCCAGAATTAGTGCTTTTGTGTTTGAGGTAGTCCCTGGAAGGGAGAGGGCACCGGGCACTCTATGCTATACTGTGAATTGTATGAAACACCTAGAAATCTTCAGCCGCGACTCCAATCCTCAGTAATATGGATAGGATTCAGTATCTGTTGTCTGGTTCGGACTAGTCTGTAATGTTCAACGCAGCTAAATTTGCAGAGAAGGCTGCTAAAATTAGACAATCTATGTGACTGCCCTTGAGATTTAAGGTTCCTGTTTTATGTAAGCTTTATTTATTGTATAGGTCAAGTTTTTATCTTTATGTATTATTTTTATGTATAGTTTATGTTCCTATGCTTCTGCTTGGCTACAACCTGTTTTGGCTGCCTTCTTAAAAACTTTGAATATTATGAATTTCCCTCCCGCCCCCCAGGAAGTCAACACACTCACCTTGACGTAGCAACAGATCGTCCCGTAACAGACAGATGAAGTAAACGCAGCCAGGCTGGGCGTAATGAGGTCGGGGAATCATAGGAACCTCCTGCGAGAAAGAAAAAGGCAAAAGGCGTTGACAAGTCTTGTCATCCTGACTACGCTTAGAAACCAAGATGAATGCGGACGTAGCACTAATAAAGCCTGCACCCTCCATGGAACCCTAGGGACTGTGGTTTTGTGAAGAACACTTGAACGCTGGAGGGCTATGATTCCCAGGCTTCCTTAGAGGAGAAAGCCACTGAAACAGCCCGGCTGTGTGAAAAATAAAGAGGCCAATGGCGTGAGGGTTTCAAAGTCACCCTGCCCAGTTCTGGGCAAGCGAAGGTGGCTTACCCTATCCACCGTGCGAGGTTCACACTGCTCACACAAGTAGTGTTCGACGTCAGAGTTCACCCCCATACAGTCACAGTGCTGCCAGACCTACAGGAGAAAATAGACACATCAGAAAAGGAGATCCACCCCAAAGCATCAGAAGATGAGTTTTATTTATTTTAAAGCATTTCTGAACAGTTTTAAGATTTTTTAACTCAAATAATGCAGCCTAAAAACAATGTAACAGCATCTTAAAATCAGAGATTATCAGGGATGGATAAGGCTCTCTGCCTGAGATGCCAGAGAGTCAATGTCAAGCAGAGTAGAAAATACTGACTCATATGTGCCAGTTATCTGACTCATTCTATATTATTATTATTATTATTATTATTATTATTTGCCGCCCTTCACCCGTAGATCTCAGGGTGGTTCACAACATAAAATTACAATATAAAAACTACAAAATTCATAGTAAAGGTAAGACCATCAACAAACCAATAATGCTCCCTCGCACAACACATTTAAAAGGGCATTGGATGTCAATTAGCCAAAGGCCTGGTTGAAGAGGAAATTTCTACTTGGCGCCTAAAGGTGTATGAAGGTGCCAGTCAAACCTCCCTGGGGAGAGCGTTCCACGAATGGGGAGCCACCACAGAAAAGGCCCATTCCCATGTTGCTACCCTCCAGCCCTCTTGTGGAGGAGGCACATGAAGAAGGGCCTCAGGGGGCCCACCTCTGTTCTAATAGTTTCGGATTTCTCTGGCCCACCAGTACCAGGCTGCTATAGAGGAGGGAATCCAGCCATTGGTCTGGACCTTGCTTTTTGACAGAACAGGGCCTGGTACAGGGGCTACATGTGAGCACGTTTCTCATCTGCAGCAAGAACGTAGCCCCGTCTTGTGAGGGAGAGGAGCGCACAACCTGCCCTCACCATGCACTTGTCGCACTGGATCATGAGCCCTTCATCCTTGTACAAGCCACAGATGCAGCGGATCACGTCCTCGTCCTTCTCGTGCCCGCTCTCCTTCTCGCACATGGAGGTCTCGCTGCTGTCCGCCTCGCTCGCCGTCTCTCCGACGATCTCATCGATCTGGGCAGCTGCCTCGTGGCGGGCGTTGTAGTAGGCCTTCCGCAGCCGGCAGACGTCCCGCCCAATCGGGGATTTCCTGCCGTAGTACTTCTGAGCAGGAGACAAAAGTCCAGAAACTCAGAGCCTTTCCCAGCCCCACTGAAATGCCCTTTCTGCTTCAATCTTTGCCGCCATAAAACTCTGACGTAGGCGCCCCCTGCCCCGGTCCCATCAATTTCTCCTTCCTACCCACCAGTCCCTCCCAGCTTGGTTCATTTTCTTCCATTGCAAGTAACAAGTGGGCACTGCAACGGAACATTACAGCATATCCGCAAGATGCAAGGGCGGTGGCTTCTGATTCAAGACTCCGCCCAGCCTCGAATGGGAGTTGTATGAGTTCACTGGGGTTAGGTGGGGTTCTCAGGAGTGGGGTGGTGGAAAGGAAAAAGGACATCTCTCCTCCTCTGCCACTCTCCTGAGGCCCTTCCTCTACTGTGTTATTTGGTGTCGCAAGGCCTCCAGCCCAGAACTTGAGCATTTCAGAGAACTGTATGCAAGGCAATTAATAAATACATCTCGACTCTCAAAGGACCAGCTGGGACCCTCGGCTAGAACCAAGTGCCTTCCTCTCCCAACACAACAGCAAACTCACTTCAGTGTTGCGGAAGACCTTCAGCATATCGCCGTCAAAAGCTTCCACAGTTTTGTAGTAGCCTGTCAAGATCTGCTTCTCGATGGTGGTGAGATCAAGGGGGTCAGAGATCTTCTCATAGTAATCTGCGTTTCTAAACCAGGCGGGGGGGGGGGGGAGGGAATGTGCAAGGTTACTAATAAGCCCGTATTTGAGGAATGACATGAAACCTCTTTTGTAAAATCACAGATTCTCCACCACTCCCCCTTTTGAGAATGCTAAAAACCTACTTTTTCTTCGGGGGAAGATTCAGCAAAGGAGTTGCAAGCAGCTGTCTGGAGGAATCTGTAACGGAAGCAGAAGGATGCAGAGCAGTTGCCACAGGGGTTTTACAGTGTGGTTGGTCTTGGGCAGTTTTTGGGGTGGGTGGGCGTTATTTGGCAGGAGAAATTATGAGGAACTATATGTGGGAAAGAAACACATGCCCCTGAGACCCTGACTTGCCTAAGTCACAGCTACATCACAAGCCGAAATCAAGAGGCAATGCAATTTACAGTTTCTTAGAAGGGGCCCTTGTGGCAAGTGCTATTCGAGTTCATGCCCTTCTTGGGGGCTCAGGTGGGGCCACGGCGAGATAGATGGGCCTTTTGGTCTGATCCAGCAGCCAGGCTCTTCTGGTGTTCCGGTGAATTTTATCCACCTGCTGTGTACTCCCTTTCCCCCTCCCTCAAATTCTGTCCACTACTTCTAGACCTCGAGCCCCTTCTGCTACAGCTCTTTACAATTCAAGACTAAGGAGGTGGGAGCAGCATGTGTATCAAACACTTGACAGTCCTCATGGGTGACGGACGAGAGACAGAGGTTGGCCACCCCACAGTTTAATGGAGCAAATACTGCAAAAGCCAAGGAAGTGTATGGGAAGCTGCCTAATACAGGATCAGACCACTGGGTCCACCTCACTCAGTGTCACTGTTGATGCTGGCTGGGCAGCAGTTCTGCAGCTTTTCAGACCGGGGTCCTTCCCAGTCCCATCTGAAGATGCCAGGGATGCAAAGCCTTCCCCCAAAGTAGCTCCTGCTCTCACCCATGAGCCACTCATCACTGAACCCCTGAAATCCTACACTCAAGCTCTCCTCCCTCTGGAAACCCAGCAACACAGGATTGTGGAGCCTGTCAAATGATCAGCTCCTTGGCAGCCATCACCTTTGTACGAGATGATCCCGTCGCAGATCTCCTTGAAGATTTGCGCGAGGCGTGCGGCCCGCGCCACTTCGATGTTCTCCTCGGCCGCAGCCAGCCGCCGTGTCCGCACTGAGCGGGCAGTCTGCAGGGCAGAGAACTGTGTCATGAAGACATCTGAAAAAGAGAAGGGAGGAAGAGATGCCTCTTTAGTCGAAGCCCGCAGGAACACAGGAAGCAACCGGCCCAATTAGTTTGGTTTTGTCTGCGCTGACAAGCAGCAGCTCTCCAGGGTTTCCGTCTCTCTCAACCCTACTGGGAGGCAGCTAACTAGAGAACCTGCGACTTCCTGATCTGCTACTGAGCTACCTTCCCATTTCCTCTCCTCTGAACAACATGTATGTCTGAGGGACTTAAAAACCAGCAACTCTCATTGTACAGAGTGGGGGCTTTGAATATATCATGCCACTGCTGCTGGATATCAAATTTTAGTTGAATGCAACGCAAAGGGTAAAATGTGGTCAGGGCACTGCTTGTCCAGTTGCTTGTGGCAAGGCAGAATCGCTTTTAGGTGACTTGGAAAAGGAGGTTCAAGCTTGGTTCATTAGGTCACAAATATCTGAGACAGACAGGATGGCAACTTTTTGCAAGACTGATTTCAGAAAGGTTAAGGTTCACGGAATGCTTATCGCTTATCCAGGAGACATGGAGAAAGGCTGGGAGATTCACACCAGTTGCAACAGGGGCACTGACCAGATTTTATATTGCCATCATCCCGGCACATCCCATTCCAGCGGGTGTATAACGAGGCGGACTGAAGGTTGTCGCTGGCGTGCTTGACCTCCTCTTGCTTCTGCCGGATCTTCTCCCAATTGCGCACCAAGAAAACATGATGCTTCAGCACAAAATTCCTTGGGGAAGCACAAATAAAGATGAGGGATGGGGAAGAGAAGAGGTGGGTGCTGAAATAAAAGGCTTTCTTCACCTTCCAAGGTTGGCTGCTGCGGGATATTTGCAGCACATCGCCACAGCATAGTAGTGAGAGATCCCTGCCCTAAGGGGTTGGAATCTACATGAGATCAGAATGGGAAGAGGAGGAGGAGGAAGGGTCAGGAATAGAGACCAAGCAGGGGAAGCATCAGACAGATGCCAGGGAGACACAGGTTAAAAGCAAGGGTTGGGCCATTTCTGTAGAAAGGCTCGACTCAGACCTACCAATCCATGATTCGTTCTGATCGTGATTCGGAACACATAATCACAGCCTGAGCATCTTAATAAAGCCATGATTTAGACCTGCTTGTCTGCTTCCATTTCCCCACCCATTCAGCTTTTATATAACGCAGTTGTCTCTGGGGAGGCAGCAACAAGTCTGTGGCTTGTCAATTCTAACATCTCACCAAACCACTTTTTTTAAAAATCCTTATTGGCCGGCCGTTTGCAAACCATGTTTTAGAACATTGTGCAAAGTCATAGCTAAAGCTTTCTCAATTGTGGGATGGCATGAGGTGTGAATAATTTCACACAGCTGCTTGTTAAGTATTGCCCATCATGTATTACGTACCACTGTGCATTACCGGATATCATGTATTACTGATTATTATCAGCAATAATTATGAAATTATATATACAGGTTTTTATGTAGAGATAGGGAGAGAGAATACTGCATGCATATTTTTGTCCTGTATTTGCAAACAGTCTGCATCTGTACTGGGACTATCTTAACTGTTCTTATATATGGAATTGTTTTTAAATGTTTGCACTGCTTTCAATACATGGAACTGTTTCGGTTTGTTTTTACAATTTTCTTGTTTTACTGTGGTAACTATTTCATTTGTTTTACAAGTGTGCACTTTATTGCTGTAACCTGCCCTGGGACCTTATGAGACCTGCTGAAACCATTTTTGTTTGGGCAAGTCTAAATGTGGATGATGATGTGTTTCAATCTCTCTTTAGTTTACTGTTGATGCTAACAGTTTTCTAAATGTTTTTATTGATAATTTATTGTTTTTACTCATAATTTCAATATTTCCTGTAAACCGCTTACAAGGTATCATTACAATCAAGTGGTATATATATTTTGTTAAAATATATATGATAAAGTGTGGGTAGAAAAATATCTAACAAATAAAGTTGCTTATGTTATTATGTTGCAAACCATCCTGTGGTAGTTTCATAGAATCATAGAATTTCAGAGTTGGAAAAGACTCTAATGATAGGCTCTTCTTACTTTCTGATGTCAAAAGGGAGGGCAGAAATTTCTTAAATCAAAATGAAATAAACTGAGCCAAAATGAAGCTTTGGGGGAGATCTAGCTCAGGCTTCCTCAGTCTCGGCCCTCCAGATGTTTTGAGACTACAATTCCCATCATCCCTAGCTAGGGATCATGGGAGTTGTAGGCTAAAAAACATCTGGAGGGCCGAGGTTGAGGAAGCCTGACCTAGCTCATGCCCCCTGCGCCCAACGTAGGAGGGAGGGAAACTTGCTGGGAAGAGACAAGGGAATGGAGCTGCCCTTCTTCCTCACCTTTCCCTGTTGGACATGGGCTTCATTTGGAGCTGCGGTGTCAGCCGAGTCGGGGTACTTGAGCTTTCACTGGGCTCCTCAGGAACATGACCCTTCTGTAAAACAAAACAAACCCTTCTTGAGAAGAGAATCCAAGAACAAAGAAAGCCAACTGCGAAAAGACAGTGGTTAGAATCCTGAACTTGGGTCAGGCAGGCTCAAATTCCTACTCAGTGTATAGCTGAGCTGCCCAACACAGGCAAGATTATTTCCCTTTCAGGGCTTAAATGTTTATAATAAAGAAGGGAGGGGAGGGTGGAAGTTAAGGTAAGTACATGAAGCAAGATGGGGCCCCCACTTTGTTCCTCTCATTCAAAACCATTATTGGAACGGGCATGTCCATGCTGTTCCCTCATTACCAACAGGAGGTTGATTTGGGTCTGGGTGGAGAAGCATGCAGAACAGGAAGCACGTGTTATATGCGCATCCCATCCCACTCTCATTTTGTAAAATCTGAAAGAGTTGCTGAAATGGGGATCACATTCATGGTGGACAGAAGCATCCCAGCTGGTGATGGTCAACATTAACATGAGTGAAGAGATGTCGTGGAAGGGGGAGCACAAATCCCGCCCCCCCTGAGAGAGTATCAAGTTCCCTGTTCCTGCATGATTATATCAGGGTGGTCCAATGCCCTCAAGCCTCTTTTGGAGGTCATCGGCAACGTTTGATGCTTCCCAAGTCCTCACACTACCTTCCCAAAGCCAGGTAACTGAGGCACTGGGCTTCAGGAAGGAGGTGTGAGGGCTCAGACAGGGTCCTAGAGACCTCCCCAAAGCCAAGTGCAGTGTTTACCCAGCTTTGGGAAGGCAGCATGAGGGCTGGGGAGGGGGCACCGAATTCTGGGCTTGCTCTCTCCTGCCCTCCGAACACGACACGGCAGAGTGCGGCCCATGGGTTCCATGTCACAAGTACTCTTGAGGCACACTTGGTATGGAAAGTTGGGCCGCCCTGCGTTAGATCATTGCCACAAGCAGCAAGCAGATTTATTGAAAGAAAAGTCCAACAAACTGAGCACAGGAAGTGGTCCCGCGCTAGATGAAACCACTGCTACCCACTATGCTTTTTAAAACAGAGATGCCGGGCATTGAACCTGGCGCCTTCTGCACGCCAAATACGAGCTCTCAACCACGCTCACCCCCTCTGACCCAAGCGGCAACTGTAGGCATGGAGTGTGGCAAACGCCCCCCACACCTGCCTCCTGCTCTGTGCACACTCACCCTCTTCTTCAACTTGTGCTTGGATTTCCTCTTCTCTTTGGACCGGCTCGGCCTCCTCTGGGCAGTGACGGGCTGGTTGGTTTTGCTCAGGAGGCCGTTCACGCGCTGGCTCTTGCCCCCGATGATCCCTCTGCACTTCTCAAAGCCGCATTTGCAGAGTTGCTTGGAAGAGAAAGGAGACAACACCCACCTTGAAACACGCCCCCTCAGCAAAGCTTGCAACCCAGGCCAATAGGACCCATCAACAACTCCTGCCTGCTCATACAGTCCCATCCATTCGATGGGACACCGCAGGGGCCAACGTATGAATGGACTTGTTGGCGCCTCTGTGTTTCTGCCTCCTTTTTTCTGGCCTCCTTTTTTGTGATGACTACTCTGTTTACTGTGCTGGAGCTGCTGTCTCACTTTGGCAACCTGAGTGGATCTATCCTTCACTCATGGAGGACAGTGTATGCGGGGATCTCATGGCCACTGTCCTGTGAGCTAAGACCCCGTTACTGTGTTCAAATAAGAGGCATGTATTATGGTGCTAGGTGTGCTTAATTTCCTGGGCGTTTGGCCTGCCCACTCTGCATATGGGCAAACTGGGGCTCCTTCTCTCAGGTGAGAAGCTTTCTGCCGTTGCTGCTGCTGGGCGAGCACCTCTGCCTCACCTTTGCCCTTCCCCGACTCCACCATACTGCTTGCTCCTGGCAGGGCGACAGTAGCAGATGTTAGGGCCAACGGCGGGGTCAAGCTGGGCATCTAGGGTGTCTACATCTGCTTAAATGAGGTGTCTTGGTATACTGGCTGCTATAATTTGAGGGGCCCTTTTTTGGCAAGCGTCTCCTGAAAGTCTGCAGGGTGCTGCGCTATTATTAACAGAATTTCCCAGGTGATCAAAGTGATCTCACGGGGCATCTCATACATTTGCGCCTCCAACTTGTACCAATAAGGAGGCACTAGCCTAAAGAATTAAAAATGCAGCTGTGCTCTTCTCCCCCAGGCCTCCCTGGGAGTGATGATGCAACCCTCACCTGCTTTTCCACGTTGAAGGAGTGGAAGTTGTAATCGTAAGTCAGCTCGGTGCCGGCAGGCATATCCTTCAATGCATACAGCCCAATTCTGTAGACACCGTTGACGGACCTGCAGGCGGAAAGGGAAGAGGATGTGCTTGCAGGTCCTGGAAGCGTATTATACCTCAGTTGGAAACCAATGTCTCCCCCACCCCACCCCCAAAACGGTGCTCCAGGAAAGGGGCTGGAATTGTGGCTCAGTTCGCTTGTAACCATGGCTTCCCTGGGTCTGACAGAGCAGCAGGCATCAGATCTTAAAAAGTTACACAGCTGTTCTTAAGATGGCCAGCTGGAATGAGAGACGGTGTCCGTCTACACCAGGGGTTGGCAAGGTTTACCTCGCCTGGGCTGGTTAACTCCAGCGGAGATCCCTCTGCGGGGCCGGATTGTGAGCACACGCCCCTACGATTTCTGGTGTCTACGCAGACATGATTTCCGGCACCACGGAAATGAGTCCCTGCGCTGCGCCGGTTTAGCGCAGCACGCGGGGACTCGCCGAGAGGGCGGCTCGGTTCGGGGGCGGCTTGGGGGCCAGTTAAACCCCCATGGGCCGCTTAGGGGCCTTAGGTTGCCTACCCCTGGTCTACACCCTCTAAACTGGTTGACAGCTCTACTCAGAACTGGGGCAGAGAGTGAGGCAGGGGAGAAAGAAGAGGGACCCCAACCTTCAGGCAGACACTGTTCTTTTAGAGTTCTGTGTGCAGCACTTTAAAATAAACCAAGTACTGTACACACAGATGCACACACCTAGGGACTGGACACAAGCGTAGGCCATCAGTTTTATAAAGGTACTAAAAGGCTCCGTTGTTGCCATAGCAAAAGCAATGAAAACTAGCAAGGCGACCCCCTCTGGAAGCTCTTACCATTTCTGCATCTCACAGTTTGGGTTGCAGCTGTGGTTGATGAAGCGCGCCTCGTTGCCCATGCGATAGCTGTCAATCACCATCCCGCTGTCGAGGTTGAGGCAATAGTGATCGCTGTGGTTGTGGTACTGCTCGATCATCCGGTTCCTAAAGAACAACGTGGGACAGTGCAGCTGGTGAAATACTCCCCGTCCTCTTGCTCTTCTGAACAAGGGCTGTGCCACGAACACTTCTCCTCCACCCACAGCGTTGCCCACGGCTTACCTGAACTCCTGCTCGCTGACCACTTCTCCCAAGTACTCGATGATGAACTGCCCAGCTTTCAGGGGCTCTTTTGTGCGGATGCCCCAGCCTTTCTCCTCGGCCCGGAAGCGCTCCAAGCACTGCACCCACTCATGCCTCTGGATCCGCTGGTTGCAGCACTGCTCCCCGCAGGGGCAGGTGTTGGGGGAGCACTCAGCGAAGATCATCCTGAAAGCAGAGGGAGGGCAGGCTGGCATGTCAGCGTGGGCGCAGGGAAACATCAGGAACATCGGGGCCGCCTTTCCGACAAACCTTGAGGCTCATTTTCAGGGTTTATTTAAAAACCTGTTTTTATCCACGCTCCCTTCCAACTAGCTCAGCACCGTACATATGGTTCTCTGCTACCCATATTTCCCTAACAACAACTCTGCGAGGTAGGTTAGGCAGCCCTGTGTAGGGAAGTTTTTGATGAGTGATGTTTTACTGTGGTTTTATGATTTTTTGGAAATTATAAAACCCAATCAGATGGGTGGCATAAAAATAATAAATAAGGAGGAGGAGGAGGAGGACTGCATTCAAACAAAACCCTGACAATTAGCCATGGCCAGGTATGCAGTTTTGTATCCAACTGAAAAATGTTCCCAGCTTAAATTAATGGACCTAAATTAAACCTGCCCATTAATCTCAATGATTCTACTGTGAGTAGGGCTTAGCAGTGTGTAAGTTAAGGCTGAAGTGAGGGTTTGGACACCCAGGGCTTTTTATGTAGGGCCCTGAAGTCTGAAAATAGTGCACCCAGTACGTGATGCTGCCTCACCTTGCTACTTGTGAGAAGGAGGTCTCTTAATTTCCAGTGATTCTGTGTGTGCACACGGACATGTCTTCGGTTGCAGCATTAATTATGTTGCGGCCCTGCAACTCACCTGTTCAAGCAGTCATCCAAACAGCCGTTTCTGTTGCCATCCTCTGCCTTCTTGCAGTTGCAGGTCGTGGCCTCGTAACCAGAAAGAGGCTTCACATCCACATAGACGTCTGCAGAGGGAAAGGAGGAGTGAAAAGTATCTATCAACTTCTGAAACAGAGCTCCTCCCAGTCTACAAACCTCTCTCCCGGCTCACCCACCCCGTTGACCTCAGTCCATAGAGAAAAGAGTAAAAGGCGGCAGCATAGGAGCGGGGCTACTGCCAGGAGGTCAAAGAGGGTGCGGTCAAGTGGAGATAAAAGGCTGGCAAGGCTCCACAATTGAGGAAACCATAAAACCAGGGCTATATAAACACAAAGCTACTTACTAGAACGGATTTTTTTATAAAGCGGGACGTCTGGCTTTTTATACAACTGGAAAGAAAAGAAATAAGTGTTCTTTATCGCTTTGCAAGACAACAGCAGAATAAAAATTAGCATTTTCCCCAGAAAGGAAGGTTTGATTTATGCCTGACAGAGCCTAATGAAGAAAAGCCTTTGTTACAAGAGCACCAGAGAAAGGTTTTGATCTTATTTTTTTGTTTTTTAAAAATGAAAACATTTATTGGCCTGGATCCAAAGAGCCACGAGGGGAAGGAGAACATTTCTTAGCACTGTTCTAAAACCTCATGCAGTTCAGTGCCACAGTTCAGTGTGTTACACTTGTGATGAAAAACAGAAGATACAAAGGTGTGGCACATAGAATCCAGGGGGCCATTAAGATGATGTTGAAAAGGGCATGTGAGAACATCTTGGCTGGGAGTCCTGGAAGACATGCTCCCTGCCTGGCAGGCCTTTTCCACCAGGCCTGGGAGGGGAGAGCCCTGGCTGACTCCAGCTACAAAAAGCTGAGACTGCTGAGCAGACTCGTGAGCTGGGGTGTTTTCTGAGGTGTTGCTGTTGCAGAGAGAGATGTTGCTGTTGTTCTTTTGTATCTTTATTTTAGATCTTGTTGTGATTCACATGGAAACCATTAAGTTTGGTTGTGTATTTTTTTAACGTTTTATTTATTGCTTATGACCACTTTTGTTATGTTGTAGTCATGCATTTGTTTCATGTTGTAAGCCGCCTTGAACACGGTTTGAACTGTGGAAAGGCGGTCTACAAATAAAATTATGTATGTGCAAAGTTTTCCACAACACTTTGCACGGGTGGAGGAGCTTCTCTGGGTTGTCATCGTTTTTCTGGCAATGCATGGAGGCAGCCCTTCTATGAACATAGGCAACTGTCTTACAAAGTGGAACCTTGGTTCTCAATCTTAATCCATTCCGGGAGTCCGTTTGACTCCCAAAACCATTAAAAAACCAAGGCGTGGCTTCCAATTGGCTGCGGGAGCTTCCTGCACTCAAGCGGAAGCAGTGTTGGACATTCGGCTTCCAAAAAACGTTTGCAAACAGGAACACTTACTTCTGGGTTTGCAGCATTTGGGAGCTGATTTGTTTAGGAGCCAAGCCATTTGAGTACCAAGGTACCACTGTACTGAGTGAGACCACCAGGTCCATCTAGGACACTGACTGGCAGCAGCTCCCCAAGGTTTCAAGCAGCCCTACCTGGAGATACAAGGATTCTGAATGCTCCCCCATGAGCTACGGGAGTGGAACAGACTTTAATGCCAACTGAAGAGGATCTTTGGACCCAAGCCACAATGTTCATTTCCCTATTTTAACTGTAGGGCTCCCCAATCCAAGAAAGCAACCAGCTCTATACTAACTTCAGTTTCAGAAATGTTGCAGGACCAGGTGGTCCCAGAGTATCCACGGGGCTCCCAAAGCCTCGCAGCTTTGTCTATATGGGGAAGCCTTTTCACAACCCTAGTATAAAGCACCTCTGGAGCAGTTCAGCAAAAAAAATAGACAGACGCTTATACTCGTTTCGAGCGCCATATCAAAGAATCCAACAAATATGCAGCTTCTTGACTAAAATCAGCACGGCCTATTTTGGGGCAAAGACATCATTCCCTCTAAAAAAGAAGAAGCAGAATCCAAAACCAGTTTTGTCAGAGACAGACGTGCTTGGAACCAGCTACTATCTGCTCCTTTTGACAATACTTAAAGATGCCTGTAGATCTCATTATGGAGTTTCCGTGCAACATGTTAGGAATGCGAAATGAGGAAATGTAAACTGTAAACCATGCAAGCTTTGCAATTAGTAAATATATATATATTTTTAGAGAGGGGGCTGAATCACTGAACAGAATGGGGTGGGTGGGAACAATTCCTTGTTTCTATAGCATACTGCTAAATAAAGTGGGCAACAGGAAAAAGCAGATGCTTAATTATAACACACATTGTCCCTTCTGGACTGCATACATACAGCCCAGTACATGGAATCCTGGGAACTGCAGTTTTCTCCAAGCTAAAATTCCCAGCACCCTCAACCAACTTCAGTTCTTGGTATTCTTTGTGGGGGAGAGCCATGTGCTTTCAAATGCATGGGGTGTGTACGCAGCCCTGGATTTCAAAGTGCTCCACATCCACTAGTCCTCAGTAATCCTAAAAATAGTCCTCAAAGGGAAGCTGGTGTTATTAACCCCACCATGCAGGTGTGGAGCCCAGTGGGAGAGGGCAGGGCTGGCTGGAACCCTGAGCTGGAGCGCTGCTTTTCATTTAGTAGTAATGCTGAGGTATGCTTCTCAGTGCATCACCATTTTAGGATTAATAATGTGCATCAGCATTATTATGTATAAATCAAAAGTGAAAATGTGAAAGTGGGTCCCATGTTGCAGGTTGTGAGTCAAAGGTGGGTCTTGGGTTTAGGCCAGGCTTTCTCAACCTCAGCCCTCCAGAGGTTTTTTGGCCTACAACTCCCATGATCCCTAGCTAGCAGGACCAGTGGTCAGGGATGCTGGGAATTGTAGTCTCAAAAACATCTGGAGGGCCGAGGTTGAGGAAGCCTGGTTTAGGCCCACTGAAGTCCACTGATCTGGAGTAAGAGCAGAGGCTAGGCAAAATCCCACTGCAAAACCTCTGGTGGAAACCTTTTGTCAGAAGGAATGCCACCCTATTTTTAGCCTAGCCCATGGACGAATGAGGGAGCTCTTTAGAAAGAACGCAAGGCGGGCTATTCAGTGCGTTCCTTCTGACCCCCAAACATCAGCTTCTAACTGGAATAATAACAATAATAATAACAATAACAAAAATAAACCAAACCTCTACTCTCTTTGCTCGGGACTGGGTCCAAGAAAAATAAGGCCTGAAATTTTTCAGCACTGCTGGCAGAACATCTGAATTCTCCAGAGGCGTGTCAAAAAAACAACACAAGATCCCAGAAGCAGAAGCAGGCAGGCACTATCAGAATAAGAGTCCCCAGTAGGATTAAGGGTGGACGCTTTCTGAGAAGCAAAACTGCTGCTAGTTTGAAAGCAGCGCTCTCTCTGTGTGTGCATGTGTGTGTGCAGGCGAAGAAGGATGGAGGGAGGCAATGGAAATTGTCTGCATTAAATATATATTCAAGGATTCCCACCCACCCAGCCTCCTCCCTCAGCTGCAACATCAGCAAAAGACTCCTGAATGCACAGCTAGTATCAGTGTAGCAGCAGCAGCAGCAGAAACCATTTGATTCTCCTCAAGCATCTTGGAATGCAGCCTTGGAAGGAAGTGACTTTTTAAAAAAAGATAGTCCCCTACCTGATTATGTTTCCACTGCCAAAGAATGTCATAAGGCAACTGGAAGTCTATTCGCTTTTGGCGTAGGTATTTCCCTGCAGTGGGGGGAGGGGGAGGGAAGAAGAAATACAAAAGTCGTGCATTTATTCTTTCCTAAACACATGCACCATGAACAGAGCTTGACTGGCAGAAGCAGACCAAAGACGTCTTGGCGACTGAGGCAGAAAATACGAAGGTCCCTGCCACACATACTAATTAACCAGGTGTAAAATGCACCAGTGAAGTTCGTCCTGGTGCAGCTCTTAATTGAAATGAAGAGGAACAGTGGAAGAACGGAACGGTCCTGGCTGGATCAGACCACGGGACCACCTGCTTCAGCATCCTCCCTCACACAGTGACCTACCAGACGCCTCTGGGAAAGCGCAGGGCATCAAGGCAACAGTCCTCTCCTGTCCCTTAGCCAATGGCTATTCAGATATGGTGGGGCTGTCTCTGAATGTGGATGCTTTTTTAGCCCTGGTGACAAATGGCCACCGATAAGCCTATCCCTGTGGATTTTTATAATCCTTTGCAAGGACCCATGTACTCATAAGAACAGCCCAGCTAGCAGCCATGGGGTGGGGCTACTCCATCTCCACAGTTTTCCCTATTCCACCTTTTCAATTTAAGTGGGGAGCCATCGCTATCTCTGGCAGCAGCCAAGTCTACACATCAATGTCAATAAGCACTTTTCTCCTGCGGGTTTCGCTGGGGAACCCTAAAGAACAGGCACTATATGTGAGAGAAGGGAAGACTAAGTTCTCCCTTTGCCTTGTGCGGTTTTGAAAAGCTCTAATTGTAGGGCTGGGGAACCTGCAGCCCTCCAAGATGCTGAAGGGACAACAACTCCCATCGTCCCTGGGCCACTGGACCTGCTAGCTGGCACAGATGGGAATTGGAGTCCATCAATGTCTAGAGGACCACAAGTTCCTCCGCCCTGCTCTATCATGTCCTTTCTGCAGCCATCTTCCCCCTAAAGTAGGTGTGGGGACCTTTGGCCGTCCTGATGTTGTGGAACTTCAACTCCCAACATTCTTGGCCATGCATACGAAGGCTGATGGGAGTTGTAGCTCAGCAACATCTGGAGGGCAAGAGGATATCCACACCTGCTTCTAAACTAGACAGAACAACACCACAACAGCACTGAGAGTTAGTTTTCCATAGGGCTGATCTTCTTCTATGACCCATGCTGGCTTCTTACAGACCAAGGTGCCGTTTTGTGAGCAGCTGAGCCCTGGACTGAGAACCAGCGTCCACATTCCTGCAGGCTGAGCAAATGCACTTTGTTCAGCAATGACTGGGCTATGAGCAGCCATCTCGCAAATCTAAGACCTGGAGAGTGTGCTCCACTGCTCCAGCCCACGTTTCCAGAGGCTGCTTGCCAGAAAGTGGCACTTGAACTGATAGCTTGCAAAGCCAGGGAAAATAATATGATGCACTGTATTGATCAGACAAGACTGGAGGCCCGACCCCTAGTTATTTATAACAAGCCTGGCAGATACAGAGACTTCATGCCGCCCGGGTGCCACTATCCTTTCCCCGCTGTCCCTGAAGAGAGCCCTGAAAGTTGCAGAGACGCAAACTAAGGCCCGGGGGGCCGGATCCAGCCCAATCCTTCTAAATCCAGCCTGCGGACGGTCCGGAAATCAGCATGTTTTTACATGAGTATGATGCGTTCTTTTATTTAAAATGCATCTCTGGGGTTATTTGTGGGGCCTGCCTAGTGTTTTTACATGAGTAGAATGTGTGCTTTTATTTAAAATGCATTTCTGGGTTATTTGTGGGGCATAGGAATTCATTCATTATTTTTTTTCAAAATACAGTCCGGCCCCCCACAAGGTCTGAGGGACAGTGGACCGGCCCTCTGCTGAAAAGGTTTGCTGACCCCTGGTAGGCTGTGCTCAACACTGCTGTGTCTGGTTCCAGGCACCACAGCTCAAGGATACTGGCAAGCTGGAAGGTGTGCAGAGGAGGGCGACCAAGATGATAAGATATGGAAAACATTCTAAGGAATGGTTGAGTTGAGTTCATTTAGGCTGGAGAAGAGAAGGCTGAGAGGTGACATGATAGTCATTTTCAAATATCTGAAAGACTGTCACACAGAAGATGGAGCAAGCTTGTATTCTGCTGCTCCAGAAGGTAGGACCCAAACCAATGGATTCAAATGTCCTGAAAGGAGATTCTGATGGTAAGAGCTGCTCAGCAGTGGAACTGACTACCTCTGAAGGTGGTGGAGTCTCCTCCACTGGAGGTTTTTAAACAGAGCTTGGAGGATCATCTGTCAAGGATTATTGAGCTGTGATGACTGCATTGCAGGTGGTTGTGACGACAGAACACTTGGGGTCTCTTCCAGCTCAACAATTATGTGATTTAAAGCACATTCTCCCTCTCTCCCAGCAAAATAATCCTGGGAACTGTAGTTTACAATCCACAGCACCCTTAACAAACTAAGTTCCCAGGATTCTTTGAGGTGGAGGGGAATGTGCTTTAAATGTATGCTGTGCACACAGCCTTAGTCCCCAACCAGGACATTCTCAGCTCGGACCTCAAAGTCCCAGACAACCCAGCTTCAATGATAACAGAGATTACAGCTCCTAACTTAGAATCATAGAGTTGGAAGGGACCCTGAGGATCATCTGGTCCAGCCCCCTGCACTGCAGGAATATGCAGCTGTTCCTTACGGGGATCAAACCTGCAACCTTGGCATTTATCAGTTCCACGCTCCAACCAACTGAGCTACCCAGCTTCCTCCTCTGAAGGTTCACCAGAGCTGTAACCTGAATGTTTTCAAGACAACAGACACATGTAAGCTTGTCTGAGCAGGCATTAGGTGGCAAGGAGTTTCACGGTGTTTGAACCATGCCAAGATAAGCAAGGCAAATGAGCTCAAACAAAAACAAACTGCTAAGCCTTAAAAGAAGAGAGAGCCACCTTTCACCCTCTGTTAGGATGCAACAGCAAAGGGGAGCAAAGGGAGGCAAGCAAAGCCCAGAGGGGTCAGCAGGGCACCCCTGGCCTTGGCTTTCCTCTGATGCTGCAGGCACCTCTTCTCGCTTCTGAAAAACTATTTTTTAGTGCGGGGGGTGGGTAGGCTGGTGGGGAGAGAAGAGCAGCTGTCATGTTGTCTTTACAACTTGCTCTTAAAATTTGTTCTTATTTTTCAAAGCCTCAAGTTGTGCTTGGCGAGTTCCAGGAAGCAGCAAAGTCCACTGGGAATCTGTTTTCACTTCTATGACCTCACTGGCTAAAACAAAAGGCTCTTTCAAGGGCCTGGCAGCCAGCCCAGAGAGTAGGGAGTGCTCTCTCTCTCTCCCTCTCCCCCCACCTCAATAAAAGGAGGCACCCAGACAAGGAGTTAGCCCAGCAGAGAAATAATCCTCCTAACATGATTGGGGAGGCGAGACTGCTCTGTCTTTACGCCAGGCAGAGTCATTAAAGCTGCCTTATCTTAATAGGACATGTTTGTTTGTGTCTCCTGGCGCAAATAAACTGGAGGGCCGTGACCTGGCGAGGGATTGGGGGGGCGGGGCGGGGAAGGAGCGCAAGCCCAAGGCACAAACAAGTCTCAACCCTTAAATAAGGAAAAAAACGGTCCCTGGGGTTGGAATACACTCAAGCTGGATCACTAACAAGGCTGCTCAAGTTAAAGGAACTAAATAAACCTTTCTCCTCGAGTCTCTCCACAAACAAGTGAGATGCTTGAACTTTCTGCCTTTTCGCTTTTACAGACTAGCACAGCTACCCTGCTATAGAAATGGTTCTCAAACTTTTTTCTCCGGGCCACACTTTAAGAATAAAAATTTGTTCGCACCACAGTGAATTTTTTTATTGATAAGACATGCATTGGAAAACAAAAAGATCACCACTACAGTGCAAAATGTTCCCAAGTTTCAGCTGTCACCCCTGCAAAGCAAGCTTTGAAAAGTGCAAGGTAACTTCAGCCACCGTCTTGCGGCAGAACAGGAGTGGGGTGGGAAAGCTGAACTCCACAGCGCATGGTACAACTGTCAATCCTATTTCCAGCACAAATCTAAGCACACAAATATTGGACTAGTATGGGCTTGCATTGTTCCCAAGAAAGCAAAGCGGTGCACCCCTAGGACTTTAAAGTCTCTAAAATCCCTCTCGACTGCACATTACCTACAGCATTTTAGAGGAGGGTTTCACGACCCCCCTCCCCAAATGAGTGGCTGTCCGTTGGCCCAGAAACAAGGATCTTGAACCCATACTAGGAATTTCCTCCTTTGGGGCTCGATTCAGGCACCCACCCCCTGTCTCGCAAGTACCCAAATGATAACCTGGGGGCCATTCACTTCCTCTGGCGGAGAGGACGCATGCAGGGCGCATTCAAAGCATGCACAGAGAACCCACTCACCCACGTGGATAGGTGCCGGGAACAATCCATACTCGTGCTCCCCAGGAGTGTACTCCAATTTTTCCTTCTTCAACTGGATCAGTCGGCTTTTGGGGCTGGGGATGAAAGAGAGAAGAAGCAACTGAGTGATCGTAGAAGACTGTGCTGTGTCACCGGGGTCTGCACCCTTCACCACATTCCAGAGGCAACATAGCACAACAGGGGAGAGCGTGACCTGTGAGCCGCAAATCTCCACTTGGAATCTTCCCTCTGTTTTGAATTCCGTTTGCGGCTTTAGGCAGCAGAGGCTGGTCCATTAATGTGAATGGGGGCACTGCCACACCAACTGCGGTCTGACCTAAGCTATCCCCACCACCTGGCCTTGCCTTCTTCCTTACAATCAATGGGTGGCAATGCCTGTCAGCTTCCTCCTCCTTAGCCTCAGTGTTGCCCCACAGAACTAAGCAGGGAGGAGGATGGGGACAAGGCTACAGTAAGCTGGTTCTGCCTGTCATTGGCACTGGTTCCACCACCTGCTGGGCACTTGCCTTCCTCCCCACCAGTCCCAATGGGCACCAGCCACAACTGGCTATAGGTAAGCTATTCTCTCAGGCTGGGGTAAGAGGGTGAGGTAATAACCACTGCTGAGCAATCTCAAGACTCACTCCAAAGACAGCCAAGCTCAATTTTGGTGAAGGGGTTTAAATGCTTGTGGAACAGTGCCGTTCTGCTACAGCCCAAAGCAATAGCTCAAAACGCGACCATCGTCATAAATGAGTTGACATGGCTAAAGGGAGCTTAGTAGCTGGACTGGAACTTAGAGCAGCGATACCTCTCTGCAACTGATGAGAATTTCTCTCTTTTTTTAAAAAAGCAACAACAAAACCCTCAAAGTATCACAAGCTTCCAGTGCTAATGATTACAGAGAAATGTGCAAAGGTCATTTTCGTAGAGGAAAGAGGAGCAAACTGACATTAAAATAAACCAAGCCTAACCTCGACATTCCATTGTCAGGTTCATAATCTATTAAAGAAACACTCTCTAAATGGTAATACTGTACAGCCACAGGGCACTACGTCCACTAACTTCAACCTGGCACATTCACGGTAAAAGGCCTGCAGATTTAGCCAGCCGCATGTAACTAAAACCTGCAAATTAGGAGTAGTCCTAAAGCTCTTAATTTATTTTCAGTGTGTGCAGCAAATACTGGCTGATAGAACTGCCCTCTGCTGACCTACTTTCAACAAGCCTCTATACCGCCTGTGCAGCAGTAAACTGTACTGCCACAAGAGGGTACTGTACCATTGTAATAATTAGGTGTGCAGGCCCAAAACTTCTCCAGCACAACCCCAAACAAGAAGCAAACACTGGTAGGGCCAAGGGGGGTACATTGCTCTGGACATCCTGAGAGGGGTCAGGGCCCGATTTTGCACCATCACAACCTCTGTCTGACTGGGATGGAGGTCACACCCACCCACGGCAGCTTTTTCCGCCCTCTCGCACAGCAGGCAAAACCATTTATGAAGTTCCGTTCTGACAGTCTGAAAAAACCCCAGCTTTTAAGGAGGGCCTCAAGGTTGAATAGACAACACTTATTAAACGCTTTTCCGAGGGCACCAAAACGCACACAGTTTTTAACAGAAGTACAGTTGTACCTTGGATCCTGAACGCCTTGGTACTTGGGACGTTTTGGCTCCCAAATGCCGCAGACCCGGAAGTAAGTGTTCCAGTTTGCAAACGTTGGAATCCGAATGTCCCGACGGGGCTTCCAATTGGCTGCAGGACCTTCCTGCACCCAACCAGAAGCCGAGCTTTGGTTTCCAAACGTTTTGGAAGTCGAATGGACTTCCAGAACGGTTTCCATTCAACTTCCAAGGTGTGACTGTACTTGCAAAACTCTCCAGTGGCAAGACACCATCCTCTCTTAGGAGGAAGATAGACCTCTCCTGAGACCAGTGGCTGGTGTGGCACATGTGCACATTTCCCCCCTTCAGAAAAATCATTTAATTATTAGCTCTCCACAAATTTGCTGACCGGTAGATTAAAACTCGCAGCCCCACTCTGGACAGGGTTGCACTCCCTTGGAAGGAGTGGGTGCAGAGAACTGGGGTACTTCTGGAACCCAACTTTGGGCCGGCTGGTCTTGGTGGCTGCATATGAGTCCAGCTAACTTGCCAGCTGTAGCCTGCTTTGGACAGGTTGACTTGGCCAATGTACTCGAGGCTCTGGTAAGCTCAAGACTGGATTATTGTAATGTGCTCTACGTGGGGCTGTCCCCTGGTCCAGAGCGCAGCAGCCAAGTTACAGGCTGGGGTGCCATCTAGAACTCCTGTTTTAAAGCAGCAGTTGCTGGTTGCCTGTTCGTTTCAAAGCCCAATTCAAGGTGTTCACAGAGATGACTGACTTAAGGTCTCAAATATGTGAGAGACCACCTCCTTTCCTGCAGACCTTCCCAGCCATTAACATCGGCAGGAGGGGGCCCTCACAGTTGCCCTGCCATCTTCCCAGTCTCAGAGGCTGGCAGCCAGCAAGAGAGCATTCTCTGTGGCAGCGCCAAAACCACAGAATTCCATCCTTGTAGAGCTACATCTAGTGTCATCGTTCTTCTGCTTTATTGCATGCTGAAGACATCTCTCTTTATCCTGGCCTTTGACAGCTGAAAAGTATTTCTGTTATCTACCTACAAATTGTTAATTTATCAGGTTTTTATTTGGTTTCGAATTGCATTATTTGTGCCATTGCAACCCGCCCTGTGATCTTAATGTGAATGGCAGGTAATAAATCTGATAACCAAATAAAATCAATGAAGCAATATTTCTTTATCTACACAACAGCCTTACTTTCAAGCAAAGAGGCCTGTTTCCACCCCCCACCCCGCAATTATCCCCACTGAACAGCTTTTATGGTCTGCGTTTGTGATGCTGAGCTCTATCTCATGGGAAGCTGCCTTATCCAGATACAGACCCACTGGTCCAAATAGCTCAGCACTGTCTCTTATACTGATCGGTAGAGACTGTCCAAGGTGTCAGGCAGGGGTCTCTCCCAGCCCTACCTATAAATGCTGGGGATACCTCCAACATATCAGTGTTAAGTGAACACATGGAAAGCGCCTGCCTTAGGTTTGCTCATTTTACCAAAGAAAAGAGAGCTTCCCCGGCACTCACTCTTCATCAGGAGCCATAAATATCATGTTGATGAGACTTATCCTCATCAATAACTTAAAAATACAGTGATTTGCATTTCAAATATCAGAATTCTGCTCAAGTGTTTGTGAAATGCTGACATAGTTGCCTTTGGAAACAGAAGGCTGACTGATAAAGATTTGGTATTTTTATTTCTATGAATGTCTGTGTCTATAATGTGTCATTTCAATGTTAGGATCTTTTTTAAGGAGATGTGATTTCAAAGTGCATGGTTTTTGGTTTGTTTTTCCTTTTAATGCAACCCTGAGGAATTTCCAATTTGCATATCTTTCACAAAAGGAGAATATGTTTTCGGGTTAATGCACCGCTAAAAGCTCCCTGTGTTTTTACTTTTGCAGGAACAATTCATCCCAGACTCAGTTCACTTCCCATGGAACACCTTTCTCCCTGAAAACTCTGCCATCGCCAAAGAACAATCAGAGGCCAAGTGGCAAAATTCTTCCTCACTTGGGGAAAAGCAATTTATGAGAGCGAACAGAGCTGCCAAAAGGGTTCTCAGGAGAGTAAGCCGCTCCCTGGTCTTAAGAGGAGATGCTTCCAATCCGTCTTTTAAACAAAAAAGGAAAGGAAATGCTGATGAGTCACACATCTTGTGAGCAAAGTATTCTTTAACTTGGCTACCATTCAGGAATTTTGCGTGTGGGCTCCAGAGAGGAGACGAAAAGTTGCATCAGATTGCATCCCAGAGCGACGGCATGCCTGCACTGGCTGTCTCCCTTGGGCTAATGCATGCTCAAAAAAACCAAGGTTTGTGCCAACTGGTGTATGAAAACTACAGCAACTCATGTTGCGGGGATGGTGGGGTCCAAACGTGCCAACCTGATGTGAATCATATTCTAATGGTTTCCCTATGTTCTCAAGGTATGTTACAAACACACACCCGGCGGCAACAGGATTTGCCACTGGGCCTCAGCCCACTTCCTCCTGAAAATGGGACCTTGGGCAAATCAGTCACTCAACGGGGCTGCACTGCTATGCGCTGTTCGGGAAACCGGTTAAATAGGACTGAGAGGAAAGTACTCTGGCAGAATCCGAGACCAGGGAGAAGAGTCGGTGGAAGAAGACTGGAAGAAATTTAAAGACTATTTACAGAAATATTGCAAAATTAATGAATGTTAGAATGATGTTGGAATGAAGCTAGGTAGTTTAAGCAGTAATGCTATAAAGGTGTATGTAAAAAAGGATTGATAACAGATGAAAATTTAAAGTTACAGTATATTAAGTTAAAGGATCATGAGAAAACAAAGAGGGAAAGAAATTGCTGACTTAACTAATTGAACTGGAATACAAAAAAGGGAGGTATGAGGAGGTCAAGGAAACAAGGATATGAATGTAAACTATGGAAAGATTGGTCCATTTTTCTTTTTTTTTCCTTTTTAAGTCTTTTATTCTTTTATTCTGTATTTTTCTTGTATTTTTACTTTTTGTTTTTGTGTAATTCCTTTTTTCTCTGAAATTTTAATAAATATCATTTAAAAAAAAAAAAGAGAGGAAAGTACTCCAATTTCCGAGTGCCCCTTTATGCAGTTGTTTAGAAGCAGCTGATTCCCAAAACCTGCCTCAAGAGAACCATAAAGAGGGGCTTCCCCTTTCGTGTCTCTCTGGACTAACCAGCCCAATATCAGTCTGCCATCTGGCCAGGATGAGCACATGAAGCTACACGGTCAGAAGATCACGACTGTCCCTGTGGCCTTGTGAAATTCTTCTTCCACATGCTACAACCACACCCCACTCTCATTTTCTCAATGGATCAGAGTGCAGCATTATGTTTGCTAAAGTGGGACACTCAGGGGCTGTATCTGAAATTAGCCAGGCACTGGGCGAATTTTGCACCTGGTTTTTGACCACTTGTGATCAAGTGAAGATGCCTAGGCACCAGGATAATACTTGAGATCTCCACCATCTGGAGGTGCATGCCTGGGGATCATTGGATGTGAACTGTTTTCACACACTACCGTGTAGAATTTCACCCCACCCTGTAGAATTCTATCGGTTATATATTATCTGCACAATCAAAATGAATTTCTGGAACCAGACCGAGCAGGAACAGTCACCATTAAGAAAAAGAGGTCATATAATAGGCCAATAAATATGTGGGCTGTCCCTGGATCGACTTTTCTTCTTTAAGTTCTCAAAGCTCTTAACCTAGCTCAAGGTTGTCCACTGAACTAGCCAGATGTTTAGCTGAGATTCAATCCCAGCCAGTCCATCATTTGAAAAATAAGACTTTAGCAGGGTCTTGACCCAAAATTGCAACTAGACATTCTGTTTTGGCAACTGTAAACTTGGTTTAAGGAGCCATTTGCCACCTAGTTTATATAACTGAGCTTCTGAATGCAATGAGTCTTCTAGGGCAGTGAAAGCAGGTCCTGCCCAACCATAAGGCAAATTGAGACAACTGTCTCAGGTGGAAGTCACAGCAAATTGGCACTCAAACATGCCTCCCCCACCGCTACCAGATATCCACAGAAGCCTTGCCTTGGCAATGCCTCTGCATGGCTTTCCTCCTCCTGTGACACTTTGAGAAAGGGCCACAGGGGTCTTTGCTCAGAGTGAGGCATCCTGGGCAAAATGGCCCCAAAAGTGCCAGTGCTTTCCATCAATAACATGGTAGAAAAATATGGATCCAAGGCACTCTCAGCATTCCAGATGTGCTCACAAAAGTTTCCAATCCCGGAGCCAAATGTTCCCCACCCCCGGCACCAATTTGCTTTTATCTCCACTACTATCTTCCCTTTCTTTCCATCTAATCTTTGACCTGAAAGGGCAGAGAAGGGTAGCTGTGGAGATTGTTATTGCTAAAAAAGAAAAGAAAAGAAAGTTTTAAAATGTAGATGTAATTTAAAAAAAAAAAAAAATTAATGTGCTTTATAACTTTGAGCTCCTTCAAGGATGGCAACTGAGCAACACGGCCAAGACTTCTAGAGGTCTCTCTCAGACCAGGGTTACCTGGGAAGGTCTGCAGTGTCATTGCAGGCCTGCATTTTCAATTTTTATGGTTCCAAGCGTCCTAATTCAGGGGGAGGTAATGGACTGACCTAGCAGGCTATGACATTTCAGCAGGTCCAACTTACTCGGTGGTTTTGTACACATCAGAGTAGAGCCCTGCCTTCTGATATTTCTTCTTTGGGGGGCGCGGAGCTTTCTTCTCACGCTGCACAAGGGAAGTCAGAGGCTGCTCAACATTCTCCAGCTCACGCGGCTTCACTATCGCCTCATCAGGAGGAGGGGACTCTGTTGTTGTCTCAGAAAAGCTGGAAAGGTGGGGGTAGGGGGAAAGAAACCAGGAAAGGTAAGCAGACCAGCAGCAAGTATGGCAGGAGAAAAATTATGCAGTGAGTATGCATCATTCAGGGGCAGAGTATGCATTCTGCATGCAGAAGGTCTCAGGTTCAGTCTTTGGCATCTCCGGTTCAAATAACCTTGGTTGCCTACCAGACACCTTGGAGAGGTGGCTGCCAGTCAGAACAGATGATACTGTGCTAGATGGGCCAGTCATCATCATCTGTATGCTGCTTCTGCACAAAACTGTGCCCAGAGTAGCTCCAACAGCTCAGGCTTCCCCAACCTGGTGCCTTCCAGATGTTTTGGACTACAACTCTCATCAGTCCCAGCCAGCAAGGGAATTATAGTCCAGAAACATCTGGAGGACACCTGGTCAGGTACGGCAGTCATAGCCAAGGCCTTACTTGCCAATGATACCAGGTTCAATATCTGACAGCCGTTGTCGAAAAGACCTTTACCTGACATCTTGGGAGAGCTACTGCCAGCCTGAGTAGGCAAGATTGGGCCCAAGAACCAATGGTCTGATGCAGCTTTGTGTGTTCAAAGGTCAGCTGGTGCATAATTCCCTTCTTCAGTGGTCATGATGCTGTCTTTGTTTTTATTTTATACTGTATGGATCACGAGGACTAGAAACTTTTATGCACAGCTACAACAATTCTGTGCAGCTCAGATACGGGAAGCTTTGGCCTCGTCAGTTGCTGCTGAACTGCAACTCCTATCACCCCAGCCATCAGGCAATACTTGCTAGGGCTGATGAGAGTTGTAGCTCTGCAAAGTCTGGGAGGGCCAAAGGTTCCCCACACCTGGTGCAGCTGAAGCCCAACCAGTAGCGTTCACATGTAGAGGGATTACCTTTTATTGCTCTCCTGCTCGTCATCTGGTAGAGGCTTCTGCCTTTTCCGGGCCTGCTCCTCCTCTAGCCACCTCTTCCTCTTCCAGCCTTTCACATTAACCCCCTGAACCACCGATTCTATGGCATCAGTAACCGTGTCAGGACTGCAGTGGAGCAAGCAGCCTTGGCCCCCGCCGTCCAGTTCTTGGCTGACAAAGCGGCTCACCTGGAGGGCGTGGACTGAAACCACTGAGGGCAAGGGGTACTTCCTGGGCCGACCGGGCCGGCGCTTCACAAAGTTATTGCCAGTCCGCGCCTGCCTCTGCAGCTTCTTGGCTTTGAGGATTTTGTTGACGTGGTCCAGGTTTTTCTTAGTGGCCAAAAGCTTGTCGTAATTGCACATTTTCCTCGCCTGGCACTGCATGGCTTCCACCATGCTCCTCTTGAGGTGATGGGGGGAGTAGCCGCTCAACAACCGGTCTGAAAGGAGCGAGATGCCGTCGCCACCCGCGTTGCCCGGAATCAAGAGCCCACTGCTCTTCTCCCTGCTGGGGCTTCGGCTGGGGCTACCTGAGGGCAGAACAGGTGTGTGCGTCATGACGGCCTCAAGGGTCTTGTCCAGGGCACCCTGGCTTTCATGTTGAGCCATGCGCTGCAGTAGATTATCCACAGGATCTTCCACTGCAGTCCCAAGCCTTGTACTTCGTGAAGGAAGCGCGGCCACTGGAAAAGGAGAAGAAACATCAGGAAGCATAAGCAGGTTCGGATTTTCATTTATCCACTTATTTTAAATACATATATGCCACATCGGTTTGAGCAGATGAAATAGGATAACTTATAGTACAAACACACCCTCCAACTTTAGCAGCAGCAGCAGCAGCAGCAGCAGAATCAATAATTAAAAGCCTTCTGAAAAAGACAGGCCTTTAATCACATGACTGTAGGTGATGGGGCCAAGTGGGCTTCTCTGGGGAGGACTTTCCACAACAATGGAGCCATGACCGATAACACCCTGACGCAGGTAGCAAAAGGATCTAGGGCTTTAGAAATAACAACCAGTACCCTGAACTGAGCCCAGAAGCAAGTAACTAACTAACTAACTAACTAGTCATTGATGATGGAACAACATTGTGCTCCAGCCAACCAGCTGCACTCCAAATTCCAGCAGTATCAGAGTTGGACCAGTTGAAGTTTCCCGACTCTTTTCCAGTAGTCTAATCAGGAATTACAAATGCTTGAATGATAGCAGTGAGGTCTACTTCAAGAAAGGGTGCAGCTGGTAAGCCAGCCTAAGCTGGTTAAAAGCTTTCTGATTTTTTAGGGTTGTGTATGGCCATCCTCACACTGTGCTCCTTTGAGGAGGGTGAAATTATCTGGGATTCCTCGCAAGCACACCATCTGTTGAGGAAATAGAGGGGCCTAAGCAGCTGCACTAACCGATGCTAATCCAGCTACACAACGTGGCTTTGGGGGGGGGGGGGAGATGCTGAGTCTCGATAGTCTGCCCTTGAACTGGTGCTCCCGTTTTTGGAAACGATCCAAGAGGATCCAGGCAACCCCAACTGCATGAGCCTGGTAACAGCTGCAGCGCTAGGCAGGGAAGACCAGAGAGCATTTGATTAACAAAGGAAGTTGTTCGTAAGGCTACGGTGCCTAGGGAGGATTTCACGGTGAGGATGGGCAACATCAGCAGCTTTCATTATCGCATTCTGACCCCTCCCAATCTACATCGCTTCCTCCCGACCGCAATCCAATTCTAACACTGTCTCAACCTAACCTCACTCTCCTCATCTGTCTCGCATGGTGTCAACTGCTTAAAATGCCACCTGCTGCTATCTTTCCAGCTGCGGCTCAGCCTCTCTGTACCAGCCGACAGCTGTAGCCCAGCCACACTGGCAGCACAACGGTACTTTAGGCCACAACATAAGCTTTCCCCAACCCCCTTTGGTTATTTCAGTTTAATTAGAGTAAGGATGGGGTGGGGATGAAGACGAGAATCAGGAATAAATGTAAATGAATAAAAAGTAGGAGTCACATTAATCACTTGAGGGAACTGAAAGATGACCACAGATGTGGACTAAAATTCATGGAGAATCCCACCTGGGACTTCCCCTTATCCGTAAGACAGGACACTCTTAGGCCTGTTTTTAATTGTTGCTGTTTTAATTGTTGCTGTTTCTACAATTTTTTATATGATGTTTTACTCACATGCTTAAACAGAGTTTTTATGCCGTTTTATTGCTTTTTGTGCTGCTGTTGCATACTGCTTAAGAGATTTTTAAAATAAGCAATTGAGACAGATTTATAAATACGTACATTTGTAATTTGTTTTTAGTGTTGCATTTTTAATTGCTGTGACTCACCCCAAGCCATTAGGGGTGAAGGGAAGGGGAGAATCATAGACTTGTAGAGTTGGAAGGGTCCATGCGGGTCATCTAGTCCACCCCCCTCCGGTAATGCAGGAAACTTTTGCCCAACATGGGACTTGAACCCACAACCCTGAGCTTAGGAGTCTCATGCTCTACCAACTGAGGGAAGGGTAATAAATCAAATTATTATTATTTATTATTAATAATAAATAAGACTTCTTCCAAGCTTCCTCCTGTGAAGAATGACACAAGCAGAAGGACCTTTTGATGTCTCCCTGATGCAGTGACCCTAAAAGTGCATTTTTTAAGGCCACTGGCTAGGCAACTTGATTGGGTGGTTGACCCGGGAGCAATATAGGGCACATCCATGGCTGCCCAGCAACCACAAAAGTGACCATACCCACTTCCTCTTCTCTTCCTATGCAGCATTAACCTTTACTCAGCCCACCTGGCATAAAGACTGCTAAAAAGCGGCACACCTGAAAACACCTTAAAGTGAAGGTGGTAGCTGGAAGACAAGTAACAACAACTCAACTGGTGCAGGAGTCGGATTAATTGATGAGCTCTGTAGTACTCCCTGATGCACTCTGAATAGAAGTTTCACCATGGAGCGGTATCTATTGCCATCTTGCTGTTAACCAGAAGGCTGGTGGTTCGAGCCCGCCCAGGGATGGCTGTGGGCAGGATTCCTGCACTGCAGGGAATCGGACCAGCTGGCCCTTGGGATTCCTTCCAACTCTACGATTCTGTGATTCTTCAGCACCGAGTTCCAAAAGGAGTCACAAGCCTACTGACTCCCCATTTATTTTATAATTTCTACCTCACTTTTTACTCATTTGAAGACAACACCCAAGGCAGCCGCACTGCTGACATATTGAAGTTAATACAGCGGCTACTGAGAAATCCAACTCCTGTGCATCTGCTGGGCTTCCAGCGTGGTGGGTTTTTAATTGACGGAAAGCTGATTGCCTCCCATGAAGCAGATTGTGCCCAAAGGATCCATGACCAGCCCTTCTAGATTATCTAGCAGAATAACAAGCACAGCATAGAATTTTAGAGTGGGGATGGGGAACCTATAGCCCTCCAGATGACGCTGGATGCCAACTCCCATCATCTATGACCAGTGGCTATGTTGGATGGGGCTGATGGGAGTCCAGCAACATCCAACATCTGGAGGGTCACCAGGTTCCCCACACCTACTATACACTTCTCTAAGTGTGTTTAATATGAGATCCCAGATTGGCTGGGACATAGGCGTAGGTCAGAGATGGGGAATCTGTGGCCTTCCAGATGATGCCTGATCACTGGGCCATGCTGCTGAGGCTGATGGGAGCTGGTCCAACAGCATCTGGAAGCCCATGGGATCACTATCCTCATTTGAGAAGCAGCAGGAGGTTTATTTGCCTGTAGAAGATGTGCTCTCGGATGAAGACCTCTTCCTGGAGGGGCTGCAGCTCGTGCCCTCCGATGGCCTCTGCAAGGGTTTGTCTTGTGCTGGAAGATTTCCTGGCAAAGGAGAAAAGTGTGTCAAAAAGAAACAGAAGGTTTTTAAGCTGTGCTTACCAATGTCAGAAAAGAATCAAAAGGAACCACAAGATCAGCGTTTCCCAAACTTGGGTCTCCAGCTGTTTTTGGACTACAACTCCCATCATCCCCAGTGGTCAGGGATGATGGTAATTGTAGTTCAAAAACAGCTGGAGACCCAAGTTTGGGAAACGCTACACTAGATGAACCCCTGTGGTTTTGTGTTCAGCTGAAATGAAGCCTAGGTATGCATTCAGCCCTTGCTTTCCTCCTTCCTCTTCCTCCCCCACCTTTTAAACTGTAAGCGCCTTGGGGCAAAGACCTGGCTCCCCTCCATTTGCATCTTGTGCTATTTTTCTAAAGTCCAAGCACATCAATAATAACAAAGTGGCCTTTGACACTTGAGATATATTCAAGACCCATCCTAGTGACTTTATTTTTAACTGTTTTCAATGCTGTATTTTGTTTTGCTGTAACCCACACTGGATCCTTCTGGGGAACAGAAGTTTTAAAAAATCTGTCTAATAACGGCAACAACAATAGGCAAAAAAAAGGGGGGGGAGAACACAAAATGGAATATAGAGCAGACAAGTTCTATTTGGACTCCGGTGCTGCAGCTGAGAAAGAGGAAATGTTTTGATCTAAAAGACCACCAGGTGAGAGGCAGCATTTACAAAAACATGTCAGAAGGCTCCAACCACCACTTAAGAGGAGCTCTCCACGGCTGCTTTCTCTCTCCATCACTCCCTTCTGTCCCATCCATCCTTCCACTGAAAGGAACACCTGGCACATCTGGTTTAATGAAATTCGATTTCTCAGTTTTCCTTTTCCCACTGCTCTACTGACATCCAGAGAAATTGGTTCAACACCCCACCCCAGTCCACGCACAGCATTTTTTATCCCCCACCTCTAAGTGTCTCTTGTACTCTTCCACCTGGAACTTTGGGGGAATGGGGAGGGAAACACACCAGAGAGTATTTAAGTGTCACAACAGCATGTTAGAACTTGGATACACACACACATGTTGTTCATCCTTTCCCCAGCTTATCACAAACAGCAGCCTGAGATTCTTCCTCGAAAAATATGAACTTCTTTCCATTTCTGCATAATAATCCTGATGTCTACATACTTTCCCCCCTTAAGCCCAGATAATACTATTGCCATGCTGATGGCTTGTATTTTCAGCTTTTGTATCTTCTCCCTCCTTCTAAGTAGCAAAAAGCTAAGTAATGCCTAGGGACAGTATCTCCAACACTGTGCGTTATTTGAAAGGATTGTTTTACTAAAATAAAAGGCCTTTATCAAACCTTTGCAAATATACCAAGCAGAACAATATTCTGCACTGAGTGAACAGATCAATGCATTCATGTCCTTAATGTAAACTGCGGTTGAGCTTGATAAAGAATGGAAGTGTTGCACATGTTAGCATTCGCTTCCAAGTCTTTGGGTTCTTCCACCCAAATAAATAAAAAACAGAGTTCCTGTTTGAAATCTACAGTAATTTCAAGCATATTGTAAAGGGAAGAATCCATGGCGGTGCATACAGAACAAGGATGGGGGAACCTGTGACCCTCCAAATGGTGCTGGAACCCCACCATCCCTGATCATTGGGCTGCGCTGGCTGAGGCTGATGGGAGTTGTAGTCCAAAAACTTCTAGGGGGAGTCAGGTTCCCCAGCCCTGTTATAAATAGGGTGACCGTGGAGCTGGCGAGGGAGGTTGGACAAACAAACTTCTGAATGCTCCCAATAAGGATAATTTGTCTTCGGGCTGCGCGGTAACTCTCCTTCAGCACCGTTGCACATCGAGAGTACTGCGGGAGATAAATGGGACAGAAACTTGCTATCTCACACACTCCCTGCTTTCATAAGTATCGTTTCTGATGTCTAGACAGGCAAAATAGATGTTGTGAGGGCAGTCACCCCCTCCCCATGTATAAAGCAGGGGGTGGGAGGGTCTAAAGGAGTGGGTGCCTGAGAAGAGCTGAACTTTCCCCTCTCACCTTCCTATTTAAAGTTATCACAAACATTCTTCATCTAGCCAGGCTGAGGGAGAACACTCCCTGGAGAAAGCTGGGGCGGGTTCAGCTTCTCCTGCAAAAATGAAGAGTCTAGCCCCTGCTTTTCAACGGCCAGCCAGTGTGGTGTAGTAGTTAGACATGGGTAGGCAAACTAAGGCCCGGGGGCTGGATCCAGCCCGATCGCCTTCTTAATCTGGCCGGCTTATGGTCCGGGAATCAGGGTGTTTTTACATGAGTAGAATGTGTGCTTTTATTTAAAATGCATCTCTGGGTTATTTGTAGGGCATAGGAATTTGTTCATTTTTTCTCTCCAAAATATAGTCTGGCCCCTCACAAGGTCTGAGGGACAGTGGACCGGCCCCCTGCTGAAAAAGTTTGCCGACCCCTGGGTTAGAGTGTTTGACTGATACCTGGGAGACCGCGGTTCTAGTCCCCGTTCGCCCCACAAAGCTCACTGGGTGACCTTGGGCCAATCACTGTCTCTCAGCCTAACTCACTTCACAGGGTTGTTGTGAGGTTAAAATGGGGAAAAGGAAAAACCATGTAGGCCACTTTAACATCCTTGGAGGAAATGTAGGATATAAATGCAATTAAAAATAATAACAACACCACAAAAAACATGGTTGACCCCCCCCCCATAGTTTGACCCTTAACGGTAGGCTTTTTATTTTTTTCTTTCATGGCTGTGAAAATCAAATTTCTTCTTCCCAAAAGTCAAATTTCTTCTTCCCAGAGGAGGCTGGCCAATTACGGCAAATGAAGCACTGCCCCACCAGCTTCAATCTGCTCTCAATCAGCTGCCGAACCGGCTCCCTCTTCCTAAATCTCAGTGTTGCCCATTGTACAACTAAGCAAGGAGGGGATTGGAGACAAAACCAATGTTAGTTGGCTCTGCCTGTCATTGGCTCTGGCTCCCCCTACTGCAGGATCTCTGCCTTCTGCTCTACCAGTCCCAATCGGCAGCAGGCACACCAACGTTCGAGCCCCACATTGAGCAAAAGATTCCTGCACTGCAGGGGGGTTGGACTACATGACCCTCGTGGTCCCTTCTAACTCTACAATTCTATGAAAGTAAAATTAGTTACCCCCTCCTGCTGCTCTTTTGCTAATTCTGTTTCTAGTTCAGTTCTGTCATTTTATCTTATGGCTTTAATATAATTTCTACCTGTTTTATCGTTTTAATTGGGACATTTCTGCAACCTGCCCTTGGACCATTCGTGAAAAGTAGGCTATTAAGCATAACTGAACAAACAAAATAAATAAATTAAACAGAACCTCATTACAGAGGAGACTGTATATCGATGCTTTAAGTGGGGGCATGTTTGCAAACTTGAAGACGATTTTCTCTCTCTTTTTGCGTTAATTCTGGCTAAGTGAATGGTGGTGATGCAAAGAGCACCACGTGAAATTATGGGTCTCGTCGGATGTTATATAGGCATGCTTGTCAGGAAACCAAGCACAGCCTTGGCGATCAAGCTTGCAACGGCCTCCACAGTGTGTGTGTGTGTGTGTGCCGCAGGCCAAAATCTCGGCGCTACTTAAATGCACAGCCCTCCAGGGCCTTTGCTGCACAACATGCCTGAGATGTGGCAAGGAAAGGTGAACGAGCCAAGCGCAGAGCTGAAAGCTGCTCTCAGATGAAAACAGCTGGTTTCAATTGTGGGAAGCGCACTTACTGAAAGCGATACATTTTCATCTGACTCACCAATTAAATGCACTAGCAGAGACGCAATGATTCAGAGATGGCACTCGGCAGGCTTCGGCCTAAAATGTCTGTTTTCCTTCTAATTAAGGCTGTTTCTCATCAAATCCAAGTCAGCTCACTCACGGTAATGGAATTCCTCGGGAAATTCCCAGAACTGCACTAACCAACACAACCTGTTTTCTCCTCCTGCTTTTCAGACTTAACCCGTTGAGGGAGGATGTCGCACTCAGCCTCTAAGAGGGAAGCTAAACTGGGGGCTTTGGGGGGAACCAGGTACCTAACCTGTGGGAAAAGAGGAGGGGTAACAAGCCAAATCTGGGGGTATTTTAGGTGCAAGAAGGGCAGCAAGAGTGCCACTAGATATTGATGTGGAGGCTTCTCAGCAAGGTCTAAAAGCCTGATTTTGGATCCAGAGTAAAAATTAGCTTGCAGAACAAATTTTTTTTTTGAAAAAGCACTGTTAAGCACTCTTAAGTCCACTGACATCCATGGGTGTTACTAAAAGGATGACTAAAATTGAATATTTACCTCCTGCTTGTTAAAAAACAAAAACTTCAGACTGTCTATAGCAAACCTGGCAAATTCTAGAGGAGTAATGGTGTTAGTAGTATATTACGGCAAGAACAAAAACGGAGCCTAGTGGCAGTTAAAAGACTAAAAGATTTATTACAGCATAAACATTTGTGGAGAACCATGAAAGCGTAAGCCTCAATAAATCTGGCAGTCTTTAAGATGCCACAAGACTCTGTTTTGTATAGAAATGTTATCAACACAGTTTTTTGGTTGGTTTTTTTAAACCACCCAAGAAACTGACTTGTGCCTTTGGTGTTTCAACCCAGTAACCAAGCCCGCAGAATTGTTTATAACAGGGTTTCCCAAACTTGGGTCTCCAGCTGTTTTTGGACCACAACTTCCATCATTCCTAGGTAGCAGAATCAGTGGTCAGGGATGCTGGGAACTGTAGTCACTCAGTTTGCTTAACCAGTGCGGTTACCAGGCCTAGAGAAGAAACCATGAAGAGTTTCATGGAACCTTCATGACTAAAAAAATTATTACAGCATAAGTTTTTGCAGTCTACAGTCATCAGGTGAATGAAGTGTCATCCTCAGTTACAGTTACACATGGTGTGTGGGTGGGTTGTTGGGATTTTCTTTAATATTTTTTTTTTGAGAGGGGGAGAATTGTAAACAGTGAGGTTAGAGCGAAAACGAATGCAGAAAAGTAGAAATGGTGATGGTTACATAAGAAACGGTGGTAATTCACAACACAGTTGTTGAAGACAGGCACATTTCGGCAATGGTAAGCCAATTAACATATATAATGTGCTAATAATCCATTGTCTTGATTCATTCCACTTGTGAAACCATTAAACCTCTTGATATATTGTAATTCAGCAGTTTCAAGATGCAATCTGCCTTTGAAATTCCTTTGTTCCATAAAGTCCACTTTAAGGTCACTTGCAAAATGTCCTGGAAGACTCCGGTATGGCTCCCCTTTAACACATACACAGTCCAACAAGACAACAACACAAACCCACTGACAGCATACAACTGAATATAGCTAACTTAACCCAACAACCCCCCCGCAACAAATCCTACTGCAGCTAACCAAAGACAATCAACCACACCCTAGGCCACCCCAACCTCTCTTACCACCAAGGAAACATAAAAAGTGAATAGAAAAAGAACCTATCCAAGTGACACTGACACAAAACTCCATATATACACTAAGTAAAAGAACAGAAGCTTTACCACCCCACCCCCTCTCCCCTATCCCCACCCCTTTTTTGCCCAACCCTATATTGCATATAACACCAATGTCTCATGACAAATGTAACTGATCTGTAGAAAACGCAACCTGAAGAAAGAGACAATGCATGTGATTTTGTGAATGAGGAAAATCTTTAATAAAAAACATTTTTTTAAAAAAAATGTCCTGGAAGGTTGAAAGGTTCCTCCACTGACTTCTGAATATTGCCATCTCCGATGTCAGAATTGTGCCCATTTACACACAGAGTTACCAGCTGAAAACACTCAAGCATAGCATTAATACTGTACAGCTCATGCTGGACACTTGACACTTCACTCACAAGCCTTGTGTGGTGGATCTGTATATAATGCCCTATATGCCTGAAGGAGTGTCTCCAGCCCCATCATTCAGCCTGGATGCTCGTTGCGAGAAGTGAGTTACAGGAAACCAGACAGAGGGCCTTCTCAGCAGTCCTGCCTGCCCTGTGGAATGCCCTCCTGTCAGATGTCAAGGAAATAAACAACTGACGTTTAGAAGACACCTGAAGGCTGCCCTGTATTTTAATGTTTTTAATGTTTGATGTTTTACTGTGGTTTTATAGTTGTTGGAAGCTCCCAGAGTAGCTGTGGCAACCCAGTCAGATGGGCAGCATATAAATAGTATAGTAGTAGTAGTAGTTTATAGACAACTCTCCGACTTAAAACAGCTACTCACCATCAACAACAGACCATGTAACAGAGACAGAGGCAAAGAGACCAGCCCCTGTAGGAGACTCATATGACAACTTTGTCCCTATGTCTGCTAAGGCAACATGATTACAGGGCCTAATAATGCCATCCACAGCACTGGGGGTTCAGTCACCTGCTCATCTTCCAATGTGCCATCATCTGCCAGCAATGCCCTTCTGCATTCTACCAAGAACAAAGAGAATCAGTGCAAAAGAATGGACAAAACTCTGACATCAGAAATGGCACTATTCAAGAGCTGATGAGGGAACATTGCAACGTCCCAGGACATTTTTAAAAACCAAAATATGTTTAAGTATCCAATTTAATAAAGAAGACGAAAACAGAAAGATATGTGTTAAAAAGGGGGTGGGAAGAAAAATACAATACAAAGCTCACATTGAGAATCCTATAGTCATCAATACTTTCCACTAAACTTAAACATGTAAATTGATATAAGCCCTCCAGGTGTCAAAAAACAAATTTGGTGTTTAGAAAAATATATGTTTAAATGTATTGTGTAATAGGCAGTGGCTCTTTATACTTCCAAGCTTGACTTACAAGACTCATAACGAGCACAAGGGTTTGCAACATCCACTTTTGTTGTCCTGCTGTTAATCCCAATACTACAGAAATATATAGTTTTAAAGTACTTGAACATTTGGGAACATAAAAGACTTCATAAGTACAAAATGTATACACAGCTTCAGAGCAAAAAGAACACATCACTGGACATGCCTGAATCATGTGCCTTTTCAGCATTACACTTCCAGGATCTATCATTAAGCAGTACCTTCATGCGGAAATATAGTGGAGTCCAATGTATCTGAAACAATTTTTGCTGGATCAGTCTCAATTTCAAATCCAGAGAAACATTCTGTATCGATTTTAATGCAATTTCCCATTGTTTAGGTTGTCCAGCACATCCTAATTCCCTATTCCACAACCTGAAGACCTCCTTTGCAAAGGTCAAATAGGCATTTATATACAGGAATTGTGAATTTAGTTTTCTGAGAAACTCCAGTGATTTCCTCCAACAAAGCAAACCACCCATAAATAGACACCAACAGATGCTGTAACTGAAGAGACTGTCATTCAGCACTCACTGGCAAATAATATTTATACCATAAAAAAATGACAAAAATTCTCCATCTGAATGTAACAGCTTATCTAATGTATAAATCCCACATTCAACCCATTTCTTACACACACACTTGACATTCCCAGGACATGATGTAAAGGACCTTAGAGTAGCCACCCTGAAAGAAAGGGACTTTCAAAGGGAGGCTGCACTATGAAACTGCCGAATTACACCGTATAAAAGGGTTCAATGCTATCACATGTGGAATTAATCAAAATAGCACACTGCCTGTGTCGATTGGTTTACCAATGCCAGGATGTCTGTGTCATCAGCGACTGTTTTGCTAATTACCACTGTTTATTGCACATTCTCATTGTCCTTGTACTTTCCACACTTAATCCCCTTCTGATGTCACTGTTTACAATTCCCTTGCCCCATTATGTATGTATATGTACTTGCAACTCAGGTTAACACTTCCTGCATCTAGCAGAGCGGGCTGTAGACCACAAAGGTTTAATGATTTGTTTAGCCTTTAAGGTGCCACAAGTGACTAACATAGCTACCCCTCTAAAAACAGAGCATGATCTTGAGAAATAGCAACTGGCCATTCAACATAATTATTTCCAATTACTAGGAGATGGAATCACATTTTTATGGTGTCAGGATTATAAAAGTCCTGGGATTCTCTTCAGTTGCCACTGGCTCCCCTACAAAATCAGGCCTTTTTCTCCTTTGCTAAGAACATATCCCGCTGCCAGCACACCAGGAAAGAGGGACATGTAGCATTGGTCCTTACACAAATGACCTGATGGGGGGGGGGCGGCACTGCAGCTCAGAGGCAGAGCTTCTACTTTGCCTTGGTTCAATCTCCGACTCAGGTAGTAGGTAAAGGGCAATACCTCCCCCAATATTTTAATCTTATTTATCTATACAAAAACAGTTTTAAAACGCTTAATATAGGTTTTTTTTTAATCTAAGCAATCTAAAACAATATTGTTAAAGCATAAATGCAACAAGTCTTGGAGAGCCACTGCCAATCAGAGTATTAGTGCAGCTGCTTTGCATGCAGAAAGACCAGGCTTCAATCTCTGGCATCTCCAGGTAGGGCTGGGGAAGATTTCCTGTCTGAAACCCTGGAAAGTCATTGCCCATTGGTGTGGGCAGTAGTGGACCAATAAGTGTGGCTCACTGTAAGTCAAGAGTAACGGGCTAGTCCAGGGGTCTGCAACCCGCGGCTCCGGAGCCACATGTGGCTCTTTTACACCTTTGCCGCGGCTCCGGGGCGGATACTAGCGAGGGGAGGAGGCGCATTGTGCGCCCTGACACTCCCCACTGTGGCGGGCGCTGTACTGGCTGTGACATCGCATGGGGCGGTGCGTGCGTTAGTCACGCACCGTCCCGACGTCACCTTCCCGCCCGCTACATTGTAAGGGGCATGTACGCTGGTCACTGCATTGAAAGGGGGCATGTACGCTGGTCACTGTTTTGAAGGGGAGTGAAGAACACACACACAAAAAAAGGTAACTTGTTAATTTAACGTTTATTTCTATGAGGAGAAGTAATTCTGAGGGGTCAAACAAAGAAATAAAAAAAAAGTGACAAAAAAGTTACTTTTATAATGACGAGTTTTGCGGCTCCCAGTTTTTTTTTTCTTCGGAAGCGGGTCCAAGTGGCTCTTTTTGTCTTAAAGGTTGCAGACCCCTGGGCTAGATGAACCAACAAGGACCAAACACAAAACTGGGGTAGCATCATAGGCAAGCAAAAAAAAAAAAAAAGAAGATGAAACGATGACCAGGGGACAGGAGTTACTGCAATATTTTGTTGCTAAAAATGTGCTCGAGTAAAGATCTCTTCCCCCTCCCCCTCCAAAAAAACCACTATGTTAAACTCACAACAAACATGGGGAGTTTCCTCCTCTCTTTTTAGATGGACCAGTGGTCTGATCTGGTATACAGCAGTTTCTTATGTTCATTTGGCAGAGAGCATGAAGCCTCTGCATCAACTAGGCTGCTCTGAACCTGGACACACCTGGTCAGCAGGTCAGACCCCTCTGCTTGATGTACTTCAAAGCTCCAGATCTCTGGGAACACAGGCTGGAAAACATCCCCACCCCCGGGCAGGTCTAGATTTGCATACAACTGCTCATAACCCCAGAACCTTCTTTTTCCGCCCACCTGACATGCTGAAGTGGTGGCAGGCTCAGCCTTGCTAACTCCAGGTGCTGTTAAAAGATTGCATTGACACACATACAAGAGAAGAGGTCTCTTACCTGACAAGGTTGGCCCTGCCTTCTCCATAGGGGGCAACGTCTCCTTCCGGAGAGGCCGGCTGAGCGAGGCTTCCTGGGGGCCAAAGAGTCCGGAGCCATCAGACAGTTTTTTGCGCCCGCCGGTGGCAGCAGAGCTGGAGACTCGGCAGCTGCCTATTGCACTGGTAAAAAGGTTTGTGTGCTCGTCGCTGCTGACTGGCTCGGAGCTGGGAGTGAACCTCCCCAGAGGCAGGTTGGGCGGAGTGTCTGAGCAGTCTATCTGCAGCGGCGTCTGTAGCCCCAGAGCCAGGGAGGAGTTGGGCTCTGCCGGCTCCCTCCGGACCCACTGCTCTTCCCTCCCAAGCAGGCCTTTCGAAGGGGACAGGTGCGGGCAGGCCATGTGGCAACGGTGCTTCTCCTTATGCTTGTACCTCTCGCCAACGGCCTCCTTCCCAAAACGGTAGCGCTTCAGGGACTCCAGGACGGTTCGGGAAGGGCCGCTGGGCGCCAAGTTGTCAAGGGAGACCTGCGGCTGCTCTGAGGAGGAGCGGTGCTCGCGGTGCTTGTGGCGGTGGCGGTGCTTGTGCTCCAGCATCCAGCCGTAGGCCATCTCCGGTGGGACGCTGGGGTGGTAGGTGCTCATGGAGAGGAGGGGCGCCCGGCTGGCGGTGAGGAAGGCCTCCTGGCGAAGCAGCTTATGCTTCTTCTTGTGGTACTTGGCGGGGTTGAGGAGCAAGTGGCCGGTGTGCATGTATGACGGAGGCGGCAGCGGGGTGGTGAACGAAGGGGAAGGCGGAGGCGGGTAGAGGGTCGGCGGGTACCGCCCGTAATAGCCCAGGCCGATGGGAGCGGCCGCAAGGGGAGAAGGAGAGTAAGGCATGCCGTAAGAGGGGTAGAACCCAGTGCCAGAGAGGGGGAAGCTGAGGCTGTGCATAAAGGGCATTTCCGCCATGGCCTCACGCATTTTGGGTGGCCGGCCTCTCTTCTTCTTCAGGTCGGGCTTTCGGATGTAGTGCAAAGGATCCAGAGGGAAGGTGGGGTGGGAGTAGAAGCTGTTGAAGTTGATGCGGAAAATCGTGGGCAGCAAGTCCCGGGGGATGAAATGGTGGCTCCGGTGGGTGATCCGGATTTCGCTCAAGCGGCTGATCAGCTCCTCTAGCTCCGCCAGGAAATCGGGGTCCTGCCTGCCCCGCAGCTGCGGGTACTTCTTCTTCCTCTTCCGCTTCTGCCTCTTCATCTTGTCATAGGCCAGGTAGTCGTGGCTGCGGCGCTTGCACTTGTGCTTGTGTTTCTCTTTGAGGCTGCTCAGGACCGTCGAGGTCTCGGGGGGGACGAGGGAGATGTGGTCAAAGGAGTGCCGCCGCTTCTTCGGGCCGCAGAACTTCTCCGCCCTGTCGGAAGTGCTGTTGTTGTCGGTCCCAATCCCACTGTCGCTGGGAATCGTCTCGTCGCTGTGGGACTCACTGATGGGCGACGGAGTGGCTTCCTTCAGCGAGCCGAGTTCGCTCATGTGGGATGGGGAATTGGGGAGAAGAGTCGGCGGGGAGAGCCTCCTCCGGGCCCTCGAGGCCTTCCGCATTGCCAGGGTCTGAACCACGCTTCCCTGCCTGGAGTGGAGGTGCAGATAGGGCACCGAGTTGGGCTCCACAAAGCCCATGTCGCTGCTGACAGGGCTCTGGCCTCCGCTCACCCCCGATGACTGAGAACAAACGGGTGAAGGAAGAATCTCAGGGTTATTTGTGGCTGAAGGGAGCAAAGGAGCCACTGCTTGTCCGAGCGCCGTCCCCGTCACCTGCTGGGCAGACTTTTCAAGAAGAGTCAAGCTGTCAGCATTAGCAGCCAAGATGCCATTCAGGACAGCTTTCGGCTTCCTGCCTCGCCTCTTTCCTATGTAGATTGTTCCTTTCTTGCTGACGTTGATCTGCTGGCCTAGTTTCGAGCCAAACGTGGCAGCGAGGGTCGACACTGTCGTGTGGAGCTTGGATTGCACGTTCCCTTTATTTGGTTCTGTCGCAGTAGACGAGAGGATTTGATTCAAGAGCTTCTTCCGCTTCAGCGTCTTCATCTTGTTGATTTTCCTGATGATGGTTTTCATCAGCTGCCCGTTGCTGCGCTTGCTCTCCTTGCGGTCCGGCTCTACCTCAAGGTCAGTCATGTTGCAGGCGCTCGCCTTCCCAGGCTCCTCGGGGCCTTCTAACGGGCTTGCCACTTCAAAGAAATCCTCGCTCTGCCGCTGGTCGCTTTCACAATCCAGCTTGTTGGAACTGTCCGCAGTGACAAAGGGCGCCACGGAGAGGACAGGGGGTTTCATCTTGACCCCTGATCTGATCTGCCTCTTCGGACGGCCCCTCTTCTTCGGGAAAGCTTGCTCTGTGAGGCTCTGCTGAAAAGACGGGATCTCCACCTCCGGATGCAGCACTGGAGGTTCTTGCTCTTCCTTCGACTGCACTGAAAACACTTTAGAGGCAGGGATCTTCAGGGTCCGCTTCGGGGGGCCCTCCAGATGAGGCATCTCTTTGGATTTCGACCTGCCCCTTTTGGACTTGTACATTTCAGGCAGCAGGTCGTCCGAGATGCACCCAACGGAAGCCTGCATGTGGGGGCTGTAAAATGTGCTCGGCTCCTTCTCGACGCTGCCGAGCAGAGAGAGGGACTGTATGCTACTGGACTTGCTGAGCTTTGGCAACTGGCGCTTGACAAACTCGTGCTGGGCAAAGGAAGGCGGGCCTGCGCTTTTGAAGAGCTTGGCCTGATCTAGGCTACTGTTTGACAGCACGCTGCAAGAAATGTTCTTGAAAAGCTCAGGCCTCCCCAATTCTAGGCCTTTGGGAGGCCGGCAAGTGCTCCTGGAGACTACCTTAGTCCAGCGCGGCTTCCTTCCTTTCCTTTTCTTCAGAGGTGTTGCTTGCGGGCCGCCGCCACTGCTGCTCAGAGCTTCCACCCCCTGGCAGGGTTTACCTGATGCAGCCATGGCACCAATCTTTAGAAAGGGCTTATTGTTGAACAAGCTGGAGAAGCTAACCACCGAAGGGGCAACAGTGGCACGGGTGTTAGAGTCAGTTGCCAGGCTGGGCTTCCTGCCTAAGGTGGGGCTCGGTTTGGGGTCATTGGCATGCACAGCTTTGGAACTGTTTAATTCCCTGCCGACCCCTTTGCCAGCAGCGTGCGAGCCAGGATTCGGCACCCGGTTCATACTTGAGCGCGTGCTGTCAGAGGCAAACGGGGTCTTGCTACTCTGCTCGGAAATTCCTTCTAAGAGCTCAGGCGTGCTATTTAAATGCAGAGGGTTGGAAGCTAACTGAGCCAAGGTTGCTGTGGGGCTACGCGTTAAAGCAGTGACAGAGGCGGCTGGGGAGGGGGAGGGGAGGCCCCCCTCCCCAACAGCACTGAATGGAGATTTGGCTGTAGATACATCAGAAGCGCCTCCTGAAGTCCTGAATTCGGGGGAAGTGCAATACACGGGCAGTTGTTTATCATGCTTGGGTGCTTCAAACGTGCCCCTTTCACTGGACGAGGAGCTGTCCTGCTGACTGCAGGCCCCTTCCTTGCCTCCACCTGACGCTTCTTTTTGAACTGTTACCTTTTCCGGGATGCTTTCTTTACTCTGCCTTGCAACATGCTTCTCAAAAGGCTTACTGCCCACACTGTCTTTCAAGAGGCCTGGCGGCAAAGGACTTTCGTGACTTATGACATTCGCAGAACACCGTTTGAAGGGTTCCACGGAAGGGTGAGCAGCATCTGCTTTCAAAGCCCCTGAGTCCTTATTGGCCAGCCCACACAGACTGCTGGCCCCTGCCATTTTCTTCCCAGAGTCCTTAGCAGCCAAGGCCGCTGGAATGCCAACCCCCGGTGGCTTCTTTCCAGACTCTTTAGTAATCAATCCAATTGGGCTGCTAGCCCCCAGAGGCTTCTTTCCAGCGTCTTTATTCACCAATCCGCTTGAAGCACCAAGCCCTGGCAGCTTCTTTCCAGAGTCCCTGCTGACCAATCCGATCGGCCCATCTGACCCTGGATGTTTCCTCCCAGCATCCTTATTAAAAAATACAATTGGACCGCCTGGTCCTGGTAGCTTCTTCCCAGTGTCTTTGTTAACCATTCCAGGTGGACTAACAGTCCCCAGCATCTTTTTCCCAGAATCCTTGGGAAGTAATCCAACCGGACTGCTAGTCCCCAGAAGCCTTTTCCCAGAATCCTTGCTGACTAGCCCAACTGGCATGCCAGACAACAGTGGTTTCCTTCCGATTTCCTTGCTGACCAATCCCATTGGGGAGCCAAGGATCGGTAGCTTCTTCCCACAGTCCTTGCTAACTAGCCCAGGCATGCTGGGGCAAGCCCCTGGTTGCTTTTTGCTCCCAGAGTCCTTGCTGACTAGTCCAGCACCACTACTAATCCCCGGTGGCTTCCTTGCAAAGTCCTTGTTACTCAAAGCAACGCCCATAGTGCCGCTTCCAAGCTGTTTCTTTACAAAGTCCTTGCTCGCCGGCACGGTCACAGCCCCAACCACTGGCAGCTTCTTTCCGGAGTCTTTAGCAAATCCAGAAGCAATTCCCATGAAGGGCTTCTTTTGCTTCGTTTTGGAAGACTTTGACGGAGGGCAAGTTGCAATAAGCTGAGCCAGTTTTTCTGTCACCGTTGGTGCTCCATTAATCTGAGCTCTGTCCTTTGAGTCTGGGTCGCGACTACTGGCCGGAGTGGAAAGTGCTGACTTCCCATAATCGGTCACTTCGGAGCGCAGCGGCGAAAGTTTCTTTGAAAGAGGGCTGCTCTCCCTCGGCCTGCCCTCGGCTGCAGAGCTGTCAGTCGGCGCTGCGGCTTCTCCACTCTTCTTGTACAGCTTTGACGGGTCCTATGCATTTAAAGAAAAAGAATGAGAAAAGCTTTAAGCACCCAGGCATCAGCAAGGGAGGATGCATTCCTTGTATCATATTGGTTTGCACTGGCAGGCCTAGGGAAAATATTTCTGAGGTACCAACGCTGTGTGAGCCAGGAGAAGGATCAGATTTTGTTATTTTCCCAACCCCATCTACTGGCAACACAGACACAGGCCTTTGCTATTTGGTTAATGGGTCATTTCTGTTTGTGAAGTACTGCAGGGCTGGAAACCAGGGGGCCAAGGGAAAAAGGCATTGATGGGACAAATATGGGGGGAACGGATTGTACCAACAAAGAAAAGTGGAATTTGGTTTCTACATGCACAAGTCAAACATCTAGCATCTTAAAAAAAAAACAAAAACCTGGGGGATCTAAGTGGTTTCTCACAGGCACAGCTGGGAGAGAGGATTTAAATTATTAGAAAGAGGAACAGAAATTTGAAGTACCATGGCCTGTACAGAGCTGAGACAATACTGCAGTTACTATGTGTTACAGATATTTTAGAACAGGAATCATCAACTAGAGGCCCCTCCACCTGAGCTGCCAATCTTAGGGAGGGAAAGGGGGCTAGAGAGGGAGAACTTATCTTCAGCAGCAGTGGGGAAGGCATGGCCCTCCAAAATTGTTGGACTTCCCTCTGCATGGCTGACAGTCAGTGATGATGAGAGAAGCAGTCTATCAGCCTTCATAAGGCCATGGCTTCCCCATTCTTGCTCAACAGACTCCTTGGCTGGGGACTTTGGGGTGGGAGACAGGGGTTAGAGCCTTTGCCCACACTCACACTAACTGCCAACCAGAGCTTTGAGAAGTTTGGAAAACCAAGTACTTGGGACCTTTCCAATGCTGGTTAAGAATTGCATTACTCACCCCACCCACTTTTCACATTTCTCTCACTATTTGAGAACATGCCCATCCCTTATTACTAGGACCATACAATTTATTGGCTCAAAGGAATTCTTCCATTCATACATTTCAGTAATTAATTTTTCATTCACAGCACCTCAAGCACACTGGGGGATTTCCAGAACACACAGAGAAACAGCCCCTGCTCTGCCAAGGAGCTCGTCGGCTGACTGGAGACATGATTTAGTATATGCAAGCAAGTGTAAGAGACCAGGAAAGGAAACACACAGGGTGCATGGTTGTGTAGTTAGGGTGGATGTGCTGGTAGAGCAGCGGCAGGTTAATAGCTGCAGGCGTTTATAGGCAACTAAGAGGGTAAGCAGGCAGGCCAGCAAGCGCCGGCTAATGGAACAGTGGCCATTAAAAGGGACACGGGTTCCTTGCCAGGTCAAAGTAAAAAATGGGAGGCCCAGGAAATCAAGACTACTTGCTTGTTATTTATTGTATACACCACCATTCTTTTATGGTTAGGCCTTCTAAGATGGCTTACAACAAATAATAAAACTGGCTAAAAAAAACTAAAGAAAAGCAGATCCAGGAACCAAAGTCAAGAGATGAATCAAATATGAAATGGTTGTCAGGTTCAGCAAAAAGCTTGGACAAACAGAATTATTATTGTGTGTGAAATAGGGTTGAATCTATGGGTCCTGGCACTCTGCCACACTCCTGATTCTGTTGCATGAATGATCTAAATGGCCCGCAGCTTAATAGGTGCTTGCAGTAAGCGGAGCACCGCAAGGTGCTACTTTGGCCCAAGGTGTGGAGACCTAGGCTCAAATCCCACACTGGGCCATAAGCAGCTCTTTGCCAAATCACGCTCCCTGTTAGCTTTGCCTACCTTCTGCACAGAGTGGGGTCAAGGACAAAATGGGAAAGCAAAATGTAGGCTGATCTGACACCTTGGGAATGGTGCTAATGTAATAAATAAAAGGCAAGTAATTATGTTGATGAAACAAGGCTACAGTGGAAGCATCCATTGTGGGGTAATTTTAAGCACCTGGCAGGGAGGCTTAGTGTTAACAGGGTGGGGCAAGAACATGAAGGGAGGAAAGTTCCTTCCCGTAAAAAAATGTCCAAGAAAGTTGACAAAACTCCCAATGATGTGGGTTTTCCAGCAAATTCTGAATTGGAAAGACTTCCAGAAAACTTTCCTATGCAAATAAGGGTACTTTGCATTGGAAAATATTCAGTTTGCTGCAGAAAAAAATTCTGATGCCCTAATTCAGCATGCTTATTTTACATGCATTTAATAAAGCTAAAGGCTTTGAAATTGCCAAGCCTGCCTTATATTTATTTGCAATCAGCTTCAAGTCATTGTTACGAAATGGAAGATTTTCCACAGAAAAAAAAAAGCACTTGAAAAACCTCCATGTCACTAATTAAGCCAATAAAACAAACCAGCACAGCTAGGCAGAAGCAGGAATTGGCAGAGCATTCCCTCATGCTCAGGAATTCCATAAAGACTCCCTTGAAAAGCAGCCTTTGCTTGCTACCTAAACACCAACAGAGAGGGGACCAAACAAACTACCCCAGGGAGCTCCACTGCTGAAAAGTCCTGTCTCAGATAACAAGAGACACTCAGCACAGGGCCTCTGGGAGATCAAGGTATTGCAAGGGAGTGGGTGGTCCTTAACGTACCCTGAACTCGGACCACTTAGGGGTTTCGAGCATCTGTTTTCAACTGGCCTGAAGCAGGTTGCACCAGCGGCATCAGAACCACCTGCTTTGCTTATTCAAGACTTCTAAGAAAAGGCAAGAGAAACATTGGCACTTAAAGAAATTTAAATGCAGGCCCTATGTTTCGGTTATTAGCACTTATAATACTGTTTATAGTTACATTACAAGCAAACCTGAACAAATTATCAGAGCATGAAGACCAGAAAGCATTTAAACCATTTTTTTAAACCCACAAGCAGGTAGGAATTAAAATAAACCAAAGGCCTGGAGGAGCAGGTGAGCTCTTACCTGCCCATATAAAAACTTTAACAATCTGCCCTTCGGCTTCTTGAAGGAAAGGTGAGATATAAACACAATAATTAAATAATTTAAACCTCTTAGGCTTACTGCAGATTGGAGCTAACAGCAGGTCCCTGACCAAAAGCATGAAAAGGCTAGTGGCCAAAGTTATGGCCTGAATAAATATGGTGCTAAAACCTTGCTGAAGCTAAGCAGGTCTGCATCTGTTTAGTACCTGGATAGGAGTTTGCCAAGGAGAACCAGGTACTCTGCCCTCGTGGAAGAAACGTAGGATATAAAACACAAAAAATAATAAATGCTACCATTCAGAGTGTTCCACAGAACAGAATCTCAATCTTTATATTACTACAGCCGCAGGTTCCCTCAACCTGGTGCACCACAAGTTTTTTTTTAAGAAGTTCAACTCCTCTCAGCTATTGGGCCATGCTGGCTAAAGCTGATGGGAGTTTGGGAGTCTAACAACATCGGGGGGGGGGGGCAGCAAGTTGAAGAAAGGCTGCTGTAAAGGTAAGCCAGCATTATGATCCTGTTTTGCAGGTGAGGAGTGGAGGCAGAGAGCACAGCAGCTTGCCTAAAGCCACCAGTGAGTCTTGGGGCTGAGGTGGGATGCTGCCCAGGAAAAGGGGGGGGGGGCTCACAGCTGCTGCTCTTAAGGCACCTCAATTAACGTACAACCTTTAGAACATGGCAGGCTTTGATCTCCTCCCAAGCTTGGGCTTCCCTTCTCATCCTGCCAACTGCTTGCCTTGAACCCTAACCAAGCTCAGTTGCTACTAGAGGCCCTGCTGCGACAGACAGACAGACAGACAGAGGGTGGATGCCTCTCGATCCTGCTCTGTTGTTTACTTTGAAAGCTGCTGGCGCTGGAGGGATTTTGTAGCAGAGAGAGAGGAGAGGAGAGGAGTCTGGCACCAAGCCCAGCTTTGCCACGGCAGCTGCAATAGTATGTACATTCTTGCTTGAGCCTTACATTTGCAGAGAGAGAAGGGTTTCTGCTTCCTTTGCGTGCACATATGGAACAGGCAGCTGAGGAGGCAGCCACAATCTGCCCTACGGCACTGGAGTCAAAAGCAAGGGCCCATTCTCATTCCCAAAATAGCCACCAAGGGTGCTTGGGGCTCCCTTACATGGCAAAAGGAACAAGCCTTCAAGCTCCTGCCTCTGCACGGTGTAAATGCGCTCAGCGGAGTGCAGCACACTCCCAAGGGAAAAACACTATCCTGAACGGGGCTCCAGAGCTTGTTTGGACAGGTTTTTCCCCCTTTATGCAGTGCTACCCGCTGTGTTCTCTCAGCCCCCAGCTTCGTTTTTCTTCCAGACTTAAGCTGGGCCACATATTGAATATTTTACTTCCTCTTGTTGTGGTCAGGGAGGGAGGAGAAAGCTCTCCAAGACAACATGGGCAATGCATAGGCCTTGGAAACCATGCCCCACCTATTCCTAATGCCATTAGGCACTCAGCCAAGGACCACCTTTAAGGCAGCAAACAGAATCCACTCTGGAACTGGGGCTTTTAGTGGTCTGGCTCCAGTGTCTTGCCTCCTGCGCTATCAGCATTCTGCTTCCATGGAAAGCATAGCTGGCACTTCAATACTTTGAGGGCAATGTCAAGGCTGCTGTTACCAGCCTGCCTGGGTGCTCAAGTCAAGCTGATCCCTAGGGACAATCCCAGTCCACTAAGCCCTATAAACACCATCCTCAGAACTTGCTCCCCAGTACAAGCAACCCATCACTGGTGTGAGGGCAATGCCTGCCTAGGCTCCTGCCTCCCATCAGGGATTTCTACTCTGGAACTCAGAACTTCCTGATCTGCTGCCAGAATATGGCCCTTGGAGTGGACCACATACCTGCTTCAGGCTCACTTGGACTGGCTGGTAGCTACTCTGCCCTACAAAGTCCTGGACCATAACTCTTCCCAAGACCAGAGAAAACAATCCCACATCACACCTTCACAGTGATCATTTATGTCACATGTGGGGGACCCTTTGCCTCCCCCACTATGTGTGCGTAACTGCAACTCCCATCAGCCCCAACAAGCATGGCCAACGGCCAGGGATGATGGGAGCTGCAGTTCAGCAACATGTAGGACAGAGGCTCCTCACTTCTGCTCCATACAAACCCTCTTTGCTTCATCTGTCTGGCCCCTGCTTCATATCCCTGTCCCACCTGCAATACCTTCAGTTATAGTAACTAACTGCAGGTGGCGGGGGGAGTGTTTCCCAAAGAGAAGCTAATGAAAGATAAGTCTATCACAGTTCTTAACCACAGTAACTCAATGGAATTCTGCTGAATGCCAGATGCAAAGAAGAGGGGTGGGTGTCAACAACTACCCTCACCATGGTGAGTGTGGTATTGCCCCCTGGTGGATGGCCAGCCCTTCCCACCTTCTGTGATGCTGCAGTGGTGAACTGGGATCATTCCAGTGGTTGTATGGTGGTCCGCATGCAAAGCTTGGCAGCTGTGTGGGCCAAGGAGCCCAAATGCCCTTGGCAGTAGAAGGCAAACTGGCAACCTTTCCTGCTCTGCAGTAGAAAAGGTAGACAGGAGGAGATTTGGATACTGCTGCCGAAAGGCAGTTGGGGCACCTTCAAACAGTGGTGCCCCAACTGGAAAACTCCCTTCATCATCAGGGCTTGACAGGTGGCGGAGTGGAAAAACAATGGCTTGTGACATAGCCAGCAAAGATGTGAAATCCCTAAATAGGGGTTATCACCACCATGCTCTGGTTGTTGCTGCCCAGAGGCACCTGGCTGGTCACACACTGGTAAAAAAACCCAGATTAGAAGATTAGATGGTGTTTAGGTCTAATCCAGCAAGGCAATTCCCATATTTCTACTAGTTAGAAGCCTTCTAACTTCCAACTTGATCTCACTGGGTGCCCCAAAACACAGTGTATTGCACAAACTATTGGACTGCTATTGGGGAGGGACAGATTCTTGGCCAAGCAGCTCACTGAGTGACCTTAGCGCCTTGGAGAAAGGGCAGGATGAAAACACATTAATACCTACACATATTCTCATTCTCAGTCCCAAACTATAGGGATTAACAAAACTGACCTTCCTTATAGGGTTGCTATAAAAATTAAGGGAGCATTTGCAATTTACATTTAACACTCTAAAGTGTGAAATATTATGATCCAATATTCAGCTGCATTATCGAGAAAGGAGGCAATCCCTTCCCTTCTATGCCAGGAAAAGCTCTACGGAGCCCTATGGAAATAGCATGCAAATGAGCTGTGGCCCCCTCTGAGCTTCTAACATACTGGAGTCTATGATGCCATTTAATCAGTGCTGTTTCCCTGTCCTGATGTAATTTAAATGATGAATACTGCTGCTACTACTAATAATTTATTATTATTATTACTATTATTATTATTACTATTATTATTTTTTATTAAACTGTCAATAGCAGGATTGGAATGAAATCTGCACAGGGGTGTTAGCCAAAGGCTTTCTGGTACTGGTGGCAGAAAATCTGAATTGGGGCCCAGACTCATGCCATCATAAGACACCAACCATGGGGAAATTCTGCCGCACAAGCCATATTAAAATGAAGGGGGATTGCTTAGGAGAGTTACCCAGGAGAACGTGGCCCCTTGGGCTCAGGCCTGTGTATCTCACTCTCGGCTGCTCTTAATGGCACCCAGCATCTGCTGCCCAAGATGGTTGCCTCACCCTGCCTACCTTTAAATCTACAGCATCCTACAGAACACACTTTTAGGATTAGCTCTGCGCACAAGTCCAAGTTTATTACAGCCTGGCATCTTCCTGCCCCCTGACTCTTTGAATGCATGTATGCAAACACACACACACACACACACACAGAGAGAGAGAGAGAGAGAGAGAGAGAGAGAACTCTCAAACCATCTTTGTTTAGGTGTCATGGCAGAGCTTTAGCTGTGAATAAAACACAATTCCCACTCACGCCTTCCTCCCCCTCTTCTTCCCTCAGCAGCTACAAAAGCTGAAGGACAGAAGTCCCTTTTTCATGTATGGGCACCACCATTTGCCTTGTAATTTTCTAGAAGCAGCATCAGCAGCGGAGAGCCTTCTGCAGCATTCACCTGCATAGCCAAGGACACTGCAAGGATCGGAAGGATACCTGTGCTCAGCAGTTTCTCGGGGAAACGGAGAGCTTTGAGAGAACAGAAGCAAAGGTTCCATCTTGTTCCATTGTCTTAACTGCATCAACACTACAGCTGTCAATGTGGAGCTTGTTGCTGTCACCTTCGTGACTCTACATCATCTCCAAGACCGGAATAGTATCAACGCTGCTTGGCTATAAATAGGTAGAATATTCCAGTGGCTGTGTTTGCCCATCTGCGCCTCGAGCAACAAACAGCTCTGCTGCTGCAGCTTCTGGATTCTGATTTCCCAGGAAAGCGCAAAAAAAAAAGAAAAAAAGAAAAAAAGAAATCCAACCCCAACCAATACCTACCAAGTGGCTGAGCATGTTACAAACAAAGACAAAGGAGGGATTTTTTACTTTTTATTTGCAAGGCTTTGGGCAGATGCATTGGTACACAGATTTAAAAAGCAGCCTGCATGGACTGTAATAAAAGCACAAACAGGGCTGGGCACATGAGCTATTCCCACTGTGCAAACATCAAACATGGGCGACATTCTGAGAGTAATGTTTTCATTTTTATTATTAAAAAAGGCAAGCTTCTAGTCCTCGTGGTTGAAAGAACCACACTGCCAGTGCTCTGGAGATTATTGCCCTTGCCTTACAGCTTCTGTCCTAGTTTTTTGAAGCAGGGCCCAGCCTGTAACATGTGGCTCACTAAGAGGGCACTTCTAAGCATATACAGAGTATATTTCTGTCCCCACTGAGGGGCATGGTTTCTAGATCAGAGGGTGTTGCTGAGAGCTAAGCTTGAACCATAATAATGACCAGTTTAGAAATTAACTACTGGATTAACCCAGGCGGACTAGTGAAGAAAAGAGTCCCAAATAATGATGGATTCCTGACAACTTAGGATAAATAGTATATCTACTGCACAGAAGGTAGCTACAGAATGCCTGCCAACAAGATGCTCTGTGCACATAAGTGGTTAACAAGAGCGGATGATGACTGACAACACCAATTCAGGAGATACCAAACCTCTGAAACAGCCTTGGTTTCCTGCATGATGTATATGAGCCCTCACAAAGTCTGAATCAACTCTGATCAACTCTTACTTTAAAAAAAATAAGAAGAATTATGGCATGTTGTCGCCATTTTCTGCCAGCTCCAATATTAAACACACAGCCAGGAAAAAAACCCCAAAGCAATGTATTGAAATGCTGCAGTTTGGCACTTTTATCTTTCAATCATTGTTCACGCACAAATACACCTGGACAAAGTTATCCATTAAAAAAACAATTCCAGGAGCAAAACTTCATGCAGTATTTGAGTAACTATTACAAGAGCAATTAAGGACAACAACAATGAAACAGCAGGTCACATACTTCCTTCCATCAGCTTTTCTGGCCCCTCCAGTGATCAGACATAATCATACCTCTTGCTTCACCAGAACTGGAACGTGTATCTTAAACAAACTGAAAGGGGCCCATGTCATTCCCTTTAAATTACTCTTTTGTACCACACAAACCCTGGGTTCAACTTCCAGTCTCATTAGGAAATTCCACCTCAGGGCCTGAGGCAAAAAACAGGACAGCTATGCCCCCAGGGATAAATATCACTAACAACTTGATAGTTGCTGTCTTTTCATGACACCCAAAATGAACAGCCTTGGGACAGCTGCTTCACCCATCTTCATGGCAGGGCAGGTCTGACCTCACACTTCCCAATTTATGCTGGGAATAGTTATCTACCTGATAGAGTTAAAATGCCGCCTTCCTCAACTGAACGCACTCCACATGTCACTGAACTAAGACCCCCTAGAATCCCTGACCACTGGGTCATGCTGGCTAGGGACTGATGGAAAATATAGGCCTACAACATCTAGATCAGCCTTCCCCAATCCAGGGCTGATGGAGTCCAACAACCTCTGGAGTGCCAGAGGTTTCCCCAGCTCTGATTTAAAGGATCAGTATAAAGGTGTGTGCAGGGATTATAAATCTGGAAGAGAATTCCAACCTAGTTGAAGCAAAAGGAGTTCCACCGATCTTTGCAGCTGTGTGTAATTAACAATTTAGGTTCCAGGTTCCTAAATGATCACTTATATTCACAGCAACCTGCCTGGAAGTTGCGATCACAAACCAATCCATTAGACATCAGTATAAAAACTTTTCCTTTCTCAGGCCTTTTAGATCTCTGTCTTCTCTTTCAATTTGCATTTTGTTTGTTCTTATATTGATTGTCTTTTATTATTATGCTAAATCCCCCATATGGTAATTATAATCATTATTCTTAGAACAGTTGCCCAATTAAAGATCTCATTTGATCAATCCTATGAATTTTGATTGATCAGCTATGTTTCCATAGCCATGCGCAACAGATGTAAATAAAAATATCCATTTTATTTTCAGGTGATGGACACATGTCTCATCATAAAAGAGGTATTCCCTCCTATGCACAAGAAACAGGGGACTATCACTTCCTAAGATGACCCTTAACATCTGCACCCTTTTTAAAAGAATTCCTCCTTGATTAATTAGGGACACCTTTTGAGTCAATCAAAACTTTAAGTCAGCCTTTCTCAATGCAGTGCCTTCCAGATGTTTTCAGTTCCCACTGGCTCTAATCAGCATGTCAGGAATAATGAGGACTACATAAATTGGGGGAGGCTGGATTAAATGGGCTGAACTCTGCAGCCCCAATCATTAGCACTCGTGATGCCTCACAGAGTAAAGAATAGAAAATTTACTACATAAATCTCAACAAATGAGAGGGAAAGAACAGACAAAGCCAGCAAGGGACAAGTGCAAGAGTTGTACTTTCCCCACAATTCCTAATCTGGCGCTACCCTTATAAGGCCAACACTCAAATCAACCCCTGGGGAAATAAAAGAATTACTCCACAATGTAAGAACTGAGAAACCAAGAATTTTGCCCTCTTATAAAAATGTAAAATCAATCCAAAGGCTCACAATAGCCAAACAGATGCCACAGTGACCTCCTACAATGACTAGGTTGCGGCTCTACTCTGCTACATCCAGTAGCAGAATCTGAAGAAGGAGCTGCTGGCAACAAATGGCCCAGCTAACATGGAATAACATCAGCTAGGACGACGACTGACAGAAAGCAATTTAACCAAAATTAATTCTAAAGTGCCAAAAAGCTGGGGAAGACATGGCAGATTTCGCCAGGCTGCCCTAGTTTCCCCAAACTTTTGCGCTCATTTTGAAAAATGGAATTTTTCAAATGGAATTTGAAATCAGCTGCTACTCCTGTCACTACCAAACTAACATAGCCACAGTAAATACAAGGAGTTAGCAAAGACTATGGTCTAAACTCATTAGGGCAAGGGCACACCAGGATCTCTACAGGCACACCAGGATCTCTAGAGGCATTCCCTGAAAGCCACAGGGTCTTTTCCCCAGCCCCTGCAAACTAGGCTTCAAATAAGCATTCTACCGTAGCAGGTAGAACAGGCTACATTGTGTGCTTGGTTGCAAGGTGTGTGGCGTTGCACTAATCATCATCATCCTGAAAAAGAAATGGGTCCCACGCAACAGGCTGAGATTTAAAGGTGACGCAAGATTGAAGGCTCCATTAGAGCTCTCTTTCTTCTTCCGCATCTCTTAAAAAAGAAAAATAGGGGGGGAAATTGGAAGGTTTTTCCAGATGTTAAATTCTGCCCTTGATTTCAAATTCTGTTTGCATAATTGGTGCCTGCGGAGCTACTGGCATCCAGCACCTGTAACCATTTTTGTTCTGTTTTCCCCCACCCACTCCTTTCCCAGATCTGAGAATTGCAAACATGACTCACTTGCTTTGCAGGGCCAGGGTCGCTCTTCTCCTCCATCATCTTCCCAACCTTTTGCACCCTCCTGGGCTGCTTAATAGTGGTCTTTATTGCAGGCCGGCAGACATAGTTTTCCAGGTTCTTAGGGGGTTTCTTAGTTCTCTTGGCTTGCAGGCCAATTTTCAGCTTCAAATTCCCCTCTGAAAAGTTTGTTTCCTTCACAGAAAACTGTTGCTGGGCATCCGACAGACTCTCATCCTTGCCAACTTCATCGCCGCCGCTCCCCTCCGAGCTCCTCTTCTTCTTCTCTTCCTCCTCCTTAGCACTACCATCGAGCTCCGCCTCCCTCCTGCCTCCTGCCGCGCCTGTGGCAACTGCAGAGGGGCTTTTCCCAGAAAACCCTTCAGAACCAGAGCCCAGCCCTAACATAGCAGTATTCTGAGGGTCCATTACAGTACGTGCAGTTGCAAATAATTACTATTACTTTACAGCAGATCGGTTGTGTGGTCCATGGACAGATCCTTCCAGAATCTTGCAGCCATCATCTTCTCACTGTGGGAGAAAGAGAAGGGATGACAGTCAGAATATAGACTATTCAAGAGCCAAAGGAATACAGATTCTGTGCTGTTTGTTTTCAAACAGAAATGAAAGAAGGGAACACACAGGACCTTGCAAAGAAGCGCACAAAGTGAATAGCCCATCTATACATATTTATTTTTAGCCATTTACAATACACCCCCCAAAAAAATTCACTAGTGTAAAGCTTCCCAGGATGGTTGCCTGGAGGTAGCTCTTATTCATCACAGGTGACCAGGTAAGTGACTATTTACAATAAACAAACAACCCATGAGCTCAATCTGGAGCACACACATGCCATGATGTTATCATGGGGTCCAACAAATGCAGGTTGCTCTGTTAATATGGGAAGAAGGGTGAGATCTGTACAGCAATAAGTATTATAAACTGAATTTATATGGCATCTTTCTTCCATACATTTTCAAGTGGCATGTGTAGTTTGTTTCGTAAGTTCTTGCTGTTACGTTTGAAACATTCATTCTTTTGAAAATCACCTTGGGAGGTCCCGTTATGGGGCAGAAAAGCAGGAAATAAATATTTTAATATGTACATACAGAGTAGCCACTTCCACATAAAAGGGGAAATACTTTTTCAGAAGAGCTCCCTGAACTGGTGAACTGACAGCAGGCTCCGATCCATTGCATAGGAGGACAAGCATATAATGTTAAATGGTGCTTAGAAAAGAAGAACAAGTTTCTTGTCCTTGTGGCCGCAGAGATATGTTTGAAGTAAGAAGGATACAGGCAGAAATGTGATAAATAAAGACATCCAATGTTAAGAGCTTCCACACGGCTTATAAATGCCTCACTTCCCAGTTAACTATTTGCATCTCATGTATTTTTACATCTGACGAAAATTCTCACTAATTATGACTTTCCTCTCTTCCACCTAAAGCTTATTTTATTTAGGCAGCTGTCAATCTGGTTTGCCAAACTTACAAAGACCGCTGCATAATACCTGTTACAGCTGTAATTGCAATACTGCTATCTAAGTGTTTTTATAGTGGTATTTAAGTGTTTGTTGTTAAATGCCTAGGGCACTCCTCCTTCATTCATCCAGACTGAGTTCTGATGCACAAGTCCCTGAGATGCCCTCTAGTGGTCTCCTCCTATAGTATCACTTTTCACCAGGTGAGCTGAGGCAGAAACCCTGTGATTTCCAACACAACAGGGATGGCCACAGTACCTCAAGTCTTAGAGCAGGCATAGGCAGACTCGGCCCTCCAGATGTTTTGAGACTACAGTTCCCATCATCCCTGACCACTGCTCCTGTTAGCTAGGGATGATGGGAGTTGTAGTCCCAAAAACATCTGGAGGGCCGAGTTTGCCTATGCCTGCCTTAGAGCTACACATCAAAAACCAAGTCACAAGACACAGTCACTGCTTCTTCTCCAATAATCCCCTCTCCAGCTCCAAACTCCTGCCCACTGCTTCCTTCTGAACACATTTCTTAATATTTATGATTAGCATGTGAGGTGGAGTGGGGTGCATTACTTGGAACAGCTGGAATGTATTCTTATTTGAATTCTAGTTTTGACACATACAAGGCACATTTGGTAATAGATAATAATAATAATAAATTTTTATTTATACCCCGCCCTTCCAGGATCAAAAACTGGGCCCAGGGCGGCTAACAACAAATTTAAAACACTTAATTGTAAAAGCAGCATAAAATACAGTATAAAAACATGAATAACAATAAAATTCAAAGTTCAGAAATCAATTTAGGGGAAATCCATCTAATAAGCATTAGATAATCACCAGGGCTAGCTGGCTGAATTAGTCCTACTTGGGCCAGCGAGGAGGCCAGGGGAGAATTAGCTGTGGGGTCTCAGAGTGGGTAATCTTCATTAGAGGGGAGGGGGAGGGAAGAGAAGGGAAGGGAAATAAAAGATCAGGCTGAATTCAAATTAAAGGCCAGGCGGAACAGCTCTGTCTTACAGGCTCGACGGAAGGAGGTTAAATCCTGAAGGGCCCTAGTCTCATGGGACAGAACATTCCACCAGGTCGGAGCCATCACTGAAAAGGCCCTAGCCCCGGTGGAGGATAGTCTGACTTCCTTAGGGCCCAGGACCTCTAAACTATGGTTATTCATGGACCTTAAGGTCTTCTGCGGGGCATACCAGGAGAGGCGGTCCTGTAAATAGATGAATTTACGGTTGTTCCCTCAGACGTTTTGTGTGCTTTTAAATAGCATTTAATACTGGTACTCCTGCTCCGGAGGCTAGGACCTGAACCAATGGATTCAAGTTACAAGAAAGGAGATTCCAGGTAAACACCAGGAAGTACTTTCTGACAAGTAGGAGCTGTTCGACAGTGAAACAAACTCACTTGGGAGGTGGTGGATTCTCCTTCCTTAGAGGTTTGATGGCCATCTGTCTGGACTAGATGGCCCTCAGGGTTCCTCCCAACTCTACAATGCTATGATTCTGAGTGGTCAAAGAGCTTCACATGTGTTACTTTACAGAGCTGCAAGGATTACAGCAAGTTAAGTCAATATTATTACTTTCATAGTGTTAAACTGGGAGTACTGTAAGAGGTTGAGAGACAGTGGCTTGCCTAATGACACCTAGTGAGCTCATGTCAGAGGTGAGAGGTGAGGACATGCCAATTTATATTTCAGTTTCTTGGTCATTGTACTATGCCAGCTCTATACCACAACAACGTGCTTCTATGCCTTTATTTCGGCAGCTATCAATCTGGCTTGCCAAACTTCTTTTCCCCCTTAGTTACAAGCTTGGCTGCATAATACTGTTAACAGCTATTATTGCAAGACCAAGTTTTGAATCCCTACCCAGCCATGAAGTTCGCAGGGTGACCTTGGACCAGTCACTCACTCTCAGCATAACCTACCTCACAGGGTTGCTGTGAGGAGAAAATAGAGCAGAGAACTATGCATGCCATCTTGAGCTCCTCGGAGGAAAGTTGGTATATACACATATGCCCCAATCAAGCCACTCTTTCCTCCATTCTCTATCTGGCCAGTGCTGTGTCCTCAGCTCTCTGGATCAATTGCTGAAACTGGAAATATAGTTATTTGAACTAATAGCACATGAAAACTGCAGGTAGACATGTAGTTCTAATGTTGGAAGAGGGGAGAGGTAGAGAGAAAGAAAACAGATCCAAAAATAGCGACAGGGCAGTGCATTTCTCAGGGCCAACTAAAAGTATTATGAAGCAGCAAGTAAGCTTTTGAGTTCCCCACCACAACTGGATTAAGAGCTGTGGGGAATTCAAGACCTTGTTCATCATTCTGTGGTTTTCTAGTTGGCCTTAATAATGCTATTATGCTACTGCTACTTTTGAGATATGCTTTCAAGGTGCCAGCCCCATATAGAGCCGGATGAACACTTCAAACCTCTAGCAACAAATGTTAAATCCTAAGTGACCAGGCATCTGGGTTTCTTCCTGTGATTCTCAGTCCCCACTACACGTGCTCACTGGAGGCACCTCTGTCTATAATTATTTTCACAAAGACATGGGGAAGACCTTGTGAGCATTACCAATTTCAATCCTTTACCCAAAAATGCATACCACTAATTCAGGCTTTTACAAACAGAAATTTATCTGGGCAACTACAGCAAATAAGGATTCCCTCCAAGTGAGCAGATAGTTCTACTTTAATAGGCTGAAAGAGTTAAGGATCCCCCTAGCACCTGTATCAACAAAACAAAACAAAAAAATGCAGGTGGGGGGGCAGTTATATTTTTCAAAATGGACCAGTATCTTTTGCAGAGATGTTTTTAAGGTTAATAGTTATTTTAGCAGGGCTATGGCTGCATTCCTATGCACACTTACTCGACAGAAGCCCCAATCATCTCAAAGGGACTTTTAAATAAATATGCCTAGGATTGCATTAAAAGGTTATCAGCATACAGGCAGCCCCTCGTTTACACGGGGGTTATGTTCCAAGGCACCGTGCACATCAGTGAAATCACGTATAAATGAAAGCCATTGAAAAAGCCTGCAAGCACATCGCTCCACCCCCATTCCACCCTTTTAGTGATGTTTCAGTGAGGTCTTTATGAAGTTTTCAAGTCACTTCTGGGTTCAGCGTGATGCAATCACACACATATTGAACATGTGTAAATGGGGGGCAGGGGAGCTGCCGGTACTCAAAATTGCAGCCTTGGTCAAGCATAGGATCTCATACACATTTGGCATTCCCTCTCAGTTCAAGCACAGAACCATTAGACTTGTTAGTTGCTTATTAACTGAAGGCCTCCTAGTGACTTACAATGCACTTAAAACATGAATATAAATACACTATACCATAAAACAACCACAAGAACTGTTGGCAGCACACTAATAACAAAACAGTATCATCTTAGTCTATCAAGAGTCAAGAAGCCAACAATAGCATCAGGTGGACTTCATTGGGGAGAATATTGCACAAACAGGGAGTCACAACTGAAAAGGTCCTCTCCCTTGTCACCACTCTCTGATCCTCCCTCACACAAAGGACCTGAGTAAAATATGTAAGGGTCTGGTTATGTTCATACCAGGAGAGATGTTCCAAAAAATATTAGGGTCCTGAGCTGCAAATAGCTTTATAGATCAAACCAGCACTCTGAATTGGGCCCAGAAGATTACAGGCAGCCAGTGTAGTTATAACAGAATTGGTGATATATGATCTGTTTGCCTCAAACCTGTCAACAATCAGGCAGCCACATTCTGTACTAACTGAAGCTTCCAAATCATTTTCGAAGGCAGCCCTACATAAAGTTCATTGCAACAGCCCAGTCTTAAGGTTCCCAGAACATAAGATTACTGCAGCCAAGTTATCCCTATTCCGATAGAATCGTAGTTAAGCCACTAGTTTAAGCCGATGGCATTCACTCCATATCACTAAGACCACCTGTGCCTCAGGTGACAGCAATTGATCCAGGAGAACCCCCAGCTACAAACCTGCTCCTTCAAAGGGAGTATAATACCCATCTAGAGCAGGCAATAAAATGAATGCCATGGGAACCCCTCTGCCATTCAAAACTATTTCCCCATCTCAGACTTTCTCCTATGCCCTCAGCTCCACATCTGGCCCACACCTAAGACTTTTTTTTTTTAACAATCCTGCTCCAAATGCATTTACTGAAATATAGCACAAAGATAGAAATGATTTCTTTAACTTTTCAAACAGTTCACTCTAAATTAGTAATGAGGAACTTTCTGTCTGTGGCAAGGCCTCCCCCCCACAAGAAACTCTATGGATAGAATATCCCCATCAAGACTGCAAATATCACTATCAGCAATTCTCCTTGACAATTCCACCTGGTCCTTTAGGATTCCTTGGGCCAGCATGAGCCAGAAGTGACTGATGCTGCCATGCAGGTACCAAGTGGAACAGAGGCAGTATCTTTCCAGCCACCAAACATTGCTGTAGGAATATGAAATCTTTTTAGTGCCCACCAGCAGGCATCTACAGATCTACCTACGAACTCACAAGAGGCAAGTGCACCCAGCCCTCTTGCAAGCAGGAGACCCAGCACCACACAGATCTTTACACCAAATGTCTCATTTCTATTGATGTTTTTGAGTAAGACTGCAGGAATCTCTTCCAAGCAGCAGGAAAGACTTCCACTGTTTTGCACCTTCTTCATATCACAAATGATGACTTGTTAGTAAGCCATGCTAATGTTAGTGGGCCCCTATCCATCATAGAAAATGGGAAAGGAGCCAGTTCTGAGCTGTATAGATCAATCTTGCTAATAAGGGTTGAGAGCAGTGATGTGGGGTGGGGAAAGTTTGCACACACAGAACGTTCCAAGTGCTTTCTTTTTCCATGGAAGTTTTCCCATGTCATATGTTCATTAGATACAATGAATAGGTGCCAACTGCAAATACAATATTAGGCAAGCTTGGCAGTTTCAACGTGTTTAGCTTTGTTGACTAAATACAAGTAAAATAAACATGCCAAATTAGATTACTCTCTAGGGCATGATAAATTTTTCCCCACTGCAAATTATCCTATGAAGATTACCCTGGTTTGCATATGAAAATTTCCCAATTCAGAATTTTCCAGAAAACCAACATCAGCGGTTGGTAAGAGTAGCCATCTACCCAGTGCATCCCTCTATAATTACAGGTGAGATATAGAAGTAAGGGGTAAGAAAGTCCAATTGGAAGACAAGAGTGCTGGAACTAGGTTCAAACCTCAGTCTACCCTACCCTGCCAGTCAACTGAAGAATAATATGGGATAAACACACCCATCCCTGAGCTCCTTAGAGGAAGGTGCAGTAATTAAACAACACTGTTTCAGTTCCACATGCACATGAAGTATGAATGACACTCAACTCTCAGAAACAGATACATGCACTTAGCTTTTCAAAATTACACATTCATACATCAAGCCATAACTTCTGAAAGCAACACAAAAAAGCAGTCCTAAGAGGGTCAGAAGTTATAGTTTTGCTGAAAGGCACATAACTAACAAGGGGTCCAGAAACTGGGCTGGAAGCACCTAATCCTACAACAATTATGACTCTAAGGAAATGTGGCCTGGACAGAAGACCATTGGTAGTGCCATTTAAGCTTTCTAGTGGAAGGATGAGCTATAGCAGCTGCTCTTACATAGCAGGTACTGAATAGTTACAATACATCAGGCATTGTAGAAAGTGCAGCAGGGGCATGTTCTCTGCCTGGAGGAGTTACAAACAGAAAAGTTGTAACTGAAAGTCTGAAAGATCAAGTTGAAAATGACATAAAACCTGACTGTTAAGCAGTTATAGTCCCAAGCACAACACAACTTGTAAGTAAATGGATAAAAGGATAAATGTATTAGACATCAAAGAAAGGGGGGCTCATATGCAAAATGCTAAGAGAGGTACCGCAGCAGTTGCCAAACAAACGAGGAATAATTTAAGAGGTACCTCTTAAGGCAGGCCTTCTCTACAGAGATAATACTTTTTTATACAACACTAAAACAAAAAGTGGTGGTGCAGGGGAGAGAACAGGCCTCTGTACAGAGAAACTGACAGTGTAAATTCTGGCAGAAGAATATATATTTGAGGTGGGGGAGGTAAGGAAGATAGAAAGAATATGCACAAGTACTTAAGGCTTGGTTTTTGTCATTTGAAGTGAGGAGTGAAGGGTTAGGGTTAAATAAAGAGCTATCCAAGCATTAATCCTTGAGAAAAGTTTGCAGTTTCTCAAGGCAAGGGACAACGACCCTCCCAGATACTGAAAGCTGTCCGCAATGACATGGGGTTTCTACAAAACTACGTGTCCAGTATCCTCAACCTCTCACCTGCCATTCTAAGGAGGTGACCTAACTGTCAAGAACCTCTTTCCGCCTCATAGAAGCCAGAGGCCAATTCAGAAAAGACAAATTAGATGGCGAGCCTCATGTAGTTTGTCATGTGTGATGATCTATTGCCATGTGTAGTCATGCTGAGAAGCAGCGATTGGCTGCGAGTTTAACAACACTGGTACATGAAGCCAAACACATGTGTTTGTGTATGAGAAAAATCATCACACACTGTGATGATTTCCTACAAAGGGAATACATTCTGTGCAAGAAATTTGGCATCTCTGAGGGGGTCCTCGGTACCAAAGAATCAATCACTTTCTCACTCACACACACAAATGGATCTGTCTCAATGCACACCAAACTAACATTCCTGGAGACTAGCCTTATCCATCAACCCTCCCGTCAATGATTCCAGCTATGGGAGCAGGGGCCAAGCTGTCAGGAAGCCCACCCACATACTACCAGGGTGCAGCCACCAGGATTCCCATCTTGCTCATCCAGCAGGATTCCCCTTCAGCTGCCAACCCACTCAGGTTCTTGCCAGAAATCTACACACACAGGAAACGATCAAGCACCTCCCTTAAAAAAAGAGAGGAATTAATTCCCCATCCCAATAGAGAGGACAAGGAGTGTATCAGCACACCAAACATTCACTTTAAACAGGAGTCAATCTGCCTCATTCCTAGCCACAGAGGAGGGAAATGAAGCTGAATAACGCCATCCATGAGTTCCCACCAAGAAGCAAGTCTGTAACAATTCTGCAAGTGAAGCTTCAAGATTTCCCCCTAAGTATTATTCCTGCCCCCAAAATGAAGCTACAAAACTCCATACATAACGTCCCTCTCAAAAAGGTGAAGTTACTCGAATACATGGGGGGGGGGGGCCGGGGGAGAGAGGAAAGGATGTTTGAAGAAAAATATATGTGAAATATTTTTCCCTTCAAACACCTGGAGCCCCTTCCGCTTCCCCACCCTGCTCAGCATTGTGGTTCCCAGTTTTTGTGGTCGTTTTTCTACAAGAATACATAACCACCACCACAAAACGGAGGCTGCAAAAACTCCACAAATGAAGCCACAAGGATTGAACAGCAAACCTCACAAAACGAGGGTGCAACGTTTACAAATACACACCCACCCAATAACGAAGCTGCAAAAAAATAAAATAAAAATGCAAGACACACACACACACACACACCTCCTTCACACACATACCCCCGAAGTCATGCTCCAAGAGCATGCCAGCCACCTACACCACCCACCCGCTCGCATAACAAGATCAAGGACCTCTCTTCAAAAGGGGAAACGTTGCACGTCTGTGTGTGTGTGTACATATCGAGTCTTGCACCTTGAGCCACCCACCGCCTCACAGCAGTAACCCAACTCACAGCAATCTGCCTTTTACTCTCTCCAACATGCTCCCCCAAATATAGCTGCAAGGATCCCCCTCTCCCCGCCCACCGAAAGCAACAACCAGCCTCTCAAGGATTTTGTGCGCTGCGTGCGTCTACATACACACCCAGCCTTGCACCTGAAACCCAAGTCCCCCGAAAGCAGTGAGCAGCCATGCAAAAGATATTCCCTTTACTGTCTCGCTAACACGCCCCCCCCCTCAAAAAAATAATAATTAAAAAGCAGCTGCAAGGATCTCCCCTTCCCTCCCTCCAAGGCCTGGCTGTCAGGATCTCCCCCTGAGGGAGAGCAAACAGCCGGCGAGGCTTCCAGGATCCCCGCCAACGGAAAGGGCCTGTCAAGAGGAGCCCCTTCCGCAGCTCAGCCCCCTCCGCGCCCAGGCGAAGGGGCCCGACTGTCAGGGACCGAGAGCCCCCCAAGCGCCGCCGCCGCCCCTTTTCCCTCCCCGCATCTTCTCCTCCTCCTTCCCTCGCTCACCGCGTCACAGCGAGGCCCGGCTCCGGCTCCTCCGCGCCTGCCTCATCCTCCCAGGCCGGGGCCAACCCGCCTTCGCGGGCGGGCAAGGCCAGGGCGAGACCCGCCACTGCTGCTGCTCCTTCGGTTGCTGCTGAGGGAAAACCAACGTCCCTCCCCCTCCCACCCCAGGAGACTCGCCCCTCTCGGTTGCTTCAGCGGGCGCAGGCCTCCGCCTCTGCCTCCTCCGCCGCCTCCTCGTCGTCGTCTTATTCCAGCCTGATCCTCCTCGCGCTGCGCTGAGGGCGGCCGCGGATCCAAAATGGCGGCAGCGGCGGTAGCAGCGGCTGTGGTGCTGGTGCTGCTGGTGGCGGCGGCGGCGCGGCGGCGGCGGCAGCCTTAGCAGCAGCAGCAGCAGCAGCAGCGCTCCTGCCTCGGCGCGTGCGCGAGGCGTCAAGCTCGCGCGCCGCGGCCGCCTCGCGCTCTCTCTCGCGCGCGCTCGCTCTCTCACAGGCAGGCGCGAGCGAGGGAGCCTTAACCACGCCCACTCCCCCTCTCTCCCTCTCTTTCTCTCTACCTGTGTGTGTGTGGTTTGCCCCGCCCCCTTCTCTCCCCCCCCGCCTTTCTGCTCCGCGTTCGACCTTCGCCTGTTTCCTATCTCGGAGGGAGCGCGAGAGCCTTGCCCTCCTTTCCCTCCCTTCCAGCGCCGCCTCCTCCTCCTCTCTCAAGATTAGCCAATCAGTGGAAGCAAACCGGCCCATGCCGCGCGCCTGGCCGATCAATCAACCCAGCCGGCCTATGCGACGCGCGACTCCCTCACTCTTTCCCCGCCCCGGGCTTGCCAATCACAACGGCACGCCGGACTGCCAATACGCGCGCGGGTTTAGTCGGCCTGCTTTCTGGAGGAAGTGTGTCCCTTCAGGGCACTCGTACGTTAGGGAGCTGAGTCTCGAGCCTTCGCGCAGGCGTATATGTGCGGTGAGAGATATATAAACATGGCGGCGCCCGTGGAGGGAAAAAGTCTATAACGTGTTGAGGTGAGGTGGGTTCATTTCTGAGGTTCTCTCGTCTGTGGTGATAAAGTTGCCAGCTGCGTACTCTTCTGGGGAGATCGGCTTCTCTCCCCACCCCCGGTTTCCTTAATTTTTTCCAATTTCTCTAATCTGGAGTCGCTTCTCTTCACGTTTATTTACAAGGCTGTTATCCCGCTTCATAGCCCAGGGAGGGTTCCAAAACGGAGTGTTCTTTTGCTGTTATTTAATTATTGCATTTATATCCCACCTTTTCCTCAAAAGAGCTCAAGGTAGTGTTTACAGTTCCTCTTCACACTTCATCCCCATAACAAACCTGTGAGGTAGGTAAGGCTGGGAGGCAATGACTGGCCCAAGGTCACTCAGGGAGCTTTAAGACTGAGCTGAGGAGGAGGGGATTTTAACTGGTCGTCTAGGTCCCAGTCCAGCACTTCAACTACTCCATCACACTGAGTCTCATTCATTTCACAATATACAATAATATAACAACCAAAACTGGTTTAGGTAGGTAGCCATGTTGGTCTGATGCAGTGGGAAAAAATTAAAAAATGTCCAGTAGCACCTTAGAAACCAACTAAGTTTGTTCTGGGTATAAGCTTTTGTGTGCATGCACGTTTGTGGTGTATCTGAAGAAGTGTACATGCACACGAAAGCTTATACCCAGAACAAACTTAGTTGATCTCTAAGGTGCTACTGGACATTTTCAAATGTTTTTAATTTATTTTAACGAAACTGGTTTAGTGTATTGTATCTGAGTAAACCTGCTGAAATTAATGGGCATGGCTATCATAGGTCCATCAATTTTTGATGGGCCTTTTCCAAGTATAACTTAGTTTTATTCAACCCAATGTCTAATATTGGGAATAAATATGGATTGGTGGTCTTACGTTGCCACCATCGTTCAGGTAGCATTTACCCCTCTGCTTCCTTTTTGGTGCTGCTCTCTGGCTTCTGCCTACTAGGAAGCAGAGCCCATTAGGGGTTCTCTGAAGAAGGGAGTTGGGCTGGAACTAGTGGAGTCCCTAAGGTGGTTGGATGGTGTTTGTGGTTGGATGGTAATGGTGTTTTGCATGCCGCATTCCTGAAACTCCTGCAGCCAAGCTGGTGCCAAAAGACCACATCAGCGAAGCCGAGTGAGGGGTCTTGTTGTCTGAGCAATCCAGGAACTCCATACACACTATTCAGGCTTGCACCCTGGAGAACTCACTTACAATTTATAAGCTCAGCCTGATCGGTGTAAAATACAAACACTACAGGTTGCCTTTGACAGTGCAAGAATCATAGAATCATAGAGTTGGAAGAGACCACAAGGGCCATCGAGTCCAACCCCCTGCCAAGCAGGAAACACCATCAGATCACTCATTGTGACCCACTAGTCAGCAACTGCCTGCCTTAAGCTGGGCAACCACCAGTCAATAAAGTGCTGACCTGCCACTGTCTGCCTGCCTCAATGGGTGCTTGGAGCTCAGAGTATCATTCAACAAGCAGACTGAACTTCTGCACCAGGCAAAAAAGAAAATAAACAAATCCTCTTGCACCTAGCAAGGTGGGACATCAGGACCATATGTCCTGGCTTATCCACCAACCTGTTGCAGGTCAATGACTCACAGAAGATGGCCACCATTGACTGTGAGCTGAAAACACTCAACAATGGCATTGCCACTCTATAGAAGACCAGACTAGCTTCAAATGGCTGCCTCCAAAAGAAGAACTACACCTTTTTCTGGAAAGGAGGGCATTCAGAAGAACCATGTATTCATGCGTAGGCTTTACAATGAGGAACACCCTTCTGCCTGTGATAGAACTGCCAACCAAGGGCTCAGAACACTTGTTTTACCTCTGACTCTCATCCACAGTTAACACAGACTTTTCCAAACTGTGTTGCGACACGTTAGTGTGTTGGCTGCAGTGTGTAGGTGTGTCGTGCAAATGCTCCCCGCCCTCCACCGGGGGCTGCAAATGTGTTAGTTTAACCTACGGTTTGCTAGTAAAACTTAATTACTGTGTCACGAAATGATGCATGTCCAAAAAGTGTGTCACCACCATGAAAAGTATGGCAAGCTCTGTAACATCTTGAGCATCTATGCTCCCACTATGTCCTCTATAGGCCTGTGATGGGGGCAAGTCTTCCCTTGCTGACAGTTAACAGTTGCCAGGCAACAGTTCCCACTGAAGTCCTCTGAGGCAAGGGAGCAGGACTGAGAAGCTTTTTCCTTCTTCTCCTGCTTAGCACATAATTTCCTTTCTTTCTTCATGCACATCCAAACAAAGAAGCCCTTGAGACTCCCTGTGGGTGACCTTAGGCTAGTTGCTCTCTCGTGGACCAACCTACCTCCGTGAGGTTGTTGTGATGGGGAGAGTGGGTGGGTTCCCTAGACCAGATGGATGGGAGGTTACCTGTTTCTAGACTGTAAACCACCCTGTCATCCTTGGATGAAATTTAATAAACAAGCAAACATGGAGACCTACAGATTCTCCATCACTTGGCTAACCTCTGAGTTTCATCAGGAAGCATTACGTGCCGCTGCCCTACTAAATGCTGGGATTATTAAAGTCGATACCTGTAGCTTCTCAAAAACCAATTGATTTGTAGGATAAAATGTCCATAAGCATGAACCCACTTTACAAAGTCAAACTGCGAGGAATTAAGCTTCATACCATTCCTGTTCAAAGTGACAAACCTGTATTGTTTTCCTGTATTGGTTGGGGAGTATGTGTGCTGCATATGGTCAAATATACTTTTGGGAAATCTGACCTTGTGTCCAACTAATTATTTTTGTTGTTGTTTTCCAACACAGGAAGAGTCCTGAAGAGAAAGCTATACCAAAGCAATCATAACCCATATCCTCCATTTACAGATAGAGTCAATGAAAACTTTTTCAGACTCTGCTGCTCATTGGAAGGTTGGTATTGAAGCTATCCATTACAATTTGGCTTATCTCAGAAGCAAATTCTGATATCCTGTGTTAGTTGCACATAGAGTAGACCCATTTAAACCAATGGACTTGCCTGTTGATTAATTTCATTGGGTCTGCTTGCAAGTATGACTTGGGTATCTCCAAAAATGCTTTGGGTTACTTCTTGCTCACTTTGTGGGCTACTAACTAACAAACTAAAAACTCCATCTACACCAAGAAGCTTGTGGGACGTATAATTAACTAATGGAACACATTGCATGAGATGTGGTGATGGCTGCTAGCTTTAAAAAATAATAATGAAATAACATCTCAAGCAATTCAGTCCTACACAAGTTCAATTAAGTTCAATGGGAATTATCCCCTAAGAAGATTTAAGGTTTTCTTTTTTTACAATCAAGCGGTATGTAAATTTTATGAAATAAATTATTGTATACGAAGAAGATTTCCATTTCCATATTTTTACAGTGGTGCCTCGCAAGACGAAATTAATTCGTTCCGCGAGTTTTTTCGTCTAGCGAATTTTTCGTCTTGCGAAGCACGAAATCCCATAGGAATGCATTGAAATTTAATTAATGCGTTCCTATGGTCAAAAAAAGTCCAAACAAAGCCAAATTTGGTACAACAAGAGTTTATTAAGTGCTCTTTAAAGTCACACATACTGTAAAGAGCATTTCAAAAATTGAAGGAACAATAAATTAAGTTTCTAAACATGACAGAAAAACATTTAAAAATCAACAAAGTGTACAGTACATTTTCCAAGACTCTGGGGGACAACTCGAAGAAGGTTCCTCTTCCACTCTTTGCTTCTTGCTGAAGAACCCCCTCCTCAACTGTTCCCCCAGCCACCCACCACACAGAAATTCAAACCCAGAATTTTTTTTTTTTAAAAAACAACATGGCCCAATGGTCACAGAAAATCATAAAAATTCAGAAAAAAACCACACAAGCTTCCAGATTCTTGCAAACCCCTCCTCAACTGTTCCCCCAGCCACCCACCACACAGAAATTCAAACCCAGAAATTTAAAAAAAAATAAAAAATGGCCCAATGGTCACAGAAAATCATAAAAATTCAGAAAAAAACCACACAAGCTCCCAGATTCTTGCAAACCCCTCCTCAACTGTTCCCCCAGCCACCCACCACACAGAAATTCAAACCCAGAATTTTTTTAAAAAAACAGCAGAGTGGCCCAATGGTCACAAAAAATCATAAAAATGCAGAAAAAAACCACACAAGCTTCCAGATTCTTGCAAACCCCTCCCCAACACCAAGTCCTTGAATTCCAAACATCCAACCCAAAATCCAAAACCCCCCAAAAATGTTTTAAAAGTTTAACTTACCAAATGGCTGCAAAAGAAGTTTTGGAAAAGCTTCAAAAATCAGCAAAGTCTTCAAAAACCTCAAAAAAGGCTACCACACCGCGTGCTATGAGTTGCTCCTCGAAGTCAAGTCGCAACTGCACCTCTTCAAGCAATGCACCTTGGGTTTTAAAGGTTTTACGAAAAAGGAAACAAACTTGCAAGACGTTTTCGTCTTGAAAAGCAAACCCATAGGGAAATTCGTCTTGCGAAGCAGCTCAAAAACTGCAAAACCCTTTTGTCTAGCGAGTTTTTCGTCTTGCGAGGCATTCGTCTTGCAGGGCACCACTGTACTGAGAATGCCTTATTTATTCAGTTTTATGTTTCTGCAATGACCTCAAGAATTCTTGGTTAGGATGCATTCACCTTGCTATTTGTTTTTTCTTGCCTGGAAGACAAAAATTTGTATTCTCTAAAACAGGAATGTGGAACCTGTGGCCCTCCAGTTGTTGTTGGACTTCCATTCCCATCTCTAACCCTTGGCCCTGCTGGCTAGCACTGATGGCAGCTGGAGTCCAAAGGAGATCAAAAGGAGATCCAAAGGACCACAGACTCCTCATCCCTGCCCTAAAAGGATGTGGAATAGTTACTAAACTAACACCAGGTAGAACAACAAAGAATATTGCAGGCTGACATTCAGACTTTTAAAATACTACAACTCCCATCAGCCCCAGCCAGCATGGACAGTGGTCAGGGCACCACATTGGTTTGCCATTGCCTGCCTTCTATTGGAAAGAAAAATAGGCCTTTGGTCCAATTGCAAGGCAATTATGTGCTCTTAATGGATGTTCTTAGAGATCTACCTTGAATTTTCAGAAAGTTAAGATGCAAGTGCTTTAAGAAATGCATAACAGCTTTCTGTTCCGAATAAGCTCTGCTGTTTTTCACTGCCAGGGGCAATAATGCTGAGGAATCTGAGGAGACTCGTTTGTCGGGGATACAAGGTGAGCCCACCCACACATCCCCTTCTGTCAGGGCAGCACAAATGTAGCTCCTGGGATATATATCTAGCTGGAACTGAACCAAATTTCTGCAGTTCTTTTAGCCTTTCTTTCCTCCCATCTGGAAAAACAGGAAATCTCACTTTCCTGACCTAATGCGTTTCTGCACAATTCAAATAGCTAATAGAAGACTGGAGATTCTGTGGAAACAGCTCCACCTTATGGGCTTTGGCAGCCTCAGTTTCACCCTATGGCTGCTTAGGTGTGGGGGTTGCCTTTGGAAGGCTCTCAGCCTTTGCTGGCGGTGGATCTTGGGCAAGGGCTGCTTCTCCTCCCATGTGTGGCATGACTTCCTAGCTCGTATTTGGTGAGTCTTAGCTGAGGTTGCTATTCATTATGCCTTAGCTACATTGTTCACCTGCAGGGTTTCCTGGTCTCCATGGAAAAGGTCCCAGCTTCAGTTCCTGACATCTCTCAGTTTAATAAGAGTCCTTCACCAAAGGTTTCTGAGTAAGTCAGGGACTATGAGGAGAAAGCCCTCCTTAATCTTATTTATATACCACCTGTATATCATGTTGAGCTGCCCCACCCGCAGGCCATTTTGGCCAGTGGGCAGACATGCCTGGTTGTTAATCCCCTCAAATCAGGTAACCCAACTTCAAAGGAAAGAATCAGGAGTGCGTTCTAAAGTTCCAATCAGGAACTCCTGAGCGCACCCAATCTCTGCACCGCTTGCTGTCACCACCAATCGGCTGATAGATGCTTAAACAAGGAATAAATCAGAACCTAAAAAACCCCACACACATCTATACAAATAAAAGACAGGTCCAGCAGATCCCGCCACAACAAAAGTGGCCTCAAATACTCTTCAGATTAAGAAGCCACTCTCTTGGAGGCTGTCATCCTCTGCCGGAGGAGACTACAATGTTTTGCCATATATACGGTGCTCTTTCTTTCCCTAGCTGGAACATGACTGCTTTTTACAAGCCGGAGCCAGGAACTGGCAAAGCACTGCTGCTATCCAGGATCCCCACTTTGCACCAGAAAAGCCCAGAGCAATCTTCCGCACCAGCGAGAATGACCCGGTAAGTTGTTGTCGGGAAGGTGGTAGAAATATGAGAGTTGTAAGCAGCTGTCTTAAGGTGGCTGCAGACAGAATGAGAGTAGTGGTGGTCTTGGTGATGCATGTGAACTTGGTGAGAGAGGCAGGACCATACTGCTTGAAGGATCAAGTACAACCTGGGGAAGGGTTGTAGCTCAGTGGTAGAGCATCTGCTTTGCATGCAGAAGGTGCCACGTTCAATTCCCAGCATCTCCAGGCAGGCCTGGGAATTATCCCCTGTCTGAAACCTTGGAAAGCTACTGCCAATCAGTGTAGACATTGCTGAGCTACATAGACCAATGGTCTGACTCAGTATGTTGCTTTGTGCTTCTAGCCCAGCCTTGTGTTTAACAACTTGCCTGGTGGCTGCAGGTGACAAGGAACTCTATGCTGGTGGGTGAGTGGCAGAGAAGCAACAGAACTTTGCATCTTTCTTCGCACCCGCTTCATAGAATGCTTTTATTTTTTAGCTTACTCAAGACCCTCCTCTGCAGTGAGCCTAGAAATGCAGGCTACTCGCCTTTTAGCAGACTAGTAAAATGCTTTTGTAAGGGACGCGGGTGGCGCCGTGGGTTAAACCACAGAGCCTAGGACTTGCCGATCAGAAGGTTGGCGGTTCGAATCCCCGTGACGGGGTAAGCTCCCGTTGCTCGGTCCCTGCTCCTGCCAACTTAGCAGTTCGAAAGCACCTCAAAGTGCAAGTAGATAAATAGGTACCGTTCCAGCGGGAAGGTAAACGGCGTTTCCGTGCACTGCTCTGGTTTGCCAGAAGCAGCTTAGTCATGCTGGCCACATGACCCGGAAGCTGTACGCCGGCTCCCTCAGCCAATAAAGCGAGATGAGCCCCGCAACCCCAGAGTCGGTCACGACTGGACCTAATGGTCAGGGGTCCCCTTACCTTTACCTTTAAAATGCTTTTGTACTCTGGTAAATTCAGAACAAAGGAAGCTGTCTTATAGTAAATCAGACCATTCGGCTCTCTAGCTCAGTGTTGTTTACACTGACTGGCAACAGAGCATCTTCTTTGGATTGGAGAAAGTCCCAGGTTCAGTCCCTGGCATCTCTGGTCCATCTATTATTCTTTGATTTATTTAACAGATTTATAAATCATGGGCAGAGGCCATTTAAGTGGAGTACAAGATGAAAGTAGGATAAAACTCACAGCCCCAAATCATTCATCTAAAACTCTGAAAACCCAGGAAATCCATATCTACAAATTTGTGATCAATGTTCCATAAGTGACTAGGCCATGCATCAAGGGAAGCCGCCTTGAATAAAAATATATCTTCAGTAGACGCCTAAGCATCATGACATTAGACACCTGTCTGATTTTGCTTTGGTCAGTTATTCCAGAGGGCTGGGCCTGCAGCACTAAAAGGCCAGATTCCAGTGCAAGTTAAGCACATTCCTGGGGCCCATGGCAGTGCTAAATCCAAGAGGAGCACAGTTGCTGGGCAGGGATGGTTAAATGGCTAATGAGAAAGACCCTTCTCTGCTTGACTTCATGGAGAGCCACTGGTGATCTAAGCAGATGTTCATATATGTTCATTAGATATTCATAAAGAAAGACAGTGACGTTGGGGGCGCTGCTCAGCACTTCCCCAGCCTTGAAACTCTTGGGATTTCAGAACCTCGGCCCTCCAGATGTTTTTGGCCTACAACTCCCATGATCCCTAGCTAGTAGGACCAGTGGTCAGGGATGCTGGGAACTGTATTCTGAAAAAACATCTGGAGGGCTGAGTTTGGGGAAGTCTGTTCTAGAGCAGGGAAGGGGAGCCTGTCAGGACTTCCAGATGTTGTTGGACTACAGCTCCCATCATTCCCAGCCGTTCTCCATGCTGGATGGGACTGATGGGAGTTGGAGTCAAAGGGCATCCTGAGGGCTGCAGACTCTCCATTCCTGTGCTAGAGCTCACCCTGCATGTTGTTATTGCAATAATAATGAACTCCAGTTTTAATTACTATGTAATGTATCATTTGCTGTGAAATAATGTTTGCCTAGGATTGAAAGGATTCCCATTTGTTAACCATCATTGTCAACCGATCGATTGACTGCATATAATTCTGCTTTGCAAGTCTTCTTATAAGGCAACTTTGAATGTCAGCTAAGAATCCCCACCTGATTGATCAGTGTTGGGCACAAATATGATACCTCTCTATACAAGACACCCCTTTATATGCTGAAGCCGCACCTCTTCACCCTAGCCTTTGACAACTTATATGTACATATTTAACACCTGCCCTAATTTTCTGATGTAAATCGTTTTAACTGATTTTTAAGATAGTATTTTTGCATTGCTGTAACCCACCCTGGGAAGGGTGCATAAGCAAGCTGTTGTTACTCTTCTTCCCTGTGACTTTTAGGTGAAGAGTGGGTAAAAAAGCTATTATTATTATTATTATTATTCCCTGGGGCCATGTGTCGAAGGGTGCATAAGAAAGCTAATCATCATCAGCGTTCGATAGCAGACATAGCTGTGCTAGCATTGCAGCTGCTAAGCTGTACTGTTGGGTTTTGTTTTTTAATGCAGATGAAAAGGAATGGTGGGCTGTGTGTTCTAATAACAGACAAATGCCCAACATAAGAGGCTATCGCTTGTGTCATTGCAGCAGCAACAGCAAAAAAAAGAGACCAATCAACATTTAAACAAAAATTTCAAGTAAAATAACTCAAGAGGCTGCTGGTGGGGGCTCCTTCCTTTTTCACAAGCTCAAACCTGCCTCGGTTTCTCCTTTCCCGCCCCCTGCCAACGGCACAAAAAATTGTTTGGGTAAATCGGCCTCCGGAGGTGCTTTACTGTGCCCGCTGGGAGCCTTTTGACTGCCGATTCTTCTGGGGTCTCCATGGAAACGGCAACAGGCAGGCGGACCCCGTCACGTGACAGCCCCCCCCCACCGCCAAGCATCAGTGCCGAAAATGCCCAGATGGCAAAGGGATTGCCTTTGCCCTCTCAAGTCTGGGTGGCTGTTGCCAGGCAACTGGCCTCTGGGCTTATTTGTTCAACGGCAACATATACAATCTGGGCTCAGGCAGCAGAAGCTGAAAGCAGACTCAAGAATGTCACCTTCCTCCAACACCTCCTGCCGTCCTTCCCGCCCACCACCCACCTGCATTCCCAGTTCAGCACCTGATTGCTTAAACTGCAAGGTTCGGAAGAACTTGGGGAATTCTGCTTTGGCGTGGTGTTTTGCATGTGGGCATTCCCTGTGGAATTTCGCCTTTGGAGAATCTTCAGGCTTTCATTTAAAACAGGGATGGGGGAGCCCTTTTTGTTCCAGCCCAGGGGCCATATTCCCTTCTGGGCAACTTTCTGGGGGCCACATTCCAATGGTAGGTGGGGCCAGAGGCAAAAGTGGGTGGAGCAATGGGTGTGATTTATTTATTTTATTACTGTTGTACAGCGGGCTGGTTTCTACACACACAGAGAGACACACACTCCTCTAGCCAAGCATGGAAGAGGCATGTTCAGGGTATAAGGACACATTCCAGCCAGGCAAGAACACCAAAAGAGGGTACAAACAGGGCCTATGTGAGGTGTGCCCGGAGTGTCTTGAGAATCTTAGAGGGCCCCTGGACTTCGGGTTCCCCATCCTTGATGGCTTCTGGGAATCCCAGTATCAGAACTCGAAAGGCAACAGCCCTTTTCTCTTATTCAATCCCATCCCCTGGACCTGGAGGCTCCATTTAGCTATTTATACTGTACCGTGCTGCATACAGTAACTGTGGCGCCACCCCCACTATGAGCAGAAGCAAAAAGAAATTTCACAATGTTTGCAAAGTGAGATATAAGCGGTCATAGCTTTTCTGACTTGGGGCTCAGCTTTTTTTGGAATCTTTGAGGCCTGGGACCAAGCTTTTTCCTCTGCCTCTGCAAATGGGCCAGGTGAAACACGAAGAAATGTGGCCCTGGTGCCGAAAAAGCTTCCCCACCCACCGATTTGGAGCACCTGCTGTTCAAAATCCAGCAAAGAAGCCGTTCCCGTGTGTTGGCATCTTGACATGCCAACCCCCAGTCACTTCCACAGGAAGCTGCCATCAGACCGTGTTGGAGCCTTAGCTCCTTTAGCTCAAGATTGTCTATACCAGGGGTAGGCAACCTAAGGCCCGGGGCCCGGATCCGGCCCAATCGCCTTCTCAATCCAGCCTGCGGATGATCCAGGAATCAGAATGTTTTTACATGAGTAGAATGTGTCCTTCTATTTAAAATGCATCTCTGGGTTATTTGTGGGGCATAGGAATTGGTTCATTTTTATATATTTTTCAAAATACAGTCCGGCCCCCCACAAAGTCTGAGGGACAGTGAACCGGCCCATGGCTGAAAAAGGTTGCTGACCCCTGGTCTACACAGTGACTGGCAAGGGCTTTCTGGGGTTTCAGTCAGGGGAGAAGCTGGTGGTTGCACCTGGGAGCTTCTGTCACCCTCCAAAGTGGGCCAGAGAAAGAGCAGGGTCATGGGAACATAGGGAGCTGCCTTCTACTGAGGGATAATCATAATCGTCTACCTTGCCTGGCAGCAGCTGTCCCAAAAATTCACGCAGGAGGGAATCTTTCCCATCCCTCCCAGAAGATGCCTTTGATTGAACCTGGCACCTTCGGCATGCAAAGCAGGTGCTGTACCCACAGAGCTACAGTCGCACTTGGTTGTTTGATGCATTGTGTGTGCTTCCCCCCACCCTCCCAACACTGCAGGCCAATCACGCGGAAGAGCACGTGGGACAATATTACACGCTCCCCCTCCAGGAGGTGAAGAAGGTGTTTCCTCACGGACTCCCAGCACGCTTCAAGTTACAGGTGATGTGTCTTCCTTGCAGGCCTAAAAGTGGAGGGGAGAGCTGCAAGGCGGGATGGGACAAAAATATTGGGTCCCCGTCTGAATTAAAGTCCTCTTTCTCTGCCTTGAATGAAGCTGTACGCAGCTCTTCTCTGTCTCAGCAATAATAATAAATAATTTTCTTATTTGTACTCCACCCGTTGCCCCAGCCACTCTGGGCAGCTTCCAACAAAATACAAAAACACAGTGAGGCATCTCACTGCTTCGTTGTTGTTGTTTTGTTCACGACAGATTAAAACCTTTGGCGAGGCCTGTTTCATGGTGAGGGAACCCGCTCTCGAACTCCTCAGCTGCTTAAAACGAACCAACTTTGCTCATCCAGCCATTCGATATGTCATCTGTATCCTATGAATCAGGGCAGCACTCGTTCTCCTGAGACCACCCTGCAGTTAGGCATTCTGGTAACAGGCAAGTTCTTGTCCTCATGAAACAGAGTGTGAGCAGAGTGCCTGATCAATTCATTTAAGCAAGAGAAAACAGGGATGAGAAGACCGTCAGGGAAAAGAGGCTCAAGCGGCCTTGGTTGGCAAGGGGGAGACCTAGGCATTTGGGGAAAGGCACAGCCAAGGATTTGGACCCTAATCTCCCTCGCTTTGTGTCTCCTTTGCACATTTACCCAGTCTCCACCTTCATTCATGAGGACTAGAAACTTCCCTAAGAATTAGGAGCGTGAAGCTTTTCATCCCAGGGGCCGCATTCCTGCCTGGACAACCTTCCAGGAGCCGCATGCTTGTAGTGGGCGGAGCAACAAATGTAAATTTTACCTACGTACTGTAGCCTGCTTTCTACGTACCCTCTCAAACCCCTTTGTCTTCCGTCCTGGCAAAGCAAAGAAGTGTGATCAGAATTCGCAGACATTTTGCCATGCATAAACGTTCAAAGGACAGTGGGAAGCGGGGCTTGTGAGCAGTGTGGCCTAGGTGGAGGGGGTGTGGTCTGAGGAGAATCCCACAGGCCAGACAGAGACACCTGGAGGGCTGCATTTGACCCTTGGGCCTGTGATACCCCACCCTGTTTTTGTTTTTAAAGGCAAAATTCCTTCTCGACTTGTGTTTGTGTTGCTGTTTGTACCTCTGGTCGTTCATTGCCCAACAGGGCAACCCTTAATTCTTACTTGAGTCACAAAGCAGTGGCGGGTATTAGGGCGGGTGCATGGATACACATGTTCTCCTTAGCAGCTTTTATTTGAAGACGGCGAAAAGACCACGGGGAAGACCATGGCCCTCTGCCACGCCATCCATTACTGTGCGAGGCAGGACTGGCTCATCCTGCACATTCCAGATGGTAAGGACCAAGGGGTCTTCTTCTTTGTGCCTGCCGGTCTGTATCCTGGCCTTCAGCCAGAGTCTCTAACAAGCATCATTGAAGCTGCATCACACTTAGCATTTGTGTGTTTCCCAGTGCCTCTCTCCATCCCCGCTGCCTCGATTCCAACCCCACACTTTTCTAATGAGTGTTCTTAACGTTGTCCTTTTGTCACAGGTTGCCACGGAAGGCCTGCTGTGAGGCACAAATGGCAGCGTATAAATATTTTGAAAGGGGGCTTTTTGGTTCAGATTGTAAGGGGAAGAGCTGCTGCTCAGTGGGGAAACAACTGCTTTGCATGCTGAATGTCCCAGGTTAAGTCCCCGGTGGCATCTCCAGGTGGGGTTGGGAGTATCCCCTGCCTAGAACCCTGGAGAGCTGCTGCCAGTCAGTGCATGTAATGCTGAGCTAGATGGACCCAGTGGCAGAACGCAGCTTCCTTGTTAAATCAGCCCTTCACTCAGAACCATGAGGACTGGACTGTTACTTTATCTTGACGGGGAGGGCCATAGCTCAGGGGCAGAGCATCTGCTTTGCACGCCAGAGGTCGCAGGTTCAATCCCCGGCATCTCCAGTAAGGGCTGGGAGAGACTTCCTGCCTTTCCACCCCTGTCTGACACACATATCCCAACCCATTAAGGAGCATTTATTAGATGCAGTTAAAGTGGTATAAAAAATAGGGATGCGTCATAACTCATCTGTTAGCCGCTGCAAGAACAACCATTCCCAGGACATGGAAACCATTGCAATTATTTACCATGGATCAATGGTATATGGTGCAATTTGGCAAACTGCATTGTTGGCAGAAAAATCAAAAGAAACACAATTTGGTGTAACTTTATTAATTATATGAATAATGAGGCATATGGCAGAACAGTACCCATGGTTTATAGCACAATTTGGTGTGAATGAAGCATATATTTTAATTTTCCCTTTTATCCCTATAAATTCCTATAAAGCCCCATAAAATAAATGGTCACTGAAGGAAAATAATGATCAACAATCTAAGTATATACGTTGTTATTATTATTATAGTTCATTTCACATCTGTAATTAATTATGATGTATATTCTTTGACTCAACTTTGTCAGTATATTCAGAGCCATTTATTTGAGTATGTACTGCTGTTTTATTCTGACTCTCATTTTATGTAACTGTTGTATTTCTTACGTCTAAATGAAATGAAATAAAATTTAAAAATAAAAATAAAACAGGAACGGGGAGCCTCTGATCCTCACACTGTTGTTGGTCTCCATCTCCCATCAGCCCCAACCAACATGGCCAATGATCAAGGGTGATGGGAGTTGTAGTCCAGTGTTACCCCTGAAGGGGCCACAGGTTCCCCCATCCCTGCCTTAAGGTTCCTGGCTGAAGCTGTGAAACCAGTGCTGTTGTTCAGACTGTAAAATGAGCATAGCACACGCTTGCTGCCCATGACCCTGCCTCTTCCTCTTCACGCTACAGCTCACCTCTGGGTAAAGAATTGCAAAGAACTGCTGCCCTCTTCCTACAACAAGGACCGCCTTGACCAGCCTCTGGAAGCCACGACTTGGCTGAAGAACTTCAAAATCACCAACGAGCGCCTATTGAAAGAGGTCAGTGGCAATGATGGCTGGTGCGGTCGGCAGGGACGTACTTAGGGGTTGGCTAGGTTGTTGCTTCTGTCCAGTTCTGAATGTCTTGATAAACTCCTGAGCTCCTGTATTGTGGCTCCTGCACTCTGTGTCTGCAGCCAAGCCTGTACCGTTACTTGGCTGAATAAAAGATCTCTTTCTTACCCACACGCAAAAGCCTCCGTCTGCATGTGCTGGGCAGGAATCAGGATCCTGCCCACTTGCATGCCTGTCCCAGAAAAAAAGTTGTTATCTTTTGTCACAATATAGTGGGTGTTCAAACAGGATATAGTCCTTTCCTTGTTATCTGGCGGATATGAGTACAGTGGGACCTCAGGTTATGAACTTAATTTGTTCCGGAGGTCCGTTCTTAACCCGAAACTGTTCTTTTTTTTTTTTTTTAATGATATTTATTAAAGTTTCACAAAGAAAGAATCACATCAACAAAAAAAGAAAATTCAAGAATAAAAGGAAAAATACACAATGCAAAATACAAAAAGAAAAAAGAAAAAACAGTTAAAAACAATTCCTCTTTCATCACTACTTTTACATTTACTTGTTCCCGGACCTCCTCATACCTCCTCTTTTGTATTCCAATTCAGTTTGTTAGTCCAGCAATTCCTTTCCTCCTTTTAATCCCAATCCTTAATCTTAATATAGTATAACATTAAATTTTTACCTATTAAAAACCAATTTTTCCATTCTTTTAACCTTTTTAATCCTAATCCTTAATCTTGGTATATTTATAACTTTAAAGCCTGTACAGCTAGAAGCCACTTAGTTTCAATCCAACATCACTCTAACATTCATTAATTTTGCAATATTTCTGTAAATAATCTTTGAATTTCTTCCAATCTTCTTCCACCGACTCTTCTCCCTGGTCACGGATTCTGCCAGTCATTTCTGCCAATTCCATGTAGTCCATCATTTTCAACCGAAACTGTTCTTAACCTGAGGCTCGCTTTCGCTAATGGGGCCTCCTGCTGCCGCCATGCCATTGGTGCACGATTTCTGTTCTCATCCTGGGGCAAAGTTCGCAACCCGAGGTACTGCTTGGGTTAGCGGAGTTTGTAACCCAAAGTGTTTGTAACCCAAAGCATTTGTAACCCCAGGTACCACTGTACGTAGCCTATCGAGTTTCACTATTTGTCATGGCAGTGAAGACAATCTGAGCGAGAATCTTGAACCAGACAACCGCGGCATGCAAAGGCAGCTCTTTAATCTGAGCAAGCGGAATCTCAGGGTAACCCCAGGAAGTGTTAAGGTTTATTGGCTTATAGCCACAATAGCCTTACCCTCCATGAATTTGTCTAATCCTATAAGAAAAGAAGAGCCTACTGGATCTGGCTAAAGGCCCATCCAGTCCGGCACCCTGTTCTCACAGCAGATAACCAGATGCCCCAGTGGGAAGTCTACAGGTAGGAACCCATTGCAACAGCAACTCTCTCCACTTGGGATTCCCAGCAGCTGGTATTCAAAGGCACAGCACTACAAGTGGAACATAGCCATGAGGACTAGTAGCCATTGAGAGCCTTATTATACAATGGCACCTTCATTGTATAGCTTCCAATGAACGCTAAAAACACCTCTTTACCCTGGCTTTTGACACTTTAGGTGTATTATTATTAACGGACGCTGAGGTCCAGCACTGAGGGCCTTCTGGCGGTTCCCTCACTGCAAGAAGCAAAGTTGCAGGGAACCTGGCACAGGGCCTTCTCGGTAGTGGCACCTGCCCTGTGGAACGCCCTCCCATCAGATGTGAAGGAAATAAGCAGCTATCCTATCTTTAAAAGACATCTGAAGGCAGCCCTGTTTAGGGAAGTTTTTAATACTTAATGCTGTATTGTTTTTAACACTCGATTGGAAGCCGCCCAGAGTGGCTGGGGTATAAATAATAAATTATTATTATTATTATTATTATTATTATTATTGACTATCCTCTGTGAATTTGTCTAATCCTTTTTTAAAGCCATCCAATTTAGTGGCTACCGTCGCTGCCTCTCGTGGGAGCAACATTCCCTTCTTAACCTATGTCACCTTTGCACACTGCAGATCAAAACGCAGCAGAAGTATATGTGGGGCAAACGAGACAGCACCGAGGAAGGCCGGCCCCTAATAGAAGTGGTGGAGCAGGTGAGGAAACGGACACTCTGCCCTAGATCGCTGGGGAGTTGGACAGTGGGGCTAGGGTGTGGGGAGGAAGCATGGTTTAATAACAAGGGTGGGGAAACCTTCGGCCCCCAGGAGCCGAATGAGGGCCTTCCAGGCATCTGCATCTGGCCACACCTGCTCTCTCCAGGCCACACCCCTCCAGGCTTTGCCCCCTCCTCAAGCGCTTTTGCCTGCCTGGAATACATCCTTGAGGTTCCCCAGTGCCCCAATGGAGTATAGGGAGGGATGTGTGGAAATGAAGCTACTGTGCAAAATTAACATTCCTGGCTCCACCCACTTTTGCCTCTGACCCCACCCACCTGTCCCCAAAAGGGAATGCAGCCCTCAGGCTGAGAGAGGTTCCCGTCTCACACCCAATCTAGTCCGTTGTCTGTGAGGAAGGAAGCTGCAGAGGGGGGAGAACTGGGGGCAGATGGGTATGGCAGTCGCAGCTGCTAGGCAGTGTGGCATAGAGTGTCCGACTAGGGCCTGGGAGATCAAGGTTCAAATCCTCACTCAAGTCAGAAGTCACTGCGAGAAGCGAAGTTACAGGGAACCAGGCAGAGGGCCTTCTCGGTAGTGGCACCCGCCCTGTGGAACGCACTCCCATCAAGGAAATTAACAAATATCTGACGTTTAGAAGACATCCAAAGGCAGCCCTGTTTAGGGAAGTTTTTAATGACTGATGTTTTCATGTATTTTTAATCTTTTGTTGGAAGCCGCCTAGAGTGGCTTGGGAAACCCAGCCAGATGGGTGGGGTATAAATATTATTGTTGTTGTTGTTATCATGATGGGCTGCCTCTCAGCTTTACTTACCGTATTTCACAGGGTTGTTGTGGAGATTAAATGAGGAGGGGGAGAACCATGTATGCCACACTGAGCTCCCTGGAGGAGGAAAAAAGTGAAATAAATGAACAGGATGGGGCTGCAACCCCCAGGATCTCACATCTCTTTCTCTCCCTCCCCACTTTTTAGGGTTTAACTCGGGTGAAAATCTCCAGCGACGTAGTAGGAGTGGTCTTCAAAGAGCTGAAGCAGCAATGCCCAGAAGGGTCCTTCAGGCTGCTAGTGGCGGTGGATGGGGTCAACGCCCTTTGGGGAAGCACAACGCTGAAGAAACAAGACAAGAGCAATGTATGACATCTAAGCTGTGGAGGAGCGGCAGGGGTGGGGGAGGCTGCCTCATAGCCTGTCTCCTAAAACATGGGGGGAAAGGGGAAAGCTGAAAGGTACTCTTGGGTTTTCTGTCCAATTCTCTGTTTTGCCCTTAGGTCTCCCCAGAGGAGCTGACGCTGGTCCACAACCTGAAGAAGATGGTGACTAATGACTGGGTGAGGAGGAGGCGGCTGGAGCTCCTTTCTTTTCTCAGTAGAAATTCAATGACTTGATAAAGCTGTTTGGGAGATGGTCCCAGACCAGCCAAGCTACATAGACAGGGCTGTGGTTTGCATGTAATGCTAAACCATGGTTTGCTTAAGCCAGGCATGGGGAACCTCCAGCTCACTAACCAGATTTGTGCCATTGTCTGCCCCCGGGTTAGGAGCTGGTTATAGAAGTGGGGTAGTGGTCACTGGGGCCAGGCAGATGTCTGGAGATATAAAGCACTGCCTCTTGCCCATTGCTTGCCTACCACATATCCACATACGAGTCATTTTGTTGACACAGGGACTATTCCAGTTGACAAGCAGCTCTGTGTGAATGCTTGGGGCTGGTTTTATGGCGTTGAACATAGTGTCACTGGTGCTTTGAGGAAATCCATCCAACGTAAGTTGGATATGTATGGCCAATAACCACGTATATGGGAGTTGCATCTCAACAAGATTATTGAACTACAGTTCCCATCATCCCCAGGCAGCACAGCCATCAGTCAGGGATGATGGGAGCTGTAGTCCAGCAACATCTGGAGGGCCACAGGTTCCCTGTCCCTGAACTAGAGGGTCACACACGTTCCACATCTCCAACCCTGCTTCTGTCACCAAGCTGAGTAACCCACAGTGGGATCCTTGCCTCCATGCAGCCGTTGATGGATAAAGGAAACTTTCCCAGAAGGAATACTTTGCATGGGTAGGTGGTTGGTTTGATTGATCTCTTATCACATTTCTATGCCACTTTTCGTTCACATGAATCGCAAAGAAGTTTACAAACGATGAATAGCAAGAACAATCACAAACACAACATAAATCATACAGAATAATTAACAGATCATCGGTAGAACAATTATAACCTATAAAAAAACACTATTAACAACTGAAAAAATAAGCTAAACAGCAAAATGGCAACAAAAGGCATATAGGGTTCACCAAGTAGTGCAGCATTTATACATAGCTGTCAACTTTCCCCTTTTTTAAAGGGACATTCCCTTATTCCGAATAGGATTCCTCGCAAGAAAAGGGAAAAGTTGACAGCTGTGCATTTATAATGTGTAAAACGACATTAACAACATTAATAAACTAGCAGCCAAAAAATAAACTAAGCACTGTTGTATTCATACACTCTCCCCATAACTCGAAATCTTCCGCTTTACTTAGTTCATTAAAAGGCACATGCAAATAATGCCTGTAACTCTGATCTGAAGGCTCCTAGGGCTGGAGGTGGAGCAGCACAGGTGAAACCAACCAGCTCATGATGGCAAACAGAGTCTCTCTCCCCTCACAGTTCTTCCTCTGGAAACAGCTCCCTCATGAAGGCTCCTTGGGCTGGAGGGTGGGGCAAGGGAGGTGGAGGAAGCCATTGCCTGATGGCTAACAGAAAGTCTCTCCCCTCCCCAGAGGAGAACAGGATTGCCTCTTCTGATGTGCTGTTTTTTTCTCTTTGTGTGGTTTCTTTTTTATAAAGACTGGTGGAGCCATCGTGACAACCCTCAGCCAGACAGGCGCTCTGTTCCAACCCCGCAAAGCTTACAGGCCCCAAGAATTGCTAGGAAAGGTGAGTCTGGCCCTGGGATGCTGCCAGTTCTGAGTTGGCCATGCTGGTGGGGGCTGATGGGAGATGGAGTCCAGCCACACCTGGAGCGGCACAGGTTCCTTATCCCTGATCTACAGCTTCAAAGCAGAAGCTGTAGTGCTTTTTACGTTCCGTACAGCGTCTAGAACAGGGATGAAGACCCTGCGGAGCCCTCCAGGTGCTGTTGGACTCCACCTCCCATGAGCCTCTGCCAGTATGGCCAACGGTCAGGGATGATGGGAGCTGAAGTCCAGCAGCATCCGAAGGCCCACATGTCGTCGTCCCCCAATCCCATGCTTAGGGACCTTTTATTGCTATTCAATTCTGTATTCTGCCTCATTTTGATTTGAAGGGATTCTCCCCAAACTCACCACCCCGCCATGCCCCCAAGACTCTTGGATAAGCGGAGGGAAACAGAACTGTCAGATCTCATATGATTAACCATTTGCTCTTCCTCCTCTGCCCCTTTTGCCCCCACCCCAGGAGGGTTTTGATGTCCTGGACCCCTTCATCCCCATCCATGTTCTCAACTACAATGACCGGGAGTTTGAGAGCTGCTACCAGTACTACCTAGAGCGCAAGTGGCTTCAGCATGAAAAAGGTGAGTCACGGAAGGGAGAGCTAAGTGAAGTATGGGAGGATAGAGAGCAGGTTGTATGGAAACTATCCTGAATATTTTGGCAGAGGTGCAATTTACATTCCTTGTTCTGCCCACCTTTGCCTCTGGTCCAACCTGCCACCAGCATGCGGATCCCAAAAGGTTGCAGAGAATAATAATAATAATATTTTTTTATTTATACCCTGCCCTCCCCAGCCAAGGCCGGGCTCAGGGTGGCTAACAAGCAATAATAAAAATAAGTTGAATGACTACAACTTAAAAACAAAATTAAAACACAACATTAAAATATTGAAACATTAAAATATTAAAATGTAGCCTCATCGCAGGAGGAGAAAGGAAAAGAAAAAAGAAAGAGGGGGAGGGAAACAAAGTGGCTCCAAGCCAAAGGCCAGGCGGAACAACTCTGTCTTACAGGCCCTGCGGAAAGAAATCAGATCCTGCAGGGCCCTGGTCTCATGAGGCAGAGCGTTCCACCAGGCTGGAGCCAGTGTTGAAAAGGCCCTGTCTCTGGTTGAAGCTAATCTAACTTCCTTAGGGCCCGGGACCACTAGGGTGTTGCTATTTATGGACCTTGAGGGTCTCCATGGGGCATACCGGGAGAGGCGGTCCCGTAGGTACGAGGGTCCTAGGCCATGAAGGGAATGTTTCCCTCATTGTGGGGGGGGGGGAGATTGTTCTAACTAGATAATGGGGCAGGGGGGAGGAGATGAGGCAACAGAACTGGAAGTGTAGCTTCTGCATGTCCTGCTTTCTTGGTTGTGTGTACATAACAAGCTGCAACCATTCTGACATAAACTCTCTCCATCCCCCTCCCCTTCTTCTTTTGCCTTTGAAATCGAACTCTCTTCACACTGCCGCACCAGCCAGCACAGATGAAGGCCGCAAGGAGCTTCGCTTTCTCAGTGGGCAGAACCCTGGACTGCTAGACCAAATCAGCTCCTTCTTGTGACACTGTGTCCCTCCTCCCCACCCCCATCCCAAAAACATTGGCGTCACAGCGCAAGGAACTCCTTCCTGTTCAATAAAAAACCATACAGAAAGCCACTTTTGTTTTATCATGGTCTATCTGTGTACACATGTATAGGGTTAGGAAAGGGGCAGGAGGTATTTCTTGCTGCAGCAATATGACAGGGGTTGGGGAACCTGTGGTCCTCCCATGGTTCTTGGACTCCAGCTCCCATCAGCCTCAGCTAGCATGGCAAATGGTCAAGGATGATGGTAGTTAGAGTGAAAGTTTGGTTAAGTGGAGATGGGTTTCTCTCTCAGTTGGAATGAAGCTGCTCATAAGACGGAAAAGTGGATCAGTTCAGGATTGTAGCATTAAGTTTGATGGGGCAACACAGAAACCCAGAGCACCAAATATGGGAGACCATGCTCTTCTTAACTCAGACCTTGTTTTGTGTAAAATCCATTTACAGTGGTACCTCGGGTTAAGTACTTAATTCGTTCCGGAGGTCCTTACTTAACCTGAAACTGTTCTTAACCTGAAGCACCACTTTAGCTAATGGGGCCTCCTGCTGCCGTGCCGCCGAAGCACGATTTCTGTTCTCATCATGAAGCAAAGTTCTTAACCTGAAGCACTATTTCTGGGTTAGCGAAGCCTGTAACCTGAAGCGTATGTAACCTGAAGCGTATGTAACCCGAGGTACCACTGTATTAAAAAAACTTTTAGAAGCGTGGCCGCCTTGCGTGTTAAGTCAGCATATAAATGAGTGCTGAAATTGGGGTGGGAGGATGTCTAGGACATTTAACCAAGCTGTGTAAGCACTCCCCCCCCCCAAAAAAAAGGAAACCAGGGTGCTGGGAATTACATTTCTATGAGGGGTAAACAACAGTTGCCAGGGCCCCTGCAGTGGGGGATGTGCTTTAAATATATGGTGTGTATACAGCCCTGGACTCAACTTTGCTGCAACCTGTGGGGTGTTTTAGAAGCGTTTTTGGTCGGGAAATCCAAGCCAACATTGCCATCTTTTACCTGCACTATCCACTGTGTATGCTACATTGAGGGTTCTCATAAGAACCTCACTCAGCCACAGGCCCACAAGACAAAGGATGGCGGTAAGAGATTCAGACTATTTTTAAAAAACATAACTTAGCATTGTTTTTCAACCTGAGTTAGGAAGAGCATGGACTCCGATAGCCTTGCTGTCCAATCACAGCTTCCAAAAATCCTGGATTTCTGTTGCTTTCTAATAGGAGGTCTTCTGGTCTCAGACTCAAAAGAGAAAAAACAAACAAAAAAGCAATTTCCAGGTGTTTAAATTATCACATTTTGCCCTAACTTTGTAAAATTGTAGAGACAGAAAAAATAAGAGGGGCATCACTGGGTTTTTTGGGGTGTACTGTAAAAATGGAGACCGGCTGTTGGCCAGTGTTCTCATTATTACAGTGTCTTTCCAACCAGCTACTACAGAGGGTAGGATGGTAAGCTGGACCATGCCACCTGCTTTGCTGAGAGACAAGCTCCCTCCCTTGTTGCAACAGTCATATTTTAGCTGCCATTCCATGAGGCTGCAGCAGCTAGATGAGAAGCTGCTCCATTGCCTCTGCTGAAAGTAGAGTGAATTGTGTCCATTCAGTCTGGCTGTGTGGCTTATGCAAATAGTGGTATGTAAATCATCTAAATAAAAATAATTTGTCCCTGCATTTTGTATGTTTTCCTCTTCCTTCCTCTCCTTGTTTTCCTTTTGTGCCACATCTTTTCATTTGCAAGCTGCAAATTAGCTAAAGAGATGGAGGACTAGCTCAGTCATTGAGATCAGCGGGTGGCAGGCTCCGTTAGGATCAGAGTTTTTAAAATATTTTCTTATTCCTTCCATCCTGCTGTCACCATTTGCGCCTCTGGGCACCTCCAGCGTGAAAATGCATCTATGTGGCGCTGTCCCCAAACTGGTTCCCCGTCAACTATTACAGGAGCATAGAGATGCCAGCTAAGCGGTAGAGCGGCGTCACCCAGCCTCCATAGAAAACCGTGGCCAATATGGCGGATTTCAAATTTCCGCCGGAAGTCGTGTCTGTCTCATTTCTTCATTTCTACCGCCTCCCGTGCTGCGCAGGTGAAGGTATGCCTAGAGCGGCTCTCCCGATACAGCTCCGCCCCCTTTCCTAGTTCTCCAAGCCAATGGGGGGAGAGACAAAGGCGGCGCAACGAACCCTTCTCGCTCGCGCGCCGACCGCAAGCCGCCAGGCAATTGGGTGGCCCGCCTTAGCCAATAGGAGAGCGGAGGGGGTGGGGTTCCCCGCGGAGACGCGCTCAACGCCCGCGGTGCCGTCGCCGACTTGTAAACCGCCTCGCGGCTCGCTCCGGCGCGTGCGCACTTTCCCATCCGCCCGCCGCTGCTCCCTAACGGCCGCTCTGCGTGTCCTCCGCCCCCTCCCCCCTCCGCTCCCATTGGCAGTTGGGGGATGTCGGGGGCCCGCGAGGTGGTGACGCTCCAGTTGGGCCACTACGCGGGGAGCGTCGGAGCCCACTGGTGGGGGCTTCAGGTAATGTCAGAGGAGGAAGCTTGTGATTGGGCAGGCTGTGCGCGCGCAGGCGGGGAAGGGGCGGGGCGAGCGCGTTTACGCAGCTTCTCCGAGGGCAGTTGCTGTGAGGGGGAAAAATATTTGTTTATATCACACGATTTATACACCGCTTGACCGTAAAAAAAGAAAAAGGTAAGCCACCTCCAAGCGATAAAACGATAAAAGTCAAGAAAAAACCACAACCGTACTGATAAAACATAACAAAATTAAAATACTAAAACAGGTTAAAATCACCTCAGCTTTCTAAGCATCTGCGTAAGCCTGTCTCAACAGGATTTTTTTTTTTTGTCCTGTTCGAAGGCACCTGCTTGATCTCAATAGGCAGGGAGTTCCAAAGGGGAGCCGCCGCCATCTTACAAATGTGCGGTGGGTATTGTGTGGCTCTGGCAGTGCTGGTTCCGCCGGCAGAAAGGTAGAGTGGGGCAAAGTGACCTCATATGTACAACATGTCCCAAATAGGAGGTTTGTGGTTAGGCTACATCACAAGATAGTTGCATGAGCGAAATAAAAGGAGGTTTGGGGGAAGCCTGCCTCACGTGGATGGGACGCGGGTGGCGCTGTGGGTTAAACCACAGAGCCTAGGGCTTCCCGATCAGAAGGTCGGTGGTTCAAATCCCCATGACGTGGAGCCGAAAGCACGTCAAAGTGCAAGTAGATAAATAGGTACCACTCCGGTGGAAAGGTAAACGCCGTTTCCGTGCGCTGCTCTGGTTCGCCAGAAGCGGCTTAGTCATGCTGGCCACATGACCCGGAAGCTGTACGCCGGCTCCCTCAGCCAATAAAGCGAGATGAGCGCCGCAACCCTAGAGTCGGTCACGACTGGACCTAATTAATGGTCAGGGGTCCGTACCTCACGTGGAGGTTGTGAGTAAAGTAGAAGATTGGGGCTGGTTTCTCTCTCTGTTGAGCTTATTGTGAGAATAAAATAGGAGGGGTTTGGAGGCTAGCATACCTCATTTTTTGCCTGTCCTGAGTCTCCCAACATTGGATGTCCCCAAGCATTTTGGAGAGAGGGAGGAAAGCTTTTCTCTAACCACTTTCTCCGTGTCATGCAGAATTGTATACATGTCTCCTCTTACCTTTGCTCTAAATTAAAAGCCCCAAATAATGATGTCCAACAATATCTGGAGGGCCACAGGCTCCCCGCCTGAGACTTACACCTCTACTTTCACCAGTTTGAAGCATCTCTTACAAAATAAGTGGAATAAATATACCAAAGGGGTCTCCATAGAGTACTTGCTGGTTTAGAACTCTTTTCTCATGTATTTTTAAAATTATTTTGTTCCCCCTTCCCAGGAAGCTTCGTTCTGCTTGGATCCTGCAACTGCACAATCAGATGAAGGGATTTGCCATGACGTCCTCTTCCGAGCAGGAAGAACTCTCCAGGGGCGAGAGACATACACACCCCGCCTCATCCTCATGGACCTCAAAGGTGGGTGATAGAGAGAAGTGTGTAGTATGGTTTATGGGAGAGTTTAGCCCAAACCCTCCTCTTCTTCATGTCATTTTCTGCATCATGGAAGCCACATTTTGGAAGCAGGAAAACACAGACAGGCCACTTTCCTTCGATGTGCGTGCATTTGTTTTTATTCAAAGCATTTAGACCCTGCTCTTCTGGTGGCGCTGTGGGTTAAACCACAGAGCCTAGGACTTGCCGATCAAAAGGTCGGCAGTTCGAATCTCTGCAACGGGGTGAGCTCCCGTCATTCGGTCCCAGCTCCTTCCAACCTAGCAGTTTGAAAGCACGTCAAAGTGCAAGTAGACAAATAGGTACCGCTCCGGCGGGAAGGTAAACGGTGTTTCCGTCCACTCTGGTTCTCCAGAAGCGGCCTAGTCATGCTAGCCACATAACCCGGAAGCTGTATGCCGGCTCCCTTGGCCAGTAAAGCAAGATGAGCGCCACAACCCCAAAGTCGGTCACAACTGGACCTAATGGTCAGGGGTCCCTTTACCTTTACCTTCTGGTGAAGTGGCGTACAAATCAATAAAAGAAGTCCTGCCCTCGGGGTTACAACAGATAAATGATATGACACACAAGGGGAAAAAATGGATGGGGAGGGAAGAAGAAAAAGGAAATGAGCTCAAGCACAAATTCTTAAGACATTATGTTACGTAGGCTGAGTGTTGTCCCTTAGAGCTCCCCTGGCATAAAGTAAAAGGAAATGCCTCAATTCCTGTGGCCTCTCTTCTGATCTGGGATACTTGGCGTACATGGTTATTATCTTGACAAGCAGCTTTCACAGTGACAGCGCTTTCTGTTTCTCTGCAGGGAGCCTGAGTTCTTTGAAGCAGGAGGGATGCCTGTATGCAGATGCAAAAACAAATACCCCTTTGACATGGTGAGTTCCTCCCCACCCCTGGAAAAAACCATGTATAAACAACTACCCTGTGCACAGCATAATCAGATCTATAGGATGGCTTACTAATGTTTGTAGGGAAAACCTAATAACACAGCTGCCAATGCATTATTGATGCACAGAGGTGAGCATAGTCTAGTACAGTGGCACCTCGGGTTAAGTACTTAATTCGTTCCGGAGGTCCGTTCTTAACCTGAAACTGTTCTTAACCTGATGCACCACTTTAGCTAATGGGGCCTCCTGCTGCCACTGTGCCACCAGAGCACGATTTCTGTTCTCATCCTGAAGCAAAGTTCTTAACCTGAGGTACTATTTCTGGGTTAGTGGAGTCTGTAACCTGAAGCGTATGTAACCTGAAGCGTATGCAACCTGAGGTACCACTGTATACAAAATGGACTCCTGGTGTTTCTGATTTCAACTTTTAAAAAATGTTTCAAGTCCCTATGGTTGTAGACAGGTTACTTCTACAATTTTGGAGGCTAGGAGATGTCAGGCTGGGCATGGTATTCTTTTCACAACAGTTCGCTATGTTCCCCAACACTTCATGAACACTGAGACATTTTCTACAATATTGATGGGAAAGAAAAACTAACAAACCCGGTTTCTGTGAGGGAAACATTATTCAACAAGTTAAAATTAACAGAAAATCTTGTTATTCATCGTGTATAAAGAACTGAAACTTTACTAAGCACCATAGACAGATAAAAAGTCTCATTCTCCCTGCCCACATGCATAATGACTAGATGCTGTGACAGAAAAGAAAAAAGTGGTGGGAATGGAAGAAGAAAGCTAGCAAACTCAGACACCAAGTCTTGGAAGTTTTAATCTGCTTAATTACAGTTGCTAGATTTGGGGCAGCAGTGGTGTTGCACTCTAGATCCTGTGTGCTTTAAAGGCAGCAAGGGAGGGCAGTATTCTGCACTACACATATTCCCCTTTAGTCTCCTGCAATTTGTGCAGAACCATGTGGTTAAAAGGCTCAATTTTTCAGGAAGGGAAATCTGACGACGCACCAAGAAGACCCATCCCCTGCGAACCCTTTCCTGCCAGACCTCAACAGGCTGGAGGTAAGATATCCTCTACCCCTGGAGCTTCCCTGTTCCTTTTCTGCCCTTGAACCAGCGTTGTTAAGCCTGGAGCTTTTGCTTTGGTGGAAATTCCTGTGTTGCTGGCAATCCTTCTTGGAATTAGTTGCTAACACCCGTCTTTCCACTGTCTGTTAAATGCCAAGGGCAGCTGGAGAAATTGCCCCTAGATTATATGGTTTTAAAAGAGTTAGACCAATTCACAGAGAAGTCTAATGACAGCTGTTGGTTTGAGGGGTGCATAGTAAGCTCCAGGTTTGTAAGCTGTCCACCAGCATCTGGAGGGCTACAGGTTCGCTTCTCCTGAGTTACCAGCAGCTATATGGATCTCTTGATTCCTTTATGGCTAAATCACAGCCTCAGGTCAGAATGTCTCTCTCTCTTTTCAGGATAACAGACCACCCAATGGCAGTTTTGCTCCAAGGACCCTTCCTGGTGGTAAAGATGTGTGTGTGCTCTGCATGCATGGCTTCCTGCAGGGGTAGAATGGGCAGATATGTTTTCAAAGGGTATTTTAAGGAAGGCTTCTTATCCGTTCACAAGGTATTCCAAGTTTTGGCTTCATTTGCTAACCAAATCCATTATTTGTGGTTGCCCTGAGTGCCTCTGGCAATTGCAGAAAACATAGGTTATGAAGGGGTGTTAATCCCTTTTGCTGGGCTGCTGCAGTAAGTCATGCCTAGACGGCTATCACCGCCTACAAAAGCCTGAATAGTAAGTGAAATAAATTGTGGTTCCTTTTCTCTATGTTGGGGGTTGGAGAAAAGAGAGGTTTCTCCCCCATGGGCAGAACTTCTTCTGGAAGTGCTGGTGTGCTCACCCGATAACAGAGCAGCACTTGCCACTGGTGAGCAGGCTGATAAATTGATAAAGCCATTTTCACCCAGCCAGTGCCTGTGTACACTTGGTACATAAGCAGTAGATAAATTAATAGATGGTGGTGATAACCATTCTGCTTCCAGACAGACCTCCGCTCCGTGAGAGGCAGGATGAGACTTCACAGATGCCTTGCTCAGAGAGCAGGACATGCTTCTGGTCGGATTTCCTCCGCACACACCTGCACCCTCGTAGCATAGTAACCATCTACCAGTACAATCACGATGGGTAAGGAATCTTTCTCAGCATTCTGGGCTACCTTTTCCCTGGGCGGGCCAGAAGATGCTGGCTAGAATATTGTCTGCCCTGCTCCGGAAGGCGCCTTTGGAATGATGCTGCCACTTTTCTTCCAGGGATTCCAGCCGGCTGGAGACTTTTGGACAAGGGGAGAAGCTGCTACAAGAGGGCACATACCTTGAGGAGCTCGAAGACAGGCTCCACTTCTATGTGGAAGAGTGTGACTACCTGCAGGTGAGCATTTGCTATAGTCTCTTGTTCTGCCCAGAAGGGTGGGTGGTGCCATGGGGTGAGGTCCAGCTCGCTTGAGAAACAGCAGTAAAGCAGGCCCTGATGTCTAGTCCCAGAGCAGGGGTGGATAATCTGTGGCCTTCTGTTGCTGGACTACAACTCCCATCATCCCTTGCTGGCTGGGGGCTGATGGGAGTTGGAGTCCAGCATTTGGAATGCCATGGTTTCCACAGCTGTGCCATAGAGGCTGCACACTGGCCCGGTTTCCGGGGTTTTGCAGGTGGTTATTGCATTTTAGATATTGGGCAACTTCTTGGCAAATAACAGTTTCCTCCTTCAGCCTGAAACTTGAGCCAGGCGGTGGGGAGCAGATCCTCCTGAAGGAACTGCTCATCCCCTTCTCTCTTTTTCCGCCCCCCCCACACCAGCCAGGGAGAGGCCTGCAGGCTGAAACATCTGGTGCTTAGATGAGAGGCTGTGCCAGAAACCTCTGGTGTATCCTGCCATTCAGCACTGAGTAGTGCTGGTCAGTTAGGAGCAGAGTTCCCTTTGTCTACTCTCTTTGTCTCGTGCTCCAGCTCACCAGCCTGCCTTCCACCCCTGGGATGAGGCAAGCTCACTGGAAAAGCAATAGAGCAGCCCATTTCAATAGCACTGCGTAATTCTTAGGCAAGCTGTGCCTGTGTCTTGGCCAGGATGTGGCACCACCCAGGTTTAACATGCCGAATGTCAGCAGCACCCAGGCTCATGGGGCATTTGTCCCTTCAGCATGGGGAAGGCTGTGAAGCAGCTGAGATGATATGTGGCACAGCCTGGGCTTGCAGCAGTGTGCAGGCACCAACTCTTGAGTTGTCAGGCCACCCCAATTCCGGCTGCTGATCACAACATATCTGCACACTTCCCTCCTTGCACAGGGATTCCAGGTTCTCTGTGACCTGCACAACGGATTTTCGGGGGTTGGGGCAAAGGTCACGGAGCTGCTTCAGGATGAGTATGCAGGGAAGGGAGTCCTGACATGGGGGCTGACGCCAGTGCTTAACACAGCCGTAAGTATGCCCCCCTCTGTGCCACCTCTTTGCTCTTCCCTCCCCTGCTGAAAAATGTTATTGGTTAGGAATGAACGCAGTTCAGAGATCTTCTCACTAAGAACGAGTGTTGTGTAGAGGATGGAGGGCTGGGCTTAAGATGGGAAGATAAATGTAGCTGGGCATATACTTACACCTGACTAAATATAATCAGACCTGATTGAATATAATTGTTTATAACAGAATATAATAAATATGATTAAATACATTCCAGGGATCATCCTAAGCATTTATTAGCTAGTTAATATTATATTCCTCTCACAATAAAACTCTATAAAATCATATAAACTATCCCACGTCCTGATATCCCTCATTCCCGCTTAACATATTGGGATACTGTACTAAATTCCATTTATTCAGTCTCCATGTTTCTCTCCTTAACTTTCCGTAATGCTCTTAGCTTTATTATACTGAATTGCTCCCAAAGTTTCCTGATCAAATCACTTTTAGCTTGGCTTACGGGCATTTTTCCATGGTCTAGCGTAGAAGATTCTAGCCATCATTATAAAGTACAATACCCCAAGACCAATATATAGATTTGATTTTCCTTTTCATGTGATTCAGTAAACACATCAATGCATCTAGTGGGGAAACAGTTCAAAAATATTTATTGAAGAACTTAGTTAAACATCAGAAACAGGATGAAAGGAAATGATAATTAAGTAACTTAGTTTTGACAACAAGCAGAATTCTTAATTAGTTGGTGTCTAGAAAGATCTTAGATTAATCTATTAGCTCTTCTTCAAGATTGTGTAGTCAGTTCATTAATAAGATATTTAGGTAAAAGTTAATTAGTTACTCAAAGACCTACTTATTAGATATTTGAAGGCAGGAGAGAGAGATGCATAAGTGGTAGCCTTAGGACTCTTATTTCCTAGTTCACTATGGGTTATAGCCTACTAATTTGTTCTCAGAGTAGACCTATTGAAACTAATGGCCCTAACTTAGTAATGCCCATTAATTTCAATGGGTTTATTCTGAATGACATTGGATGCAACCCCATTTGATGAATGCTGAAACAAATCCTTTAGAAGCACTAAGTGTAAGAGTTAGCACATAGTTAGTCTGGAAATACCTGCACTTGGATCCAGAGCAAACTTTCATTAGAATGGGCTCTCTTTGTCTGACTTCCCAGTCCCCAATTGCAAACTGTTTCTCCCTTCCATATCCTGCACCTCCCGAACTGTTTTGTTGGACTGCCTGTCCCATGTTCTGTAATTTGTCCTGTTGAAAAGAAATAATCTCAATGTCAGTACCCCCCCCCAAAAAAAGAAACTGCATGAAGACATACTCACTGCTCCCACTTGTTCCAAGTATGCACTGAGAGTTTTTGTGCAACACTACCCTTCTGGTGTGACTGCTTTTCTACCACCTTGCAGATTCCACAAAGGAATTTTTACAGGCTCATGAACACAGTCTTGGCGATGGTCCGTCTTTCCAGCCACAGTTCGCTCTTCTGCCCCTTGTCACTATACGGAAGCCTGGGGCTCAGACCAGCGCCCCCCATCACACTCCCATACGTGCATTATGAGGTCAGTATTCCTGCAGGTGGATACCTGGGTATGCCTGCGCACACACACGGAGGATGGAGGAATAAGAACTCCTTTGAGCTGTGTGTGAAGTTTGTGCATCCTGTATCACCTTCCCTCATTTCCCCTGGTCCTGCTTCTAAGAATCCTCATAGCTTCTTTTCCTTAGTATCAAACTGGAATTTCAGCCACCAGAATAGTCTTCCTGCAATGCAGAGTTCACTAGACCCAAATAGCATGTTTGGAGCAGAAATCTGAACTTTGGGGAGGAGATATTCCTTGATATGACTGTGCCTTGATTTTATAACCCTCTGCAGGCAGCACTGGACTATCACACGAGTGCCATCCTCGCCACAGCCCTGGACACGGTCACTGTTCCCTACCGGCTCCAGACGTCAGCCATCTCCATGTCACATCTTGCTGAGGCCCTGAATTTCTCTGGGCGGAAGGTACTACGTGATTCTCTTTGAACTCCTGCCATTTCCCTAGCCACCCCTTCAATCGCTCAAAAGCATGATTGGAAGTTGCAGGATTTCTAATGTAAAATGAGAACAGCTTCCATCAGGACCAGGAATGTGCACTCAGTTACTAAGTGCCTTAAACGTTCTAGCACTAGTTTGTCTGGATTAGCTTTTATAGCTTATACCAATTTGGACTATTGGACTTTCTGGCTCACTTGGTGTTGTCAACCCTGACTGGCAGCAGCTCTCCAGGGTTTCAGGCAGGGAGTCTTTCTCCAGCCCTACCTGGAGATGCCAGGGATGAAACCTGGCACCTTCTGCATGCAAAGTCTTTTAAAATAGGAGTTTAAATGCATCAATAGTAGCATATTTGGAAAGAGAATCCTCCCTGTGGGCCATCAGATACCGGCAGGGATGAAATTTCACCCCCATCAGAACATCCTTTTGGGGAAATCTGCCAGATCACTGTTTTGCTTCATAATTAGGCCCCAATTTTGACCAATCAGTGCACTGAAGGCAATGAAACCAGTTTATTTCTTTTTTTGCTCTGTGTGCAAAAAAGCTTAATGGCTTTTAAAACTCACAATTTTCTCCAAGTTGGGTTTTTCTTTCCCTTCCAAGCATCATCTGGCCCACTTGCTGGAGTCCCACTCTTGTGGCGCACCTTGGTTGCTTCCGGCATTTTTACTTGTTCTGGTACACAGCACTTTGGGGTAACCTGTCAGGGCTTTGGAGAAGTCAGTCCCTTCTAGTCCTACTGGTGATCAATGTATGCTTCCTCCTCCAGGTAGCAGCTGCAGTAGCAGCTGTACCATTTCCTGTGGCACAGGAGCAGTCCCTTCCCGATGCTCTGTGCAACCAGCAGCCTGCCATGCCCTGGAGCCCACTGTCTTCATGTGGCGAGCAAAGAGAGAGCCACTGCTTCGCTCAGTCTGTTGTGCTGAGAGGAATCAGCAAGGAGCACCAAGTCAGGTAAGAGGTTTTTGGGGGGGTTCTTCCGTCAGTGGTGGCAGGGGAGTGGCCTAGAGTGGGTTACTCCTCTCACTTTTTCTGAAGGCGGAGCTATGCAGATGACTTTAATACAAACACACATACACATCCTTGCGGCCTTGACCCATTCCCCATTTTGCGTCTCTTGTAGCAATTCCCCTCCAGGCACTGAGCCGAAGTCTGTCCTCCACATGTGTGAGACTGGACAGGAGGTGCTGGCCCGCTACTTGTACACCGTCTCCCCCAGAACCTTGAGGTTAGTAAAACTAACAGGAAAGGTGGAGGGTATAGGAAAGGTGGTGACCAGGCTTCTGTTCCTAATGCTTGTTTTGTGCTTGCGGAACAGCACATCACACTTACTTCGAGGCCCTTGCAAGCTGCTGGCTCCCTACCCCCAGTTCTTCTCTCCTCTCCTCAACAAGCATGGATTCCTCTTGGAGAAACCTTCAAGCGCTTCAGCAGGTAAGAAGCCTGGGCTCTGGATAATGCAGTAGAAGGTGGTCACTCAGCTGAGAATGTGAAGTCTCAGGTTTGTGTTTGGCCCATTATAACTTTTGTGGTGAGGGGTAAGGAAAAGTGGGAATGTGGAGTTCTGCGAGGTAACGTGTTAGAAACCCACTAGAAACTACCTTGGCACTTTTACTGTGGCTGCACTCCTGACCCCCACTTACTGCAGAAGTCAGCTCCACTGTACTCAGAAAGACTTGCTTCTACATAAATTGGGTTAGGGCTGCACTGTGGAAGCTCCTGGATGATGGGTAGGAGCCTAAGTATTTGTCCTCTCCTCCCAGTTCAGTAGAAGAGTTTTAGAGACAGCAGCTCCCACTTCAATTCCCAGCAGTTCCAGTTTAAAAAGGGACCATGGCCCATCACTGCCAGTTGGCATAGCTCGGGAGCCTGTGGCCTTCCTGTTGCTGAACTGCAGCTCCCCTCATCCTTGACCACTTACCCTACTGCCTGGGGCTGATGGGGGTTAGAGCCCGACAAGTTATTCAACCCTTCTTTATACCCTTGTGCATTTAATGTGTGATTGATCCCTGATTGGTTGGGGCGTGTGCATAGGACATGAGTGTGGCCCTCCATGTGTTGGACGACAGCTCCCCCACACCCCTTGGGGTTAGTCTGGAGGGCATGAGGCTGGGAAGGGCTTGCATAGATCATATGTGCAGAAAGTTTGGCAAGAAGCTAATTCAGCGACTAGCCAAGTACTTCCCCTTTAATGTTTTCCGTCACTTTCCCTCCACTGTGTTGCAGAAACATTGATTCTCAATAGGCCAGCGTTGTCCCAGTGAAGCAAGGCTTGCTGGTATTATCTCTCCCTCCGTTTTGCACTAGCACAAGGCAAGAGTTGGGGGGGGGGCACCAGCCTCAGTTGGAAGATGGGTTATGCTGCACCATTAACAAGGCTACGGGGGCAGTAGACACAAAGGTGCTCTGGCACTGCTGCAGTCAGAATGGGTTTTCTCAAATCCTTTCATTCTCTCCTACACAGCTGTTGAAAGTATCCCTGTCTTCGGAGCCCTCCAGTCCTTGGCTATCCTGCGTAAAACCCTTGGCAGTTTCTACGAAGAGCTGCGCCAAGTTGACGTCCGGCGATGGGCAAGCTTTTTCTCGGTAGGAGTTGAAATGGATGACTTTGAGGAAGCTCTGGAGCAGCTGAGGACACTGTCTCACTGTTACAAAGAGAGTGGGGGCTCAGCAGCAGATTCGGAGGATGAGACGGACTGAGTGTGTGCGTATTTTCTGCAGTGCCTTTGAACAGGAAAACATCTACTAGCCCTTGCACACATTTATAAAAACAATAAATCCCCTAATACAGTCTCCTCCATTATGCATCATGTCTTGTGCTACTAAGGCTGTTAAGCTAAAGGTATTTTCTAAAAAGTCATCTGCCTGACCTTCAGGCCTGCAGTAACCTGACAGATTCTGTGCACAGAGGTAAGAAGGTGCTCTTCATCTTCTACAACAGGAATACTTTTTATTCCTTAAAATACAACTGCCACAATAAATAGTCACTCAGAAGCAGCACAAAGAGAGAATGTACATATTTTTCCTACTATTTAAAATATTTACACCAGCCATTATCCAAGAACGAGTGCAGCCTACATCTTTCGAGGTGACTTCAAGTTTGATGCGGGAGGTGGGGGTCAGATGGCGTTCTCTGGAGCCAAATGCAAACAAGATTGCCCAGCCATCTCCATTCCCCTTCAGTAGTACTGGCTCACGCTTTCAAAAGCCTTGCTCCTCCTGCTCTTCCTCAGAGAGGACTGGGTCTTTGTCAGAAAGCTGGTCAGTGTTGCTGGTGCTCATTCCATCTTCTTCGTCCTCTGAGCTGACATCACAAGCCGTGTGAAATAAAGTCATCAGTTCCCTGAACCGATGGGCGACCTGAGAGCAGAACAGGGTTGTAATGGAGGGAGAGAAGGAGAGACAAGCAAATTGCCTCTGAAGCTAATCTACTCTGACAACTGATACTATTTCAATTTTTTTAGATGAAGGTAGGAAAGATAAGCAATGGCACACCTACCTTCTACTCTGAATCCACCACCGAACAAGAAATCTGTATTTCCTGGCTCGTAGAATAAACACTGTACAGTATTCAAATACAGGATAATGTGCTCCCAATGATTGGCCATGGGCATAGAGGGATCTCTGAATATTGCCAACTGTCTGGCTAAGATTGAAACACAGGGCTTTCCCTGCTCAATTAAACTTTCTTCTTTGAAAGTGTCCGTATCTGTAAACTGCATTTCATCCTGTCACTCAGTGCAGATTTTTAAAGGGACCACAGCACACAATTTGCAGAGCAGCTCGCCGTGGATCCTATTTCTTTTGTGAAATTAGACATCCATGCAATCCTACTGCATGGGTAAAGTGTCACCAGTCATATCTATGGACCCAGGCATTCCTAAGCTTTACAGAAGAACTCAATGCTTCCGAGAGATTTGTCTCCCCCAGGACTCACCTCCTCTGCCGTTTTGTTGCACAGCTGCTGCGAGATGGCACTGAATGTGTCTGGGTGAGCTCCTCGCTCCTGGCAGGTGGTCAGAATGACCCGGTCAGCCTCTCTGTAAAAGAAACACCTGACACTGGAAAAAGGGAACTGGAGTGGGCTGCTCCTTGGACCAGACTTCATGAATCCCACAAGGCTTGTTGTCAGATGGAGGCTTGTGTTTAAGAAAGTCCTCTTTGTTAGCCTTTAACAGAAGCACACCATCCACAGGGGAACGGCTTTAAACTCAGTGAAACGGCCTGCAGGTAGGGACAGTAAATACTCCTTGCCTGTAACCCAGGAGGGAGCCGCTGCCAGTCAGTGTGGACAATACTCAGCTGCATGGACCTAATGGTCTGAATCAGTATAAGGCAGCTTCCGATCAGAAATGGAGCAATAGGGACATGTTAGCAAAGGCACTATCAGGCTTCCTTGTTTTGCAACACCCCACCGATTAACTGCTATTTTCTCACAGCCTCCCTGTTTTACACCCCACACGGCTTTTTCAATCTTATCTGTACGTTCTGATGTAAGACTGGGCTTTTCCTCAGTGCATCAAAGTGTTGGGGTCAGGGAACGCCTTATACCTCTGGGGACAAAGGGATTCTAAAGTAAAACCACTTATACGTGCACCCACCCTGGTTCTCCCCTAGTACTGGCTTTTGAACAAGGAAGCAAAAAAAAGTACCTGGTCCACAATACAACCTTCTCCCCGGTGGAGCTGACCTTGATGTTCTTAGCGCACACAGTCGCTTCGACCGCCCTTTGGTGCAGCTCATCTCCCCGCAGTGAGGCAGCCCGCTCCCCACCGCCTGCAGCCGGCAGCTCTGAGCGGTCACTAGCACACAGTCTCTCCGTGGCATTTCCTTTCTTCTCCGTAGCCAGAGGGCTGCAAACTCCAGAGGCCACTGCTGGAGTCTGAGAGCCACAGTTTGCCGCTCCTGCTTTCGGCGGTGTGAGGTCCTTGGAGTGTGACCCGCAAAGATCCCTTCCTTTGGGCTTTGTATCCAGAGACGATGGCAACCTGTCCAATTCCTTGTCCTTGAGACACACTCGAGGAGCAGCAGAAGCTGTCCCCCGCGAGGGACTGGACTGAACGGCAGGCTTTTGTGGCCAACTCTTGGCTAGAGGAGGGTTGACACCTGGGCTAGCTGCACCACCCGCTGCTCCTGCAAGAGTCTCACCCCCTGAAACGCCTGAAGAAGCTTCCCCGCTCCTCGTGCAGAGTCCTGCGTCACTCTCGCCTCCTATATGGCAAGAGCCACTTTTGGGTCGGTGGGGTTTCGGTGGGGCGCCCCTCTGCACCGGCAGCGTGGAAGAGGCAGCAGTACTAGGAGGGAGCAGCTTGGCAGGATCGCTGGCTTTGGAGAGACAGGGAGGTCCTGGCAGCGCACCCCCTTCCGTAGGGGTCTCCTTGGGCAAAGGCAGTTTTCCTTCCACGCGAGAAGCTGGGAAAGAAGAAAAACAATAGGGAAAGGATTGTTCACACTCGCTTGCTCGTTGCACAGCATTATTAGAAGCTGTGGAAATGAAATACAGCACAAGGTTATGCAGATGGCACTGCTGAGATACGCTAAGCTTAAAAACTAGCATTAGGTGCCAGTGCGCCTTCCAGCCTGCGTGAAAATAGCCACAGCTAGCAAACTGGGGGTGCTTCCTTCAAGCACAGCACACAGGCCCCTCAGCTTCACCTACAAGAGAGGAAGACCAAATTCATTTCGTAAATTTCTCTCGCGCTCCCCCCTCTAAAGGGGCCCAAGCGTGGCAAAAAACAATGCAATCTTAACAAAATAAAAACTTTTTTTTAATGGCCACGGAATCTCCATCTTTAACTGGATTCAGCCTCGGTTTATAGCCACCCCAAGCCCTCCTTCCAGACACTCCTGAAGGAGTCTTGTGATATCGTAAAAGACTAACGAGGCTTATTGTGGGAGATAACCCTGCAGACTAAAACCCTCCTCATCAAAAAGGCTCTACTTCACAAAGCATTATATACAGCCACAAATCTGTTTCATATTTAAAAGGTGCCATTTCTAGCGTGACATATCAGGTTTAACAGTCAGCCTTGGTGGCTTCTGAAAAAGTTTCCAAAGCACAGAGCAGAATTAGGACCAGAGAGGATGCCCTTGTCCTCAGAAGGGACAAAGTATGAAATCTTACACAGCCCCTGCCAGGATCCCCCCCCCCTCCTGCCCACGGAGCCAGTTAGGAGGTTGCTTGGCACAAGATCCCAGGGCTGCATGGGAAAGTTCATGGGTCCATGCTTCCCACCCCTTTCACTCCCAACCTACCTCCTGCTGTGGAGTCTGCTCTCCTGGCGCCTGTCCTCATCCTGCTCTGGGGAGGCTCCCCGTCCTCTCTCTGCTCCAGACTCTCTTCTGCAGGCTCCTTCCCTTCGGGGCGAGGGCTCAGTTCGCGCTGGACAAGGCTGTCGGTGAGCTCCTGGGGATCTTTGTTCCTGTAGGCCTTGCCATCTCCTGCCTGTGGACCAAGGGAAGTCCAAGAGCATCTCAGAACACCTCCTGCTCCAAACTCATTAAACCTGTATGCTTCCCTTCGCCACCCACCCCTAAAAAGCCATGAGACTCTATAGTTTGGCCAGGACCCCAGAGACCCAGGGTTCAAATTGCCGCTCAGTCATGAAACTCACTGGGTGTCCATGGGCCCAGTCACAGTCTCTCAGCTTAACCTACTTCACAGGGTTGTTGTGAAGATAAAATGGGGAGGAAGAGAGCCACCTTGAATACCACCTTGAACTCCTTGGAGGAAAGGTGGGATAAAATGAATAAATATAGATGAACTCCATGTCTAAGGCAGAAACCTTAACCCTTCATCATCCAGAACTACATACAGGCAGCTGAAATGGCAGCAACAATGGGTTTGAGATGTTACCATTAGTATACAGAGCTTTTAACAGTTTGGGAGCAGCTTATCTGGAGGGTTGGCTTAACCCACAGATGCTCTGGGTAGCTTACAGCACATTTTCAAGGCTTCAAGGAAGAGACACACAGATGAACTCACACACATAGGAACCAAGAGAGCTGCCTTATACTGAATCAGGCCATTGGTCCATCAAGCTCAGTATTGTCCACACTGACTGGCAGGGGCTCTGCAGGGTTTCCAATGTGAATCTACCTGGAGACGATGGACTGAACATGTCACCTTCTGCATGTAAAGCTCTACCACTGATCTATGGCCCAGTGTGCTGAGCTGAAACCCCGGAGTCTCCCACTCCCTCTGCCATTGCTGTGGACTGACCTTGTTGCTGCTGCTGCTGCTGCTGCAGTGGCTGCAGGTCCTTCGCTTGCTCCTCTTCAGCCTGAGGTCGCCGCTCCCCTCGTGGCAGGAGCAGCAGCACTCCTTGGCCCCCTCGGCCCACTCAGACTCCTGAAATCACACACAAGAGGAGAAGAGGAGCAACCCTCAGCAGGACAGGCAGCAGGGAGAAGGAGCTCTCGAAAGCAGTGCTTCACGCCAAGGGCTCCCCCAGCCTCACCTTGTCAATATTCTGCCCCCCTAGTTCCTTCCTCTTCTTATTTTTCGCAGACGCGTGGATTTTGGGGGGGTCCTCCTCCTCCTCCACATCTGGCAAGGACACCTCTTCAAATCCATCGAACTAGGAAAAGAAGCACAGGAGCCGTTGTCAGGTAGCGTGGTTGGGATGCAGGGAATCCCCGAAGCTTAAAATTCCACACACCCCACCGTTGCTATCGGAGCTCAGAGCCGCTTCTCCCCGCAACTCCGGAAAGAAGAAGAAGGAGAGGAGTTTGGATTTGATATCCCGCTTTATCACTACCCGAAGGAGTCTCAAAGCGGCTAACATTCTCCTTTCCCTTCCTCCCCCACAACAAACACTCTGTGAGGTGAGCTGGGCTGAGAGACTTCAGAGAAGTGTGACTAGCCCAAGGTCACCCAGCAGCTGCATGTGGAGGAGCAGGGACGCGAACCCGGTTCCCCAGATTACGAATCTTAACTACTACACCACACTGGAAAGCAGTGCAAAAAGCAGGTGCCCCCTCTCCCAACCTGCCCAGGAAGATCAAGGGATAACTCCACCTCATACTCTTTCTCTTCCGTCCAGTTGATTTCCTCAAAATCTCCCAGGCGGTTGGCCGACGGGCGCAAGTGGTCGAAGAAGACGGAGAACTCATCCTGAAGGTGGTCGTGCCCCTTCAGCAACTGCCACATCTGGGTCTTCAGCTGCACAGAGACATTCCAAGGAAGCAAAATAAGGAGAGGAGTGATTGGTACCTGAATTATAGGTGCCTCCCCCCATATCAAAATGGCCCACCGGGGTGGGGGGAAGCTTAGGATCCAGCTTACTGGCCAAACTCTGTTTGCCCACCCCTGTGTGGAACATTTGCCGCATTTGTCCAATGTCTTTTTTCTTCAATCCCTTCTTATTTATTGGTTTAGAGCATTTGTACCCCACTCTTCAGCCTAAAGGGCTCCCAGAACAGCTTACACACAATCGAAACAAGGCAGCCCATACCTGCAGGCTTACAATACATTAAAAAAAAAAGACACACAAGGGAAAAGGGAAAAGGAGGGCAGAGGAAAATCAACATCCAACCAAGGCACTACCGTAATTTCAATGTACCGTATTTTTCGCTCTATAAGACGTACTTTTTCCCTCCTAAAAAGTAAGGGGAAATGTGTGTGCGCCTTATGGAGCGAATGCAGGCTGCGCAGCTATCCCAGAAGCCAGAACAGCGAAAGGGATTGCTGCGCAGCGCTCCCTCTTGCTGTTCTAGCTTCTGGCTTAGCTGCGCGCAGCCTCTTCAGGGCATGGGGAGCCTTCATCCCGCTGCCCTGAAGAGGCTGTGCAGCTGTCCCAGAAGCCTCCTCTATCCCTCTTCTGGCTTCAGGGATAGCCACGCAAAGCCTCTTGAGCGCAGCCAGAGCACTCCTGCCTCTTCGCTCAAGAAGCTTTGCATTGCTTTCTTGTTGCTTCTTTTCCTCCTCTAAAAACTAGGTGCGTCTTATGGTCTTGTGCATCTTACAGAGAGAAAAATTGTTGTTTAGTCGTTTAGTCGTGTCCTACTCTTCGTGCCCCCCTGGACCAGAGCACGCAGGGCATTCCTGTCATCCACTGCCTCCCAAAGTTTGGTCAGACTCATGTTTGTAGCTTTGAGAACACTATCCAACTATCTCGTCCTCTGTCGTTCCCTTCTCCTTGTGCCCTCAATCTTTCCCAACATCAGGGTCTTTTCCAGGGAGTCTTCTCTTCTCATGAGGTGGCCTCAGCTTCACAAGCGAATAATATGGTAGGTTTTTCCTTCGCGGTTAACCAGCTAGCACGGTTCAGGGGCAGGAGGAGCTTGGTGGAGATGGGCCTCCAGCGATTATGATGAAATGAGCCCTGCTACCTACTACTCCAGTTTAAAATGTCTAATGGACTGGCTACCCCCAGCTGACAATTGAGGAGAAAGGAGGCCCAGTGGAGCTCTCCTCTCGCAGCAGAGCCGATGCCTTGAGCTCTGCTTCCCACTAAGTCAGTCCTGGGGTTGTGAGAATCCTAAACAATTCCTTCAGGACCTGGTGAGGAGAGTTTCCAAAGTGAAATATATGCCAGTAGGTTAATACGAGTAACTTGCTCCACGCAAGGGTTCGGTTCTGGGGGTCCATGCGCATATGCAAAAACTTGTAAAGCTAGGGACCCCTGGAACCAGCCACCCTGCGAGGTGGAGGACTGCTTGCCCAGCTTTGAGGAGGCAGGAGGGCTCTAGGACCCTGCCAGAGCCCCTGCGCCACCTTCCCAAAGCTAGGTAAGCCTTCGATCACAGCTTTGCATGGGTGGAGAGGAATAAATGAATGGAGAATGGGTTTCCTCAGCTCTCCCATTTATTCATTATCTCCCCCCCAGCCTCGCAAAGCTACAATCACATAATCACATAAATTAAGCATAAGAGGAGAGTTACCTGTATATGAATGTTACATACAAGCCAAGAAACCAAAATTTGCAGCAATGTTGTATTTCAGCCACAAGAAAAAGCCTGCAATTCCCAGATTTCACCAAAGCCAGAATTTGCTGAGGGGACAGGACACAGAGAGGACAAGCATATTTCCCATGAGCCCCCGTAAGTCTGCTTACCTCGATTATCTCCTGGGGCAGGCACTCTGCACAGCCCTGCAGCACTTTGATGATCTTCTGGTGGTGGGAAGGGTTTTCCGCAAAGCAGATCTCCAGTTGCCTAAGGAACTTCCTGCTCTTCTCAAAAGCTTGTTGCTCCTCAAACTGCCCCAAGGAAGAGAAACAATCTTCACTGTTCATGTGTCATCCTGACATCACTGGCGCTGTCCAATCACCACCTGGGTTCTTTTTTTGCGGGGGGGGGGGAGAGCTCCAAAAGTGAAATTCCCTACCTGGCCAGCAGGTGGCAAGCAACAAACCCAGGTGCAGATCAGTGAACCACACAGAGAGGAGAATCAGGTACCTGCTGATGCCCCTCACCCCAGCAAAGAGCCCACTGGTCCTGCCCCTCCTCTTCAGAATTGCCACCTGCTTGCTTACCTGCCCTCTCGCTCAAACCCAGACAACAATGAAAGCAATAGATGCCCTGGTCTGCTTGCTCAGAAGAAGTCAGAGCCTTCAGAATCTCAGCTTTTGTTAACAAGCAAAGTTTCTAGTCCCTGTGGCTGAAAAGATGCACTGTACTTCTAGTTTTGTGGGCAAATACTGGGGGTGGAGGGGAATGTCAGAAGCCAGAGGGGTGGGGAAGATTTCCAAGCGATCAGCAGGTGCCCAGTGTTGCCCCTGACCCCCAATAAGCTAGACATCATAACCTCACATACAAAAACTGATTTATAACAGGGCACAGAATTCAGGTGGGAAATCTGCCCCCTTCAGTGCAGCCCTTGGTCATGTGAGAAGGCATCAGGGAGAAGCAGCTCCAAGTGAGGCTGGGGTAGCATGCGAAGGGCAATCACACACCTTTTTAAAGACCACTTGCGGCCCCAGTAACTTTGCAGTAGTAATAATTTTATTATTTGTACCCCACCCACATGACTGGGTTGTCCCAGCCACTCCAAGCAGCTTCCAACAAAAGCATAATAAAACATCAAACATTAAAACTTTCCATATACAGGAAGTTTGAAAAAAAATATTATTTGCTGCCTTCCTTTTGATATAGTTGGAAGAACGTATTGTTGATTCATATACAATACTGCCTTTGATGGGAACTCCCTAAGTGTGGAGGCCCACTTCACATATCTACTACCTGAAGTCCCACCATTGTTTAGATGTCTTCTAAAAGCTGTATAGTTATTTATCTCCTTAATAATAATAATAATAATAACATTATTTATACCCCGCCCTTCTCAGTTTAAAAACCGGGCTCAGGGTGGCTAACAGCAAATATAAAAATTGATTAAAATACAACTTAAAAACAGCATAAAACAGCATCAATAAAATTCAAAAATTCAGGGGTCATGGGGGAGGGGGGGACATACAAACCCCAGTCAGTAGACATCAAATGATCACCAGGGCTAACTTGCCAAGTTGGTCCTACTAGGTCCTACTAAGGCCAGCAAGGAGACCAGGGAAGAATTTAAATGTGGGGTCCCAGAAAGTGTTTCTTCATAGAAGAGGAAAGGGAGAAAGGGAATAGAGGATCAAGGAATAAGAGGATCCTTGACATCTGATGGGAGGGTGTTCCACAGGGAGGGTGCCACCACCAAGAAGGCCCTCTGCCTGGTTTCCTGTAACTTCACTTCTCGCAGTGAGGGAACCGCCAGAAGGCCCTCAGAGCTGGCCCTCAGTGTCCGGGCTGAACAATGGGAGGGAAACGCTCCTTCAGATATACAGGGCTAAGGCCGTTTAGGGCTTTAAAGGTCAAGTCGTAAGGTGGGGTGCCGATTCAAGGCAGCAGCACCGAGTGAGCCATCCTTGAACTCCCAATTCCCAGCTGCGCCAGCGTATCTACATACCAGCCCGCACTCTAGGGCTTGCTCGGGCAAGAGGAAAGCAGCAAAGTCAGTGAGCAACTGCGGCCACTCCCTTAGCAGGTTCCGCAGCCCCGCGTAGAGGTCGACGGCCGTCTGCTTCTGGGCGTTGCTCTCGAATTCGTAGATGATGTGCAGGAACTCCTCGTACTTGCCGGGGACGTTCCGCAAGGCCTCGCGCACCTGTGGAGGAAGACGCCGGCCTTAGCTCAGACGGAGCGCGGGGGAAAAATGTCGCTCGTGCGCAGAGCAAACCCCAAATCCCAAAGCAACTACACAAGCCTACAGGCTTCATTGCAGAGCTAGGCATCCGCCGCTCCCAAAGGAGGCAGCGAAGGCCACCGAATGGATGGCTTTAGAAGAGGAATGGCTTTAGAAGAGGAATACCAATGGCTGCCAGCCCTGATGGCTATGGTTTTCCTCCACTGCCAGAGGCAGTATGCGTCTCTCGCTGGGAATCCCACATTCGGAGAAGCAAGAGGCACCATCAAGGATGTGGTCCAGCCAGGAGAAAGCACTTGAAGGAAGGGGCAGTGGGCTTTGAAGAGGTGTGGCCTGGGAAGAGTCCCGAGGGCCAGATAAGAGAGCTATCGGGGGCCACATCTGGTCCCCAGGCCTGAGGCTCCCCAGTCTACAGGACCTAGGCGTTCTCTGGTTTGGTGAACATCTGGAACTCTCTCCCGATTTAAGGTTGCTTGCAACTCTACATCCCAACTTTGCAGTTGGTGAGGAGGCCCCTCCTTACCCTGCTCAGGTAAGCCTGGGCAAAGGCCAAGTCCTTCTGCTCCCGCAAGGGGTCCCTCTCCAGAATGTCTTCGTCGTAGAGGAGCAGCAGCTTGGAAGTGTCTTTGCTGGCACGAGCCCGGCCTCTCTTTGCTCGCGCTCGGTGGGAGCCGCGGCTTTTGCCCGGTGCTTTGGTGCTCTCTCCTGGAAAAAACACAGAAAGCGATCCGACCGCAGTAAGTGGAAGAGGCTGCGTGTCCCACTTTTCCAGGGTTGCCAGAGCTTTTCCAGGGTTGCCACCTTCTGCGTGGCAGATCTCGATTCAAGCACATGGGTGTGGGGAGAGACCAGGTGACCCTCCAGGCTACAGCCCCCTCCCATGGCAGGAAGAAGCAGAACAAAAAGGAGCAAATACATCTTAATGTGCGAAGTGAATGAACGGGAGCAAAACCTGGGTCATACTGTCTTGTGAGATTTTGATTTTAATATTGTGCTTTAATGCTGTAACCTGCTCTGAGACCTTAGGATGCAAGGCAAAATAATGATACTGATAATAACAACTATTACAGTGGTACTTCGGGGTAGATACGCTTCAGGTTACATACGCTTCAGGTTACAGACTCCGCTAACCCAGAAATAGTGCTTCAGGTTAAGAACTTTGCTTCAGGATGAGAACAGAAATCGTGCTCCGGCGGCGTGGCGGCAGCACGAGGCCCCATTAGCTAAAGTGGTGCTTCAGGTTAAGAACAGTTTCAGGTTAAGAACACACCTCCAGAACGAATTAAGTACTTAACTCGAGGTACCACTGTATTATTATTATTATTATTATTATTATTATTATTATTAAAATCCCTCAGTCCTGATTCCCTCTAAGAGATCCAGGCCAAGGGGGATTTATTTATGACTCTTTCTTTCTTTTCAACACACACACTTTTCAACTTGTATTGGGACAGGGCCATAGCTCAACTGTAGAGTATCTGCTTTGCATGCAGAACATTCCCAGGATCGGTCCCCAATGGCATCTCCAGGTAGGGCTGGGAGAGACTCTCTGCCTGAAACCCTGGAGAGCCACTGCCAGTCAGTGTAGACAACACTGAGCTAGATGGACCAATGGTTTGCCTTGGCAGAAGCCAACCTGCTCTGCTCCTAGGTGTCCCAAGGAGACGGGGCCAGGTCCTCTCCCCAATTCTGCCGCCTGCGACTCACCTGGGGCGTCCCTGCTGGGCTCCACCTCCGGGGCAGCGCAAGTGAGGGCGAGAGACTCTGCCGGCCCATCTCTGGGGTCTGCGACCTCGTCGGCCATTTCGTCCTCTTTCTGCAAGTTTTCCAAGTTCTCCCCTTCGCCTTCGCCTTCGCCTTCCTCTTCCTCTTCTTCCTCCTCCTCCTCCGGCTCAGAGTTCTCCTCCTGCGAATTCTCCTCCTCGGATTCGCCCTCCTGGCTCAGGCGCCTCTCAGAGGCCAGCCACGTCAACTTCTCCATCGTCTCCTGTAGCGCACAAGGACCAAAGCATCTTGTCAGCTCTCATAATTCCCGCCTCATCTGCCCCACCCTGTGGAAGAAGCAGCATGGTCCTGTTGTAAACAAAAAATTGCCCTTTTCCCTTATAGGGTATCCAAGAGCCCATATAGAGTCCTTACATAGGTTCCCTATTGGTAGGAGAGAATAACAGAGGCCAACCAAGAGAATATTGAGAAGCAAAGCAGCTAGTAAGCTTGATCTTTATTGATCTGTTGCAACAGGGTGCTCCCCTCACCCGCAGGAGAGAGGAGGAACCTAGAAAAATGGCGCGCAAGGCCTTATAAAGACTTTTGAAATTCCCATCCTGTAGATCAAGACCCCCCAGAAACATCATACATACATCACAGAAGGGGTGTAACCTAAGACCACCCCTCAGATACATCATACCTACATCACAGAAACGGCGGTCTAAACAGAATTTTTTTCTCCTGTCCTTGTTTATCTCCTGTCTGGCAGGTTACTTGATTGGATTTCCTGGGTAGCCTGGCCAGTCTTTTGAAATGATAAATACTTAGTTCCTGGGCCAGGTCACAGGCTCACACCCTATTCAAACACAGACATACCCTTAAGACAGGATTTGTGAAGGAAAAGACAATGGGGAGGCTTTTCCATTTTCCTTTGACCTTGCAGAGAAAACATTTGGTCAGTTTGGGACAGTTTGGGAATCAAAATGGTTCCAGGTCGGTCTTCCTGTACTGATCTATGTATGTGCTTGGTTGGTACACTTATGAACATTACCATATGTCTAAGACCATAAAATTCCTATCACAGTCCATTCTAGCTATGAAGCTGGAACTCAGCTGGGGCAGGCAGTGACTCCTAGCGAAGAAGAAGCTTGCCAGGCGGCTAGAGGCAGCTCCTTACTGCTCACCAGGTTCAACCTGCTCTTAGCCAGCCCCTACCTCCTTACTTACAGCCAATCTAGGGGGAGGCACTGGCTGTCAGCCTCCTCCCCTTAGCACTGCCCTTGTAGAATTCAGCTAGGAGGAACAAAACTAGTATCAGTCAGCTTCGCCTGTCGCTGGCGCCACCTACTGTTGGGCTCCCTGCCTTCCACCCCACTAGCCCCAGCTGGCACCAGCCACCACTAGAGGATACCTCCACCCATCCATTGGCCCTGCTCTGTCTCCGATTGCCTCTGGCGCCACCTACTGTTGGGCTCCCTTCCTTCTGCCCTGCCAGCCCAATGTGTGAGACTCACCACTCAGACTACTCTGCGAAACCCATGCAAGAATAGGATGGCAAATGTATCTTCATTTTATTTTCTATCATTTCCTAATTGCTTCCCACAGAACACCCCAAATCCATTTGACAATAAAACAACACATATAGAGAGAAATAATTTCAAATTCTACATTCCCTGCCCTTTCTGCTTTTGCATGTGCCCCACCCACCAATGACCTGCGGCCCTCAAAAGGCTGCCCAGAAGAGAATGCAGCCCGCGAGCTGAAAAGGGTTCCCTACCCCTGTTCTAATGGTTTGGGGAAAGAGAAAGGAGGGGAAAGGAACAGCGAAATGTATATCCCACAACCATAAGAACTAGAAGGTTGGTACATTCATGTGTACCTCTGCTTATTTCACACAAATACTAGAAAAATGAAAATCTAGACTCCAGATACACTGAAATCCACATCACACAGCAGATTCTATGCTTCTCCATAGGTGGAATAGGGCATCCGAGCAGAGGCCATACCCCATCCGCTCTCTCTTCGCAGGGAGCCCCATGGAAAGGAAAGCAGGCCTGGGGCCATTTCCTCTTCTCTTGGGCCTTGGTGCCTCCACAGAAAACATGTCTCTCCCCACATTTTTTTTGTTTTGTCCCCCCGCCCCCCTTGGACAAAACAGCTCTACCTGCAGCTCTGGTACGGAGAGGACCGACTCCTCCGAGGCGGACGACATTTCCTCATCTTCCTCATCCTGAGTGAAATCATCAAAGTCCTCTTCCTCCTCCTCCTCCGGCCCCTCTTTCTCGCCTGCTGGTGCCTCCTGCCTGGCGGGAATCCCCCCAACGGCACGGCTGCCTGCGGTGGACAGATCCTTCTCCAAGGCTGCGCCAGAATCAGACCCTCCGGCAGCAGAGCTGCAGGCTTTTTCGGGAGAACCGCTGCTGCTGTTTTCCGCCACGCCAGCTGCGCTCTGCAGGCTGTCGCCTTGGCCTCTCTCCTCGTTCTGGCCGGAGCCCGGCTTGCTGTGAGCTTCCTTCTGCTCAGCGGTGCCCTCCGGTGTTGGCTCCACATCCAGCTCCTGCCCCAGTTCCAATACCAGCTCCTCTCTGACCGGGCTGCCAGCGGAGCTCAGCTCCTCCGGAACGGGGGAAGCTACTGGAGGGAGGTCTCTGGGTTTCTCTGTTTCAACCTTCACGGTCTCCCCCATCTCGGGCAAAGAAAAGGGCCCTGGGGTCCCCAGATCAGCAGACTTCCCTTCACTCGGTTCCCCGAACCCTTCGACGGGAGTCTCTCCTTGGACCCCAAGGTCAGGATCGGACGACCACCGGCCGCTGTCTTCACTGGCGGAGACCAACGGCGACGTCTCTTGCGGCTCCGGGGATGCGATTCCGCCGGCAGGCGGGCTCACGAACACGGAATCCTTGGCGGACGTGGGGACAGGGGAGCCGGTGGCATTTGTCGTCACCACCAGCGATGGTGCGGGAGGGGTTGCTAGCGGCTGGCTTAGCGGGCACGGGAAAGGGTTGGGGTTGACCAGCAAGGTGGTGATGGGGATGGGCTGAGCAGCGCTGCCTGCGGCGCTCGAGGCCAACGGGTGCAGGACATTGCAGCCGTTGGCGATGCCGACCACTTTCACAGCACCGGCAGGGACGGTGAAGATGACCGGGGCCGGGTGCAAGAGGGGAGAGGGCTTGAACAGGGGAGTGGCTTTGGGGCTCTTCTTCTTCTGGTAGCCCCTGGGGGTGCTAGGCTTTCGGACCTTCGTCGCAGGCAGCGCCGGCGGGATCATCTTGGTCTGGAAGGCGACCGGCAGGGAGGAGACCAAGTTCTGGGGCAGAGCGGCAGCCAAGCAGGCCCTGGAGCCGGACTGGGGCGGAGCGGAGAGCACCCCCTGGAGGTCAAAGCTGGCACTGCTCCCTGTGGCCGGCAGAAGGCTCAAGTGCTGAATCCCCCCTGGCAAGGGCTGCACCAGCGGGGCAGGCTGAATCAGGCGGGGGACGCGCCCGGGAGGCTTGCTGGGAGGGGCTTCTGGCTGAGGCTGCCGGGCGCCCACCTTCAGGTAGTGGTTGGTGCCGGCGGGGAGCAGGCAAAGGCCCGGCCGGACAGGGAGGGGCTTGGCGGCGGCCTGTCTCTGCCGCCTCCAGGCCTTCCGGCAGATGCGGCTGGTGAGGGGCCTCAGGATCAGCTGCAAACCCTCGGGCATGCGCAGGGGGTATTTCTCATCCCTCGCTGTCTCCGCAGGATCCCTCCCCGCTTTACCCAGGTCATGATCGGAGCCAGGGAAGCTGGACACAGCTCCAGCACTTTGCTCCAGTGCCTCCTGGATGGATGGCAAGCTGGCCTGGAGGAAGAAACAACATGAAAGGGGCAGGGAAGGGGGAAGAGCCAAAACAAAATTACCGTATTTTTCGCTCTATAGGACACACCGGACCACAGGAGGGGGAGAACAGGAAAATAAAGTTCTCCCCCTCTCTGCTCAGCCCCTTCCATTTCTCCTCCCACTTCGCTGAAGGGGCGCTGCGCAGAGAGGGAAAACTGTGCAGTGCCTCTCCAGTGAAGCGAAGCCTAGAGAGCAAGAGGGATCGGTGTGCACTGACCCCTCTCGCTCTCCAGGCGGCTATCCGCAAGCCTTCGGAGCGCAGCGGGAACTTCTGCGTGAAGCGCAGCGGGAACTTGTGCTCCGAAGGCTTGCAGATAGCTGCCTGAAGCCCCCGGAGCGCAGTGGGACTTCGCGCTGCGCTCCGGGGGCTTCAGGCGGCTTCAGCGAAAGCAACGCGAAGCCTCCAGAGCGCGGGGGGAGCTCTCCCTCTGCGCTTCGGAGGCTTCGCGTTGCTATCGCTCAAGCCAAGGAGCCTGCATTCGCTCCATAGGACGCACACACATTTCCCCATCATTTTTGGAGGGGAAAAAGTGTGTCCTATAGAGCGAAAAATACAGTATGCCTAAAGCAGAGAGATTAGCGAGGTGATGGAGGAGGGCTTTTCTGAACCTCAAGAGCAGGTGAGGGATTACAAGAAGCTGCCTTACACCAAGTCAGACCACTGGGCCCACGTAGCTCAGCTCTATTACTGTGGTCTTCACCACTTCTTGTGGCAGTGAGTTCCAAGGGGTGAATTATGCATCGTGGGGCCCCAGGTCTCATCCTGAGCCCAGCCTATTAGTATATACAGGGAAGTATATGTCTACCCTGATTAGCAGTGGCTCTCCGGGACTTTTGGCATGGACACGTTTCCCAGCCTTACGTGGAGACGCCGGGGATTGAATCTCAGACTGTCTGCAAGATGATCAGGGGTCTGGAAACCAGGCCTTAGGAGGAACGGTTGAGGGAGCTGGGTGTGTTTAGCTTGGGAAAGAGGAGCCTGAGAGGAGGTAGGATAGCTTTCTTCAAATATCTTAAGGGCTGCCCCATGGAAGAGGGAGCAAGCTTGTTTACTCCTGCTCTGGAGGGTAGGACTCGAACCAATGGCTTCAAGTTACAAGAAAGGAGATTCCAACAAAACAGCAGAAATAACTTTCTGACGTCAAGAGCTGTGAAACAGACTGCCTTGGAAGGTGGTGGATTCTCCTTCCTTGGAGGTTTTTAAGCAGAGGTTGGATGGCCATCTGTCTTGTATTATCTAGATGAGATTCCTGCATTAAAGTAGATGACACTCGGGTCCCTTTCAACTCTACAGTTCTGTGATTCTATATATGCAATGCACGTGCTTGGCCACTGAGCTACGGTCCTTCCCCTGGAAATAAAGTAAGCTTCCAGTCCTCATGGTGCTGTATAAAAGGCTGGATTGAACAGGAACATAAGGAAAATGCCTTACACCAAATCAAACCATTGCTCCATTTGGCGTGGAACTGTCCTTACGTGGATCGGCAGTGAATATGGAGGGTCTGGGCTAAGAAAGGGGTCAGGACCAAAAGTTACGTTGTTCAATCCCTACAGAAGCCGCCTTATACTGTGTCTTGTTCAGTACTGTCTTCACCATTGCTCAGGGATGTGGAAGCTGTTTCCTTCCAAATGCTAGGGGACTTCAACTCCCATCCGTCCCAGCCAGTGTGGCCAATACAGTGGTACCTCGGGTTAAGTACTTAATTCGTTCCAGAGGTCCGTACCTAACCTGAAACTGTTCTTAACCTGAAGCACCACTTTAGCTAATGGGGCCTCCTGCTGCTGCCGCGCTGCCGGAGCACGATTTCCGTTCTCAACCTGAAGCACTATTTCTGGGTTAGCGGAGTCTGTAACCTGAAGCACATGTAACCTGAAGCGTATGTAACCCGAGGTACCACTGTAGTCAGGGATGATGGGAGGTAGAGCCCAGCAACCTCTAGAGGGCCATAGCTTCCCCATCTTTGGTCGACACTGATTGTCTTTCCCAGCCCATACTCAGAGAGGGGCTGAACCTAGGACTTAGAATAATAGAATCTTAAGAGTTGGAAGGAACCCAATGGTCATCTAGTCCAACCCCCTGCAATGCAGGAATCTCAGCAAAAGCATCCAAAACACCTAACAACTTCCTGATGCTCTGCCACTGAGCTTCGTCCCCGACCTCAAAAGAGGAAATACCTTCAACCAGAAGGGCAAACGATGCTCCTCTTGTTCCACGGGGGGTTTCCATTCCCCAGGCTGGATCTCGTCACAAAGCTTCGGCAGGCTAGGCAATTGCTTCGTCGTCTTATAGTGCTGAGAATCGAAGAGAGAGAGAAAAAAGGCAAGTTCTGGACTCCCTGCACCAGTATGGCTCTCTCTGATCCTGGGGTGAAGAACCTGTTAGGCTCTCCAGATGGTGCTGGACTCCAGCTCCCATCAGCCCCAGCCAACATGGCCAAAGGGTCAGGGACCATGGAAGTCCAGCAACACCTGGAGGGCTGCAGGCTCCCCACCCCTGTCTTACGCCAATCATATTCCAACCTATCAGGGATCACATATTCAATGCACCTACAGAGCTGTGAAGCAAGGATGGGGAGTCCGTGGCCCTCCAGGTGTTGCTGGACTCCATCAGTCCTAGTCAACGGTCAGAGATGATGGGAGTTGTAGTCCAGCAACATCTGGAGGGCCACAGCCTTTACTTCCACTGGGGCAGGGTGCAAAGGAAAGGAAGGAGTTCAGCTCTAACAATAATTATTCATTCATTCATTCATTCATTCATTCCCTGCCCATCTGGCTGGGTTTCCCCGGCCACTCTGGGCGGCTTCCAACAAAATATTAAAATACAATAATGTATTTTCCCAAACTACACCTGTTTTAGGACTACAATTCCCATCATCCCTGACCACTGGTCCTGCTAGCTAGGGGTGATGGGAGTTGTAGTCCAAAAACAGCTGTAGAGACCCAAGTTTGGGAAAACCCTGGGCTAGCCTTCCTTCCCTGCCCCCCTGGCTCCAGCTACGCCTACTCCTTGATAGCCCAAGTAAGGTTGGGGCCGAGAACTCATACCCGCACCCCAACCCTTTCAGTTTAAGCTGAGAGAGTAAGCCACCTGGCGCCCCACTCACTTTGAGGATGTTGTCGGGGACCCGGTTCATATTGAGGTTCTTGATCCGCACTGTCAGCTGGCGGGCTGTCTTGGTCATTAGGAGGTACCTGCTGATCAGAGGTTTGGGGAACTCCGTCCCTTCGAAATGCTTCAGTCCCAAGGCTAACAAACTGGCGGAGATGGGGGAGAGAAGACAGAGGGGAAAGCTAGTCAGGCCGTGTGTTGAACCACCCGACTCTAGATGGGGGTTGCAGCTCCCATCACCCCTGATCATTGGCCATGCTGGCTGGGAGTTTCAGGAGTCCCAAGAACATACGAAGACCACGCTGGTGGCAGAGCCTGGAATAAAGGCGGATCTTCCGATTCCTAGGAGGTCTTCCCTCCCTCCAAGCTGCCACAACCACTCGCCCCAAGGGTTGCATACATGGATCTAAGCACCTACTTGTCTTCCCCTTTCGTGAAGATAATCTTGTCCCGGGGCAACTTGGCCTTTAAGGAGCAGGTGGGCAGCAACTCTGGGTACATGAAGACCCTCCGTGTGGCCAAAATCCATGCAACCTGCTTTGGCAGGCAAACAAAGTCGCTCACTGTAGGAAGAAGCGTCAGGAAGGAAGGAGCAAGAGGGGAGAGGAGAGGAGAGGCAGCAATCAGAAGGATGAGCTGAAGATACACAGTGCCACTTGCTGAAGTCAAGCCCCACCCAAGGGACCATCTGCAGTGTTAGAAACTCAAATATAAAAGCAAGGTGCCGAATGTCTCCTTAAACCAAGGTCACAGACGCCAAAAGAGAATGTCTAGTTGCCACCTTGAGACAAGACAGCTCTAAAGTCTCGTTTTTCAAATGATGCACTGAATGTGCTTGAAAACCAGTTAAACATCTGTTAGAAACAGGTATTCTTTAAAAAAAAATCAAAATGCAATTAAAACAAAGTTAATCTAAAAACGGATTAAAACACCTATCAGCTTCTGTATGTCTGGATTGCCTAAACAAACGTGTTTCTTAGCAGGCACCGGAAATAGTGAAGGCGCATGCCTTTATGTCAATCGGCAGGGAGTTCCAAAGTATGAACCCGTGAGACCAGGGTTCAAATCCCCACTCAGTCATGAAGCTCGCTGGGGGACCTTGGGCCGAGCGCCATCTCTCAGCCTAACCCCCTTCACAGGGTTGTTGTGAGGGTAAAACACCATGAGCTCCTTAGAGGAAAGGCGAGACCTAAATGCCTCAAATAGACAATTAAATGTTGACTCCAGAAGCTCTGCGCAAGGGTCCCTGTTACACACCATTCTTCTTAACTGCTTTGCGGGGGCTCCATTCAATCTTAACATGCGAGTCGAAGTCCTTGATGAGCTGCAAGGCATCCTTCAAATTGCACGGCTGAAACGTGGTCTGGAATTTGGGCCCCAAGGGCTGGCGGAGGATGGCGGAGCTCTGAGCGAAAGTATCCAGCTCGGTCTATGGAACGAGAAGAGAAGAGGGAAGAAACGGCAGGCAACCGGGGGTGAAGGGGCACAATGGCTTCTCAGCCCAGGGCCAGACCAAGACGTTTTGCCGCCTGAGGCAAACCAGAAAATGGCGCCCCCTGCCTGCCATGCCTTACTCCTACAGAGGGTTTTATGCCCCGCAGAGGACCTTAAGGTCCATAAATGACAACACTTTGGAGGTGACAAGTCGCAAGGTGGTTAGATTGGTCTCAACTAGGGCCAGGGCCTTTTCAGTACTGGCCCCGACTTGGTGGAACGCTCTGTCACAAGAGACTAGGGCCCCGCGGGACTTGACATCTTTCTGCAGGGCCTGCAAGACAGAGCTGTTCTGCCTGGCTTTTGGTTTGGACTCAGTCTGACCTTTATATTTCCCTCCCCTTATGGTTTTGATCTATGGGATACTATTAAAATGAGGCTGCATTTTAAACTGTTTTTTAACCCGTATTTTAAATTGTTTTTTCCCCCTCTTTTCCCCCCCCTATTATGTTTTTATTGTAATTTTACTGGTGTTAGCCACCCTGTGCCCGGCTCTGGCCGGAGAGGGCGGGGTAAAAATAAAAAATTATTATTATTATTATTATTATTATTTGCCTTCACTGAGGCTGCTTCCAAGCTGCAGGGATGGACAGGGCGCAGGGCCAGCTCTAGACATTTTGCTGCCTGAGACGAAGGACAAGGCGGCACCCTCCTCCCATGAGGCCTAGACAGAAGCCAGCTAGACTGGTAGCTGAATGTTACTTCAATACAGGTGAAAGGACTGCTTCTTTCACTGCGCTCAAGGGGCTAGTGTAGGGCACCCATAGCTGTTCGCTCCCCACCACACACAACTCAGCTTCTGCTGCCTGGCTGCTTCATTGTAAGGCCGGCTCTCTCTCACCCTAAACCTTATTAGCGCTTGCATGGTGGAGATGCCAGGGAATCAAAGCTGAGACGAACGAAATGAGGTAGGGAAAACCTTTGCGGCTGCAGTTGCCCCACAAACCCAAAACACTTCAAAATACCATCTCAGTCAGATTGCCTTTTATTATATCTGAGCTGCATGCTGCAAAGTACTTTAGATTCATCCAAAGCCCAGTGGGATACTAGACCACCAGTTAGCCTTCAGGTTTAAAAGAAACAAAATTAAAACCTAAGCTGCTAGTCCTTATGGCCAACTCAGGTGGTGGATGGGGGAGAGCAGCAGTCTGGGAGAGGGCATTCTCTGTGGAAGCCCCTAAGCTGTGGAAACCCAGCCCCATTGAAGTGCGAAAGGCACCTCTGATTTAATAACATTCTGGCTATTCTGCAACACAAGCCCCAAACCCAACCAGAACAACGCACAGATGAGAGAAGGCACGGCCTCAGTCCCACGTGGGGCAGCAGAAAGGACTGCCGGGGTGAAGCTGAGCCAAACTCCTTACCAGAAAGAGCCGTGTGGTGCTAGCCTCCGAGCTCAGGCTGGGGTTGCAGCTGCTGAGAAGGTAGGCCTGGGTCAAGAGCTGCACATGCTGAGAGCAAAGGGAAAAGAATCAGAGTTGAAGAGTTGGAAGGGGCCCCGAGAATCCAACCCACTGCAATGCAGGAATCCGAGTTGCTGCCCACCAGAAATGGCTGCTATAGCCACAGGTCAGGAGGCCGGCGACCTCTGCAGACACACACACCCCATCTGGATTTTGGGGCAAGCACTGCAGGCACCCCACCCCACCCTGTTCCCACAATAGAAGTAGCGCATGCAGACACAAGCTCCGCTTTCCCAAAGGATCCGGGTAAAGGTCAGAATCTGAGCCTTGGAAAGCACACTGAGCTGAAGGAGGAAGTGTGAAAGGCTGCCGCTCCTTCGCACTTCCACCTTCAGCTCTATGAGCCTTTTGGAAAGGATGGAACCTCCTCACCATCTCATGACCAAGGGGACAGTGGGGGACAGGAGGTGGACTTTCCCTCCCCAACCCTTTTTCTTCATGGGCCATGACTTTTTAGACCAGTGCTTCCCAAAACATGGGTCTCCGGCTGCTTTTGGACTACAGTTCCCATCATCCCTGCTAGCTAGGGACGATGGGAGTTGAAGTCCAAAAACAGCTGGAGGCCCAAGTTTGGGAAACGCTGGGGTTTTTTTCAGACTGCGAGGTCAAGGGCTGTGGCAGAACAGGAACTGATTTTAGCAAGCCACTCCAAGGACGGGATATGAATGTAAAATCAATAAAAAAGAGAGAAGGGAGAGAAATCAGCACAAAAGCAGAAAGCAAATGTGAGACAGCAGAGAAAGCCCTTCCTCGTCTGGCGTGGTGCTGTTTTTGCTTCCAAACAATACCTGTTGCATCTGCTGCTGCAGCCTCTTCTTCTGCCCAGCGTCCAGCACGAGGGTTTGGACCGGCTTCTCACGGAGCTTCAGCCTCTCTGCTTCCTGGGGCAGCTTGGCGGCCGACTTCTTCATGCGCAGCTGCTCCAGCTGCTCCTTGACCGTCCGGTGCTGCTCGTTCAGCAAGTTGGCCAGGGGCTCCTCAAACCTGCACAGGGTCAAAGGATGGCTCTGAAGACCCAGGTAAGTATTCTACCAATCTCAGCTTCGGTCACCGAGCTGTGGTGGCTCAGCATCCACTGTCAGAGGCAATCATGCTTCTGAACATGGGTTGCTGGAAACTGCAGGAAAGGAGATCCCTGTTTGTGGACTTGGCTGGACTAGGCCGTTCTTGTCCAAATCAAGGTCACATTTGCTCACAAAAATCAGAAGAGCCTGGCTGCTAGCTCAGGCCAATGACCCACCTAGTCCAGCATCCTGCTTCTCACACTGGCCAATCAGATTCCTCCAGGGAGCCCAGCAGAATGGCATGAATGCAAGAACCCTCCCTCACTCTTACTCATCAGAGGAACCCTGTTGGATCAGCCCAAAAAGCAGTGGCATGCAGTGAATTATTTTCTGTAGGGGAACATTTAGGGCCAGAGGCGACAGCTGGTGAGAGCAATTGGGGGGGGGGGGACGGACGTTGCGCACATGAGCATCGCACCTCCCTAAGCTGGGCAGAAGCTTCCAGGGTTTGGGAAAGAGACGCCAGGGGAACATTTAGGGGCCTAGTCTAGTCCCCCTAGTCTACTGACCGCACACCACTTGGGCAAAAGGCCCATCTAGTCCAGCACTCTAAGAAAGAAAGAAACGCCCACAAGCACAAACCAAGCCCATCACTCTCTCCACTTTTGAGTCCCAGCAACTGGTGTTCAGAGGTGTACAGCCTCTGAGGTAGAACACAGCCACTGTGGCTAGTAGTCACTGATAGCTTTATCCTCTTTTCACGCCATTTAAGTTGGTGGCTGCTGCTGCCTCCTGAGGGGGGGCGGGGACTCCATAGCTATTCACAGTGTTAAGAGGTCCTTCATTTCGTCTGTCCTAAATCATCCAGCACTCAGGTTCCCCAGACAGTCCCAAGTCCCCGGAAGAACCAAGCAAGAACCATCAAAGCTTGCTTTTAAGGGACGCAGCACAGGCCATGGGGAAGAAGACATAGTGGGACCTGGCACAGTGCCCTTGTGCAGTAGGTCACTCTCATCTTCTCCACATTGCAGATGAAAGCTGGAGGGGGGTGAGGCTGAGAGAGAGATGCTTGCCAAAGGCAACATGAAACAGGGACCTGCAAGCCACCACGTGCCTCTCATGTGCTCTATGAGCCACACAGGAGCAAGAGGCAGCTTAGGAAGTTCAAAGGACAAGCCCATGAGGAGATGCACCAAGTCAGTCCACACTGACTGACAGAGGCTCTAGCATGGGGAGATGGCCTTTCCCGAAATCAGGATAATGTCTGATGCAGGAGAAGCAAGGAGCCTCTTTCCTTCCTTCCTTCCTTCCTTCCTTCCTTCCTTTCTTTTTCTTCCACACACACGTTCCAGCTCTGGTTATCAGACTGTAGCTGGGCAGAGCTGGTCTTGCCGCCCCCTTCCAGTACTGCTCAACCTAGAAAGGATGGCGGAGGCCCAGCGGTTCCTTTGCCTCCCTTCCCAAACAGAGTCAGCTTTCCTTTGAGCCAACCTGCCCCATAGACAAAGAGGCTTGCCCACGGCCACCTTGGTGGAGATGAACACCAGGCCCCATTTGCAAGATGAATGGGGAGAAGTGGGCAGCTGCAGCAGCTCCTTTCCACTCCTCTCCCTGGGCTGAGAAGCAACCAAGAAGGTGAACTGCGTGGCAGAATCCTTACCAGCCCTCCACCGCCTTCCCGCAAACCACCACACATAGCCAGCCACTTCTACTGTTCCTGAAAAGTTCATGCAAGTAAATTATCGGCCAACTGATTTTTATCCCACACTTCCTCCCTGTTTTGCCGGATGTGTCCAGCTAAGTCAGGGATGGAGAACCTCAGGCCTGGGGTGCTGAAAGTGGCTGTGTCTGGTTCTCAGAAATCTTCCCAGCCCCCTGGTCCATCTTCCTACTGTCAACACTGACTGGCAGCAGCTCTCCAGCGGTTCAGGAAGGGGGCCTCCCCTCTCCTACCTGGAGATGCCTGGGAGTGAACCTGGGACCTTCCGCATGCAAAGTGAAGGCTCTCTCTCCCTGAGCTATGACCTTCCCCCCAACAGAGGGGGAACAAAATGGCTTGGGGCAGGGCGAGAACGGCCCATCCTACCTGAGTACCTGCGGAGTGTTAAAATTTGGCCGGGCCTCCGCAGCACTGTCCTCGTCCTCTGGCCCTTCATCCTCTACGTTGGAGAAGCCCATCTCATCCTGAAACTGAAGCAGAAACACACAGCCCAAGTCAGTGGCACAGCCAGGGGCAGAAAGGGCTTGGAGAAATCAACCAAGACTCAGGATTAACAGCCTCAGCTGGCACAGAAGGGCACCCACTGCAAGAGCGCCACTGAAAATTCAGCCCATCTTCCTTAGATTTAAGAGGTAATGACTTGCAGCTTGCGCAGCAGTTATGTTTTCTGGAGTTGCGCATCAATTGCATATAATCAGAACCCCAGAATTGTCCACGTACAACCATCCCTACCTTTCCAAAGCCAGCACACCTAGCAGGCCTTGCCCTCAATGCAAGGTGGAGAGCTTTTAAGCTCTTTGCTTTGCTTACTGGGCTCTGGGAGGTTCTCACACACCTTCCCAGAGCTCAGTAAGCAGAGGAGGAGAGCTTAAAATCTCTTTCCACAGCAAGGAAAGCACAGAAGCAGCTTTTGAACGCTCTGCTTTGCATGTGTTTTAATTTGTGCAGCCGCCGGGCGCAAAAAACTGCCATCGAGCGAATTAAGTTGTGAGTCGACTGTACTTCCTCTTTTTTTAATTTTTGCGTTAGCAAGTTTCTCGAAGGGCTAGGAATTTTTATACAAGGGCAGCTGAGAGCCTTACCGTCTCAAACAGCTCCTCCATCAGCTCATTAACTTCTTTCTCTGCAAGATACAAAACAAGAGGGATTCAGCCTGCGAATCAGCACCATACCCTACTATTTCTTAAACGCCTTAACACAATTAGCAAAGCGCAGGAAGCCACCACCTCGTTACGAAGAAATTGGTTGGCTTTTCAAATACGGCATGCCTCAAGCTTCTGGAGAAAAGGTGCACCGATAACAACCACCACCTGGGTCTCCAGTATGATGGACTCAACACAGGAATGCTGCCTTATACTGAGCGAGACCATCTAGCTCTGTACTGACTCCACAGAGATGGGCAGCTGCTCTCCAGGATTTCAGACGGGCTTCTCTTCCCAGCCCTATCTGGACATTCTGGGGACTGAACCTGGGACCTTCTGCGTGCAAAGCAGATGCTCTATGGCCCCTTCCCCAACGAATTCGAACACAGGCAGCGATGAAACAGCCAGACCAAAAGTAGGCAGAGAACGTACTCGTGATCCTCACGGCACGGTCGTTCCTGAAGTCCTCCGTGTCTGGCTCGTCAAGATCCTCCAGGAAGTTGTACTCGGGGTCATCGTCGTCGTCAGCCTCATCTGGAAGAGAAAATGCTTCTTAGCCAAGAGGAGGAGGAGCCTTTGCTTCCAGGAAACAGAACGACCATGACTGCATTGCAGGGGGATGGAGGAGATCACCCTTGGGGTCCCTTCCAACCCTACGATTCTGTGAAATACCAAATTTTTGCATCTATAAGACGCCCCCATGTATAAAAGGTAAAGGGACCCCTGACCATTAGGTCCAGTCATGGCCGACTCAGGTTGTGGTGCTCATCTCGCTTTACTGGCTGAGGGAGCTGACGTTTGTCTGCAAACAGTTTTTCCGGGTCATGTGGCCAGCATGAATAAGCCACTTCTGGTGAACCAGAGTAGTGCACAGAAACACCGTTTACCTTCCCGCTGGAGCGGTACGTATTTATCTACTTACACTCTGACATGCTTTTGAACTGCTAGGTTGGCAGGAGCAGGGACCAAGCAACGGGAGCTCACCCCGTCGCGGGGATTCAAACCGCCGACCTTCTGATCAGCAAGTCCTAGGCTCTGTGGTTTAACCCACAGCGCCACCCACGTCCCTTGCCCCCATGTATAAGACACCCACTATTTCTGAGGACTCAGATTTAAGAAAATGGGAGGGGGAGATGTATCTGTGTATAAGACGCTCCCTAATCTTTGACATTATTTTTAAGGGGGAAAACCTAGTCTTATACACGGAAAAATACGGTATTTTCAAGATACTGCTCCTCCCACAAAAACACAGGTCAAATCTAGTGACCCACCCACTCACACCCCAAGTAAATGAGACATGCCTTCATTTCCCACATCGTCGTTCATGAGGCCACCCAGCCACCTCTTCCACTCCTCGTCGTCTGCCGTGTTGGGGTCGTACATGTCCGGGGTGATGTCTGGGGCACGGAGCTCAGCTTCCAACTGGCCGAGGGGCACGTCCTTCAGGGGCCTCTTCGACCGGGTGCGCAAGGCGATCAAGCTGTCCTCCAGAGGCTGGAGAGGAAATGGAGGAAAGGAGGAAGGGCTCGGAGCGGCTCTGGCAGATTCTCCAGCATCATGGGGCAGAGAAGAGCCTTTGCGGTGAAGAGGCCGGAATCTCAGGTGACAGGAGGGGGAAAGACTCAGGTTCAAATCCTCCCCACAGCCATGCAAGCCCACTAAGGCCCGTCATGGTCTCGGCATAAACCTACCTTGCGGGGGTGTTATGAGAACTAAAGGAGCATCTTGAACTCCTTAGAGGGGACACAGAAGATAAATTCAATAGAATAAATAGGAAGACTGACTGGGTAGGAAAGAGGAACTACCAGGACATCATCAATCCACATTCAATTATCAATATATTGCACAAACACTCTGCACCTTCCTCCAAGGAATAAGGGAAGGCATATATGGAGGTTCCGCCCTATTCCTTTTAAAATATATATATATATTAAAGCTTGAAAGAATAAAGAAAAGACAGCATACAGACATAAACATCAAATATCAAGCTTTTTTTAACATAAAAATTAAAAGAAAATACCGCATTGGCCCGAATATAAGCCACACTTTTTTTTTCCAAATTCCGAGTGAAAAGTGAGGCTTAAATTTGCAATCTTACAAAAATTGGCTTTTAAGATATCGCTGAAGGATTTTCGTCTACATTTGCCATTTACGGGTGTGAGCACCTGCGGAATTTTAAGGGAGCGGCTTATATTCAGACATTGTCTTTTTCTTTTTTTTTCCTCCCTTGAATTTTAAAGGGGCGGCTTATATTTGGGCCAATATGGTTGATTAAAAAAGAAAAGGAAAAAAGAAAATGGGGAGAACTCAGAATCGGAGGCTCTACCCTATTCCATCTTCACAATGCCCCTGCGAGGCAGGCTAAGCCAAGAGACCTCACCACCCAGTTGAGCTTCACAGCTGATCAGGGCATCTGAACTATAATGTTTTCCTAGCCTGAAACTTTCCCTGGTGTTCCAATCCAGTCCACAGAGACCCCAAACGCGTGAATATAAGAAACACAAATGGATGGGGTGGGATGGACTTTGACTAGATCAACTCGCTCTTACTCTTACTCTCCCCGCAAGAACCAAAGCAAGCAAGGTGTTGCAGAAAGGAAGCGAACTCTTTGGAGTAACCTGAGAGCCCCTGAGATTACCTGGAAGGCGTCCATACACACTGGGCTGGAGGCCAGCTCCTCATCCACCGCGTGGAGCTTCTCCATGAAGGTGCTGTCCTTACTCTGCTTGGGTTTGGGGGGTGGCGGGGGGCCCATCGGGACGACTTCAGCACTGATGTGCCGCTGAAGTGGGGCAGCGGAGGCTTTCTCCGCCTGGTTAGAGAGAGCAAAGGAAGAGGGCCATGTTTAATCCCATTCGATTTCTACAGCTTTCATGCCATCCCTCCCCTCTGGTGGGGCATTAAGGACAGACAAAACAAAGCCCTAAGAACGTAGGAGAAAACAGGCTGGCTGCAACACTGGGCTGATGGCACTTGGCGTTGTCAAATGAGCCTCACCATCGCTCAGATGACTTCAGCAGTCGAGATGGGATATACAAGGGTACCAGGGGTCCCTCAGGCACCCTAGACCCAAGGCTTTTTTCAGCTGGAAAATGAGGGCGCCATTGTCATCATAAGGGAACAAGGGAGGTGTTCAGGAAGAGTTCCGGCACCTCTTTTTCTAGAAAAATAGCACTGCTAAGATGTAAATGAATAAGTTTCCGAGCACAATTCAAAGTGTTGGTGCTGACCTTTAAAGCCCTAAACAGCCTCGGTCCAGTATACCTGAAGGAGCATCTCCACCCCCATCGTTCTGCCCGGACGCTGAGGTCCAGTGCCAAGGGCCTTCTGGTGGTTCCCTCGCTACGAGAAGCCAAGTTACAGGGAACCAGGCAGAGCGTCTTCTTGGTAGTGGCACCCGCCCTGTGGAACGCCCTCCCATCAGATGTCAAAGAGGAAAAACAACTACCAGACTTTTAGAAGACATCTAAAGGCAGCCCCGTTTAGGGAAGCTTTTAATGTTTAATAGACTATTGTATTTTAATATTCTATTGGAAGCTGCCCAGAGTGGCTGGGGAAACCCAGCCAAATGGGCGGGGTACAACTAATAAATTATTAATAGTGTTATTAGTGTTATTCATATTATTAGTATTATTATACAAGGACCTTGCACCTGGCTCAGTAGTAGATGGGCAGCCAGTGCAGATGCTTTAACAATGGTGCCACGTGTAGTTGGCAATCTGGCCACTGCATTTTGCACCTGCTGGAGCTTCTGAACCAAGCCCAAGGGCAGTCCCACGAGCAGCACATTGCAGTGATCCAGCCTCAGAGTTTATCAGCACATGGACTACAGTTATGACATATGACTGCTGTAAACCAATGAACAGCAAGACCTAAATATTTTTATAACATAAATAAGGTAGCTAAAGTCCTGGCTTCCAACAGATGCGATGCTTGCAGATAATTGACTAGCTCAGGGGTCTGCAACCTTTAAGACAAAAAGAGCCACTTGGACCCGTTTCCGAAGGAAAAAAAACTGGGAGCCGCAAAACACGTCATTACAGTGGTGCCCCGCAAGACGAATGCCTCGCAAGATGAAAAACTCGCTAGACAAAAGGGTTTTGCGTTTTTTGAGTCGTTTCGCAAGACGAATTTCCCTATGGGCTTGCTTCGCAAGACGAAACGTCTTGCGAGTTCTTGCGAGTTTGTTTCCTTTTTCTTAAAGCCGCTAAGCCGTTAATAGCCGCTAAGCCGCTAACAGCCGCTAATAGCCGTGCTTCGCAAGACGAAAAAACCGCAAGACGAAGAGACTCGCGGAACGGATTAATTTCGTCTTGCGAGGCACCACTGTATAAAAATAACTTTTTTGTCACTATTTTATTATTTATTTATTTGACCCCTCAGAATTACTCCTCCTCATAGAAATAAACGTTAAATTAACAAGTTACCTTTTTTTGTGTGTGTGTTCTTCACTCCCCTTCATAACAGTGACCAGCGTACATGCCCCCTTTCAATGCAGTGACCAGCGTACATGCCCCTTACAATGTAGCGGGCGGGCGGGAAGGTGACATCAGGACGGTGCGTGACTAACGCACGCACCGCCCCCATGCGACGTCACAGCCAGTACAGCGCCCGCCACAGTGGGGAGTGTCGGGGCGCACAATGCGCCTCCTCCCCTCGCTAGTATCCGCCCCGGAGCCGCAGCAAAGGTGTAAAAGAGCCACATGCGGCTCCGGAGCCGCGGGTTGCTGACCCCTGGACTAGCCCCAATGGCAGCCTAGGAGAGAGAGAGATAGCGCCCTTCTTACTTCCGCTGGCATAGCTGCCTCCTCGTCAGTCTCTATCAAATCGGAGGATCGCCTTGAACGAGACCGCTTGGCTCCCCGTGGCGATGACGATGTGCTTTCCACATCACTCTCCATCAAGCTCTGTGCAAAAGTGAGGAGCATAAAGTAAACGAGAAAGGAGTGATCAAATCTCTTCTCTGCAGTTCACCTTTAGCACTGGGAAACCACACCAAAGACTGAACAGACACCAAAGGTGACAGATGAGGTTCGTATTATTCCCCTCCAAGGCGGCTTGCATCATCAGACAAAGCTCCACTCCTCAGTCTCTGCACGTATCACTAACAAGGACTGGCAGCAGTGCTTTCTTGGGGGTGGCTCCCACTCTGCACATTTTTAAAAAAACAAAAAAACTAGGGCAGGGGTAGGGAATTATTTCCAATGGGGGTGGGGAAAGATCCAGAAGCAGCCAATCCTCTGTGGGTCACTTTGACGATTGAGCAAACATTCACACGCCGATCCTCTGATGTCATATGACCAGGAGAAGGGTCTAGCCTTCTCTCTGACATACCAGCATTCTGATTACAGGAATGTTCTATTGCGTGGCATTGGGCCAGAGCATTCCATCATGCAAGTATCCCCTGCAATTCGGGTTTGTACAGTCATAACTAGGGCCCAAAGTTCCCTGGGAAGAGGGATTGATTGTTAAACCACTCTGGGAACTGTAGGTCTGTGAGGGGAATAGGGGGGTCTCCTAACGACTCTCAGCATCCTTAACAAGCTGCAGCTCCCAAAATACTTTGTGGGAAGCCATGGCCGTTTAAAGTGTTACCATAGTGCTTCTGCTTTAGGATGGGCCACAAAAGTGTATGAGTGACATGAAGGACTCTTTAAGCTGAGCAACACTGGCCCAGCCAACCAGCTGAAAGCCTAGCAGTGTAAACAGACTGTAACAGCCAACAGCACTGCAGTCCAGTTTGCCAATACACAGATACAGCAAGTCCACAACTAACGTGGAGGTTACATTCTAGGGATCACGCCGAAAGCCAAAACTGAGTGTGGTCAAAATGCTTTGGGTTCAATGGTGGGTGGGACTGCCAGTTATTTTTCCTGGAAACCTGCCCCCTTTTAATTTTTATTTCGCCACACGCATAAAGCTGAATGCACACAAGTTAAATGTGCATACATTGTGGACTAGACACATACAGACATATATAAATATACCTATACAGTGGTACCTCTGGTTGCAAACAGGATCCGTTCCGGAGCCCTGTTCGCAACCTGAAAGGAATGCAACCCATGTCTGCGCACGCGCAGGTTGCGATTCACCACTTCTGCGCATGACGTCATTTTGCATGTCTGCGCATGCGCGAGTGGCGAAACCCAGAAGTAACCCCAGAAGTAACCCTTTCCAGTACTTCTGGGTCGCCGCGGGACGCAACCTGAAAAAACGTATCATGAAGCAAACATAACAAGAGGTATGACTGTATACGGTTGTGTTTTTATAGTGTATTGGAAGCCGCCCAGAGTGGCTGTGGCAACCCAGTCAGATGGAAGGGAGATATTATTATTATTATTATTATTATTATTCATACCTCCTCTGCTGTCTCATCCTCCTCTTCCTCCTCCGGCTGGTACTCTTCATCAGAGGAATCATCTTCCTCGAGGGGAATATCCACAAACTGAGGGGGCTGCAAAAGAGAGACTGAAGTTATACAAAGAGGAGGGGGAGGAAACAAGACCCACAAAGGGAAGTTTTAGGGAACAAATTAGGGGTGCCAGCAGATTTTCAAAAATGAAAAGCTAGGAAGGCTGAGCACAGAGCAGGCTCATGGTTACTGATAAGGATGAAAACGGGCCCTTATACCTTTGGGTGTGTTCACACAATAGTCTTACAACAACACATCAACAGCGCTGTGACTCTGTTTCTCCCTCACAGTTAGCTATGCTCAAAACCATGCTGGCATCAGAGCACGCATGGCCTCAGACCTGGAAACCAGGAAGCTCCACCAAAATCCGAAGAACTTTTTTAAATCAGATTTTTAAAACAAACAAACAAACAAAGGGAGCTTCTAGACCTCATGACTTGTAGGAGAGAGGAGTTAAGAAATAAAAGAACGGTCCTAGAGACCATTCTACCTGTTCATCAAGGGCTCTGTCCTGCTAAGCCCTACTTAAGAGTAAATCCATTGCACTCAACAGTATGATTAAGTCCACTGATTTCAATGTGTGCACTGTAAGCGGGACTTAGCTGGCTAGAGCCCCAAGTCCCAATCCTTCCCCCCCACTCCCTGCTTCCAACAATGAGTAACAAATCTGCCGGTAAAGTCTTTAAAAAAAATAAAACATGAAACTGAAGCATGAAAACAAAATGCCACCAAGTTATTTAATTAGAAGCACCCACAGAGTACCTTGATTTCATTTGCCTTTTTGATTGGAGAAATATTCCACGTTGGAATAACCTGAGGAAACAAAACCATTTAACAGCACCTCTGTCATAAAACACCAATGGAAGAAAATGTATGAGTTTATTTACTCGTTGCCCCACTTCCCATTTCATCTATCCATCTAACTTGCACTCCTCTCTGGAGGCTCCATTTTATCAAATGCATTAGAATAAATAAAGGTTCGAGGAACGAGAGGACAGAATATTAAGATATGCAGCTACAATATCCTCCCAATAATCAATAGCCTCTTTTAGGGCCAGTCGAGATTAAGGGGGTCAACAACTAGAAACACCCCGCAACTCAAGTGAGCTGCAGAAATGGGACTTCATGGCAAGGTAATATTGGGGGGGGGTGGAGGGGAAGCATCCCAGTGGCACGGGAAGTTGCTGGCGAAGGGACAAGAATCCCTCACTTCTCTTCCAACTATCATGAACCTGGTATGGAAGTCAGGGATGGGATAATCTGCAAGTTTCTCACCCTCTCTCTTAACACTCGAACTCCGACGAAGCTGAATGTTGGAAGATTTATGGTCTGTGTGTGTGGTTTGGGAGCTGCACGGCCAGGGAAAAAACAATGCTGTCCAGGGTTGTAAAGACTGCAGAGAGAATAATTGGGTGCACTCTTCCCACCTTAGATCAAATCTATGCCGCCAGGTGCCATAAGAAAGCGGCAGAGATAGCGCAGGATAGTAAGCACCCCGGAAATGATCTCTTTCAGCTTCTGCCTTCTGGAAGAAGGTATAGAGTTATAAAGGTCAGGACTAGCCGTCTGAGAAAGAGTTTCTACGCAAATGCAATTCTGGTTCTAAATGCAGCATGAGGGGGTCTCTATAGTATAGTGTATTTTTTAGTATAGTGTATTTTATAGTATAGTTTAGTGTATTTTAAAATGGGGTTTCAGAGTTTTTAGGGGTTTTTGAATGTTTTATGTAGTTTTTCAATTTCATTGTTCTGTATGGGACAATGACAATAAAGATATCGTATCATATCGTATATATCATATTCAGGAGAGATAAAATAAAGGGTTTCTTCACACTGCATATAGTTAAACTACGAAACCCACTCTCAGAGGAGGCAGGGGCGGCCACCAACGGGGAAGGCTTTAAAAGAGAACTTGGCAAAGTTATGGAGGATAAGGGCATCTATTAATGGCTACGAGCAACAATGTACAAGCTTCCACGGTCAGAGGCAGCAGTGCTTCCGAACACCAACTCACCACTCCTTTCTCCACCACCTCCTTCAGCTTGGAGCGTGTCATCTTTGGCTCCTAAAGGGAGGGAGAGAGAAAAAGAGAATTTCCATTGTTCCATTAGAAATTGTACAAAATTTGACCAGGCTTTTTCTTTCTAGTGCACACTTCCCTTCTTGGCCAGGGGAGAAGCAGATCTCCAGCTTCCCTACTGAGGGAGGAACTTACGAACATGGGGATGTCCTCCGTCTCACTGATGGCTGCTTTCATCATGGCGACAACATGCTCATTCGTTATCACTTCCTGGAGTGGAAAAGACAAAAACCGTTTTCCAGTTTGCTCCACCCACGGCGTAGTTTTATCGACGGAATAACCTGGGCTGAGTCAAACATGGCAATACAGTGGTACCTCTGGTTACATACTTAATTCGTTCCGGAGGTCCGTTCTTAACCTGAAACTGTTCTTAACCTGAAGCACCACTTCAGCTAATGGGGCCCTCCGCTGCTGCCGCGCCGTCAGGGCACAATTTCTGTTCTCATCCTGAAGCAAAGTTCTTAAACTGAGGTATTATTTCTGGGTTAGCGGAGTCTGTAACCTGAAGTGTATGTAACCTGAAGCATCTGTAACCCGAGGTACCACCGTAAAGCAATGGGTCCCCAATGCAGTGGGCACAGAAGTAATGTCCACAAAGCCCCTCCAAGCAGCTCATGGTCCAGTACTAATGCTGGAGGCGACTGTGGCGATCACACAGGGTCCCCGGACGTTTGACGGTCGATTGATCCCTGTGCCACCACTGTGATTGCTTCCCCGCTGCCACCAACCCGTTTCTCTCGGGTACACATGGAGTCCAGACAGTTGTTAACATTAAACCAAATAAACAAGTTTATTTTATAAGCATTGACAAGTTTATGGTTTCAGATAATTTTTCTTGTCAGTTTCTTAATCTTAGTTTCTTTACCGGCCTATACCTTCCTAATAACTTCTAACTGATTATCCCAGCTGTCTATCTGATTCCTCTTAACAGATTCTCTCACTCTCTCACATCAAACTATCCCAACCCACAAACCTATCCTCCCTCTCTCTTCTCTAACACCCGACTGACCCTTAACAACTCTAACTCCTCCCCTTGGGTTCCCACTTGCCAATCACTTCACATTCATTTAACCCTTTCCTTATGACCCGGCATGATGTCACCTAGGAGGGCAAACGCCACAGCGACCATAGGCGATTTCCGAGGGACAAAGGGAAACCACCTCTTGCAAGGCCCTGCCTCATTTTCAAGGCTGTGATCAGCAAGATCAGCGGTGCCATCACAAGGTGTTTGTTTGCAACCCCATCCACACTGCCGCCGTCGCTGTCTTCACACTCACGTGGAGGATGTTTCGCACGTTGACAGCTGTCAGGTTGTGCTGTTTCGCCCCGTCTTCCAAAGTCCGGTCGAGCGTGTCATCCAGCTTGAGGTCGCAAGCCAAGGGCCCTTCCTCCTCCTCCTGGCATTTCCCTTCCCGCTTCCGTTTAGTCGCTTTCCTCCGCTTTCTCTTCCCTCCTTCTCGCTCTTCTGGACAGGAAAAACAGGCAGAGTATCAAACCACAGCATTCAATAAGCAGCTGTCTCTGAATCCAGGCTCAGCCAGGAAGTTCACCAGGCGACCTTAACAGTGTTTTGCAGATTGAAATTGTTTCGCTGGTGATTTGTTAATTATTCTACATGACTTATGCTGTATTTGTGATGTTCTATTATGTTCCATTGTGTTATTGTTATTTATTTTTTGCAAGCCATTTTGGGATTTCATGTGAAAGAAAGCGGGATAAAAATATAATAAATCAAATAAGGTCCACCCTATCTTGCAGGGAGGTTGCAAGGATAAACTGGAGGTCAGAACCTCAGCTCCTTTGGAATTAACAGATGTAAGTTAGTCATGCCCATTAATTTCAATGCGTCTGAGTATGACTAGCATTGGATGCAAGCTCTCGTGTCTATCAGATCACCCCTGTCCATGTGTTTATTGAGACACACACAAGAATTATAAAAGGCTATACTGTAGTGAGGCAGGACCTCTCATTGCAGAAACCATGCTGATTCTTCCTCAACATGGCTTGTTCTTCCATGTGCTTAAAAATACTAGCTTTAATAATGGTTCCTGCAAATTTACCCAGGACAAAAATTAGAGGAGGGAATGTACAGTGGTACCTCAGGTTAAGTCCTTAATTTGTTCCGGAGGTCTGTTCTTAACCTGAAACTGTTCTTAACCTGAAGCACCACTTTAACTAATGGGGCCTCCTGCTGCCGCCGCGCTGCCGGAGCACGATTTCTGTTCTCACCCTGAAGCAAAGTTCTTAACCCAAGGTACTATTTCTGGGTTAGCAGAGTCTGTAACCTGAAGCGTATGTAACCTGAAGCATCTGTAACCCGAGGTACCACTGTAGTTTGATAATCCGAGAAGAGCAAAGCTCCATGCTAACTATTCCACACAAGGGGGTTGTTGCACGCTCCCTGTTGGGGCAGTTTGTTGGCCACTGTGACAACAGGATGCTGGACCAGGTGGGCTTTTGGTGTGATCAAGCAGCCCAGTTCTGAGTCACTTCTGCAAATGATCACTATGAAAGAATGACTTAATAGCAGCACTTGCCTAGAAATGTATAAATCATCTGTTCAACAACAGATGCCTGAAGCTGCCTGCCAGGGCTGGGGAACCTCTGGCCTTCCATTTGATGCTCAGCTATGACTCCCATCATCCCTGACCACTGGCCATGCTGACTGGGGTTGATGGGGCCAGCAGTATTTTGTGGGGGGTGGGGGAAGAGGTTCACCCATCCCTGCTATTCATCAGGGGTTACAGATCCCCCAGCCTTCAGTATCTGCTTGCTGTGCCTGAAACAGGGCAGAACTTCAAAGAAGATGCCTTTGTTCTGTTATCCACTTTATGGACATGCAATACTCACCTACTGGGATGAACAGCCCCGTCTCCTCAGCTTCTTCCTTGACTTCCTGGAGCAATTCGGCTCCCTGTGAGGCCTTTGGGGCTTTCAGGGGAGGATACCCCACGTCCCATTCAGGCTCTGGCTTCAGAGAAATGGTAGCAGCTGGAAACAAGAGATCTACGATGCCATGAAAACCTACTGCTTGTGCATATGTGCACTCACATAAAAAACTTTAATTACAAAGCATCTTCAAACCATGTAAGGTCTGATCACATACTATATTAAGTATCCTGTTTTAAATGAATACCATCTGTTTATATCGCACCAGGAACATTCATTGTCGCTGTCTCATCAACTGTGTTTTTGTTCCGTTAAAAAACGAAGTCACCAATTTTGCCAGAAACCTCTGAATGACTCGGGCTCTTCCTTTCCACTTCTACTTTTATAACATTTAATTTTGCTCAGATGCTTTTCTTAGCCACCGATCATCCGTAACAGCAAAACCCCTGCTTCTCTAAGATTTTGCAGTCCTTATCCTAGCTATCAACAACAGGTGAAATCGCATTGTATTTCTAACAGGGCAAGCTTAATTCAGCCTCAACGAACCTTTGGGGGCATAAACTAATCACAGGCTTCTTCAAACTCGGCCCTCCAGATGTTTTGAGACTACAATTCCCATTATCCCTGGCCACTGATCCTGCCAGCTAGGGATCATGGGAGTTGTAGGCCGAAAACATCTGGAGGGCCAAGTTTGAGGAAGCCTGAACTAATGCCTAACTGAGCCACTGATGGTGTAGCAATTAAAGAGTTTCAAACCAGGGCCTGGGAGACAAGGGTTCAAATCCCCACTTGGCCATGAAGCTTGCTGGGTGACCTCAGCCTAACCTAAAGGTAAAGGGGCCCCTGACCATTAGGTCCAGTGGTGGCCGACTCTGGGGTTGCAGTGCTCATCTCGCTTTATTGGCCAAGGAAGCCGGCGTACAGCTTCCGGGTCATGTGGCCAGCATGACTAAGCCGCTTCTGGCCAACCAGAGCAGCACACGGAAACGCCGTTTACCTTCCCACCGGAGTGGTACCTATTTATCTACTTGCACTTCAATGTGCTTTCGAACTGCTAGGTTGGCAGGAGCAGGGACCCAGCAACGGGAGCTCACCCTGTCACAGGGAATCGAACCGCCGACCTTCTGATCGGCAAGTCCTAGGCTCTGTGGTTTAACCCACAGCGCCACCCACGTCCCAGCAGCCTAACCTACCTCGCAGCATTATTCCCATCATGTTTTTCTCCCCTTCAGCACACACCACTAGCTTACCTTCTGACTTGGGCTTCTGCTCCTTATCCACAAGTAGCTCAAGTGATGGAGAGGTCTTTGCGTCTTGGAGCTCTCTGGCTCGCTCTGGGCAGAGATCCAGCTCTGCCTTAGCCAGGACATTCCCACCCCTCAAAGAGGCCTCAGACAATTCCAGCCAGCCTTTCTGCATGGCGTCTCTAGATGGAAGCACAATGCTCTTCGCTGCTTCACCGCCAGTGTCTCCCAAAAAAGACAGAGGCATGGGCAAAGCAGGGGGAGATGAACAGGCAGGCGTGTCGGCAGGCAGGCTGTAGAGACCTCTCCCTTCAGTCAAAGCAGCATTGTCCTGCCCCTGCGGCACCAGGCCACAGAGCTGGTTGATCCCACCTGAGGCAGGGGTCTCCATTGGAACAGGCTGCACATCCTCCTCCTCCACCACCTCCTCAGAATCTGCCGTGACGGCTCTTCTCTTCTTGCACGGCAGCATCTTCGGCGAGAGAGACATCCGAGCTACAGCTCTCCTGTTGTCACTCTGCAAAGACAGAGGTGTGAACTCATTGGTTAGATTACTGAAATGCACTGTATGCAAGGCTGCCCTTGAAGACTGCTTGGAAATCTCTCTGGTTCAAAACATTAGCCATCTGGAAAGCCAAGTAATCCCCAAAATTAATGAAGCCACTAATAACGCAATTTAAAACCAGCTAGACCACAAGGTACATAGGTTATCAACTAAAAGCACTTTAAAACAAATGGGTCTTCAAGGCTCATTTTAAATCCAGAACTGACAACTTACTTCCAGGTCAGGGTGGGCTGCTTCCTGAGCAACAGTCCCCCTGGCTTCCCGTGACTTTGGCCAGATAGGCTAGCTGTTAACCATAGCAACATCAGAGGCACCCACCAACTCTGAGAATCCTGTTCTCACAGTGGCCAACCAGATAGAACGATGGAGCTCTCTCCCAGAGGAGGCAGTGATAGCGACCAAGCTGGATGGCTTTAAAAAAGGAGTAGATAAATTCAAGGCTATCAGCAGCTAGTAGCCACAGCAGCTAAGTTCTACCTCCACTGTCAGAGGCAGTATGCCTTTGAATACCAGTTTATGGGAATTGCAGGTGGGCAGACTACTATTGTGCTTATGTCCAGCCTGCAGGTTTCCCACAGTCATCTAGTCAGCCTCTATGAGAACAGGATGCTGAACGAGATAGGCAAGTGGCCTGATGCAACAGGATCTTCTTATGTATTCAGAGTTTTTCACATGTTATCTCAGCAGGCTGTATCCAATGTTAGCCCAACTCCAAATGGACCTACTGAAATTAATGGACCTAAGTTAGACATGCCTATCAATTTCATTCAGGCGATTCTGAGGACTAAGGTTGCATACAACCCAATACAGTCATACCTCGGGTTACAGGCACTTCAGGTTGCGCATTTTTGGGTTGTGCACCACACCGAACCCAGAAGTACCAGAACGGGTTACTTCCGGGTTTTGGCGTTCATGCATGCGCAGAAACACTAAACTGCACTTTGCGCAGAAGCGCCAAATCGCGGCACTGTAGATTGCGAATGTGCCTCCTTCACGGATCATGTTCGCAACCCGAGCGTCCGCTGTAACTTGTACAACAATCTACAGTAGCTCAATAATTTACCCTAGATGGGTAGGGAGTGTTTGAGCCTGAAATGGCTGCCAACCTAAACCTCTGCCACCTACCAGCGAGTTCATGGCAGGGTCAGCATGGGAAGTAACCCCCCCTCCCGGAGACCTAGCAGCTTCCAGGGGAAGAAAGCCACTGCCCCCCCCCCTTCTGGCCACAGGAGTAGAGCTGCTGGAGTCAGGTTTTTACCCCTCCTGCCCCTGCAGCCAGAGGGGTCTGGCTTAATAGACTATACTCACGTGTAAATATAACTTTTATATACACTGGGAAACAAAAAAAAATGTGTATGACTTATTGCAGTCAGGGTTCGAAACTGAGATACAAAAGCTAGGAGCTAAATGGCACCTTAAACCCAGGTTATGGGCGCAGTGACGAACTGTGTAGGTGTGCTTTTTTATAACAAGAATACAAAGCTGAAAATGAACTGCAGCTAAAATATTATGTTCATTTTTCACATGGTCCTGTCCTTCCCCTGCCCACTCCCCTAACATTCTTAAGAGGGTCTCTTCTGCAGTCTTCAGAGAGTAGCTACAAGTGGGGAGGCGCAAAAAGGTCCTCCTTTCCTTCCACTCTGCAGTTTTAATCTGAAACCTTAGGCACAGCTCAAAAATTCCTTGTACTAATGAGATTCCCTGTCGCAAAATGCGCCAGAACCCCACGGGTGTTTCCAACACTGACTGCAGTGGCCCTCAACCGAACCCGCCATAACTCCAAGGTGTGCCTCTATATCATTCTGTATCTCCTACTGAAACGCATCCTACGAAAGTGCATTTTAAAAATCCACCATATGCTCTCCAGCTGAGCTAACTCTGCATCAAGCAGATATTTCAAAGACTCTATTAGGAAGCTGCCTTATGCCTTGGTCCAGGAGCTCAGCAGCACTGTCTACCCTGACTGGCAGCAGCAGCTCTCCCGTGAGTTTCCTCAAGATGCCACTGGGGATGGAACCAGGGACCTTCTGTGCACAGACACCCTTCCCCACCCTTCCCTTTCCGGACGCATTCCTTAGAGACCCAGACACATTCCTTGGAGACCCAAAGCGCCTGAAAACTTTGTTTCTGAGGCACCCGAGCGAGACTGCTGCTTGCTTCATGCTAGTTCCCAGCCAGGGCCGGATTTAGGTTTGATGAGGCCCGAAACTACTGAAGATAATGGGGCCCTTCATATGTCCAGCTGTCCTTTGTCAACAACAAATTGTCGCTGTTTCTTGTGTTGAATATATGCTATATAGTAATTTATGGACCTAATAGGTATCTAAAGCCATTTGCTACTGTTGCTGCATGTAGGTTTTATTTTATGTATTTTATCTTATATTTTGGAAATGTACATCGTTGTTTTTTCCCCTTCAAATTTTTTGGGGGCCCCCCAAGAGAGTGGAGCCCTAAGTTACAGCTTGTTTCGCTTATACGGGAGTCCCAGCCACAGGACAAGCCCCCTTCCCCCGCCGGCCCCCCACCTCCCTTTCTCCAGCCCCCTTCCCTCCTGCAGGAGAAGCGGCCGCGCCTCAGCCTCCCTGTGTGGGGACGGGCAGAGCTCCGCAGGGGAGGCGGAGAGGCGCCCCAGGGAAGCCCAGCCGGGGCTCCGGAGGGGAAGGTGGGCGGGGAGGGGCAGCGGCTTCTGCCTCCACCGCCCACTGGGCCTCTCCTGCCCCCTCAGCACCGGCCCCCCGCCTGCCCCTTCCCTCCCCGCCCCTCCAGCCCAGCGCGCAGACTGACCGCGCTCTCCCTCCGCCGCGTCCTCCGCCCCGCAGGGCAGCCGCCGCTTTGCCATTTTCCAATCCAGATCCCCGCTTCCTCAAAACGGAAGAGGAAGTGGCACAACCGGAAAGGACCATCCCAGCGCATGCTCAGACTCAGCGGAGTCCTGCGCCGCCATGTTTCTTCCTGGCCCTCCCCACCCCCACCCCGCGAGGAAACTGGTTTGAGGTTCAGAAAGTAGAGCCGCGGTTGTTTGAAATAGCGAAAGGGGGTGCGAGGGAAGGAGCGCCCCTGATATGTGGGAGTAGGGGGAGAAATGTGAATGAAATAAACAGACTGGAGGGGGGGGAGGCTAACGCCGCCATCTTTGTTGAGGCCACGGCGCCCGAGGAACCGCCATGTTTGCTCGTCTCGAGCGCGAAGTTGCCGGCACGTGACTTTCAGGGGGCGGGAGAACGCATAATCAGCGTAAAGGAGAACCTGGCGGTCCGCTGGCCCTGTGATGTCACACTCGACTGATTTAATGTTGCGTGACGTCACAATGGTGTCATTGTTTTTACTGTTAATATTTTTAACCATTATTTATTTTCCAGAATCCAGTAAACAGAAGGTGACATTTAGCCTTGGGGAAATCTGTTGGTTTTCTGTTTAAGACATTTCTATACTGCTCTTCAGTAAAGATAAAAATAAAAAAATCTAGGCTTGTTTTCAGCAACAAAAATAATTCATAGCTGAAGGCATTAAAAAAAACACAACAACCAACAGAACAGAAATTTAAAGAGAGAATTTTTAAAAGGTTTTATGATTTTATTTCAGATACTATTTTAAAAGAAGCTCAACCCAGCTCATTTTAATGACGCACATTAAAACTATAATTAAAGAGCAGCAGCTGTTGCAACATTACCTCATTCCCCAGGCCAAGTGCACCTATCTGTTCTCCTCACCTGTCCTGTTTCATACTCTCCTTGAGCGTTTTTGCCTGGTTGGAATGTGTCCTCAAACTCTGATCAGGTCTCTTCCCTGTATAGAAGAGAGGGTTGTGGGTAGAAACTAGTGTACTGTACAAAAGGGAAAATTTACATTAACAACTCCAGCCACTTTTGTCTCTGGAACCACCCACCACTGGCATGTGGCAGCAGGAAGCTTGTATATTTTCCCTTTGTATAATAGGTTAGCTTATGCCATCATTCATGTTTCCCTATCCTCCATAGAGACATGCATGAGGCATTTTTAGAGATCAGACTAGGGTTGCCATATTTCAAAAAGTGAAAATCCAGACATAAAAGTTGTTGAGCTTCTTTATGGGCCAAAGTTGCTAAAAAGAAATGAAGCTACTTTTTGAGCTATTTCGAAGGTCAATCGCCCAAAACGACACTGCCGACATGGGTTGCCATGCATCCGGATTTTCCCAGACATTTTGCAATTTCCACCTGGACACTGCTGCCAACTGCAGTATTCTAGCTGTGTCCAGACATATGGCAACCCTAAAGGGCACATTCCACCCAGGCAAAAACATTTGGGCATGCAAAGCAGGGCTGCTGAAGCAGGTGGCTGGGGTGGCCTGGAGAAAGTCCTGAGGGCCATATTTACCACCTCCTGGAATTTGATCCCCCCCCCCCTTGATTTACTACAACTAGAAAATGTGTATTTTGCATGCTCTCCCCTCACAAGCGGTCAGAAATTCAGAGGAGCTTCCAAACTGCAGCTGAACACTATGATCTGCAATGACAATAAGGCCCAATAAACGAGCCTAAGGCAAAAGGATGACTCAGGATACACTTTAATTATTATGCATCCCCCAAAAGAACATAGACAACTGTAGCATATTGAATTTTGGAGCAGGTGGGGAGAACACAGAGAATTTTGCCATGTTTCAAGCACCGCTGTAATACAAGGCAAACTGCACTTAATACAGTATTACAATTATGATTAATTGCATCTATATCCCACACTTATACTGAGTCAGACCATTTTAGACTATATAACTCAGTACTTTGTAAAATGATAATCGCCTCTCAAGAGTCTCCAATGGCAATCTTTCCCAACACTGCCTGCAGATGCCAGGGAATCTATAGTTCCCAGGATTCTTTGAAGGAACTATTGTGCTTTAGGTGGATTATGTATATATCAAACCACAGCCTGAACTGGATCCAGCACAATGAAGGGATGACAGTGCTTGTAAAAGCTAATCTAGTTTCCATATGCAGGTTAAAGAGTTGCTTAAAACCAACACTGCTGTCAGTGAAATAATTTTTCATAAAATTACTTGTGCAGTGGTTATGTTTAGGGGCCGTTGACAGAAGCAATGTGGTCGGGGCATAAAACACAATGTTTTATACATTATTACAGTAATTATTATAGGAAAGGAGGCTAACTTGTCTTGGCCTGATGGCTTCATTTGCTGTCGGCCAGTCCTCTGAGCGTCATATTCCAGTGGTGGGTGCATCCAAAGTGGAACTGGAGAACCACACACAACATTCTTTATTATTATATAATTTGTGTATAGTATCAATGTGAAATAATGTCTTTCTAGATGATCAAGGAAAACTTGTTACGAGGCTCAGTGAGGGCAGCTGGCCAGGCAGAGTGGCAGCAGTGCAGCTTCTAGGAACATAGGAAGCTGCCTTCATATTGTTGTTGTTTAGTCGTTTAGTCGTGTCCGGCTCTTCGTGACCCCCTGGACCAGAGCACGCCAGGCACTCCTGTCTTCCACTGCCTCCCGCAGTTTGGTCAGACTCATGCTGGTAGCTTCAAGAACACTGTCCAACCATCTCATGCTCTGTCGTCCCCTTCTCCTTGGGCCCTCAATCTTTCCCAACATCAGGGTCTTTTCCAGGGAGTCTTCTCTTCTCATGAGGTGGCCAAAGTATTGGAGCCTCAGCTTCACGATCTGTCCTTCCAGTGAGCACTCAGGGCTGATTTCCTTAAGAATGGAGAGGTTTGATCTTCTTGCAGTCCATGGGACTCTCAAGAGTATCCTCCAGCACCATAATTCAAAAGCATCCATTCTTCGGCAATCAGCCTTCTTTATGCTCCAGCTCTCACTTCCATACATCACTACTGGGAAAACCATAGCTTTAACTATACGGACCTTTGTCGGCAAGGTGATGTCTCTGCCTTCATATTACGGTACACAAGACAATTGTTCCATCTAGCTTTAGTCTACAGGGTTTTAGGCGGGGGTGTTTACCAGCCAAAAGTAGAGTTGCCGATATTGAACGTGGGGCCTTCTGCATTTAAAGCAGGTGCTCTACCCACTGAGGTACAGTCCTTCTCCATGCCCATAGCCACGTAAATATATCCAGCTACTGAATACTGCTGGTGGATGAGGAGGAAATCAAGGGCAGGGCAGATGACAAGTCCCCCCCCCCCCCAGCTTAAAATCTAAAATACAGACACTGAGAAACAGAAGAGCTAGTGAGGAAGAGAAGACTGAGCAAGTGCTATTATACATATAGTTTGGTTATATCTGGAAATTAAAATTAAGGCTGAAGTCCTATGCACTCATACTTCTGAGTAAACATGCCTGCTAGTTTCAATTCTGTGCACACAAATGCTGGATTTCTAATCCCATTTACCTGGGAATAAGCCTCATTGAACTCAGCGGGAGTTACTTCTGAGTAGACACAGTTTGGGGTAAAATTTGTTTGTTTAGGTTATATACCACCCTTCACATAGCTGTCAACTTTTCCCTTTTCTTGCGAGGAACCCTATTTGGAATACGGGAATTTCCCTTTTAAAAAGGGAAATGTTGACAGCTATGACCCTTCATCATTAGATCTCAGGGCAGTTCACAGATTAGCTCAACACAGTGGGATTTACTGCTGAATAAGCATGCATAGGATTGTGCAGCGAGCGAGGCTGCCAATCCTATGCACACTAACCCATTCAACTCAATGGGGCTTACTCTGAATAAATATGCCTAGGATTGCCTTATAAGTAGATCAGAAAAGGGCCTTGTGGAACAGGTGGATTTGAGGAGCAATGAGAAGGAATTTATGGATACAACTCGGGCAGTAAATGGGAATTTAAAATCATTTAATATATTCTGTTAACAACTACTAAAAGGAATCCCAGGACGAGGACCCGCCTGTACAACGTCATCAATCCACAACATGAATGCACAATACAGAAACGTATGTCTAAATCCTGAAAATACATCATAATCGTTACTATTTTAGACCAACGTTTTGCAAAGGGCTCTCTCTCCGCATTTATGCTGTAAATAACCATCGGTTGCATCTCCCCCGCTACACACCGCTCAGAAACCTCGGGCGGGGGTCGAGGGGCGAAGCGGGGCTGCCGGCCGCATACAAACAAGCCCCGCAAGCGACCCGCCCTCCCCGCTAGACAGCAGCCGAGCCGCTCTGCCGAGTCACCGCCGGGCGGGTTCGGCCAGGCGGCGGGGGGCGTGGCTTCCTCGGGCTCGCTCGCTTCGGCCGCCGCTCGGAGAAGGAGGAGGCGTGGCCTCGCCCGGGGATCGTTCGAAGTGGGCGGAGCTAGCGCTGCATCAGGACCAGTCGCCAGCTTCTGCATCCCTCGGAGTCGGGAGCATCCTCAGGGCCACGGCAGAAGCGCCGCCGCTGCATCCGCTGAAGGGGCCTCCCTGCGCGCACCGGGCCTTCGCCGCCGCTCCATTCGCGCGCCGCCATGGCAGAGATCGCCAGCGTCCGCCCCAGCTTCGGTGAGTGGGGCCCGTGGGAGGCTGCTGCGCAATTCCCTCTCCCGCCCCCGCCCCGTTTCTCTTTGCCTTGGCCGTCCCCTCCTCCACCCGCTCCCCAGCGCAAAACACCGGGCCTTCCTGGGCATCCTGATCTCTCCGCCACGGCCACCCTCGCCGGAACCCGCTCAGGCCGTGCCCGCCACCATAATTCTGCCTTGGCAAGCGTCCCATCCCTCTACCCCGGCCTCCCCTTCTATTCTTGCTTGTGGCAACTGGCACATCTACAAACACCAGCGCGCTAAGCAGCCAGAGAGGGCCTTGTTTGCGCCGTGGAAGAGGCACCATCACCACCGTCACACGACCACCTGGCCTCCATCTCTGGGGTGGTGGGGTGGTTTTTTTTTGAGGGGGGTGGTTGACAGCTTCTCTACATCCTTACTGGCACGCACACCATTCAGTCGTGCAAATAACGCGCGGCATTAGCAGGGCGCACGCTCACGAACCGACCGCCAACGCTGATCCACAGGGGAAATCTCTCTCTCCTCCTCCCCCACTAGCCCGCTGCAACATTAGGATATTCGGACTGTGTGTGGCTGAGAAAGAATGCGTTCAAAGAAGCCCACACGCAGTTTGGGAAAGATCCCCCCCCCCCCAATGTTGGGACGGAAACCCTCTTGGACTGCGCGATCCGATCCATGGAAGTCCCGCTGAGTTCATCGCTCCTAAGCGAGGAGGGCTATAGGATTGTAGCCTCGAAGGCCAGATTGCCAGCTTGCATCCCACACCTCTTTGGTTCCCTTGTTCCCATTAATTTCATTTAAAAAATAATAATCCTCCAGGCTACACTTCTCTGTCTGGGTTTTGACAGCATTGGCCAACACGCGCACGCGGCCGCGCGCGCGGCCAGCAATGCCCAGCATCGCTCAGTATTTCACTTCCCTTCAACACACACACACACACACACACACACACACACACACACACACACAATATCCCCATCAGCATTTGGGCAGTGTGGAAATCTTCGCATCAGCCACCCTGTGAGGAGGTGGGAGCACATGACAGCCCCCAAATCCGGGGCCAGGTCTCCTCCGGGCTTTCCAATCCCCAATGCCATCACCATTCGTCTTCGCGTGCTCTTCCCCGTCTCTCCCTTCCCGTCTCTCCCATCTCCCCGCCCCCACTCTCTCCTTGCACGGGCGTGCCTGGCCTTGGGAGCCGACTGGGTCAGTGCCAGGGGCAGATCCGAGCCCTTTGAAGAGATGCTTAGAGGGACACATGTGGGGTGGGTGGGTGGGTGGGGAGGCGGCAAGGCGTTGCCCTCTGGCCTGATCTCCTCCTGTGGGGGGCTGGAGGTGGGTGGAAGGGAAGGAGGGAACAGGTGCACATTGTGGTGGCTAGGAGGAGGGCAGAATGACGTGATGTCTATTCCGGGCCAGGCAGCGCCCCAGCCCCCAGATAGCTTGGAGGGGAGGGTGGGCAAGAAAACAGCCTTTGTTCAATGCACCCCTTTTTTGCAGAGGTTGCGGAGCAAGCAAAATATGGAGTTTCCTCACCCCCACCCCCCAAATTCACTCAAGTCGTTGCTTGCAAACCACACAGACCCTAGCCTGATGGCCTGTAACCTGGCCCAGCCATCTCATATAATTGCACCCCATCCATTGAGGGTTTGCTCAGAGACACCAAATCACTTCCTAACCCTAGCAGCTGCCCCCACCTCCATTGTTGAGACTCCCTGGGGTGTTCCCTCTGGGAGAAGTTTGAGGCCTCTCATATATGCCAGGGATCATGATGTCTTCTCATTCATCCAACAGTGGCTTTTTAAACAGCCTCTCGGCATCTGTCTGCTCCAATCCATGCAATAACGAGCCACAGGGACTATCAGCGTGGCCTCTAGGCAGCTCCTCTTTGCCAGGTTGCAGCAAAGTTTCTGGCAGGAGCATGAATATAAAAGCAAGAAGGGGGAGGGAAATAAAGCTATTCATTCCCCCCCCCCCAAATATACTGAAATGTAAATAGAATAGGATCCTCAGGCGTATTTGCGGACCTTTGATTTGTATTAAAAATCTACCTGTGTGCCATTCAGTGAAAAGTCTCAGCTTATTTCATGTTCTAATTCTAGTGTGAACATGTAATGCTGAACACATCTGCTGTCACACAATGGCATTTCCGAGAGAGAGGATCAAGGTTGCCTGCGTTTGTTAGGCCAGTGTGGAATGTTTTATGTTAATTAAAGCCCTCTGGTTTATTTATGTTTTTATCACCAAAAGTGCAGCCTTTTATTGTCCTCTGGGGTGGAAGGCTGTGTTGTGCTACGGCCCCAAAGCTAACTAAGGATGCAGAAGTGATAGCATCCTCTCTGCCCGGTTAAGTCACGTGAACGACGACGACAACAACAAAAATCACAGGGTCTAAAATTCTGGATTTAGTTCTTCCAGAATAAATATAAGCACCTGGCTCTGGTTACTTGCAGTTACTAATGTAGAACATGGTCTCCACCTCTTGTACAAGTGTGCATTGTGATAGCAGAGAGGTAACCCCAGTTGTTAATAACAGAATGGCTGAAGTGGATTGAAAGAGAAGCAAGCTGGATTAGACAGATGTTAGTATGTGTCCCCAATTAGAGTGTGCATACGTCACTGAGGATATTGTTTGAGGAGTTTAAAAACGCATATGGGGGATTATTATTGTTATTATGGGAGTTGTGAAATGCGGATGGCTTTGGAGGTTGGCAGTTTAGTATCCAGCCTCCTTTTTTTTGCAGATGTTTACAGTGCAGGTATATTCAAGATTTCTGTTTTACACCCCATCATTTTAATTCATTGCTGCAGGAGTGACAGGCGCCCTGCAATATTGTCTCACAGGAACATAGGAAGCTAACTTGTACAGAGTCACACCATTTGTCCATCGATCTCAGTACTGTCAACACTGACTGGCAGCAGCTCTCCAAGGTTTCAGGCACAGGGACAATTCTCAGGCCAACCTGGAGATGCTGAGGATGAAACCTAAGACCTTCTGCTTGCATGCAGGTGCTCTACCCCTGACCTATGGTCCTTTCCCTGTTCATACAGCTTGCAAACACATACACAATCAGGCACATGCACATACATGCACACACCTCCTAAGGAAATATAGGCTTCACTCATATTTCTTATTAGCTGGGAGTATGTCCCACTGAACTCAGCAGGAAGTTCTTCTGAGTAGGCATGTGCAAGATTGCACATAGCCACTGAATCACAGAAAATCAGTATTGCTTCTGACAGCCTTCTCCACCCTGGGGCCCTTCAGATATTGTTGGACTTCAGTTCCCATCAGCTCCAGCCAGCATGGCCCAGTGGTCAGGGATGATGGAAGCTGGAGTCCAGCAACATCTGGAGGGTCCCAGGGGAAGACTGGTGTCTGTTATGGTGGAATTACAACACTAGTCAATTGCATACTTCCAGCATTTCTCTGATAAAAATAGGGATGTCCTATTGTTATTATTATTATTATTATTATTATTATTATACTCTGCCCATCTTTCCCCAGCCACTCTGGGTGGCTTCGAACATATATTAAAACATAATAAACCATTAGACATTTAAAAATTTCCCTATACAAGGCTGCCTTCAGATGTCTTCTAAAGGTTGTATACAGTGGTACCTCTGGTGGTCTGTTCTTAACCTGAAACTGTTCTTAACCTGAGGTACCACTTTAGCTAATGGGGCCTCCCACTGCCGCTGCACGATTTCCGTTCTCATCCCAAAGCAAAGTTCTTAACCCAAGGTACTATTTCTGGGTTAGCGGAGTCTGTAACCTAAAGCGTCTGTAACCTGAAGTTTCTGTAACCCAAGGTACCACTGTAGTTACTTATCTTCTTGGCTCGGGGGGGGGGGTAACATAAGTTCACACCCTCCAACATTTTTCCAATGAAAACAGGGACATCCTAAGGAAAAGCGAAACATTCCAGGATCATATCAGAAACCAGGACAGCTTCTGTAAATCCAGGACTGTTCCTGGAAAATAGAGACACCTGGAGGGTCTGCAGTTGTAAAGGCTCCTTGTTCCACAGGCTAATATGTTTGCCTTACAGCCAGGAGACCTTAAAAAAAAACACCAAAATTTACAAAGGGCCATGTGCATGGTTCGATTACATATACAGAAGGTGCATACAAAAGCTGCTGCCCAATCCTACTCAGCCCCCAAAATCTATCCCCAATAGCAGTTCTGAAAAGATGCTCAGGCTTTGGCCAGTTTTCAAAAGAAGGGAACTGCATAGGTCAGTGGCAGAGCACCTGTTTTGAAGGTTCCAGACTCATTCCTCAACATTTCCAGTTAGGGCTGGGAATTGTCCGCTAATGAAAATTCTGAAGAGCTGCTGCCAGTTAGCACTAGACAGCTCAGAGCCAAGATGGACCAATAGTCTGACAATATTGGTAGAATGCATTCCAACAGGCCTTATATATCAGGGGCAGCCCATAATTTCTGGTAAGTGTCTTTAAATAATAATAATAATGCTGTCCTTATTTTGCATTTTGGGGAAAATACTGGGTTTCTAGAAGTTTTATCTCTGATTGTCCAGGATGGTGAGGCACAGATGTGTTTTAATTCTAATGTGAATGCATGGAGACAAAATGTCAGCAACTGTAGCTGCCCACCCAGATAGTGAAGGCTGCTGAATGTGTTGCAATTGCAGCTGTTCTGTGCAAAGTACAACCAGACCCATTGTGAAGCTAAGTATTCCGTTTAAGCTTTCTTAAGTGTGCCGGGTTGGGTTGGGGTGTGTGTGTGTGTGTGTGGGTGTGTGTGTGTATGGAAACAAAATGCAAATTGTTATGATAAAAGCAGCGAAGAGACTTGAAGAAGATGCAGTTTGGGAGGGTGTATGCGGGGGGGGAGCGGTGTCAGGGAGCGAGAGATACGCTGAGAATAGGGGGGTGATAACAGAATCACTTAGAATCATAGAATGCACACAAGATCATTCATGTTTCCATCTGCGACGTGTTGCCATAAGGGCTGCATGGGTTTGTGCAAGTGAATGTGATATTAGGGAGTTTCTGGGTTTTTGTGAGCACCGTTCTTGAATGCAGATTTGTGTGAGTGAGTGTGCTTGTTTGTCTGTTTATTTGCTTGCTTGATTGCTTAATGTAATTATATCCCGCCTTTCTCCCAAGCTGGGATTCAAGAAGATTTACAAAATCTCGAAAACGTCATTATAAAATACAAAGCAATGAAAGTTAGTTAGAAACAATAAATTAAAATGCAATATAAAACGCATTTAGAGCCAGTGTTAAAACGCCGATTGCCCATCATCGTTTGCACTTGGGTTGTCAGAACAGGGAGGTCTTAGCTTGCCAGCAGAAAGATAACAAGGAGGGAGCCAGCCTATCCTTTCTTGGGAGGGAATTCTACAATATGGGTGCAGACACAGAAAAGGCTCTGTCTCGTGTCACCACCAACTGTGATGTTGATGGGAACTGAGAGGTGCTCACCAGAGAACCTTAGCACCCAGGCAGGTTCATAAAGGGAGATACTGTCCCTCGGGTAACCTGGGCCCAAGCCATATACCGTATTTTTTGCTATATAAGACGCACCAGACCACAAGACGCACCTAGTTTTTGGAGGAGGAGAACAAGGGGAAAAAAATATTCTGAATCTCAGAAGCCAGAACAGCAAGAGGGATCGCTGCGCAGCGAAAGCAGCGATCCCTCTTGCTGTTCTGGCTTCTGGGATAGCTGCACAGCCTGCATTCGCTCCATAAGATGCACACACATTCCCCCTTACTTTTTAGGAGGGAAAAAGTGAGTCTTATAGAGCAAAAAATATGGTATATATACACATATGCACTTGCATACACATTATTTATCATCATTCCCTCTATTGCCAGTATCCAGGCTGTGAGTGCCTATTCTTTATGTAGCCAAAATGGCACTACCCATGCAAAAGAGAGCAGTAGCTACATCTCAAGGTCTGCAAAAGTTCAGTCTTGAGGGTTATGAACTATTGAGGAAACCGAAAAATTTCCTGTTACGCATGCTTTGATCTGACATTATAAATATGGTTGCCTGCATCCATCTGTCTTGAGATATAATGGAGTGTGCCTCCAGGGGTGAAGTCAAACTTCTGCATTAGCAGTACCAAAGTGATCTCCCTGGGGTGCAAACCTGGGCAGTGTGTATGGAGGTCCTGGGCTGCCCAGACAACACCCCCCCCCCCCGCCTTGCTGATGTGGTCCAAAGGAAAGCAGAGCAAGACGTTTGGCAGCAGCTTGGGTGCAGGAGTTGCCAGAAGGAGGCGAACAAGGCGCCACCCAACCATCTTAGGGACTTCAGTCCCAATTTGTGTAAGATTTACTCCCTAGCCTTTTCTCTGCCCGAAGATATCCCAAAAGAAAGTGGAGGTTTAGAAACAGAGGTTTCCTTCTCCTAGTTCATGGGTAGGCAAACTAAGGCCCGGGGGCCGGATCCAGCCCAATCGCCTTCTAAATCTGACCCGCAGACAGTCCAGGAATCAGTGTGTTTTTACATGAGTAGAATGTGTCCTTTTATTTAAAATGCATCTCTGGGTTATTTTGTGGGGCATAGGAATTTGTTCTTTTTTTCCCTCCTTCCAAAATATAGTCTGGCCCCCCACAAGGTCTGAGGGACAGTGGATTGGCCCCCTGCTGAAAAAGTTTGCTGACCCCAGTCCTAGATGGGCTACCTTCCCAGGTGGATGAGCCCCATTTGCCCCTCACTTTCCTCTATAGCACCTGCAGAAACTGCCTTCCTGACCATTGGACCCACACTTGGTCTTGTCCTCTCAATCCACAAGAGACTGTCTTCACATGCAGGGAAAGTCCCTAACTCACCGAGGTCTTGTGACCCATCGGCTACCTTCACCTGGTTTAGCTGGCCGGTTGAAGCCCTTTCCAGGGTGTGGCTTCTGTCACATGCTGATAGCTTCTGAGAGCCAGTGTGGTGTAGTGGTTAAGAGCGGTAGACTCGTAATCTGGGGAACCGGGTTCGCGTCCCCGCTCCTCCACATGCAGCTGCTAGGTGACCTTGGGCTAGTCACACTTCTCTGAAGTCTCTCAGCCCCACTCACCTCACAGAGTGTTTGTTGTGGGGGAGGAAGGGAAAGGAGAATGTTAGCCCCTTTGAGACTCCTTCGGGTAGTGATAAAGCGGGATATCAAATCCAAAATTCTTCTTCTGGGAGCCACAGGTGAGAGCTGACCAAAGGTGGACAAACTAGCCCAGAAAGAGCACAGCACGTCCCACACCAGAGGCACTACCCCTCCCCTCACACCCCGTAAATAGTTATAAATCGCAATTTACAATTAGTAACAATGGTGAAACTACGCATAGCTCAACAATGGAAAAATAAAAATCCCCCAATACCGATAAACCGGCTGAGGAAAGCACGTGGATTATAAAACTAGCATACGAAAGGAACGTGGCATATAATCATTACAGAAACAAGTTCATTGAGAAATGGGCCTTATTCATTCAATTCTGGAATGACAAAGTAAGAGATGAAATACCTCCTTATAATTTATTCACATTAGTTTAATACTCTGTCTTTATGCAATAAGGAAAATGGAAGTAGAAATATTAAACTCCCACATCTGCATTATATGCCAGTACATAGGCAATGCTGCAACTAAATCTAACAGTCTTAAGGAAAGCATGTAGCAATAAGTCTATTTGCATATGAAATGCCTTCTAAATGAAATATGAGTTTTTAGCATATATGAAAAACTATATACTGATTTCTGCACAGATTTACAAACACAGTATGACTAATAACTGTGCAGCAGCCATTAAGTATATTTTTGCCACTTTGGAACGACAGTGTTTGTTTCGGAATCTGTTTTCCATGTTTCCTTTATTTTTTTAAAAAAATGATTATGCAAAGCCTGAAATTTAGCGATTCAAGGTTTCAGGTGAGGGCATGTCCCAACCCAACCTAGAGGTGCCAGAATCAATCCCAGGACCCTTCTGCATACACAGCTTATGTTCTGCCACTTAGCTACAGCCCTTCCATTGGCGCCCCCTGTTCTAGGGGGATAAAGTGTCCCCTAATTATTTTTCAGCTGCCTGCTGTCTACTCTGAATGATTTTGGCTTTGTTTTAGAGGGGGGTGTCCTCTTGCACCAGGGTGTATTTTCTGGAATTTCTACCCCCACCCCTTGCAAACTAGGGTAATTCGCACAGGAAATTTTTTGAACGCCTTAGAGAGTGAACTAATTTAGCATATTCACCATACTTTAGTAAATAGTTGGGGGGGGAAGGCTTGGAAACTGCTAAGCTTGCCTAATATATTCACAGCTGGCTCCTGTTCGTCGTTACTGATGAATTTATTAAATGCCTGGGGCGAGGGGGTGGGCAGGAATCGGAGGGAAATGAAAGCACTGGGGAAAAGAATTCCAAATCATTTCCACAGGAAAAATAAATAAATCACACCCTGCATCAGTTCCAGGCTTGCTTTGCCGTGCCTTGCAATAACCGGGCCTTTCTGTTCTCTCCAACAAACAAGAGGCACTGAGTTAATCTGGGTGATGTCATCAGCACAGCTGAGGTCACCCTTTTGTGTGTTATGACTTGAACATTAAATTCCATGGTTACCTTCTCATAGCTAGCGGCATGGAGAGCGGTATGACACCCCCTACTCACACATACTAAATCCCACCAGTGCATATTTTGTGTGTGTGTGTGTGTGTGTGTGTGTGTATTCTGCACTCATAATAAGCCTCTGTACACACTGTTCTTTAAAGCACATTAGAATCATAGAATCGCAGAGTTGGAAGAGACCCCGAAAGTTATCTGGCCCATCAGTCAGTCCATGTTTATTTAAGGCAAAGAGGCAGCATAATTTCTGCATAATTCTCTACATAAACAATAAAAACGGTTGATATGGGGTTTAACAATCAATATGCTAATTAAGTGTTCTTAAAATACGTGCATCCAGTCCAACCCCTGCAAGGCAGGAATCTTTTGCCCAACTTGGGGCTTTAACCCACAACCCAGAGATTAAGAATCTCATGCTCTACTGATTGAGCTATCCCGGGAACATTATTTCCCTCAAAGAATTCTGGGCACTGCGGTTTACTACAATTCCCAGAAACCCTTATCAAACTACACATAGCGTGCAAAATGCTTGGCAGAAGTAAAGCATGCTTTGAATAGGCTTTGAAGGCATAAGTGTGTTGTTGTTGTTTAGTCGTTTAGTCGTGTCCGACTCTTTGTGACCCCCTGGACCAGAGCACGCCAGGCACTTCTGTCTTCCACTGCCTCCCGCAGTTTGGTCAAACTCATGCTGGTAGCTTCGAGAACACTGTCCAACCATCTCGTCCTCTGCCGTCCCCTTCTCCTTGTGCCCTCCATCTTTCCCAACATCAGGGTCTTTTCCAGGGAGTCTTCTCTTCTCATGAGGTGGCCAAAGTCTTGGAGACTCAGCTTCACGATCTGTCCTTCCAGTGAACACTCAGGGCTGATTTCCTTCAGAATGGATAGGTCTGTTCTTCTTGCAGTCCATGGGACTCTCAAGAGTCTCCTCCAGCACCATAATTCAAAAATAATTCATAATTCATAAGTGTGTACATAGCTTTAAAAGATATATTAAGAGTCTTGTGGTACTTGAAATGCTTACACAGGCCCCTGCAGAGCTTGTCTGAGGCCTAGGGCAAGTGTACCTGGCTGCATACCCTCCAACATTTCTCCAATGAAAATAGGGACATCCTATTCCATCATCATCAAAATAATCATTTTACTATTTATACTCCCCCCGCTCATTTGACTGGGTTGCCCCAGCTACTCTGGGTAGCTTTAAACATATATTAAAAAAATACTAAAACATTAAACATTTAAGAACTTCCCTATACAGAGCTGCCTTCAGATGGCTCGGGGGTCAGATAACTCCATACCCTCTGACATTTCTCCAGTGAAAACAGGGATGTCCTAAGGTAAAGTGGGACATTCCGGGATAAAATCAGAAACCAGGACATCTTCAGCAAATCTGGGTCTGTCCCTGGAAAATAGGGCCACTTGGAGGGTCTGTGTTTTGCCCACTGCACGGGCCTGCAGGCTCACCCACATCATACCTTTTCAAGCTCATTTTGCCCCTCAAAGAATTTTGGGCACTGTTGTTTACCCTTCACAGTTATAATTCCCAGCAACCCTTAACTAACTGCAGCGCCCAGAATTCTTTGAGGGAAAGAATGTGCCATGCCTTTGAAGGCTGAATACATTTAGAGCACACGGCTCTCCTGAAAGAATCCTGGGAACTGTAGTTCGTTATGGATGCTGGGTACTGTCAATCTGTGAAGGCTAAACTACAATTCCCAGGATTCTTTGGGGGAAGGCATGTGATTTAAATGTAAGGGGTGTACGTAGCCTTTAAAACCTGGGGGAAAGGACTGTCTCATCACTATTATTTGTGAGCTGCCCCAGGGAGACTTTCCTCATCTGGAGCTCAGGATAAATAAAGAGCAGCTGGCTGAATAGATTATCCATCCCAGTGGTCCCCAAAGGGGGCGCTGGGATTACCTAGGGCAGCCCTAAGAGGCAAATGGGCAGCAAGGGGGTGCTGAAGGTGTAAATGACTACCAGACTTTGAAAAGCCGGTATCTGTGGATCAAGTTCTTCAGTTTTGTTGAATTAATTAACCTAAATAGTTTTAATTGGATTTCAAATAAATGTGCAATTAATTGTTACTGTTCTCAATGTTATGGCGCTATTATCAACCTTAGCAAGTCATGCAAACTGGTGTTCTGAATAATGCTTTTTTGATATATCGTCCAAATCCAGTTTCAAATCTATGTCATGATGCTGGTTTTGTAATTTTAGGCTTGACAATATATCGCAAATCAGGGTGTGGGTGGGGAAGGGTGCTATGCAAAAAACCACAATGCGGGGGAAACTGCGAAGCCAGCCAATGCCTTTACATAGCTAAGTCCTTATTTCAGGCATTGTGATATATCCGTATATCACGATGGTTAGCTGGTGAGATATCGCAGTGTTGAAAACCAGACGTCGCCCAGCCCTAGTGGGGATGAGTTTATGGAAACCAAGGAGCCGATGGCTCAAAAAAGTTCGGAAACCACTGATTTATCCCCTCTCCCTTCCCCATTCCTCTCCACCTCACCCTTCCCCACTCACAGATGTCTCCCCGATCGTGGCGGGCCTGATTGGCGCCACCGTCCTAGTGGTGTCCGTCTCCATGACGGTCTTCGTGTGGACATGCTGCCACCAGCACGCGGAAAAGAAGCACAAGACCCCGCCTTACAAGTTCATCCACATGCTGAAAGGCATCAGCATCTACCCAGAGACCCTGACTAACAAGAAGAAAATCATACGGATCCGGCGAGACAAGACGGGAGCTGCCATGAAAGATGGAAGAGGCAACCTTCTGGTGGACGCGGCAGAAGCTGGCCTGGTGGGCTCCGACAGGATCTCCAGCGCGGCTCCCTGTGTCAACCAGCTCCCGATCAAAGTCGATTACGGGGATGAGTTGAGCCCGGACCAGAGCTTGACTCCGGCAGGCAGCAAGCCTTCCTCTCCCTCTTCCCCAGAAGAAGAGGTGACTCTGGGGACGCTGACCTTCTCCGTGGACTACAACTTCCCCAAGAAAGCTCTGGTCGTGACCATCCAAGAAGCCCGCGGGTTGCCGGTCATGGACGAGCAAAACCAAGGCTCCGACCCCTACATCAAGATGACAATCCTTCCCGACAAGAGGCACCGGGTGAAGACGCGCGTCCTCCGCAAGACGCTGGACCCCGTCTTCGACGAGACCTTCACTTTCTACGGGATCCCCTACAGCCAACTCCAGGACCTGGTCCTCCACTTCCTGGTGCTGAGCTTCGACCGCTTCTCTCGAGATGACGTCATCGGGGAGGTGATGGTGCCGCTCGCCGGGGTGGACCCAAGCACAGGGAAGGTCCAGCTCACCAGGGAGATCATCAAAAGGAATATACAGGTAGGGGAGTTGGGACCCGGGGGTTTAACTAGGGGGACTGTCCAAGTTCCTTTTCCTTTTACAAGACCTTTAGAGACCATAGGCACTTAAATGATTTTGGCACCCCCATATATATCAAATTCAAAATATAAACAATAACAAAGTAGAAAATGATTTTTTGAAAAGAAACCTACAGTAAGATGGAAAATAACGTTTATTTTTGCATGCTTTCACCTTATTTATATTTGGGGGGGGGAATTTTCGTTTTTCTAATTGCAAAGTCTTTGATCAGATCCTTACGTAACGCATCTGCTTCTACACTTAGTAGAGATAAGGCATCTTGCCTGCCTTGTTGCACAGTTGTTCTGTTGGGGTTTCTTAAATATACATCAACTGAGAAAATGGACGCCCAGCCGAATCATCTGTAATATTTGTATGTTATTTCTTCATTTATTGCGGGAGCCTTTTTCGTGGAACCTGGTTCAGCTGCACTGTAGTAAATCTGGCAATGGAAAATTTATGTGGCGCCCTCCTTCCCTTGATGCCTTAAGCATGCGCTTATGTTGCTCCATGCCCTGTCCTCGCCATTGGTGTCCAAGCGAGTGGGATGGGGGTGAGGGGGCTGTGAACCATCAGTAGGGATTGTACCTGCTGGTAGGACCCACAAGACAGGTGTGCTGATGCAAGAGCCAAGGGAAGCTGGTCTGTGACATGGACCAGGACTGCCCCTCTCAAGTCCAGCACCCTGTTCTAGCAGCAAAAAACCAGATACCTTAATGCAACGTTGTTGGACTACAACTCCCATCATCTCTAGCCAGCAGGACCAGTGGTCAGGGATGGTGGGAATTACATAGTCCAACAGCAGCAGGAAGCCCAGGTTCAAGAAACACTACCCTAAAGGGAAGGAAAGCCAAAAGCAGGGTCTGAGCGCAGCAGCGACTCTCCCCACCTGGGACTATTAAGTAGTAGACTGCCACCAACAGTGCAGGGAGAAGCCAGCCATCATGGCTAGGAACCAGTGATAGCCTGATCCGTAGTGAATCTTTCATTTATTTTATTTCACAAAATTTATATACTGCTTGATTGTAAAAAAACAAACACCCAGCAACCTCAAAGTGGTTCACAAAACGAATACAACAATGAAATTACTAGTAAAATACAGTCATATTTACACAGCATAGTTATACAGTAAAATACAATTTAAAGTATTCAATAATGATTAAAACCAACAATAAGCTAAAAAGCAGATTTAAAACACGTGTTGACATTTTATGTGCCGATAGGCTTTGCCTAAACAAAAGAATGTTTTTAGCAGGTGCTGAAATGAGTGCAGCAAAGGCGCCTCTCAACAGGCAGGGACTTCCAAAGTATGGATGTAGCCCCATTAAAAAAGATGGATTTTCTTACAAATGCAGACCAAGTAATATGTGGCAGCTTCAACAGCGCTGGTTATTATACCCACCAGCCGCTTTATACAAAAGCGTCAGAGTGGCACTTGATAGGATAAAATGCAACACGTAAAAACGATGTGAAAGCAGAAAAAAAATAAAAGAATAAAACCAGGAACGATACAAAATGCATAAGATGCTCACCCAGTAACATATGAATAAGGAGAAGTCCTAGCCACCCCCAACTGAAAGATGAGCACCAGTGCATGAGGCAACATTAAATAACCAAAGGTCGGAGTAAACAAAAGGTATCAGCCTGGCTCCCAGGGGCTGACAGGGATGGCGCCAGGCATGTCTCCCTGGAGAAAGCATTCCACAGACTTGTCTCATCCTCTCTGAAAGCCCTCCAAGTTGGTGGCCATCGCTGCCTCGTGTGGACGTGAATTCCATTGTGTCATTTTGTGCTGTTGGGGAACAAGTATCACCGTATTTTTCACTCCATAAGACACACCGGACCATAAGACGCACCTAGTTTTTGGAGGAGGAAAACAAGAAAAAAAATATATTCTGAATCTCAGAAGCCAGAACAACAAGAGGGATTGCTGTGCAGCGAAAGCAGCGATCCCTCTTGCTGTTCTGGCTTCTGGGATAGCTGCGCAGCCTGCATTCGCTCCATAAGACGCACACACATTTCCCCTTACTTTTTAGGAGGGGAAAAGTGAGTCTTATAGAGCAAAAAATACAGTAACTGTGCACCTCTGGGAATTGGAGACAAGGCAAAGGTTCACCACAGCAGCAACTGGGGCTGTTCTCAGGAGATCCAAAGAGAGCTGTTGTCCGAGCACAGGCCTTTTCTGCCTGGTCCAGAAGGACTGTTTCATATTTTCCTAACTGCAGATTCCTTGCATTCCGCTGAAACTCCTGGGTTCTGCATGAGAGGATGCATCTCAAGCTCAGAACGGCACGATTCCAGTTTTCTGGGCATGTCTCTTCCTCCTCCTCTAAAGAGGAGGAGGAACATCTGTTCTGTAACCTGGGATTTTGCAAGGCATTGTTCCAGCCAGCGGAAGCGGCAGACTCCCCGGGAGCGCGAGCAGTAATGCAAACAAGCGCAGAGCCAGCAAGGACAGTAATCAGACCAAGGATTGGGGTCAGCCGCCTTCAAAGTGGTAGCTGGAAAGCAGCCAGATCAGCACTATGGAGGAGGGCGCTTTGGGAAACTGGGCTACATTACGACAGATAAACAGGATGTGGATTTTTGCTCAGGCAATACACAATCTAATGTTTTTTTTCTCTGTGCGTGTGCTTAGCTCCCAAACAAACGTAACAGGCAGATTTGGGGGGAAGGGAATAGCACGGTGGCAGGGAATCTGTCCCGGGTTCAATCCCAGCACCTGCAGATAGAGCTGGGAGAGATTCTGCATTTGAAATCCTGGACAGTTCTTGCAGGTCAGTGCAGATGATACTGAACTAGATGGGCTAATGTTCTGACTCTGCAAAAGGTAGTTTCCTCTGCTTCTGTGGTCTCCTTCAGGGATGGGAAGCCTGTGGCCCTTTAGATGCTGTGTGTGACATTGTGGCCCGCTTTATCACTCCCCTTCAGGAGTCTCAAAGCGGCTAACATTCTCCTTTCCCTTCCTCCCCCACAATGAACACTCTGTGAGGTGAGTGAGGCTGAGAGACTTCAAAGAAGTGTGACTGGCCCAAGGTCACCCAGCAGCTGCATGTGGAGGAGCGGGGACGCGAACCCAGTTCACCAGATTACGAGACTACCGCTCTTAACCACTACACCACGCTGGCTCCACGCTGTTGTTGGACTCCAACTCCCAGCAGCCCTTGCAAGAGGGGCCAATGGTCAGGGATGAGCTGCAGTCCAGCAGCATCCTTCCAGGAGCCACATCCCAAGGGCAGGCAGAGCCAGAGGCAGAATGGGCAAAGCAATGAAGGTTTCCTTTGTACAGTAGGCTGCTTCTCTACACTCACCCCCCTCTCTATGCTCCATCCAGGCAAATAAAAAGGAATAGCAGAGTTCAAGGACTCATTCCAGCAAGGCAGATGCACCGTGGGAGCAGGGCTGATAAGGAATGTACATAAGGAACACATGTGGAGAGACCCAAGGACCAGTTGGAGAGGTCTGGAGGGCCACACCAGAGATTCTCCATCTTTGGCACAAAAGAAAGCTCCTCTGGCAGATCTTAGGCTTCCGCTTTGAGTTGTCTAGACATTTCTTTAATTAGGCAGGATGGGTGGCTTTCAAATAAATACATAAATCCCGCTTCAATGGGATGACACACCTCTCTGCACAATTAGAGGGGGAGAAATAAAATCTTTGGGCTCGTAAACCAGCTGTTGTGTCTTGCTGTCGGGCTTTCTAAGCAGTTAAGCTTCCCTTGCTTCTGTCTGCCTTCCAAGCTGCAACTATTGCCCCATTCTAGCTGGTCTGAGGATCTGTGATGGGGAGGGGGTCCCCCTCCCCTTGAGCAAAGTCAGAAAGCAATTGACACTGGAACAGAAAGCTACTGGCTTGCAGTTATTCCTGCGGCTGAGAACTGGAAATGTTGGCACGTCTTGCTTGTGGGCTTCCCATAATGCGTATCTGATTCGCCACTGGGAAAACATGATGCTGGATTAGAGATGGGCCAGCGGGCCGTTCTTATGATGCAGAGAGGGATGAGAAAGTGAGTTACAGGCAAGCTGTTAGGAGTCGCATCTTTCAGGACCAGGGAGAGCTCCTTGAGACAACAGGAAGCCAATCCAATGAAAGCTCCCTTTTTCTGCCTTCCCCCTTCCGATGTCTTTGGACAATAGTTCCCATCAGCCCCTTTGTAAACTACCTGCTGCCTTTGTAAACTACAGTCATACCTTGGGTTACAGACGCTTCAGGTTGCATTTTTTTGGGTTACGGAATTACCGGAAGTACCGGAATAGGTTACTTCCGGGTTTCGGCGGTGGCACATGCACAGAATCACCAAATTGCGCTTTGCGCATGCGCAGAAGCTCCGGGTTGCAACCCGAGCATGCGCATACGTGCCACTGCAGGTTGCGAACGTGCATCCCGCACGGATCACGTTCGCAACCCGAGCGTCCATTGTACTTTGCTATTCGGGGTTGCGGGGAAGGTTTTCACTATCAGAGTAAAAAGAGGTGGGGGTGGGAAATCTGTGTGGCTCTCCATGTCCCATCAGCCTCAGCCACCACAGCCAACTGTTCAGAGATTGTGGGGACTGGAGTCCAGCAACAGCTGGAGAGCCACAGCCTCCACACTCCTCTCCTAGGCACATGTCCCAGCCAATCAGGGATCACACATTAAATGCACTTACAACAGAGATGTAAAGCAGGGATGAGGAGCTCATAGCCTTCCAGATATTGTTGGGCTATGTCTCTCACCAGCCCCTAGCCAGCATGGGTCCATAGCTCAGAGGTTTAACAACTGTCACAAGGTCCCAAGCTCTGTCCCCAGCATCTCCAGGTAGGGCTGGGAATGCCCCCCTGCCTGAAACTCTGGAGAGCTGCTGCCAATCAGTGTGGACAGTGCTGAGCTGGGTGGACCCCATGGTCTGACTCAGTGAAAGGCAGCTTCCTATGTTTCCAAGAGTCCCAAAAGCTGGGCAGAGAAGCTTGGAAGGCCCTTGACCTTAGGACATGTGCGTGTGTAGGAAGAGAGTTCAATGGGAGAAGAGGAGGGAGAGGAAAATTAAAACTGGTAATGGAAGGAGGAGGGGAGTACAGCCTGTGGCAGTGGTCAGTTTAGACACTTGTGAAGACAGAAGGAGAAAGTGTGACACACAGAGAGAGAGAGAGAGAGAGAGAGAGAGAAGGGGGTGACGGAAGGAGAGGGAAAAGCAATGGCCCCATTCATTTCCAGCTGCGGCACCACTAAATACCAGCCATGTATGATATGTATGCAGCTTTAGATGCTTATGCTATAGCAACTTCAAGGCCCCCTCCTAAGGTTGCCATACGTCTGGATATACCCAGAATACTGTAGTCAGAAGCAGTGTCTGGGCAGAAATATGCAAAATGTCCAGGGAAATCCGGACGTATTACAACCCATGTCGGCAGTGTCGTTTTTGCCAGTTTTCCTAAAGAAATAGCTCAAAATCAACTTTGCTCGCCCCCCTCCCGCAAAAAATAATAATAATGTAGCTCTGTAAGGGGAATAGGGAGTTTCATATGACATCTCAGTGCCCATAATAAACTACAGTTCCCAGGATTCCTTTTTTTTTTTTTTTGCAGGGAGGGAGTCATAACTGTAAAGATGGTGTAAGAGCTCTTTAAACGTACAATGGTACCTCGGGTTACATACACTTGAGGATACAGATGCTTCAGGTTACAGACTCTGCTAACCCAGAAATAGTACCTCGGGTTAAGAACTTTGCTTCAGGATGAGAACAGAAAGGATGAGAACGGCAGCAGTGGGAGGCCCCATTAGCTAAAGTGGTGTTTCAGGTTAAGAACAGTTTCAGGTTAAGAACGGGCCTCCAGAATGAATTAAGTACTTAACCCTAGGTACCACTGTATAGTGCAGATGGGGCCCTAGTTTCCAATCCCAATGTGCAAACCAGACTTTGCTGGTTCAGATGCCTCAAAGCAGGAAAGGCTGGGCAGGGGGAATCACTGCGGATGAGGGGAGGAGAGAGGGTCCGTCTCACGTCTGGTGTGACATCCGAACCAGCCTCATGCATGTTTCCTGACAGCGCCCCTACAGTGAAATGGAGCAGGGTCAGCCAGCATGATGCCTTACAGACATTGCTGGACTCCAGCGCCCACTAGCCTTGATCACAGTCATGGCTCTCCCACCCCCAATGAATCCTGGGAGCTGTAGTTTGTTAAGGGCACTGGGAGTCGTTATGAGACTCCCCCATTCACCTCACAGAGCTACAATTCCCCGGGAAAAGGAATTGGTTGCTAAACCATACTGGGAACGGCAGCTCTGTGAGGGGAGTAGGGGCATTTCCTAACAAATCTCAATGCCCATAACAAACTACAATTCCCAGGGTTCTTTGGGGGAAGAAGCCACGACTGCTTAAATAAGCAGAAGAGTGCTTTAAATATACAGCGGTACCTCAGGTTACAGACGCTTCAGGTTACAGACTCCGCTAACCCAGAAATAGTACCTTGGGTTAAGAACTTTGCTTCAGGATGAGAACAGGATGCAGTGGCAGCGGGAGGCCCCATTAGCTAAAGTGGTACCTGAGGTTAAGAACAGTTTCAGGTTAAGAACGGACCTCCAGAACGAATTAAGTTCTTAAACCGAGGTACTACTGTATGGTGCAGATGACGAAGAGTCGTTTGGCCCAAAGTGGGCACTTTCCACTTGTGATTCCGGGAGGAAGGGAAAGGAGGAGGACTGGCTTTAGACAAACGTTAACTCAAGAGTCCCGGGCAGTTCCCAAAATGCCGAATCTAGGACACGACGGCCATGGCAACCCGGCCTGCTATTCACAGCCTTAACAACGGCTTTTTTAAAACACTTGGCAAGGCTCTGTTTTATTTCCACTGTATTAACTCCCTTTCAACACAGCCATGTTTTTCCTTTAAAAAAGAAGGACAAATGACCTACTCACTACGGACAAGTCATCTACCACCGAAAAGCATTTAAGGCCACAGCGGAAGCACGGAGGATGTAAACAATGAAACGCCACACCCTCCCCGATTGTAGAGTTCGCTGGTGATTTCGAACCTGCTTTTTAAGGTGGTGGTGGTGGCTCTTTCCTAGGAGGTCAGGATTCTGGTCCCCTTCAAAGGTGGGCCATAGGAAGCTGCCTTATACAGAGTCCATCTAGACCCCGCGGGGGGTTACCCACACTGACTGGTAGCAGCGGGTCTCCACGGCTGCAGGTGACAGGTCTCTCCCAGCCCTACCTGAAGGAGTGAACCTAGCACCGCTTCAAGCAGGTGCTCTCCCACCGACCTACAGCCCTTCCTCTAGAAATACAAGATTCTAGTCCTCATTGTTCTGCACAAAGAGCTGATTTTAAATAGGAACATGGGAAGCTGTCTTATACTGTGGTACCTTGGGTTAAGAACTTAATTCGTTCTGGAGGTCTGTTCTCAACCTGAAACTGTTCTTAACCTGAGGTACCACTTTAGCTAATGGGGCCTCCCGCTGCCGCCACACGATTTCTGTTCTCATCCTGAAGCAAAGTTCTTAACCCGAGGTACTATTTCTGGGTTAGCGGAAAACCTGAAGCGTCTGTAACCTGAGGTACCACTGTATATCAAGTCAGGTCATGGGTCCACCTAGCTTGGCGTTACCTATATTGACCGGAAGCTATCTTGTACTGTGTCAGACCATTGTTCCGTATAATAATAATAATAATAATAATAATAATATTGATACCTGTACAAACAGGTTGTTGGACTAGATGGGCCTTCTTATGTTCTCCTTCCCCACTGGCTTCCTTCAGCTGACCTTTTCTAGAAGAAGAGTTTGGATTTGATATCCTGCCTTTCACTCCCTTTAAGAAGTCTCAAAGCGGCTAACATTCTCCTTTCCCTTCCTCCCCCACAACAAACACTCTGTGAGGTGAGTGGGGCTGAGAGACTTCAAGGAAGTGTGACTGGCCCAAGGTCACCCAGCAGCTGCAGGTGGAGGAGCGGAGACGCGAACCCGGTTCCCCAGATTACGAGACTACCGCTCTTAACCACTACACCACACTGGCTCTCTAGATGATGCATTCCCCCCATTTGCAGAAACTGATAGGTGGACTTGAGGGTGGCCAGGGCTGCTTGGGGCCTGTTGTTCTGAGGATGTGTGACCTTATCTCTTTCCAGAAATGCGTCAGCAGAGGGGAGCTGCAGGTTTCCTTGTCTTACCATCCTGTTGCCCAGAGGATGACTGTGGTGGTTTTGAAGGCGAGACATCTGCCCAAGATGGACATCACCGGCCTCTCAGGTAGAAGCTATTTACCCCGCCTCATCTCCGTATTTTCCTTGTGTGCCCCTTTGAACGCTCTTTTGCTCGTGTTATTTTTTAATGAGGGGTGGATCTGTTCATTTCGGTTCCTCTCGGTTTCTCATTCCCCCCCACCACCTTAAATTCAGTTCCCTGCATTTCTGCAGCGATTTGCTTTTTTTTTAACGTGAAAACCTGTCAGCATTTTACTGCAACCCCCCCCCATAAGTCCAGTTTTGTTTGCAGTTTTGCCTAATAGACGCATTTTGCAAAGCAATTTCCCCACTTTTGTATGCAATTTTATGCACACTTGGTACATGCATTTTCGTACATATTGTTGGAGAACACACAGTGCTGCAAAATTTGGAGAGGTGCAAAGGATGGTGGTGCTTCAATTCACGTAGTTTCAGAGAACGCGGATTTTGTAGGTCCACCTTTAAATGCCACCTGAACTGAGTTTCTCCCTCCCTCCCATTTGTAACCAGTGAGCCAGCTTATGAATCCTGTGCATCCTTGGAAAGATCAGAAGGCAACCATCCCTTTCTCCTAATGTTATCCCCAAATCTACTCTCCTGCAGCTGAAGCCAACTAGTTCTAGTCCTGGCCAGGACAGCAGCAAAGAACATCTCTTTGCCCTCTTCTATGTGGCAGCCCCAAAAGATGGCACTGTGAAGTGCCCTAAGCATTAAAAACAACAACACCCCAACATCTCCAGGGTGTTTGAAATGTAAAGCCCCAAAGACACAACTTGATCCTTCATTTGATGTTCATATCTTTTGAGGACAAATTCCAGCTAGACAAAGAGCACTCGAGGAAGGCGCGGAGCAGGGCTGGTGAGGGGTGTGGCCTGGGAAGAGGGGGTGGGGCCTGAAGAGACTCCAGAGGGCTGGATAGCATGACATAGTTGGCATTTCTCCATCCCTGACTTGCACAGACCAGGATCACAACGTTCAGTGGCTTTGCTTTATTTTTCAGTTACCTCCCTCAACGCGAGCTCTGGTTCATGAACCCCTAACAGAATGTTCTCCTCGGTCTCTTGAGTTAGCGACCTTGTGTTTAGGAGATTGGGGTTATAGTTTGGCTTGCCTCATCTTGAGCTGCTTGCTTTTCAGGGTCCCCACCCATGCCCCAGAAACTCTGCCATCATACAAATTCCTAGAAGAGGAGAGGTCTTAGCCAAGGGCTAAACAGAACATCCATGTGGATTGGCAGTATTATCTCTGAATACTAGTTGTTAGGGGCACATCATGGGAGAGATTCTGTTGCCCTTCAGGCCCAGGTTCTGAGCTTCCTGGAGACATCTGGCCAGACTAATGGACCTTTGGTCTGTCTGCTTATGTTTTTACCTTCAGCCTTGTTCCAGGACTCGGGAACATATGAGAGAAGCAGAGAAGCTAGAGATGGGGGAGCCTGTGGCTTTCCTGATTGATGGTGGACTACAACTCCCATCAGACCCTAGCCAGCATGGCCAAAGGTCAAGGATGATGGGAGTTGGAGTCCAGCAATGTCTGGAGGGACACATGTTCTTCCAGGAATCTGCCTTATACTGAATCAGACTCTTGGTCTGGCTTAGCTCTGAGCATTGTCTACAATCATAGAAGCATTGATTCATAGAAGCATAGAGTTGGAAGGGAGCATCCATGGCAGACGGCCATCCAACCTCTACTTAAAAACCTCCAGTGATTGGCAGGAGCTCTCTGCAGAGTCTCAAGCAGCTCTCTCCAGGTCTTTCTCATCCCTACCTGGGTTTGCAAGGGTTTAGACTCAAATAATAATAATTTTAATAATAATAATTTATTATTTGTACCCCGCCCTTCTGGCTGGGTTTCCCCAGCCACTCTGGGCGGCTTCCAACAAAGATTAAAAATACATCAAAATGTCACACATTAAAAACTTCCCTTCAGATATCTTCTAAATGTCAGGTAGTTGTTTATCTCTTTGACATCTGGTGGGAGGGCGTTCCACAGAGTGGGTGCCACTACCGAGAAGGCCCTCTGCCTGGTTCCCTGTAGCTTTGCTTCTTGCAGTGAGGGAACTGTCAGAAGGCCCTTGGCGCTGGACCTCAGCATCCAGGCAGAACGATGGGGGTGGAGATGCTCCTTCAGGTATACAGGTATATTGAATGACCCCTGGGGTCCCTTCCAACTCTACAATTCTATTATTCTGATGTGTTCAGGGCAGCTGTTTACCAGCTCCATCTGGTATGCCGGCTGAGACCCTACAACTTTTAGAAGACACCTAAAGGCAGCCCTGTATTGGGAATTTTTTTTAATGGTTAGCATTTTATTATGTTTTATATATGTTGGAAGCCAGGGACAACCCAGCCACTCTGGGCAGGATATAAATAATAATAAAATTATTATCATCATCATTATTCCTTTACTTTCTTCATAAACATGGTGAGCCAATCTCACTCCAATTAGGGTGAGGGGGGTCCCTGCTCATTCTGCAGAGGGGGGGAGGTTCCCAGAGTTCTGTCCCCCCAAAATCCCGCTTGGGTGATACTGCCAGTTATCGGCCTGTGTTATTGGCTCGCTCCTGTTCCTTCTTTCCGGCAGACCCCTACGTCAAGGTGAACGTGTACTACGGCAGAAAGCGCATAGCCAAAAAGAAAACTCACGTCAAGAAGTGCACTTTGAACCCCGTCTTCAACGAATCCTTCATATATGACATCCCCGTGGATCTCCTCCCGGACGTCAGCATCGAATTCCTGGTCATCGACTTCGACCGCACCACGAAAAACGAAGTGGTGGGCCGGCTGATCCTGGGAGCGCACAGCGTCACGGCGGGCGGCGTGGAACACTGGCGGGAAGTGTGCGAGAGCCCCAGGAAGCAGATCGCCAAATGGCACAGCTTGAGCGAATACTAGCAGGGTGAGCGGGGGGGCACCGGGCGCTTGCACCAGACGCCCCTGCGCAAACAGACACTTGGCCTTTCATTTCCTCCTCCTCCTCCTCCTCTTCCTCCCGCCTTCCGTCTTAGTCGTAGAAACTTAAAGGTTTCCGTACGAAGCAGCTGATCGGTTCTCTCTAGTGATGTTTAACTTTTGCAGGGCACACTAAAAGTTCTAAAAAAAAGAAAAAGGGAAAAAAAGGAACTTACAAAAAGTTAAACAATAAAACCTAACAAAAAAAGAGCATTAATTTTAATAAATACCACAAATCATATATATATATATATATATAATAAAATAAAAAGGTGTAACCGCACTGTTGCATGCCGAATACAAAAGTTAAAAAAAAAATCACAAAAAAATTATAATATAACTTTACCAATATCAAAAGTACAGTTTTTAATACGATTTATCTGTCACTATGAAAGTCGTGTTTTGTGCTGAACTGTATTTGTTGGTAATTCACCTCAATTGGCCTATTCAGCTTCTCTCCCAACTTATTCTTTTTTAAAAAATAATAATAATATTGGATTCTGGTGTTGAATCGCTGGTTCTTTGTTGACATCGTCTGCCCACCCACTTCCTGTTGATTCTTTGCAATTCTTTGTGACTTGGGTGATCTAATGCTGCTGGTCTACATGCAATGGTTTTGGGGCATCTGTCTTTGATCAGAGAGATCTCAAATGGTTCCTGTGAATTAGAACTGCTGCTGAAAGCAATTCCCTCCCTGTAAAACAGGGTCCTGGAATAATTCCTTTGTCCTTGTTGTCCAGAACATTGCAAGATGCTCTCTACTCCATCCACGTCCAAAGCAGTCTCTTTCAAAGAAAAAGACTTCATTTGGAGTTGGACCAGGAGGCATCTATCTCCCTCTTAATCTTTCAAGCCAAGTCTTTGTCCTGCCTCTACCATCACTGGAAAGTGGGCCTCTTAGGTGTTGCTCATCTCAAGCAGGAAAGTGCCCCTTGAGCTGTGCCGCCTGAAGCAGTGGTGCAGGCTACTGATGTAGCAGACCCGGCCCTGCCAACAGGCGACTAGACAGGGTTGCATGTGCATTGATCCTAATGCCTACAAGGGTGGCAAGCAGGTAACTCTCACAAAGAACCCACCACCAATGTTTATTTACTATTACTGTTGTCATTAATTAGAGCCTGGTCGGCTTCCAGTGCATGCTTCACAGCTAGATCAGCCGATAGAAATAAATAGCCACTGGAGATCTTTATCTAGGCAAGAGTTTTCCAGCTCCACAACCTCCCCTTGCAACATTCTGGGCACCTGAAATGCCTCACCAACATTTATTGGTGACGGAGTGCGCAAGCTTTCAAGCTGACACGGAAGCCAACCCCAGACAGGGCAAGATTGTCTGCTGAAGAGCTCTGCGTCATCCAGAAGCCTGCAGCTTCCACATCAACAGATAGGGCTGAAAGAAAAGTCAATCTCCCCTACCCAGCCTCCTTTCCCAGGACCAACCCGTAAGCCATTTGCGAAGCTAGGCAGATCCAAGTTAAGGCGGGGGAAGGCATGTGGGAAATGGGTGTTTCAGTATTCACCAAGTCACATCCATGCACTTAACTCATCCTGTGCCCTGTACGCTGTAAATAGTGTATCATACTTTAAAACAAAAACTAGGAGAAATCGTTTCAGGGGTGGGGAGGCACCTTGGCTGCAGAGAGGTGAATTGTCTTTGGCACAGCCCCATGGGAGGTAGCTCTATTTCACTCAGAGCAGACCCATTGAAATTCAGGGGCCTAAGGGAGCTGTGTCCATCAGTTTCAATGGGTCCGCTCCATGGAAGTCTAACATTGGATGCAACTTTGTGTTTGGGGGAGAAGGAAGACTACTGGAAACCCAGCCCTTCCCTTCCTAAAAGCCCTTGGGGGTTCAGTTTCCTTCCATGCTTGCTCTAGTTCAGGCACCCCCAAACTCCGGCCCTCCAGCTGTTTTGGGACTACAACTCCTATCATCCCTAGCTAACAGGACCAGCGGGCAGGGATGATGGGAGTTGTAGTCCCAAAATAGCTGGAGGGCCGAGTTTGCCTATGCCTGCTCTAGTTTCTGAGTCTGGAAACGGAGTCACATACAAACCCCCACCCCCGTCCAGGAGAGCTAGAGGGATCAATGCCCAGCTCACCCCCATTTCCACCTAACGTCAAACCAGGTAGATCTCTTGTTGATTCGCAGTTGGTTGGCAAGAGCTTCTCACTTAGCTAATAGCAAAAACTTCACCCCTCAGAAATAGAGCCTTGGAGGGGGAGCTGTTGTCTCCAACTAAGTACTACTCAGAGTAGACCCAGTGAAATTAATGAACCTACTTTGATGAGTCTACTCTAGCATTTTTTGTCAGTGGGCCCTGGGTCCAGTACTGACCACAAATTCAAAGACTGAGCACCTTATTGTTTAATTGGGGGGGGGGTACGCCTGCCAGCCTTGGCAACTATTTTTTTGGGGGGGGGTTATCAGGGTTCCAGTAGATCAGCCTTCCTCATGCTGGCCGGGGTTGATGGGAGCGGCAGTCCACAACATCCAGAGGGCACCAGGTTGAGGAAGGCTGCAGGAGAGTGTTGCTGGACTACAACTCCCATCATGCCCAGGCAGCTTTGCCATTGGTTAGGGATGCGGAACACAGTAGTGAAGAATGCTGATCCTACAAGCCCGAAGCCTACCAACTCCTGCCCTAAAGGATGTGTTGCAAGGTAAGCTATGAAGCACTGCTGTAAAATAGGTGGGTGGCCTCAATACCTGCAAGTCCCGTCTGTCCCAAGTGCCATGGCTCAGTGACCAGGGGTGATGGGAATTGTAGTACAGCAACACTTAAGAGGGTTTCCCCCAGCCCAGGAGTAAGATTTATTGAGACAGACACTCAGAACCATTTCAGAACGGGGAGAATTAGGACCTCTTCTCTGCAAAGGCCCGGTTGGTGCCGAATTTGGAATTCAGACTGATGATCTTGACGCTTAATCCTTACATCATCCCCTTCCTCCTCAACCCAATTTTGACCCCAATTACTGATAGATTAGGGCTCATCTTGAATTATCAATCTTAATTATCCCCGCTTTTTTAAAAAAAAACTTTTCAATGCAAATAAAACCCATCTTTCTTAAGCCTAAATCATCTCTCCTTCCTCCAGCTGTAAAGAGGGGGGGAAATGAAGTTGTCGTCAAGGAAATGTGCTCAGGGTTAAAATAGATTTAGGCTTATTGGGCAGATGTGAAGAGATCCATTACTCCTCAGGAATAATGGGGAAATAAAGAGGGTCAGATAACAGTCGGGTTTTGGGTTTGTTTGTTTTTATTAAAAAATGTATTGACAGCTGCCTCACTGTAATATCTCCCAAATGTGGGTCATTTTCGGTTGGGATTTTGTTTTTTTTCCTTTTCACCTTGTGTCTATTGTAAAATTAAAAAGAAAAAAAAAATAACTTGGACAAGTTACAACTTGGTGTCAAAACAAAACAAAAAAAGTAAGAAAAAAAATAACTTGAACCGTTGTACAACTGCATAATGCTGTAATGCTAACCTAACAAATATGTAATGCTACCTGTAATGTCAAAATTGTTTTAACGCACATTGAGCGTTCAAATAAAGATGGAGTCACTTTAACTTTACTTACTGATCGCAAAATGATTATTTTGAGGTTGCTGGAGCCACACACTTTCATCAACAGAGGGTCCCACTGCTCAGCGGTAGAGCGATCTCCTTTAGAAAGGATCCCACATGTCAGAGAGGAAGTGAGGGCAAGGAGGGGGAAGAACGTGGCTGGAGAGCTACTACTGCCCATTAAAGCAGACATGAACAGGATAGACTGAGTAGAAGTTCCCTTCCTGTTTGCGGAAGACTCGGTTGGGTCTGTAACAAAGTGTTGCTGCACAGCACGCTCCTGTTCAGGACCGCTGTTCTGTCTCCTGCACAACACATGCAAACAGAGGCTCTTGTGATCCCTCTTCACAAGGAGCTCTGGCAATTGTCGCTGTGAGAACAATTCTCAGCACCCTTAAGAACATAAAGCGTGTTAAGAAAAGCACGAAGGAGGACTTCCTTTTATCGGCCCTTAACAAACTACAGCTCCCAGGATTTCTCAGGAGACGTCCTAACTTGTTTGAAATAGCACTGCAGTGCTTTAGATGTATGGTTCAAATGTGGCCCTAATGGTCTCGAGGTAAAGGTGGGTAAAGGTAAAGGTAAAGGGACCCCTGACCATTAGGTCCAGTCGTGACTGACTCTGGGGTTGCAGCGCTCATCTCGCTTTATTGGCCAATGGAGCCGGCGTACAGCTTCCGGGTCATGTGGCCAGCATGATCAAGCCGCTTCTGACGAACCAGAGCAGCACACAGAAATGCCGTTTACCTTCCCGCTGGAGCGGCACCTATTTATCTACTTGCACTTTGATGTGCTTTCGAACTGCTAGGTTGGCAGGAGCAGGGACCGAGCAACAGGAGCTCACCCCGTCGGGGGGATTTGAACCGCCAATCTTCTGATCGGCAAGTCCTAGGCTCTGTGGTTTAACCCACAGTGCCACCCGTGAAATAGATTTCAGCAAACTATTAGGCAAATCCTGTTAACAGGAAGAACAGCTCAATAATGGAACCTACATATTACCTGGAAGGGTGATGGGTCCCTCCCCCCCAGTGATCTTCAAGCAGCTCTGGATTTCCTGCGTCCATCAGGGGTACGGACTAGTTAAGTCTGCAAGCCCCCCCAAAAAAGCACACACACTTTCATTCTAAGAGAGCAGGCTGGGGCAGACCCTCTCATGCAACACACGTTTTATCTTTGGAGGCACTTTTAAAAAGGGAGAATATTCAAAAATGGGGGGGGGATCCACCTGCGCTTTGAGGTGGTACAAGCAGTGCTTTTTTTCTACAAAAATGTTTAGGGGTACTCTCAATTTTCCTACTCATATTGAAGTAAAAAGGTAAAGGTAAAGGTACCCCTGCCCGTACGGGCCAGTCTTGACAGACTCTAGGGTTGTGCGCTCATCTCATTCTATATGCCGGGAGCCAGCGCTGTCCGCAGACACTTCCGGGTCACGTGGCCAGCATGACAAGCTGCATCTGGCGAGCCAGCGCAGCACACGGAAACGCCATTTACCTTCCTGCTGGTAAGCGGTCCCTATTTATCTACTTGCACCCGGGGGTGCTTTCGGACTGCTAGGTTGGCAGGCGCTGGGACCGAACGACGGGAGCGCACCCCGCCGCGGGGATTTGAACCGCCGACCATGCAATTGGCAAGTCCTAGGCGCTGAGGTTTTACCCGCAGCGCCACCCGCGTCCCCATATTGAAGTACTGCCCCTCAATGAGGCCAAACTTGAGATTCATAAAATGTTTAGGGGTATGCATATGCCTGCGTCCCCCCAGAAAAAAAGCACTGAGCACAAGCCATTCTATCACTGCCTTCTGTTGCACAAGCTAGCTCATCATTTAGGGTCAAGAATGGGGTCACACATTCTGGCTTCAAACCTGGCGCAAAAATGGTCTGCATGTCTAGTTGGAAGTCAAAACAATAAGAGTGCTTGCTCACTGCCTGCTCAAGACTTCTGCTCATCCTTTTTTTCTGTTTCTCTCTCTCCTAGCAGACTTTGCATGGTTTTTTAAAATCAATGAACCCTTTTGCCATTCACCTCAAGGGGAAGCCATCTAGCGGTTCAGCTCGTTGTCACATGCAGCTGTGCATCCCGGGTGCACACTCACGCACACAAAACACACACAAACATCGGCTGCGCAGCCTCACTGGGAAAGCATTACCTCATCCATTTTCAGTTCTATTTGTCTGCCGTGACAAGGGGCATCGAACTCCCCCAAGGGAAGGAACACAGATTCCCTTCTCTCTCCTGCCTCCCCTTGTTGGTGAAATGAATAGGAAACTTTTCAAACCCAGCAGGAGGAGAAGACTAGCAAGATGCCTAGCATGGAAAAAGCCATTTCTTTGACATTTGCGGTGTTCAATTCGATTCGATTCTTCCAATGAAAAATAAATGCAGTTTTAATGGATGCGTTTGCTATTTAAAATTATTCTTATGGGTTTGCCCATCACCACGAAATCAAATTGATACAGGTCAAAACCTAAAGCCCTTGTCACATTCAGAGCCACCCTCCCCAATATCTCTTAGCCAAAATCCAGTTCACTGCCTACAGAACGTTGCAGCAGGGGAAATGTTAACAAGCTCCTAAAACGTGTAATCCGTAACAGAAAACAGAGCAATTGGGTTGTATCTGACCCTAGTCCAATTCAGACTCATTGAGATCAATATACATGGATAACTTAGTCCATAAATTTCAATGGGTTTACTCTGAGTAGAAATTTACTTGGATACAGCCCATTCTTTCAAAACGCTCTGCCTCTTGGATCGAGGCACACAGGGAGAAATAAAACTGGGAGCAGAAGTTTCAAAGGTGATTCAAACAGATCTTTTAGATGAGGAGATACCAAGCACCACACAGCCTAAAACATAGTGTGTTCTTTCAGACCTGGTCTGAGTCACAAAATGATTCCATCAGTGGATTCGGTAAGCAAGAGGGTCAGTATGCGCTGCTATGTTTCAGTATAAAAGTCAACATTTTGTTTCCTTTCAGGGATTTCAAGACACCCAAGACACATCAGTTTGGGTGCCCTGAATACATGATCAACCAGCAGAGAAATGTATTTTGAGACATAAAAAGATGCTTAACATCAAGACCAAAGGCCCTGCTTATCTAATCGCCAGCGCCTCACAAATTTGGAATGTCCATATCGTGCACACAAGGGTGGCAAACAAGTGAGGATTTTCAAGCATTATACCATTTAAACCCTAAAATGCAATCATATACATCAGAAGTGAGGAACTTTTTCCCTTCAGTTATAGGCAGGGCCAGAGCAACGAATGTAAATTGTAACCTCTTGTACAGCAAGTTATACAGAAGGCTTACACACCCCATCTCTATCTTCCATCCAGACAAGCAAGAGCTGGATGATCAGAGTTCAAGGACACATTGCAGCCAGGCAGAAAAAGTCAGGGTGTGATGCAAGGCTGCTGAGGGGCATGACCTGATCATTCCAAGGGCAAAACAGAGACGCCTGGAAGGCCGTATTTGGCCTCTGGGTCTGAGGTTTCCCAACCCTGCTGTACAAGTCTACTCAAAAGTAAGTCCCTTTGTGTTTAACCGAGATTACTCCCACATGGTATGTACAGGATTGCAGCCTTGGCGGAGCTTAAATCTCAAATTTGCTGCTGTTGATTTTGAATAAATGTCCTTAATAACAAGCCCAACTTACACTTTATAGCATACATTTCCCATCCTGTCTGCACCATTTATTTCCAGGCACCAACAAAAGACTTCTTCGTTATTCAGTTTTTAAAAAAGCAAGGCAGAGACTAGAAACAAAAACAAATTCTTTATAGTGTCAAATGCAATTCTCAGCTTGTAGGTACAAAAGTGTATGTGGAACATAAAAATCATGAATTGTGCCCCCCCAAAGTGCTTATTATTCAGATGTAATTATGATAAGGAAAATGGGGAGCAGGCGCGTTCACAAGTTAGCACAAAATGTAACAATGAATTCTGAAAAACCACAAATTTAAGGCACAAAGTTTTTCACTCTCCCCAAAAGGCAAGTCTCTTAGCTCCATTTGTTCTTAATTTTGCTTCCCACAGTAAACTGCAGGTTTTGAATTATAACCACCTCATTTTAAGTCACTTTGACTTGAGTATTAAAGAGAACATTAAAATTTCCTTTAAGAAAATCTGTGATTTATCCACCATGTGCCAAAAGAATCTGATTCAACACTAAATAAAATTTATTAAATTATATAGGTTGTGATCTGTTTCTAAATTAGTAGCTATGGAAAGTATCCAGAATTGATCATTAAGTTAATTTACTAATATAAATACACCATATATTGTTATACTCAATAAAATACATTTGAAATCTTCCTTGCTAAATGGAATGTGTGACTCCACCCACCTCCAAAAAACACACACCCAATTGCTCAGTAGAATTCATAATGCAAATAAGATTTATATATTAAAAATACTACAACTGGTACAACTTGGTAATTCAAGAGCAATACAAAATATACTTCAAGAACCCAAGAAGTGCCTCTATTTTATTATTGCTTGATTAATTTCCTAAAAAGTAACAGAAAGATTTTAACTCTTTCTCCTGTCATTCTCTGACCAGGGAGGTCAAGCAAAGAAACTTGGCAGGAGGTTTGAGAAAAGGCTGATGTATCCCCCCCTTAAAAATCTTTTGCAAAATGATCACATTTGTGGTATAGTAACTGAAACCCGGGGATAGAAATTCAGGTTTGATACCAGCTAAAAGAGGACCTACTCTATGACTTCCTGAAGGCACTTGGGAATTTAATTCAAGATGGATTTGCTTATTCTTGACACTCGAATGATATGAACATTAGATATTGGCTTGGTGGTTTTTAAAAACCATGTATTTGTCAAAAACCAGGTAATGCTTAAACTCTCCAAGGCACGCGGCTCTTCTAGTGTATGGAAAAAAAATATGCAAGGAAGTGGCAAGAAATTGTGTGGCTCTCCCCATGGGAACTGCTACATTTTCAAGTACAGGCTTGAGTCCTGAATAAACCCTCTCTGTGCTCCTTCCAAAGTGTTCCCCCTGCACCAAAATCACAGTACAAAATCTTTCACTTTACGATCAGCACCAATAGAACTCTGTGCGCGTACAACGCTTTCCTACTAGGATGTCAACACTATGATCCATTGACCCAGATGCTTTAGATTAGAACAAAGGCCTGAGATACAAGCATGTGTTAGCTGCCTTATACCGAATCAGACCATCCCTTTACCTAGCCCAGAATTGTCCACTCTTGAGTAGCAATGGCTCCAAGTATAAGGACATAAAAAAGCCTGCTGGATCAGGTCAGTGGCCCAGCTAGTCCAGCATCACGTTCTCACAGTGGCCAAGAAGGACCTGGGAGCGACGGCACTCTCCTCTCCTGTGTTTTCCAGCAACCGTATTCTGAAGCACACTGCTACCATCAGTGGAGGTAGCAGAGGGGGTCTTTCCCAGCCTTGCTACCAAAGATCCTTTCTGAACTGGACTGACCTTGGATTTTTCACAGCGAAGACAGTTGCTGTGTCCACCCACCCGATTGTGCCATGGGTCAGCGGGTCAGCTTCCAACCAACAGTCCGTCGACAATCACCCTTTCACAAGAGCCACCTGACACCACCACTCTCCGACTTCCCAGTAACAACCACTATTCCCATTTCAACCCCTTCCTGCAACGCCTCTCTATTTTTTACTGGTCACATATCATCACCACCCCTCAGAAGGAGACAGGGAAACTTCCTAACAAGAGAGCTCTCGCCTGCAGTTTCCTATGAATTTCAGAGACTGGCACAAGAATCCCAGAAAAGTGGTGTAAGTTTATCTGCAGTTAATACTGCACAATCCAGTACTCCCCACTCCCCATGGAAGGGGAAAAAACAGTAACATTTCCTGCAAAATCTAAAAGAATATGGCACTGGGGAAAGTTTTTAAAAGAGAGACTACCAATGCATCTGGAGTGTTAATTATTACTGAAACAGTCAAAATTGCACGTGTGAATAAACTTGTGCAACAGTCGTGCATACTGGAAGGGCTCTTGGCGTCTCCTGTGCTTTGAAGTTTTCAACAACTTCGCTGACAGACACTGATCTGCTCATCCCCACCCCGAATCAAGTTAGTGGAAAAATACACAAGGATAAAGATTTGGCACAAATCTTGTAGCATTCCTCCCCCACGCTTGAAGCAACCAATTGTAGCAAACCTGCTACACGAGTGGCCCGGGAATCCCAACAGATCAACTTCATCAAATTCATGTACATTCTGCTACCTTCCTAGGGGTAAAAAAAAATAGCTTATGCAACAAGGCTTCTGAACTATAACCCTCTGAAATGCTGTTGAGACACCAACACCCAAATCCAGAAGGTATCATAATGTTGGCAACTGTTTAAAATATCAGACCAACTGGCACAAGCCAACCTTGTTTAAAATATCAGACCAACTGGCACAAGCCAACCTTGCAAGGCACAAAATACATGCGGGCAGACTAGTTGGCTATGCATTTTGCACTTATTTGCAAAACTGATTTATGGACATCTGGATCAATTGTTACTTTTCTTTGCCAAGTCTTCTCCAGGAAGAAACAGATTAAACAAACTTTCGAAGCACGCAATGTAGCGCGACACTCTTGATGGCAGGGCCAAATCACTCCATCCAGTTTTGAACACACAAAAGTATCTCAATTGGCACGGTCAGCAGAAACAAGCACAAGGCTCCAAAGGGCTGCTGGACTGCTTTGGTTCTCCTGCAAGCCACACAGTTATTTGGCTGACAGACATATTTGATTCATGTCACAGAATTCTTCTTCTTCTTCCGGAAGGGAGATTTCAACCTCTTCCACACACTCGTCCGAGGCCTGGATTTCTTCCCCAGCGCCATGACCGCTTCTTTCTCCTTCCTCCGGATTTCTCGAACCAGAGTGTGAAACACATCATCGATATAGTAGCGAAAGGCAGCTGAAGTTTCAAAGAAAGGGCAGCCAAACTCGCGTGCCAAGGCTGAACCTTCTTCCTTGGAGACCTTATAACAAGAAAAGCACATGCTGGTCAGCAACAGGAGAGACGGCCATTTCTTTTAGCCAAGCCCACTTTTGCTTTTTACAGACTCCTTCACACAGCCTGAAAATTCCTGTAATACTGTCCTTTCATGCCTCACTCTCTGTACTCATCGTCAACATCCATCTTTTGCTATATATTTCTGACATTCCTGCTTTATGCTGAGGCTCTCCCTGATCTTTCAAACATTTGAAAGGAAATGCCATGGTTTTTACAGCAGGAATCATGCAGCTCTCAGAAAGCACTGGATTTTGGCGCAATGAAACGTTATTGGGAATATATAGCTATAAAAGTTCTCTTTTCTCCCCTCTATGAATCTCAACACGGTCACTGTCTGTTCTTGGTGGCATTCCCAGCACCTGAACTTCTGCCATGTCCTTCAAAGTATGTGAATGTCCATTTCCAAATAACTAATATTATAAAGGAAGGAAGGAAGGCTTTATGTGCAATTTTCTTGGGCACTCCACTTTTCTTGGGCACTCCCATCTCTTGCGGGGGCGCAATTAGTGCCAGCACCGTCCGTTAAGAGTTTGGGTGTAATCTTCGACACCTCCCTTTCCATGGAGGCGCAGATTGCAGCTATAACAAAGGCGGCATTTTTCCATCTCCGCCAAGCTAAGCAGTTGGCTCCTTACCTCTCTCGCCCTGACCTAGCCACTGTGATCCACGCGACGGTCACCTCCAGACTGGATTACTGTAACTCGCTCTACGTGGGGCTGCCCTTGAGACTGACCCAGAAACTCCAGCGGGTGCAGAATGCTGCAGCGAGACTCCTTACGAGGTCTTCGCTGCGAGATCACATTCACCCGGTGCTATACCAGCTGCACTGGCTCCCGGTGGAGTACAGGATCAGGTTTAAGGTGCTGGTTTTAACCTTTAAAGCCCTATACGGCCTAGGACCCTCGTACCTACGGGACCGCCTCTCCTGGTATGCCCCACAGAGAAACTTACGGTCTTCAAATAAAAACATCTTGAAGGTCCCAGGCCACAGTTAGGCTGGCCTCAACTAGAGCCAGGGCTTTTTCGGCTGTGGCTCCGATCTGGTGGAACATTCTGTCACAAGAGACCAGGGCCCTGCGGGACTTGACATCTTTCCGCAGGGCCTGCAAGACAGAGCTGTTCCACCAGGCCTTTGGCCAGGGCACAGCCTGACTCCCTCCTCGGCAATCTTCGCGGAGCTCTGGCCCAATGGTTGCCAGTGGCTTGAATTAATTAATTTTATAATGAATGATTTTAGAGTGTTGTTTATGCTGTACTTTTGTACTGTTTTATTGTTGTTAGCCGCCCTGAGCCCGGCTTCGGCTGGGGAGGGCGGGATAAAAATAAAATGTATTATTATTATTATTATTATTATTATTATTATTGTAAGCCTCAACAAAGTAGCAAGCTACGTATCACATTCTATTACATACACTTTTTTATTTTAGCACACTTCTTCCATACCTGTTGTGTGGCATGGCTTTATTGTTTTCTGCATCTTTCAATGCTCACCTGGCATGTGCATTTTCTGCTCTGCTTTCTTACTTACACATTTGGTATCTGCATGCATTTTCCCAACCCTATTTCAATCTTGAGAGAAGTCCCAATTGTTCCCAATGTTTGTTTTTCAACATGCTCCCTGCCTCTTGCAGCATCCTACTTACTCAGCAGCAAGAACAAGGGGGAAGGGACCAAGACAGTATATCTGAAGGTATCCCTGGGGCTTGTGGGAATGCAACTACCATGTCTATTTGAAAACAAAATTGTGAGAGCTAAGTGCCCTGAAAGACCGGCTAGAAATTCTTTAACCAACAACCTCACCTTCTAGGGAAGGCTATTTGCCTCCCTTTCGATATGAGCAAATCCAAAGATTCGGTTCAATTTCTATCATCCTCTATTTGCAAATCACCAACATACAAGAAAAGGAACTGAGCAAATAATTAATTCTGAAGCATTCTTTACCTGCCTGAGACGAGCTAGATCAGACTTGTTCCCCACGAGAACCACGGGAGTCTCATCTGTTCGCCGAACACGGTAGATAAGCTGCTTGAACTCACGCACTTCATGGAAGCTTCGGCGGTCTGTGATTGAGTAACAGATAATGAACCCTTCACCTGCCCTCATGTATTGGTCCCTCATGGCGGTAAATTCTGCCTAGGAAGTAAAACAACAAGAGTATATTCCAGCTCCAGGATTTTTATGGAATACCATAAGCCTGCCCATTCAGCAAAAGGTCTGTAAGCATGCTTCACTATCAACATGCAGGCAAATAGATGGTTTTCTATCACCATCTGAAGACCTTATGTAAACAGGGGCCTATGCAACTCTTTACCATTTTGTACTGGGTTATGGTGTTTTATTGTATGGACTGTTGTAAGTAATTTTATAAATAAATGCCCAGGGTTACAATGGATTGGGCAAACCAGCTTCTGTCCTGTGCCTACAACACAGGTGCTATAAAATCAATGTTCCCTGCTGGCAGTGCAAGGGTAAAGTAGTGTGTCTTCAGTATATGAAAATACTTATAGAACAAGATGCCAGATAGCACTTTCAGCCACCCATGTGGGGATAATACTGACCCACCATAGAGGACTGTTTTAAGGATCACAGTAAGGTAAATGTATGTAAACTGCTTTGAATGAGTAAAAGCAAAATATAAAATGTACAGTGGTTATTATATACCTGGCCTGCTGTGTCTAAAATGTCCAGATTAGCAGGTTCATCATCAATCCTTATTCGCATTTTGTAAGCATCCTCTAGAGAAAGAGAAAGAAAAAGAAATACAAACAAACATTCAGTACGGTCTAGATATCAATGTCTTCATGAGCAAAGGACAACTTCAGACGTGTTCACAACAGAGACCCATAGTTACTGCTTAAGTGATTGTTACGCTCATGGTTTGCCTCAAATGTTATTGTGCTTTTTTATTTTAAAAAACAACTCTCACAAACATGAATTATTATTTTTTTGCCAGTTGATACAGGCACTGATGTGAATGACTGACAATACCTGGGAACTTCCACCTGTGGCTCACAAGTACCTCTTGAAAAAATACTTAATATATTAATAGTTACGATGAAATTCTGCTTTCAATTACACACCCACGACTTTGCAGTGTACCATTTGGGCCCATAGCCCATTTACCAGCTAGTAGGCTGCCCTTGCTGCCTTCAGAATAGGAATGCCCAGAGCTCCTCTGCGTTGGGAGAGTAAACTGCTGATGCAGAGAGCCTCCTGTACTCATGGAAGCTCCTCACGTTTCAGAGCCCTGGCCTTTGTAAAGCAGAAAGACCCAAGTTCAACTCTCAACTTCTCCACTTAAAAGATTAATCTCAGGTACCAGAGTGCTGTTGCCAAAGACCAATGGAAGTTTCATGCACCTAGCAGCATTATTTTTTGAAGGGAGCGGGGAATGGAAACCACCCTGAGACCTGCAGGTATAGGGTGGCATATAAATCAATCAATCAATCAATCAATCAAACAAACAAATAAAAGAAAAGAAAAGAAAAAAGAGAGATAACATTTCTACCAATCAAAGCTAGTATCACAGACAGGTGACTATCATTAATGTTGTCTGGGGGAAAAGGTTCAGAAATTAAAAGACACTTTTAATCTCAACACTAGAAAGGCTTCCCCATTTTGCAGGTTTGGGGTTCCTACCAGCCCCAGATTTTTTTCTTTCTTTTTCAGTCAGCACACCACTGGTGGGAAGAGGAAGCAGAAGAACACACTCACCGATGGTAGGGTCATGGTCTTCTGGGAAACGATGACTAATGAACTGCATGGTCATGGCTGAAAGGAAGGCACAAATATATTAAAATGAACAAAAGGCAGAAATGGCTATCATCACAAGATGTAGCACGTGCTACTGGGATAACTCTGCACAAAGCCTCAAGTTTCTTTCAAAAAGGACATGCCACAAATGTGACCAGACATGCCATTTTAAATATAATTTGTCATGGTTTTTTAAGGGGAGAAACATTACAACAGCTCCCAATCCATTTCCAGGCACCATTCAAAAGGCTGGCCTTGACCTTTAAAGCTCTATAAGACTTAGGAGTATGCAAATGCTGTAAGAAAAATACATTATAACAATCGTCCCATCAGGGGCCTTGGAGAGGCGCTCCCAGTTAGGAGCAAACAGTATTGCGCAAGATGCACCAATATTCTAACTGCGTAATGTACCTTCATGTTGGTTTGGGGAAAATATTTTCCTGCTTACAGAAAACACTTCAAGGTTGCTTTCAAAAAACTAACAAATACCGCTAAAATAAAGCAAGTTCTAGGATGAAAGTCTGTGAGCCAACCTTGATTCCTTTTAAATTTGTCTAACAGAGCGTAGCGTCCTTAAACAGATTTATAGATAATAGCAGTAATAACATAAAACAGAAGTAGTAGATAAAAACCAATTGAATCATTACAGCTACTTTGAGCTAATACACGCTAATATGAGCATGAGAATATTTGTCCCCTCATCTTGTGGCAGAGAGTCCCACATGAGAATCACTCCAGTCATAATAGACAAGAGGGAAGTTGCCCTTTACAGAATTGAAGTGAGGAAAACTCCACATCTGTGTGGAGGCGTGGAGGCCTCAGGGTAAGCTGCAACATCAAAAATTGCTTTGAAAGGGGATAAGACAAATTCATAAAGGCCAAAGCTGTCAATAGCTTCTAGCCAGGATGGTTATGTTCTTCCTGTTGCCACTTGAGAGGCAAAAAGCCTCTGAATCCCAGTTGCTGGGAACCACCAACAGAGAGAGTGGCTTCTGTACTTCCTGATTATGGGCTTCCTAGTGCCATCTGACTAGGCACTGTGAGAACAAGGTGCTGGACTAAATGGGCCACTGATGCTTGATCCAGCAGAAGAAAGATTCAGGAGGGGGACTTCCCAATTCATAGGTCAGTCTCTTAGGCTGCACACCTATATTCAGTTTCCTGAATATAGTTTCCTGAATATTCAGTTTCCTGAATATGAGTTTGCAACCTAAGTGAATTGAGTAAGTGAATTCAATGGAAAGTTCCACTGAACTCAATGAACTTACTTCTGAATAGACATACATACAGAAGAACTGCACTGATGAAACTATGCCAGTTCAGTTCCCTGCTTCACACTCCTTTTCGTTTTGACTGTAAGGAACCTAACACAGCTGCCCCTACATTCATTTTGGTAATCACATTATAAATAACATTTTAAAAGCTAATAAAAACATTACAGCGACCTTCCTACTAGATAATACTTTTATTGTTAATTATTTGACACATTTCAAAGCAATTTAACAAGGTAACATACCAGTTAAGAACAAAACCAGAAAAAAATACAACACTGTATAGATCCAGTAACATAATAAACCTGTTAGGGGTTTAGTCTTGTTTTAAATGTACTTGTTGTTTTAACTGTTTTATGTGTAAATCACCTTGAGAAGTGGTTTAGAAGGGCTCGTTCTTTAATTTACTTTCATTTCCCACCCTTGATGTTGTAATCCCAGGGCGCGTTACAACATTAAAACACAGTATTTAAGAACAGCTTAACAAGCTGATTACAACAACAATAAGGGTGAGCCCTACCCGCACCACCAACAAAGGAGCAAGCATCACCATCAGCGGCCGATTTCTGTGCCAACTTCTAAACTTTTCTGTGCCGCCAGGCCTATGAAGAGCACATCCTTCCACAATGGTATGCTGGTGTCCGTTTTCAGTTTATATTCTTGCTTCTAACTTTTAATGATTTTACGATTTGGTTTTATACTTTTGACATCGCTGTTATAAACCGCTGCGATAGGATTGCAGCGGTATATAAAAAGGCTTCATGAATAAATCAATACATGCCTGAGAAAGTAAATAAATAAATAAGAAAGGAAGAGGCTAGCCAATTACCAAAGACCTTAGTGAGCGAGAGAGTATTGGGCCCGGGGCCTAAGCAAGCAGCGAAGGTATCTTTCGTCCCCATATCATGAGGCAGGGAGTTCCGAAGGTGCCCCTTCCTCCTATTTCCACCCCCACCCCCCTAAAAAAACAACCCACGCCCTTCGTATCATTGCCGCGCCCCACCCCGTCCCTCAGTGGCGTACATACGTGAGTCTTTTCAAGCCTCCCCTCAACGTACCGCTTTTGCCGACGCCCCCGGCGCCCAACATCACCAGCTTGTACTCCCGGGGCTGCAACGGAGGAGGCGGCGGCGCCCCCCCGACCCCGCCAGGCGGTCCCCGCGGCCCAGTCGGGTCCATGGTACGGATAGCCGCCCGAGGACGGCTCCCCTCAGACGCCCTCTCCGGTGGACAAGAGCGGCGGCAGCAGAGGCATCCCCCGCCCTCGCCGCCGCCGCTTCCTCACCTTCCCGCCCACCTCGGAACAAAATGGCGCCGGCTCGGCTGAATTCCAACCGCCGCCTCAGAGGGAATGGGAGGGGCCGTTCGTGGCCACGCCCCCTACGCGTCGCAAGGGGAGGGGCAGCGCCCCTGTCGTCGCCTCCCTTCCTCCCGGAGTGGGAGGGGGGTGCCCAAAGAGGGTGGAACGTCATCAAAGCCTCGATTATTTCCGGCTCGCAATTGCATTCTTCTTTTGCTAATAAATCCATAAGCAAAACCCGTGCCCATAGCTAGGGAAACTGTAGGTTTTTGCTGTTGTTGTTTTTTGTAAACAGCCTCCTTTTCTTTATTTCAGACTTCCTGAACCTGTGGGTCCAGCCTTACCCCAACCTGGGGCCCTCCAGATGTTGTTGGACTCCAGTTCCCCTCATTCGTGACCGTTGGCTGATGGAGTCCAACAACATCTATTTTATCCCCCCCCCTCTATTTTTGGAAATATCGTTGGGACTCCAGCTCCCATCAGCCCCAGCAGGTACGGCCAACAGCCCAGGATTGTGGGAGCTGTAGTTCAACATTACATTAAGGCACAGGGACCCCTGACCATTAGGTCCAGTCGTGGCCGACTCTGGGGTTGCAGCGCTCATCTCGCTTTATTGGCAGAGGGAGCCGGCATTCAGCTTCCGGGTCATGTTGCCAGCATGACTAAGCCGCTTCTGGTGAACCAGAGCAGCACATGAAAATGCCGTTTACCTTCCCGCCAGAGCAGTACCTATTTATCTACGTGCACTTTGACATGCTTTCAAACTGCTAGGTTGGCAGGAGCAGGGACCGAGCAACAGGAACTCACCTCGTCACGGGGATTCAAACCGCCGACCTTCTGATCGGCAAATCCTAGGCTCTGTGGTTTAACCCACAGCACCACCCACGCCCCCAACATTACATTAGGCAAGCACAAAGGTTGAGGGAGATCACATTTGTTTGATCGTTTCTCCAGTTCAATTTATATACCCCAAAGAAACCCAGGGGATGTGTTTTGTATGATTGTTATTTTTAAAAAGTGAATCGGCTAGAACAGCCTTTCTCAACCTTGGCACCCCAGATGTTGTTAAACTACAACTCCCAACATTCCTGGCCACTGGCTCTTCTGGCTCATGGTGATGGGAGTTGTAGTTCAACATCTGGGGGGGGGGGGAGACCCAGTATTCAAGGGCACCTTTTCCCCATTCCTGCTTGAAGAGGGACAGATTCGCAGCACAACCCTAGAAAGGATGACGTACCATATTTTCCGCTCTATAAGACACACCAGACCACAAGACGCACCTAGTTTTTGGAGGAGGAAAACAAGAAAAAAAATATTCTGAATCTCAGAAGCCAGAACAGCAAGAGGGATCACTGCGCAGTGAAAGCAGCAATCCCTCTTGCTGTTCTGGCCTCTGGGATAGCTACGCAGCCTGCATTCACTCCATAAGACGCACACACATTTCCCCCTACTTTTTAGGAGGGAAAAAGTGAGTCTTATAGAGCAAAAAATACCGTACTTGTTGGAGAGCATTAGGCTAGGGCAGTGCCAGGTTTACGTGTAAGCTAAACAAGCTATAGCTTAGGGCCCCACTCTCTTGGGGGCCCCAAAAAAATTTAAAGGAAAAAAACACCTGGATGTACATTTCCAAAATATAAGATAAAAAACAAATAAAATAAAACCTACATACAGCAACAGTGTTTTGTTATTTCATGTTATAGCAAGTTTCTAGAGACTAGATTATGAGTCTTTGTAAATTGTGTTTCCAAGGGAACTTTTGTTATTGCCAAATGCCAATGTGTTTGCATTATTAAGTTTGTTATGAATAAAAAATCATTTTAAGTTAGAGCTTAATAATTATTTCACTATTAATATACTTCGTAATTGTATTTCAGTTCAACAATTACTTTATTAAAATACATATTTTGTTATGTGCAAATGACTTTAGGTACCTATTAGGTCCATAAATTACCGTATAGATTCAACACAAAAAACCGTGACAATTTGTTGTTGACAAAGCACAGCTTGACATATAAAGGGCCCCATTACCTTCAGTAGCTTAGGGCCTCATTAAACCTAAATCTAGCACTGGACTAGGGCTCGGAAGAGACCAGGGTTCAAATCCCCACTCAGCTACGAAGTTCTCTGTTCAGCCTCACCTACCTCACAGGGTTGTTGTGAGGACAACAGGTAGGTGGGTGGGGGAACCAGTTGCAGAACTTTGAGCTCCTTGGAGGAAAAATGTGATATAAACGCAATACTAAATGGAGAGGATATGTTTATGTACACAGTGAAATCCTGAATGTGTCAATTCAGAGGGAAGTCCGTCTATTGAGCTTAACTGAACTTGAGGCAACCATGCACAAGATTGCTTACAACAACAAAAATTCCCAAAGCGGTGAGCACAGCAGAAGACAATGGAAAACATCCTAATTAGACAAGAGGTCATTCCACATCCATAGATAATGAATCACGATCAGTGAGCGATGTCGATTGGATCCCGGAAGTTTCGGCTGTGCGTGACTCTATGCGCTGGATAGAGCTCTGGCCGGGAGAGCTGTGCGAACTTAGTACTCGGCGTTCCTTCTGCGCAGGCGCAGCAGCTGCTGAAAGTCAGCTGGCCGCTCAAGACACAGCATTGCAAAAGGGAGGATTTTTGTCTCTGCGGATTTGCATTCTTCGGTTGTCCGCATGCCTGTATTACCAACGCGTCCTTCCTGATGCATACGCAAGATATGCAAAACCTCCCTGAGGAACAAAAGCTAAGCTAGCCTTTAGGGCTTGCTTCCGGGTAGATATTTATAAAGTTGCTCTGCGTGTCCTGTGTCTGCAAACCTCTCATATTTACTTGGATTTACGGACAGGATGCTGTTGTCGCAGCGGCAAAAAAAAAACCACGACAAAGTTCTAGACAGAGACACTAGATTGAAGCCATTTGACAGTACTTCCATTTGGTGTCATGTTCCCCCTGCCTGGCCTAGGAAAAAGCAATGAGACTATAACTGTGTTTTATGCCCCCAGTGCAATCAACTACTATTTGAATGAGCCAAGGAAGTGTTCATAAAGGCAAGATATAAAGCAATACACAATTATCACTGATGGGAAGTTGTACAGGGTGGTGGAACAAACCCTTCCCCCGCCCCCCAAGATGATGTTTCATGGAGTCCTTCGCTCAAGGAGAAAGGTTATCCTTTTTGCACTATAAGGTAAAGGGACCCCTGACCTTTAGGTCCAGTCGTGGCCGACTCTGGGGTTGCGGCGCTCATCTCGCTTTATTGGCCGAGGGAGCCGGCGTACAGCTTCCGGGTCATGTAGCCAGCATGACTAAGCCGCTTCTGGCGAACCAGAGCAGCGCACGGAAACACCGTTTACCTTCGCGCTGGAGCGGTACCTATTTATCTACTTGCACTTTGATGTGCTTTTGAACTGCTAGGTTGGCAGGAGCAGGGACCGAGAAACGGGAGCTCACCCCATCATGGGGATTCGAACCGCCGACCTTCTGATCAGCAAGTCCTAGGCTCTGTGGTTTAACCCACAGCGCCACCCGCGTCTTTTTGCACTATAGCGGTGCCTTTTCAAGATCATTTTAACAGGTTTTGCTGAATTTAAATGTTTTTCACCTCCACACTCCCAACTTCACCCTTTCAATGCCTGCTTAATAGGTGACACAAGGACCCTAACCCATATTTAGGGTTTGTAACTTGAAAACCACGCAGGGGCAGGTAAAGGCTTAAGAGATATTCCAGAAAAGGGGGTGGGGGTGGAGGTGGAGAAACCTGCAGACCTCTAGATGTCCCTGGACTCCAACTCTAATCAGCCTCAGCCAACCCAGGCAGTGGGTCAAGGATGATGGGCAGTTGGGACAGCTAGATCCCCATCTGTGATTGAAGGTCTTCATAGCAGGGACTTCTGCATTTTCTGCCAAATCACCTCTCTTCAATCATTTGAAAGGAGGTTTGCATAAAAAGCATTAGACCAATTGCCAGCAGGTCAGTCTATTATGAGGGCCAAAGCTGAAAAGCGTTACAAAACAATGCACGAAAGAGCCCAGGTGGATCAGGCCAATGGCCCGTCTAGACCAGGGGTAGGCAACCTAAGGCCCGTGGGCCAGATGCGGCCCAATTGCCTTCTAAATCCGTCCCACGGACGGTCTGGGAATCAGCGTGTTTTTACATGAGTAGAATGTGTGCTTTTATTTAAAATGCATCTCTGGGTTATTTGTGGGGTATAGGAATTCGTTCATCCCCCCCAAAAAAATATAATCCGGCCCACCACATGGTCTGAGGGACGGTAGATTGGCCCACGGCTGAAACAAGGTTGCTGACCCCTGATCTAGACCAACATCCTGTGCTCTCAAGTGGCCAATAAGATGCCTAAATGTGAAGCCCCCAAGCAGGGCTATCCCTACCTGCGATTCCCATCACCTGGTATTAAGAGACATACTGCCTCCAACAGCGGAGGAGCCTGGTCAGTAGCCACTGAAGGCTTTATGCTCCATGAAAAAGAAATGGTCCTTTCTTAAGCCACAAATAACTTTTCAGGGCTGATAGTGTGGGCTGGCTTTTTGCTCACATACACCCAAGGCTGACTTTCCAAACAAAAACAAGAATCTGGAGAAGCAAGTAGAATTATTTGTACATTTATAATGAAATTATGGTTTGAATTTATTTACAACATATAGAAAAACAAAATCAGAGAATAGTGTGGTTGTTGGTTTGTTTTTTTAAAGTGAAAGCAAGCTCCACCAGATCATTTTCTGTGGGGCGGGGAAACACCTCCAACACTTATTCCAATACTTCAAACTTTTACTTGCCCTTTGAACACAAGACAGCAAAATTTCAGGTCCAGTGGTGCCCCCTCCGTCTCTGCCCTTGACTGCAAGTGTTTTGGTTGATAGCAGCCTAACAGGCCCAGGAAAGAGCCCGCTACAGTTTTGAGTCGCTATAAAACAATCCCACAAGTTTTGTGTTTTCCTCTTCGGCCGTGGCTGCATGTCACCAGCACCCAAAGATGTCCCAAGCTCAATGCATCTCTTATCAGCAAGATAGCCACAAAGCAAAGAAGTCTGGTTGGAGGTGGTTTTTCGGAACGGAACGAGATTGCAACGATGCCATTGCTGCAGAAGTAACGACACGCTGGCCGGTCGAAGATCCAAGCACAACGGGGTGAAGAAAAATTACCTCAGGAGGACTGGTTCGAGATTTTAACACCTACTACTAAAACCACCCCCACCCCACAGCAAGGGGAGAAAAAGTAATACATTGTCTTCCCTGACAAATGTGACTTGGCCAAATGAAATTAGAGAGACAAAGAAGAAAACAAACCACCCGCTTGCCAAAATAATTCTGAAGTTGTTTTGGAAAACTGCATTACGGATTTTTTTTTAAAAAAGAGACCAACAGAAAGAGATTTTAAAGAAGGTGATTTTCAGGAAACAGGTTTTTCAGGCAAAGGTTTCCCCCACCCACCCCAATCCTATTTAGAAGACCAAGCATTACACACACACACACACAAAAGTAAAATCCAGTTATAAAACAGAAATACAAGCAGAACAGCAGCAGGCTTAAGTTATTGAACTTCGCTGGTTGGCTGGCTTCTTTTCCAAAGCCAAGAACAGGTGCATGATAAGCTGGGGGGGGGAGCATTAAAAGAGAGAAAGGGAGAGATAATGGAGACATTCCCTGCGAGTGTAATGCTGACACTGTTTATCTGCAGTTGTATTCCGTTAAGCCTGCAGCTTTCAAATTGCCTTTGATGGAGGAGTCCACTGCTGATATAATAGCAAGTTCTTTTTGTCTGTTTGTTTTTTAAAGAAATAAAACGAAAACACAAAAACAGAGCCCCTGGCACAGAAAGGGCCATACTGCATCTCAGAAGCTTGTGCAAAGAGGTCAGGGCCGATGTACATTTTGCAGAGATTCTTTGATAATATACACGTGTTATTGCTTGAGAGAGACAACAGGTGGAAGGTGGCGGAGGAAACTGCAGCTGCAGCAGCTAAGGTGCCATCCAGAATGGCATCTGTTGCTTTGCCCGTTGCTGCGACGAGGGGTACTGGTATCCTAAGCTCCATGTCTGCGAGTAGCTACTTGCGGTTTTGTGAACCCCGTGGTCTTCTTCTTCATCCGAGGAGTCACCAGCATAAGCCACCAGGCCGAATCCCTTTTCTCCGGTTTTCATCTTCTTAGCTGGGTGATCTAATGATGATGAACAGAGAGAGAGAGAAAAAAAAGAGAGAGACATCCCGCCCCAGGAAAAAATAAAAGAGAAAGGTAAAAAATATCCCCCAAAAACATGTTAATTCAAATGAGAGGCATTAATGTATTTTTTTTTTCCAAAAAAAAAGTTAGTCGGACACCATTTTGAGGTCACAGAGCCAACAACGGTCACCCCGAGTGGGAGGTCAGGCGATACAGGACCGGCAAACAGCACATGTGTGATCCGTCAGAGCCATGTAAGAGAACACAGAAGAGAGAGAGAGAAAAAAAGAAAAACACAAAAAGACAAAGAAAAATCAAGTTAGCAAAAATGAGGCAACAGGGTTTGCAAGTTCACCGTTAAAGAACAACATGTTAAAAAAAAAAACAGGAGCTGGTTGAAAGTGTCCAACTATCTTTTTTAAAAAGGGAAACTTTTAAGAAAGGGGGGGGGAAGAGAAGTGTTATGTTATGTCTCCCGGTTAGAAGTGTCCAATTCAAGCTGGATGTCCCACCAGCAGAAAAGCCACGCTGAGCACCTAAGCACAGGAGCGGAAATCAACTGACTATATGTCAATTTCACTTGGCATCACAGGAAAAGCTAAGATTCCCTGCTTGAAATGCAGAATTTTGCTTTTCTGGGTATTGAGGAAGGAGTATGATGTATTGCTTGGTGGAGGAGGATGTAAGGAAGAGAGAGAAAAAGAGGGAAAGCAGCAGTAACTGGGAAGGAGGGCTAGGATGCTGGGTACACAAATCAGACCAAAGCAACAGCCCTGAGCCCTGAGGAGGAGACACTGTTCTTTTCCCTGCGGTGTCTGAGCAAAGAAAAGCATTAGCTCCAAGAACAGCAGATCCAAGTGCAGAAGGGAAAAAGTTCTATTGTTCTGCCCACTCTCCTGATCAGAACTGGAAATGGATGGCTTGCATCATCTGTCACCAGTCTGGTGCCTCCAGATGTAAAACTCATATCTGGCTGGCTGGGGCTGATGGGAGCTTTCATCCAAAACATTTGGAGGGAACTAGGTTGGTGAGGGATGACTTACAGCTTCCTCATCCTTCTTAGGAACATAGAAACTAGGCAAGGGACATCACCCAGCCCTACCTGGAGATGCCTTTTTGGACTGAACCTGGGACCTTCTGCATGCAAAGCTCTACCACTGAACCGCAGCCCCTCCCCTAAAAATAAAGTAAGGTTCCAGTCCTCCTGGCTCAAAACAAAGGGCTGATTTAAAGAAGAACAGAGGAAGCTCCCTTGAGTCAGAACAATGGTCCATTTGGCTCAGTATCATCAACCTAGGCAGAGCCTCTTCCAGGATTTCAGACAGGGAGTCTTTTTCCTAGTCTAACCTGGAGATTGAATTAGAGGCCTTTGTGTGTGCAAAGCAGGGGTCTCCTCTTCTGTCCGCTCTCACCCCTTTTCTGCCCTCCTGCCCAGGCACCTTTGCGGATTACACAAGCCCGGGTGCCATGTTTTAAATGCTTGCTCTTTCGTATGTGGCGCTGTTCATACCAAGGGCCTCCACATGGCATCCATGGGAGAGAGATTGGTGGTATTCGGAAGCTTCTCCCTGCAGAGCTGTGCATTGTGGGAACAGGAAGGACATTCACACTCAGAGCTCCTGGGAACTCCGGGTCTTTAAGGGTGTGTGCATTTTCAGAGACAAATTGTACCCTTAGCTTTACCACTCTGTAATTTTACTCTTTGGAGTTCGTGTAAGAATAAAGGCTTGATTTACTCTTAGTTTTAGTTTTCCTAGCTACTAACAGAACTCAGAAGACAGGGAACTGAAAGTAAGTTGTGTACATAAGAGTTTAGCACCTGGAGGTGACACTGGGAAGAACAGCCTAAAGTTAGCTAGGCCGGCTGATGGAATGCAAGTACAAGTCACGGCTCCCGGCCGCCCACGCTCACCATTGCTGCCCACTAAGGACCCGTTCCGGTCGTCAGGCTCCACCTTCATCCCGGTCACTGGTAAAGCCGGTGGAGGCATCAGCTGCCTGTTCGGAAACAAAGAGCATTTCAAGCTTATTCAACCCATTAAAAATCCTGGTTTTAAAGCCGTAAATATTTATATTAGGCAGGTGCCTTCCTTATATTATTTTTGGCCCCTGCTGAAAACTGTTTTGCATGGGCAAACTTAGCCACATATGGAATTTCTATTTTATACCCAGCAGTATCGCACCTGGCCCTGCAAGGGGATTCTAAGTGCAGATTCTCAGGGCAGTTCTTAAATCAGTGGTTAGTATCAGTGTAGTTTTGAAAGGTTCAGCCCGCCATCTTCCTTCCAAATGGTGTCCAGCTGTATACAAACGTTGACAGAAACCTGCTCCTCCATCATCATGAAAATTTGTCCACGGCATCTCAAGAGGTGTCCAAATGCATATTTCCAAAATTAAAGTGTATTAAGACTGCAGATTAAATTTATATTTTGGAATTCTGTGGGTCAATTTGTTTTTAATACTATTTTATCAGTACAGTCGTACCTTGGTTCTCAAATTTAATCCGTTCTGGGAGTCCCGAAACAGTTCAAAAAGCAAGGCGCAGCTTCCGATTGGCTGCAGGAGCTTCCTGCACGCAGTCAGAAGCCACGTAAGCCGCGTTGGACATTCGGCTTCCAAAAAATGTTCGCAAACTGGAACACTCACTTCCGGGTTTGTGACATTCAGGAGCCAATTTGTTCGACAACTAAGGCGTTTGACTACCAAGGTACCACTGTATTCTTAATGTGTATTGGTTTGCAAACCGCTAAGAGGTTTTGAGGATTAAGCAATATATAAATCCTGTGGAATAAATAAATGGTTTAAGAACATAAGAAGAGCCTGGCAGCTGGATCAGGCCAGAGGCCCATCTAGTCCAGCATCCTGTTCTCACAGCAGCCAACCTGAAGGCTCTGGGAAGCCTGTATGTAGGTCCTGAGCGCAAGAAGAACTCTTCCCAATTGGGATTCACTGGCTTGGGACCAGGTTGCTTAAAAGACCATCTTCTCCCATGGTTAGGCTCAGAGGAGCCTGCTGAAATGAAGGACCGTGACTAACCCGGGTCCATTCATTTCAATGGGTCTACTCTTAGCTGGATAAAACCTGTAGGAACCTGCCTTATAACAAGTTGGCCCATTGATCCCATTTAGCTTAGTACTGTCATGTGCAATATGTCCTGTTTTTAAATTTTGTAGTAAGCTGCAGTTGAAGGGTGGGTAATAAATTTAACTACATGGTCTACAACTATATATATATTTGTCTTTTCACAATACCCCAAAACTCAGCAACCTCACTTCCCCTAATGATAGGGGCTGAAGAGCACTTCCACACTGAAACACATTTCATTGCAGTTCCCACTCAAAACTGTACCAGAGCAAAGCCGGGCGCCACAGCCACAACCTACCTGTCCCTCTCTCTCTCCTTTCCTGAGGAACTTGCTGGCTTCGAACCCGTTCCATCCATCTCGGTCTGACTGGAGAAGCCTGTACCTAAATTAGTCATATGAATGGGTCCATGCTATGAGCAGAAAAACACAGCGGCATTAGCAAATCTAAAACTATGACACAAGCTATCAGCTCCTTAATGAAAACTTGCAGCAGGCCCAGTCTCTTTGCTCTCTACACACCATTACAGGCCATGCTTCCATTCTTTTTCTGGGCCTCTTAAAACACTGTGCATTTTGCACATGGTAAACTGGAAAGCTTGCTGCACAACAATGCCCAAACCACCTGGGAGCATGAGCATAGCGTATCATGGCTTAAGATACTCTGTGCAATCCTTTCAAGAGCCCTTGAAAGGTAGGCCAGGCTTCGTTGTTTCCATATTGCAGATGGGAAGGCTGAGGCTGAGCAAATCGCTAAGGAGGCCGGTGTCATTCAAAGCCAAGGTGAGGTTTGAACGGGGGGATTTCTCAACACACAGCTCAGGTTCTGTGCCACTCCAGGATTTGAACTCAGGTGTGTGGAATATTTACTTCTCTTCCAAAGGAAAAGGTAACAGGGATCAGTTTTTTGTTTTAAAGGGCTGTTAAGACTCAACAGCTTTTTCAGACCAGCCTCATAACTGAGACTGTAGCAGCCTGTGCCACCTGCGGCAAGTAAGAACAGCTGCCAGGGAGGTTGAGAAAACAGAGCTGGTTCCCTTTTCTTCTTCTCCTTTCGAGCTGTCCAAATGTCACAAATGACTCACCTAAGTATGGAACGAGGAAGTTGCCTTACACCAGGTCAGAACAGAGGAAGGTGCCTGCTAAAACCAACAGGCCCTTCCGTTCCAACTCTTGAAATGAAATATAGCATCATCACCTGTATCTGTTTCTGTTAACTAACCATTCACTTTAGTTTAAATCAAGATCTTCTATGAACATTCTTCTTTGTCAGTATTTTTGCTCACTGTAAACTCAGCACTAATTTTCAGTGGCTCTTTATATCTTAGCCACTGCCTTTTATTATGAGAACAAAGGAAGGTTCCTTAGACCAGGCCAAACCATCTAGCCAGCACGGCCCGCTCTGACTGGCAGATTTCCATGATCTCAGACAGAGAAAGTTCTTCTCCCAATGTGACTTTTAAACTGGAGATGCCACAGAGTGGCTGGGGCAACCCAGTCAGATGGGCGGCGTATAAATAATAAAATTTATATTTTTATTATTATTAACCTGGAACCTTCTCAGTTCAAACGAATGCGCCTTTTTATTTCAATTATGGCCCATCCCACATGTGGGCAGGCAGGCTAGTCACTTGTGTTGACTTACTTACAAGCCTAGTTTAGAGATGGAACACAAACAAAGAGGAAATAGTGGCATCTATTATAAAGTTTGAAATTGGAAGGAAAAAACACTCCATCCTCGATCACCACCACAAAGCCTCAAAACCCAGTGGAGAGTAAGGTGCAAACTGGGACAGCTAGTGGGGTCCCTCAATGGTGCAGGTAGCAAGGCAAAATATATTTCGAAGGTCACTGGGATAGGGGACAATGTAAACAACAGGGGGTCAAACTGCTAAGGAATTCATGTGGTACGGCTTCCGAGCTTCCTGGTCAGAGCTCAGACAGATACGAGATCAGGAAAGGGCTGTGATGAATACTCTCTCTGCTTTTACTGCAGGGTGGAGAACCTGTGGCATTCTAGATAGTGCTGGACTTCAACTCTCATCAGCCCTGATTACTAGGCCGTGGCTTCTGGGAGTTGAGTCCAACAACATCAGGAATCTATATCTTCTCTCACCACCGCTTTAAAGTGTCACAAGGTTCCTTTTTGTAACAACCATGAGAAATCAGGGTCCTACCTCTTGGCTGGCAAACCACCTCTCCCAGCAATTGCTTGGGACTCCTGGAAAAGGGTCCACGTGATGTTGGGACTACAGCTCCCATCAGCCTCAGCCAGCATGGCCAACGGCCATTGACGATGGGAGCTGTAGTCCAGCAACATTTGCTGGGCACCTCGCTTGAGAACGCAAAGCCTGCCTAGGGATAACTGCCTATCCCAAAGAACGCAGCACCTTCTTTGGCCAAGGTGATGGGGAACTTAAGATGACCCTGATGAATCATGTCAGTGGCCCATATAGTTCAGCACCCCGTTCTCAGACGCTGCAGTCGGGAATGCGCAAGCAGGAGCCGAGAAAAAGAGCATCTCTCCCATCCTGCGGCTTCCAGTAACTGGCAGCATGTTGGCCCTGACCCTCCAGGGCCCACCTGATGGCAGGGCAGTTGAGGAACACTAGCTTCTACCGTATCTGACCCATAGAAGCTTGAGGAAAAAACCCAGCTCTGTGACCAAAGGAAAGAAGGGCAGGGGAGGCAGTAAAATGGCAGGGAGTCACTCCACCTGGTATCCCAGCAGCCCAGATTCCCGCTCATCCGGCAGCTCTTCGGTGAAACGCCTTTTCTGGCCCGGCTGGGGTTGCGGCTGACCTGGCGGCTGCGTGGTGGCCGGCAAGGTCGTCTTCACGGGGGCAGCCGGGAGGAAAGGGGCGCTCAGGGGCGTCTACAAACCACGCAGGCAAAAGAAGAGAGGGGTTATTTCTGTTATTTCGATACTGATCACATTTGTAGCCCACCTTTGCTGCCCTTTGCGGACAAACACCAAAGCGGTTAAAAAATACAAGTAACAACAAAACGAAAATGTATCTTAGAAACACGCACACAATCTCATTGCATTTAGAAATCGCTTCCTGTGAAACGCGGGAGCAATCTGAGACAATAAAATCGCCCGTTAGAAAAGCAATTTCTTAAGCACCAACAACTGAAACAGTAACATGTATTTATTGTACTTATATTGTCTGTGTTTTGTTCTTTCTATATCCAGTAAACTCCAAACCAACAAACGAAAAGGTAAAACAACGCAATATATGAAAAGAATGTCAAATCCAATTGTGATGGGCACCTTTAGCTACTGTTTACAGGGGGTCACAATTCAGCCCAGATTCAGAGCCCCCTTCCCACAACCAACCACTAACTAAATCTGCTTCCATGGGGCTACATTTGTGGCTGTGAAAGGCAAGTCGAGGCCTCAGCTCTGCACTGCTCTATTTGGTCAGATCTGCCCTTGCTAAGGCTCCCAAGCCAGGCTCTCTTTTTAGCTACATGCGTCCTTCTCTCTCTCCACCAATCAGTGCTCAAATTAGAAGGGCAGGGATTTTTGTGCTGGGCCCCTAGCTCATGTTTTTAGAGACCAATGAGAACGTCTGGATTCCTTACGAGCCTCCTCATTACCTTTCCCCTGTAATTGGAGCAATGGAAGGCTCACACCCCGCACAACCGAATGCTCTCCCTGATGCTGTGTGCACTTCTCACATAAACAAGAACCCAGATTTACTGGCTCACCATGGCTTACCACGAACAGGCAGCTTGCACTACCCCCACCCACGGCAGGCGAGCCCCCCACCCCAGAATGGAGTAATGCATCACGCCTGCAACACATCACAGAATCACAGATTTGGAAGGGACCACAAGGGTCATCCAGTCCAACCCTCTGCAATGCAGCGACTTTCTGCCCAATGTGGAGCTCAAACCTATGAACCTGAGATTAAGAGTCTCAGCATGACCTTGATTTTTAAAAAGAGAGAAAAAGATGTGAAATCTGATAACCTCTCATTCAGACTCCAAGAGATATACTCCACATGTTAATGTTATCAAATCTCCCCTCCCCTGCTAAAATACAAGAGCCCCCCCCCCCACTAAGCTGTGTTAGGATTCTGCCAGCTCCTGAAGGCACACCTGCATTCCTTTGATCTCCGGGTTTGAATGTCCTGCTTTAATTGCCATTTTAATCACTGTGCTGCTTTAACAGGCTCATTTCATTGTGCATTTTAATTGCCAATGTTTATTTTCACATTCTGATGAAGTTGTTTTACTGTATGTTTCATTTATGTGTGGTTTCGGTTAAAAACCTTTTTTTATTACCGCTTGTAAACTGCTTAGAAGCCACCTCCTAAAAGATGAGAGGGTGGCAATCTCACCCATAAAGCAGACTACAATTAAAACTTTTTTTTAAAAAAAAAGGTTTAAAAACTTCTGAAAAACAATTTAAAGCGTCTATGAAACAGTCTAAAAAATAACAACAGCCACCCCTTCAGCAGTGTTCTTCAACCTTGCGTCTCCAGATGTTGCTGGACTACAAATCCCATCATCCCCAGCCGGCTTCACCAACAGTCAGAGATGATGGGAGTAGCAGTCCAACAATCTCTGGGGATTCAAGGACACTGCCCTAGACACTACTGGGTGCCCCCTCACCAGACTTACGGCAACATTCCCTGCCTTACCTGGCCAGTGCTAGCGGGAGACTGCACTTGCGTAATCGGGTACTGGGTGGGCACAGGTGGGACTCCAGTGGGTAGTGCTAACACTCCTGGCGCCAACGGAACCGCAGGAGGCACAATGCCTGGCACCCCATAAGGAGGCTGTACCGGCTGCTGAGGGGGCGGAACCACAGGGTAGCCTGCCTGAAAGCCGCTGGGGGGGTAATACGGTGGCTGAGGAGGGACAGTCGTTAAAGCTGCGGGCTGTGCAAACCCTATGGGGGTGGGGAGAGGAAGAAAGTAATAATTATTATTTATTTTATACATGAATTACTTCCTATTGAAGCATGTCAAGGCAATCTCACAAAACAGTAAAAATACAGAAAACCACTGCATATATATAAAGAGTTGAAATTCTTACATAAACACACATAAAAAGTTTCAAACCCAATACAGTGTGTGACCTGGGGCAGAAATAAAAATATCTCTTAGACGGCCTGCTGAAAAAGGAAAGCCTTCAATGGATGCCGAAAAGTGATGGTGACTGTCTGATACGAAATAGGAAGGTGTTCCAAATTAACATCTGCCCAGACACTGAGGTCCTGCGCTGAGGTCCTTCTGGTGGTTCGCTCGCTGTGAGAAGCCAAGTTACAGGGAACCAGGCAGAGGGCCTTCTCGGTGGTGGCACCCACCCTGTGGAACGCCCTCCCACCAGATGTCAAAGAGAAAAACAACTACCAAACTTTTAGAAGACATCTGAAGGCAGCCCTGTTTAGGGAAGCTTTTAATGTTTAATAGGTTATTGTATTTTAGTGTTCTGTTGGAAGCCGCCCAGAGTGGCTGGGGAAAACCAGCCAGATGGGCGGCGTATAAATAATAAATTACATTAAATTTAAAATTAGCATGCTGGTGGGCATGTGGGCGGGGACAGAAAGAAAAGCAGGTGGAGCAATGAATCCAAATTTTACACAGTAAACTGTTCAAACTGTCTTTAAAATTGTATTTTAATTGTTGTAACCTGCTCCGAGACCTTAAGAGTGAAGGGAGGGTTGTTAAACAACAACAGGCTAGTTTCTACACGCAGACACACAGAGCCCTCTCGCTCCTCCATTCGGACAAACAAGAGGCATTACCAGACTTCAAGGACACATTCCAGCCAGGCAAAAGCACTCAAGGGGTTTATGAAGCAAGGCCCGTGCAGAGGTGTGGTCTGGGCAGAGGGTGTGTGGCTTGGGTAACACAAGAAAAACAGATGTGGCGCTCCAGGCCTAGCTATCTCCAGGTCTATAATCCCCCGCCCCAGCCAGAGGTTCCCCACCCTGTCCTTGCAAGCACAACAGGGAGCAACCAGGTGGCAACAGAGAACTGCATCACCCACCATTGTGATGCAGGCGCCCCCCGCAGGGAATGGAAAGGCTGAGAGCCATTTCTCCACCTGTGGGTTTCATAATGGCAAATTTAACCCCAAAGTCTCTGGTTTCCATCTTTCATCCTCACTCCACCACCGAACTAAGTGTTGCACGCTGTCAATACATACCTGTTATGGGGACTGCCGTGGTTATCTGGTTCACAAATCGCGAGTATTCAGCATGAACCTTGGAAGAGATAAAGCGGGATCAGATTGCTTCGGTTTCAATCAAGGACACTTATGCAAACCGACTGCTCTAGTGGGAGACCGTATAGCCCTGGTTAGGTGAGCCTAGTTGTATGCAAACTGTTAAGCTCCTCCTGTCTAGATTGGTTCTACTGCCCAATGCTACAAGTGGGAGTCAGTCTGGGGGCAGGGAAGGGGCTTCTTCAGTATCGGGCATGGGGAACCTGTGGTTCTCCAGATGCTGCTGTAGTACTACAACTCCCAACAACCCCTAGCAAGCAGGGCCAATGGGAAGGGGATGATGGGAGAAGCAGTCCAAAATGTTTGGAGGGCACCAGGTTGGGGGAGACTGCATTAAAACAACAGCACAATCACAAATAGTCAGTTTCAACCATCAGCTCTGATTCCCAAGTATGAGACGTTTTACTAAGCTAAGCAACTGCACCACAACGACAGCTGGGACAGCTCAGTTGATCGTGAGACACTTAATCTTAGGGTCGTGGGTTTGAGCCCCAAGTTGCAGAGAGCTGGACCAGGTTGGCTTTCGTGGTCCCTTCCAACTCTAAATTCTATGATTCTATGACAGCTGGACAGCTGGGAGGGTTTCAAATTAGCAAAAAATGGAAGACATGCTGCTTTGTTCCCAACAATAATCCTTTTCACTAGGAGGGTCAACACGTTGCTGGGACATCAGGGGCTGCCACAACCAAGCTGTATATAAAGTGCAGAAAGAGATGGGCACTTCACGTGACTTTGGCGAGAGAGTGCAACGCTAAAAAGAAGGGCCTACTTACTGTTTGTAACAGGTTCTCACAAAGCTTTTTGGCAGCTGCAAGGCCTTCTGGTTTTGGATGGCTGGAGGAGAGGAAATACAAAACACAGACACACACGTTCCTGTCAGACTCCAGACATCCGCGAAGATGGGCAAAAGGTTCCTACATAGCAGGGGGTGGGACTAGATCAGGGTTTCCCAAACTTGGGTCTCCAGCTGTTTTTGGACTACGTCTTCCATCATCCCTAGCTACCAGGATCAGTGGTCAGGGATGATGGGAACTGTAGTTCAAAAAACAGCTGGAGATCAAGTTTGGGACACTGGACTAGATGTCCCCCGGGGCTCACTTCCAACCCTGCTATTCCAATGTTAGGAGTCAGAAGTCCTTGCTCACCTGCTTCAGATCACCCAGGGATCCGCTAGTAAATCCCAACCTGCTTGCTACCCATCCCACATTCAGCTGATCAGAAAGGCTTCGTAATTAAACTAAGCCAGCTTACCAAACTTGACATCCCACCTTTACACTTGGGATGGCACTCAAAAAGCCAATTCCTTCCCGGTGACAAAGCCCAACAGGCTCCCAGCTCCCTACCTGATGTAAATGTACATCGGCTCAAAGGCTTCTCGGCCAGAGGCGGGTTCGATGCACCCAGAGCCCTTCCCCCGGAGGAACACCTTGGCGCCGGTCTCAATCTGGATATGTTGCAAGTAGGAGCAGCCTGGGCCTTCGACTTTCTCCTTTACGTTGAAGGTAGGTACAGCGTGTTCCAAGCCAACAAACAATTTGTCCTGGACATAGTGCATCTGTACACACAGAGAGAGACACACACCCTTAGGTGTTGCATTTGACACTAGAATCAGGAAAGGGTGGGAATGGGTTAGAGGTCCCCTCTTCCCAGATGACCTGCTATGGCTGCAATCCCGCATCCTAGTTCTTGTTTCAGTGGAAGGCCATAGCTCAGTAGCAGAACATTTGCTTTGCATGCAGGTGGTCCCGGGTTCAATCCCTGCCATCTCCGCATAGGGCTGGGAGAGAGAACCTTTTCTGACACCCTAGAGAGCCATTCCCAATCAGGGTAAACAACACAGAGATAGATGGACGAGTGGTCTAACTCAGTATAAGGTGTGTATAGACAGGGTTAGCCAGTGTGGTGCCGTCAAAATGTTGCTGGACTACAACTCCCATCATCCTTGACCATCCTGAGGCCGATGGGAACTGTAGTCCAACATCACCTGGCAGGCACCACACTGGCTACATGTTTGTCCGATGGCACAGTGAGGTCGCCACTCTTTCTGCAAGCTGAACCCCTCTCTCCATCGTGTTTCTCTAAGAGGATGGTATCGACAGAGCCCAGCTGTACAGGCTCTGCCTTCTTAATCCTCTAGGTAAGGGAATCAAACTAAGCAGACATGGACAGTTCAACAGGCAAACAGGTGTAAAGCAAAATGTAAGGCAGTGTTCAAAACTCCCATTGTTCTAGGTATGTTTTGTGACAGAGAATTTCATTAACGTGAGCAGTTTCTGAGCTCTGGGTGCAGTACTGAGCCTAAGATTTCAGATTAAAACTGCACAGTGGAAGGAAAGGAGGACCTTTTTTCTGCCTCCAGCTAGTCTCTGAAGACTGGAGAAGAGACCCTCTTAGCGGGGCAAGCAGGGGAAGCATGTCTTATTGTTTTTATTACAGTTTTTTGCAGTCTTCGTATGAGGAATAGACCGTGTGAAAAATGAACATAAGATTTTAAGTGCAGTTCATTCATTTTCAGCTTTGTATTCTTGTTATTAAAAAAAGAATGCCTAGACATTCCATTGTTGCACCCATAGCCTAGGTTTAAGGTGCCATTTAGCTCCTAGCTTCCATATCTCAGTTTCTAACACTGATGCAAGGGTAAAGACACAAGGACTTGGCCAATACGTACTCCTCCTGACTGGAAGGAGGGCTTCTGGCCAACAGCCGGAGGCAGCTGAGTGATGGGGGCAGGTTGGTGGTAGACGGTAACTGTAGCTCCGTTGAAAGTTGGGCTGGATCCAGTGGCAGCTTTCACGACGCCGTTTGTAATGATTTCCTTGATTCGGTTTACTGCTCCTGTAAGGCAAAAAGAAATAAACAACTTTAGCCCTATGAAAAGAAGGGACATTGTGGTTACCACAGAAGAAGAAAAAAACATTTAGGGTACATTTCACAATCATTATTCATTAAGGATATAGAACTGTTATCTGTGTTGGATTTGAATTGTTTTCATGTAGGTGCTGTTGCTGCTTTATAAGATTGTGTGAAGGACACTGCATGAAGCCCTGGAGAGCTGCTGCCAGACAGTGTAGACGGTACTGAGCTACATTGACCCAGTGGGCCTGACCCAGCATAAGACAACTCCTTATTTTCCCAAGGACAGGCTCTTTCAGAGGAAGGTCTGCGGCCTGGTGGTAGAGCATCTATCTTGCAAGCAGAAGGTCCAAGGTCCAATCCACCAGCATCTCCAGGCAGGGCTGGGAGAGACTCCCTGTCTGAAAGCTTGGAGAGCTGCTGCCAGTCAGGGTAGACAATATTGAGCTGCATGGGCTAGTGGTCTGACCGAAGCATAAGGCAGCTGTCTATACTCCAATCATGCAGTTACAGAGCTGGGAAAGGCCTTGGTGGTCATGTAGTACAACCCCTTGCTTAATGAAAGGTTTATAATGTTGGAAGCAACCACAGCAACCCCAACAGATGGCTGCCGAGCGAAAAAATTAAGCAACAACACAACTTCATATTTAATAACAACTCTGTGCTTGTTAGGCCAACTGTGACTAAGTCAAGTGAACTACCGTATTTTTCACTCTATAAGACGCACTTTTCCCCTCCTAAAAAGTAAGGGGAAATGTCTGTGCGTCTTATGGAGCGAATGCAGGCTGTGCAGCTATAGCTGAAGCCAGGAGAGCAAGAGGGATCGGTGCACACTGATCCCTCTTGCCTCTCCTGGCTTCAGGGATAGCCACGCAAAGCCTCTTGAGCACAGCCGGAACGCTCCTCCTGCCCTGAAGAGGCTTGGCACGCTATCCCAGAAGCCAGAACAGCAAGAGGGATCGCTGTATTCGCTGCGCAGCGCCCCTTCAGCAAAGTGGGAGACGAAACGGAGCCCCTTCCATTTCTCCTCCCGCTTTGCTGGAGAGGCGCTGCACAGAGAGGGAGAGATTTTTTTTTTCTTGTTCTCCTCCTCTAAAACTAGGTGCGTCTTATGGTTGGGTGTGTCTTATAGAGCGAAAAATACGGTAACTAACCTCGGCTGTGTACACGCTACACCGTAAAAGCACATTTTAAACACATCCTTAAAGAGTTGCATTGTGGTTTATCCCTCAGTTGCAATTCACAGCTACCCTGAAGAAGCTACAGTGCCAGAATTCTTTTGACGGAAATAATGTGCTTTATAGATACAGCACAGACACAGCCATTCTCTACCCAGGGTGTTGAATCAGAGCTTACTTACTATCCACCAGTTCTCGCGTTTGCCCCTGGACGTGCAAGTACAATGGACGATCTCTGCAAAACACAAGTTGTAATATTTTTTATATATTTTAAACTGAAACAAAGGCCTCCACTGGAGGCAGTCAATGTTACTGGGACTCTGGGAATAAACTGTAGTCAGCCTCATAGGGGATAAAATGCTGCACTTGGGGGCACTCTCTGTCCTTGACATTGGGCAGTGTGTGTGTTTGCTCCCATTAAAAGGGATTTGCAGGAAGGTAGCTGTTTGGTGGTGGTGGGGGGAGTCCTCCTGGTTTTGCAAACTGAAGTATAGTAATGGTGGAAGAACAGAGGATTGCTTGTTGCTTCCTTCACCCAGTAACCTTTGACTTGTGCAGTTTTAACTTTGCACATCTCGATCAAGTGAGCAGCCAAGTCACATAGCTTACAAAATTACATCAATACACAAACGTAGCTGGTCTGCTCGTTCAGGGCCAATATCTAATCCATAAGAACTCATTCTTCTACAGATTTTTTAATCCTGGAGAGAACCAGAGGAGGAAATTGATGAAGATACAAACCCAGGCCCAACTTTTGCTTTCTCTTCTGCAGTCATGTACCTCCCCCGAGTTGAGACTGCGGCTCCGCTCAGCCTACTTATCTGCAGATACAAAGGGACAAAGCATTGCTCAGATTGGGAAATGCAGTAAAATCCCTGCTGAATCAAGAGAAAGGCTCACGTAGTCCAGCAGCCCCAATTTCCTACAGCAGCCCTTGGAAAGCCTCAAGGGGGAGCTCACAAGTCGGGCCTGCAGGCAATAGCCTTCCTTTACCCATTCATACACCACCTATTTGTCCTCAGCAACTGTTAAGCAGGCCCCATCTGCACAACATAAAGATACTGTGTTATGTGTCGTGACATAAGGATACGGAGAGCTGTTAGAAGACCTCCTATTTCCAGTACGGAGAAACAAATTCTAGAGTTCCCTGGAAAGAGGGACTGAATGCTAAACTACTTTGGGAACTGTAGCTTTGACTCCCAATAGCTCTCACCATCTTTAATGAATCGTGACTGTTCAAAGTGATATAATGCTGCTTTAAATGTATGATGCAACAAGGACCTCAGATATACACTGTTTCTGGAGCTTCCATTTAGCTAGGATTGCCAATATTTAATGAACCAAAGCAAAGTGGCAAGGCGTCTGCTTGCATGCAGAAGGTCCCAAGTTCAGCCCCTGGCATCAAATAAGGCTGGAAGAGAACTCCCATCTGAAACCCTGAAGAACCGCTGCAAGTCAACCTTGACATTGCTGAGCTAGATGGACCAATAGCTGGACTAATGCTGCCTCCCCCAAGACTTGCTTAACAGCTATTGACACCTGGTTGTTCCAAAGGTCGGACAGGGTTTCAACCGGAGCACCAGGCACATCAGCTGGAAAGTACCCCAGAGCCATCTGGAAACCCATAGGACCAATTAGCCACAAGCAGCACAGACCTCGTCCTGCGTCTGCCCTCTCGTCAGGAGGTTTCGGCACGTGAGAGGCACGTCGTTTATCTCCACTTCTGCGACGACAAGATCATCTTTGCTTTTGCTCGCAGCCGGTCCTTTTCCAGGAGCTTGTAGCTGTTAACAGATCAGACAATGGGCATCAAGACACATAAGCCCCACCCTTTGCACACTCACCTGCCCCTCTCCATCCGGGCAAGGAGGAGGCATGATCAGAGTTCAAGGGTACATTCAAGCCAGACAGAAATACTCCATGAGGGTGTGAAGCAGGGCTGGCAAGAGGTGTGGCCTGGGGAGAGTCCCAAGGGCCTACAGAGAGGTCCGAAGAGTTGCATTTGTTTGGTTTGTTTTGGTTTTTCTTTTTGCATTTCCAGTTACAGACATTCATTTCTTTCACTAATACAACATCTTATACAATGATAATCATCTATTCCCAGATAGGCTGGGAAGTCTTCTTATGATAAGAAATAACTAGAGATGTTTCATGGCTGTAACTGAAGCATTGTATTTGACCCCTGGGCCTGAGGCTCCCCAACCCTGTCACAGGCTAAGAAAATAGAGTCTCGCTTATTAAGCCAGACTTTCTTGCATCCAAAGAGAAAAGGGGAAGTCACTGGTACATTAAAATCCCTCCCCCACCCTCGCCAACTTGTTTTGAAAGCAGATGTGACTGAACCAAGGGATAGATTTCATGCAACCAGTCCAGACTGCTCCAAAATGTTCACTACCGACAAGAAGGGGAAACCAAATTATTTTCTTTGGAAGGATGACAGAGTTAAAACAAACCTGGCTGGCCCATTCACCCTTTATAGTCTTAATTTTGCAGTGCAGTTCATACATTGTGTACAGTCACACCTCGGGTTGCAAACGTGATCCGTGCGGGAGGCATGTTCGCAACCCACAGTGCTACGTCTGCGCACGCGCGTGACACGATTCAGCGTTTTTGTGCATGACATCATTGTGTGCTTCTGCGCATGTGCAAGCGCCGAAACCCGGAAGTAACCCGTTCCAATACTTCCTGGTTCGGCGTAGTCCGCAACCCAAAAATGCACAACTCACGGCATTTGTAACCCGAGGTATGACTGTATATTCATTGTCCCTTTGCAGGGCTAAATCTAGGCTCAAGGAGACTCACAGCAAAGTGCCATCTTGTCCCAGACACCCCCTTTAAATTTAATCCATATAACTTTCCCCAGAGCTTAGCTATCTTGGGCTGACCGCCCATAGCCTTAGGTGTTGTCTCATGGGGGTGTGTGGGGTGTGTGGTAGAATATAGCCCCTGGTTTATGTCTGTGGCAGCAGCCACCTCCCGCTGCAACATATACGGAGTCCAGAATGAATTCAAGACCACAGCTGCAGCACAAGTAAAATAAAGTTTTTAGAAGTATTTATCTTAATGGGGCCTAAGGGAGGTGTTGGGGACTTCTTAGGGAATGTGTACCCTGGTGGGTGCCTGGACAAATCTGATGGCAATGCTGGGCTTGATGAATTAATTTTTGATCAGTTTCATGTCAACACTGTCTACTTTCAGTACTGCTGGATGTCATGTGCTCATTTTGAACTGTTTTCATATCATTGTTTGTGGCTTGTGATATGTCGCTACAGATCTGCCTATCTCACAATTGCTATTTTGTTTTGTTCTTAAGGCAATTCACTTTACCCACAATACATATTAAAGGGTAAGCGGACAAATGAAAAAAGGGTACGCTGATTGCAGAACAAACCTTCATTACAACCCACTGATAGCCAACACAAGGGGTTATATCCAACCATGTTGACCCACTGCAATTAATTTCAATGGGTTTGATATGCCCCAATACACATTTGGCCAGACGTCAGGAAACAATGGGCAAATAGTTAATAGCATGAGGAAACAAGTCCAAATCCTAAATTTGAGACTTCAGCTGTGTACACATCAGAGAACATGGCTCCCTGCAAAGAATCCTGGGAACTTAAATTTAACCTTCACAGAGCTACAAAGCGCAGCACCCGTAACAACCTACAATTCCCAGGATTATGGAGGTGTGCTTTAAATATATGGTGTGTATACAGCTTTCTTTTCTCAACCGTCATGAAAGTTAAATGGCTTCTTGCTTTCGAAATCTGATGCCTTCACCCTGCCAGCCACTGACCTTGTCCGTTGAATTCGCCGTTGGTTTCAGCTTCCCTTTGGCCATTAACATGGCATTGATTTTGGCTGCCACGGCAGCGGCTGCATCCAGAGCTCCCAGCGGGGCCGCTGAGCCCTCAGACCCTGACATCCCAGATACACTATCTCCGCTGCCCTGGACAGGCCGGCCAGCCACAGGCGTGGTTGCAGGAAGGAGGAAGAGAGCCGGAGATGGGCCAGGCTGGTCCCATTTGCTGCGTCGCCTGGGGGAAAAAATCAAATTAAACATTCAGATTCCCTCTGGGGCTGGTGCCTGTTCCTTGATCTCCTCACTCCACAAGGCTTAGCACTTGTAACACATCTCGATGGCTCAAAAACACAGCCGCGAGTGCCCTCTCAATAATCCCAGCAACAGCAGCCTTAGAAGATAAGACAATACAGTGGTACCTTGGATTAAGTACTTAATTCGTTCCGGAGGTCCGTTCTTAACCTGAAACTGTTCTTAAACTGAAGCACCACTTTAGCTAATGGGGCCTCCCACTGCTGCTGTGCTGCCGCCACACGATTTTTGTTCTCATCCTGAGGTAAAGTTCTTAACCCGAGGTACTATTTCTGGGTTGGCGGAGTCTGTAAGCTGAAGCGTATGTAACCCAAGGTACCACTGTATTTGTTTAAGGTAGATTTACAGCCTCTCTGATCTCATAAGCCTGGGGTGGGGGACCTGCGGCCCACGAGGTGTTGCTGGACCACAACTCCCATCCCCGCGACCATGCTGGCTGGGGGCTGGCGGGGGTTGGTAGTCCAGCGACGTCTGGAGGGCCTCAAGGGGGCCCCGGCACGGGCGAAACCCATAAATGGGCTCCTCCTCCTCCGCCAGGCCTCTCCCTCCCCCTCTCCCTCAACTTTCCCTTCCCGGCCTCCCCTCTCGCCCGGCCTCGCAGCCGCGGCCTCCTCACCCTCCAGAGGCCCCATGCTCTCGCTGCCCCGAGCTCCCCGTTGACATGGCTCAGACGACCCTCTCCAGGCCGCCGCCGCCGCCGCCGCCTTCTCCGCTCTGCTGAGAAACTTCCCCTCCCTCGCGTCACTTCCGCTCCGCCGCCGCCGCTGCCGCCGAAAACGTCACTTCCGCTCGTTGTCGTAGCGACGGTGAAAGGTTGCTCGGGAGAGAGAATGCCTGGCACCATAGCGATAGTAAAAAAAAGGTAGAGGGGCGCACGTGTGCTCAGGTTCCGGCCGTATACATGTAGAGCTTATTGATTTAATATTTTGATTATATTCTTGCTATTTTATTATTTCATTTATTTGCTTACTCTGTTATTTTTTTTGCTTATTTAATATTTATTGTTTCATTTATTTGCTTACTGTTTTACGATGTTGTTTTTGTATTTATCGTTTTATTTATTTGCAGGCATTTCTAAACGATAATATATATTTAAAAGAAAAGAAAACTCTTAAACAATAGATACATAAACCCAAAATCCATTGAAACGAAAACGCAGTTAATAAATTATGGAAGTGGGAACTTGTCTATAGAACTTAATTTGTAAGAAGGGAATTCCGGTGGAAATGTTTCCTTTTGACCTTTCCTACCGTGAGCTCCAAGAGATATGAGGCAGCTAATTATTGCCAGTCATTATTCAGGGTTTATGTTCTTTCTAATTAGAGTGTTTTATTGCTCACTATGATTTGGGGTGAGTGGGCGGGTGTTTGCAAACAGAGCATAAGGCTTTCGCATGTAACTGAGCGCTGCTTTGGGACCACAAAGACTTCAGTGTTTTTTACTTCGGTCGAAAAGGATGAGAAAGTGGCATCCGTACAATCAATTAAAACAAGACAATCCCTGCCTACAGGTGATGATGATGATGATGAAGAAGATACACAAGCAGAAAGGGACAGGGAGGGAAGAGGGAAAAATCAAAGATAGGCACCAGTTCTTAAACAGCTGTTCTTATAATGATCAGCTGTCACATTTGAAGGATAGGAAGCGCCTGATGGAGATGCTTTTTCAGCAGAGCTGATGGAGTGAGCCCTGCTTCCCATCTCCTCCACGAAGGCAGTTTGACTGCCCCAGGTGACAATTGAGGGAGAGGAGGCCTGATTTAACCTGATAATAACAACATTAGGGACGCGGGTGGCACTGTGGGTTAAACCACAGAGCCTAGGGCTTGCCGATCAGAAGGTCGGCGGTTCGAATCCCCATGACGGGGTGAGCTCCCGTTGCTCGGTCCCTGCTCCTGCCAACCTAGCAGTTTGAAAGCACATCAAAGTGCAAGTAGATAAATAGGTACCACTCAGGCGGGAAGGTAAACGGTGTTTCCGTGCGCTCGCCAGAAGCGGCTTAGTCATGCTGGCCACATGACCCGGAGGCTGTCTGCGGACAAACGCCGGCTCCCTCGGCCAGTAAAGCGAGATGAGCGCCACAACCCCAGAGCCGGCCACGACTGGACCTAATGGTCAGGGGACCCTTTACCTTTAACAACAACATTGGCACTAACCTACTTTGCCAGGCTGTCGTAAACCACTTCCAGAAACAGTGTACAGTGGGCAATATTGCAGGCTAAAACAAAGCAGGGCAATTCCAGCTGATCTTCCTTCACGGTCACCTAGCAGAAGCCATTCCACCAGATTTCGAGAACAGTTTCCAACTGCTTGGCATCTGGGGAATTCTCCTTATACATATCCATTTTTTTCTTGAAACAACCATCTCCATTTACCCTCATGAAGCTCACTGTTTGACCTTGACCCAGTCATCTTCTTTCAGCCTAAACCTACCTCACAGCCAGCATTCAAAACTCCCATTGTTCTAGGCGCATTTTGCGATGGGGGAATTTCATTAGTGCAAGCAGTTTCTGAGCACTGGGCACAGTACTGCGCCTAAGATTTCAGATTAAAACTGCAGAGTGGAAGGAAAGGAGGAGCTTTTTCTGCCTCCCCACTTCCAGCTACTCTCTGGAGACTGGAGAAGAGACCCTATTAAGAATATTACTGGGGTGGGCAGGAGAAGGACTAGACCATGTGAAAAACGAACATAATATTTTAGCTGCAGTTCATTCATTTTGTATTCTTGTTAACAAAAAAGCACACAGTTGCTGTGCCCATAACCTAGATTTAAGGTGCCATTTAGCTCCTAGCTTTCATATCTCAGTTTCTAACACTGCTCACAGGGTTGTCATATGGATAAAAAGGGGGAGAGGCAGAACCATGTGTGCCACCTCCTTTGAAGATATCTGAGATATAATAATATTTACTCCTGCATGCGGGCCCACAAAAGTTGTTCGATCAATGTCGAAAGAAGGATGGGCAAAAAATTATAATAAATGAATAAATAAATATGTCCATCGGGGGAAGGGATGCTTCTGTATTCATTTCCAAATCTCTTTTAAAATGCTCGCCTGTCTGTAGCTGCTGCCTGCAATCCTGAAGTCATAGCACCAGACTGGAGGTTGTCACTTGTTTCGTTGTCGGTTAGGAAGCAACACTAAAATAAACTTGAGCTACATGAAGCCAAGGAAATGACTCACATTCAGTCACATCTCCTCACACAGACACACAAACCCCTCGCTTCTGCTCTTCCTGTCCATGTTCTTTATTGTGACCAGGCCAGGGAGGGTGTGTATAAGCCACAGATTGTGCGGAACTTTTATGTCTGAAAAATTAAAGATGAAATGAACCTCACCTTTTTTAATCTCCTTTCATGCCTTCGCCTGACAGGGCCCCCTCTGTACCATACATTATGGGTTGCCCCAGCCAGTCTGGGCGGCTTCCGACATACAGTGGTACCTCGGGTTACAGACGCTTCAGGTTACATACGCTTCAGGTTACAGACTCCGCTAACCCAGTAATAGTACCTCGGGTTAAGAACTTTGCTTCAGGATGAGAACAGAAATTGCAGGATGAGAACAGAAATCGCACGGCAGTGGGAGGCCCCATTAGCTAAAGTGGTGCTTCAGGTTAATAACGGTTTTAGGTTAAGAACAGTCCTCCGGAACGAATTAAGTTCTTAAATCGAGGTACCACTATATAAAAACGTTAAACATTTTAAAAACTTCCCTACACGGGGCTGCCTTCTAAAGGTTGCAGAGCTACTTATTTCCTTGGCTCTGGAATTGCATAAATCCATACCCTCCAACATTTCTCTGATGAAAATAGGGGCGTTCTAAGGAATAGCGGGGCATTCTGGGATCAAATCAGAAACTGGGACGGCTTTTCCCTTCTTCCTCTCTGGCATCTGAGATGACTGCTTGTAGTAGTTCTTGTCAGGAGATAAGGACATGTTTTACCATTTATTACTGCATTTATACCCCACCTTTCCTACCCTCTCCATCTTATCCTCACAATAATCCTGTTGAGCAGGTTAAGGCCGGGAATGTGTGCGACCGGCCCAAGGCCACCCAATTAGCTGTGTGGGGATTTGAAATTTTGCCTCCCAGGACCTAGTCCAACAGTCTTAACACCTACACCACACTGGCTCTCAATGCGTTGGGGTCTCCTCCAGATGGAAAATTCAGCGAAAAGGAGATGGCAGCATTCAGTAAGCTACCAATTCCGACCCGTTTAGAGAGCCAGCATTACCACAATGTTATTTGCTGTTATTTTGGGGCTTTTGAAAGCAAACCACTACCTGCAGACTACCAATGCCTGTGGTCAAATTCTGTGAAACTTGACAAATGCAACCTGCCGTAAATGAACCACAGGCTTAGCAGCCGTTGGGTCATAGAAATGATTGCTCGGCGGAGGCCCTTCAACACACGGCTGCAAGCAAATTATCATTTAGTTAACAGTTCTTCAACCTTCGGCTACAACTCCAATCATTCCTAACATTGGCTAAGCAAGTCTGGCTATGATGAGAGTTGTAATTCAACACTATCTAGGGACCTAGAGTTGAAGAACACTAGTTCCAGCAACTTGCATTCAGGAGCGTTACATAGTTATTGCAGCTAGTAGCCAATGCTAGCCTTTTCCTCCATTAAATTGTCTAATCTTCTTTTAAAGCCATCCAAGTTGGTGACCATCACTACCTATAAATAAAACAATACTCGGCCTTAATGGCTAGGAAGTAACATACGAACAAGTTCTAGGAAACCTAAATTAACACGATGGTTATTGTGGACCGATCAGGAAGGCACTGCCAGAATTCAATTCGTTTCTGCATAAATAATACTACATGGCAAACTGTTTGCACCAGGCATTCTACCAGTGTGGTGTAGTGGTTAGAGTGCTGGATTAAGACCTAGGAGACCAGGGTTCGAATTCCTGCTCAGCCATGAAGCTCACGGGAGACCTTGGGCCAGTCACTGTCTCACAGACTAACCTACCTCACAGGTAGGTTGTGAAGGTAAAAGGGAGAGGGAAAGAAACATGCATGCCACTTTGAGCTCCTTGGAGGAAAAGGTGGGATATAAATGCAATAAAAATAAATAAATGAACAAACTCCAACTGAAACCCACAAATAAGCACGTTGCACAATTTATGATTACTATTCCTTCAATATTTTGTGTTGGGGCAGAAGGTGTTGGACAGCTATGTAATAAAGAAACAGAGAGAGGCAGTGAACACATTGACTTTTCATTACATTTATTTATTTAGCATTTTCAGGGCTGCTTGCAACAAATAATAAAATCATATATATATACAGAGCAATCTAGTTAAACAGACGAGGGCAGAGATAGTTGTCTCCAACATAATCAAATCAGCAACTTTTAAAACAGGCTTAGAAGGAGGATTTTCTTGGTTGTACTGATCCTTAGGTCGTCTGCAGACTGTCAATATTTTGTGAGAAGGATTCAGGCACAAACTGGACAGGTATGTAGGTTTAATTGAAGTGCAAATAAACTACTTTAAAAAACAACAACCCCACCCACAGAGAAAGACTTTTTATGACATGGAAAGTGATCGGAAAGTACATTTAAAAGTGTGTGATGGCTAATGGCTAATGGGAAGATAAGTAAACACAAGCAAACCAGGAAGAGTGCACTTTGTCATATAGCCTTCCTGCAAACCAGAGGTGGTGTGGTCTGGGGTCACGGGGTTGGAGACCCTGCTACTATATCTGCAGGAAGGTCCAAGAAGAGTCCAGGAGTTGCCCAATCAGGGTGAAATGAGAGCATTTTATGCACTGAAAAGTCTTTTCACCCTTTCTGCCAAAAAGGCATACAGTAGGGCAAAGTATTCGTAAAAAAATTATTTATTTAGTGAAAATAACATAAAAAAATGCATAATGTTAGGGAAAGTTTGTTGCAAAAATATCTATATTAGTCAAAGCTGCATACAAAAATATGTTAGGAGAATTCTGTACTCAGATGCTGATGATTTAAAAAATAATAATCTGCAAATTAGGAACAAATTAGGAACAAAGGAAATATACCAAGTCAGACCATTGGTCCATCTAGCCACAGCTGTTCAGGATTTAATACAGGAGGCTCTTCCCCACTGTTGTGGAAATGTGGAGAAATGAAGCCTGGGAAGATGAGGAACTTGGAGAACCAAAATGGACAAATTTGTTCATCTCTAACTCCCAGCCAGGAATCCTGATTGCACTTACATTGCTAAGCTATTGACATTTTGACATGATTTTCCAAACAAGCTATGGACATGATATTTAAAAACAGCAGGAGAACAGAGCCATAAGTAGTTATTATTTTTAAATAAAGATTAATAAAAGCTGGCACTTCTTTCTTGCCCACCCTCAAGCTGTCCCACTGTGGAAGACGTCAAATCGGAAAACATAAGGGCTGCTAATACAACAGGCAAGATCTGTGGTAGGCTGGGGAATCTGTGGTCTGCCATGAGCAGTAGGACTCCATCTCCCATCAGCCCCAGCCAGCATGGCCAACGGTCAGGGATGATGGGAGTTGTAGTCCAGCAACATCTGCCAGTCCCTTCCTGGTCTACTGTGCCATCAAAATCACTAGGCGATGTGCCGGCATATTCCATGCAGGTACAGCAAAGGGTGCAGAGACAGTCCTTCTTCTGACGTCAAAATATAGTTGCGTAATTTCAGGTGTTGAGGAGGGGTACTCCACAAGACAGTGTTCCTATCCCACCAAGGTTTCTGCTTCTGCAGGGGGCTGCTCCTTCGGGTCAGTTTTGGGGCGCGTAAGAGTTTGATAAGTTGCGGACTCATGAGGGCCAAGGCCCTGTAAATGAAGAGAAAGAGAGATGGGTTGGGGAAAGCAAACATGCCTAAGTTAGGCGAAACTCACACTAAAACGCATATGAAATTTCATGAGGATGGGCTATTGTGGTGCTTTAAATGTACGGTGTGGATACCGCCTGAGCGGAGCCGGCCTTCCCACCACCAGCACCCCTACTTTTAAAGGTAAAGGTAAAGGGACCCCTGACCATTAGGTCCAGTCGTGGCCGACTCTGGGGTTGCGGCGCTCATCTCGCTTTATTGGCCGAGGGAGCCGGCGTACAGCTTCCGGGTCATGTGGCCAGCATGACTAAGCCGCTCTGGCGAACCAGAGCAGCGCACGGAAACGCCGTTTACCTTCCTGCCATAGCGGTACCTATTTATCTACTTGCACGTTGATATGCTTTTGAACTGCTAGGTTGGCAGGAGCAGGGACCGAGCAATGGGAGCTCACCCCGTCGTGGGGATTCGAACCACCAACCTTCTAATCGGCAAGTTCTAGGCTCTGTGGTTTAACCCACAGCGCCACGAGAGGCACAATTATGCCATCCCCTAACTTTTGGCATTCAAAGCCCCCAACGCCCTGTCCAGGCGGATGTGAACTGAAAACTTTCTCCACAGTACAAAAAGCATATTGCATCTTCCCTGTGGTCATTCTGTTGTTCAGTAACTTATTAACTGATTTAAAACACATACACACACCCCTCTGGTTGGCAACAAGATTGATAGCATGATAAATAGATCACAAGTCTTCCAACTATAGTGAAAAAACATGGCTATATTTATAACCAGCTGCCATTTATACTTGATTTGATCCGCTTTTGAAGCTTGTTCACCACTTTAAGCATTAAAAACAACAACACAGGGATAACCAACTGGGCCTGTGAGAACAGGATGCTGGACTAGAGGGGCTTTGGCCGGATCCAGCAGGTTCTGCTTATGTCTTTACAGGATTAGGCAAATTTATGGGTGATTAGACTTATCAAGGGACGCAGGTGGTGCTGTGGGTTAAACCACAGAGCCTAGGACTTGCCGATCAGAAGGTCAGAGGTTCAAAACCCCACGACAGGGTGAACTCCCATTGCTTGGTCCCTGCTCCTGCTAACCTAGCAGTTCGAAAGCATGTCAAAGTGCAAGCAGATAAATAGGTACCACTCCAGCGGGAAGGTAAACGATGTTTCCGTGCGCTGCTCTGGTTCACCAGAAGCGGCTTAGTCATGCTGGCCACATGACCCGGAAGCTGTACGCCAGCTCCCTTGGCCAATAAAGCGAGATGAGCGCCGCAACCCCAGAGTCGGCCACGACTGGACCTAATGGTCAGGGGTCCCTTTACCTTTACCTAGACTTATCAATGGCTATGGACTTCATCCAATACTGGAGGGTAGGAATGCCTCTGAATACCAGTTTCTGGGAATCACAAGGGGTGAGAGTTGCTGTTGAGCTCAGGACCCCAAACCCTCCAACATGCTGAGTCCCAAAACTGGTATGTGCGTCTTTCTGGCTGTCTTCCCAATTGAGTCACGTGACCTCCGCAAGATTATGGAGCTGAAAATACGTGCTTTTGGGGGGAACTGTGCTCTCACACAACAGCACCATGCAAGATCCTGGCCCACCCCAAAAGCTATTTTTTCAGGGTGAAATAAAAAAAGTTAAGGTCTTAGATATATAATAAATGTTCATAAATGTACGAAGCAAACACGTACATAAATATATAAATGACATGTCTGAAGTAGTACAGGAAAACCGTCCTGAAACCATTTTGATTCCCAAGCTGACCAAGTGTTTCTCTGCAAGCAGGGAGGGGGTGAGGAACCCTTCCCATTGTCTCAGGAATTAAGAAATCACCATCTCAAAGGAATGGCCAGACTACCAGGAAAGGCAATCAGATAAGGCATTATCAGATAACGTGGCAGACAGGAAAAACAACAGCAGTCAAATTTCTGTTGTAGACCACCTTTTCTGTGATGTATGTATGATGTTTGTGGGGGGTGGTCTTGGGTTACACCCCTTCTGTGATGTATGTATGATTTATGGAGGGTGGTCTTGAGCTCCAGGGAAGGCAATTTAAAATGTCTATATAAGGGCAGGCACACCTTGGTTCTGGGTCCTCCTCCTTCTCCTGCGTGTGAGGGGAGCCCCCTGTTGCAACAGTTCAATAAAGTTCAGGCTTACTAGCTGCTTTGCTTCTCAGCATTCTCTGGTTGGCCACTGTTATTCTCTCCGACTGACGGAGAACCTACAAAGGACTCTGTAAGGGCTCTTGTGTCCCCCATAAGGGAATAAGTGCAGATTTTTGTTTATTACAAGGGTGAGATCTCAAAATAGCCACCATGCTCTCGCTGGGGGAAAATGGGATGTTCCGGTTTTTCCGGGACACTTGCTGGGTATAGGGGTTCCCTCGGGCATCTGGTCGGCCACTGTGAGAACAGGACATTGCACTAGATGGGCCATTGGTCTGATCCTGTGGCCAGGCTTTTGCTTTGTTCTTATGCCTGAAACCCTGGACAGCCTCTGCCAGTCAGTGTTGGCAATAATGAGCTAGATGGAGCAGAGGTCTGGCTAAGATTGAAGGCAGCTTCCTGTGTTCTTATCCCAGCCCTGTCCCAGAAAATCGTTGGCAGACACTTACGGTATAGATTCCTTCCACTTTCTGCAAAAGAGGAAGACAGAGAATGGCATGAGATTTCCGAGGAACAGAAAGCAAAACAATATAATGCACCCCCTTCCCTTTCCCTTTCCCTTCTCTGCATCTTCACCAGTGTAAACACCAAACCTTTAAAGCTCATTCTTTCCCTCAAAGAATTCTGGGTACTGTACTTTACCCCTCACAGAGTTACAATTCCCAGAAACTCTTAGCAAACTACAGTGCCCAGAATTCTTTGAGGGAGGGAATATCCCTTGAATGTGCTTTAAAGGAAGAATGGCCACCCACCCACCCTGCTCTTTATTTCAGAAGATATGAGATAAAAGCAGAAAAAAAGACAAAAGCAAGGTCCAGGCCATGAATGCGTTAAATCTCTGTTTGAAGCAGAGAGGGTGCAAAAGCCACAATAACTTCTTTAAACAAATCACAGTCTTATTTGTCTACCCCCCTCATTTTTCTATGGTGCACGGGAACGACTCTTATGTCTTTAGCAGACAGCGACACAACAGGTGCTGTTGTCGCCATTGCTCCATTCCTGTGCTAAGAAAAACACCTCCAGTTGAATTTCTGCCTACAGTTTCATTAACAGGTCTTAGGCCCTCTTTAATAAACACCAGGAACTGGAGTTTGGTACAGGTGCTGAGAATGGTTAGGAGACCAAGTCTGTCTGCTTCCAGCCTATCAGCCCATCCTTAGCCTGACACGCTGCAAATGCCATATAAATGCTAAATATTATTTAAGTGAAAGGAGCAAAGAGGCACCTCGTAGTAGGAAGCAGGGGGAAGCTTCGATTTCCTTCGATATTGGATCTAAAGAGTTAAAAAATATAAACAGAGTCAAATAAATCATTTATAAACTTAAAGTAACAACAGACATTAATTCCACCCAGCAAACGTCTCCCTCGTTTCTTTTTAATCCCTCTGAGTGTCACAGAAAGGCCATTCACTAACTATGGAGCAACTTGTGGAGAGACAGCCTGCAGTTTAGCAAACTGAAGGACACCGTCCTCTTTCTATGCTCCTTCTGATGGAAACATGCACATGGGGACAGATATACCCCTGCTTTAAGTCGTTTGCATACTGTCTTCTCGTACCGGTATATTATTTACTTCAAAGCTCGACGACTAAGCTCTTTCGCAACGAAACGTCTGATAACCGGAACGACGTCTGAGCACTGAACCAACTGATATATCACAGGTGGACTCTTTATTTCCTGCGTTTGCCGTTGTGTGAGATAAAACCTATTTGGGAAAGAAACTACTCTTGCCATTTTTAGGGGCGTCCATATTTAGGGACGTTTATTGTTTGTTCACAAATAGTTGCCTTGGTGATATTATCTTGTGTCGATTGCAGTGGTTTGAGTGGCAGATTTAAGCTGCAGAGGCCCAGGTTCAAATTCCCACTCAAGCCATGAAGTTTGAGGGTGACCCTGGGCTCATTCTCATTCACTAATTCTCACACACACATGCGCACTCATGCCTCATCTGCATTGTTCATTTAAAGTCAGTATCCGATCACTTTAAACAGTTGTTGCTTCCCCCAGAGAATCCTGGGAACTATAGTTTATCAAGGCTCTTGAGGGTTGTTAGGACAACCTCTATTCCACTCACAGAGCTATAATTCCCAAAGTGGTTTAGCAATCAATCCCTCCTCACAGGGAATTCTGAGAATTGTAGCTCTGTGGGGGAATGTAGGGTGGATGGGTGTGTGTACTGTAACAACTATAAGCTCCCTTAGCAAACAACATTTTCCCAGGATTCTTTGGACAAAGCCATGACAGTTTAAAGGGCTTCTTTCAATGTTTGGTGCAGATGTGGCCACAGTATGGTGTATCTCACAGGGTTTTAGTAAGAATAAAATGGGAAGGAAGGAAAAACAATGTACAGCTGTACCTCAGGTTACGTACGCTTCAGGTTACATACGTAACAGACTCCGCTAACCCAGAAATAGTGCTTCAGGTTAAGAACTTTGCTTCAGGATGAGAACAGAAATCGTGCTCCGGCAGCACGGCGACAGCAGGAAGCCCCATTAGCTAAAGTGGTGCTTCAGGTTAAGAACAGTTTCAGGCTAAGAACAGACCTCTGGAACGAATTAAGTACTTAACCCGAGGTACCACCGTATGCTGCTCTAGCTCCACCAAGGAAGGGTGGGATTATTATTATTATTATTATTATTATTGCAACTCTTTAAATTATGTGTTCATGAAGCAGTATTCATTTACTTAGATATTCTGCACATAAGGTCCCTGCCTTCCAGGAGCTTACAATCCACATTTTTTTTGCCAGTGGGAAGAGACCGAGGCTGCATCCGCACAGCACAGTTAAAGTAGTATCATACCAGTTTAAACCACTCTGATTAAAGTGGTATGGTACTGTTTTAAATGTATAGTACAGATAGGGGCCAGAGAACCCTAAGAGGGGAGAGCAGGATGGGGCCTTGAAGAGGCCCAGCAACAAGTCAGCAGTTGGATAGCAGACTAAGCAGGCACAAAGCACAACTCCCAATGGTATGGTGTCCCCCCCCATTTAAATTACAGTATTATTATGTTTAATTGCATTATGCCTATAAGTTAGCATATACAAATTGAATGGAAATCGCTGCCTTCTTTCTCAGTGATGCACAGGAGAGGATCTTTTGTGGCAGATTCATACATTTGTTTGTGAAGAAATACATAAATGAACTTCTCCATGGGGGAAAAAAACTACTTCTGTGACAAATTTCCTTCAGTCAACTGATGCGTACATCATTTAACTTTTAGATCACCTTTCCCTTGCATTAAGATCAAGACATATGCATCTCAGAGAGCCATTTAAACAACAACAAAAAAGACTTACCTTCAGCCGGCAGTACAGGAATGTGAGGATTATACCGTAGACAAACAGGATCCCATCCAAGACGTAGCACAACTGAGGTTCCCTCAGCGCCTCTGCAGGGAAAAAGGTGCATTTTGTTACTTCTTCAATAATAATAATAATAATAATAATAATAATAATTTATTATTTATACCCCGCCCATCTGGCTGGGATTCCCCAGCCACTCTGGGCGGCTTCCAAAAAAATACTAAAACACTGCAATACATCAAACATTAAAAGCTTCCCTAAACCGGGCTGCCTTCAGATGTCTTCTAAAAGAATGGTAGTTGTTGTTCTCTTTGACATCTGGTGGGAGGGCATTCCACAGGGCAGGTGCCACTACCGAGAAGGCCCTCTGCCTGGTTCCCTGTAACTTGGCTTCTCGCAGTGAGGGAACCGCCAGAAGGCCCTTGGAGCTGGACCTCAGCGTCCGGGCAGAACGATGGGGGTGGAGACGCTCCTTCAGGTATACTGGACCAGGGCTGTTTAGGGCTTTAAGGTCAGCACCAACACTTTGAATTGTGCTCGGAAACGTACTGGGAGCCAATGCAGGTCTTTCAAGGTCTTCAAAACTGCGCCACCAGCCTGCGCATACTGGATTTGTTCTTAATGTTGGAACATCAGGAGAGCTCCCTTCTGGATCAGGCCAAAGGCCCATCTAGGCCCCATTCACACCTTACATTTAAAGCAGAATCATACCCCTTTAAAAAGTCATGGTTTTCCTCAAAGGATTCTGGGCGCTATGGTTTGTTGTGGGTGCTGAGAGTTGTTTTGTTTTGTCTTGTTTTAAATAATGTTATAATTTGTATGCATTTGTTTCTTAATTTAATCCTTTTACATCGTTTTGTATGATTTGTGGCATTTTATGTATTGTGATTTATTGCTATTTTTATTGATTATAGATGAGTAATTCTTTATTGTAATAAGTGTAAACTGTCTAATTATTATTTGCTGTTGTTTAATTTTAGTGTTTACTGTTGGATTCTAATGCAACATTGCATATTGCTTTATTTGGTATAAGTTGTTTATTTTAAAGTTATTTTAAACTTTTTATATAGGATCTGACTGTTACTATTAATGTTTGATGTTTTATTATGATTAATTTTGTGTGTGTTGGAAGCCGTCCAGAGTGGCTGGGGCAACTCAGCCAGTTGAGTGAGGTATAAATAAAATTATTATTATTATCAGTGCTTTTTTTCTTTAAAAAATGTTGAGGGGTACTCTCATTTTCCTACTCATATTGAAATACTGCCCCTCAATGAGGCCAAACTTAGAGTCACAAAATGTTTAGGAGTATGCGTCCCCCTGCGTCCCCCCAGAAAAAAAGCACTGATAACAATAAGAAGAAGAAGCCCCTTTTCCCCTCACAGCTCTCATACATTTCTCCTTTGAAAAAAGGGACGTCCTATTCCATATGCTCCAAAGTTTCTCTGATGAAAATAGGGATGTCCTATTGAGAGTCCCATGGACTGCAAGAAGATCAAACTGATCCATTCTGAAGGAAATCAGCCCTGAGTGCTCACTGGAAGGACAGATCCTGAAGCCGAGGCTCCAGTACTTTGGCCACCTCATGAGAAGAGAAGACTCCCTGGAAAAGACCCTGATGTTGGGAAAGATGGAGGGCACAAGGAGAAGGGGACGACAGAGGACGAGATGGTGGGACAGTGTTCTTGAAGCTACCAGCATGAGTCTGACCAGACTGCGGGAGGCAGGTGGAAGACAGGAGTGCCTGGTGTGCTCTGGTCCATGGGGTCACGAAGAGTCGGACACGACTAAACGACTAAACAACAACATTTCTCTGGTAGCATGCATAGTAGAATTATAGATTCCTAGATCTATAGAAAGGATCTTGAGGGTCACCCCTGCGATAGATGAATACGCAGGTGGCACGTCAGGGCATCAAACCCGCGAGCTTTGCGTTACCAGCACCATGCTCCAAACCAACTGAGCTAACTGCTGCCTTTGGTGAAACTCACGGGAAAACAGCCCCAAATCTTACACTGGACACCTTGGTGCCCCTCACTCTGGGATATAAGCTATAATGGAGAAAATCAAATTTGAGATTTCAACAAGGACTAGAACTTCCAGACGCTTTTTATATGATTTGGTATTCCTTTATTACATTACTACAGAGCCTGCATTTTCAGGACAACAGTACTATTTTTATAGAAAAGGAGATGCCAGAACTCACCACTAGCACCTCCCTTGTTCTCTTATAATGGCAATGGCTTATATTGAGAGGTGCCGGAACTGAGTTCCTGTGAGTTCAAGCTGGAAACCAAAGCCCTGACAAAACCATATCATCACAAGCCTGGTAAATTTGGAACTATACTTGTTAGCAGCATTTTCCCCCCTAACTTTTTTCTTTCATGACATGGTCTGTGTGACTTGGGCTGCATCTACACACAGGGGGGGAAACGCTATAAATAAGTCAGAAATTAAATCGTTACAAGAAAAGAAAAATGCTACGGAAAATTGAACAAAATTCTTTTTGTTCTCCAGCGTTATCTAGTGTTACATGTTTATAAGGCATTCTAAACGCAGTTTTTTGACTAGGTGAGTACAGTGTTACCTTGGTTCTCAAACGCCTTGGTACTCAAACAACTTGGAACCCAAACACTGCAAACCCGGAAGTAAGTGTTCCGGTTTGCAAACTTTTTTCAGAAGCTAGACGTGCTCCGTTTTGAGTGTTTCCAATTTGAGTGCCACACTTCCGTTTTGAGTGTTACACTGAGGTCTGTCTGTTTTTGCTATTTATTTTGCATTTTTGTTTTTGCGGCTTTTTGGTTTTGTTTCTGTAACTGTGTGGGACCCAGTTCAGCCACTGATTGATTGATTGATTGATTGATTGATTGTGTGACTGTGGTACATTGTTTATTGCTTTCATTTTATGGATCAGTGGTCTCGTTAGATAGTAAAATTCATGTTAAATTGCTGCTTTAGGGGTTGTTTTTAAAAGTCTGGAACGGATTAACCCATTTTGCATTACTTTCTATGGGAAAGCGCGCCTTGGTTTTTGAACGCTTTGGTTTTGGAACGGACTTCCGGAACAGATTACGGTAAGTTTGAGAACCAAGGCACCCCTGTACTTGTACACAGGACCAAGTTTTTAAAGTCCATTAGTATAATGTGTGTGTGGATCCTAAGCCTGTTTCTGTAAGTATTTGTTCCAGGGACCCAAATAAGGGATAAAGAGCTGAGCACATAAATTAGCTGCTATCGCCTTTTTGTGGTGATGAAAAAGCATCAGATTAGCACTTCGCTAAACCACAGGTAGCAGTAGCAGCAGATCTCATACCACTGATAGGACACAAATGTAAAGTTTGGAGGGTGGGGCGGGGGGGGAGAGCAGAGAGGCTACGCAGCTCCTGTGATCTGAGACCACCAACACTTTACAGGGCAATTTGTACGCACGGGATATCTGTTTTGGGTGCCTCTGCTAGAGATGTGGGCAAGCCGCCCTGTCTTTTCCGGAACAGGTTTTGGACAGCACACAAGATGGTGATTTTTAGAAGCTTCAGAAATAACTGTATTAAGACAAGGCTGGATTAAGACCCAAAGCACTGAAAATATTATGATGGGCCGCCTATACGTAATTCAAAATAAAAACAATACGGAAACTAATTTTATTTTTGGAAATGATACTTTACTTACATGCATGCCGAAAATAAAATAGATTGTTTCTAGATTTTCCAATTGCAAAATTCAGCGTTTTGCCCCCCTTAATCAAATGTCAAATTCTTTATTTTTTAAAAAAATCTCTTTGTTCATGCCCCTGCTTGCTGGTGCCCTAAGCACTTGCTTAGTCTGCTTTTGCAGCACTGTATTAAGCCTATAAATGGTGAAATCTGAACGGTATCTCATTGAATTATGGGCACAGCAGAATTTGGACAATTTCATTGTCAGAAAAATGAACTGATGTGGCTAAAATGGTTCAGGGAAGGTCAGACAAGCATCCTTTCCGTACTGATTGCTTACTTTTTATTCAATATATTAATGGTTCTAATAAAGCAAGGAAACCACTTCACGCACATGGCCAGCTCTGGAGAGATGATAATTTCAGTATTTGGCCCTCACAGTTTTTGCCTTGTGTTATTTACATTCTTTGAAAATCTTTGGGATATTTTGGATTCCATACTTGTATTTTCTGTTCTGTTTATGTGCATTCTGTTCTTGGTTCTTATTGGTTACATAAAATTAAATAAAAATACATTTAAAAATAAATAATTGCATTACTTCGGACAAGGGGTGGGGCTGGGAATTGACTTCAGCTTGCATTTCAGACTTACCAGATTTGCTCCTTCTGAAACAATACACAAGTCGAAACACAACCACCATGTGAAATTTGCATTCATCAAATTTTTGAAATGCAGTTCTCCAGACAAGTGATATGTACACAAAATGCACAGATGGGGGTCCGTGTGTTGAGATTCCTGCATGGCAGAGGGTAGGTCTAGATGGCCCTCGAGGTCACTTCCAGCTCCATAATTCTACGTTTCTATTACTAGGGTAAATTGTGTGTCTAAAATGCATGTGTTACTAAAAGCAACTTACAAAAATGCATTGCATATGGGGAAGTGGCTTTGCAAAAACGTGTATGTAGACAAAACGGCACAGAAAAATACATGAGGGCAATGCACTTAAATATACAGTGGTACCTCGGGTTAAGAACTTAATTCGTTTTCAGGAAGAAGACTGGAAGAAATTCAAAGCCTATCTACAGAAATATTGTAAAATTAATGAATGTTAGAATGATGTTGGATTGAAGCTAAGTGGTGGAAAAGAATATGGAAAAATTGGATTTTTAATATGTAAAAACTCAATGTCATAATATATTAAGATTAAAGATCAGGATAAAATAAGGAGGGAAAGGAATTGCTGAACTAATAAATGGAACTGGAATACAAAAAAGGGAGGCATGAGGAGGTCCGGGAAACAAGTAAATGAAAGATATGTGATGAAAAGATGGAATTGTTTTTAATTGTGTTTTTTTGTATTTTGTATTTTGTATTTTTCTTTTCTTTTTTTTTATTCTTATCTATGTAACCTTTTTTTTGAAACTTTAATAAATATCATTTAAAAAAAAAAAGAACTTAATTCGTTCTGGAGGTCTGTTCTTAACCTGAAACTGTTCTTAACCTGAAGCACCACTTTAGCTAAGGGGGCCTCCCGCTGCCGCCGCACTGCCGGAGCACGATTTCTGTTCTCATCCTGAAGCAAAGTTCTTAACCCGAGGTACTATTTCTGGGTTAGCGGAGTCTGTAACCTGAAGCGTATGTAACCTGAAGCGTATGTTCCCTGAGGTACCCATATATATATATATATATATATATATATATATATTCACAAGCTGATGGAGAACTAAAGACTGGGAAAAGGAGAAACTCAGCGAAACCTAAATTGACACAATTGCCCATCCCTGTTGTGGAAGCTGCTCTATTCTATTGCTGAGCTCTTGCTGAGCATTGTCTACCTGTGCTGTCTGGCAGCTGTTCTCCGGGGCCTGCCTTTCCTATTCCTACCTGGAGACGATGCCAGGGATTGATGCTGGGCCCTTTTGGACACAAAGCACATGATCTATGGCTGATCTACAATATTACAGACTGTGCCTTAGCCTGCACAGGGAGCTATCTTCTACAGAGCCAGACCACTGACCCACCAAACTCAGTATTGTCTACACTGACTGGCAGCAGCTCTCGGGGGTTTCCAGACAGGGGTTTCCCCCTATCCTAGCTGGAAATGTTGGGGATTAAATTTGAGACCTTCCACCTACAACACAAATATTCTACCACTTGGCCACATCCCCTTGATCCTGCCGTGAGCACAGTGGAACAAAATCCGAAAGCCACAGAGAGGCAGGAACAGATAACGTGTGAGATGCCCCTTTTAAGAATCGAAACTCCTGCCTGTCATCTGGTTTGAGCAGACGATGGTTGTGCCCAATGGTGACCCTTGTTAAGGGAATCAGTTTTGCTTTCCTAGAAGAGACCCATGTTCTCCTTTCAAGTTTAGAGGCTGTACGTCAGGGGTAGGCAGCCTAAGGCCCGGGGACAGGATGCGGCCCAGTCGCCGTCTCAATCCGGCCCGCAACTGGCCTCTAATACAAGAAAGTTTACCATACTGTAAAACTTGGCACTCCTCCCAAAATAAACTTCCCTCTTTTTGTAGATGGCAGAAACAGATCCTTTATCTTAGCACAACGATGCTATCTAGCAATTGACTAGATAGACTACAAAAGGAGTAAACTGGCTGGCACAACATTAGTTTTCATTAAGCAGGGCCTAACTTGTAGTGTTAGTGAACATGTGCTGTCATCTCTGCAATCCTGTACATGGGGTTCTGGCCAATGCTAGCTACTCAGAGTAGACCCATGGAGATTAATTGACATGGCTAACTTAGGTTCATTAATTTCCATATGCCCACCCTGAGAAGAAATGAGTTGGGTGTATCTAATTTTACTCAGAAGTGTGTGCCACTGAGTTCAATCACGATACCATGCCCTCCGACATTTCTCCGATGAAAACAGGGACGTCCCATTCCATAAGGATAATTTTACTATTTATGCTCCCTGCATCTTATTGGGTTGCGCCAGCACTCTGTGCAGCTTCCAACATATATAAAAAACTTAATAAGGCATTAAACATTTTAAAAACTTCCCTATACAGGATTGCCTTCAGATGGCTTGGGGGTCAGATAACTCCATACCCTCCAACATTTCTTCAGTGAAAATAGGGACATCCTAAGGAAAAGTGAGACATTCTGGGATCAAATCAGGGACGTCCCTGGAAAATAGGGACACGTGGAGGGTCTGGTTTACACTCATGTAAGTAGATATGCAGGATTGCAGCCTCACAGATTAAAGAATTCTTAAGTGGATCAGTATCCCCTTTTTTAATTGGTCAAAATATAAACAGTTGCATGTTACTAAAAATTCAATACAAATGCCTTTCCACATACCACTTAAGGTACAAATTTAGCACTTCCACTTAGAAAGGCCATATTTAAAGGATTTCCCACCCCCCCATTCCCTGACCCAGGGGTGGGGGGCGGGGATGTGAGGGGTAACAACAACCAAGCGTGGTCTTACAGTCCCACCACATGAAACTGACCTTATTGCTTGATCAAATGAAACTTTAGTTGATTAATCTACCAAGTCAAGTTTGCAACCCAGCTGTAAAGCAGAATCAGCATTTTTGGCGGGGGGTACTGGTTATAGTGGCGGCCTAGCAGTTGGGGGGGGGAGATATTCAAACATCCTACCCCACCCCACCCCCATCAACCATTTTCTCTCTCAGCCTAAACTACCTCACTGGGTTGTTGTGAAAATAGAACAGAGGAGGGCCATTTTTTCTGCCACCCTGAACTTCTGAGGTGGGGAATGTAATCAAATACAAGTTGTTGTAAACACACAGTGGGTTTAAAGTGAGGTAAACTTACTTAGTGGCTGCTATTGTTGTTGCAATTTACTATTATTATTATTATTATTATCATCATCAAATTAATGTACTTATATCCCTCCTTTCTCCCAGAGAAACGTATAAACATTTAAAAACATATACATAGAATACAAAGCAATAAAGACAAATGAGTTAAAAGCAATAATTAAAATACATCAGAACACAATTCTGATGTATTTTAGAGGTCCGGCAATTAAAGTCCAGTTTGCCCTGACAAAGAGACCCAGCGATCAGCACTCTCTGCCCCGTCATTTTCAAAAGCCTGTCCGAACAGGGCGCTCTGAACCTGCCGGCAGATGGATAACAAGGAGGGATCCGGTCTGACCTCTCTTGGGAGGGAATTTTGCAATATGGGAGCAGCCACAGAAAAGGCTCTCCTTCCTGCCACTGTCTCCCAGGCCTCTGATGTCGCTAGGACTGAGGGAAGGTGCTGATTTCTCAAATCTACAATCTCCGTTCACTTCTCTTTTCGTGCATACGTGCGGAAAGGCTGCAGATGCGCAAAAGGCCATTTGTCCCAGCCCACCCACTTTACCTGCTTCCTCCGCTGCCAGGAGAACCAGGAGGGCTGTCCAAATATACACCTTCATCCTGGAGAGGGGAGAGGGACCAGGTCCAGTCGAGTGGCAGAGCTTCCCTCCCCAACGGGCAAGGTCAAGGGAGACGCAAGGCGAGAGCGACTGGCTGAATCCGGCTTGCCTACGCCTTCCTCCCAAGACAGGAGTGTCCAGCGTCTGAGCTGAGCTTCTGCTCTGCAGTGCTCAAGTCTTCAGCAGGACTGCCCACCAACCACAGAACACATGCTTTCCTGCTTTTGAGGCCCCGATCATCGGGCTCAGCCTGAAGTTCCCCTTTCTCCAGTTCAGGAACTGAGAAGCATGCAGTCCAGGGAGGAGGAGGAGAAGAAGGGATTATTATTATACTACCCAGCATCTGTAGATCTCAGGACGGTTCACAACATAATTGCCACTCCCCAAGAATCTAAGGAAAATCGGCTAAGCCCAAATGCACCCATATTGATAACGGAATTGCAAATGGTCAACCATCCTGTTTTAAGCAGGACATCCCAGAATTACAGAAACCATTCCTGCTTCTGATTGGATCCCGGAATGTCCCATTTTTTGGCCTGTCACTCTTGTGCAAGTCTGGTGCAAGATCCTATTTAATAATACAGTGGTACCTTGGGTTACAGACGCTTCAGGTTACAGACTCCGCTAACCCAGAAATAGTACCTCGGGTTAAGAACTTTGCTTCAGGATGAGAACAAAAATTGCTCAGCGGCAGTGGAAGGCCCCATTAGCTAAAGTGGTACCTCAGGTTAAGAACAGTTTCAGGTTAAGAACGGACCTCCGGAACGAATTAAGTACTTAACCCGAGGTCCCACTGTATACCCTGTCCCTTTGACCGGGTTGCCCCAGCCACTCTGGGCTGCTTCCAACCTATATAAAAACATCTTTAAAAAAGGGTAAAGGACCCCTGACAGTTAAGTCCACTCGCGAATGACTCTGGGGTTGCGGCGCTCATCTTGCTTTACTGGCCAAGGGAGCCGACGTTTGTCTGCAGTTTTTCTGGTCATGTGGCCAGCATGACTAAACCGCTTCTGGCGAAACCAGAGCAGCGCACTGAAACGCCGTTTACCTTCCCGCTGGAGCGGTACCTATTTATCTACTTGCATTCTGACGTGCTTTCGAAGTGCTAGATTCAAACCTCCGACCTTCCGATCGGCAAGCCCAAGGCTCAGTGGTTTACACCACAGCACCACCCGCGTCCCATATAAAAACATAATAAAGCATTAAACATCAAATAACTTCCCTATACAAGGCTGCTTTCAGATGTCTTCTAAAGGTTGCATAGTTATTTATCCCCTTGGCTTGGAGGTTGCATAACTCCAACCCTGCAACATTTATCTGGTGAAAATAGGGATGTCCTAACTAGAAGTGGGACATTTTGGGATCAAATCAGAAACTGGGATGGCTTCTGTAAATCCCTGGAAAATAGGAACACTTGCAGGGTCTGCATTTGAAACACTATAACACCACTTTAAACAGTAGTGGATCTCCCACAAAGAATCATGGGAGCTGACATTGGTAAATGTGCTGAAAGTTGCTACGGGAACCTCTATTTCTCTCACAGAGCTAATTCCCCAGTGTTTCATGGGGAAAGGGATTGAATGTTAAGCCAATCTGTGAATTCTACAGACCCAGCGTTTTCTGGCCTACTTCTGAGTAAGCCGTCCCTGACACTCTTTCAGTGTATAAGGCTCCGCCTCTTCAGCTTTCCCATTGCTGAAAATACAGGTCTCGGTGCTTTAGCTTGGTTTGTTGAGACTACACTGCACCTTGAACTCTGATTTCGGGAAAGTGTTTTGGTAAAAGCCTTTACCCTCCTTGAACTGAGGCCTTCGCACCTGAGAGCATTCCCCCTCCTCCAGGGTATGCGACCATATTTTGAGTACTGTACCAAAACATTTCATAGACAGTTAACTGCATTTTAGACTGTAGGCTCCTCAGGGCAGAGATCCGTTACTCTGAAGGCTCTATATACCAGCTTCTCTCGAACCTGGTGCCCTCAAGATGTTTTGAACTACAGCTCCCATGAGTCTCCATCAGCACTGCTGGCTGTGGTCCAACATATCTGGAGGGTATAAAACAAATAAATTACACTCTTGAGGACAGGCTCCGTTGTGTCTATTCACTGTCTTTGTTTCCATAAAAAAAATTAATAGCTTTAATGCATTTTCCAGGCTGTTCAAAGAAGATGGCAACAGCTCACATCTCAACTGAGCAATTCATTTACTTGAGAGTTCCCTACATTTTTAAAAAAGGATAACAGGCGGCGCCAGTAAATGGATGCTTTAAACCCAGAAAGATACAGAGTGAAAAAAGCAGTTGCAAAAGTGCTTCTCTATTGCTTGCTGGTCTTTTCCTTCCTCTATAAAAACAGCCTCAATGTGTGTGGGGAGGGAGTGAAATCAGATATTGGTATCCGATTTATCACATTCAGCATCTGGAAATTTTGAAATCGCCTATTCTTGAGAGTTTCCATCCAAGGCAGGCAGTGGAGGAGCTCTGTCCCCACCAGAGGAAAAAACAAAACAATTTACTCTTGCTTTCCTTTGGACGCTTGCCTGCCTGCCTTCAAATTAGGCCCACAGTGTGAACGCTCAGAGACTCATTTCACGGTACCCACAGAAGCCACAAATCCTCCAATATAGGCACACGCTTCAGCTGGCTTCAGCCAACCAAAGCAAAACACTTTTCTTCTTCTTTCTGGAAGATGTGCCACAGACTAAGGGTGGCAAAGGTCTCTTGATGCCTAATGCTGGCCCTGTATCAGGTGCCAAATAATGCTCCTTTCACACTTCTTTTAAAAAAAACCACAGTAACCTTTTAGTGTGGCTCTGGCTATACTTTGGAACTCCCTGACTCTTGATGTTAGGCAGGGGCCTCTGCTGTACTCTTTCCGGTACCTGCTTAAAACACCATTGTTTGGGCAAGACTATCCAGAGATGTTAGACTGCTGCCATGTGTTTTGTTCTCTTTTATCTTACTGCTGATTTGAATTGTATTTTCAGCGTTCTTAAGCACTTGCTTTTAACAGTCTTTTATTGACATTATTTTTATTTCTGGAGGTTTCATTGCAGTCAAGCATTATGTAAGTTTTGCTACAGAAATGAAATTCGGAACTTGGCAAAAACTGGGCAGTGGGGTGGGGCAGAGAGTAAAGCCTGTAGAATGAACATAAGCACTCTTTTTACGTTTTGCATTCAGACATAATTATGGTCATAGGATTATGTCTGAATCTATGCTATCTTTGGCAGGGGGATGATTTCTGAGAGGCTGTGAAACAAGGCTCTCCCACCTGAGTTGCAAACCACAAGTCCATTACTGCTTCATGTGTCAGGATTGTACCTTATACAGTGGTACCTCAGGTTACATACGCTTCAGGTTACATACACTTCAGGTTACAGACTCCGCTAACCCAGAAATAGTGCTTCAGGTTAAGAACTTTGCTTCAGGATGAGAACAGAAATCATGCTGTGGTGGTGCGGCAGCAGCAGGAGGCCCCATTAGCTAAAGTGGTGCTTCAGGTTAAGAGCAGTTTCAGGTTAAGTACGGACCTCCAGAACGAATTAAGTACTTAACCTGAGGTACCACTGTATGTGTATGCGTGAGAGTGACCCTTTGCATGTGGGTTGCAAGACTGTTGAGTGTGAGCAATTTATGTATGAATGGTTGACTCACGACTTCAAGCAATGAATGGTCATAGAGGTTGCAGGCAATGGATGGCGAGATTGGATAAATTATTGAAATTTTATACTATACTGCCTTGTCGTCCTCTCTGGTTTTATGTTTATGGATATTTATGTATTTTGCTATGTGAACCATTTGACACGATTTTACTGAACTTAACATATTGATTTTGCGTATTTGCCTACTGTAAACTGCTTCAAGATGTTTCAAGGCAGTATGGCATAGTGGTTATAATGTTAGACTAGGAGCTGGGTGACCAGGCTTTGAGTCTTTACTCTGCCATGAAACTCAATGGGTGACCTGGGGCCAAGAAACTCAGCCCAGCCTACCACGCAAGGTTGTTGTGGGGGATTAAACGGGGAAGGGGAGAACCACACATGCAACCTTGAGAAAAAGGAGGGATAGAAATACAGTGGTACCTTGGCCTACAAACAGTCTAGTTCACAAACTATTTGGAACACGAACACTTCAAAACCGGAAGAAGGTCTTCCGGTTAGCAAACTTTTTTTGGAATCCGAATGTACTCAGTTTGGGGGTGCACTTGTTTTGAGTGCCACACTTCTGTTGTCTGGCAGCGGAGAAGGGGGGTGTTTCCTGCAGCTGTGCAGAAGGGAAGCTGAGCACCCACCAGCCAGCTGGTTTGCAGGAACGTAACTCCCCCCCCCCTGCTGCTCAGGAGGCATGCTCTCTAGGGAGCATTTCCCACAGCAGCGTGGGGGGATCTGTATGGATCCCAGTTCAGCTACTTATTGATTGATTGATTGATTGATTGATTGATTGATTGTGTGACTGCAGAAATGAATAAAAGCCCCCCCCCATCCAAACAATGACTATCATCAGTGCAGGTAAGAAATTTTTTTGATTTTCATTTTATCATCTACAATAATGTTTCACTTATTTTATAGTACAGTACACTGATTATTGCTGACGCAGGTGGCGCTGTGGGTTAAACCACAGAGCCTAGGACTTGCCGATCAGAAGGTCGGCGGTTCAAATCCCCGTGACAGGGTGAGCTCCAGTTGCTCGGTCCCTGCTCCTGCCAACCTAGCAGTTCGAAAGCACGTCAAAGTGCAAGTAGATAAATAGGTACTGCTCCAGTGGGAAGGCAAACGGCGTTTCCGTGCACTGCTCTGGTTCGCCAGAAGTGGCTTAGTCATGCTGGCCACATGAACCGGAAGCCTCAGCCAATAAAGCGAGATGAGCGCCACAACCCCAGAATCGGCCACGACTGGACCTAATGGTCAGGGGTCCCTTTACCTTTATGGACCAATGGTCTCGTTAGGTAGTAAAATTCATGTTAAATTGCTGATTTAGGGGTTGTTTTTAAAAGTCTGGAAAGGATTAATCCATTTTGTATTACTTTCTATAGGAAAGCGTACCTTTGGTTTAAGAATGGACTTCTGGAACAAATTGAGTTCGTAAACCAAGGTACCACTGTATATGAATTTTTCAGACAGCAAGTCGCATAGAAATGGAAATAATGAAGAAATAAACATGGCCAAATTAGGCCCAGCTGCTGCAGGCTGGCTCCCAACCAGTTTGTTCTCTCTGGAGCTGCCGAGGGTTGAACGCAGCCTGTTCCGTCTGCAAAGCAAAATGATGTCTGTGTGTATGCGTTTGCTTTTTTTTTAAAAGGCCCAGCACTGACAGAGAGAATGGGAAAAAGAGAACTCAGAGCTTCAGCCTTAAGCAAAGGAAGAGGAAGCTGAGGGAGGCGGAGGTGAGGCCCCGCTGGCAGATTCCTCATCAGAAACACACAGAGACACACCCTGAGTTTGCTGAGAGCATTTTGTTTAATTATAGCTAAGCCCTGCCTGCAGTGCAAGGAGGGCCACACAAGACTGTACACAGAGAGACACCAACAAAAGAGAGGAAGGACGGTGCATCAACGGTCCTTGCTGGGAGGTGCCAATTCAGGAGGGAATCCCCCTCTGTGAGGAGACGCTGTGGTTCACTCCAGGGGGCTCAATGCTTATCTATCCACTTCGCCAAAGACGATGTCCTGGGTGCCTGAGGAAGAGGAGGAGGAGAGGCGTGAAAGCTGCCAGGGATGGTGCCTACAGCCTTCATGTTAGACATTTGGCAGCGGAGGGCATTGAAGGGTTGCAGTCCCAGCCACACTTCACAATGTGATGGGACTTGCTCCTGGAAGAAGCATGCCTAGGAAGCAGGCTGCTCTGCTGCAACCCAGTGCTTCGCTTTTTAGGAAAACGGGATGCCCATCATCAAATGTTAGCAGACAACTTGGCCCACCCCACAAACTCCATTATGGAAACTCTCCCAAATGTGGGCTCTCCAGATGTTCCTGAATGACAGCTCCCATCATCCATGGCCATTGGCAACATCTGGAGGTCCAGAGGTTCCCCACACCTGCTCTGACACTTGGTACGAGTCAACTCCCTCTGCTCGTTCCACGATGAGAGAAACACTTTCCGAATGTGCTCAGAGGGAAACGTCGTCTTGTCCATGGGTAGGCAACCTAAGGCCCGGGGGCCAGAACTGGCCCAATCACCTTCTAAATTCGGCCTGTGGACGGTCCAGGAATCAGCGTGTTCTTACATGAGTAGAATGTGTCCTTTTATTTAAAATGCATCTCTGGGTTATTTGTGGGGCATAGGAATTTGTTCATTTTCCTTTTTTCCAAAATATAGTCTGCCCCCCCACAAGGTATGAGGGACAGTGGACAGGCCCCCTGCTGAAAAAGTTTACGGACCCCTGGTCTTGTCTGACAATCAGATCCTCCATGGAGGAGGTAGACCCAGATCTGATGGCTCAACTGTGGATTACCGTATTTTTCGCTCTATAGGACGCACCTTGTTTTAGAGGGGGAGAACAAGAAAAAAATATTCTCCCCCTCTCTGCTCAGCGGCCCTTCAGCAAAGCAGCAGGAGAAACGGAGCCCCTTCCATTTCTCCTCCTGCTTGGCTGAAGGGGCGCTGCGCAGCTCTCCCTCTCTGCTGAAGCCGGGAGAGTCTTGCTCTCCCGGCTTCAGCAAAAGGAACCTGAAGCCTGTGGAGCGCAGCGGGAACTCGCGCTGTGCTCCGGAGGCTTCAGGCAGCTATCCCCGAAGCCTCGAGAGCGAGAGGGGTCGGTGCGCACAGCTCGAGCGAGTGGGGCGGTGCGCACCGACCCCTCTCACTCTCCAGGCTTCAGCAAAAGCAACGCGAAGCCTCCGGAGCACGTAGAGAGCGCTCCCTCTGCACTTCGGAGGCTTCGCGTTGCTATCGCTGAAGCCAAGGATCCTGCATTCGCTCCATAGGACCCACACACATTTCCCCTTAATTTTTGGAGGGGAAAAAGTGCGTCCTACAGAGCAAAAAATACGGTAAATTAGCCTCGGAGAGGAAGCATTTAAGGATGGGGAAAACTATGTCCCTCCAGTTGTTATTGGACTCCAGCTCCCAGTAACCCCAGCCAGCGCAGCCAATGGTCAGGGATAATGGGAGCTGAAGTCCAGAAACGTTTGGAGAGTGCTGCAGGTTTCCTGACCCTCATACAGCAGCTGAGAGACTGAGGCTGCAGTCCTAACCCCACCTCCTTGAACATATGTCCCATTGAATTTAATGGGATTTGCTTCTGAGTGGGCACAGTGAGCACTGCAGACCGAGTCCCTGGGAATTCCGCCACCGGAATCCTCCATCTTGCTACTGGCAAGCTGCTATCTCTTCTGCCAAAGGGGCATCATTCTGCCTGCATGGATTATAAGCACCTGCTTGGCATGCAGACGGTCCCAGGTTCAGTCCTGGAAATCTCCAGGCAGGTGCACCTCATAGAGCTACAGTTACCTGCTTCCCACCTGCCTGCCCTCCCCCTCCCCCTCCCCTCCCCCTCCGCCAGCCAAAAAGTCAAACGAAAAGAATGGAAGTCAGACCTACCGATGATGGCCACCACGTCCGCAAGCATGTGACCTTGCGACATCTTATCCAGCCCAGCCTGCAGAAATGGGTAGGGGAGGCGAACATTTAAGAATGTCTATGGATTTGGTGTTTGCTTGTTTTCAATAGAATTAAATGTTAGATGGATGGGGCAAAGAGATAAAAAGATCAGGAGAAGCAAAGAGCTGGTCAGACCATCCTCCCTGCAGTACAGGGGTGAGGAATGTCAGGGCCAGGGGCCACATGCGGCCCCCAAAGTCTCTATCTGGCCCTCAGGACTCTCACTGCACCTCCAGCCCACCAAGGGCCCTGCTTTGTACTTTCCTTCAGTGCTTTTGCCTAAACTCTGATCATTCCTTTTCCTTGCCTGGATGGAGAGGGGTGTGTGCAAGGAGGATCATGCCTTCCCCATCCCTAATTCAAGGTTTAGAAGTGTCAGGAAGTGGAATAAAAACAGCACACAGGTGGCTTACACCAGATGTGGGGAACTGCTCCTCCTCTAGATGTTGCTGAATGACCATTCCCATAAGCCTCAGCAAGCACGGCCAGTGGTCAGGGATGATGGGGATTGTAGTCCAGCAACATCTGGGAGAGCCAAAGGTTCACCACACCTGGCTCAACATGTTCTCCTAAACAGCCTCCCACCACAAATGTGACAGGAGGGAAAAAGCAGAACTGGAAACCAAATTTAACTTGCTGAGGAATCTCAGCCTTGATTTTAAAAAGCATTTCACAAGGTCTAGAAACTTGAGGGTTTATTTTTTAAAAAAAAACACAAATGCACCAAGCAAACAATTCCTGCTGAAGTCATATGAAGCCAGCCTGGATAGCTCAGTTTGTTAGAGCATGGTGCTGAAATGCCAAGGTTGCAGGTTTGATTCCCATATGGGACAGCTGCATATTCCTGCACTGTAGGGGGTTGGACTAGATGATCCTCAGGGTCCCTTTTCCAACTCTACAATTCTATTAATCCAGGACCGTTCTAAGACTCCACACTTGCACCTACTTTTCAGGGCTTAGCCCCGCTGAACTCAACAGGACCAACTTCTGAAGAAACATGTAACATGTAAGTTTGTGCTGTGAATTAGGTTTTCCGCGGTTGAGAGGCCCAGTGATCTGGAGAGATCAATTTGCCTCTCTTGCAAGTTCAACTGAAAAGGAATCATGTAAAAAGAAACACGGGAATTTGCTTAACTCGGAGACAAGATTCAGAGGGGTCAGCATTTTTCTGGAAACACGACAAGTTTTGAATGAGTTTTTTTTGTACCATGCAGAACTCACATTACCCTCCCTGCATGTGCACCCGAAACCACAACCGAAACACAGAGTTTTCCCAACTCTAGGTGACGAGAAGAGGAACACAATAGAGGAAGGAAACATCCCCTACACACACACACAAGCACACACACAAGCAAAAAACAACAACATGCCAGTCAAACAAATGAGAAGAAGCATACAGTCCCTCTTTTTGCAATGCTGAACTCTCCTAGCCTGTAAGGAAGAATGACTACCAGAAATAGTTCAAGGAAGAGCCGGGAAATTCCCCCTGCCAGCCCCCTGAGCAAATATTTCCAGTGCTGTTCTATTAAAACATGCGGCAAGGACACCTAACCAAATCTGACGTATTGCCATCTGCTTTTCCCAAGGCAAAGAAGGAGGGGCAGGGCTTGCCATGACCGTCCCCACCCTAGCTTACTGATATCAAGAAGCTTATATAATAACAATATAATAATAATTTATTATTTATACCCCGCCCATCTGGCTGGGATTCCCCGGCCACTCTGGGCGGCTTCCAACAGAACACTAAAATACAATAACCTATTAAACATTAAAAGCTTCCCTAAACAGGGCTGCCTTCAGATGTCTTCTAAAAGTCTGGTAACTGTTGTTCTCTTTGACATCTGGTGGGAGGGCGTTCCACAGGGCAGGTGCCACTACCGAGAAGGCCCTCTGCCTGGTTCCCTGTAACTTGGCTTCTCGCAGTGAGGGAACCGCCAGAAGGCCCTCGGTGCTGGACCTCAGTGTCCGGGCAGAACGATGGGGGTGGAGACGCTCCTTCAGGTATACTGGACCGAGGCCGTTTAGGGCTTTAAGGTCAGCACCAATACTTTGAATTGTGTTCGGAAACGTACTGGGAGGCAGTGTTGGTCTTTCAAGACCGGTGTTATATGGTCTCGGCGGCTGCCCCCAGTCAAAAGTCTAGCTGCCGCATTCTGGATTGGTTGTAGTTTCCGGGTCACCTTCAAAGGTAGCCCCACATAGAACGCATTGCAGCTTCCTTTGTTGGGTTTTCTACAGGTGCCTCATTTGGGACAGACAAAGGGTACACTGCCCTAGCCTCACTCGACCCTCAGCCAGCCCCCCCCCAGCCCCTCTGCCTGCCTTCTTTCTTACATTCAGCCCAGAGGGTGGCCCAGCCTATCAGCTTCCTCCTCCTTCTCAATCTCAGAGTTGCCCTTGTAGAACATAGGGATAGTTGGGTCTGCCCTTGGTTGGCTCTGGCGCCACCTACCTGCCTCCCACCCCGCCAGTCCCAATGGGCACCGGCCATTTCCCCTTTCCTCCCTTGTCCCTCTTACCAGGTGGGCGAATCCTGGAGCCTTTATCTTGCAGCGGTAGGGCCGGCTGCTTCCATCAGAGACCAGGTACACACCAAACTCCCCCTGCAGGATGAGAATGAAGAGGAGCAGAGGAGAGGAGATTTAGATGACCCAAATTGGGAAGCCGGGTTACCATGGTACATGGGGTGTGAGAGGGCGGGGAGAGAGCTTGAAGCAGAGGTGGCTTTAGAACTTCCCCAATGAGAGAGTTGCAAAGGATTCTGGGACTCCAATGAGAAGAGGCAGGCAACATAAAAAAGGACACGTCCACACTATGCATTTAAAGCTGTATTGTACTGCTTTAAAGAGTCACGGTTTTCTTGCAAAGAGTCCTGGGAGCTACACTTTGTTGAGGCTGCTGAGGGTTGTTAAAGGTAAAGGGGCCCCTGACCATTAGGTCCAGTTGTGGCCGACTCTGGGGTTGCGGCGCTCATCTCGCTTTACTGGCCGAGGGAGCCGGCGTACAGCTTCCGGGTCATGTGGCCAGCATGACAAAGCCGCTTCTGGCGAACCAGAGCAGTGCACGGAAACGCTGTTTACCTTCCCGCCGGAGCGGTACCGATTTATCTACTTGCACTTTGACGTGCTTTTAAACTGCTAGGTTGGCAGGAGCAGGGACTGAGCAACGAGAGCTCACCGCGTTGTGGGGATTCGAACCGCTGACCTTCTGATCGGCAAGTCCTAGACTCTGTGGTTTAACCCACAGCACCACCTGCTTCCCTTCTGAGGGTTGTTAGGACACCCCTAAAAGAGCTACAGTTATCAGAGTAGTTTAACAATCATTCTCTCTTCCCAGGGAACCCTGGGAACTGTGAGTCTAGGCTGAGAATTAAGCTCCACAGATGCTCTCATGGTAAGAAGGAGGTATACCAGAGGGCAAGATTTGGCTGGCGACCCTACTGACAGCAAACTCAGGCACTGACCAGATTGAAGTAAAAATGGGGCCTACGATGAAGAAAGTGGAATCAGCATACTTGCAAGCATCCTGGGGCTTCCAGAAGTAAGGGGACAAATCTTTTTTTGGTGGTGGTGGGGGAATATCTTAAAAATGCACCAATATCTTTAAAATGCACCAAGGAAACCCAACCACAGCCCAGCGTGGACTGAGCATGCTCAGTAGCTACAGAATGCTGAATATCGGTTTGGTGCAGGAAGAAGCAATGGGAAAGAGGGAGATCAGAGTGGCGGAATATCCAGGGAAAGGGCGTGTCTGGCTGGAGCCCAGAATGGGAGCTCTCCATTTTGTTGCCGGTCCGCTGTTCCCTCCAACTGCTCAGAGCACAGGACGGTACCTTGGGTGCCTCTATAGCTGTGTACGTAGCTCCAGGGGGCACTTGGTATCCCTCTGTGTACAGCTTGAAGTGGTGGATCAGGGCCTCCATGGAAGTCTGGCGAGGGGGAATAAAAGATACACGCACACTGTAAAACCCAATAAAAAAATTCCTTCCAGTAGCACCTTAGAGAGCAACTAAGTTTGTTACTGGTATGAGTTTTCATGTGCATGCACACTTCTTCAGATACAGTGGTACCTCGGGTTAAGTACTTAATTCGTTCCGGAGGTCTGTTCTTAACCTGAAACTGTTCTTAACCTGAAGCACCACTTTCGCTAACGGGGCCTCCTGCTGCCGCCGCACCGCCGGAGCACGGTTTCTGTTCTCATCCAGAAGCAAAGTTCTTAACCTGAGGTACTATTTCTGGGTTAGCGGAGTTTGTAACCTGAAGCGTATAACCTGAGGTACCACTGTACTGTAAAACCCAGACAAAGGAGAGCTTCCCCGTTTCACCACTAGGAGGTGCCACCTCAGCTCAGGGATGGTTTTGTTACCTTCATCTCTGCCCGCTTTGGAGGGGAGATTTTGGCATCGTCCACTTTGATCTCCCCCTCGGGCATCTTGTTGAGGGCCTGCAAGATGATACGGAGGGATTGGCGCATCTCCTCCACTCGGCACAGGTACCTGTGAGGGAGTGTGGGGTAATGGTTAAAGGTGAGAATTCAAACCCCTAACTCAGTCATGAAGCTCGCCAGGGGTGGGTGGGTGGGGCAGTGGTCATGGTCTCTCAGCCCCTCCTACCTCACAGGGTTGTTGTGAAGATGAAACAGAATTGGAGGAGAAGGGCAAATACCACATTCAGTTCCTTGGCAGCAAGGTGAGATACAAATGCAATAAATAAAACGTTGGGCGTTCTAGTAAAAAAACACAACGGTGTAGACCGAACTAGTCTTGAGCAACTAGTGTGGCATAGTGGTTAGAGTGTTGGACTAGCAGCTGGGAGACCAGGGTTCAAACCTGGCCATCAAATTCACTAGGCCAGTGCCTGTCTCTCAGTCTAAGTTACCTCGCAGGGCTGTTTTGTGAGAATGAAGTGGGGGGCCGGGGAAAAACCTTGAAATGGAAAAGGGGAGAACCACACATGCCACTTTGAGCCCCTTGAACGAAAGGTGGGATATAAATTTATCGGTTTGTACCCAATGTTAGTCCTACTTAGAACAGACCTGCTTAAATAAATCAACATGAATAACTTAGGCTAATCGGTTTTGGCCAACTAAATTCTACTCAGAGCAGACCCACTGAGCCTAAGTTATGCATGCTGTTTAATTTCAATGGGTCTGTTTTGACTAGACTAACATTGGATATAATCAAATACTATACAGAACTTGGCTGGGTACCACCCAACACTAATATTAAAATTAACAACAAGCCAGGGAGCTAGATAGTGAAGAACCAGACAGAGAGAAATCCCAGGAAGGTCCCATTAACAGAGCACACCAGGAAGGGAGCTAAGGAACAGACTGCCCCCCTTCAGGCCAGAGGGTGGGCCCTTTAAGAATCTAGAGCTCATCACAGAGAGGTGGAGCCTGAGAGCAGGAGCTTAAAAAGGCTTATTCTTCTCCCAACCTTCCAAGGAGCCAAGTTGCTCATGTGGAGTTCTCCATGGTCCTGAAATGTTTGACCGGCAGGGCCTCCTTCTCCCAGGGATCCTGCATCGAACCAAGCCAACACAAGCATGGCTCTTTTCAATCCAAGCTCTCTGCAATTGCCACAAGAATTGGGGGAAGGAGGGGTCGGCAGTGACAGCTCATAATGGACTTGGCTAGAAAGTCAAGTCAAAATCTGTAGGCAGGTGAGATAATATTTCAAAAGTGGGAGACTTTGGAAGGAATCCACGACCCATCGCAGCAGAGGAAGACATTGGATGAACCATTTTGACTGCTCTTATGACGAGAGAGACATTGTGCTTTTTGAGGCATTGCATACTATTACTGAGAAGTTGCTGGACAAGCTCTTGGGGGCGTGCAGACCACCAAGTGCAGGTAAACCCCCCTCCAGAAAGCGGAACCACACCTGTCGTAGCAGTCGCCTCGTGACCCAATCGGGACATCGAACTCCACCTGGTCGTAGACGTCGTACGGCTGGGTTTTGCGAAGGTCCCACTGGATCCCTGAGCCACGAAGCATCACTCCGCTGACGGGGAAAGAGGAAGAGGAGAGATGCAGGAGGGAAAACGCAGCTTTTGTGCCCAAGGTTAAAGTGAGCACCCACACAGTGCAGGACGCCCTAATCCTGGTGGACACCAGCTTCACCACGTGATTTCACTGCTCCGTTACCTAAAACCATAATTGAGAGCTTCCTCCGACGTCACCACTCCAATATCAACTGTCCGGTTTTTCCAGATTCGGTTGTTTGTCAGCATCTGGAGGGATGGAGGGAAAGAAAAGATACGACTAACTGAGCCGTGGAATATTGGAGGAGTGGGGAACCCCAACCAGCTCTTCCCCCTTCAGATCACTGATTTCCAACTAGGCAGTTGTGCTCATGGCACAATTATCAGGTTCTGTTTTATATTTCTCTTAGGATAGGGTTGGTGCTATTGAACTATACCTCCCATCATCCCCAACCATTGGGCTATCCTGATTACAGGCAGCTGGACCCCAACAAGATCTAGAGGGTCACAGGCTCCCCAACCTTGGTTTAAAAGGAAGAAACCATGGAGAAGAACAGAGAGTGTGGATGTCACAACAAACCATAGTTTAAGCATGATAAGCCATAGCTTAAACGCAATAAACTATGGTTTACTGTGACCAGCACAAGCCTAGGACTCTTCTTCCCCTGCTCCTTCTTTAGCACGGGTGCTAGAGCCTGAAACTGTTGTTAATTTTAACTCTGGTTTGCAGAAGTATTTATTTTATTTCAAGCAGTTAAAGCCACTTCTATAAAAAGGAAACCTCTAGGTGGTGTACAACATAAAAACAGCACTGTTGAAACAAAAATACAACATTAATACCCTTGAAACAAAAGCAGGAATTCATACAGATGAAAACGGGGTCTGATCTTTTGGCTCAGGGAGAATCTGAGTGAAAAGATACATCTTTTACAAGTACAAAAGATCTTTGGGGGGAAAACAAACAATCTCAAGGAGTGCCCCCCCAACTCCCATGAAAACTTAATGTGCTCAGTAGGCATGAAATACTGCCTGCCTGTTGGAGGGGAAACTAGGGGAGGAGCATAGGATGGCTGAAAGAAAGCACATTTGTTTGACTGGCACCCTCAAGAGGGATTTTAAAAAACCCAAACAGCAGGAGCCTGCCACAGTAGCTTGGGTGGTCACCGAGAAACCTCATGGTAAGGGCTGCCCCCACCCCCCGTTTGTCAACAACGCCTCACCTCTTCCACCTCGTCTATCCGGATGGAGAAATTCTTCACAAACTCATAGATGTCATCCATCAGCCCGAGAGGCATGTCCTGAGTGACAGGGATGGAGAAGAAGAGAGGAGCAGATGCTGAAAAGACATTTTGGGATTGTGTTCAACTAAGACTAGAACCGACAGTGGATACAACCCATGGAGAGAGAGAGAGGTCCTGGAGAACTAGTGGTCTTCCCGTCTCTGTGAAAAACAAGTCTTCAGACCTGCCCAATCCAACCTGGCTGTCCACCTGTCTGGTCACAAAGCAGCCTTCTCACCTGGTGTACCCCTCCTGGTCGGACGTAAGCAGCGTGCATCCGGGCTCCAGACACCCGCTCGTAGAATTCAAACATCTGGAAGGCAGACAAAGAGGGAGGGAAGGGGAACATTTTACAGGTGCAATCCTGTGGACAGCTCCCAACTCGCCTCTCCCATTCTGCCATGAGCCAGTGGCTTCCCCACCTGATGCCTTCTTTTGGGCTAAGGCTGGCTGGGGCTGACAAGAGCAGGGTTGGACTAGATGACCCTTGGCGTGTCTTCCAAGGACTCTACAATTCTATGATGCTATGCAACGCTCAGTGTTTTTGACTAGGCCTGGCTGGGGCTGATAGGAGGTGCAGTCCCAAATACCTAGAAGGCACCAGACTGTCAAAGGCTGTAGGTTTCTTGGTTTCATCCCCAACATCCCAAGTTCGCACAGCTACGAACTTCGTGCTTGAGGTGTCAGGATGCTGCCACACATCACGGCAGGCAGCACTGGGATAAGAGAGAATAACGTTCCTACACCGCTGAGCAAGAGCCCTGTGCATGGCTCAGTAAGTAGAGCAGGAGACTCTTAACCTCAAGGTTGTGGGTTTGAGCCCCAGGTTGGGCAAAAGATTCTTGCATTGCAGGGGGTTGGACTAGATGACCCTCGTGGTCCCTTCCAACTCAACGATTCTAGGATTCTAACTCTCCGTGTACGCTGTGCCACAGGGACCAGAAAGAGTTGTGGGTTTTATGGAATCTGCCCGGGCTTGCTTCTTTTGCATCATTTAGAAACTAGCAGGAGATGCAAGGTGCAGTAGGGCATTTATGCCTCGTCCCACCACCCCCAAGAACTTTTTTTGGGTTCTGACTTTGTGCACAGAGTTCTAATGCAGGCTTCCACAATAATCAGGACTAGAAACCTTGTCAATTACTTTTTAAAAACAGAGGTTAATATGCTCAGGACAATGAACCTGGCACCGTTTTTGAGGGATGTGTGTGGAATCAGAGAATACCTTGAGCAGAGTCAGGAAGTCCCTTCTTATATGTCACCCTAACAACCATCTAGGGAGGTATGCCAGTAGTCTTATCCCTCTACTGGAGATGGCAGGGTAGAGGGCTTGCCTAATGATCACCTAGGCAGTTTTGATACATGAGGATTTAAAAGTTCAAAACTAGAACTCTGAAACTTGTCTGGGAACAAATGGGCAGCCGGTGTTGAAGCTGGCAGATGGCACTCCATGCCACCAAGGCCACTTGCGTCTCCGATGACAGCGCTGGATCCAAGAGTACTTGCCTTTTCCCTCTCCTCAAACATCCAGAAGAAAGGAGTCATGGCCCCAATGTCCAGGGCGTGGGTTGTGATGGCCATGATGTGGTTCAGGAGACGTGTGATTTCGCCAAAGAGAACTGGAAAGGAGGCAGAGACTCAGGTTAGCTACTGTGAACGCAGAACCGGGGGCATGTAAGGAAATGGATGGGGAGGAGAGATAGGGCACATATTAAATGCTACGATCCTAAGCATGTTTACTCAGCCCCATGGAACTCAAAGGGGTTCACTCCTTAGTTAGTGTCTTTAGGACTGAGGCCTAGGACACAGTGAAGGGGTGAGGTACCCGTGACCCACTCACATCCTCCCCAATGTGATGGGCTGGCTGGATGCAGAGGAGAGGTGGGAGGCACTAGCTGGGGAACCCCCCCAAGGGAAGAAGACCCAGAGCCAGGAGATCCCTGGTGGTGGGATGATGATATTGATCAGAAAGAGAAGAAGGGAGGACTGGGAGCAGGAGGTGTTGGAAGCTGAAGAGGTGACAGGGTTTAGGGAGCAAGAAGAGTCTATGTCAGAGAGCAGTCCAGAATCAGAGGCAGAAGCGGAGGAGGGGGGCCAAGAGGCAGAGATCAGGCAGGCTGCTGAAGAAGCCAGGGCAAAGGGCAGCTCCCCACTCCCCATCCCGCTCTCACAGAACTTTGCCAAGACATGAAGAGGGTGGAGGAAAGAGACAGAAGATGAAGGAGCCTCAGAACTTGGGGGGGGGGACACTTAAGGAGAGGTGGGAAGGTGGGGAGCATCTGCCCTCGCAACTGCCTCATTGGGACTAGTTCTGCTGTGAAGAGTTGTTGTGCTCACTGGCCTGAGCTGTGCTTGTTTCTTTGAATAAAGAGTTAACTTCACTGACACATGAGTTATTGCTGACCTGACCCCAACACCTGCCCTGACACCCAGCCAACACAACCAACAGGCAGGCAGGGATGATGGGAGCCGGAGTCCAACAACATCTGGAGGGACACAGGTTCCCCTTCCCTGATGTTAGCTTGTTTAAAGGTACACAAACCAAGGAGGAAACATGGGCTGCAGTTCAGTTGCACTGCTTCATTTGCTAGCTGCGAGACACACCCTCGTAAGCTGCCTGCTTTGCTTACTCACCTCGGATCCACTGAGCCCTCAAGGGCGGACGGATGTTGAGCAGCTTCTCCACTGCCAAGGAGTAGGCTTGCTCGTTGCACATCATAGAGACGTAGTCAAGCCGGTCAAAGTAGGGCAGAGCCTGGGCCAGAAAAGGATAGTTTGAAAGCAGCTAGAGACTTGCTCCAGGATCTTCAGAACATATTAAGAGTTTGACTGGATCAGGCCAGTGGTCCCTCTCGCCCAATGTCCTGTTCTCACAGTGGCCAACTGGAGGCCCGTGATGGGAAGCCTGCAAGCGGGACCAGAGTGCAAGAGCAGCTCCTGCCACGATTACCTGGAGATAGGTCTTGTACTCTATCAGCTTCTCGGTGCCCCGGTGAAGCAAGCCGATGTGGGGGTCACATTTCTTCACAGACTCCCCGCTCAGCTCCATGACCAAACGCAAGACCCCATGAGCCGCAGGGTGCTGAGGCCCAAAGTTGACGGTCAGATTGGAGACATTTTTCTCAAAGGGCGGGTCCTTGTCTGTTGGGGTCAGAAGAGCACATGTGAGACATCTTGCTGGTAAGGCAGGAGAAGGGAGACCTTCCTCAAGCTAACGGCTGCACTTACTCGTAGGCCAGCAACTGGGGAAACACATCTGTGGGTGGGGCAAGAAGCAAAAGTGGGAGGAGCAAAGGATATTACTTTTACCCAGGGATGGGGAAACTCAGGCTTGAGGGCCTCGGGGCTCTCTGCAGGCCACACACCCTCCCAAGCCACACTGCTTACCAGCCCTGCTGTGTCTCTTTTGCAAGCATTTTTTTCTGGCTAGAATGTGTCATTGAACTGTGATGATGCCCCTTGCTGACCAGGAGACAGAGAAGGGTGGGTGGGTGTAGAAACCTCGGGGTTTTGTGTGGCTGAAGGTAGCTTACTGTACAAAGGTAAGGGCAAAGAAGGGGGAACCTTCCAGGCGCCACCTAGTAATAATAATAATAATAATAATAATAATAATAATGTAATAATAATAAAATTATGCTACCCATAATTGCCCAGTAGTGAGCAAGGCCAGAGGCAAAAGTGGGCATAGCAACAAATGAGGATTTTACCTTTCTAAAGCTAGTTTCTTCACACACTGTGTTTGTTTTTTAATGAGATTGTTTTATTTTGATTATGTGTGGATGTTCTGTAATTGATCCAACATGGAAGCCAACCTACTCAAAAGCAGACCCCATGAAATTAATTGACTTAAGCTAGTTTTTGGACTACAACTCCCTTCATCCCTAGCAAGCAGAACCAGTGGTCAGAGATTATGGGAGCTGTAGTCCAAAAACAGCTGGGGACCCAAGTATGAGAAACACTGCTACATCAATAAATACAGCAGAACAATATTATATTTCTTCCCACTGAGAAACTCCACATGAGATGGAGACTCCATTCAGTTTTATGGAGGAAACTCACCGTTCCAGGGAGGAGGGACCCATTTTTCCATCTCTTTTGTGGGATACATGACAGCGCCTCCATACTGCTGGACATACTCCACATCAGGCTGCCACTGCTTTCCTCTAAGGAAGGGAAGAAGAAATGTTAAGATCTGCTCAGGCAGCAACACTCAGTATGAACCTGAAAATAGGATGCTGACTAGCTTGTGTTTTAGGGCAAGCCTTGGCACTAGGATAGATGCTGACCTTGGGAGACATGCACCAGATCTGGCTCCAGATTTGTTTTCCTGGCTTTGAGTCAGTTGTCCGTAAGACCAGCCCAACACTGTACAGTGGTACCTCAGGTTAAGAACTTAATTCGTTCTGGAGGTCTGTTCTTAACCTAAAACTGTTCTTAACCTGAGATACCACTTTAGCTAAATGGGGTCTCCAGCGGCTGCCATGCTGCAGGAGCACAATTTCTGTTCTCATTCTGTTCTCAACCTGAGGTACTATTTCTGGGTTAGCGGAGTCTGTAACCTGAAGCGTCTGTAACCCGAGGTACCACTGTATTTTTATTTATTTATTTTACTGGCAGCTCAACACAAGTTTATTTTTGTATTTAAGGAATTTATACCACATCTCAAAGCAGCTTACAGGGGCGAAAATAAAAGCGCACTATACACAAAATTTAAAACATAGATTCCAACCTCTCGCACTGCCAACAAAGACAAACAAATAACGAACCTACCCACAAAGCACACATACACTATGCCAGGCTTCCTCAACCTTGGCCTTCCAGATGTTTTTGGCCTACAACTCCCATGATCCCTAGCTAGCAGGACCAGTGGTCAGGGATGATGGGAATTGTAGTCTCAAAACATCTTAAGGGCCAAGGTTGAGGAAGCCTGCACTATGCAAAAGAATGAAAAACCATCACTTCTGGGTTCCCGCAACATGGCGGATGGACGGCGGATCTGACAGCTCTGTCAGATTCGGCCTCATGGAGCCTCCGGGGAAGAGCAAAAGGGTGATGCGCTTCCCCCCCCCCCCCAAGCCCAAGAGGAGCATTGGGGTGTCTCGGGGTCCTGCTGTTCACAGACGGCGCCTCGGCATTGCAGGTTTCTGTTCTCCATCCCGAGAGGTGCAGAGGGTGGGGGTGAAGCCGAGTGAAAGCGCCGGTGAACTAGGAACCATTGCAGCTCCGTGAAGCAAAGCCTCTGATCCAGCCACAAGTGGTTACCATTCCAGTATATTAAAGCTGACTGCAAAGGTGAGGACTGTTTAATTTGATTGATTCGGTGGGGTAGAGGGAGAACGGGAGTGTTAAAAGGAAGTTTGCTCCCGTTCCTGGTGCTATGAGCATGAAATACATACAAGTGAAGTGTTGATGAAGTTTACCTTGGGAGATAAGTTAACTAATGAACAATAAGGATTAAAAGATTACACATAGCTTTCGTTTATACTAATCTCAATATTTTTTAAAACATCGAACTTGACTTGAACTCAATTTGAACTTGAATCTCTCCTATGCTGTGATTGAACTTGACTTAAAATGGAGGACAAAGCGGAGAAGGATTGCAATGTTATTTAATGGAAGAATACTACAAATTTCCTCTCTGGAAGAAAGATTGGACTGACTGAATCTACGGTACTTTTGGAAAAGAAATTTTTGATCTTTCAGAGTGTTGAAGACATCTAACCTAATGGAATTATAATTGTGGACTTATTTTATTAAAAGATGTTAGCTTGTTAAAAATCAGGATAAAAAAAGAGAACTATAATATTCATTCTTAATATTAGGCTAAATCAGACTTTAAAATAACATTAATATTATAGTTTTACTTATATTGGTACTCAAAAATCATTTTGATGTGAATGGGTGTAAATATGGGAATATATAACTGTTAAAAACTGCTTTTGTGAGTAAAGTGGAAGGGCGGGAGGGAAGAGGCTGGAAGTACTGGTTTTCTTTACTGAGCATAGTGAATTGGCCTTGACAAAGTACTGATAAAGCCAAAATATTACCTTCCTTTGGTGGGAAAGGACTTTTTGTTTTGGAATTTAATCTTAGAGAGGAAGTTGGGAAATGGGGAGAGAATTGGCCCCCCTTTATCCCTCCAAGGAGCTGAGCGGATGGGTAGAAGTGGGAAGGTAAACAGCGTTGGGTACCGTCGTGGCGGGAAGGTAAACAGCGTTTCCGTGCACTCTGGTTTCCATCACAGTGTTCCGTTGCACCAGAAGCGATTTAGTCAGGCTGGCACAAACATCGGCTCCCTCGGCCTGAAAGCAAGATGAGCACTGCAACCCCATAGTCACCTTTGGCTAGACTTAACCATCCAGGGGTCCTTTACCTTTATACATTTACCTTACCATGCAAGAGCATATAGAAAATGAATCCAGGCCTGGGGACTGATGCTGCTGGACTCCAACTCTCATCAGCCTGCATAGCTGTCAACTTTTCCCTTTTCTTGTGAGGAATCCTATTCGGAATAAGGGAATTTCCCTTTAAAAAAGGGAAACGTTGACAGCTATGCAGGACGGGTGTGTGTGCATTTATGTTAAGAACTATGGTCCAACATATGGTTCCCCACTCCCACCCCCAGCGACAAAAGGGGTTGCCCTACATGCAACGCAGAACGTCATTTGAATTGAGGTTCATCTCTTCTCTCCCCCAAACCTCTTTCAGTCTTTGGCCTCTGAACAGAAACGCACGGTGCGATGGGCAGAGACGCTGCCTCTGGGCATATGCAGAGGGCGCCTTTCCTCACAAGCGTCCTTCTGCAAAGGCGATTGGAGGGCAGAGGTCTCACGTCATAGCACGGCTTCCATGAGGACTAGGACCTTGACATTTCTCTAGAAATTCACCGGGGTGGGAAGGGAGCCGCGTAGCCGTAACGGTAGACCCTCAGTCATTAAAACGAAAAGAGGGAAAAGCTATTTCCAGGGTGGTGTGAAAAGGGTGGGGGGTATTACCTGCTGGGCGCCGCCCCCAGCGCAATCCCCTGTCTCCATGACCCTGAAGGTGCCCGCAATCTCCACAAAGCCCTGAGCGCCGCCATCTTCCTTGCGGGGCTGCGGCAACCCACAGACGTCAAACCCGCGCATGCTCCCCTTTACTTCAGAGCTTCGGAGCGGCCATTGTAGGTAAGGGCAAAGGGGGAAATCCTTCCCTTCTCCTGCCAAGGAGAGAGAAGGGCAGCCGACTTCACAGCGGCCGCGGAGCGAGCTGCGCGTGCGTAGTAAGAGCACTAGGAAGTTGCCGTAAACCGACGTTCTGCGCGTCCGCCGTGTGAGGACCGGGAGTCAACTTCAGCGGCTGCCAGTGAGCATGCTCAGCAATACGTCACGCGCTGGCTGACCTGATAGCGATTCTATAGAGTCATTTAAACCGGAAGTGACCTTTCTGGGACCGGAAAAGGGAAAGGAGGACCTGTTGCCTTTTCTGATGCTGGAGTGAGAAGCGGTGACCTTTCCTGCAAGGAGCTGAGCGGGTGCGTAGTAGAGGGAATGTGGTTGGAAAGGGTTCTATCACGCCGGCCTTTATACTCTCAGGATTCAGAAGTCCACTGTTAAGGGTCCTCGATCTCTCTCTACTCCGGTGTAAACAGCACCCACTAGAACAGACATAGGCAAACTCTGGCCCTCCAGATATTTGGGACTACAATTCTCATCATCCCTGACCACTGGTCCTGTCAGCTAGGGATGATGGGAATTGTAGTCCCAAACATTTGGCGGGCCGGGTGCCTGCACTAGAAGCTTCCTGGAACCATGAGTCCGTCTAGCTCAGTCTTGTTTCCCCAACCTTACCCAATTTTTGGTCCCCACACGTTGTTGGACTACAGTTCCCATCATCCCTGACCATTGGGAGTTGTAGTCCAACATCACCTTGGGGCCCAAGATTGGGAAAGGCTGTTCTACACAGATGTTACTGGACAAGCAGGGCAACTTCCCCCACCAAGGTGCATCCTGGGCCTTCATTATATAGCTTCTGGTGAATGCTGGAAAAAATGCACCTCTTTACCCTGGCTTTTGACACTTGATGTGTATATTTTTTTAGGGCCCACCCTATTTCTGGAATTTTAAAGTTGTTTTTAATGTTATGTAATGTTGTGTTTTTAATGTTACTAGTGTGTTTTAAGAATTGTAACCTGCCCTGGGACCTTAGGGTGAAGAATAGGTAATCAATTGCAGGAATAATAATAAAAACTGCAACTCCCATTGTCCTTGACCCTTAGCCTTGCTGGTGGGAGTTGTAGCACAACCACATTTGGAGGGCAAGAGATTCCCCATTCCTGGTCCATGTGGTTCTGAGATGCTAACCTCTTTTTGTCATGCAGATGTAGTCAAAGGTTGATACTTGGTCTTGCTTCACCCTGTATTGAAAGTGAGTCACTGGAAAACTCCCTTAAACAACCCCCTATGCAAAGTTAAAATGTTGGGAGAATGCACTCCACTTCAGCAGTGTTTTGCTAATCCTATACTTTTCTGTCATTCCTGTTTCCTTTTGCAGAACAGCCTGCCAAGATGGGTATTCACTTTGGAAACTTGGAGAGAGTAAGGCATGTGATCACCTACAGCTTGTCTCCATTTGAACAAAGAGCTTTCCCACACTTCTTCTCCAAAGGAATTCTTAATGTCTGGAGGCGGTTCAGTACACAGGTCTTCCGGGTGGTGCCTCGTAAGTTTAAAATTATTTAGGCTGCTCCTTCTGCTTCTTGCTTGTGTGCGCTGTGTTACCCTTGAGGGCTGGTTCTTTCTCCAGGATTAGTGCATTGATGTTCAAAGTGAAGATCAAAGGAAGTACTTAGGATGTTGGTTTCAGAAGAAGGCAATCTCTGGAGCAACATATGGCATGGGGGGGGGTAGCAGTTTCTTCATTGCCATCATATTGCCATGAGGGCGTTGAGCAGATTAGATGAACTTCATTATTGTTATTATTTATTTCATTTATGAATAGCTTCCTATGAATTAACTTGAAGTTACTTTGGAAACTTAAGTTGTTCCAGAATGCAGCAGCCAGATTATCAGATGAAGTACTGTTTAGATCTCACATAGCCCAGTTTTAAAACTGTGGTATTTTCTTCTCCCCAACCTCCCGCCATGAGAGTTCTTCCCTTCCCTGCCTCCCAAAAAGGGTTTTTCATCCACTGTCCATCACGAAAAGTGATGGATCTGCATGCTAACCCCTTCTTAACCCTGAGTAGAGGGCCACAAAAGAACAGAGCAAAGCAGAAACAAAAAGAAAGTAGAAAAGAAAAAGAAAGGATAACAAAGGGATAAGAATATTAAAGGACTAATACTGTATACTAATAAGGGAAGTAAAGAAATAGGTTAAAAGGACTTCCAACTATCCATCTGTCGGTTATATATATTAGAGTTCTTCAAAATAGTCAAGTGTTCAATCCAGGATAGTATCCAGCTGGATTATAAATTGTTTTAATTGTTGTAACACATCCTGGGATCTTGGGTTGAAGGGCAGGTAATTAATAAAATTAAAAACCCAGAATTTAAAGAACCCAGAATTTCAGATCAAATGCAGATAGCAACTGGGGTAAAAAATTCCCCTTATAAGGCTTCTTGAAATAGAGAAGTTTTCAGCAGGCACTGAAAAAACAATAGAGATGATGCTTGTCTTACATGTAGGTGGGGGGAGTTCCCAGTTCTGGCATTGCGCAGGCAGACCTGCTGATGAGATGGTTATCTTCAGAAGGCCCTCTCCTGTAGAACACAGTGACTGGCTGGGTATCTAGGGGATGAACCACTCTTTTACCTATCCTGGTTCTGAGCCATACAGGGTTTTGTGCCAACACCTTGAACTTAGCCTGGTGGCTATTGGGCAGCCTGTGCCAATTTATGAAAGACAGTTCTCTTTGCTCTACATTGGAAGCACTAGATGGAGCAAGAGAGCAGAGCAAGGTGACAATCTCCTTTAGTCAGTACACAGTGGCAATAACAGTCTACTCTCCCACGTGTTCCGGAATTATAATCTCCTTAGTGTAATTACAAAATCTCGTTAGCAATTAGTCATCTTTAGCCTCAGTGACAATGATAGTTAGCATTTAAGTAGTGCATTTCAATAGTTCAACGAATTCATATGCTGTTGCAGCCATTGACAGCAGTTTATGAAGTCCTGAGGTCTTCGGGTTTTATATTAGTGCTAGCAGCCTCTTGCATAGTGTTACCTTCTCCCGCTGTACTCTCTTCAATCCTGAGATGACCTGTTCAGGCTCTGAAGTGGGTCCCTGTAAGGGCCAGCTTCCAAGCCCCTGCTCCATCTGTGTATCTTTTAAATTGTCTAGTGGCTCGGACTGTCATCTCAGCATGATGACCAACCACTAAAAATGCTACAGAGAGAAAAACTACTCTCTCTTTCTCTGTATATATATATATATTCACAAAGTGGAATGCAACAGCAAAGACAACCAGTCTGAATACCATTTAAAAGAATTAAATATGATACAACCACACTTCATTATATTTTTAAAACACTGGGTTGCATCCAACTAACACATACTTGGAGTAGTAGACCCACGGAAATCAATGAACTTGGCTGCTATAAGTGAGTTGGTTAAAATCACATTTTGTGGTGATCTTAAAGAATCAGCACCAAAAAAAAAAAAAAAAGAACTAGTACTGCACAAGCTCAGCATTCTGTCGGCAGCTTAGAACATCATCACTGCAGCCCAATTTACACAAGCCACTGAAAGCTACAAAGAAAAAATAATAAAGTCTTCAACGTTCCCCTAAAAATATTGATATCAAAATGTTACTCGTAAGCAGCTAATTTTATGGGAAGGCCAGTTTGGCAGGGACCAATGGAAGGAGGCGATGATGGTGGACTTATTTAAAAGTACAGTATTTTGGATTACAGGTTATAGCAAACAATTCAGTGAAAAGATGGATCCAGCCTTGGTAGTTTATGCAGGGGTGGGAAAGCTTGGAGCTGAGAGGCAAATGAAGCCTTTCAAGCACTCTCTGGCCTTTGGGACTCTCCAGACTGCTCTCCTCCTGGCTCTGCTTTGCACCCTCCTTGACTGGTTCTCCCTGGCTTGGATTATATCCTTGAATTCTGACAACACTTCTTGCATGTCAGGATGGAGGACAGAGAGGGTGTGCGTGCGCTCGTTTAGAAACTAATCTAGTATACAGAGGCAAATGTTTACATTCATTGCTCCACCCACTTTTGCCTCTGATTCCACCCACCACTGGTGTGTGGCCCCCAGAAGGGAATTCAGCTGAAAAAGATTCCACACCCCTGTGTTTATGTATTAGCCTGGTAGCCATAGGCAACAAGTAATTCTGTGCAGGCGAGAGAGTGGGCTTGCAGAGTGGGGACAGATTCTATTCCTTCTCTGTGCGCAGAATTGAAACTAAGTGGGCTGCCATAAAAGAGAAACCTCCTCTCTGCAGCATAAAAAATTACTAGGCTCCTCCAACTTGTTGTTATTGTTATTCTTTTTTCTTTTCTACTTTTTTGTATCTAACTCATTTGTAACTGAAAATCAATAAAACACTTTTAAAAAAGAAATGTACCATGTTCTTGCAAGAGTGAAAAAACTCTGCGAACCCCCAGCACACACACACACACACACACACACACACACACACACACACATATATTGCAGGTTAGTAACATTTTAGGGTTTAGTGGTAAGGGATGAAGAGCTGTAATCCAACTACATTTGGAGAACACCACATTGGCTACTCATGTGTTAATACAGAAGTTTATTTGCTTCCATTGCAGTACTTTTCTTGAAAAACTCATCAATGCAGAAGAAAATGGCAACAAACAAACTGGCATCTTAAAAAACAACACTATTCTTCTTTCTTAAAATTTTTTATTGGAAATGACTTTCTCTTTAGTGAAAGAGGGGGATAGAAATAAAAAGACAGATGGGGCTAGGCCACACAAATATATATAGAGAGCTAACAGTGCATCTTTAAGGAAATGAGGAATGTCAGAGCACTTGCCATATCCTGGGCTGTCATGATTATAAAACTCCTACTTGTACATGTTATTAAGCAGGAGTGGAGCAGCCTCTTGCACTCCAGATCTTGCTGGACTACAATTCCCATAATTCCTGACCACTGGCCATGCTTTCCAGGGTGTATGGGAGTTGGTGTCCAACATCTGGAGAGCCACAGGTTCTCCATCCCTTTTATAAAAGATGGTACTGCATTCCCAACTATTTGCTGGGATGGTACTTCATAGCAGAAGAACATGTTTTTTTATATATATATAAAATATTTATTGAGATTTTCAGAATGTTATAAGATAAAAATAAAAAAAGAAGAAAATACAAAATAAAAATAGTTAACAAAGCAGACAAAGAGAAAAACAAACCACGTCCAGCAATACGAATACAAATTCAAAATAAGAAAAAAAAACAGAAAAAAACAAAAATACACCACAAACATTTGAGTACATTTAAAAACAAATTCATTATTCTCAAATCCTCAACTGTCTTTACCTTCTTTCTTTGACCTCCTCCTCCTCCCTTTCTTTGTATCCTAGTTATTAATTATCCCAGCAAATCCTTTCCATATTTCATAATATTCTGTCATTACATTACCTTAAATTGTTTTCATCTTATCTTTCTATAAAAAAACACCTTGAAACTTAAAGCTTAAATCTTATCCTTACCAACTTCTCATAACCATAATATTCTTTCATAATTCTTTAAGCATCTTTACTAAAGCCGAGTAATTTCATTCCAACATTTTTCTAACATTCATCAATTTTATAAAACAGTCCTAATAGTAAAAAAAAAAGAAATACAAACAAATCCAATCTTCATCCAGCGTCCCTTCCTCCTGGTCCCGGGTTTTGTCAGTCCTTGTTATCCCATCGATCTAGCGCATTAATCTGGCAACCTTATATCCGAGGCCCTCAAGTCTCTTCCATGTCCCTTCCGCAGCTCTTCTTCATATTTGTAACTGTATTTTCCCTTGTCTCCTGCTCGTGGAAACTCCAGCTTGGCAATATTTTTGACCCTTCTCGACAGATCAGCCCCTTTTCCATATTCAACACTAAATTCCATGTGATATTTAAAAACATGTTTCAAAAACCCTCCAAAATTAAGAGCCCCCACAATCCCAAACATCTCACGGCCCATTGCCAGATTTGAAAAGTCCAAACATCCCAGCATAGGGGGGTCAATCCAGCCCCCCATTTCCAAGCCAAACCAAACTTTTCTTTCCAAATCTGGCTTTTTCCAAGTTCATTTGTCAAATCCGCAAGCTCATATTCCTGTTGGGCCTGTTCTGTCAGGACACACTCCTGATTTAATTCCTGGGTGGGCTCCACATATTTTCCCACTATCTGTTCAAAATTTCCCACTGCCTGTTCAAAATTTCTAGTCGAAGTCGCCATCAAATTCATCTTCTCATGTAACTGTTCCAGTAGGGCATTTGTTTTATAGAAAGCACACAACAGAGCTTCTGAATACATTGTCTTGCAAGGTCAAATGTCTATTCCCACGATTGTAATCTGTAACAGCTGCCGGCTCCCTGGAATTGGTTACAGTTTCACAGTCTCCCTCTAGGGGGAAAACTTCTATTTGTTCTTGCAACAAAGTTTTCCTTTTTGAGATATTTTGTCAATATTTGTTCCTTCAAAATGCGAAGGGAAACAGTGGAATCACTATGTTTCTCTTCTTTTAGCTATCTGTCAAAAGCGTTTGTCTCTGGTCAATGAGCTTCAAACGTCAGTCCTGACACCCCGCTCCAGGATCAGGACGGTGGAAAGTTACTTTACTTTAAACTCACTTTAAACAGTCCGAAAAAGATCCCCCTTCTTCTCCTGCTGTCAAAGAGGGGTTCCACAATTTTAAATGATGAAATCCAATCTTTTAAAAGCGATTTTCTGAGCTCTAGTTTACGTTGTCTTTGCTTTATTCTGTCTACAAAAGAACGGAAGGCTGACTTCCTGTTTAGACCTTCCCGTTCAGTACCAAATTGAAATAAATTTTTAAATCCAATTCCTTTCTGCTCGCAAGTCCTTATTTAAGGTCCAGTTGTTCAAAGTTTAAGTACTCACGGGTGCTTATTTTAGAGTCCAAATTGTCCCAGGAAAAAGGCAGCGCTCTCCGGCAATGGCTATGCGGCTTCGCTCCACGGAAATAGCAGTTGACTCTCAGCACCGCGCCACTTCCCCCTCTTCACTTCGGAGCCCGTTAGTGGGTTCCTTTGAGAGTTCGGGGGGGCACTAATGGTGCCCGCCGAGTCCCATGGTCACAGGCTTCATCCGCCTGTGATTTTTAAAAGGGTCCCTGCTTCGCCGTTGCGGAGAAGACCCGTTTCACGCGGAGCTAGTCCCTCCAGTTCAGAGGGAGTCCGCCATTGCCGATGGCGCCACCCCGGAAGTCGCCATAGCAGAAGAACATGTTATTATTTTAGTAACATGTATTTAGCCTTTGTTACAGTAGACTATGGGAACTTAAGGGCTGTGCCAATAGGGTGATAAATAAGTGGTTTTGATAAGGGTTATGAAGGATGTAAGAGAGAAAGATACCACTCAGGTGATTTGGGACGCAATTCCAGGTATAAGGGACAGCAAGGGAGACAGGGCAGAGTCATGTGCAAGGGAGCAAGAAGACCTTTGGGGCCACTGAGAACGGTGGAACTGGAAGAACAGAAGTCTTGGTTGCTTTTATTGTAGTTGTAAAGCTAACTGTGTTTCTTTTTTAACCTCCTAAGCCTTTGTCGCGGCCTATGTCATCTATTCCTGGGGAACGGAAGAATTTGAACGTCTTAAAAGGAAGAACCCAGCTGACTATGAGAATGATGAATAATCTGACAGATAACAAAGAAAACAGTTGCCAGCATTTATTCTTGGCCTCAGCTTGTTGACATGAATACGCAAATATTTAAAATAACACTGGTTCAATAAACCTCTCTTCCTGTTCTACTTGTGAGTGTGATTCTTCAAGCTTTGCCAAAAACTGAATATGCAGGCATGGGGCTGTTGTTGCTACTGTCTAGTATTCAGCTGTTCCAGGGATGGGGGACCTGTGGGGCCTTCCAGATGTTGCATTCTGCCTCCCATCAGCCCCAGCCAGCATGGCCAGTGGTCAGGGCTGATGGAAATTGCAGTCCTGCAACATCTGGAGGGCTACAGCAGGGATGAGGAACCTCAGCCCTGGAGGCTGAATGTGGCCCTCCAGGCAACTCTAGCTAGTCCTTGGAACTCTCCCCAGGCCACACCGACTTCCCAGGTCCTGTAACTCACTAGGCACCCGCCTTGGGTATTTTTACCTTGCTGGAATGCATGCCTGGATGGAGTATAGAGGAGGGTGTATAAATGTGCGTGGAATCTAACCTAATGTGCCAAGGTAAGATTCACATTTGAAGCTTTGAGCTTTGTTGTTGGAAAAGCGGAACAGAAATAAATCAAATCAAATCTGTTGCTCCACCCATTTTTATGTCTTGCCCCTCCTGCCACTGGTATCTGACTTCCATAAGGGAATATGTGGGCTGAAAAAGGCTCCTTGCCCCTGGGCTATGGGTTCCTCATCTCTGTTCTGCTTTTTGGTAAATGAAATTTAAAAAGGGCAATTTTTATTACTTTATTCATGGGTGCATATTTGTCTCCCTCCTTTCTGTCCTGAATACAACTTAATAACAAACTGAAAAGGTATCAAAGCCGGAATGTTCTGCACTGAACGCTGAAGAACTGAATGCTGATGAATGGGTCTCTCCAAGTAAGGAGGCCAAAAAACACTTGTGTTCCAAATAACCACACTTCTTTTAGCTGTGAGGCTTATGTTGGTGGCCTAATTGGGTAGGCAAGATCATGTGGTTCTTTACAGATCTTGGCTGCGAACCATATATAGGACTTCAAAGGTAAATCACTGGTGCTTTGAATTGAGACTGATTTCCTGAGCCTTCCAGGCCTGCGTAGGTTAAAACCAACACTTTGAATTGGGTTTGAGAATGTATAGGCAGCCACTGCAGCTGTGCCGGAACTAGCATTATATGCTCAATACCGCCTGATTTTTGTCAGCAATCTTGCTGCTGCATTCTTCACCAAAGGCAGCCCTACGTATAATGCATCTCAGTCATCTAATCGGGAGGTTACTAGAGTACAGATTACTGTCCCGACAGAGGAGCAATTGGGCCACCAGTTGAACCTGGTAGGACTGTACACCACTCATCCGACCTGAGGAACCTCCTATTAACAACATCTTGTTTGGATTAAGCCTCAGTTGACTGGTCCTCGTTTAGTCCATCATTGTGACTAGGCACATGATCAGTGAATACATCTATCACCTCACCTGCACAGGAAGAAATTGAAAAATAGTGTTATGTGTATCAGTGGTAGACTGATGACAATACACTGCAAAACTCCTTATGACTATACCTGGCAGCATGTAGATAACTAGGTTTGGGTGAGGTGACACATGGCAGCCACATTGGTGCCAGCTGTGCTATACATGGCTATACATCATGGATATATAGTTCTACCATGCAAGAGGGATCCTGGGCCAGTCAGGATCCTCTCCTTGGTGGACAGGCTCTTGACACATATGGCCATCTTGAGGACTCTATGCCAGGGGTAGGTTGGGCCAAGCGGCAAAAGTAGATGCAGCAACATGTGTGACTTTTGCCCTTTTTACAGTAGGGTACATTCCCAGACACACAAAAACCATAAATTTCTACACCCGCCACACATATTTATCTCTCCCCGTGATGCAAATGTGTGTAGAGCAGGGCTGTGGGAGGGTTACCTTGGGAGAGTATTGAGGGCCAAGCAGAGAAGCTCAGAGGGCCACATTTGGCACTGAGGTCCGCCACCCCTGGCTTACACCATAAGAAATCTGTGAGGCTTTAAGATGCTGGAAACCTCCTTGGTCCTATAGGCACTGCATAATAGCAATGTGTGTTGATGTTTTTAACTGTTTCCTGCTCTTGAAGACAGGTACAGTACTAACTGGACTGAGGGGGGAAATCACCATTAGTACTGTATTGTTCCCCTTTCCAGTGTCAAATATATGCTGTGTTTATGTCTAATTATGCATTTACATTTAAGTTGCCCCTTTTCCTTTCACTTGGGTGGTACCATAGGAGAGGAGAGAGGGCAAGCAATCTTCCAAACTAGGAAGTGGTGGGCTTAAGTACTGTACTGTGGTGCTCCTACCTCAGCAGAGACTGTTATTTTTCTCTCAGAGATCTTAACACATGGGACACAACCTGTCCATCTAGAAATATACTTGGCTCTTCTGTGTCCCCCCATTTTCTTCTTGCACCGCCATAGTCTATGTACTTTATAAATGTCATAATTGGCTTTACGATACAATACGATAATCTTTATTGTCATTGCCCCATACAGAACAATGAAATTGAAAAAATCTACATCAGACATTCAAAAACCAACACGCTTGCTATCCCTTTGAAGGCTCTTGCAGAAAGTGGGAAATATACAATATGCCGTTCCCTACTATTTTTTGTTGGGAGTCCCCGAGTGGCTAGGGCAACCCAGTCAGATGGGCAGCATATAAATACATAAATAATAATAATAATTCCCTGTCAGCCATAGGTGAAGCAGCAAAGATCAAGTAGTTTCAGACATATTGTGAATACTTCTCTCTCTCTCTCTCTCTCTGCCCCGCTTTCCCTGACCTGCAAGGCTGGACCCTGTTTTACCTCCCTGAATCTTCCGAATTTGTATTATTCTTTTGTTATTGTATTTTACTGGTTATACCTCCTTGAATCGTCCGAATTTGTTTTATTCTTTTGTTATTGTATTTTACTGGTTTTTGGCTGTGTTTTGGTTCAGTGTTGTTGTTGTTATACTGTACACTGCTTTAAGTTATTTTGTAATGCTAAGCAGTATATAAATGCCTTTTAAATAAATACATTTTAAAAAATAATACAGTACAGTATATACCCTATCCCCCTTCACAATACGGATTCCCTCCACCCCCACCCGTTTCTAATTTAACGTGTATACGGGGACGTGTGTCGTGAGCTTTCCCCCTAAGCCAGGAGAGCGTCGTGCTCGCCCTGTTAAGAGTGAAGGGAAGGAAGTGAGGGTCGATTGGAGGAGAAAAGAATTTGCGAGAGAGAGAGAGAGAGAGAGAGAGAGAGAGAGAGAGAGAGAGAGAAGAGGGCGGGGAAAAGGCGTGCGCGAGAGAGAAATACACACCGTAAAAGCGCGAGCGCGAGCGGTAGGTCGCTCCACCCAATCAGCGCGCGCAGAGCAGTCAAGGCGTCCAATCGCCGTCCTCCCGCGCGCGCGAGCGCCCCCTTTAATTTGGGTTTGAGCCCCGCAACTGCCACTGCCGCCGCCGCCGCCCTCCCCCCCAAATCTCCCCGCCCTTTTCCCAAGCAACCGTTCCTCAAACTCGCTGCCTCTCGCGCACGCGCTCCTCCTCCGCCAGCGGCCTCGCGCTCGCTCCTCCTCCTATTCGGGAGCGCGCCTGCAGGGGCAACAGGAGTCAAACCCAGCCGCGCGGCTGAAGGGGAAAGAAGGCGGCGGCTGAGGCGCTAGCGGGGATTGAGGGAGACTCTCGTCGTCGTAGTCCTCCTCCTCCTCCTCAGCCATGGCGGAGAGAGGGGCGCTCGGCGGCCAGCGGGGCTCGCTCACGCCTTCGCTGCACCAGCCGGTATCCAGCGCCTCAGCTTCTTCGGCGTCCCCGGCTGCACAGAGCCTTTCAGGGCAGCCTCCGCCGCCGACGGCGGTGCTACAGCAGCAGCAGCTGGCGCCTCCTCCTGCTCCTCCGGCGGCGGCGGCGCCTTCGTTGTCTCAGCCGGCCGCTCTCGGCCCCGGAGGAGGCTCTCTGGCCCCGGGGGGAGGCGGCTCGGGGGCTCCCGGGTCAGGCGCGGCGGCGGCGGCGACGGCAGGGGGCCGCCCGGTCCAGATGAACCTTTACGCCACCTGGGAGGTGGACCGGAGCTCGCCCAGCTGCGTGCCCAGGTGAGGAAGTGGGGGGGGGAGGAGGGAGAGAGAGACTCTTTCCTTCCTTTTACATTCTTTGGTACAGCCACCGTACAGATTTTATGAATTAAGTGGCATAGAAATGTGCATTTAATCAACCGATTCCCTGAGGGGTAAGTAGTAGCCGTGTCGCAGCAGCAGCAACACACCAGAGGAGGAAGAGGAGTCGTCTTTGTGGGCAAGCTGGAGGTTTAGCACGTTTGTCTGCTTTTGTTGGGCTGCAAGGTTTCTTTCCCTCCAACCTCATATCTTCTTCTCCACGTCTGTCTCCCCCCCCCCTCACGTCTCACCCCGTTATCTCCCTCCGTTTACCTTCGCAGGTGTGGAAGTCAAGCCCGACCCCACCCACTCCCTAAGACCTACTTGCTCTATCGCCTGCCAAAAAGGGAAAAGGAAAAAAAACACACAGAGAGAAAAGGCGCCTCCCTATTTTAAGTATTTACGTCCCTCCTCCTTGGGGAATAAAGGATGAAACCTAACCCTTAGACGTCATTTATCTGTTCCCCATATTTACAAAGTGTGTGTGTGGAGGGGAATGATAGCAAATTGCTTCTTTTAATCACACACACTTGAATGTTAGAGAGTGGTTTGCCTTTATGTGGGGCTGTGGGTTGATGTTTAAGCAGGAGTGGGAAATCGAGGGAGGCTGTACATAGTGAGAGGACGCTTGTTCCTCTCAGTGGGGGGCAGTTGCACCTATAAGTTTTCTTACATGAGTGTATGTTGGGGTCCTCGACCTTTGCGGAGAACTAATACCCCCTTGCATCTATGCCTGCATGCCTTCAAAGAGAATGAGTTACTATATTTTAGCTACCATCTTCCTCCTTGTGCATAAAGAAGGGGGTGTCATCCTGTGTGTGGGTGTAGATATTACTTTTAACATTTGTATCCTGCTTTGAGTGCATATTTTGGAAGAAAAGCTGGAAAAGGCTAAAACAGAATAAATTAACCCCATGTGTACACGTAAAACAGAACCAGCCCCTTCATCTTGGAACACCTACTTCTGTCCCCTCCCCACCCATGTAAAGGTGAATGAGGTTCTGTTAACCAGAACCCTCCCCCAGCAAATGTAAAGGACGTGGGATGTTCTCCTCCTTTATAAGTCAGTAGCTTATGTGGGAGGGGCTTACCCCTCTGTGTGCTGGGGATGTAGGTTTTTCAAAGTGGAGCGGTTGTTTAAATGATATTTAAGAAAAATATATATGAGTGAGGGTGGGTGTTGGAATTTCAAAGCTGAGGAGTTGTTTCTTCTTCGACAGTCATCCATACACATAAGAAGCAGCTCATTTTAAAACATATGTGTCCCTGACCACATATAATAGAGGACAAGTCAACCTTCCTCACATAATGGAGAACTTGCCTTTTACCCTTCAAGGTTTAGATTTTACCCCATCAAAGGGAGAATTAACACCCCACCCCTATTTGTTAGGAAAGAAGGGGATCTCTCCCTTTTCCAGAATATAATTTGACTAAGTAGGAAGATGTTCTGCCTAATAAAAGGAAATTATCCACAGCCCACTCACTTGGTAAAGTTGACATGATTTCCCCGGTGAGAGTAAGGTCTTCACTCACGTAGATACTATATTCTGATTTGCATATGCACACCCTGCTTCAAGGCATGAGCAAAATCATTTCCTTATTATGAAAGCAAGCTGCACCACCCCATCTTTGCCTTCATTTATTCCAAATAAGTGACCTTGGCCTTTTGAAGTGAAACAGAGCTCTGTTCTTCCTGTGGGGGTTTTCCATTAGGTGTTAGTAAGAATGCTTACCACTTAAACTTTCCCTTAGGGGAGATTGGGACTTCTGCCCTTTCCCTGTGATGATTCTTTCAGAAACCCTCAGATGAAATCTGCCAAATCTTATAAAGGCAGCTACTTTCCAGTGAGGTTCCTAAAAGAACCACTGATAAAGATGCTTTATTGATACAATGGTAACTCTCCATATACTCTTCTTTGCTCGATAAATGCTTCTCAGGTGAATATGAAAAGAACCACCTAAGACATTAAAACAAACTTTTCTGGCTCCATTGAGCTTCTCAGTTGAAATATATGCAACAGTAGCTCCTCTAGAAACCATTCTGCATGCCACTTTACTGCCTCATTGACAGGGGGATTAGTAAAAGTGGCTTTTAGAGAGCCAGTGTGGTGTAGTGGTTAAGAGCGGTAGACTCCTAATCTGGGGAACCGGCTTCGCGTCTCGGCTCCTCCACATGCAGCTGCTGGGTGACCTTGGGCCAGTCACACTTCTCTGAAGTCTCTCAGCCCCACTCACCTCACAGAGTGTTTGTTGTGGGGGAGGAAGGGAAAGGAGAATGTTAGCCGCTTTGTGACTCCTGAAGGGGAGTGAAAGGCGGGATATCAAATCCAAACTCTTCTTCTTCTCTTCCTGGATCTTTCCATCTATGGAGTGTGGAAGAGGTAAAATGACCCAATGCTGTCTTAGTTTTAAAGACCTTTCAGTCCCCCTCCCCAAGGCAGTCTTGTTCAATCTTATATTTTCATCCAGAAATCAAACCACTTTCAAAAGCCAAAAATGTCACTGTCCTACAACAGAACTTTTACTGTGCAACAAGGTAAGAGCTTACCGTATGTGGAGTTGTCTTATAATTATTTTATAATGTTCTATAATTTAAGGGAACCTTAAGAACTTCGCTGTCCAACAGAGCTGTCATTATGGTCATTCCCTTATTCTTGTCATTTGTATCTAACAAGTCCTGTACACAGGACTTGGTTGGTTATAGACCAATCGCCTGTGAGAGTGAGTTTGCTGTCTGCAGGTTATAGGCTCAACATAACCCCAAATGGAACATTTTGCATGAGTATGGCTGCTTTTTATTACAGCATTTGTAGCTTGATTTTCTTCATCTGGATATACTGTGGGTAGTGCACAGAACTTAAAACCTGATGAACTAAAAAACAATGAAATGCCTTCTGCAATTACTGACAGTCTCCCTCACCTGTGTTGATGAGCACTTGTTCCACTAAATGAGTTTCTTCTATCCTAAATGACCTGTATAGTTTAATGTCCTTGTAATGACTTTGTCTATATATACCCTTTTAGTTGCATGAAGTGAAACCGGCTAAGCTATAACATCAACTTTCCTCCTTTTCCTCCTTGTGCTTAAAGCAAAGACATACTCCTCTCCTGTCTCTCTTTGTTAAATGATATTTATTATTAGTGTTGAACTGCTGCTGTTCTGAAGACAGCCAAGATAGACAGGCTGGCCACTCTGTTCTCTTTGGGTGGCAAAAAATTGGCATAAGTAGGAAACAGCAGTTTTTGTCTACTGGGAGATGAGCCGCTATCTCAAACTGATTGATTACTGTTTATTTTTAGTCTGCCTATACCTGTTTGATCTTGAAGAGCCCAGGTGGCTGATTATTCTTCTCTCAAACAGACACCATGCTTGTTACAGGAATTATTATGCTAATCCCTTGTTCAGAACCTACATGAGGCTTGGCCAATATTTTTTCTGCTAACAAGCATAATATCAGCATGTTTCTAACATCTATGATGCTGTGTTGTGGCATTTTGTGACAGCTGAGACTTGTCTCAAGGGCAGTATTTTTCCTACCCACCTCTTAAACAAGAATCAAACAATAATGGGTCTATTGCTAATCTTTAGACAAAGCTTAATTGAAGGATTTGTCTCAATAGCTGAATAATTTGCTTCAAAAGCTGAATGTTAATTTGCTGTAGTTTTTTCTTGTTGTTTTTTACATCCCCTTGGTTTGAATTCATGGTTTTGTTTCTCTGCTCAGTCACCGTTTGGGGGAGGACCTTTAAAATACAGTACATAGTTCAAATAGCTTTTTGAAAGCTGTAGGGAATAATCCTAGCCAGATTTGAACTGAAATACAGCAAAGAGCAAACCCCTTTCATCCAGCATGCAAAAACAAAAGGTCCAATATTTTAACAATTATTTCTCACCATATTAAAACAAACACACCAGTTGTAGTCATATAACTGAATCATTTGTTTTGCAGAAATTTGGGTTATTTTAAAACTTCCAGTATCCTGATTTTTAATGTTGTATTCAAAATGATTTATTAGTGTCCAGAGTACTGAATGTACCCCAGATGGGCTTTGCGATCCATGTCTATTGTCTGTTTATAATGAAGGGGTGGACTAACTAATGATTTGGGCTTATTTTGCATATACAGCTTAGTTCCCTCACCCTGTTTCTGAGATAGCTGTGTTTGTTATGACTCAAGAATCTGCCTGTGATTACAGTAATCAAAAGTACACTTACAGTGGTGCCTCGCAAGACGAAATTAATTCGTTCCGCGAGTTTTGTCGTCTTGCGTTTTTTTCGTCTTGCGAAGCACGGTGTCGGGAAAGTTTTGGAAAAGCTTCAAAAATCACCAAAGTCTTTAAAAACCTCAAAAAAGGCTACCACAGCACGTTCTATGAGTTGCTCCTCGAAGTCAAGTCGCAACTGTATTAACGGTGTTAAGAAAAAGGAAACAAACTTGCAAGACGTTTCTGTCTTGCGAAGCAAGCCCATAGGGGAAATCGTCTTGCGAAGCAGCTCAAAAAACAAAAAACCCTTTCGTCTAGTGAGTTTTTTGTCTTGCGAAGCATTCGTCTTGTGAGGTACCACTGTGCTGTAAAATGGTATTCTTGTAAAAAAAAAGAAAAGAAAAAGGCTTCTGCTCTAAATAAGAAATTGGTTTAAGGCCACAAGGGGTCATAACAGTCATTCCAGTGCAATATCTTGCCATGTTTACTTTTTGAATAAAACACAATTCTCTGTCTGAAAGCAATAGCTCTGAGACTGAGGGTTACTGGAGAGGTGTGAGCTATTTTCTTTTTCTTGGGTGATCACTGTCCGTGTCTCAGTTGTACTAGCAATTGGTCCTCCTATGTTCTGTATTGCTTCTGGTTGATGTATCTATGAAACAGCCAAAAGTAGTTGATAAGCTCCTCCTATTTCACATGGCTCTTGAGCTCTATTACATGACACCGGAAAGCATGTTGCATGCTTCACTAGTACAGGAATTTAGTTCCTGCCACAGAGGAAGTTACTGTCTTTCCCATTCCAGAGGTGTCAGTAGTGATTGACTCTTACACTTTGCCATTTTTATAGGGATATTTTAACATCACGTTAAAAGAATTTGGACATGCAGTATCTGACACAGTTGAGCTGGCCTGAAATAAATCCTTTGCCTAGGGCAAATACATATATTTGTGTTGTTATTAATCCAACCACTTGTCTGACACCTCATGTCATTATTATATTGTATGCTCACCTGGGAGTAAGTCTTACTGAGCATAATAGGCCTTGTAAAATCTTGTGCATGCCTACTCAAAATAACTCTCATTGAGTTATATCAGCTGTACACCCAGGTAAGGGTAGATAATTGCAGTCTAGGTCATTTGGAACATGAGCTCAATATACCAATCCCCTCTGTGTGTAGTTCCAGGATAATAGAATTTGACAACACTTCCTTTTTTGTTTTTGTTTCTTCTCCCTATTGCACTTTTTGGTATAAAATATGTATTTGCTGTGCTCATCCTTTCCTCCCAGCTGAAGGGCTCCGCTGATTTCCTTAGTGCAAAAGTAACTGTAGCAGGTGGAAAGGCAAGTTCTGCCAATGCTACATTTTCCCCTTTCAGTATAAAGTAACTTCTTAATGTTTCCATTGAGTTTATTGACTTGTAAATAGAACTTCAACATATTTTTATAGTAGATAATACAACTCAGAGTCTGAACAGCTTAATTTATCCAAGTTACATGTTTTTGTGACTCTTCTTTTACATGCGAGAGCATTAGAGTAATATTAGAAACTTTCTGTGGAGATAACATTTCTTCAGAGTGTGCATGCATTTGAATCACACTATTATCTTAATCTTCTTTTAAAATCTAAAACCTTTTATGATTCTTGAAAGGTTTCACTGTCTAGTATTAGTATAGTCTACATTGTTATGAAGTCTTTGACAAACAAGATACTAGCAATTCCCCACTACTCCAGAAAGTTGTAACAAAGTGCTTGATGGTTTCTAAAGCAGGGAATATAGATTTGATCAGGCCCTATTAATTTAGATACTTAGCTTAGTTGCTTTAACCAAACATTGTTGCAGTCTTTAGTTATGGTTATGCTTGATACTGATTTAATATCAGGCCATTTCAGGTTGCGATTGGGTTTTTCTCCCTGGAAAAAAATCCTGGTTTGTTGCATATAATATGGGGAGCCTTTCTCCTCCTTGACATGTTGCAATTATGGTAGCAAAATGTGGCAGTCCACCATTCTGTGGGGATCACTGTTTTCTCATTGTACTAATTAAATGTTGTCTAGAATGGGTGTCAGATATGATGTGCAATTTTGATGGTTAATTGGTCCATTATGTATGTGGCTGGGTGGCTTCCCTCAGTGATCATGATTTGTAATTTACTTACCAACTTTACTATTGGGGTGGAATGTGGGGCATGACTTGGGACCACCTGGAATTTAATTAATTTTCTTCAAGACCTTTTGGCATATACAGGGCACATTTTGTGTGCCTTGTGGAACAAATAACATTTAATACTGATACTAAGTGTTGCTTTTACTTTCATCAGAGTGAGTTTTTCCTAACACCCCAAAGGTATTGATATAATACTTTACTTCCATAACAATTTTTCTTGTTAAGGAGGTGACACAGTTTGTTGGTTTGATTTTGTTACACTGAATGAAGAAAACTCTTAGTAAGGCCAGTGCACTTCACAGCATGTTAAGCATTACATGTATTTGCCATATAACATATGGCCCTCTACTCCAGGATGGGGAACCTATGGCCCTCCAGATGTTGTTGGACTCCAATTCTCAGCATTCCTGACCATTGGCCATGCCGGATGGAGCTGATGGGAGCTGGAGTCCAATAACACCTGGAGGAGCATATGTTAGCTGTCTATGATCTAACCAATCATCTATAAAAATAGTTGTAAGTTATCAGTGGGTTGAATAAGAAATATGGGCAGGTCAGATCTTTTGCCAGGTGCTATTTCAGTTGCTGATTATGTGAATATTAGAAAGCTTTTATAGTAAGATGGATGCCTAGTTAATTTTTAGTTGATTAATCACCTACATTTTAACCAATTTTAAATATGTGTATTAAGGAAAAACTTTTTTTCTTTGACAGTGAAGTACAGTACATGAGTATTTAGTAAATGGAAGCTACTCCATTTAATATTTTGATTCTCCCAACAAAAGCACACAAGGCTTAAAATAGCTTCAAAAAAATAAACAAACTTGCCCTTATATTTTGGTTTCACCAATTGCTTTTATTAATACAATTAAATTGTTCTTTTTTTGATTAAAATTAACCCTGTTAAAGTATCAAATTTGCAGATTTTTAAAGCTTGCAGTCCTATTCCATAAATGTTTTCTGGCAGGAGTTGTGAAAGTTCAAAGTTGCATTAAGAAATAAGCAAATTGGCTTAGAAGTTTGGTTCCATTAGTTTAATTTTCTCACATGTTCAGTTCCTAACAGTAACTCTTTTCTACAGTGTGTTTCAATATTATTGTAGTAACTTATTGCTCTCCTGAATGACCTTGTCTGTTGTTAGCTTAGTGATAGGAACTTTATTGTTGAGCCAATTAATCTGTTCTGGAAGTGTTTTGAATCAAGGAAAAACAAGGCCTATTCTTGGCACCTCAATCCTGCACATGTTTACTCAGATTAAGGCCTATTGCCACCAAAGAAATATAGGAAGCGAATAAAAAGAGAACCCACACAAGTGATCCTGACACAAAACCCCACACATACACTAAGTAAAAGAATAGAAGCATTGCCACCCACCCCACCCTATGCACCATCCCCACCCTTCTCCTCTTTGCCCCCCTTCCTTCCCAACCTTATACTGCATGAATACTAATAGGGTTGCCATATTTCAAACAGGATGTTGCTGAGTTTTTTGTTTTTTTAAGAAACCCACCAAAATTGTTGAGCTTTTTTGGGGAAACTTCCGCTTAAAACTTAAAATAGTAATTTTCAGCTTTTGGAGATTTTTCTGCTGCTATTTCCAATGCATTGGCATGCATCCAGGTCCCCCCCCAATGCTGTTTTTATAACCCAAAGCCAGGAAATGTCAGGAATTTTCCTGATGTATGACAAGCCTAAACACTAATGTCTCCCCCAAAATGAAACAGATCTGTAGAAAAAAACCAAGTTGAAAAAAGAGACAATGCACATATTTTTGTAAGTTCAGAAGTCTTTAATAAAAATTATTTTAAAAATAAGGTCTATTGGGTTCAGTTAATCTTATTCTGAAACAGGTTATGTAGGCCTTCAGGCTTAAGGTAAAGGTAAAGGGACCCCTGACCATTAGGTCCAGTCGTGACCGACTCTGGGGTTGCGGTGCCCATCTCGCTTTATCAGCCGAGGGAGCCGGCGTACAGCTTCCGGGTCATGACCAAGCCGCTTCTGGCGAACCAGAACAGTATACGGAAATGCCGTTTACCTTTCCGCTAGAGCAGTATCTATTTATCTACTTGCACTTCGATGTGCTTTCGAACTGCTAGGATGGCAGGAGCAGGGGCCGAGCAACGGGAGCTCACACCGTCGCAGGGATTCAAACCGCCAACCTTCTGATCAGCAAGTCCTAGGCTCTGTGGTTTAACCCACAGCGCCACCTGCGTCCCTTTCAGGCTTAGGTTAATGACCGGCAATTTACATTTGTGTGGTCCCTCTGAGGTAAATGGAAATATATGAATGTTAAGTGTTTTGAGTTGGGCTCTTCAGAGTTCACATGATTTGTGAATTAAGATCTTACTCTAGTGGCAACTAAAAGTGGGTTTAATGCAGGTTAGCCACTCCTGATCCAGCAATAAATATACCATAAAATATATACACAACTTTTGTCAAAATTCTGTGTTTATGTGACCTTAAGAAGCTCTTGTTACTAAAAAAAATTATATCCCTTGAATCCTGTTTTCATCCTATCGTTTTGTGTCTCATTTGCCTTGGATCTCTTCTGAATTCTTTGCTGTGGATAGACTTTCTGGATAACAATTAATTCAACTGAGGCCAGTGGCTTTTCTGATATTGTATCTAATCTTCAAAATGAACAATTAATCCTCAACAATGCTTTCTGGTGACTCAGTTTTTATTTGACCTCTGTTCAGGGAACATTAGTGTTTGAAGTTAAACATAGGCATGGATAGGCCTGACATTGTAAATGGGATCTATTAATTGTTTTCATTTTAGATGAAAAGAAAAGAGCTCTCGTGCCATTCTCAATCTTTGAGCAGTTTTTAGCCTACGCATAATTAACCTAACTACAGACATCTTGGGAAAGCAATGGCTTTTTGCTGGAAAATTCATTTTGGATTCTCTCTCCACCAACTAATAGTAGGCTGTGTTTACAGGCACGTTTGCACTGCAGTAGCATTAGTAGACACAAAGCAAAACCTTCATGTTTAATATCAAAATGCTCTAGAACAGGCACGTCCAACTCCCAAGAAGATAGCAATCTACTCACAGTATATAAAAAAGGCAGTGATCTACCCATTGTCATTGGAGGATGGACCAGAGTTGTTGCTGAGCTTTTTTTAGGAAGTCAGAGCTGTTGAGCTTTTTGGGGGGGTAAATATCACTAAGGGCCCAAAGATCGACCAGGAGCACCCCGCGATCAACCTGTTGGACATGCCTGCTTAGGCCCAGAAGTGTTTACTGCCGTTCATGTTTGAATCCCACATGAGAGATCAAGTTCTGAGGTGGAGCCATCTAGCAGTAAGAATTTTCTTAGTTACGTGGATATAACAGGCAGTGGCGGCACGTGTCCTGGGGGCGCCACCTGCGGGGGCGGGGCTCTCAGCACGGGCAGCGGGGGGGCAGCCGCAATGGCAGCCTGCCAGGATCGCACTGCCGGGGGCGGTGCGCTCCCCCCGCACTCCTCTCCCTCCACCAGTGATAACAGGGTTTCTCAGAAGTTCTACCCCCCTCACCACTGAAATGGTGGAACAGAGGCAGAACCACTCATAAAATGGTAGCACAGGGCAGCAGTCATATCACAGAACTATAAAGTAAAATACAACAACACTATTACCAGAGGCGGATCTTGAGGTCTCAAATTTCAGCAGTGCCCTGTGTGACACCAGAATTCAGCACCCTTGCCTCTCACCTTCCATTTTTTATCATAGTTGTGGCAATCCCTGTGCTTTCCCTGAGGCACATGCACTGTGTGGCTGAACCAGACACACTACCCTAAATCCGCCTCTGCTGTTATGATGCTTCATTGTGGGATGTAAAATGGTATCCCATGTCACCACTTCTGCTTCTTTTAGCCCTGCAGGCTTGGTGACCTTGGGTCAGTGCTTGCGAGGATAAAATAGAGGACCTCCCCAAAAACTTTACCTCCCTTGAGGTAAATGGCTCCCCATCTCTATTTCATGCCATCCTCTATTTCATGCCCATTGTCCGTCCCTAGAAAAACTGAAGAAACAATTACTTTACTGATCTTTCTCTTTCTTTTAGAACTTTTGGAAACCTTTGTTATAATTTAGTACCATTGCCAATAAAAAAATTGTCTTTGGGAGAGTGATCACTAGACAGTTATTCATCTCCATTCTAAATTGTGGAAGGCAAAATTAATGCACAGGTAATTAGAGCCATTGTGCATCCTTTTTTCTGATATGTTGGAAAGACTTATAGAGAGGTTTCTTCACTTTGTAGCTTCACATTCATAACTGTAGTATTGAATGCAAATATAATACATGAACTGAAATAATCTCTTGTTTTATCACAAAAAATAATTATGTGATCTGTGTTAGGCAAAACAAATATTTGGGCAAGGAAGGGTATAATTTTTTTCCAGCAGGTTAAGTATTTGTTATAAAAGAATTTGGATATTGATAAAGATACCTTGTCTGTCAAACACGGATAGACATTGCGAGTTAAAATTTCTAAACCTTGAGATTTAAATTTCTGGGGAGGAATCAAGCAGGACTTCATATTCCCCCTTGCAAGCCCTGCAAATTGGCTCCAGTGCATTCATCAACCCTCTGGAGCATTTTTTTGAGGGCACATGGAGAACCTGAAGGGAGGAGAGGAAGGTGAACTTCTGTTGCATGGGTGGAAATTTGTTCCTCTCACACACGGACTAGCATTGCATGCTACCACTGAAATAATCAATGCCTTCTATATTAGCAGGTCTTATTTTGGGGTTTGCTAAATTATAAATTTCTCAAAGTAAGTTGAACTTACAGTTTAGCCTAGGTATTTAAAAATGCTATGCAGGATTAATTAAAATATGAAGCTGAATGGTAGCTGGTAATGAATTTTAATAGATTTGATCCAGTTTAATTTGAATATCTATTTAAGCTAGAACTACAGCCTAAACATTTTTTTAAAAGGCTGCTCTTTCTGAATCTAAGATCATTTATCAGTGAGGATTAAGGTGCACAGTCTTAGATGTCATGTTATAATTTATTTTATAAACATAATGGAAATTTTTCAGAGCTAGAAAAATAGTTCACATTTCTATGGTTCACTCAAGTGCTTCTTGTAGTTTCCCTGAAAGCCTATATTAGGAAGTAGCAACATAGGAATAAAGTAAAGGTCAAAGAATACTTATTTTCACCCAGAAATTAAAAACAATTATTAATATTCCACAGTTAAATAAGATAACAAGCTCAAGTAACTATAGTGGTGTTTAAGGCTCTTCAGAAATGTGAAAGGAAAGAATTTAAAGATATTGGAGAATAAGGCAGTGTGAGTTCACCAGACCCATCATGTCTGAATACTCTGTATATTAAGATAAGTCATCTTCTCAAAAGAACTGGCTTTCTGGGCATCACCGGTTTAGACTTTTTGACATGCTCAGCTATATATTATATGGAATATTAGCAAATGTTGTGATTAGGATCACATTGTGCTTATTCTGACATTTTCTGTTAATGTGAACAAAAGAAGACTCAAATAACATCATGTTGACATAGCACCGATAGGGCCAAAACCGACAGGGATTTGTTTTGGCTGGCAAAATACTCCCAAATGACTTTAAGCTGCTCTGGCAGAAGTACCTGGTCGGAGCTACTTAGCCCAGTGACACCACAAAAACATAATAATGAAATGGATGTTGTGGAAGGAAAATGATAATTAACAGCAGTTGATTTGAAGGTTTGCATTTCCAAAATTCCTCTTTGGTTGTGATGTAGAGTGAAACTAGATTGCTGTATTAGGGTTATTTAAATTGTAACCCTAGCTTGCCAGACTTTCCCCATTCCATTTTTGAAGAGGCAGATACTGAAAATGAAACTGTTCTGCTTTATGTTGATTGCTGCTCTTGCATATATTTGAGATTCTTTAGGAGTACACCCACTATGCACATTTCTAGGGAAAATTGTTGCTAGATTTCAGCTGATTCTATTCATTACCATAGCACGAAGAGCTTTACAGCTATTTTATTATTTGTATTTATAGTCCACCCTTCATCAAATGGTTCCAATTCCAAGACATTACAAAACAACTTAATTAAAATAAGTATAGTGTTTAGTTAATATATTGAGAGTAGCAGATATTGCTGTGCATTGCCGTGCACTACTGTTCTGTGTTGCTGTTTTGTTCTGATGTTGGTGGCTTAGTTTATTGTGTTGTATAATTATATCTCTGAATCTGGACTTTTTGCCTTCATACAAAGGAAGAGTTCACTGTTAATCCTTCCTGTGGGTAGTTTCAACATGAAGGCTATGACAGTGCTGCAACTTAGTTTGCCTCTGGTGTGGTATTGGCTTTCATCATTGAAAGTGCATTTGTATCCACTTGTTACTTCCAGAAACAAACATATCCCATGGAGTTAATATGAGTAAGTGGGATGCACTTGATTTTGGCCATTTTTAGCTATGTTTTAATCATATATGGCAGGGTTTACTACCCCTTTTGGTCCATGGGCACATTTGCAAACTGGAGAAACTTTGATGTACACCACACATGTACAGTGGTACTTGGGGTTAAGAACTTAATTCGTTTTGGGGGTCTGTTCTTAACCTGAAACTGTTCTTAACCTGAGGTACCACTTTAGCTAATGGGGCCGCCCGCTGCCACCACGCTGCCGGAGCACAATTTCTGTTCTCATTCTGAAGTAAAGTTCTTAACCCAAGGTACTATTTCTGGGTTAGCAGAGTCTGTAACCTGAAGCATCTGTAACCTTAGGTACCATTGTAATGTAACCAAGCTCCCATCGCAATCTATTGTGTTGGGTTCAACAGAATGCTGCTTTCAATGTACTAATTGCAGTGGGAGGAGGGGCAGAAGAGGTAATCCTGTGGGTACTATTGAAGACCTCTGTAAGTACAAATGCACCTTCAGGTGCTATGTTGCCGACCCCTGATGTAGAGACAAGAAGTGTGCAGTTGCTCAAAGTGCAATGGATATGATAATTTCCTACCCTTTTGATTAAACTTTCCTTTCAAACCAGGAGGACTGAATTGTAGATTTTTTGTAAAGCAATCCAGTGGAGTTTGGGATTTTGCTCTTAGTTAACCAGTGTTACAGAACTAGATTGTATGATGACATTAAGCACAATTTAATCTGTTACAGCGTTCTCATATTGCTTGAAGAGACACTAAAGCAGAAGTGACTTTGTTATAATTTTAAAACACTGTACCTTTTTCCTTATTGGGGAAGCCCAGAATTCCTACAGGGCTTTGCGTATATAATTTTGCATGGAGAGCCCTTTCCTTATTTTTAAAGATAAGAAAGCTGCTTGAAACATACATTTCTGCCATGAGACCAATATAAAACTGGAAAATACCACACTTAAATATAGCTCTGCAGTTACTAAAATTAAAAATGAGGGTGCTGGTAGACAAACAACCTCTGCTCAAGTACATGTATGATAATTTAGACATTGGGTTGCATTGTCTATTGGATTTTTTGCAACATTTGCTGCTGTTTAGTTACAAGCTGGTATATTGACTCTGCTGCATCTGCAGTCCACTGTGCTTGTTATAACAGCTTATTTTCATCCAATAGAACCCTTTGGGTTGGGAGGGATCATCTGTGACTCATCTAGCTTGTGCATTGGGGCAGAATTGATTTAATTATGCTTAAATATCACTGATAGATGGGTGTCGAGAGAGAGCACTCTGCTTTGGATCTCTGCAGAGCTGTTATCTGGAAGTGCCCTTGGCAATTTGTCCCACTGCCTGGCATCAAATATTTTTGTCACGTTCGAGATGTTTTTATTATTGTGGTATTTCAGATGAAGGACTCCAGTCATGCAAGCTTGTTTATAACCTATCAGATAATGTTCTTTATTTGATTTAGGGCAGTGGATCACAGGCCTCTTCCAAATTGCAGAGCCCAACTGACTTCATTTGGGTCTAGTCCATGCATAAGTGTCTACAGGATAAGTTTTTAATGAAGTACAATAAAAATGAGTAATTCAGAAACTTGATTTTCTGTACTAAACTGGCTAAATTAGATGAGTTCTCTTTAAAAGTGAAAAGGATCTAGGAGTATACAAAGGGATTGTAGGGCCATGCCTTTTGCCCTGACTCCATTTTAACATGCAGCTTCTTCTGACTTCCCCGGGCAAGTATATGTAGTGGGAAGTCAGCTGTACTTGTGTACAGCTCCCCACATGGTTTGGAACCTTTATCATGCGGAGCTTGAAGCAGGCTTCCCACTTCAGATATTTGACCTAAACACACTAGAAACCAAAAGAGCAATGTAGCAATAATGGTGAGGCTAGAAGTGTGGTGAGATACAACCAAATTAGAACAAGGAACAGTTTCCAACTTGCTATCCTGGCAGGCATAAAAACAGTATTGAGCTCATCCACTTCTTGGCTAAGCAGAACCTCCTGAGTGCTGTTCTACCTAACATTTCCTGTTACAATTTCTTGGCTGTCATATTTCATGATTCCACCTTGCAAATTTTCTTGTTTGTATAATGGTGAGGCCATGCACTATTGAAGAACTATCTGGCAATGAATAAATGATGCAGCAGCTCTCCAGCCAACCTTAATGTACTACTTATGAAACTGCAATTACTAAAACATTTTATGAAGTTTATTACTAGATGGCAAGAATGACTCTGCAGAAATGGGCTCCTGAGATTTTAGGCATGTGGAAAAACCCTAGCTTTCAAAATTGCTTTATTTTGTCTTTTAAAAAATGATCTGTGGTTTGGTGAGCACTGCTCTAAATTAATTTTTTCCTAGTGGTTATTTTTTATCCTTGCTGTTTGCCAATGGATCCTAAAAACATGCCTCCACTCACCCTGGATGATGAAATGGTAAGGAACCATTAGCTATTTTTGAGGTAGTTTACTTTACAAGAAACAGCATGAACAATACTACCTGAGTTTACTTACAGAGCTTTGCTGTCTTTCTGTGCATCATAAGCTGAGTCAACACAACATATGTTGCGTTGATTCTGTAAATCCACAAACACAATAGGTTGATGGGTGAAATGGTCTTGTGTGATGGATCATTTATGGTACTGCTTAAGCTGCACGTATATGGTCAAAGAAGTTTCTCCAACAGTGGAATGATTACTACTTTGTGTGTGTTTCCCCAGTAGGGTCATGAGATAAGAATTTCAAAAAGTGATCATGCAGCATCTGTTCTTGGGAGTGCTGTGGAACCTGGCCTCAAAGCTGTGAGGGTATTGAAATAAAGCATATATTTTATTTTCTGTGAGAATGTGGTAGGTTTGTAAAAAAAATTCCTTAGTCCCCCAATGACAAGTAGGAATCTTCTGCAGTTAACCATGCAAACAAACATTTTTCAAAGGTTAGCTCTTTCCTTTACGCCATAAATAAAAAGCATAAGCATGTGTGGGCAAGTATTTTTTGTTATACAGTAATGGTATGATTGAAGATCCTGCCTAGCGTAGGAGATCCCCTAGGCAAGGGATGGTGGCATGGAGCAGAGCAAGAATTGAAATGCATTGGTTTCCTTCAGATTAAAATATTAAACTGGTCTGGGAAATCATAGGGACCAGTGGAGATTGTTAGGCTAAACCTAGGCAGTAATGTGTTGGTTCAGGATTCAGTGGTGAAACCTTGACTGTGCTCAAGAGATTTCTTAAGATATGTTGTGTAACTGAAAGTAGCTGCTTGACTACAGGAAACAAAATTAGTACAAAAATAATTATGCATAAACTTTCTCTGCCGCACTAAGTCTTACCTGGAAGTAGACCCCAAACTATCGCTAACATGAGATTAATTCTCACTGTGGTGACCACAGTATAAAGATTTGACACAGGTGACATGTATTAGATAGCTCATTTTTCCTGATGTGGAAGGATTTGCTTATTAAATGTCCCTCTGGGCCTTCCCAGTGAACATAGTACAGATCTTTAAGTGCAGAGTACTTCACTGTTCTTGGTTAGCTCATATATTTTGTGCAGCTATAGTGAAGGAGTGAACTCTTGAGGTTGCTGAAGTCATAGACCATTCAGTTGCTTCCTGGTAGTCAGCATATGAGGTGTGTAGTATTCATGCAGAAACTGCTAATGCTTAATCATGCATTTTATCATTGGCCTTTTGCTATTGGTGTGTGAAGTGGTGTACAAAAGAGTCAAAGCAGCATTTTCCTCAAGAGCTTCACAAGAGGATGGTTGATCGGCAGGTCTGAAACTTAATCAAGCAAATGGGGACCTTGGGAATATGGCTTGAACAGCTGAAAATGGGAGCTTCCATGTCCCAGATGAAGTATCTGCATTTCTACAATGGGTAAACTCTCTCTGTGTGGTTTGGACTTGGTTGAATGTCACTTTCTAAAACTCTAGTAAGAGATGAAGAGAGGCTTTTGTTCTGGTGTGTCCTTGCCTCTCCCTGGGTAAAAAGTAATTTTTATACAGCTATCTACAGAAATAGATAACGGGATAGAAAGGAGCATGAATTTCTACCTGGAATGGAGGTGAGAACAGGGCAAGTGTGCATATGAAGTGTATTGTTCTCTATACTGGGTACAAAAAGGACTGACCAGGCTCTCTGCCTTTTAGGTGTCAAAGTTGGTGGGGTATACATGCCAAACTACTAAATCACTGTCATTCAAGCTATTATAACACGGTTGTTTTAACTTCTGTATGCAGCTGCTGAGACCAAGACTCTTGAATTTCCTTCTAAAATGATGCAGTTCTCTTCTCACCTTTGATACATACCCACACTTAATATTTCTTCAAATAAGAACTAGTATGAAAAGGGTTCTGTGTTCATTGTTAAGACATTGGTTTCAATTGTCATAATTTTTGTGCTGGTGTGTATTTGATTCTGGCTTTCTTCCATTTACCCTCAACACTTAAAAAGAGCTACTGTTGGCTGAGTGAAATGTGATTTGTTTTCTAAAATGGCCACATGCTATTTCAATGCTAATGGAATCCTGCTGACTTGTATCAGTTCTAATTATTAAGAGCAGGTTACTTGACTCTGTACAGATCCTGTGCAGAGGGAGAATAATGAAGAGTTTATGTAAACAAGAAACAGGTGGTAGTTTAAATTCAGTTGCTTAAACTCCCCTGCATCAATGTAATGCCACATCTGAGAGTCTGCCTTGGCTCCAGTTGTGTGTATATTTTTGTGATTGGCAATGTGGGCAGCCGCTCCCCCCATGCCACTGCAGGCACCAGCTGGCTGGCTGCATGCAACTTCCGCTCCACGCCGCTGCAGGAAACTCTCCCGAGAGCACACGCCTCCTTCAGTGACATGGGGGAGAGTTGCGTGCCCGCAAACCAGCTGGCTGGCGGGCGCATAGCTTCCCTCCCACATCGCTGTGGGAAATGCTCTCCTCCTGCAGCGGCATGGGGGGAGTTGCGTGCATGCCAACTAGCTGGCTGCCAACCAGCTCCCCCCTCCCCTCACGCCACTATCAGTGTATTGGGCGACCCCAGTTTTTTGACATGATTTTTGAGTCAAAAAACCTCGTGTAATACATGGAAAAATACGGTAGCTCTGCAAACTGGGCTCTCATCTACAGAGCCACAGTCTGTATGTGCCTTCCCCTCAGCATGTGATGAAGAAACCAGCTGCCCATCTAGTATAATTCTTGAGGTTTAGAGACATATCTGGGACTCCTGTGTTCTCTCCTTTTGGTACATTGCAGTTTAGATAGTAAGAGTTCGTTCTTGGGAGCAGAGTGGCTAATGTGTGGTTTTGAAAGTTCCCTACTTTGGGGCAAAGGTGAGCTAGATCTTGAGGACTGTTATAGATACTTCATGTGGATCTGGAACAATATTTTATTAAGAGACAGATTGACGTCTAACAGCGTGTGACTTAAGCCAGTACACAATGTTAAAATTGTTTTTTGGATACTACTAGGGGGAAGACCTGTGAGGCACTGAGATAATTTAAATATGAGAATTGTGAACTAACTTAAATAATAGTTACTATTAACCTTTAATTTGTGGCAGCTTAACTCCTGTTGTTGTTTTCTACACCCACATTAATAGATCTAAGGATCAATGGAGATGACTTCAGGATCTTTCATATGTGTAGTACCAAGAGTGAGAGTCTCTTTAAAAGCTGTACTTCTTTGCCTTCTTATATACAGCATGACTTTTGAAAATAATAAGCTTGTTAGGTTAGGTTATCAAACCAGTCACCACTACTGACTATTTGTATATGGGGTGGTGGTGGGAAATCTGCACTTTCAGAAAAGCAGAGTATTCTGAACTTCTCCTCTGCCTCCTCTATTTTCCATGGTTGTCAGCAGTCAAAAGATATTGAGACACAGGGTTTTCTTCTGATGCAGAAACATGCAAGTCTGAACAGACCTTCTGTTCAGTATCCTGATCTGTGAATTACCTTGTTGCCGACTCAGGACATGTTTTGGCTTGGCTTAGTGTGGCTAATTGGCTTTGTCATAGCTTGGAATGCAAGGGAAGAGAAGTCCTTGAAATGACCTTGTTGGCAGCTGTTTAATGTGGAAGTTCTGTTTGACTTTGGAAATGTTGGTTTAGAACATGAGAAAGTAAGTTGTCTGTTGTGTCCCATTGTGAACTGGGAATTAAAATATCATGCCTAGTGTGAAAGAGTAGTACTAATGGAGTGGGGAGGAACCAGGAGAAGAAAACAGAGCAACATAACTTAATTTTGTATGATAATTGAATATTTAAAATACCAAAGTAACTCTTTTTGAAGAAGGTAGCAAAAATCACATGGAATATACCATACATAAATTTCCCAGTTTTTGATGTCCTGATTAATATTGGAGCAGAGGAGAGCCGGGAGAGAAGTTGAATGCATCATGGTGAATGCACTGTATAGGCCAGGGGTAGGCAACCTAAGACCCGGGGGCTGGAGGCAGCCCAATCGCCTTCTCAATCCGACCCTTGGACAGTCCAGGAATCAGTGTGTTTTTACATGAATAGAATGTGCCCTTTTATTTAAAATGCATCTCTGGGTTATTTGTGGGGGCATAGGAATTCATTCCCCCCATCCCCTCCAATATAGTCTGGTCCCCCACAAGGTCTGAGGGACGGTGGACCGGCCCACGGCTGAAAAAGGTTGCTGACTCCTGGTATAGGCCATACAAAGCAAAGCTTTTGAAGAAAGGCTGTCCAGTGGCCTCTGACTTGTTTCTTTGAGCCTGTTGTGTTAGGCATCACCTTCTTGTAAGAATTAAATCCAACTATTTCAAAAGGACAAATGAATGCCCAGTTGTGTGTTACAACTCTTCATGTTGTTAGGGACAGGGGGAAGCCTTTCATTTCAGAGTTTGTTTTGTGATGGTGGTTTTTCAAATTTGTCTTATCCCTGAGCAGAGATGAAAAGTGGAACTTGTGTTTGATGCTTAGTATCTCATTGCTTTCCAGTATTGTGTCCTAATTTACTGATGCTTGTGTTCTGCTCTGTAGAGTAATCCTAGGTCAGGGTGAGCAATATTTGGAACACCTAGTGGAAAGATGGTGCAAATTTTTTGCTAAAGGATAGGAATAAAAAATTAAGTAAAGATCCTGAATTTAATATTGCACTGCTTGATGTACGTTCTGCAAACAAACTTCTTTGAATTTTAGGATAACATTCTCAAGAGCTTCATTATAGAAGAGATCTTGAGTACACTGCTACTCAAAAGTAGCAAGATGCTTTTTTGTCCCATATGATCAATTTAAAGTACAATACTTTAGGGGAGATGGAATTCAGTTTGCTCTCCTTATGGTTTGAGAAAGAGCAATGTAGTTAACTGGGATGTATATTCACAGCACAAGATGGTGTGTTGATGATGTGTCTTTTGTCTACATTTACGGGCAACAGGGCATGACTTGAATAATTTTATATTATTTAACATAAAATCTGTCACTTTTATCCCTCAAGCCATGTCCTATTGCACTTCCTCTCAAGTAATTATTCAAGGAAGAACCCTCCCCATTGAACTTGATACTGTACTTGTTTTTATGAAGTTTTTGAAGAAAGCGACTTTGTTGCATTCTTTCAGCACTGGCATTGCTAATAGCACTCAGGATATTTCTCTGTATGGGAATGCAAATTATGGAATTGATTTTAGTAGTGGAGTTAAGCACATGCACAACTCTCTCTGCTTTTGATTTACATAAAAAGGACATTGAAAGGGCTTCAATTTAGCTACACAGGCCTGTTGCAGGCATCAGGTTTACAATCTAGGAGTTTGCAACCTTTTTTTCTTTCCCCTTCTGTTATAATTAATGTAAATTGTAAACTCCTTGGGATGGGGAATTGTATTTTGCTTATATTTTCTTAAAGAGCCTTTTACAGTGTTGTCACTAGATAAATTTATAATTTTGTACTATTAGAAAAAAATCTCAACTCAGCATTAGATTGTTGGCAGCCTTGTGTATGTTTTAGCTTTGTTTGAAATGCTCTGTGAAAGATAGGAGTATTCTGGTTATCATAAAGTGGCTTAGAAACATAGCTGCAAGCAAGATGTCTGGAGGAAGTGGTTACAATTATTGCATAATTGGTTGCATTACTCTACAAATATTAGTTGTAGAAATCAATAATGCTTAGATGTGTAAATAGCATGTATAGCTAGATGACAAACTTGAGTATAATGACTTTTAAATGCTTGTAATGTGTGTATTTTTAAAATTGCCCCCCAAAATACCCTATGGTTTTAAATTATGGGAGAGACCTTTCATGTTTGAAAGCTCAGAAGAAGTAATATGGCCCAAACACATGCAAATGGACATACTCTTGACCTAGATTTTGCCATGGAACAGGCTGGTGTGAATCCATTGATGGATTGGGGGAGGAGGGCTTCTAGTAAGCCAATTGTCATGGATGGATCATTCTCTGATAAGACTTAGGCTGACAGTGGCACACTGTAACAGCTGGGGGACCCATTGACTTGGTCTGCCTAGACTTAATGGAATACAAAGGCTTTCTGAATGCTCTGGGAGATTTTCCAGTTGACATGACTGACACTTGGTTGAGGCTCTGGTTTCTCTTTAGAATGATGACAAGAAAAGAGTAAAATACACAAACAGGAAGGTGGACAACTGGAGTACAAGTGGCATAAATCCTGATGTGAATCTGCCTGGACACAGATGACAGCACATTATTGCTGGCAGTGGCAGCAGTGAAGAAGATATAATTTTCTGCTACCATTGCAACTTCTAGTATCTGTTCAACAGTGTCTTTTTGAGTGATCAGTGGGTTTGTAACATCTGGATAGAAAAAGGCGATGATGTGGCAACCATTGGAGCCTACTGTGACAAATTTGCAAAACGCTAGAAGCATACAATTGCTCAGATTCACATGGCATTGGATATCACAGAGTGAGTCCTGAGGAAATGTCCAGAGCTTCTAGTCAGGGTCTTTTGGATCAGTTCCATCTATTGATGAGCATGTGGACAAGCTACTTGAAGGATTTTGGACAACAACATGCCCTTCAACCTCCTCCCTTGCTTATCATAACTAATAAAAACTAGCTGAAGGAATGTGACTAGGCAAGTCCTGGGTGCGGTGAATGCCTTGCTATGGGTAGGGGGAGGTACCATTGGCCCTTAAGGAAGCAGTGGTGCATCCCCTTCTCAAGAGGATCTTCCTGGACTCACAGGTGATCGCCTAATAACCAGTATCCCCCTTTTTTGCAAGGTGTTCAAGAGGATAGTGATGGTTCAACAGCAGACATGTTTGGAGGAAGCTGATTTTCCTGACTCAATCTTGCTTTAGGCCTGGATAGGGCACTAAAATTGCCTTGGTTGTCCTGATTCATTATGTTTGTCAGGAGAGGGATGGGGAAGTGCAACCTTGTTTGTTTTGCTTGATCCCTCAGGAACTTTTGATACCATTGACCATGATACCCTCCTCTAGAGCCTTTGAAGGTTGGAAGTTAGGGGCACTGTGTTTTAGAGATTTCATTCCTACCTCCAAGGCCTATTTCAGAGAGTAACAGTGGGAGACTCTTGCTTAGTTCCTTGAGTTCTCATGTCAGTCTTTTCCCTCTTGCTCTAACATCTATATGAAGCCATTGGGATATATCGTCAAGGGCTTTGGAGTGAGGTGCCATCAGTATGCCAATGCCATCTAGCTCTAGCTTTCTATTCCACCTGAATCAGGAGGGGCAGTTCAGATGCTGGACCATTACGTGCAGGCAGTAATGGGCTGTATGTGGACCAGGAAATTGAAACAATCCAGGTAACTTGGAGGTACTGTGTGTTGCAGATTATTGAATCTGGGAAGAAGGGAGATGGGTGGTTTTGGATGGGATTGCATTGCCGTGGAAGAAACAGGCTCACATTTGACCCATCTATGTCATTTGAGGCCCAGGAAGCCTTGGTGGCTAGGAGTGCCTTTTCTAGATGATTCACCAGCTATAGCTGTTCCCGCACAAGAATAGCCTGGCTACTGTGATCCATGCTCTTGTAACTTCCAGACTGTACTGTTGCTATGCATTCCATGTGGGACTGCCATTGAAGACTATTCAGAAGCAGCAACTAGTGCAGAATGTAACACCTAGTGGGTATCTATGGCTGCAGACATTATGCCAGTCTGAAAAATTATGCACTGGTTTCCAGTCCGTTAACAAGATGAATTTAAGGTGTTAATACTGACACAGACCCTAAATGATTTGGAGCCCAACCATTTGAAGAAGTGCCTCCTCCCACATAGACATGCCTGGGTGTTAAGATAAGTAGGTGAGGCCCTGATACCAGCACTACCACCTTTTGTATTTTAAGGGGTAGGGGTGAGTGAGAGGGGTACCTTGCACCATCATTGTATGGCTTTTGATGATTAGTCAAGGTGCACCAAGGCCTTCAGTTGAGTGGATGTTTCTGTGTTACTGGTCTATGTGGGTGTTTACTTTATTTTGTCTTTGGTTACTTTTTGTAGTTTTTATTGATTACTTTAATGTAAATGCAGTTTTAATTGGGATATTTTTGTAGCCCATCCTGGGAAGGGGAGACTATAAGCACTAAATAAATAAATAAATTTTGATTGCAAGAGAAATTTTGCTTTTCTACCTCCTTCCCCCAGCTCTAAAGTTAATGTAGCTATTAAAATAGCTTCCATTTCAGGAACCCATTTCTGCTGCTACACTCAAATGAAAAGCATTTTGAAGTTTACAGGATAATTAGACTGTAAGTGTCTGAAAAAATTGTAGGCATTTCAATCAACAGTTTTCCCAATTGTTGTGCTCTCCTTATAATCTAATGCATGGTTAGCACAAGACAAAAACTCTGCATGTCTATCGCAGCTGGAATGTTGCAAAGGAGGGAAGGTATTTATTTTCTTAAGTCTATTTTGGTTTTGTTTTAAAATTTTCCTCCTCCCTTACTTTTAAATGGCACTTTTCCATTCTCCTTGAATATTCTTTGACCCTGGAAAGATACACAGCTACCTTCCTATTACACCACATACCCCTTCTTCTGCTTTCACTATTTTTGGGAGGAACTAGTAAATTTGACTTGCCTAAGCTTAATGCTAGCTTCTAAACTGATTTTATGAGCTCTGATTCTAGATCACATCTCATACTAATGGAATCATAATCTACAATGTGGGTAGAACTAGCTTTTAAATGCTAGTTGTGCAAAAATGAAACAGTTGTTGATGTGTGGTAAATGACAGGACCATGTATAGGCAGAATTAAGTTGATGTATTTGGAAAAATCTGGTTGTGCTTCCTCAAGGTAGTAGAATTACTGTTTTTGTTTTTCCTGTTATTCCTGATAAGTATTCAGATATATACATTGTTTATTTTTTTAGTGTGTTAATCAAAAATGTATGATCTTAAAGTGGGGTGGGGAACTGGATCTGGCCAGTGGTGGGTCAAATCCTTATTTCCTTCACTCTACCCCCAGCAACAGGCAAACTTTGACAAGTGGGAAAGTTTTCCTTTCCTTCATGGTTTGAAATAAAAACTGATGTGGATAAAAGCACATGGTGTTAGTTGCAGGTGTTCATGATCAGCTGATTGTCAGCCCTTGGAAAACCCTATGCCATGATGGTCAGCAGTTGCAAAGCGCTGTGCTTCCCCAGTTGCACTAGGGAGTTTTCCTTTGGGGCTTGTTAGCACTGTCTGAAAGTACCATTTGCAGATCAACACTTGGGCACTCAGTTTACGAACCCAGTTGCTCAAGCCATGTCTTTACCTGCCCAGGGGGACACATCCTGACCTAATTAAACCTGCCAGCAAGCTGTTCCCAATCCATGGGCTAGATGGTTTCATGTTCTGATTGTACAATGCAGCTTCATATTTCTATGCAAAATGTGGAGTAGGGTGGTAAAAAAAAAATGGCAACGAATGCATTGTTGTCACATCTTATTGACAAAACTACTGATTTTTGAGTGGAGTAAAACATGCACTTGTACATTTAAATGAGGGTTCTCAGCTGGGGGACATTGTTATGCTATTACTATCCTGGAGCCAGAGCAGAAGATATATAGTTAGGGTTGCCATACATTCGGAATTTCCCAGACATATTCAGAATACTGCAGCCGCAAGTATACAAAACTGAAAAAGGCTCAACAACTTTTTGAAATGTGGCAACCCTAATATACTGTACTATAAGCAATGCCAAGTCTGTCCACTTTTGATATGAAGTAGATGACCAGCGGATATACCAACATACAAACACAAATTGCTACATTTGGGAGTTGTAACACGCAACTTGGACAATGACAAATTTACTTAAACATTTGCTGGCAAATAGAAGACAAGCACTTGACTTTAATCTTTCTCTGCTGCTTAAGCCACTACATGTGAAGTATGTATACAGATAATGAATTTTCTCCACCTACTACAAGAGATATGTGTTACCATCTGTGGCTGCAGTTGTCAGATTGAAGTGAATAATGAATCTGGTTGGGAGTAAGATGAAGTAAATGGATAAACAAGAATAATCCATAACAGGCAACCATATAACATTTGGTTATATGTCAGTGAAGACCACCCAGGACAGGCAACAATTTGCGCATAGTTTGTCTTCTCTGATTTTTTTAAAAAGCAGGTCACAAGACAGAATGTTCCAGAGAGCTCTGTTTAGGCTGAGGATGGTCCTCCCTTCAGGTTATAATATAATGTTAACTACCTGCCTCTGTAAATGTTTGTGCACCCTTGAACAAATTCGTTGCAGTTCAAATTCATTGCTAGCATATGAGTGTTGCAGTGGACGTCTTTTTAAAAAAGTGTACTAGCCTACCTGCCTGCACATGTGCTAGCCATTTTGTGGCCTAAAACATCCTAAGTCACTTTAAAGATTCTCTGCCTGAATGCATGAAGGCAGTTCTTACTTACCACAGGGAACCAGGTGAACAACATTTGCAAGCCTGTACTATGATTTAAGAACTTTAGCTATATTTTCCTAAGGCTATGTGGCCTATGCAGGGAAAACACAAGAGACAAAACATGAGGTTTGAGCTGGAAGTGGGGGAGCCATCATAAGTGATTAATTTTGAACTGACTGGGAGGGGGAAAGCATTTTGAAATCTCCCCAAAGCCTTTATCTATACAAGATAGTAGACTTGGGCAGTCAGCCACCACTTCACACATAGCCTACTAGTACAAAGGCCCCGCAGCCAGTGCTTAATGCAAATTTGCCTGTGTGCTGCATGTGATGAGGATGCACTTTGTCGGGATATTTGCCCTATGAAATCTTTGTCCCAGACACTGCCTGTGGGTTATTCTTTTTAGCATTTAGCATGGTGTTGTTTTTAAGTGCTGCTGTTTCCCAAGTCCTTCTTTCTTTTATATTTAACTTTCACTTGCCCTTAAACATAGGTGGCTGAATGCCAGCTCTTCAAAATCCACTTAGCCAGTTTCCCCTTTTAAAATGAAAAATTGCCAGAATGGCTATTCTCTCAAGCCTGAGGTTTAATGAAGTGTGAAGAGAGCATTGGTTAATTCCCGCCGCCGCCCCCCCCCGAAAGCTCTACGTTACATTTTTAATAGAAGAAAGGATAAACGTAGCCTTGTGAGCGAAGAGTTTGATAAGGTCTGGATTTTGCTGTTTTTGAACAACCAGCAACTGCCACAGACAAGGTCCTCTTGAGAGAGGCAGATATATTGGCCTACTAGATTTTGATATGAGTGAAGCCTGGGTCCAATGCTCAGCTTGCTCTAGAACAGGGGTTCTAAGTTTTTGCAGAAAACCCCATCTTTCAATTCAATAAAAAGAAATATAGTAACTGCAGTAAGAACAATGTTTTGTGGGGGTTTTTGGCTGATGATACTCATGCTGGCTCAGTTTTGGATACCACAACAAACCATGGTTAAGGAGGGTTACGTATGGTTTGGCGTGATGTTTGAATAGAGAAACTATAGTTAGTATCTTTGCACCACAGTATCAATTGCACCACAGAATCAGGAGAGCAGACCTGGTAAAAAATGAAAGCAGATAAGCCGCTCTTAACTATGGCTTTATGTTTATGTTTGGAAGGTTGTCATGGTTTGGTGTGTTGTGTCGTCCTAGACCCAGGACCTGAAAAAACATGATTTTGGGAATTTGTAGCATGTACTAAGTCAATTAGGGCACCGCCTGCAATGTTTTTCAATCTTGGGTCCCCAGACTACAACTCCTATCATCCATGACCATTGGCTAAACTGCATGGGGCTGATGGGAGTTGCAGCCCAACAATATCTGAAGTTTGAAGAACACCGGAGGAAGCTGTGCTCCAAGTAGAGAGGCATTCATTTTCTATATTAAATCAAGTTATATTTAAGATCAGCCCTTAGGGAATTATGACTGCTGGGACAGCTGTAAGCCCAATGTCTCAGAATGGTCCTGTTTTTCCATCTGTTAAGTAAGTCCGTGGTGTTCTCTTATTGAAAATGCCCTCGAAGTGATAGAAAAGCATTGTTCCAATATTATTAGATTGGATAACAAAGGTGGATATTAAGACATCTTTCCCTTAAGCAATTCAATCAGATCAGGTATTTCTAATGCTCTTTTCTTGATTTTGAATAACGGGGGTTGCATTCCCCAACCTTCCAATATTAGGTTTCTTACCCTGTTTTTTTATTTAATAAACATTACAGTGATACCTCAGGTTAAGTACTTAATTCGTTCCAGAGGTCCGTTCTTAACCTGAAACTGTTCTTAACCTGAAGCACCACTTTAGCTAGTGGGGCCTCCCACTGCTGCCACATTCCTGGAGCACGATTTCTGTTCTCATCCTGAAGCAAAGTTCTTAACCTGAAGCACTATTTCTGGGTTAGCGGAGTGTGTAACCTGAAGCGTATGTAACCTGAGGTACCACTGTATACCGCCCTTCAACAGAAACACTCAGGGTGGGTTACAATATAAGATTCATATATAGAGTTGCTTCAAGATGTCAGGCTGAGTATTTTTGTGAACTACAGGTTGAGTATTTATGTGATTCTGAATAAAAGCCTTTAACTTTCACAGAACTACCTTGTGGTTTCTTTGAGTGATTTGGCAAGGATCCAAAAAGCTACTTGGGACACGCCCAGTCCAATTGTCACAGAGTAAAGCTCTGTGTGTGTGTTTCTAAAGTGCTGGGCGGGGTGCGGTGGGTGGATCCCAATCTTTGTCTATTATATCAACCTGTGCTGGTGTTGGTACTTTCACTTATATGACATTTCATGAGTTCCTTTTGTGTCAAACATAACAACTTTGAAAATAAAACCCAGATATCACAGTAAAAACAGCAACCAACATTTTTTAAATACAAACAATAGCATTCCAAATAACATAGTAACAACAAGAAAATGGCATTAACTTTGTTGTCCAAGTGGAAAACAAATTAAACAAACATTTCCGACAGCAAAATATAACCCAGGAAATAGCTTGGTGGCTCTTACTCTACAAAGGACAGATAATTCTGTAGGGTATAGGCCACTCCAGAGAAGGCCTGCTTCCTAAAATTTATACACCTCTTGATTGTGAGAAAACCTCTAAGTGGTTTTCAAAAAAGAAAAAACAATAAAATTAGAAATAAAACAATAATCATACATGAGGCACAAATACCTTAGAAAATGGTAGCTTAGAAAAGGGACTTGACACCTTTCCGCAGGGCCTGCAAGACAGAGCTGTTCCACCAGGCCTTTGGCCAGGGCACAGCCTGACTCCCTCCTTCGGCAATCCTCGCGGAGCTCTGGCCCAATGGTTGCCAGTGGCCTGAATTAATTAATTTTATAATGAATGATTTTAGAGTGTTGTGTTGTGTTGTACTGTTGTACTGTTTTATTGTTGTTAGCCGCCCTGAGCTCGGCTTCGGCTGGGGAGGGCGGGATATAAATAAAATTTATGATGATGATGATGATCATGATGAAATACATATGTAGATCATTGTGGTTGATCTGAAAACATAATCCTGAATCTTGTGGTACACAATCCACAGCTTGACAAGCTACAGTGGACAGTGAAGGCAGTGTTCTGCTTCTGCAGTCAGCTTCTGACTTACGTTTGATGTAGGTTAGCAGAGCATCTGTTCTGCAGTTCAATCTCACTATGCAGCTCCATGCCTCCCTGCTTCTTGGTGTTCATCAGTCTCTTTCCCTGTCTGCCCTTTAGAATTTGCTGCTGTTATAGGTTCATCAATTTGAGCAGATGAGAGATGGGCCATGAAAGGCTTAGGTATGATTTTGGTACATAAATGGTGCAGTCAGAAAACTTTTCCTTTTCAGCCTACCCACCCCTTTTCCTCTTCACTGACAAAGATGGATAACAGAACCCTTAACAACAACAAAAAATTCCCTTGCTCCTCAAGGCCTTCCTGTGGTCCACACATTAGATTTATGCTTAAGCTAGCTATTGTCAATTTGCCATCTATCCAAAAACCTCTTTCCTAAAGGAAGTGTGTATTTGTCAGTGTATAAAGTGTTAAGCTTTCCAAGTCCTAATGGACCATCAAAAGTCACCTCCATCCATACGAATCTACCTAACCCTTGAGATCTAGTGAGATCTTGCTATGCCTTCTCCCTGTCAGTGGAAGAACGGTGGGTAAATATGAGAGAATGGCCCATTCTTTGGTGGCACAGAGACAGTGGAGTGTCCTGTCTGGCCTCATTGCCTCTAACCTTTAAAAAATGATTAATATGTTTTCTGGCAGACATTGTCTGCTATACTGTTTTAATGCAGAGGTTTTACTGCTACTGTCTGTTGCAGACTGATTTGTTTTCTGTGATGGTTTTAAAATTGATTTTTGATACATTGTGTTATTCTTATACAGTGGTACCTTGGTTCTCGAACGTAATCCGTTCCGGAAGTCCATTCGACTTCTGAAATGTTCGGAAACCAAGGTGCGGCTTCCGATTGGTGCAGGCGCCCTGGAAACAGTAGCCGACAGTCGCATCAGATGTTTGGCTTTCAAAAAGTGTTTGAAAACTGGAACACTTACTTCTGGGTTTTCGGTGTTCGGGAGCCGAAATGTTCGAGTACCAAGGTGTTCAAGAACCAAGGTTCCATTGTATACTACTTGGAATATATTGTTTATAAAATGGTGGAATTAAAAATGCTAAAAGTAAAACAGGATAGTTTGAAACTCAGTCACTTGCAGCACTTCCCACTCTTTTCTGTTTTTGTTAGCTTTTGCTGTTGAGTAACACACACTATTCTGTAGCCCTTTGGCTTTTAAACTAATTTTATTAATTTTAAACGCATCAAAAAACCTTAATGAAAAATACCTGTTGGGGATTCTGAAAGAAACTGTGTTTCCTCTTTAAGTGTGAGAACTTATTTATAGATTAACAACAGAATATATTGCATGTCCTGCTAAAAGAAAATAACACAGTTAATATTGACTCAACAAATAAGTAAATTAAAGGCCCTTCAATGTGATGGGAGACTTGAGGTTTTAAGATGAATATGGATTTTAGCTATCTGGTCTTATTTTTAGAAGAGAAGCCATAGAAACATCACTTGAAAGTTGAACTCACCTTGGATACAGACTGGAAAGAAGTCATACTTTAGTTCCCTTTTGCATAAAATTGGGTGTAGGGAGGAGAAAAACGGCACATCTGTGGCCTGCATGAATCTTGTAGCCCTGAATTTCTGCTTTGCTCTCATTACCACTGATAAATGGTGGATTTTTTAATTGGATATCAATGCTTCAGTTGATTAATCAGTAGATTAAAGTGTACATTCCTAAAAGATGCCTTACAGTAATTAACTGCATCTTCTCAAGGGAAAGGCTAGTTGTCGGCTAACCTACACTTGACCTTGCTCTTAATTTAGATGAAAGCTTTGGGGACCAAAGTACAGTAGTAATTTCTGGGTGGAGTTGGAGCCACCCTGTACTGAGTTTCCACCCTGTGTTCAAATCCTGCTGGCACTTGTCTGGATCTTACCAATTTGAGCTAGACATATTTGAATGTTCTGTCATAGCTGCATTCTTTCTTTGCACTTCCTGCAAAAATGTCTGGGCTTTTATGTTGGACTATAAGTTTTTAACCTTGGTCACAATGAGCCCACCCCAGAAGTGTGGAAGAATTGACTTGAGCTATGTAACATTGAAGGAAGACCATTCAATACCAGTGGGAACTGTGAACTTTGTCTCAGGCAGTGAATGGGCAGAGTAATAGAAAGGGCTGCAAAAACCTGTGCTGTGGTGTTGAGGTTCCAAAGGGTAGTTTTGCAAAGGTGAAGGTGTTGATCTGTTGGCTCCAGTGGTGGTCCATCGATGAGGAAAATATGCTTCCACTCGGACTATATTTCAAGGATCCAGGTTTTTCAAAGCCAGGGTTTGTCAAGACAATTCAATCCCAAAACAGTATCAAGAGTTCAGGACCCAGGAAGAATTAGGTTGGCAGCTGGAGGAATTAAGATCTATTTCCAACCAAAATTTGTACAGCTATTCCTGTTAATAGCATCTTTTCCACAGACTTGTTTTTATGTTCTGAAAACTCTCCTGCACCATTGTCAGTACTGTTGACAAGGACTGCTTGTTGACAAGGAAGAATGGGGCAAATTCAAAACACCAGGAGACAGAGTATATGCCTGCAGATTTAGTAATGACTGCATTAAAATAATGAAAACAAGAGCAACCATAACTTTAGCATCCAGACATGGGAAATTTCCCCTCTAGTCTTAAGGTCAGAGATTCTGGGTTCCCTTAGGAGGAAGGGCAGAATAGAAATTGAATAAATAATGTTCCTTTGCACAATATCCAAATGACTTAAACATGAATTTATCCAGGAAATAAACCTGTGAAAACAAGCTTCCTGCTGGTGAGCAATTAAATCTCATGAAGTTTTGAAATGTTGTGATGACATTTGTGTACAAGTTCAGAACCCAGTTTCCTTCCTGTTCACGTGAGTTCTCTCCTTCTGTGTTGTGTGAGGTTGCATTTTAGACTCAAATTTGACCTCCACTTTCCCTGTAGTCATCTGGGTCCTGAAGTAGCCACACACAAATAACTTGATTAATTATCAATACTTTATGCATGATACATCCAAACGAAATGTTGTATCATATTTTAAACCTAGTATTATCATTTCAGAACCTCTAGGGTTAAGCAAGCGAGAAAGTTCTAAACAGATAAAAGGCTTATTATTGTAGAAATGTCAATAGTGCAACAAGAGCTTATCCTTTATATAACATTTCCAGCATGAATTCTTAGCTTCTGCTTACATTATTATATTAACTTTATAATCTTGACAAAATGGAAAGCTTTCTAGTACACATAGAAAGAGATGTGCATGTATGTGTTGAAAAAATGAAACGAAAAGGACTCATCCTCCTGGCAAGTGCCACTCGGAAATCTGTTTTCTGTGCCTCTTGGCATACTTGAAGATAACAGTCTGTCTCACTCAAGTTTCAATCTGAGCCAAATGGATTCAGATTGCCTACATATGGAGAATTCATGGTAGGTAAAGGACAAAGTTGGTAGCATTGCCCTGCCTCCTAAGCTGCCTTGTGTTCTGGAAGGCTGGAAGAGTGTGCTGTTCTTGATCATTTTCTTGGTAGAAATATACAGTAAAATACTGATTTCAACTGCCTTGTTTGGGGAGCTGGAAGTGGAGAGGAGAGACTGTTCCAGCTGCTTTATAGTTCAAGAAAGGGTAAACCTTGTGTCCTTTCACAATGGGCAAATGTATTTATGTAAAAGTTTTTGTTTCAGGAGTTCCTGACCTATAATCTATGTTTTTTATTTCATTTTACTTGACAGATTGTTCAGCTTGACCTTGAAAAAGCTAATTATGCTGAAAGAGATGGACAAAGATCTAAATTCTGTGGTGATTGCAGTGAAACTGCAGGTACGTGTAATAAGGGAGCAAGGAATTTTTCAAGCTGTATATTGTATCTGAGGGACGCGGGTGGCGCTGTGGGTAAAACCTCAGCGCCTAGGACTTGCCGATCGCATGGTCGGCAGTTCGAATCCCCGCGGCGGGGTGAGCTCCCGTCGTTCGGTCCCAGCTCCTGCCCACCTAGCAGTTCGAAAGTACCCGTAAGTGCAAGTAGATAAATAGGTACCGCTTTATAGCGGGAAGGTAAACGGAGTTTCTGTGTGCTGCTCTGGTGCCGGTTTGCCGGAGCAGTGTCGTCACGCTGGCCACGTGACCCGGAAGTGTCTGCGGACAGCGCTGGCTCCCGGCCTGTAGAGTGAGATGAGCGCACAACCCTAGAGTCTGTCAAGACTGGCCCGTACGGGCAGGGGTACCTTTACCTTTACCTTTACCTTTACCTTTACCTTTACCTTTATATTGGCCTTAGCAATTGCAAGGCTTGCCAATTGTGTATAGCTCTGGAGAGACCCAGTTCCCTTTCTCCTGTTCTTGGGGTTGGAGTGGTAGTAGTGTTAAGCTTTTCCATTTTCCTATGGAATGGGCAAAATGTCTGGCTTGGAGCATTGGACTCTCTAATTCATTATGTGGAACTTCATGTTCAAATTTAACCTACTGTGCCTAGCCTAGCATCCTAGCCCTATATACCTGAAGGAGCATCTCCACCCCCATCATTCAGCTCAGACACTGAGATCTAGCTCGGAGGGCCTTCTGGCGGGTCCCTCACTGCAAGAAGTGGAGTCACAGAGAACCAAGCAGAGGGCTTCTTTGGTAGTAGCACCCACCCTGAGGAATGCCTGAAAATGGCTCTGAAAATAGACCAATTCACTGGATTGATTAAAAAATTAGTACATACTGTATTAGTGTTCTTGTACCAGTTTCTTCAGTATGTTGTTTGGGGCTCAAGTATCCCCATGTTGAAGACTAAAAACAATGATGCACGCCTCTTGTTCTGTGCGAGTTGCAGGGTTCAAAGAGGATTCTGAGGTCCAACGAGATTGTCTTACCTGTCAGTGGACTTGTGGAAACGGAGCTTCAGTTGACTTTCTCCTTGCAGGTAAATACAGTTTAACTAAATTAATGGGGGTGCATAGAGGGGAGGGTTGCTGGGGGAAGGAAGGGATAGAAGACCCTTTCTCCATAAACTTCATCAACATACCTTAGGATCTTTCTCTAATACTGTACTCAACACTAATGTCTCACAACAAATGTAACTGATTTGTTAGAAAGACTGTACAACCTGAAAAAAGCGAGAAGGCATGTACGTTTGTGAACCAAGAAAATCTTTATTAAAAAAAACTTTTTAAAACATACCTTAGCATCTAATCCTTAGTCTTTAAGGTGCCACAAAACTTCTGTTGTTTTTAATGTAATAGGTTTAACATGGCTACTCCTTTGGAAGTAGCATAGTGTTAGTGTGCTTCAGATTTTCTAAACAAGAAGCTTAATAACTGTACAGTGGTTTGGGGATATTTGAAGAGAGATTGCTGTGAAATTTCAAATCTCGTTACACCCACACTTTCGTATTCCCAGGAAGCAATGCCACACTCTTCCTGCTGTGTGCCTAGCATGATAGCTTTTCAGATTGAGAATGTGAGGCTTATGCAATGTGTCGAAGATAGCTTTCCAGTGAATTTCTCTTCTGTGCTCCTTTTCTTCAGGGAAAATGCTCAACTTCTTTTTCTCCCTTTCATGCTACATAAATAGCCATTTCTCAGCACATGGTGTTAAAAAGCATTGGACCTGTAGAGAACTGTAAAATGTATGCAATCTGTATTAAACTGTTCAGCTTCACTGCTGTTTACGGGGTGAATTACATTCTTAAAGCATCTGAAGTGTTTATCTAAGATGGGACAGAGAGGATTTATATGTTATCCTCTTCTCCTTGCTAGTAAAAATCCAGTGCAATCACAAAGCCAGGAGGTGATGAATCTGGGTGTTTGGGGGATGGTGATGTGCAATTTGTTTTAACGAGAATTCTTCCAGAATAGTTCAGACATTACCTCTTCCTGAACCAGCTGTCTTGCATGGGGAAGTAAGCTTTTGAGTTGCACAGTTGTTGGATCCATTTTTAGACCATGTCCTTTATACTGAAGTGGCAACCATTTTTGGAACATCATTCCTGACTCTAAGAAATGGCAAGCAACTATACAATGGGACATTTCCTCACACTTTAAAATCCTTTTGAAGGCATGAATTGAATGGAATATATTGATTGGGCCATTTGAAACGGTTTCCTAATCATCTGGAGAGTATTTTAGCTAATATAGATTATGAGTTTTGGGAAAGATATGTGGGGCCAGCTGGCTGATAGTACTGCTTTGAAGCTTACTGTGTTGACCATCTTGATATGCTGTCAATATATTTATAGAGAAACCAGAGATTGGAACTGAGGGAAGTTGGGGGGGGGGGTTGTTTTATGGGAGGGGAGGGGGAAATGGGGGAAAATTAAGGATGATATGATTTAAGATAGTATGTTTTGTTTAAATTCCTAATATATTTTTAAAAAAAAGATATGCTGTCAATAGCTACAGATTAGTATTAAGCGATCTATAACCTGAAGACTTGCAATTCTTGTACTAAAGTTGATTCAAGAAAACATTACACTCAGCCTAATCTCCTTCTATCGGGACTTACTGTTGTACAAGTTTGGTCTGCAACTTATTTACATGCCATTTCCTTTGGGTTCCTCTTGCAGTACCCCCACTTCCTGAAGCGAGATGCCAACAAGCTGCAGATCATGTTGCAGCGAAGGAAACGGTACAAAAACAGGACCATTTTGGGCTACAAAACTCTAGCTGTTGGCCTTATTAACATGGCTGAGGTAAGGGAAGTTGGGAGAACTGGTTTTCTTGAGAAAAATAATAGATGTTGATTATACCTCCTAGTTGGATAATGTTTCTAGGGAAAGCACACTACGTTGTGAAGTGTTACATTTTTTGAAGGGGACTTAAAAAGTGAGCACCACCGCCACCACTACAGTGTGAGAATTGATTTGGGGAAGTGCAAGCTTGGACAGTGAGGTTTTGCATGCAGGAAGGTCCCAGGTTCAATCCTCAGCATCTCTGGGTAGAGCTGGGAGGGACTTCCGTCTGAAATCACTATTCATTAGTGTAGACAGTACTGAGCTAAACTGACCAAGTAGCCTGACTTGGTGGAAGGCAGCTTCCTATATTCTTATATATTTCCCTCCACAAAAGTTGTGGCACTATAAACAGATATTTGGAGAAGCAAAGAGAGGTAAATTTGTTTCATGGTGTTTGGGCAGGAATGCAAAAGCTTTCAGCAAATTAAGTTCAGTCGCTAGCAATGCTGTGCCAAATGTAGGTTGGAGACATTTGCATCCATAGCACTGCCTACCTTCTCCCTTCCATCGTCACTATTTTGTATGTTTAGCCCCCTTTACAAGAATGAGCTTTCCCAGTTGGTTGAGTTTTTTGTCTTAGGCTGACATTGGTGTGTGCTTCACGTTCCTTGCTGTAACAATTTCTTTTCTTTAGTAGATTGACTTACATAATTGCCTGCTGTGCATTTTAATTTTGCAATTTTCAGGAAACGTAATCAGATCATCTAGCCACTTTGCTATTGCTGTTTTATCTGTATTTAAGCTTTCTGGCTGCGTTCCTGAAATTGTACTGTTTTTCTTCTCCAGGTTATGCAGCATCCAAGTGAAGGAGCCCTGGTGCTGGGACTCCACAGTAACGTGAAAGATGTTTCTGTCCCTGTTGCTGAAATTAAAATCTATTCCCTGTCCAGCCAACCAATAGACCATGAAGGACTAAAATCAAAATTATCTGGTAAGAATGTTTGTAAGACTTTACTTTCTGGATTTTGAGCAGTCCCAGTAGTTGACATATACTAATGCAGGACCCAGTCCTCAAACAGTTGTCAAAATTTAATTTCATTTCTTTCACTTTTAATTTGTATACTACCATTCTGTATAATTTAATTTCTATACCACCCTTCATCCGAGGATCATGGAGCAGTTTACAATATAAAAACACCATGGGAAACTCCAGGTCTTAGATTCAGAAAGGTTCTCTGCCCAGACTTCTACCCCTGTATCTTGCTTTCTGCTTCTGATTTCCTGGTGCAGTTGCTCTGCTTCCCTTGGATATTTGTATTGAACCAAGAGTGAGCAACCATTTTTCCATGACCATCTTAACAACCTTTTCTCAATAGAAGCAAACCAAAACATATCTGCAGTATTTGGACTGAAATCTGATTCATCATTTTTTCACAAGAAATTTGTTGTATGCTGCATCTGAGTGTGCACCTTTGGTTTCTACAGTACCCAAATGTTTAGGGTGTCTTTTGTGGTGGAGCAGGAGAAGGGGATGGGACACATAAAGTATCTGTTATTACAGAGAGGACTCACAATATTCTCTAAGAGCTGCAATTCCCACAGTTCCTTGTGGTGGGGAGGGAGACCATGCCTATTAAACTACTTTAGGTTGGGAGTGATAAATGTGGTCCAAATGAAATTCTAAATCTGTGACTTTCCAAAATACAGTTGGCTTATTCTGCCCATGTGCAGTGTTATATAGCTGCTATGCCAGTCAAAGCTGCATTCTGTTGGTTTTCCTGTCTTGTCTTGTGCTGATTGGCTAAGCCTCAGCTCAGTGTCTAAGGGCTGCCTTTGCATGCAGAAAATCTTAGATTGAATCTATGGCATTGCCAGTTGAAAAGACATCTGGTAGCAGGACTAGGGAAAGCCTGTGGCTGAGATCTTAGTGATTTGCTGCCAGTTAGTGGGCTGCCAATCAGAGTGAGCAGCACTGGGCTGACTTGGTTATAAGTCAACTTCGTATGTTCTCCAGTGCATACATGTATCCATGCAAAGTCCATACAAAGCAGATTAGATCTTGTGTTGGATTCCCTGCTGTGGTTGAAATTGTCCTAGTGCCAATAATATGGATGCTTGAGGCACAGTGAAAGCAAAGGAGTGCTTGTAGCAGCAGGCTTACAGCTGGTGCTTGGCAGCCTGTGGTGTGCTCAGTTGTTAGTCTTAAAGTGTGCAATTTTTCAGGAGAGCAATCCCAATGCTTTTTGGATCTAGTACAGTAATGTCCACTCTTGCTGTGTCTTGTTTTGACAATCCAACCTAATTCCTTCAAACACTGCTATATTTAGCCTTCTGTCTTGGATTTTTCTGCTTTATGCTACTCCCTCCTGGATGGCTGCCTAGGCAATAAATCTGGTTGCTAAGGAAACTGATGGAGATGTAGACTCTGTGCTGGATTTATTCTGATATTTGGGTTTATTACCAGCAATGTTGTGAGTGACCGGATGCGAGGGAAAGCTGGGAACTGAGATGAAGTCATTACACTAGGCTCCAGTGTTATTAGTGCCTTTATCTGAGAATAATGGAAATGGGTTCACTTAGTTGCATAGTGTCAGAATTTTAATCTAAAAATGATCTTATACTCTTTATAGTGGAGAAAGATGCAAGATACAGTAAACTAATATCCACTGTTAAATGGATATAATAAATGGGGACAGCTTTTTAAAAATTACATTTATGTATTGTTCTTGAGGGTGGCATGCCTGTGTATCTTTGGTGGTGGTGAGGTACCAGATTGGCCTGAATATAAGCTGCACGTTCCCCCAAAATTCTGAACATGAAAAGTTGAAGTGCGGCTTTTATTTGCGACCTTACGGTATGCAGCCAGGAGCACAGGGCAAACAGTGGCAGGAGCGTGGTGAAGTGGTGCCTGCCCCGCACGTAGTCCCCCATCCTCTCCCCCAAGGCTGGGAAGGGAGACAGCGAGGAAGGAGAAAGGCAATGCTGCCCCCCCCCAGCATGCAGCCAGGAGCAGCAAGAAATGGAGCGGCTTATATTCGGGCATTTTTTCCTTCCCCCCCTTCCAATTTTAAAGGTGCGGCTTATATTTGGGTGTGACTTATATTCGGGCCAATATGGTATTATGATATTTACCCTTGCAACCAATTTGTGAGTTAGGCTAATTAGAGAATGAATAAGTGATTGGCCCAAGGTTTCCCCGGTGGGCTACTTGGCTGAGTAAGGATTTGAACCCAGATCTCTGCAAACCCAGCCCAGTATTCTTTCTATTCCATATAGGCCATCTTCAGTGAGAATGATGCTGATGGGGTTGGATTTGGGCACAATTGTCCTTTTAGTCTGCATTTGTGAGACTTAAAGCCTGTCATTCAAATACTGTTCACTAATCAGGATTCAAGCTTGGTTAAAAGCAACCCCTACTGCCAGACTTGGGGATAGACTTTGGTGACTTAGGTCTGAGTTGAAGGGGCAGCAGTCAAGCAGATTCAAAGTCCTGCTTTAAGTCCATGTGTTAGATGGTATCCCACTAAGGCCAGCATAATATACTTCCATTTCCTAATCCCTACTGAATGTAGCAGACGAGCAAGTTCAAATTGTAAAGCTCATTCAGGTAACTGAAGTCACTTCAATGGCACATGGGCACACTGAAAAGAGGGGGGGATCTGCTTTTGTCAGGCTTACCATAAATGCAGATTTCATTTGTGAAATGTCTGCCTAAATAATGGCTCTGGCCTACATTTATAGTCTCTTTAATTACTTCCCCTAAATAGCTGGGCAATGTTTGCTGTTGGTGACTATGTATTAGGCTTGATGGAGCATTTGGCTGATTGGAGAGGGCAGTTGTGAATCTTGAATTGTGCTGTTTTGCTGGTAAGCCCCATCCTCAAGAATGAATGATGAGCTGTCAGTGTGAATGAGAAATATCAAGTTTGAGGTCACCCAGGGGGGCTATGCAGATGCAATGATTTTCATAGCTACTTATGCTGTCTGGTCTGACTTGAATTGACCCTTTGGATGAATATTTAAATGCAGATCCCTCCGGTTGCTTTATTTCCCTGATATGATACAGAAATATCATGTTCTTCAGTTATGATTCAAAAGGCTCATATTGGCTTGATTTGAAGGACACAGTAAGCCATAGCAGGAAACAAGCTAAGGCTTCCTGTCAACAAGCAGCATGCTAGTGCAAACTCCTCAGTTATCCCCATTTTGCTCTGCCCCGCCTGGAGCTGAAAAACAAATGATAGAGCAACTGGCTTAGTGTTACATGTGGCCCAGTCCTCATCGTTCATATTTTCTCTAAACAAACCATGAGTTGAAGCTGCTTGTTTGTGGTGTTCCTAACTATGGCTTACTGTCAAGTACTAATGGGGCAATTTTATTTATTACTGGCTCACCTAATGTGTTTGTTGTATTTCTGGGACTCTGTGAATGTTAAAATTGTTGGCATTCCTGCCAGTTCAAAAATTAAGATCCAATCTAGTCTGCACAAGCAGTCAAGTGAGGTGATAGGATCCTGAAGTAACAAGGGTAGATTGTTAGCTTAATTTGGAGAGCATAAAGGGCGGGGGGATTCTCTTACCTGCTGTCTGAGTTGATAACAAACAGTGCCCTCCTCCCTGCAAGTGGAAAAACAAAACTTGTATCAAAGAGAGATTCATCCAGCTCACTCCCTGTTTAGTTAGTTTTCTATTTGTTTTATGCTTTGTGCCTTGGAAGGACTTTGCACAGAAAGGCAGCATGCACATATTGAAAAAAACTTTTTAAGTACTTGGATTTTTTTTATAGAGAAGAATTTTTAAAAAGGGATATGTCTCACCTGCACCCTGAAGTGGTACACCTCGGGACTCTACCACTTTATTGTGCTGTATGCTGGAAACACTTTACTAATCCACCATGAGACTCCTAGAACTGATTTTCATGACATGTATAATCAGTAAGACAAGACGACCAACGAAAAGTGGGGAGAAGTTACATATTCTGATGGAGCACAACATGCTGGCCACTCAACAACCAGCTGCCTTCTTGCTTTACATTCTCCTGAATTTGCATGATCTTTGTCCCTTGAACCTTCACACTGGGGCAGCCTTGACTCCAGTTTGCATATGAAAATGTATTCAGTTTAGCTGCAAGTTTGGCAAGTTGGCATTTCATAACTCTCAAACTATCCTCCAGATCGCTCTCCTGACATTGACAACTATTCAGAGGAGGAAGAGGAGAGCTTCTCTTCTGAACAGGAGGGGAGTGATGACCCCCTACATGGACAGGTAAGCTTCTCTTTTCACCTAGTCAGTCCCTTCTGTGAGGGCATGTTGAGAATGGATTGCTCAGCAGACTCCTAAAGGAACTTGGGAACTCTGACACCTGTTCACAGATGATTACATCATAGTTCCTGTGTACTACTTACCTCTCCAATATCCCCTATTGCATTAGATTCATTTTAACCTTTTCTAGTTGTTTATTAAAGCTGAGTTGGAAACCCGAGAAGGAGCCAGGTGAGCCCTCTAAAAATAGTTGCTCACCAAATCCTGATGTAAGCTGATTAGAAAGAACAAAGTGTAGCAGAAAAGAGTTCATGGGAGTAGGCTGTATGGCACTTAAAAAAAGAAAGTGAGTCTTCCAACCAAAATTATACAAATACCGTATGAACACAAAAACCAGATTAGCATAATAACACAAATAATTAAAATAGCAACAACAAGCAGTTAACCACTGCTGTATCATGCACTACAAATCTCTAACAAAGCAGTTTCACTTATACAGTATACAAAGAATACAAAACTATATGTTATTTTGATTCCTTTTGCGTTGTTTGCAATATAAAAAAATTCAATGTGGCTTTAATGCATTCCCAACAATGAGTATCAAATTATATATTCCTGAACCTTATTCACTTAATAGATAACAAAAGTGATTAATTTTTCAGCCAATTTATCATAATTCTGTCTGCCTTCTCTCTTGATGGTTTGGTTGACCATACAAATCATGCCCCATGCTTTATTTAACCAACCAATATTGGAGGCCAGGAATTCTTCAAATTATAAGCAAATGTTATATGAGGAGCATTCAGCAAAAGAAGAACCATCTCTTGTTGTTTGTTAAAGTTGAATCTTTAACATAACCCAGCAGGAGGGATTAATGGATCCACTGATAAAGAACAGCTTGTTACAGTTTATTTTTCTGTTACTACATCAACCCAAAAGTGGGACAAGACCATGGCATTTCTAATACTGAAGGCCGACTCAAAGTGTCATAGATCTGAGGAGGTTAACTAAATGACAAAAGAAGCAAACCTGTTACCAGTTAATATCCTGAATAGGAATGGCTGAGAATAAAATACATAGGTTTCCTAAGTAGTTTTGGCCAGTGTTGGCCATCTTGGAATTTTCATGTCTGGCTGTGTTCATGAGGTAGAACTACACAGGTCATTCGAAGCCAGATCAAAATACCAAGTCTGGTATCCCTAACATTTCATGGGCAAAGAATGAGATTTTGTCCTGCTTTGGAGGGCCTTGTTCATAACTATGTGGCTGGGTGTTCTTTGTGTTCTGAAGTGGTTTCTCCCCTGCACCCCCTAGGATTTGTTTTATGAAGAGGAGGACCTTAGGAAGGTGAAAAAGACTAGGAGGAAACTGACCTCAGCTTCTGCAATTACTCGGGTGAGTAGCACCACAAGCGGACTTGTCAGGCGAGGAGTTTGGGGCCTGCCTCTTCTCCCCCCCCCCCATCTTCCAGTCCATCCTGCATCTGTCTGCTTGGTAATCCCAAGAGACCAGGCATAGGTGAGACCCACTATGTGGCTGTAACACACTGAGGTGAAGATGCTTCATAGCCTCAAGAAGAGCAAATGTTTACCTCCTGTATTGTGTGGCCACAATGTGCCAAATATTAAACTTCTGTTGGTTTGTGTGTGATTAGAAGCTGTATTAAAAAGGAGTCTCCCATGCTGGTACTTAGCCATACCTGCCTAATTGACTGTTGCCAGATTTGTTTTAGTACCAAGATACAGAATGAGTAGCTGACCTTTGATGTTGAGTTTCGATACTCTACCAAAAAGAATCTGTGAGCTTTTTTCAAGCAGAGCTTAATGAGAACAACCATTAGTTGACCACCACATTCCCACACCTCAGGGGGGTAGAAGCAGAGTTTCCAGGCAGTCTTGACCTGCTTTTTAATAAATTAAGATCTTCCCTCCCCCGCCCCTTTGTATGCATTGCTCCTTAATGCTTAGCTTTGAAGATGAGTCTTTGAGAACTAACTTTCTGAGCTACCTTCATGAAATATGTACGCTTTAAAGCTGAACTGTTGAGAGCTGCATTCTTATCAGGTTTGCAAGCTAAGCAGTGTTGCTCTGGACCAGTTACTGGAAGAAGAGTTTGAGTAATGCAGAGGTTCTGCAGAGGTGTTTTTTTCTGGCATTGTGCTGCAGAGCTACTATTTCCCCCTCCCATTTGGTGTAGGTTTATGGACTTGTTGAACACACTGTGGTACTTGGGTTCAGCTATATATGATGTGGTGTTCTGACAAATCTGCTACCATCATGTTCTGTGGTAGGGGTGCTAAATTGTGGGGAGAATTGTCTTAGGATTTTCAGTGTTTGTTTCACTCTCCCAGCCTCAGTACTCATCATGCATTGTGTCTCAAGAACTCTGCTTGTGCCTGTCCTAGTCAATTGATAGGTGGCCTTTCTAATAAGTAAATGGTACCTCTTTTTCACAGCAGCCAAATATTAAGCAGAAGTTTGTGGCTTTACTGAAGCGGTTCAAGGTATCAGATGAGGTAGGTATGACAACATTTATGGTCTAGATTACTGTAAGTGTGGTTCCTGGTTATTTTACAAAAAAACATGGTAATAAGTGGATATTCCATGATGACAATTTCCACATGAAATGTAGCTGGCAATGTTTGGTCTAAAGAGAAGGGCTGAAGTTCAGTGGTAGAGCACATGCTTTGCATGGAAATGATCCCAGTTTCAATCCTTGGCATCTGGTAGGGCTGAGAAAAGACCCCTGAAGCCAGTCAGTGTAGACAATACTGGCTAGATGGATTACTTTGGAAGTATAAGGCAGCTTCCAAAGTTCCTAAGCAGTTTTATGAGGGTAGTTTTGGGATTATTGGTATGGCCTGGAGAAAACAGGAGGAACCCTGCTTACATCACAGCAGCAGGAGCTCCTTTTACCTCTGGAAAGTATGGTTCAGGTGTCTGCATGCGTGGGTACAATCAGAAGATGATTTGCCTTGCTGTTTTTGTCTTGTATTTTCATTATAAGATGTGTCTGTCACTTATCTGTTTACGAATACAAAGCAATATAGTTTTGTTTGTGTGATCTGAAGGAAGACACAAGATTTGCTAATAGTTTTCAGGTGAAACTGTTTGGCTGACTGATGCTTGCTTGGCACTGCCCCAGTTTCAAATACCACATATTTGCATCAATATGCAGAAAGAAGATACAGCATAGAACTTAACAGAAAGTTGCCCCTCTGAGAAGCAAATAATTCTGGGCCTGTCTTAAAGAATAGGAAGCAGTGTATTTGGAACATAGGAGCTTTGAGCACCCTGGTAACTATGTCTTTTTTAACAGGTCGGCTTTGGACTGGAACATGTCTCCAGGGAGCAGATTCGGGAGGTAGAAGAGGATCTGGATGAGCTCTATGATAGCTTGGAGATGTACAACCCCAGTGACAGTGGCCCTGAGATGGAAGATACAGAGAGCATCCTCAGCACACCAAAGCCAAAACTCAAGTAAGTGTGACTGGATAAGTTGGACACCTGTGTGTGTGTGTGTGTGTGTGTGTGTGTGTCAGAGTTGGGAACCAAGATTCCTGTGCGAGATATAAAATTGCTGATATGCTGTTCTTCCACAAAACTCTGAAGCCTGAGTGACTATGCTTAAGTTTTGTTTTCTTTCAACATCAAAAAGATTTCTATTTTTGACTGAATGAGGCGACAGAATGCATCACTATGCATAAAGATGATACAGGGTTGCTGTCAGCTGTTAAAATTTTAGGGCTCTTTAACCAGGTATCAGCCCTTGGGAAAGTGTTGTCTGACTTCTATGGTTTGATTCTGGAACCTTTTGTCAATAATAGCCACTGTTGTTAAAGCTTTCCTCTGCCACCTTGAAGACCCAGCAACTTTGAAATACAAAGCCCCAAGATTTTCATAAAGCTGAATTATGTGGAAAATATATGTGCATGCTGTGTGATATGCTTGTTGACATGCATGACATATATTCAGACTTGTCCACTTTTAGGGGTGGATTATTTTCAAGCACTCTGAGTCTTTTTAAAATTCCATTCCCTGTCGTATTTGGATGGCTGCATGAAATGTGCAGAACCTTGTTCTGTAGTTCTAAGCATGCAATAGGAAAAAGAAAAGTGAAGTTTGTGCATAATTGAGGCAGGGAGGGGGAGAGTTCTTCCTCTGGCCTCCATTCTAAGGAAACACATTCTCTTCCAACAGGATTCTTCCACTGTAGCTGCCAACCCACTCAGTTCCCTGTGCAGTCATTCTGTTCCATAACACTCTCTCTCTCTCTCTCTCTCTCTCTGTGTGTGTGTGTGTGTGTGTGTGTGTTGAAGGGTGGACCTTGCACCCCTCCCTGATTTTAGGATTTGTATTTCTCCCGTTTCCTTTCCTTTTACAGAATCATATTAGTGATTATCTTTTAAACTGAAACTTAATCTTTGTGGTTGGATTATGTTACAGTTCTGTCAGAAAACAATTGATCCCAACTTCAGCATGTGTGGCTTGCCTGTGAGCCATTCTGATTTCCTGTTTTTCCTACCCAGATAATTGAAGCCAGTCTCCCTATGTCTCTACCCCCTATCCACTTGAACTGAATGCTTAAGAAGTCAGCTAAATAAAATAAAAAGCTGATTTTTAAAAATATATTTAATTTCCTTTTGTTATTATACACACACATGTGTGTGTGTGTGTGTGTGTGTGTATAATAAAGTCAGCTAAATGTTAGTCAGGCTTACAGAACATTTTTCTTTGGGATGTGGATGATGAAAGAGAAGGAACAGCTGCTTTTTACTAGGTTGGGAAGGCATGCCATTTGGGTCTAGAGGCCACATTGCCACTATTTAATTGTAGCTAGTGGACCAGGCAGAAAACAAAAAGTGAAAAGAAACACAACCATATCTACTGCACACTTGTATTAGCTATTTGTATCTTGCCCCTTTTCAACCAAGGATGGTTTGTTACGTTGGAAAGCAGTTTTTGTTTACTAGGCAGCAAGCGCAATAAAAGCAAAATACATAATGATGTGACACAAATGTAATACAGATAAGTTGATTATTATTATTTAATTAAACAACAGTAAACTAAACAAACAAACAAACAAACAAACACCTAGCAGAAAGATAAAACTTGATCAGGAAAGTTGATTCCTACAAACTAATAAAGTCCCAAATGTCTTGTGGAATAGGATAGCGAAAAATGAATCTGAAAGGGAGTGGCATTTCTAAACCACCCATGCCACTCTTTAGAAGGTCCTTGGTAACCCCTACCATGAACACCCCGCCAAATTTCAATATAGCAGAACAGGAGCTCCCAATGGAGAGGTTAAAACGCACGCAAGTTACTATGGAGGAAGTCTGGACCTGCACCAGCAGAAGTACAGTTACAGCTACTTGTTTAGCTGGCAGAGTTCCTTTCTGTTGGAGACAGGAAAATGAGGCTTGATACTCAAAAGTAGATTAGGGCAGGTTTGGGTTGTTGTTGTTTTTGCCTTGCACCTGGTCACAGTAGAAAGCAGCAATAGCCAAAGCAACTTTCTCATGGGTTGTCTGGTGAAAATGATCTCACAGCTGAAAAGGATTCAGTTTCTCCCTAGTAACAATACAGCTTCTGTCCTTTTCCTGAAGCCATGATCCCTCCCATCTCCAGGTTTTTTCCTTAGGAAACCCCCTCCTGTTCTTCAGAAGTCTTAGTTCCTGGTAGATGAGTCTTCCTGAGTTGGATTATAACAAACAAACAGCCCAACAGGGAAGGATCAAGGTGAAAGTTGTCATGCACAGTGTGGACCTGATTTACCTGAAGGTTCCTTTGTCTGTGTTAAGGCATCAGAGCTGTAGCTTGTCCCAAATAGCTTATTTTCTCTGCCTTGGCTCCCCATTTTATGTTTATTTGCCACCCTGAGAGAATCGGAACTCAGAAACAAGAGTTTGGAGTTGTCATCAGCTATAAAGAAATGAAACAATAGGGTGATGAGTTAAAATTTGGCAGAGGCTTCCTGCAGTAGTATTTCCCCCACTGCACTATTTGAGAAGTCAAATTTCAGCCCTTCGGAGGGAGTAAACAATATTGTAGAACAGGAGTGAGAACCTCAAGCCTGAGGGTTGAATGCAACCCTCCAGGCCTCTCTGTCAATTGGGGCTCTCTCTGTGCCACATCTATCACTGTCCCTGCTCCACAGCCTCTTCAAACATGTTTGCCTGGTTGGAATTTGCTCTTGAACTATGATAATGCTTCTTCCTTTCATGAATGGAGACCAGAGAGAGGTGTGTATAAAAAGGGTTTCCCATCCCTGTTGTAGATCATCTATAAAAGAAAGCCATGGTTTGTTCCGCCATTAATGCAGGTGGAAGTTCTAAACGGAGAAGAATAGCTGCTGTGATCTAACTACATTGTTTTTTAAGAATGTCAGTCAACCTTTTTACCCTGCCCCCCATAAGAATGTCTCTCCCTACTCCCCTCTTGATTTCACTGCTTTGTTCTATGCTAGGCCTTTCTTTGAGGGAATGTCACAGTCAAGCTCCCAGACTGAAATTGGAAGCCTTAACAGCAAAGGGAGCCTCAGCAAGGATGCCACCAGCCCAGTAAGTCACAAGGATGGGGGAGCCATAGATTGTTCTTGTTCACTCTACCAACCTTATGATTATGGTGAATTGTAATTAATTTAGAAGGAAACCAATCTCAGACTTTTACAAGAAGTATTACCATATTCTACTGGTTGTGTCCATGTGGAAACAATGTTTTTCAGAACCACTGTTGTGAACTGATTGCTGTGTCCTGTCTCAAATGAATGAGATTGGTCTGTCTTCTGTCTACATGCTGCTTGCAAAGCTAAGATGAACCCCAATCTGCCTCTAGCTGTGTGTGCATTTGCATGCACACACGTGTATTCCAATGAAGGGTGGAGTGTGTAGAAGGTATCAAATTGGCCAGGTGTCACAGTTCCTGTGATTTATATTCATATTTATTATTTTTAATATTTAAAAGGGGATGGGACAGCAGGGGAATTTGGAAGCAGTTCTTTTAAACTCTTCTCCCCTTCCTTTAGGTGCTGTTAATCCTGCAATTAAAGCTTAGTAACAAAGAAAATGGGAAAACTTGCCCCAGCACTGAAGGCTCTTCTCATAGAAAACTCCCCTCTAGAGCATGGCTTGTGATCAGTGGTGATGGGTGTTGTAGTTCAACAACTACTGCAGGGCCACATGACACCTCCAAACTCTTTGCCTTTCCTCTCCTTCTGACTCCAACACAAGTTCCCTTCCTGAAGAACTAGAAACTTGTGTTTGGAAACTGGGTTTCTCAGGGATTTGAAGGGTGATTTACCTTTGATGCTAAGGATCAATTGTTGTCATTTCCAATGAAGTAAAAAGGAAGTAAAATGAAGTAAAACTAGGAAGTAAAAAGGTCCTAGTTTTATAATCTGCATAAACAACGAATCACCTAGTGATTGTAAATATGATCCTTCTGAATCACAGCTTGCTTTTTTCATTTTTTCCCTATTTCTCTCCAATGCTGTTCTTTATCCAGATGGAAGCATCCATGGGGGACAAACTGAAACCTACCCGGAATAAAAATGCAGATGACAGTATCAACGAAGGAGACACACTGGTAGGTACATTTGTCCTTTATGCTATTGGTGAGGACATTTGCTAACAGCTGTAATCACCTACTTTTATGACTAATATTAATTCTGAATGCTTTTCCTCTTCCCTTCTCTAGGAAGGAAACGGTCAGGATACATTTGGAGACTCAACCACCACCTTGGTCATCCCAGAAAAAGTCAAGACACCTATGAAGACCAGCAAGGGAGATCTTCAGAGCATGGCATCACCTAGGTAGTATGCATTTTGCTTTCTTACATATTGCTATTCTGAAAATTGGTCAGAGCACTCTGTCAGCTACAGCAAGGTTGGGGAACTTGTGGCTCTGCAGAAGTTGCTGGACTCCCATAAACTCCAGTCAGCATGGCCTGTGGTCAGGGATGATGGGAGTTTGTAGTCCAACAACATCTGTAGGGCCACAGATTCCTTCCTTCTTTTAGCAACAGTATATCTGAAATTCCTGTGGCAGGGCAACTAGTAGCTTGTATTTTTGCCAAAGGGATAAAGATGAGGGTAAAAAAGGCCATTTCCTCCTCCCTACAATTGAAGAGCATCTGTCATCTTTTCTTGGGAGGTTAGCATCAAATTCTTTAGCTATCTTGAAAAGAGGAGATTTTACTAAATTGTTCATGAGTAATTTACCTAGATTGCATGCATACATGATTTGAGTAACACAAGGAGGGGGGTGTCCTTACCTCAATGAAATTTTAAGTCACAACAGCCAGGGACAATGGAAGATGCACTGAAAGAAATATGAGCAAACTGCAAACACACATATTTAGGCTTCATTTCAATAGGAGCTGAGGACTTTGGGGGGGGGGTGTAAACCAAAGGCTGTGCAGAAAAGGAGGGTTTTGAGGAAGGGTTGGAAAGAGGCATGGCTTACGTAGCCTTGTCAAGGCATAAAAGGAAGAAAGGGGTGAGTTGTATAAATGAGGAAGAAACTCTCAGCCCAGGGCAGGTCACAGGTGAGGGGAGGTATAAAAAGGCATAAGGGCAGAGTTTATTTTCAGAATGCTTTCCATCGACACTGAGTAACCATACCTGCCTCTCCCAAGATGGATTAATTCTGTGTTCTCCAGTGAATGCTTGCTACCGAGCAGTGGTGGTGGGTGAGCATGGAAAGATTCACTGGGCTGGTGGCTGCTCAAGAATTTGCCCCCTGTTGTGCATTCTGAATGTTCATGGAAATGTATATATTTGGGGGGGTGGGAGTGAGGAGGGTGACTCTAGCTGCCTATATGTCATGCATGGAGAATCTTTTCCCTCTCCCAAGAGCTGCTTTCCCTTAGTGGGTAAGGCAAACCCATGCACCTTTCCACATGCTTATACCCATCCCTCCACGCACCCCATTCATCAGCCTTCCATTCATTTCACACTGTCCCTTGCACACTGTCCCTATTCCATTCCTCTTCTCCCACCTCCTTCCTCCCAGCATGGCAGTTATGCTTTAGAAGGAAGGCCTCACTTGTGCTGAGCCTAAATGTTGCACTGTGGGAGTGTGGCCAAGGAATGGAAACCATGGGCTAGTTGCAATAGGACTGGGCCTTCACCACCCGTTGCTCCTCATGTCTTTCTCAGTTGTTCAGTTTTCTTGTGGATAGTAGTGACTCTTCAATCACAAGAGTTCAGCACTCAGCTTCTGATAGCAAACGCTGCAGCTTCAGCTAAATTCCTGTGACTCAGGCACCTGGGTAAGAATTTGACCCCAAAGTGCTCTGCTCTGTTAGAAGTCTTTGCTGTTTGGTTGTTACCTGAAATGTGCCACATTTGCCTTTCTGTGTGGTGCTTGGGGAGGCAGCAGATGACTACTGCTTAAATGCAAAAGTGATACATTCCCAGGGCCCCTCCTGCTTCTCCCTTTGCAAAGCAGACGCTTAGCAGACATGCTTGGCAGCACGATATGTTTGTTTGCTCAGCTCCTCCTCTCTTTGTTTCCTTTTTTCCTTGTTCAGCAGTGGCGACAGCTCTATGATCCACTTATATCCAGAGGGCAGCAAATTCTCAGAATGAAGCACATGGTTTTGTCCTTCAGTTTGCACCTTTTGCTGAATGCCTCAGATGGCAGCAGAAGGTTGGATGTGCCTTCGGGCTCCCTCAGGCTCATTACCATTCTGGGAAATGTCACTGGATGGAGGGGGGTTTCCTTGTAGCATCCAATCCAAGACTGAATCTACAGCTGTTTTTCTACCTGCTTGCATTGTGATTGCTCTGAGAGTTGCTCTCTTTCTCCATATCATGAACTTGCAGTAATTGATACCCAAGGTTGTGTGCATTCTTCTTTCTCCCCCATTGCCACCAGGTTCCTTATGTTTCTTAACATTCACTTTACGTAGCTGATATAGCCTTAAGGGTGTTCATTTTTCTCTGCAGTAATGAGGGCTAGAAACTTGGCAGTGTGTGTTATTTTTGGGGGTTGTAAGATGTTAGATATTAGATGTCACACTATGGTAGTAAGCCTGCAGGCACAAACACAACCTTGCAAATAATTTATTGTCTCAACTTAGTGGAGCTAGAAAAAAAATCCAAGGCTCTGTTGGCTGACTGGCTTGCTTCCTCACAAGTATTAAATGTAAGATGGGATCAGTGAGTTCTGAGACTCTGCTAGTTTCTTTGCAATGACCTTGGATCAAAGTTTCTGTGTTCCCCTGCAGGTATAACATGGTTTGCATTCTTCTTTCCATGTTCAGTAAGTTTGGAGAAGATGAGGCATTAATATCATCGTTTCTCTACCACTCACAGCAAAATGGACAGTGCTGCACACACGCCCCGGCAGAAACGCAGCACCCCACTCAAAGAGCGTCAGCTGTCAAAACCCCTCAGTGAAAGAACCAACAGTTCGGACAGTGAAAGGTCGCCAGATCTGGGTCATAGTACACAGGTAACCAGCATTCCGAGATTGCAGCTCCGGGGCTTAAACACTCTTTCCCTAATTTTGGAGGAGGAGTGGAGGTGGCGTTCCTTAAATACAGACTTGATAAAAGCCAACTGTTGTTGGGGTAGCTTGTTGCTGTAAGCTTATTTGAAGTACTGCAGTATCTTTCCAGTTGTATGTAGTCAGCCCTAAAGAGACCCTGAATCAAGTAGGCAAAGTTGTTTGTTTGTTTGTTGCATTTACATCCCATTTTTCCTCCAAGGAGCTCCAAGGTGGCATACATGGTTCTCACCCATGCATGCGATCCTCACAAAAACCCTATGAGGTAGGTTAAGTTGAGAGACAGTGACTAGTCCTAGGTCACGCTAGGGTGCTTCATGACTGATTTACGATTTGAATCCTGGTCTCCCACCTCCTAGTCTAGCATTCTAATTACCACACTGGAATTTTTGCTTCTAAACTTAAATCCAAGAAGGGAAGGAGATTGGAGCTATATGGTTAGTAAAGGGTAAGGAGCATTTGCTACGAGATACACAAAACCTTTTCCCCCACTATCCCTCAGACTTGGAAGCTTGTCCAAAATCCTCTTTTTATTTTCTGAGTTTTCTCCATATACCAACCACTTATATTGAACTTTTTTTTTTTACAGCCACAAGGGCTACAAGTATTTTCCCCTTCACCTGCCCAATAAATATAGGCAAGAGGAATGTGCATTTCTCAAATTATAGTGACCTGCTGAGGAGTAAATAAGTTGTGGGGGGGAATGTAATTTCCCATAGTATTAAAAGGTGATCTTAGAAGTATTGTCATGCAGCAAGAATAAGAGGAATGCTGCTTTTTCTCTCCCTATCCCCTCTCATGACATATGCCTTCCTGCTCCATGTTGGAGATAAGATTATTTCGCTTTATATTTGAGTTAGGAGTTATGTCAATGAACTATGCTTAAAAAACCATGCAACTTCCACCAGCAGATTCCTCGCAAGATTGTTTATGATCAGCTGAATCAAATCTTGGTGTCAGACTCAGCCCTGCCAGAAAACATCATCCTAGTGAATACTATTGACTGGCAAGGCCAGGTAAGGAGGTTGTTGCTGTCCATGTGTCTGTCCGTGTGTCTGTCCTGTTCTTTGCACCATCCCAATCTCTGGCCAACAGAATTAAGTAAATTGGAAAAAAGAATGTGTGCTGTTGTCCCTAACTGGTTCCATTTTCTGAGTGCAGAATGTAGCTTTGCCTGTAGAAACCTAGACTCGCTCCCCAAATATTAAGGAATGCAAAGTATTGTCATTATTATTATTTAATAATAATAAAACAATAGTAATACTCTTATGTAACAATTTACATAATAACATAAAAAATAGGTAGGTCCCTACCCCATGAAGCTTCCAATACAAATGTTTAACAGTACTAAGATAATGGGTGGGGATGTCCTATTATTACTAGTTAATAAAGGTAATTTCCCCAACCATCAGAACCAGATTCTGCAATTCAGTCCCAGCAGAATAAATTATTCACTTTAAGCACATTTTTTCATTGTTGTTTGATTTATTAGGTAAACGCAATTTAGCATTATTGGCAATCAGAAGTGGTTGTGCTTAATCTGTATCACTGAAGCTAAGCTACATGGAAAATTAAGCACTAAGGGGACTGTGCAGTATTGGCAAGAAGATAAGCAGTAGGAATGAAGAGCCATGAAGAAATTTTGCCCCTTCAACTGGCCATTAAAATTCATCCCAAGCCCTGTCTCATGTCAATATGTAGAGAAAATCTATTTATCTTAACTATATCATTGAGGCCGTTTGGTTAGAAGCCAGGTGTCTTATTTAGAATGAAAGTTAGCATATTCAGAATTTGACAGCTAACCCAGATTCTTCACTGAATGCCATGCAGTAACTGAATGTTTCTGCCAATGGGAAAAGGGGAAGGGTTCACTGGGGCTAGTGAGAGGCCATGTCTGGGTTGATTATCTTGGGATTCTGCTTTGTCCCGTTGAACCCTCCTTCGTATAAGCCCAGGACCTTAAGTGACTGGAACAAGATCCTCGAAAAGGAGGGAATCATCTTAAAACAGATGGGTCTGTCACACAATATTTCATACCCATTGTTGTCCCTTTGCACCTTGATTGCTTTCCCCCACTCTTACCTACTAGGGCAGCAATAAGATGAGTTTCAGATTTCCATCACCTGAGTCGTAACTGTGTCTTGTTAAGCTTGTATCCAGGGTGCTGAATGGTGCTCTGTTACCAAACCTTTTGTCTGAGGTCATGTGGCCAGTGATTGCTAATCAGGGAAGAAGGGGTGTTGTGTGGCAGTTGTGTAAACAGAGCACCAAATCCTTCCACTGCTTGCTTGCTTGCTTGCTTGCTTACTACTTGTTTTACTTCCAGTATGTAGCTGATCTCCTTCAGGACCAGAAGAAGCCAGTTGTTTGCACATGCTCCACAATTGAAGTGCAAGCTGTCCTCTCTGCAATCCTCACGAGGATCCAGCGATAGTGAGTGCACAAAGCTATATCTGTGGTGTCCCCATTTTTATACTATGGAATTTGCCCTGAGAAAATGGGAAAGAAAACCAGATTCCAAATTGCTTGAAAAGGATGCCCCAATCCACTTTGATTAGGGCTGTCCATCCTTGACTGCACTTGAATAACTGAAACATCACTTAATCCTTAGAACTAAAGACTCTTCTCTGGCAGGAAGGATGGGGGAAGGATGGTCTTTATATCTGCAAGGTTTCAGTACTCAAATGTGTTTACAAAGGTGCCTGCTTCCTTCCTAAGACAGAGAGAAGATAACGGTTGTGTACAAGGCATGCTTTGACTTCAGCCATAGGAAGGGAGCACAATCGTATAGTGAAAGCTGCCTGTATGCAGAGTAAGAAAGGGGGAGGGAGGAAGAATTCAATGTAAGCGCGCAAATCTCCCATCTGGGTTTGATGCCTTGTAGTCAATAACCTATACATAGATGAGCTGCAGATGAGGAGCATCTGTGCCCCTTCTCCACATTTTAAAAGTCTCAAATTCTTCCCAGTGCCTCTTGCAGGACACTCAGTATTAGGAATATGTGTTCTGAAGTTACGGTTCTTATGACCACAACTCAAAGAGGACACATTGCAGGTCAATCAAAGAAGACACCTTGCCAAACAACAGTTCATTGATGACAACCCAGTTCCTACCATACAGGATTGGCATCGTCACAGATCTCTGGCGGCTCCACTGCACATTGCTCTAGTATCATGAAAAGCAAAGCAGCTTGAGGGCATTGCTGCAGCTGGAGTAGACACATACATCAGCCTCCCCCTAGTGTTCTCCCTCATTCCTAAAAATATTTTATTTGATTAATCATTAGTACTTGCACCTTCAGTAAAAGCAGCTTCCAGGACAGCCACTGTGGAACTTATTGGAAAAGGTATTAACAAAAAGCAACCATCTATTAAAAACCACAGAATCAAACACAGCATCACTGGTGGGGCTAACTAGAATAATTAAATTGCTTTTGAAATAAAAAAATTGTCCAGTAGCACCTTAGAGACCAGCTAAGTTTGTTCTGGGTATAAGCTTTTGTGTGCACACACACTTCTTCAGATACACAGTTGCTTTTGAAAGTTGCTTTTGAAAGGCTTGGGAAAACAAAAGGCTTTAACCCAGCATGACAGTGAGGATGAGAGTCAGGTCAGCCTCCAGGGTGGGTTCGACATCCAAAAATACACTCTTCACAGCAGTGGCGGAGCTAGGGGCTTTGCCACCCGGAGCGGGGGGTGGGGTGGCATGCCACCCACGCACAAGCGTCCCAATGGGGGTGCCGCCCGCGGTGGTGTCACCCCTGTCACGGTGGAACCTGGGCGGCCCCCCGCCCCCCTTCTTACACCACTGCTTCACAGTTGCCATCTGCCTGACTTTATAAAATGAGAGTTCTCAGGAAAGGGCCCTGGAGTTCTTAAGCTTAAATGCAGATGTAACCTTTCTCTAGCACATTCTATTGTTACATGGGCTTGAGTCACCAGAGGAACAGCAACTACGTTGTTTCAGTAACATAAGGACAAGCTCTCAATTTTTCTTTCCATCCAGCACCATAATCCAAGAAATAAGATTTAGTTGTGTGCTCCTGGCTCCCCTGGGCTTCTTTGCTATTTTCATGCCAGAGTCATCTTGGAAGCTGCTGAAATGCAGGTCTGCTTTACCAGCATGATTGGCTACCTACAAAAGAGGCTCGGCACTCAAATTCCAGCATCTTCCTCTCTCACAGCCATGATGGGAAGTCAATGCCCATATAATTAGAAGGACCTTTCTTCACTGTATTCTTTGTCATTGCAAGATGACAGTGGTTGGAGAGGGCAAAGTGCAAGTCTCCCAGGACATGATTCACACTATACTGTTTTGTCAGGTTAAGTGGAGTCATCACTTAGCTCTGGAGACTGTCTGATGCCAGGGCACAGGCCTCAATACGTACAAAATAGTAATGAGTGCCTTCTGAGCTTGAGTACCCACTGTCAGCTACCAAACATGAAACGGATCTTTAAAAGCAGATGCCATGCAGGATTGAGCCCCCAAGCACCTCTTAGAAATTAAGCTGTTGTTAATTTCAAATTCTGCATTATGAAGTAAAGATGCCTATGTATTTGTCCTCTGCTTGAGACTACACCTTACTGAAATTCAAGGTAGGAGAGATTTCTGTGCTTGTGGGATTGGAGGTCAAGGTTTAGGTTTGGCTCTTGCCTCATATCTCCCTGAAGTTCCTGCTCCTCATAGACTCCACACTGAGGGTAAAAGTCATGGGTAGGCAAACTAAAGCTCGGGAGCAGGATCCGGCCCAGTCGCCTTCTAAATCTGGCCCACGGACAAGTCCTGGAATCAGCGTGTTTTTACATGAGTAGAATGTGTCCTTTTATTTAAAATGCATCTCTGGGTATTTGTGGGGCATAAGAATTTGTTCATTTTATTTATTTTTTCAAAATATAGTCCGGCCCCCCACAAGGTCTGAGGAACAGTGAACCGGCCCCCTGCTGAAAAAGTTTGCTGACCCCTGGTAAAAGTAAATGTTCAGGTTCTTAAAGAGTTTGCAAGCTTTCCTGGTCCTGCTTAAAACAAATAACTGTGTTACGTGTTCTCAGTGTTGTGTCTAGAAGCAGTAAAGCTGTAGGCATCATTGAGGTGTTTAAATGCATTTTTCTCCAGCTCTTCAGTGCCCTCTAGTGGCCTTTGGTCATGCTGCTAATTTACATGTTAAGACGGATGCTTGAAGCTTTGAAGAAGTGCTCACTTGTTCAGTGTGAAGGAGCTTAGAGTTCACAAAAAGTGAATCCACCCCACCCTCATAAAATAAATTTAAATTGCTCCTTCAGATGTATGGAGCATGCAAGGTTGCTAAGAGCTGGGAAATGGTCTGCAGAAGGTTGCTGGCACATTGTAAAAAAAAAAGGTGCAGCTTCCATTTCACCACTGTGTGGCTTGTAATGTGTGACAGGGAGATATTTATATCTCCTAACATGTGCTTGGGCAGTGCAGATCATAGCTTCTGAGTGCATGTTTACCATATGTGATATCACACATACCTGGCCTATGCACAATAGTGGACACCATGGGAACCTGTGGTGGCTAAATGAGAGCTCCTATTTTCCCGTAAAGTATGAAGCAGCCTTCTGAGTGTGAGTGTTGACAAGCTAGTAAATTACAGTGCATTTAAATTAATGGCCTAGGAGCCATAGGATTGTTGGGAAGTAAGTGACTGTGGTCCTGAGCAGTGCCTGAATGAGAGAACCTTGCAAATCCTTTAGGGCTATCTACAAGGAAAAGTTGGAAATCAATGAAATAAAGGTCCCTTTGAGAGATCTTACTGTGCTTTCATTAAGCCTTGGCGTGTATTAAGGTCTGTGGTTATATACTCCTTAGTCTGAAGAAGCCAGAGTTGTATTGCTGTGGCACCTCCTATTTTAAGGAAACAGTTCCTTGCAACTCCCTACTTGGGTGGGGTGTAGGGTAGATCATATGCATGGTTTTCTTTTCAACACTAAGATAGAATTCCCAGTTCCACCATTTCTGTTTTTTGCCTTCTACAAGTAGATAGTACTATAAATGCAGAGCCTGACGTACAACTATCTTAACTGCCCTCTTCTTTCTTTCCACCCATCAGCTGCAACTGTAATTCCTCCATGCCACGTCCTGTGAAGGTGGTGTCTATCGGGGGGCAGAGTTATCTCAGCTCTATTTTGAGGTTTTTTGTGAAGCAATTGGCAAACAAGACATCAGACTGGCTGAGCTATATGAAGTTTCTCATCATCCCACTAGGTAATACTGCCTGTGCCTGTGGCTCGCTCGCTTGGTAGGTGGCTATTGAGTTACACATCTGAAACCCAATAGTTCTACATTTCAGTGACCCAAAAGCCACCAGGTTTAGTAGCTCTCTTCTTACAAACAGAATGAATGAGCTGAAGTGACCTACCTTCCTCCACTCAGTTCAAAAAACGAAGCCACCAATACTTGCCAAAAGCTCACTCAACGCAACATTCTTTGTCTGGTTTTTTTTTTTACAGCCCATGATACCCTTCCTCAGAACCAGTGGACTCAGTTTCAGTTTTTGAGGGCAAAATTTAATTGGTGGGTCTGAGCTTTTAAAAACATGCTTCCTCAGTTTTTGAGGCTGTGTTTTTATTATGAAGTAGGGAATGAAAGGCAAAATGTTGAGGAGGATGTTTCCTTTTAATAATGAGTGACATATTTTGTTATCTCATACCTAAGTATTTTTTAAAGTCAGTTTTGTTGAATATTTGGGAACAAGAAAATGCTTAGGTTTAAGCTAAAGCTGGTAATCAATTACAAAAATAATAATTGCTGAACAGCCTCAATTTTTTTGTAGTGAAATATGTGATGGTTTACTTAAAGGAGAGTGAGTTTCCCAATCATTGGGGGTAGTTTTCTTTCGCTAGAAAGAGAGAGATTACCCATTTTTGTCTCTGAATAATAAGAATCACTCTACAAAAGGAGTGTTGTGGTAAAGACAGTTGCAGTTTCTATTTTTTGGAGAGTCAAGGGCTTTCTGATGCCAAAGGGTCTGTTGCCTCAGCAGCCATCTGTCGGTGCTAGATATGTGTAGCTTGCCAAGGAAAATCATAGCAACACAAAGGGAGAGGCGGGATTATTGGGTTGTTTTTGTTTTTATTATGTCTTTTGTGTTATTATATTGTGATTTTATGTTATGAACTGCCCTGAGACCTCCGGGTGTAGGGCAGTATATAAATTTAAATAATAATAATAATAAATAGGCCTTCCTCTCATTTCTCCACCAGGTTCTCACCCAGTAGCCAAGTACATGGGCTCTGTGGATAGCAGATACAGTGGTATGTTTCTTGATGCCACCTGGCGAGAACTCTTCAGCAAATCTGAGCCACCTATGACAGGTAAGAGCAAGTTTTCAGTTCACAGTGAGTGACAGAAGTAACATCTTTCAGAAAGGTCTTTATTCTGTCTTGCCAAACTGAGGACTCATCTGTACATGTGCTGCTTTTATGTAAGTTAGAATCAAACTCAGGTGAGAAGCCAAAGATTTAGTATGGGCCTTTGGTATTACACCAAACCAGTGCTTGGTAGATGTGGACCCCTCCCTGTGTCCAGCTAGTGTTTAATAAGACAATGTTGTCATTGGCAGTCAATGGTAGGCCATAATGTCATTTGACAGAATGAGCAATTCCAGCCAAGATGCAAAGTCACCTTTCCCAGGACCCTTGCAAGTTTGAGGACAACAGTGAACTACACATTGATCAGCAGGATTATGGACTAGGTGACAAATTTGGGCAGCTAGAGTTGGGTGGGGCGGAATAATGGCATTTAGCACTGATGTTTACCACACCAGGATGGGGTCCATACTTAACGCTTGCGCGTCTTTTTGTTAATCCAAATTCTCCTGCCTGCCTCTCCCCATCAGCCACTTCTCTGGCTTGTCACTCTTTGTGCGTCAATGCAGATAACAACTCATGTGTATCTTAAAGCCAGCATCTTGAAGGTTCTCCCACTTGCTGGCTTGGGTAATGATGAATACTCGGTGTGCCTTTCCTGCTTGACGCTCTCTTTGGGTTATCTTCTTTCTCAGAGCCTTTTGATGTGGTTGGCCGGATCATGCAGTATGTCAGTGGAGCAAACGTGACGCACCAGCTGCCCGTGGCCGAGGCCATGCTGACCTGCAAACACAAATTGTAAGTCCTTCCCCATCCACCCCTCTGCCATGGGCTTTGGATTTCAGCGTGGTGGGTGAGTGGGCTCAAATTGCCTCACCCACATAGCTAGAAGAAACCTAAATGTGAACTATAATGTTTGCTGTGTCTGTATTTATTGAAAGTTCATTCAGAATCCCCTTTGGCATGCCCTTTCTCAGTCTTCATTTTGTTTGTATGCAAAGCAAGACTGAGACAAACCACTGTAAAAAAGTGGAAGGTGGCTTGCTGGTGGTTCTCAAGGAAGGCTAGTCTGTGCATTGTGATGTACTGGTGAAAGTGTTGTGGGCACATTGCAATCACACACACGCGTACTCACTTCCTCCCTGACAGCAATTAGGTTTGAAAAAAGTGTGTTGGCTTTCTTTCTCCACCCCCAAGCCTAATGCAGCTAGAGATTATCTTCTTGGAGAGTATTGCTAGGGAGGCACAAGTCACTCTTCCCTCCTCAGCTGCAGTTTCCAGGAAGGTCACTTCCTTACACACAGCAATTAAGCTTGAAAAAAGAACTTCTATTGGAGCCAGGAGAAGGTTTCTTTCAAGCCTAATTGTATGTGGCTGAGGAGGGGGGTTAGCTAGGGAGAAAGTTAACTGTGTGCCCCTCCCCATGTGAAGCTGCTGTAAAACAATCAGAGCTATAAATTCTTTTGGACTCTCTTACATATGGAATTATTGGACCCATGTCGTACCCCTTTTTCAAGAGTCAAGAGTCCCAATGTGAAACCCGTTGCCAAATGGAAGCATCCTCCATACTGAGGCTGTAATGTGATGGGACTGACCTTCCAGTCTTCATGTTCTTTTTTGTCTGGTCGTGTGCCTGCAGAATGCTGTGTTTTGAAGCCCTAAGTTTATGTTTGTTTCATTTGTCAGATACGTAAAATAGAAAAGAAGGTAGAGAAAGCCTTTGCCTTTCAGCATTGCTTGTTCTCTCTTTTCCCGTCATTTGGATTTTTAATGGCTGTTTCTTTACCCACAGCCAAGATGAAGATTCTTACCAGAAGTTCATCCCTTTCATTGGGGTAAGAGTTTTACATTTCTTGGATTTTTCATCTCTGAATATGAACTTATTTTATTCAGGGCCAGTTTACCTGAACTCTTTTATAGCTATGGTTACTTAGATAAAGCCTACTTTACGAAAACAAATGTGTGCGCATTTCTGTAGCTGTAGTTTAACTTTGGAAGCCACCTCACTTGCAGAACTATCATTTTCACCTACTGTGTTCCTTACCCTGCTGATGCTGAACGGAAGTTGTGGTTAAAATTCAGATGTGGTGGTATTTAATCAAATGACATTGTGTAATTTAGCTTGGGCTAAATTTATCTTTCTGAGTCGAGGACTTGGCAGTAAGCCTGACTGGATCCCATCTGATGAGTGGTGAAGTCATAAGTGAAAGCAGGCTTCCCATGTTGAAGATCTCATAAAATTAGGCTTGTTTGTTTGGTTTTTAAATACCAGTTTCACTGTCCCTAAATTCAGGCAGCTAACAGAATGTTGGGGGTAGTTGGCCAGTTTGTCACCTTGCAAATAGAGAGGCTGCATACATGAAACATGATTTCCTTAATGCAAATCTAATGCTTAACCATGGTTAATGAATGCCATAGTTAATTTGCATACGTTCCAGCCATGGTTTCACCTCCTGGTTTGTGGGTAATCCTTATCCACAGCTATGTTTGCACCAGGGGCAAAGCATTCGGTTTGCAGATCGCTGTAAAGTGAAAGTAGCTTTTTTTAAAAAAACACCCAACTTCACTTCATCCCTGACGGTCAGAAGCAAAATAAGGAAATGATGACAGCAGCACTGTTGCAATCCACTTGCAATCTGCTAGATATTGGTTAACATCACCATCCCTTCAACACTTCACTGGTTACTGCTGCCAAGAAAATGCCAGAGGTCAAAAACTATGCAGCTGCCTATGAGGAGATGCTCTAGCTCCAAGCAAGGATGAAATCATGTTGGGAAAAGATAGCTTTATTCCTTTGTGGCCACTGTGCAACCTTTGATGAGCAGTGCTTGTAGCATTTTTGTCACCGCTGCCTTTTTTAAAAAGCTCTTAACATTTACTGTGTTTGCATTTCTGTTTTTATTATAAAGTGCCTGTTGTCAGTCAGAAATTCAGTCAGAATGTAAACATTTCAAATAAAATAAATAAGCTTGCACATTTAAGATCAATGCCCCACCTTTTGTTTCCTTAGGCCACTTTGTGCCCTTGCAATATACAATTGCAATATACAAGGCAGCTCACTTTAAATTGAAATGTTACATGAAAATACATCCTGTACAATTAATGAAGCATAAAGTGGGGGCTTTTTGCAGCAACTGTCTGTCTGTGATTTTTGATAGTGACTGAGGAAGGCCAAGAGGGGTTGTGGCGATCACACAGGGTCCCCGGACGTTTGATGGTCTATTGATCCCTGTGCCACCACTGTGATTGCCGCTTCGCTGCCACCAACCCGTTTCCCTCGGGTACACACGGAGTCCAGACAGTTGTTAACATTAACAAATAATCAAGTTTATTGTTATAAACATGAACAAGTTTAAGGTTTCAGTTAATTTTTCTTGTCAGTTTCTTAATCTTAGTTTCTTTACTGACCTATTCGTTCCTAACAACTTCAAACTGATTATCCCAACTAACTATCTGACTCCACCTAACAGTTCCTCTCACACTCTCTCAACACAACTCAACCAACCCACAGACTTATCCTCCCTCTTCCTTCTCCAACCCCCAACTCTCAACTGACTTCCACACACACTGACTCTAACTCTAACTCCTCCTATCAGTTTCTCTCTGGCCAATCACATCACACTCACTTAACCCTTTCCTTATGACCCACCTAGGAGGCAAACACCACGGGGGTGTACTTGACTATATTTTAATGGTTAGAGGGGAAACTGTTGCCTCACCTACATCACCACTGGTCTAGGATTATCTTGACTCTCTTATTGCTCATGATTTTGGGGCATAGATGGTCACAAATAATTATTTGGAAGAAACCTTTTCTCTTGCCAAGGCACTCTATCTCAGCTTTTGCAATTGTGGTGTTATAAATCTTTTGGAGATTTGTTACTTGCAGGCTTCTGCTGCATCCTCAATAATTAAATCTGTTTCAAAGTACAGCTCTCCCAAGGGAGGCACCTGCAAAGCAAAAAGTTATCTTTCCTCTCTTGTGCATAAGCCCCTGCCTGGCACTCAAAGTTCTGCTAACAAAATTGCTCTCCCTTTTCTCTTCCCACCCTCACTCAAACATATTGGGCTATGTTTGACAAACTAACCTCTGCTTTGACACAGAGGAGGATCTTAAAGGTTAAAGAAAGCTCATTGTGTTTGCTAGTGTGACCATTAGGTAGACATGAGGGATGCTGGCCACTGGGGACAATTCTTTCCCTGCAAAGGATCTGGTGTGCCTGGCAAGAAAGGCAATACCCTCCCCCCAAAAAAAACCCCCTGCAAAAAGCTTATTTGCTCTCCTTTTTAAAGCACAGAGGAAATATGAGTCAATCTGAACCAGGCAGGGGTGGAAGGAGTGACTCAGCAGACTGTGACCCACAAGTGTGCACTGGAACTGCTGATGTGATGACAACCAATTAAGGCGAAACCTCAGATGCATTAGTTTTTAGAATGCTCTCAAGCCCCCGTGCTATTTACAGAAGGAAAGTAAAAATGTGTGCATTATTTGATGGAACAGTGTGGGGAGCCTGAGAGTTTCACATTTCAGGCTGTTAGCTTTTTTAGAAATGTTGGCAAGTATATCAGGCAGACCTCCTGGTTGCGGGGCACATCTGAAACACAGATCACCTGGTGGCAAGCAAAATCCTTCTCCAGCCAAAGAGGACTCATGGCACAAAGCAGAAAGTTTGGCCTTGAATCAACACTGCCAGAACAACCAAACCTGAACTTTGTGAACACTTCTCTCATTCCATCAAACTGCACCAGAGACAGTGTCAAAACAAGGTGGAACCTACACCAAAGATGCAACCTACAACACAGCTATGATCTCTTTTGGCAAAAGAGAGCAGCAGATCTCCAACTGGTTTGAGGCCGGCATTAAGGACATGGAGCCTGTTATTGCTGCAGAGAGCAAGGCTCTTGTGAACTGCAAGTGTGCAGCCTGTGACAAGGCACTTGCTGCACTGAGAAAGACAAGGAGTGGTGCCAAGCAGATTGCCAGATGATGTGCCAGTGACCACTGGCTAAAAGCTGTGTCAGAGCTGACACTGTCACTGCTGACAGTGGCAACACTTTAAAAATGTACAAATGCATGAAGACAGCCTTTGGAGTTTGGAGCAACAATCAGGAAGACTGTACCACTGAATACCTTGTCTTTAGAGATCATCACAAACCGTGGCAAGCAGATGAAGCAATGAGCAGAGCACTATCAAGAACTGTCCTCATGGGAAAACATGGTCTCCGACATAGCAATTGACAGCATCCAGACTCTTCCTGTCTTGGAAGCGCTAGATGTCTCTCCCTCCCTTGACAAGCTGAAGAATGCCATCGACTCTCAGGCATGTGGTAAAGCCCCAGGACAGGGCAGAATCCCAACAGAAGTGCTGAAAGCAGGTCTCAGTTCCTCCCTCATTCTGCACCTCCATGGTCTTCTCTTGCAGTGTTGGGGGAAAGGATCTGTGCCACAAGAGATGTGTGACCCCAGATTGTGACCCTCTATAAGAGCAAAAGTGGCCACCATGATTGTAACAACTACCGTGGAATCTTCCTGCTGAGTACTGTGTTACTCACTGACAGGGTCTATCCTGAGTCACAATGCTTCAGAGCTCATGTTGAACAATCAACATGATTTTCTCACTGTGCCAGCTGCAGGAGAAATGCTGAGAGCAGAAACGACCTTTGTATATCGCCTTCATTGACCCGAAAAAGGCCTTTGACCTTGGCAGCCCAAAAGGACTGTCCACACTGCTCAACAAGATAGGATGCCCACCTAAGCTCCACAAGATGAGCATGTCCTTCCATGAGAACATGCACAGCACCATACAGTATGACAGTTCATCCTCAGACACCTTCATAAGAGTGGTGTGAAACAGGGCTGTGTTCTCACTCCAACTCTCCTTGGCTTGTTCTTCTCCCTGTTGCTCTCCTATGCCTTCAGCTTGACCTAAACCCACATTCCTAGCATGTTCTCACTTCCGTTTCAGCATCATCTATGCTGGTTTGGTCATGTACACAAATGGAAGATGACAGGATCCCCAAGGGCATGCTCTATGGGGAGCTGGCTTCAGGCAGTAGACCAGCTATGCATTGCAAAGATGTTTGCAAACATGACATGAAGGCCGACAACATTAACCCTTCCATTGTAGATGATTGCAGTATCTGGAGACAGTCAGGTTTTGTATTCACAGCAGTGACCAGAGGAGGAATGACCACTAGGAGGAGCACAGAGAGAAGATACGCCATAGAGCACCTGTAGCAGCCAAACTGGACATCTTCATCTGCCCCACCATCGATAAAACATGTCTCTCCCGTATCAGTCTCTACAGCCACAGTAGGCACTGTAACTCTCCAATGCTTTGACTTTATTTCTGAAGGCGCACTCTTCCATTTGTCTCCTAAGACAGATGGATGCCAGCAACAACAGATCAGGCCAAGAGCAGAGGGCCACACTTCTACTATTTAGAATAAGAAAGAGGGGGAGATAGATTTTCATGCTTAGTCTCCAGCAGCTTCCTGAACTAGGTCCCAGTTTCAGGCCTCAAGCAGCTGATAGTAAATACTGAGCAGGTGGGAAGAAAAATCCTAGGCGTATACTGCGAATGCCATGTTTTCATTATAGTTCTGGAAGGGTTAACTGTCTTGTGCTTCTCTTCTATAACTTTGAGATAAAGTGACTTTCCTTAGGAAGGTCAAAGGTGTTTCTTTTCCACCTGTAGCTAAATTATTTGTCAGGCTTTGTTTTTGAAGTGATTTGCCTTCATTGTTTGCTCTCTCCTTCTCACTCCCTGCCCCCTGCAGGTGGTTAAAGTGGGCCTCATTGAAGACTCGCCTGCGGCTACAGGTATGACACACCCACTAAGATCCCTGTGCTCCTTAGAGCAAAGACTGGTTATCCTAGTTACTCCACTTCCTCCGTTAAGTGATTACAAGCATGAAATTGGGTGATCTGCTTCAGTAATATTGACTAGGAAATAGCTGACAGAGCTTGACAAAGCATGAAAAACCTATGCTTTTTATAGTATGCTATGGCTGTACAGTATCTGCCAGCAGTGATTTCACCAGCTGGAGTGCTAGGAAGGGTCTGAAAAGTGCCTGTAAAAACTTAAGCTACCAGGATGGATCCATCCAATATTCTACGCCTAGAGTGGGGAGGTCCTCGTGCAGCATTGATCCCACCTCTCTCTGCCAGCCACCGAGCAAGGGCATCTTAAGAGGTGGGTGGGGATAAAGATGTCCTGGGATGCAGCCTGCTATTCAGCTGAAAAGTGTGGAATAAATCCCACGTGCATATCTATTGCTCAGAAACCCCCAATCCCATTCCTGAGACCGTTTGGGAAATGCTGGCATAAGTATTAGTGCCAGAGAAACTTTAACTTATGATAAATGCCTTGTAACTAAAACTGAAAGGCTCAGCAAGAGAACCTGAGAATTAACATTGCTTCTATTTAGCAGGTAAGCAAAATGTGTTCTCCTTCTCCATCTCATGATTTCCTTCCTTTGCAGGAGAGGGAGATGATTCTCCCATCATCAGCCTCACAGTTCCCTCCACTTCTCCCCCTTCTTCCTCTGGGCTTTCCAGAGACGTCACTGCCACCCCTCCATCATCTCCCTCTATGACTAGTGGACTGGCTGTCATGGGGTAAGTCTCTGGGTATGAAGACACTTTGTGTGGGTGGTGGTTGTGCTATTTCTCCTTATCATGTTGGGAACCCTGGACACATTTGCTGGGAAAATAAATTATGAAAGATCCTAAGAGCAAAGTAAATGCCACAGACGGTGTACACACCACTGTCTCTTTACTGTGATCATATATTAAAAAACTATTCTAGTCAGTCTCCTGAAGTATCAGGGCATCAGAGCTTAATCCCCTGTTCACCCTTATCTCCAGAGTGAATTCAGTAGCCAAGATTTATGCCTGGCTATCATCAGTCACCACATAATTATCTCCATTGGCAGCCTGCCAACAAAAGACATTCAATCCGCCATGTTCTTCCCCCGAAAGTCCCCTTTTCAAATATCTGTGTTGTCAATGCAAATATGTCAGTTAGCAATAGCTTTTTCAACAATGCAAAACTTGCTCATGTTTCTTTCCACTTTTTCCTGTCACTTGATCACAGGTCCCCCAATAGCCCTTATGGCGATGTCATTGGGCTGCAGGTGGATTATTGGCTAGTTCAGGCCACGGAAAAAAAGAAGGAAGGGGAGAAAAAAGACGCCAGCTCCAAAAATACACTCAAGAGTGTCTTCCGCTCGGTGCAGGTGTCACGGCTTCCAAACAGTGGGGAAACCCAGTTGTCTGGGACCATGGCCATGACTGTTGTCACCAAAGAGAAGAACAAGAAAGGTGAGTTATGGAGAGTGGCACTTCCTCTTTACTGGGGGTGCTCCTTCCTGGAGGCCTTTGCATGATAGCCTGCCCCTTGAACCATTTAGCACTGCTGAAGACTTACCCTGCAAGTCTTGCCATAAGCGTGCCAACTCTTCTACTTCGTGTTTTAAGAGAGAGACTCGTTTTCACTAACTGGGGGTCCTTGTGCTTTCTAGTTCCCACAATTTTTCTGAGCAAGAAACCCAAAGAGAGAGAAGTAGATTCCAAGAGCCAAATGATTGATGGAATCAGCCGGCTGATCTGCTCTGCAAAACAGCAGCAAACTATGCTGAAAGGTAATGCTTGCCCCTGGGATCAGGGATGCCTGATGGTACTGAAGGTGACTGGGAAGGATTTCAAAATGGTGAGGGACCTGATAAACTAGAAGGGATTTCATTATATTATTTCTTTATAATAATTTATAGTGGGGTAGGGAATTGGATCTAACCAGAGAGCCAGATCCAGAAGTGACTAACTCTTCATTTCTCAGCACATCTGTTCTGTTGGGGAACAGAACAGAGTTCAGTGGATTTAAGAGGTCCCAGATTCAATAACTGGAACCAAGCAGTAGGGGATGGGAAAGGTCCCTGCCCCTAACATCCTGGAAAGCCACTGCTAGACAGTTTATCCTGAGTTCAATGTACCAATGAAGAATACTTGGTATAAGACACCTTCCTATGTTCATAGGAATCGTCTCTCTTCTCTCTAGTTTCCATTGATGGTGTGGAGTGGAGTGACATCAAGTTTTTCCAGCTAGCTGCCCAGTGGCCAACCCATGTGAAACACTTCCCTGTCGGACTCTTTGGCTCGAAACCGGCCTGATGATGACAACACGGTGGTCCCTCCTGTGTCCTCATCACTCTGCTGCAATGCGGCATCACCTCTGTCCAAACCATCAGCCAAATCAGAGCTGTCCTGTGGTAACTTCACCCATGTTGCATTACTGTGTGTTGATCTGGTCTCGCCAGGGAGGGACCAGCCTCTGGTGCCAAGAGAGATGCTACATTTTTGTCTCCAGCCAAGGAGCCGCCCGCCAATTGCTTTCTCATATTTTTCTGCCACACCGTGTCGTGGGTGTCCAGCCTCCATCTGTGCTGAGTCCATTGCATTTTGGGAACAAATCCCAAAATATTTGGATTCTGTTGGTTTCCCATCACTCCTGGCGCACACGCCTTCTCTGAGCTGGCATGCCTGTGTCTTCCTGAAGAATGTGTTTGAGAACTTGTGGTCCACAAAACTTCGCCTTTAACAATATTGTTCTTTTTTACATTTTAGCTTTTGCTGAGCCAACCGAGAGCTTTACTGAGCACCCACTCTCAAAGTTCTCCTTTTCAACCTCAGCCTTTCCAAAAGCACAAAGCTTGCAAAGCCCAAATTGGCTGTTGTGTTAGCAACCAAACTCAACCCCATCTGGTTCTTGCCATTAGTAGGCAAGGCCCTTTCTCCTGCCGCCAACCCATCCTGTGTCACGTTGCTAGGTCAAACATGCCAGGTTGGTGGAAGGAGCCTCAGCAATCTTGCGCGGTTGCCACTCCTTGCAGAGATGAGGAGCAGAAAAGTCAGTTGTAGGGAGCTAGAAGCAGACACTTTTCTTGAACAGGCACACCCACTGCTCTCCCATGGCTGTGTCCCTTCACTCTTTCATGTTTGTACTGCTCTTTTCTTACACTTCCCCTCATCTCACCTTCAAAGTGTTTTTTAAAAGAACTTAGGTCACCTAAGATACATTTCCATTGCTTTGTAAGACTCCACTTGCTAGTGTGGCATCACAGTGCAGTGAGGGGTGGGGGAGGTTGTCCACTATACTGAAGAGTTGGATAACTTCATTAGAAAGCCTGTCTTGAAACTCACCCTGTTCATCTGTGTTTGGCAACAGTTCTGAGAGGTGTGTACTCCCAGCCACATGCCACAGTCAAGAGGAGAAGCTACACCTTGTTCCTCTGCCCTCTTTCTGGCTGCTGAGCCTGCCTTGTGGTGTGATGCATCTCAGCACAAGGAGATACTTTGGGGGGACCTGCTCAGCCATCTGTGCAGTCTACTTGCCACAGCCATTTATAAGGCATGGTTGGGATCCCAGCAGCATTCCTTCCCTTTTGGCATTTCAGTTTTGGGGTTTTTATTTGAAGTAGCCCCATGTTGCAGAGCCTCTGGGAACTCTATGTGCCATACGAGAAGTAGCAGACTTTGCCAAGCATTCCTCTTCTGAGCACTCGCCTTGGCAGGCAAGAGATCAGCCTTTGCCCTGAGACTTGAAGGGAGCAAGTTGAATAGCTGCAGGGGTTGGATGCATGGCTGAGACCAGAGGTTCCTTGACAGTGATGCAAAATAGCTTTAACAACTGCAACATAGTGATGCCTAAGGAAGGCTGGAGAAAAGGCTACTTTTGTGTAGTAAGCCTGCACTTCATAGGGCAGTTTTTGTGTGCTTGATATGCACTTCTGTCCCTCAAAGACCTTCCCTCCTTCCTTCTCCAAGCATTGACACTCCTGTTTTGTTTTCTGTTGTTTTGCTAAGGTAGTAAAACATGAAAACAAACAGGGGCCCCTGAAGCTGGTATTGCAGGCGACAAATGGGAGCCACCTTGCCTCCTCTCCTAGAGCACTTTGTCAGCAGCTCCGAGATGCTTCCAGGGAGCTGTGCTGCTTTTTATCTGTTCCTGACCAGCAATAAATCAAACCACCCCTACTGTGGGGTTTGGCAGCACATCATCAGCCCACTTTATTGGCTGTTTGAAATGGCTTTGGGGCCATCATAATGCTTAAGCACTTAACTGCTCGTAGCATACAGTGTGGCTCTGTCAAACAGTGGAGCGTACAATCCACATTCAGTCTTTTAGATGGCTTTTAGATTTTTGAATCCACATATATTTTCAGAGGCCCCAAAATTCAGCTTGAAGTAACTGTGTGTATAAGTAGAGTGAAATTTTGTCTCGCTGGAAGTGGTTTCTAGGCTATTACAGTGGAAGGGGAAATGTGGAGGTGGCAGGGAGAGAGCTGGCTTTATAAATAACTCTTGAGCAATCTGCTCTGCTTCCCAGATTGAAAGAGGAGGACCCAGGCAAGCTCTTTGCCTTCAAAAAGTTTTTTCCCCAAGGCCAGTTCTTTTAGGCTTGTCCTTGAGCCACTGCAGCTGTTTCTTGAGAGATCCCAAGAAGAATGACTATAAGTACCAGCAGCTTCGTTCACCTCATGCCCCTGGGTGGGGTGTCCCCCTCGAGGCTTAACTGGCAGTGGGCCCCTGGATCGGATTGCATCCCCCTCATTGTGGAGTCTCGGTGGCAGATAAAAAAACCTGTACACTTTTTTCTGTTTCCTTCCCTTGGCTCCTGCTGCTGTGGCTATGTTACAAATGTGGCTTTTGTACTACTCTGTCCCAAGCAATGCTCTGAGCCACAAAGTGAACTTGATCTTGTGTGTCTGTCCTAAACACTGCAGCCCCCTGCCTCAAGGAGGAGATGTCACAGATATCTTGGCATGCTACATATTTCATTTTGAGTTAGATCTCTCTTTGTGTCCTCCCCATTCATTGAATACTGAATAAACTCCTTGGCTCAAATGTGAGAAAGGAGGTTTATAGCGATATGTCACTTACCCCATGGGCTTTGGGGGCAGGTGCTGCTTCCTCTGCATGAAAGGGAGCGGGGTGCCGCCCAGAACATGGGGTATTTAAATAAGCACAACTCTGAACATTTTCTTCCTACTTGCTCTGTAGAAATGCTTCCTGTCTCATTTTCATATTCATAAGCAAATGTCACTTCCAGTCCAGTTGCTTCAGGTTGAGGGTCTGAGAGAGCCTGCAAAAGGCAACCCATTTTCAAGTTGGGAGAAGCAAGGGAGCAGTTTGGCTCCAAGTAGCCAACGTCCAGGATTCTTTGACACTTTGCCATGGAAACATCCACCCTAATGGGCTTCCATTTTAAGATCCCGTTTTTTTAGATTTGGCCTGTGAAACTTTCGACCTTCCCTAAACGTGAGTGGGGTCCACCAGCAGCACATGGTAGCCCACCAGGAGCTCAGTAAGCTTGCTATTGTTGTTCAAAACTTTAAAAATGGAGAGATTGTTGAGCACCTGGCAGGCTACAGTCCGTGGTGGTGGGGGGCAGGGTAACAAGCTGTGCATGTCAAGAACAGGGTGGAACTTACGAGTGGATGGGATTCATTCAGCAGCCAATCAACTCTGCCTTCACCATGGTTTAATTTTCATGACCTCCTCTTGGTTGCCTTTGGCCAATCGGAAATGGATGTGGGAGAAGGGCAAGTAGCGACAGAAGTCTGTGTCTGTAGCTGCATCCTGGGCTTCTGTAGAAGTGCACACTAGTGCCCCCGCCCACTCCACAAGTCAGATTGGTGCAGTGTTGACACCGTATGTGCCCATCTGCCCATCAAACCAGCGCAGGACCGCCTCACACGTGTTGCATTATTCTTTGTGGCCTGGCTGTTCAGATTCATGCTTTGCAAAGGCGCACACACACTCTTGCTCTCACAGCTGTGGTCTGGGACAGAGAGGGCTTGTTAAACTTGGGCTTGTTAGATTTGTGAAACCACTTGCAGGACTGGGGCAGACAGCTGGCTTGGTTCCCTCCCCTCCTTTTTCCCTTTAGGGTCTCCAGTGTTTAACCTTCCTGCACCCATAATGCACAAGGGAGTGGAAGGAAAGTTCATTCCAAGAAGCAGCTGTCCAGATAGCTCTGGAAACCAAGTCCTGCAGCTGCTTGCTTTGGAATGGGTGTGCATGCAGCATCCTCCCAGTGGAAACTGTTGGCACTGTAGGAAGGATCCTGACACCCTATCCAGTCCCTTGGATTACCATCTCCCCTTCTTAAGTGGGTGGCCCTTTCTCTTCCCTGAGGAATGCAGGTTCAGGAGGCTAAGCTGAATGGATGTGCCTCCAAGGATGGATGGGCAGGAGTCGCTCCCACATTAAGCACTTTGTCCTTTGTGCCTAGCGAAAGGTGATAGTCGCAGACTCCTAACATGGAAGGAAAATCACCCTGCCTCAGGGACATGCAGATGGGCTAGCAACTCCAAGAACCACACACATCATATTCATTCCCTGAGCATCATTTCACTTGGTTCCTCCTTACCCCAATACCCACCTACCACTCCTGAGCCAGCCCCACGAAAGAGCCTACCAAAGAGTACACTCTTCCCCAGGGAATGACAGTCCCAGGAAAGAGCCACGGTGGGGGAGGCACTCTGCTCCAGGGAGCTCTCCAAGGTCTCTGTTCATTGCTTCCGTACAGCCTCGCCTCAGGCCTAATTTCTCATGTGTCGACTGTTACAGTAAGTGTGTCCATCTGAGGACCATTGTGTTTCCTGTTTTTTGCTGTGTGGATTTTGCACATTCTGGAACTTTTGTCTATAAATTCAGATTATCTGGATTTTTGTGTCTGTTATGTATCCCAGCCACTGTACATAAATATGAGTTTTGTATATAATCTCATTTTATTCTCCTTTCTTTTTGTAAGTGTGTTGATTCTCTTGGTTTGTACTGCAGGCTCCAAACGATCCACATTAAGAATCTCTGCTTGTTTAAATTTTGGAGCCTTGTTGGTATTTGATGCATTCTATCCTTGGCGGGTGGGGTCTGTTGTCTCCCCACTCCCACTCACTATTTTTGGAGTTTTTCATTAAATAAATTGTGTTTTTTAAAATAATACCTTAAAATCTCAAGCTTGATCACTTTATGCTTTAGTTCCTCCTTAAAGCTCCCTGGATACGGTCCACATGAGAAAAGCAAAGGGGCAATACAAGAGAACCAGCCACTGACTTCACTTTTCCAAAATCTAAAAGCAGAGAACTGGGGCGGGAGGCCTCATAGTTGGAATAGAGAAACTGCATTTCAACTTGCTATGTTTTGCTTTTCTTTGCTTTAAGGAAATGCACAAAGAATGTGAATACTTTGCAACTGGCACAACAGTCCTCTGGGGGAAAACAAAAGCTTATAAATCACAGAAGCAAAAATATTCCGAACTTTGGCCATGGGTAACAGCAGTGTGGAATTCAAAGCTCTCCTATACCTTATACCAGAGGTTCCCAACCTTTTTGAGTCCACTGCTCCCTTGACAAACTACATTTTTCTGCTGCACCCCTGTCGGGCTTAGGAGCCCAATTATGTCACCCTAGCCTGCAGAGCTGGCAGTCTCTCACCCTTTTTCAAATACCCTCCCTTGTGGAGTGTTCCCTCAGCCTCCTCTCCTTTCCCCTCTCCTTGGGAGTCCTCTGGGTAGTTACATCTCCTGCCCCTGGTCTCTGAGCTTTCCCCCCACCCCAAAGAGAGGTGCCTCCTCCCACTGTCCCACAAGGGTCTGGGAAGCACCCCTTGGCCAGTCCCAGAGGCACCATTTGCCTGTGGAGCTTGTAGCCAGGGCTGCTGCACCAAACAGCTGTGCAAGCCTCTGGGAGGCAGAGATGCAAGAGGGCATCAGAGGAGGGAAGGGACAGAGGCCAGTGTTGCCCATGGCACCCCTGACCATCATTCAAGGCACCCTAGGGCACCATGGCACTCTGGTTGAAAACCACAGCTTTATACAACAGGTGTTTGCCTGCACTGGTGCCAGTCTAGAAAGAATTGGGAACCCGCACAGGAGGGAAAGTTCCCCTTTGCTGTAGAACCTCAGCCCAGATGAGCAGAGCTCATCGTGATTGTACGCTTCCGCAAGAAACAAATGTTCCTTCAGCTGCTTCTTAACTAGTTTTCATGACACGTCAGTCAAAAACTATCCTTATCTTTAATATGGTCAGAAAGCCATAAACATGGCCATAAAGCAATCTAGATAAATACATAAAAGATATGCAATATTAAACCACGTTGCTAGGTCCATTATCTAAATGAATTTTATATTGTTTTTATTGCTGGTTTGTTTGCCATTCTGGGCTCCTTTGGAAGAAGTGTTAGGATATGAACTTATCAGCAGCAGTAATGCATGTTATAAAACTCACGTTGGGTTAGCTAACAAGGCACACAAATAAAACTACTGTAGGAAAGAGTGTACAGTGCTAGATAATTCCTTTAGCAACTTACACATACATTATCCTGACACTCTTCACACCCATGAAAGAATGGAATTGCCTTTTTTAAAATTGCAGGGGCCCTATGCGGTTTCTGGAATAATTATTTCAGTACAAAGATTTAAAACACCTGTCTACTAAAATACATTTTCAGATTATAAGAAAGTTTTCTAATCAAGTAACAAACTGGTCCTGCTGTGTAGGTATTAGGAGCTTCCTTTGAAGAGAAATTTTATTTAAACTTCCCACATAATAAGCATATAAGGAGAGGAACTTGCAGTATACAGTGGTACCTCAGGTTAAGTACTTAATTCGTTCCGGAGGTCCGTTCTTAACCTCAAACTGTTCTTAACCTGAAGCACCACTTTAGCTAATGGGGCCTGCTGCCGCTGTACCGCCAGAGCATGATTTCTGTTCTCATCCTGAAGCAAAGTTCTTAATCTGAGGTACTATTTCTGGGTTAGCGGAGTCTGTAACCTGAAGTGTATGTAACCTGAGGTACCACTGTAATCCCACAAATGTTTATGCAAGCAGCAAACCTCCCAGAGTTCAACGAAACTGATTCTCTCGTTAGTGTGTTTGGCATTATTGTCTTTGGTATCTCTAAAAAGAGAAATCTCATCCTGGGGAGCTGCCACTGAGCAAATAAAAAGAAATGGTGGGGGCAACAGCAGTAGGCAGCTAAAAGAAATGGAGGAAAAGCACTAAGTTCTTACCTACTTTAAGTTTAGCCCAAACGTATGCAGGCTCACCCGCAAACATACTAAATATTGCCACCACAATCCCTTCTCCCCATTCTCTCTCCCCTCCTTCTTCCCCCACCTTATTCTGTATAATGTCTCACATCAAATGTAGAAAAGACTTTACGGTTTGGGAAAAGAAAAAAAGACTGCACATTTTTTGTGAACCAGGAAGATATTTTATTTATTTTTTAAAAACCTGGCTCTGCTCAGTGGAACTTACTCGCAGTTCTAGTATGTGTTGGATGGTTGCTATACTCATTCAGCTATACATGGAGCGAGTGAAGACAGGGGAAAACTGGTACATGGAAGCTAGTGTAGTGTCCTGGTTAAAGTACTGGGTTAGGACCAGGGGGTGCCGAGGTTTAAATCCCCACTAACCCTTCATGAAATTCATTGTGTGACCTTGGGCCAGCCACTTCTCTCAGCATACGTAGCCACATTCACACTATACATGTAAAGCACTATGATGGCACTTTAAGCAGCCAAGGGTTCCCTCAAGCATTTCTGGGAGCTGTAGTTTAAAGGTGCTGAAAATTGTTAGGAGACCCCTATTCCCCTCCCAGAACGACACTTTTCAGAGTGGCTTAACAATCACTTGATCTTCATAGGGAACTCTTAACCAAAATCAATTAACTAAATCAGCCGACCTACGGAATCGGTCTCTCTGCGCTAGGATCATGCAATCCCCCCCCCCCCCGCGCACCTTATAAGAAACAAATTCCTAAGCGGGGGGGTCAACCGGACGCCAGAGTAAGAGGCCTCCCCGCAACGCAGCCAAAGAGAAGAAAAGGATCGCCTAAAAAAGAGGGGATTTGGGAGGAGACATTTTCGCACGCCGAGGAAGAGGCGATCTATGCACCGTTAGCAGAGCGCTAAACCACATCGCACACGAAGATTTGCTTCGGAGCAAACTTGCCTAGGATAGGATCGCCCTATTAATTTGCGAATTGTGTTCTGTTTGCGTTTTGTTATTGTTGCTCCAGAGAACTCCTGACATGAGGCGATAACCATAAAATGTAGCGAATAAATAAAACGAGAGGCGCCCCCCCCGCCCCTTTAAACACAGCGGGACTTTTCTTCGTAAACACGCACCGTTTCCCGCTCATTTAACCAAGTGTGTGCGTGGCCGGGGGGGGGGGATAACCTCTCCAGGTGGAGGGGCCCGTTGCCCCACCCGGCTGCATTTACTGACATATAAAAACACGTGCCAGGACTTACTTATTAAAGATGCAAAAGGGAAAGCACCAAGTAAACCGGTAAGAACTTCGGAAAGAGAACCCAAGGCATCCTTCCCCTCCCCTTTAAGGCGGGAAGGCAGGACCGGCGGCGGCGGCGCTCCTCCTTATTTGCCCTCCGGCACTATTTTCCCGGCCGGCCAGGTTGCCCCCTCCCCTTTAAGGCGGTTGTTTTGGGGCGGGGCCGCGCGGCTGCCGGTGCCGCAGTGCCTGCCGGGAAGGATGTGAGGCCGCCGGTGGCTGGAGAAAGAGCAGAAGCGGCGGCGGCGGCGACGACGAGGGAGGCGCGCGCAGGTGCGTTGCGTCGTGTCGTGTCGGCGGTGGTGCTGAGTCGGTGGGCGGTGGGCCTCCTCGGTCGGCAGAGCCCCTCATATGTGGTGGAAACGAGGGGGTGGGTGTTCGCGCCGAGAGTGAGGGGAGGGGAGTCGTCCTCCCCCCCCAAGTAAAATCCCTCTATAGGATGAAAATGAGGGGTGGTCGTTCGTCGAGTCATCTTGTGCCCCCCCCCAAGCAAAAAGGTACCCGAGTGGCTGGTTGGTTGGGCAGGGAATCTCCCTTCTGCCATGTAAAAGCCTCCCCCCCCCACGTCAGTAAGGTGGAAATGGGGGGGGCTCTCTGCATGACCCCCCCTCCACCGCTTAGGGTGAAAAGGAGGGAGGGTGGCTGCCCAGGATATAAGTGAGAAGTGGCCTGTCAGACAGCTCCCCCCCCCCCAGGATGAAATGCGGGCTGGCTGGTGGGATACTTGAGCAAAAACTGCCCCTCGCAGAAGATGGAGATGAGGGGGCGGCCAGGTGGGTGAGCGAATTCCCTCAGCAGAGGAATGTATGGTGTTGGTAACCCCCCCCATAAGTAAATTGTGGTCCTTCCTTCTCAAAGCTTCCTCCAAGGGTGGTCAGGTGGAGGATGGGTGGGCAAGTTCCTTCAGCTTGTTATAAGGGCTTCTCAAGAAGAAGCCAATGGGGCAGGCAGAGGAGACCCCCACCAATTTCATAAAGGTGCCCACAGAAACACACATTATAAGTGGGGGGATGAGTTATCCCAGACGAAAGAGAGGGACCTGAGAAAGATGTTCCTTTGCGTTTCCAAAAAGATGGGGGGGTGGGATGGAGTGGGCAAGGACAAAACCTCCTTAAATGGAGGGGTGAGTTTTCCGAACCCAGGAGAATGAGGAATGTGGTTAGAGGGGAGTCTTGTAAGGGATTCCTCCACACAACAAAAAAAAGGCAGGGTTGGGTATTCAGAAGTTGGGGGGGGGGGAGCTAATTAGACACTCTTTTAAAAGGATGAGGGCCTATCTAAACCAAAAGGGGTTCCTTCCACCAGCTGGATGAGGAATTGGTCAAGAGGTGAGTCCTCTCAAGACAAGAGGTACTCTAGAAAAGGAGAGAATTATTCCCCAAAAGGAAGGTAGTTGGTTAGGTAAAAGAGGGGACCCCCTAAGTCCCTCATAAACACTGAAATGTCAGAAGAGGCTTTTGCAAATATTCAGCTAGCAGGAATAGAGTAGAGGGAGAGAGAAGTTATTAGAGTTCTCTCGATAAAAAAAGAGTGGAGGGGCACTATTGTAGCAAGGGGCTGCAGAGTGTCCAAAATATGGGACCTAATGTATTGTGGGGGGGGGAGTGAGGATACCTTGTGGGTTGATTTGAGACAACCCCCCTTCAAGGAAAGGGTGATGGACATAAAGTGTGGCACTCTTCTCCCCCCCTCCTCCCCCAGCCACAAAGTAATCATGGATGAAAATGCTTCTGGAGTTGAAGTAGAGAATCCCCTTTAAGATGGTGGAGTTTCAGAAACTTTTACCCCAGAAAGAAGAGATGGAGGCCCCCAGGAGAGGGGGGGGGTTATACAGGTGATGTCTGAAAGTGAGAAGATATTGGAAGAGCAGGAGATCCACCTGCAGAAGGGCATTAGCTGGGCCGCCAGAGAAGAGGAATGAAGACTTGTATACATCATTGCTCTGCTGTAGTGACTCTTATATTGCCATCTATTTTTTAAAAAATTTGAATATATAATATAAACCACCTTGGGAACTTTGATTAGTAGGCAGGTATAAATACTCCTAAATAAAAATAAATAAAAGAGCAAGGAGTTCCTTTTCAAAAAGTGAGACAGGTGTCTAGGGAGGTGATGAAGGAGAAGGGAATCGCCCTCTTTCCTGCCTTACCATAAGAGGGTGGGAGGCATCATTAGGATCTCCACAAAGTTAAAATAGAGGTTAAGGTAGTACCCTACCTTCAGTATGATCAAAGAGAGGGGAGACTACATGTACCTTGAAGGAGCACAGTCAAGGCCTGCAGAGGAGGAAGGAGGCATGTTGCTAACTGGTTGGGCAAAGACGGCTGAGAGAAAAGGAGGCATGGTGGGTTGGTTAAGAAGTTGGGAAAAGAAAGGGTGAAAAGCAGGAAGATTGAAACCCACCCCCCCAGATAAATTAGAGGGATTCTGCAATGCCTCAAAGGCATAGAGGAGGTAACTCAGTCAATGAGATTATCCTCCTGAAGGTTTAAGGGGTGGTTGGAATAGGTGAGAGGGGTGAACCCCATAATTCATGAAGACTACCAGACTGAAGATCAGGCTAGGGAGACAACCCACTCTGTTTGGAGATGAGGAGAAGATGAAGCAGATAATATTGAATGAATTTGGATCATCCCTTGAACATCAGAGGACAGAAACAAGCTGGGTTAGGGGGAGTGGAACCCCAACTCTTTAAAAAAAAAAAATATCTGTGAAGGCCTCAGAGTCAGTACCATTTCAATGCTCTGGAAAGAACTCAAGTATAAGGGGAGAAATTTGAGAGGGTGGAACGACAAAGTAGTCCCATGTCCCCCAATTCCCAGAAATAATCCAAGCCTAAAAGGAAGAGTTTCTGGACAAGAGGTGTTTTAATAGGCCAAGAATTCTGGAAAAGGCACATAGGAGGCTCTTGAGGGCTTGGCTATATCTCCCTTGCATCTTACACTTGATTTTGGAGGTGCTTCTTTACAGTTGTGTGGGCCTAATGTGTGTATGTATGTATATGTATATATGTGCACCTTGAGCCTGTGTGATCATACAGCAAGGAAGGGCCATCTGTTCAGAAGTTCAGGTCTTGTTTCTTCCTTTTTTTCTTTGTTGTGATCTTCATCAGAAATCCTGACTATCCAGTTTCTTGAAATGACGGACATGCTTGTAAAGAGGGATTTCCTTTAAAGAAAATCAAAGATGAAAAGAGTACAGAGGTCTCTACTTTTGCCCTAAAAAAAGCCCCAGAGTGGAAAATCAAATCTGCAGAATACTTTACAACTGAGGTGGGCGGGTTTGTGTGAAAGAATAGATATGCAAAGCTTCCCTGCCCTTTGCGATGTAGAGTGGATGGGTGGATATTTCTTGTGTCGCCCCCCCTCCTTTTTTTTGCTTCTGTACCTGGCCTAGGTAAATAGCAGATCCTATAAAATGGGAGATACTGCCCAAAGTTCCTTGAAAGATTCTGAAACCTCTGGCTGAAAGCATTTCCTTCCTTACTTCAAGGGGCGGGGATGTTACCTTGCACCAGTCCATCATTCATCCTTTCCCCTCTCCTCTTGATAAAGAGAATGTTAAAAGGGCAATGGAAAGGAGATTGAAAATAAAAGGGTAGGCTGAGAGGGAGAAATCCTTTTATAAACAGATATGACTGGGGGGGGCACAGAGCACACTTCATTCATATTTGGGCAGGGGTCAGTGCAGTTCTCATCATTTGGATACAAGGACTTCTGAGTTTCAGCTCTTTTTCAGATCAAGTAGAGACGGGCAAAGTGAGTTATTAGAAATGGCAGTCTGGTAACTTAAAGGGAAAAGAAGTGTGTCTGGTTCTATCCTGCGTGGGAGAGGTTAAAGCGATCCCTATTGCGCTGCGGCTTCGGTTTGGTTTGCTGGGCACGGGACTCCACGCCGCATTGCGTCTCGATTGCTGGGGCCTGAGCCAGCCACCTACTGGGGGAGCCGGGAAATGCAATGACAGCCGGACAGGAGGAAAAAGGGGGGGTTGGGTTTCTCTGCCCCTCTTCTCTCCCCGCCCCTCCCGCTTTTCCTTTCCCTCATCTCAAAAATGGTAGAATTAGAAAAGGTTCGGAAAAGGCCAACTGAGAAGATCAAGGGGGGTGAAGTGACTCCCCCATGAGGAAAAATGCAGCATTTGGGACGTTTTGAGCTAGGAGAAAAAAACCGAGGAAGAGGTGGCACGATAGAAGTTTAGAAAAATCATACCTGGCGTGGAGAAAGTAGACGGAGAAAAGTTTTTCTCCTTCTCGCATAACGCTAGAATTCGTGGACATCCAATGATGCTGAATGTTCAGTTGGGGGAAAAGAAAGTCCTCTTTCATGCAGCGCATAGTGGAACTGGTACTCGCTCCCCCAGGAGGAAGGCATGGCAACCAACTTGGGTCGCTTTGAAAGAAGATTGGATAACTTCATGGAGGAGAGGGCTATCAGTGGCTGCTAGCCATGGAGGCTATGCTCTGCCTCTAGAGCATTAGCAGGCAAACTAAGGCCCGGGGGCTGGATCCGGCCCAATCGCCTTCTAAATCCAGCCCACGGGTGGTCCGGGAATCAGCGTGTTTTACATGAGTAGAATGTGTCCTTTTATTTAAAATGCATCTCAGGGTTATTTGTGGGGCATAGGAATTCATTCATTCCCCCCCCTCAAAATATAGTCCGGTCCCCCACAAGGTCTGAGGGACAGTGGACTGGCCCCCTGCTGAAAAAGTTTGCTGACCCCTGCTAGAGTCAAAGGCGGTGATTCTTCCTAATACCAGTTGCAGGAGAGAGTGCTCTTGTTCTCAGGTCCTGCTTTGCAGGTTTCCCATAGGCATCTGGGCAGCCACAGTGAGAACAGGATTCTGGACTAGATGGGCCGTTGTCCTGATCCAACAGGCTCTGATGTTCTTTGATTCCTGAATTGCTGGGGGGGGGGTGTCCAGCTGCACCTTCTGCCAGACCTTTTTCCTCATTCATGATGGGGCTGTGACTCATCGCCCCTGTGTTGTAACTACAACCATTCCAAAGTTGAACTCGAGCATACCTAACAGGTTCTGGTGCTCAGCCTGGCCTCACCCTGTGCCACATCCTCGCTGCAGGTATGCAAAGCTCAGGTGTCATCTGGGTCACTTAGAGACAGTCTTTTGCACTCCAGAAGTCAAATCCCACTGTGGTTGTTTGATGGTAGGGCTGCTCCCTTGTGAGTATGTTTTAGGATTGCTGCCTAAGGGTACGAGTGGCTCCCCTGAATAGCAGGTAGTAATGTTCTTTCTCATGTGCCTACGCTTTAGAGTAGGGTTTCCCAAACTTGGCTGTTTTTGGACTACAACTCCCATCATCATCATCACTGACCACTCATCCTGCTAGCTAGGGATGACCTTCCAACAAGCCTTTTAAATAGAGATTAAGATCCCTGTTTCCATCTATATTAGAACTGTTTTTAAGAAGTTCTCATTGTTTTATTGCTTGTCTGTTTGCCACCATGGGCTCCTTGGGGTGGAAGGGTGGGGTGTAAATTTAATTAATAATAATAATAATTACTTAATCCATAAAAAATCACTTGTTCACATGCACTCGTATACCAGCAAAAGTCATGTATTTCCTCTAAGACAAAAAAACCAACTTGTGTGATGCTTCTGTGCTTCCTTTTTCAGTCTAACCTACCTCACAGGATTGTTGTCAGGAGGGGCCATGTGTGCTACCTTGACCTACTTTGGGGAAGAGTGTGATAGAGCCATCATTATTAAAATAAATAAAACAAGCCTGGTTTAGTGGACCTATTCCAACTCTCTCCACCATATTCTTTTCTCTCTCTCTCTCTCGCTTAGTGATGGCGACCATGTTGTACCCCCGTGAGGAGAAGCTGGAGAAGATGAGCCAGGATGAGATTGTGTTGGGCACCAAGGCAGTGGTGCAAGGCCTGGAGACACTGCGCACTGAGCACCACTCGCTGCTGTCCGCCCTTCTCGACACCGTCAACCGGCTGGAGCAGCAGCACGAAACAAGCGCTGCCCAGGAGAAGGCCAGCCTCTTGCGCAAATCTCTGGAGGCCATCGAGCTGGGCCTTGGGGAGGCTCAGGTAACAGCCACTAGTTCAGGGATGAGGAACCCTGTGGGCCATTTGGATGCAGAGAAATGGTAGGAGGAACCAGCTGGGGAACCACAAAGGGAAGAAGGCTGAGAGCCTGGGAAGTGGTGGTGGCATAACGATGAGTGGCCAGAGGGAGAGGACTGGGAAGAGGAGCTGAAGAGGTAACAGGGCTTAGTGAGCTGGGAGAGTCTGGCAGAGAAAAGCTCCGAATCAGAGACAGAAGCTGAAGCAGGAGAGTGGGATGAGGGAGGCCAAGAGGCAGAGATAAGTCAGGCTGGTGAAGAGTCACAGGTGTCTCTCCCTCCCACCTGCTGTGACAAGCTCCCCTTCCCCCTTGTCTCCTAGTACCAGAAGAGTCATGAAAAGCGTGGAGAGGTTGGCTGCACGCAGGCGCAGTCCCCAATTGTTTGGAAAAAGCCCTGGAGAGGATGAGATCTAGATGGCTGTGGGGAAGTGGAGACCTTTAGTTTTGTGGAGTAAGGCCTAGATGGAATGAATGGCTGCGCTCGTTAGGCCTGGCACTCAGCCAAGTCTGCGGATATCATGTTTTTACTAAAAAAGAGTTAACGCCAACTTTCAACTGAGTGACTTACTGACTGGATGACTCGGTGCCTGCTGAGCTGACGGGGGTTGATGGGAGTCCCAGCAGTATCTGGAGGGCCAGAGTGTCGCTAACGCAAGGGTTCCTGGGGCTTTGACACCTGTATTCCCTTTCCTAGTTGGAATTTCACAGGCCTGTGTTCACACTAAGTCTCCGGTTACAGGTGATCATTGCCCTCTCCAGTCACCTGAGCGCGGTGGAGTCGGAGAAGCAGAAGCTGCGGGCTCAGGTGCGGCGCCTGGTGCAGGAGAACCAGTGGCTGCGCGATGAGCTGGCTGGGACCCAGCAGAAGTTGCAGCGGAGCGAGCAGTCCGTGGCCCAGCTGGAGGAGGAGAAGAAGCACCTGGAGTTCATGAACCAGATTAAGAAATTTGATGATGATGTTTCGCCATCGGTGAGCCTTCTCTTTTTCTTCTTCTGATTTCTCTCAACCCTACGCTCTCCTACTCATGACCCTCCATATTTAGAGAATGAGCTGCACTTATGATGTCCACCAACCTAGATGGCTTTAAAAGCAGGTGATGGGTTGCTTGTTTCCTGCCCTTTGCCCGAAGGTCCCAAGGCAGATTGCAGCACTAAAACACAAGAGCAATTTAAAACAACTTAAAGGTAAAGGTAAAGGTACCCCTGCCCGTATGGGCCAGTCGTGTCCGACTCTAGGGTTGTGCGCTCATCTCACTTAAGAGGCCGGGAGCCAGCGCTGTCCGGAGACACTTCCGGGTCACGTGGCCAGCGTGACGAAGCTGCTCTGGCGAGCCAGCACCAGCACAGCACACGGAAACGCCGTTTACCTTCCCGCTATAAAGCGGTACCTATTTATCTACTTGCACTTAGGGGTGCTTTCGAACTGCTAGGTGGGCAGGAGCTGGGACCGAACGATGGGAGCTCACCCCGCCGCAGGGATTCGAACCGCCGACCATACGATCGGCAAGTCCTAGGCACTGAGGTTTTACCCACAGCGCCACCCGCGTCCCTTTAAAACAACTTAACATTATACAAATAAGGTATGTCTTAAAAGCACAGAACTCAAGTGTCAAAGGCCCCTAAACCTCTGAGGACAGAAGAATTGCCAAGGTGGCCTCCTTTGCCATTCTCAGCAGCCGAGAGATCTGTAGGGAAGGAGTATTACAGGAGTATTACATTATTACAGGTATTTGGGGCCTAAGTCATGTAGGGCTTTAAATATTAATATGAGCACCTTGAATTGGATGCAGAAACAAACACAGGCAGACAGATTTGTGAACGATAAGGTTACCAGGCAAAACCATACCTCTTCTCCCAGGCCTTTGGCTTTTAAACTGGGGGGGGGGGAGTATTGCTTTTGTTTACTATGTTCTGTACTGTTGTGTTTTTATATTGTAAACCACCCTTGGATGAAGGGTGGTATAAAATGTAATTAATAAATAAAATAAACCTCACAGTGGCTGTGTTCTTCCTCCACTGTCCTTGTACCTGAGAGAGCCTGGTAGCTGTGTACAGTTCTGCTCACCTCACCAAGAATATTGTAGAGCTGGAAAAGGTGCAGAAAAATGGCAACAGAAATGATCAACAGGTTGGAGCAACTCCCCTGTGAGAAAAGGCTACAACGTTCGGGGCTTTTTAAGTTTAGAGAAAAGGCGAGTAGGAGAAGACATAATAGAAGTATATAAAATTAGGCATGGAGTGGAGAAAATGGGTAAAGAGAAGTCCCGCTCCAGCCCTCTCAACAGTAGCATCTACCTTAAATCAGGGGTCAAGGAACCTGTGGCTGTCTGGATGTTGTCAGACTCCCATCAGCCCCAGCCAGCATGGACAATGATTAAGGATTATGGGAGTTGTAGTCCGGTAATATCTAGAGGGCCAAAGGTTCCCCCATCCTTGCTATACATGAACGTCAGCAAATTGGGAGTGGAACACTGCAGGTTTGGCAATCCCCAAGGACTGAATCAGAGGTGTCAGCTTTGGTGATTAGGATGGTGCTGGGCATTCTTACCATTTCCTTTTGCCTTCGAAATGGTAGGAGAGTTTCAATCCCTGATTGTCTTTTTTCTTTCTGCCCAGGATGAGAAGAATGGGGAGACGGGCAAAGACTCCTTAGATGATCTGTTCCCGAACGATGATGACCAGGGACAAGGTGAGCTACCTTGGGTTAAGTAGACCATTCTGATCCAGCAAGTCAGTTCGTACGGCAAGGAGTCAGAATACTAGAGATAGTGGCCTTCAGATTGCAGCATTTTAGTCTAAGCTGTCAATAACTGCATGAGGACTAGAAGGGAGGGAACATCTAGAAGGTCAGGAGTCCCCCCACCCTCAAGTTAGATGATCACAGGTACAGGAGTAAAAAGTACAAGACATGGACAAACCCTAAAGTTGTTGGAATTCCACCAAAATTTGAGGAAACTAAAAATGTTCAGGGTTGTAGGCAGTGCTAGTCCTGCTTGGGGTAGACCCATTGAAATTAATAGACATGACTAACTTAGGCCTGTTAATTCCAGTGGGTCTACTCTGAGTAAAACTTAGTTGGGCATCACCCCATGTCTAGCAAACATAAATACTTTTCAATATCTCAACCACAAATAGGTTGGTTAATATACTCTGACAGAAGAAAGGAATGATCATTTATTTATTTGAAAGCAGTTTTGCCCTGCTCTTTGTCTGAAAAGGCTGCTAGAGCAGTTTACGTATCAGTAGCAAACAAGACAATCCCTGTGCCTCATGTGTACAGCATTAAAAGACCCAACACAAAGTGAAAAGGGGGAGGGAAGGGAGAGGAGAGGAGAATATACAAACTCAGGCCCCTTGTCCCGTGCATTTACCAAATTCTTAGGCTGACTTCTCTTCCCTCACATAGCTCTTAATTCCAGCCATGAAACACTGTGATTATATAAATTCCATAGGATGTTGGTGCATTATGTGGAGAAGTCTGCTAGCTCTTTGTCCTAAGCCTGCCGCCTATTCATTTTAAGTGTGTGTAGGTGTTTGTGTTTGCAGGTGTATATACACCTGCTTTGAGTGTGTATGTATAGCATACTGAAGAACTGCTTTGTGGAGGGTGTGGGCAGCAGATCCCACCCCCTTTGATGATGCCAATGTATTTCTGCAGGGCAGACGCATGGTAGTGGAGACGCAGCAGCCCAACATGGTGGCTATGAGATTCCGGCACGGCTGCGGACACTCCACAACCTGGTGATCCAATATGCTTCCCAGGGGCGCTACGAGGTGGCTGTACCGCTCTGCAAGCAAGCACTGGAGGATCTTGAGAAGACCTCAGGACATGACCACCCCGATGTGGCTACCATGCTGAATATTCTTGCTCTGGTTTACAGGTGTGAGGCTTGGCTGACTTGGGCCAGGGGACTGCTTTTTGACCTTAGATCTAACTTGGACATGCAGAGAAAGCGTGTGGAGCTGCCCTGCTGAGACTGTATCACTTTAGGCTGCCGTTACTGAATTGCTTATTTGCAGGCTCTCTTATGCTGAAAGAATAGAAACTCAGAAAAGCTCTGTGTATTTGGAAAGTTAGCTTGCCAGGAAGATGACTAGCTTTCCAAGTTCCTTGGAGAACAGTATTCAGACGTGATCAGAAGCCACCCTCTAGCCTGACAATGTGCAGTCTAGAAAGGACTGTACCCCATGCCTTTTGTGTACTGTACATTCAGATGTGGGCTTTTATAATTTATTTTATGTTCTTAATAGCATTTATAAATAGCTTCATATACTGTATATATTTTTAATTTGTACAGTACAAAAATGAAAAATATAATCAGAACAAAAGTACAACCTGAAACCAATAAAACAACAGTCTAAAGACTTGTAAAAGCATATTAAAAACAAATGAAACAAAAATTCAGAGCATTCAGTTACATAAAAATGGGCCCAGTCTTATGGGTCAGGGAAAGCCACTCAGCTCCCTGGCCACAACCTTCTGCACCAACTGCAGCTTCCGGACCAATCGCATGGGACGCCCTGCATAGAGCTCATTACAGTAGTCCAGTCATGAGGTTCCCAACGCATTGAATCACAGTGGCTAAGCTACCTCTGTCCAGGAAAGGACATAGTTGGTGCACCAGCCTAAACTGGTAATAGGCACTCCTTGCTTTGGAATTCTCTCTGGCCAAAATAATAACTTATTTTTCTTCCTGCTAGGGACCAAAATAAGTACAAGGAGGCTGCTCATCTTCTCAATGATGCCTTGGCCATCCGGGAGAAGACCTTGGGAAAGGACCACCCTGCTGTAAGCACCCTGATTTTTTGCAAACCACTTTGAGGTCTTTTTTTAAGACAATCAAGCAGTGTATAAATTTTATTAAATAAATAAATCATTTCAGAGCCTCTAGCAGAAACCATTTGGATGCTTGAGGTTCCCCCTCCCCCTCGATAACAATGAGGACTAGGACCTTAGATCTTCTCTTCGCCTCCTTTTTCTTTAATGGATCACCTTTGATTCTGAATCTGCTAGCCTGCTGTGATAACCTGTTTTGAAGTAGAGTTCTGAGGTTCACACAGCAATCATATCCCAGAGTTTTGAGTTGTACAATGTACCTTTTCATCCTTAGGTGGCTGCTACCCTCAACAATCTGGCCGTGCTGTACGGTAAGCGGGGCAAGTATAAGGAGGCGGAACCGCTGTGCAAGAGGGCTCTGGAGATCCGAGAGAAGGTACTTAAAGAAGGCCGCTACAGGCAGCAATGCTTGGGGCATATCCCCGCCCCGCTCCCCGTGCTTTCTTTTTCTGCAGAAAATTTGCAGTTTCCAAAGTTCATCTGTTACAATGCATGGATGCTAACTATGAACACAATATAAGGCAAGCTTCTCAGTGATCAAGTTTTTAGCTTGTACTAAATTCAAGTGAAATGAACATGGTAAATTAGATCACTTTCTAGGATATCGTAATGGTTTCCCAATGCAAACTGAAAATTTTCTGATGCAAGTTACCCTGATCTGCGTGGGGAAAATGTTCAGGATATAAACAAATAAAATATGAAACAAAACAATACTATTAAACAGAACAAAATGCTGGAAGATCTGATAAGTCCCTGGCCTGCAGAGCCATTGCCTGTGGGCTATGGCTTCACCCTCCCCACTCCACACACCTTTGTTGCTGTTCTGTTGTCAGGGATCTTCATCCCCACCCTTTTGCTCAAAGTCATATTCCCGTGACAAAAATTGCAATACATGCACTGCGCTTGTTAAACAAGTTGCTTCTATTTAACCCCGTCTCTTCCAGGCTGTCTGTTTCCCCACCCCCACCCTGCTCTTCATTGTCTGCTGTCCTCCTTTATTCAGAACACTGAGGACTAGAATCTTGTTTGGAAGAGTGGCCATATCTCAGTGGCAGAGCATCTGCTTTGCATGCAGAAGGTCCCAGGTTCAATCCTCAGTGACATTTTCAGGAAATAACCCCTGCTGCCAGTCAGATGGGATGAATAGCCTGATCTGGTTTAAAGTAATTTCCTATGTGAAATTGATGGTTTGGGCGATCGGCACTGGGAACTGGGATTTGGCAGTAGCATGGACAAACTTTGCTTGCTTTCTTTTTAAGTGATCAGTGTCTCCTCTTCCCAACCTCCCAGGTGCTGGGGAAGTACCACCCAGATGTGGCCAAGCAGCTCAACAACTTGGCTCTCCTTTGCCAGAACCAGGGCAAGTACGAGGAGGTTCAGTACTACTACCGCCGCGCCCTGGAGATCTACGAGTCTCGCCTCGGGCCAGACGACCCCAATGTGGCCAAAACTAAAAACAACCTGGTGAGAGGGGCTGATTGGAAAAGTCCAAGAGAAACCTTTGGGGGTGTGGGGATGGTTTAAGCGGGGGGTGGAATCTATTCTAAGCAGTTTTCTTCCATGCCAGATTTTGGTTGGACTACAACTCCCATCATCCCCCGACACCTTAGCCAATGTTTAGGGATGATGGGAGCTTTAGTCCCAACAATAGGGGGCCCAAGGCTGAAGAACACGGATAGCATGCTATAAAGTTTGTATTAAATGCTTTAAAGTCCGTATTAACTTTGTGACATTTAACAGTATGATGTTTACTGTAGGGCTTGGGGCACTACAGCCAGCAGGGGGTGATGGGAGTTTTAGTTCAATGTCTTCTAGACAATGGCAGCTTCTGTGGCCCCTAATTTGCACAGTGCTCATCAGTTACATCAGTGCCTTTGTGCCGGGGGGAAGAAGGGAGGCAGGAAGGCAACTTCCAGGTGCCCCTGGAGCCCTTCCATCCTCCTCCCCTGCCTACCCCTGATTGGTGCCTTTCTGCTGTTTTACTTTGCAATCATTGGCCATGCCACTGGAAGACAGGTTAATCCCCTGACTGACCACCTGGGTTGAATAATGGTCTGTGCAGTCCACCTCTTCTCTCTGCAAGAGAAAGGACAGCACTTCATACAGTTATGCTGCTAGTAGAGAATCCTGGTGTATGTAACATCCAGCTTTTGCTAGGCATCGATGCTTCCTGATCCCTGTTGCCACAGCCTGTTCCTCTGACCTCAGAATATGCCCCCACAGGCCTCCTGCTACCTCAAACAAGGCAAATACAAGGACGCTGAGGCCCTCTACAAGGAGATCCTGACCCGAGCACACGAGAGAGAGTTCGGCTCAGTCAATGGTGAGTGCGGAAACAGGTGGTGGGACCTCATGTGTACAGAGAAGGGTTGCTTCCTTTTATTTTATGCATTTCAGGTGTGGGGCAGGAAAAGACACAGCTGGGACAAAATGGGGGTTGTGGCTGCTATCAATCAACTGATCAGGGGCACCTCTAAAAGCATACCCTTTGCTAGCACTGACCATCAGCTGATTGGCAGGGCTGGCAAATCACTGTGCCTTTGCCCACGTGGTTTTAATGATTTTTTTTGTTATTACATTTCTATCCCATCTTTCCTCTAAGGAGCTCAACCTAGCATGCACAGTTCTCCCCTTTCTCCCCCTTTTTCCTCACAGCAACCCTGTGAGGTGGGTTAGGCTGAGAGAGCGTGGCTGGCAAATTGGTTGGTGCGTTGAAATGTGGATATTTCATAACCCTCCCCCCCTGAGTTTTATTTATAACAAATTTATGTCAAACTTTTATTTATAATTATGCAAATGTACAAGAAATATTTTTAATGTCCTGAGGAGTCCCACAAAGTGGACTGATGGTCTGCCCTGGTTCAAGGCAGGTTCTTCACTGCTTTAAGTTCTTTTCTGTTCTTCCCCCAACCACCGTTCTTTGTAGGAGAGAATAAGCCGATCTGGATGCATGCAGAAGAGCGAGAGGAAAGCAAGGTACCTCTGCATTGGGAGGGAGAAGGGAACCCGACTTTCCCCTGGGGGTGGATCCAAGCTATCTGACACACTCCCTGCCCTTTAACCTTTAACCTTGCCTCCCCCTTAGGAGAAGCACAAGGAGAAAGACAGCGCTCCCTATGGGGAGTATGGCAGCTGGTACAAAGCCTGCAAGGTGGACAGGTAAGGGGTAGCCCCCCTTTTCTTTTTTTAAAGGTTTTAAAAAGGTTGCTCCTGACTTTGAGTTGGGGCTAGGAGCTTGAAATGAAAGAGAAGCCAGAGGCTTAAGAAGAAGAAGAAGAAGAAGAGTGAAATTGCTGCTGCTGCAAGTTAAGGCTGACGTAGTTTCCTTATTTCACAATGGTTAGGATTCATTGACTGTCTTGATAAGACGAGTGAACTTAAGTACATAAGAGGAGCTCTGCTGGATTAGGTCAGTGGCCCATCTAGTCCAGTATTCTGCTTTCACAGTGGCCAATGAAATGCCCATGGGAAACCCGTAAGCAGGATCCAAGCACAAGAGCCCTCGCTGTTCCTGTGGTTTCCAGCAACTGGTACTTAACTGTGTGATCTAACAGGTGGCTTTTACAACTTATCATTTAAGATAGTTTCTGCATAAAAGAACCAACGCAAGTACAACAGTATTGGCAACAGTAATGCAGAGAAAAGGCTGGAGCAAAATGTAGGAACAGCATTGGTGACCTATTGCTGGGCAAAGCAATCCAGTGGTTTAAACTGAGACCATATTTTAGCCCAGTGTGTCTGTCTTAACACAGTAGCTTTAACTAATTTAACTGTAATTATATTAGAACAGTTATAAGATGCATAAATGACAATTGATTGAAATTAATTTTTTTCAAAGACACAAAGTTGACCATTTAATGGAAACTTTATTATGTGAAAAGTTCCTTAAGAGGACAGCAAAAGTGCAAGGGGTACAAAGAACGCTCTTGACCTATCTGTCTTCGCATTCTCCTTTCCACCCACAGCCCCACAGTCAACACGACTCTGAAAAGCTTGGGTGCTCTCTACCGGCGCCAGGGAAAATTGGAGGCTGCAGAGACGCTGGAGGAGTGTGCCCAGAAAACCCGCAAGCAGGCAAGTGCTGCATCATGGTGGTTGGCGGTAAAAGGATAGGCAGAGCTCGCCCAGGTGTTAGGCAGGGTGAGGCCGCTGCCTCAGACAGAAGAAAACCCCCAGGTGGAACGCTCACGGGTGTCCTGCCGCCATCAGTACTGATTTGGGGCAAGATCGCAGCCATTTGGAATGAGATCTCACCCAAACTCATTCAAGATCTTGTGTGCTCCGCAAGATCTCGAGTGATTTTGGGTGAGATCTCTCCCCAAATCAGCGGTGATGGTGGTGCTATTTTGATGCGGCAGGGTGTGCAGTGGCGACAGAGCAGGCAGTGGCAGCAGAAGCAAGGCAAAACAGCACTTACCGTTTCACACACACTGCCCCTGAGGATAGGCAGTGTTGTTCCAGCAGTGGGACGGAAATGTGTGCTGGGGGATATTTAAAAAATTCTGCTCCCCCATGCTGGCTTAAATAGGCCATCTAGCTCTTGGATGCCCCAGTAGATAATTTCTGTATTCCAACTAGGGCATGGACGCTATTAACCAGAGCAAGGTTGTAGAACTACTGAAGGATGGGAACCGCTCCGAGCACCGATCAAACTGCGAGGGGGTCCTCAGCTCCAACAAGTGTGAAAACGGGATTGACCCGGAAGACAGAGCGGCTGAGTGGTCCGGGGTAAGAAGCAGCAAAACTTTACAAATTAATCCTAAAATGGAGGACACTTCAGTGCAATCCTATCCAACAAGGTGTGGGGAGTCTTTGGCCCATGGGCCCTGTGTTTAGGCTTCCCTTCAAGGAATGTGGTTGGCCTCTCTGGGAACAGGATGCTGATTTAGACATTTGGTGCTGATCCCTTGTCTTCTTTTCTCCCTGCCTTCCCAGGCTGGCTCCGGAGCCTTGCGACGCAGCGGCTCCTTTGGGAAGCTGCGTGACGCCCTGCGACGAAGCAGCGAGATGCTGGTGAAGAAGCTGCAGGGGAGCAGCCCGCAGGAGCCCCGGAACCCAGGGTAAGTCTTCCGTCTAGTGGCTCTGCTTTGGGACCTGGGGTGGGCAGGATGTGCTGCAGACCCAAGGTCTAGCCAGCCCAATATTTTTTATTATTGTTTCAGCAGTATATAGCTAGCTGCTTTTCTCTGGAGAAACCCACAACCATGGTGTGAAGGCAACACCCTTAGTGAATATCAAAAGGGGCTGTGTCTCAACTGCCTTGCATGCAGAAGGTCCCAGGTTCAATCCCTGGTATCTTCAGGCAGGGCTGGGAATATCACATGCCTGAAACCCTAGAGAAGGGCATAGATCAGTGACCAAAAGGCCTAACTCCTTTGGCACTTATTTTTTGTCTCCCTGCAGGATGAAGCGGGCCAGTTCTCTCAACTTCCTCAACAAGAGCGTGGAAGAGGAGGCAAGCCAGGTATACACACAGACTGCAAATCGCAGCCCGCCTCTCTCTCCCTTCTGAGTTGTTTCTCTGTTGGGTAGGGGAAGGAAGTGTGGTTACTGAGACATCACAGGATGTTCTTTCCCAACCACTTCCAAAGCCCTGATTGAAATGGCAGAGCAGGGACCCATCCAGAAGCACACCAGGCAACCTCATATACAAGGGATAGTAATTTATGTTGCATCTCTGTAATGAAATCCAGTGCAGATGCACCACAGAATTGTCCACCTCTAGCAGAGGCTGATTGGGAGAAGGCACATTCAGATCAAAAGATCATGCAGAGGCACAGCAAACAGACTCATCCACCCAAAACTGGGTGCTTTAGATCATGGGTAGGCAAACTAAGGCCCGGGGGCTGGATCCGGCCCAGTCGCCTTCTAAATCCAGCCTGCAGACGGTCCGGGAATCAGTATGTTTTTATATGAGTAGAATGTGCCCTTTTATTTAAAATGCATCTCTGGGTTATTTGTGGGGCATAGGAATTTGTTCATTCCGCCCCCCCTTCAAAATATAGTTCATTTCCCCACAAGGTCTGAGGGACAGTGGACTGGCCCCCTGCTGAGAAAGTTTGCTGACCCCTGTTTTAAATCTTTTGGAGCCTTCAAGGCAGAGGTAGCCAATGCAGTGTTCTCCAGATGTGGGAATACAACTCCCATCAGCCTCAGTCAACATAGCCAAGGGCCAGGGATGATGTTTATAAAGCCCTGGCTTTTGAGTGGCTGGCCTATTCTACAAAAGTATGCCTTGCACCCATAGCTCCACCCACTGGCATGTGTTGTTGTCCCCATGAATGGTTGCCCACAAGGCAGTGCAGCCCTCTGGCTGAGAAAGGTCCCCCACCCCTGCTCTGACATGTTGACCATTGTCTCCCTTTCTCTTTTCCAGGCATCCAGTAGTCTATCTGACAGCCGTGGCCTTAGCGCCAGCAACGTAGACCTCTCTCGGCGGAACTCTCTCCTGGCATGAGGATCAGCTTGGCCTGCACCTATGTTGCATTGTTGAAGACCTGGGCCACGTCCGACCTTCTGCCTTCTCTCTCTCTCTCTATCTCTCTGTGCTGCTCTGCCTGTGACCACTTGCCCCCATGTCTAGCAGCAGCAGAATCGCCCACCCCCTTGTTACAGGGATGTCCCGTCACAATTTGCCCTGTGTGGAGCAGTGTGCACTTTCTCACACACTTTCTCACACGTGTGCATGCACTCACGCATGCACACACACACACACAGCCTATGTCTTCCTCTCCACTGCAGCATGCTGCTGTCACCCTCGTTGTTGTACTTTGCTACTGGAAAAGAAACTGTAGTTTGCTAGGGTGAGTGTGGCTCTTAACTCTGCCATCTGTCCATCTCCTCTGCCAGCAGTTTAGCTTCTTGTAAAGGATAAGGTGATCCCACCTGCGCCAAGGAACCCCTAGGCTGCACTCCTCATGCATATACTGTATGCACTATATGTTTTTCAAGTGCCCCCTTCCTGTGAATGCTAAGAATGTATCTCTTTTGGTGGGGAGGAGGAATCTGTGTCTTTCAGAACTCCCCCCCCCCCAAAAAAAATGAGTGGGCAGAGAGAGGCTTCTTACAGTGCTCCTAAATAAGCAATGCTACGCCCTACTGTAGCAAACCTCTGAGAGAACTGTGCCTGGGCTGAATTACCTAACAATTCAGTTTGATTTGTTTGTCCCCAGAAGAGGAAGAATTGCAGTTCCCAGGGCATCTACAGTTACCCTTTGCCATGTGAAGTCTCTCTTTTCTTTTCCCGCTATGGTCTTCTCCCCATCTCTTTGCTTTGCATTCTTGTTTCGGCCTCAGGGAATCGCTGTTCCTTTTCAAAGTCCCAACCCCCCCTTATGCACTTCTTCTCCCCCATTTTTTCTCTTCTTCTCCACCCAACCTCCCCAGTCTCTACTCTGCCTATGTACAGCAGCCTCTTAAGAATTCTTTGACTTTCCATAGTTGTTTTGCCGGGTCGGGGCTGTGTCATTTGTGCACAGAACAGCTGTTGCCAGTTTTGCCCTTTCCCTCTCCAACCCCCCTAAAATAGTTTAGGGCCAGGGGAAGAAGGCAGCTGTGGAATCTAGCTCCACAGTTTCCTGTGTCATGGATGCTGGTGCTGTCACGCTAGCAAAACTACCACCCACTCTCTTCTATCAACAAAACTTGACCACATGGCATTTGCTGTTTCCCCTTCCTTCTGGACTGAGCAATAGCAAGGCATTGTGAAGCAGGAATGGCTGGCCTTCAGCGCTGGACGTTGCACTTTCTGGGTCATTCTACACTGGACAACAAATTTTCCTGGAATATTTGTCTTTCTATCAGACCGATGCACGGGAGTGCAGTGTAGGGGACTTTGGATTCCAGGCATTTCCCGTCTGCTGGGAGGAGTATGGCATTGGGAGCATGAAGATATGGGTGATGGACGGTGGAAATTAAAGTTCTTCCTTGTAATAATCCCCATAAATCAGTGCTGGAAAATATTAGCCCAACCCCTCACTCTATCGTGTGACCTTATTAAAAATCACGTTAAGACCTGTAAGCACTAGAAATGGAGCTGCCTTATTTCCTGGTGAAGGTTTTAAGCTGCAGCTGCAACCTGGCATGTGTGGCGGAAGAGTAAGGAATTTGAGCCATTCTCTCAGTGGCAGCCAAGCTTGCCCCCTCCATGTGACGTTGGACTTCAACCCCAATCAGCCCTGACCATTGGACTTGCTGATGGGGAATTAGGAGTCCAGCAGTGCTTGGGGGGAGATCACCACTTCTGTTCTAAATTGACCCACCCCTCCAGGAGAGCTTTCTCCTTTGAGTCTGCTGCTATCCTAGAGTTTCTAGGCCAAGGATCTGTGTGCCTTTTAGTAGCTGTTTTAAGAGGTGAGCATTTCAGTGGTTGCAAATTCTCCATTCTGCCTCGGTCAGGAGGCAAACTCAGCTGGCATTGCTCCTTCCTGCACAGCTATTAAAAAGCATGGGTGGGGGGTCCTTGCAGTTTAAAGCTGGCGACTTTAATTTGCCTCTTCATTAGTTGCTCTCTTAGCTCAGTATTTAAGCGAGAAAATGTTATTTAAACCAACAAAAAAAGACAATAATACAACCAGGCCTTCTCACCTGACTGTATCCCTCTCTTTCAGGAAAGTACATACAAATGGGCAGGGCCCAGAGCGACTTAACATCGAGTGAGGGGGGTGGGGGTGGATAGCCTGATAGCTGCTCTGGGGTGGGATGGGCTGAGATGAAGGGAATAAATGGGATGGGGCAAATTTTGCTCTGTATTTAATGATGTTGCTGTAGAAAACATAATAATAAAAAAATGAAAGCTCCTTACTGTACCTGGTTTTCTCTTTCCTGCTTCTCTGGTAGTCAACTTTGCCCCATTCTTTCAGGTCACATCCACACCATACAGTTAAAGCACTATTATTCCACTTTTAAGTGTCATGGAGAATCCTTGGAACTGTAGTTTAAGTGTGCTGAGTAAGTACGGTAGCTCTGGAAGGTCAAAACTCTTAACAAATTACTGCTCCCAGGATTCTTTGGGGGAAGAAGCCATGATATGAGTGCTATAAACTATGTGTGGGTGTGACCTTTATCGCAATTGTAAAAGCCATCACTGTTTCACATTCCCACCATGTTCACACTCCTGTCTCAGCAACGTCTTTGCTGACACGGTCACGTCCACAAAATGGAAGATGGCAGGATCCCCAGGGACTTGCTCTGTGGGGAGCTGGCTTCAGCCACCAGGCCCATTGGCAGAGCCAATTGCTTCCAAAGATGTCTGCAAATGTGACACGAAGGCTGGCAACGTTAGCCCTGCCATGTGGGAATCCCTTGCAGTTGACCACAGCTCCTGGAGACAGACAGGTTGTGTGTCCATAGCAGTGAGCAGAGGAGGAATGACCACTGGGAGGAGTGCAGAGAGAAGAAATACCATATTGTGCCTGCATCAGAAGAACTGGATGCCTTCATCTGCCTAACCTGCAACAAAACATGTCTCTCATGTATTTGATCTCTAAAGCCACAGCAAGCACTGTAACTCTCCCAACAGTTTGGCTTCACACTTGAAGGCGCTCTCTTCCATTGCTTCCCATGACAGGTGGATGCCAACAAGGATCAGCTGCCCTGAGGAAGACTTAGTTGGAGGCAATTGTGTGCCTCCGAGCAGCTTACAGCAAAGAAGCTGACAAAGCGGTGGGCGGAGAGATAAACTGGATGATTCTAGAGAAAAGCAAGCCATGAGTTATATCGGTTGACAATGACTATACAACTTACTTTACTTTGGGTGTTAAAAGTCCTGTAGAAAAGTGGGATGTACTCATAGTGGGGTGGGTTGCTGACCTAGGAGTCTTATCTGGTGCCTCCAAAGCTTTTATAGAACACCCCCTTTCCCATTTTAAGTCCTGTTGCTATTACTGAGGCTTAATCCCAGGTGAACTATATGGAATTATGTATAAAATTGCACCCTTTGGGCAAGGAAGTGTGTGTATAGGGAACTCTCAATTTATGCACATTTAACGTATGCACATTCAGCTTTATGTGCTTGGCAACTGATAAAAAAATAAAAGGAGGTGGGCATCTGGGATGCGGGGGGGACTGCAATCCCACCTGCCATTGCACCCAATATGTTTTGACTATATGCAAATTTGGCTGAATTCGCTATCCCTGGGACGTAACCCCCACATAAGTTGAGAGTTACCTGTATGTATGTGCATACACACACACACAAAGTATCTCTTCTCATTCTTGTGTTCATAAGGCGGGAAATGTTCCATGACCGAGTTTGAGGCCTTGTACTCTAACAACATTGCAAGCCTATATGGCAGTAGTTCTTGATGACTAATTCTGACAGGAGAGAGAGGCTATTGTACTATTAGGTTTGTTAGTCGCTTTTCTCAAAGAATAACCCAAAGGGACTTCAAATAACTTATTGGGAAGGGTCTGAATCAGGTAAATTCAATCTGGGTGTCAACGGACTCTTGGATTGGCTGAAGCCTCCAGTCAGTTGGGCTTTAACTGAGAGAGACCGTTGAGATTTTGGCAGTTGATGAGTCGGTGGAAATAAAGTGGTTGAGGAGGGAAATGTGAGGGAATGCGACCAGAGAACGGCTGAGGGGGGTGGGGGTGGGGATGGATTAATAATTGAAAATTAATAATATATTAGTGATCAGTGTGTTGTTAATGCTTGGCTGGTAACGGTCTGTGGGAGTTATTGGCTGGGTGGAGGTTTAGGGGATTTGGCCTGAGGTAAATTCCACTTAGGGGCAACAGTGGAGTCTATAGAAACTGTTGTCAAGCATCTCTAACACCCCAATGTAAATATAAGTATTCCCCTATGTATACAGTATCCCTTCACTAAGCCAACAATCTTAAAAATTCATCCTGGCTCTAGGGTTGGCATCCATTTCATGCCCAAGCACCCACCTGAAGACCTTCTTTGCTCAACAAATCTAAACTGAGAGCTTTCCCAGTTTGCATTTGTACTGGAGTTGCTTTAAATATATTTTTATTGTTTTAATGACATCTTGTTTGTCACCCTCGGCTCCTTTGGGAGGAAAGATGGGATATAATAATCATAACAACAAACACACTCTTAAGAGGTTTTGAAAACATTCTGAGTAAATTGGTGGCGGTAGAAAATTAAAAAGGAGGATAGATCAACTAAACTTGGGTTATACAATTGAGGTTGAGTGTTGGCATTCATCTCACGCCTAAGCAAACTATCCGGAAACTTCTGAAGACCTTCTTTCAGAAAACCTTTAAAATGAGATCTTCCCCAGTCTGCATCTGACTCAGAAGATAAAATACAGGGACTTGCGTGCATTGTAGATGGTAGATTTTTAAAAGGCATTCCTCACTTTCAGCTTGAAATGGTACAATGTTCTTTAGCACTGCCCTTTTTTAAATTCTGTTCCAGATGTGAGACGTATTTGAAAGCTGCTTTGAACTGCTGAAGGAAGAGTGGGATCTAAGTATTATTTCTTTAAA